GAGTCGTCCAATTACCCAGAAAGTGGAGGCTATTCGAAAGTCTCACCCGCTCTTCCCTCTTCCAGAAAGAGTCCACGAGATCTCGCCACTCAGGTTCTTTCTTTCACCAATACTTTATGATAATTCACTCTAATTCTTTAGCTTGAACAATGTTTCTTTGATCAAGATTGGCTTCAACCAAAAGATGTCATTGTTACACATGTTTGTTTGATTAAAAAGGATTGAAACAGTGATAGGTTACAGGTTACATCAGCCAATGATTTCTTTATTTCGTTGGCTAATTCAAAATATCGAGATGATTTACGAATGGCAATGAATACTTTTTATGAAAAATATCGAAATACAACAAAGGTGCAAATTCATGTGGGTTTACTAGATGGAAAAGTAAGAGTTTTACTTTTTTTAGGAAGTTTGTGTTAATGGTGCTTACGCTGTATTGGATGTAGAAGGGAATTGGCACAGAGCAACGATTATTGTAAGCATAAAAAGAAATATGAAAAATGAAGCGAGAATCTCGTGTGCTGGATCTGGCTCATCTGGCAGATCTGGCTGACTGATGGCTGATTGGTTGATCGCCTGTGGCCTTGCTCACCTTGCTGTCCCGATTCCTATCATATTAAAATAAAATTCAGTCATGCGAAAGTGGTGGAATGGCTAGATGTGCATTTGTTGACAGTGGACGATCCCATGCTGTTCCTGTAGATAAAATTCGGTTTCTATCGTGTCCAGAAGTTAGCTAAAATAGTCTAAAAAGTTATCGTTACCAATTCCAGGCCGATTCTCCATCTTTAGCGCTACGATGTACACTAAATATTTCTGATCGAGTAAATGAAAAAACGGAAACTTTTCGCGATTTACTCTTTGAAGAAATTGATGGAAGTTTTCAGCCAAGAGTTATCAAAGTAAAGATAAAATTCTACGCAAAATTTAACGCTTTTTTAGGTAAACTTTGTTGACAACTTGAGAAAAGCGATTCGTATTGTAAAGTTAACGATGAGTGATGGAAAAGATATTAAAAGTTTACTTTCGCAACAACCGAATTCCGATAAAGAGAACCAGATACCGTAAGTCAACAACAAATCTGCTAAATCAATATCATCTGCTATCAGGGTAACTCCGACTGCAAGACCTGTCTCAACAACATTGGTCACTTCTGCTCCTTTCCTTTCTTTCCAGGAAGAACCCGAAATTCACCCAATGAAGCCATCTGAAGTAATTCAAACTTAAAGAAATAAAAGAAACTAAAACTATTTCAGATGCCGAATAACTCTTTCCATGCACATGCTTTATTTGCAGCTGGCCCTTCTGACATTTCATTGAGACCCGTGTCGCTTGTAAGTTTTCAAAGACGTAACCTGAGATAAATAAATTTAAGGATCCAATGCCTGATTATATGTATGAAAAGTTGACAGAAGAGTGCCTTTTGCCAGCCTCAACTCTCACCGAAACTCCGATTCAGGGGGCTTTTTATGCTGCTTTCATTGATGAGCGGTAAGACTGAAAAAAAGAAATTGATCATAAATCTTTTGTACTTTCAGATGGGAGAGAGTGATTTGTATTCGTGGATCTAAAATCGATCCGGCTTCATTTTGTGTGTACTTGGTGAGAAAGTATTCATTTAACTTTACTCAAAATGTTTCAGGTTGATGTTGGCGCTTTTCACTATGTACGGGGTGAGGTGATGCGTCGACTGAACTCGAAAACCCCATTCAAGAAAATGCTGATGTTTAAAGCTAAAGTAAGAAAAGAAGGCTTCAAAAATGAAAAGCAAATTACCGTAAATACTGTAATTGGATCCCATGGGGTATTATTCCCCTCCTCTAGGATGGGGTACTATTTTACACCACTATGCAAGTTACCAAATCAGAATACATTCAAATAATTTGTTCAAAAGGAAACTTTTTTTTCACTTTAACAATTTAAAAATTTAACAGCAAAACGAAATGAAAACAAGTAACGAGGAAAAATTAACTAAAAACGAAAGAATTAAAAATACAAATGATTTTCGGGGGTGGGACAAATGCTACCTTTTTTTGCGCACCTTTTTTTTTGCTGGAAAAGGCCTTAGGAAAGGTCGTAGAGCTTCAAAAATGTTTTCATAGAAGGGAATCGTATGCGTAGATTCCGAATTTCGACAAATCACACCTCGCAGACACGTCAGATTTGGGCTAAAAGGCAAAAATTGGGAAAAGCGTTAAGTTGCGTAGTTTTTGCCTTTTAGCCCAAATTTGACGTGTCAGCGAGGTCTGATTTGCTTTGATTTGTCGAAATTCGGAATCTACGCATACGATTCCCTTATAGGAAACATTTTTGAAGCTCTACGACCTTTCCTAAGGCCTTTTCCAGCAAAAAAAAGGTCGCATTTGTCCCACCCCGAAAAATTAACTAAAAACGAAAGAATTAAAAATACAAATGATTTCCGAAAATACATAAAAATTAAAAGCGTTGTTTGTAATTACGCGTTGGGTGTGGTATTATTAAATGGAAGGAGTACCGTCATTATTCTAATAAAAGCACCCCTCTACAATGAGAGCCTCGTTCTCAGCGCCGTTTTATGCTACAATGCGCGCTTAGGTATCAAGAAATAGCCCCGAATCTCAGTTATATTTTGACACCAAACATGCATCTGAAGAAAATATGGGCGCTTAGAAAAAAATGAATTACTGAAAAAATTTTGCGACTACGCGACTGTACGGAGGGCATGCTTCTATTAGAATAATTACAAAAATTATTTTTTTTCTTTCCCCTCTAGGGTGAGGTACTACTAGAGAAAAAGGGTCCAATTACAGTATTTACAATACATGTTAGGTTGCCGGGATCGCACCAATAGGAGGCGCAGATGTTTGGGCAAGAGAAGCCCATTTGGCTACACGGGAATTTTTCGAAGCTTCAATGGGAGAGCCGGTTGAAGTAAAAAAAAACAAAAAGAAACAATAGATTTTGAAAAAAAAATTCTAGGTGAACCCTCAATGTTCGGCCAATTTTCCGAAGCCTGGGAAAGAGAACACAGCAGAAGCATGGAATAAGTAATAAGAAAAGCTTGAACAAATTGAAACTGAAATAATTGCAGATGGAAACAGCTGAATGCACCAAGTGTACCAATGATTGAAGCGAGAATCTCGTGTGCTGGACGAGATCTGGCTGATTGGTTGATCGCCTGTGGCCTTGCTGTCCCGATTCCTATCAAATAGGCGGGAACACGCCGAGAAAATCCTTGTTCTAAACTAAATTTGCATAAAAGACATAAGAGACAAATTCGCTCAAAATTAGTTTCCTAGTCACATTTCTCCTTTCACGAAGCTCGTATCTACATTTTTTTTCCCTTTTTTATAGCAAGCTCATTGTTTCACCCAATCGTGAGGTCATTTCTCTTGTTCCTTTACCCCTTTCCCCCATTGCGCTCTGCTTTTCTTTTCACTCTGAGCAACGCGAAAAAGGATTCCTTTATGATCCTTTCAGGACAACCCGAAATAATGCTCAATTATCGTGTTTTACGCTTGGATACAATAACGTTTTTGCTTCCGTAGTTGAAAATTAGACATTTACTGACTCAAAATTTAGCAAAATTCATTGCAAAGCAAAAATTTAAAAGACATCTACTTAAACAATAGAAAAGTATTTAGAAAACTTACTTAATTCTCTCCCAAATAGTCGACTCCCAAAAAGTGCAATTCGAGAATTTGTGATATTTTTACCTCGCAAGTTGTGATAGCACTCGAGTTTTATTTGGTGCTGCGCCGGAAATTTGAAATTATTTAAGCCTTTTTCGAAAATTTTCAGTTGTAATGAGTGTAGTAATATTTCATAGTCCATTTAATAAATGATTTCGCAAAATTTCTGTTTCAATTCATTGTTTTTGACAATACTAACTTACCTATTTTTTTTGCAGTATTTCATTCATCGATTTCGGTGTTCATTTTATTAATTTCAGGTGTTTATGACGTGCAATCATTAACAAGTGTTGAATCAATCGCTTTCCTCACAATCAATGTAAGTTTTTTTAAGGTTTTGATGTAATAATTACCGTATTCTCTCTATTAGTATTGCACTCTCTAATAGTATTGCGGTCCAGGAGGGGGTAGTGCGTGCTAATAGTAGTGCGCACTACTATTAGAGAGAATACGGTAGTTGCTTATCAAGTGCTGCAAATAAAATCACCTTAGAATGGGTTGGAAAAGAAAGCCTTCCGCTTTAGAAGAGTGAGTCATTTTTTTTTGCATTTCGGGAATCTTGTTTACTTTTTGGTTCCCCTCACCCTTTGGCTCAATTTTAGCCGATCTTTTGATCCTTGGCAGTCCTTATTTTTCATCAATTTAATTTATATGCTTTATTCTACTTCTATTTTAGGGCATGTCTACGCGGGCCTCGTTCTACAGTGTGCAAAGCAATCATTGCCACGAGTATTATTTGGCTGCTAGTTGATGTCATCGTTTTGCTCCATTATTTGGATCCAGCAAGTAACACAAATAAGGAAAGGTTTGTTTTATAAAAAAGATTTTACGTATTTTTGATTTAGGCAACAACTAAGGGCTGAGCGGCTTGTAGATCGGGGCGCAAATCATAACACTTATGATGGTAAGTTCCCATACCATAAGATGATATCTTAATGCTTGTCTTTAACGTTAGATGACAAGATGGTTGGAGCCAATCCAATGAAGCAACCACGCGGCCCTCCAGCACCACCATCGAACGACTATGTGCAAAAAAAAGGCGTGACCTATAAACCGATCGATTCAAAAGATAAGCTGTATCTCGAGCGATTGATGCGAGGTAACAAATTATGATCAAATAAAAAAAATTATATTTTAGTACCTGCTTTTGACCCATTGACAAAAGATGGTAGCCAAGGGGGTGGTGTGCAGGTAGTTTTGCTTTTTACAGGTTGATTACATTTTCTTAAATCTAGGTTCCATCAAATCAGGAAGAAGAGAAAACAAAGCGATTCAAAGAGAATCAATTCAATGTGGTGGCATCCGAAATGATTAGTGTTAATCGAACCCTCCCCGATCATCGTTCTGATAAGTAGGAACCTTTTGTTGTTTAAATCTAATTTTTAATAGGTGTCGGTCCAACGCAGAAGAATACAAAGTTGCTGATCTTCCAACAGTTAGCATCATCATAGGTATCCTATTATTAGTCGCGTTACTATGTAAATTTATTTGTTTAGTTTTTCACAACGAGGCTTGGACGACTTTGTTGCGAACACTACATTCAGTCTGTAATCGTTCACCACTCGAATTGATTCAGGAAATTATTTTGGTAAACTGCTAATCAACAATTTTTTTAATGCAGTAATTTAGGTTGATGACATGTCTGACCGGGATTATTTGAAGGGACCATTAGATGCCTACATTAGGCGTTTCAATGTATGTCATTTTAAAAAATATCAAGATGTATTACGATTTTCCAGGTGCCGATTAGAATTATTCATTTGGAAAAGCGGTCGGGGCTTATTCGTGCTCGTTTGACTGGAAGTGAAGCTGCTTCGGCTAAAGTTCTTCTGTTCCTTGATGCGCACGTGGAGGTATGCTATGCTATTTTGCATAAAGGCTAGCCTGTTATAGGTTACTGATGGATGGCTTGAACCACTTTTGGATCGGGTTCACAAAGATCGAACGGTACATTAAGATTTATCGCACTTTATCTTCAGTTTTAAGGTTGTGGTTGCTCCCATAATCGATGTTATTTCGGATGACGATTTTGAATACGTCACAGCTTCTGACACTACATGGGGCGGCTTCAATTGGCATTTGAACTTCCGATGGTAACAACAAGTTGAGACTTTATAGAGAAACACTTTGTTTAGGTATTCTGTTCCACCAAGAGAAATGAAGAGGCGTAATCACGATAGAGCTACTCCAATCAAGTAGTTTATGGCAGAGAAGCAGTAAATGAATTCTTTTAGAACACCAACGATTGCTGGTGGATTATTTGCTATTGATCGCTCATATTTCTACGAAGTTGGAGCATATGATGAAGGAATGGAAGTTTGGGGTGGCGAAAATCTTGAGATTTCTTTCAGGGTTAGTTTTTGGTTGATCATGGAATGAAATTGTTTTTGTTTTAGGTTTGGATGTGTGGAGGATCGCTTGAAATTCATCCATGTTCTCGCGTTGGCCATGTGTTCCGGAAGCAAACACCATACACTTTCCCAGGGGGCACCGCAAGGGTGAGTTGCATGCATTTTAGCGCATTATTAGGTTGAAGAAAAAGTTCTGATTCAACTGCGAAAAATTCAATTTTTATGCATTTTTTGCTGGTTTTTCGCGCTTATAGTGTTGTACAGTCCGGACGTTGCCCCATCCCACTACGGTCTCTTCCGATCATTGCAGCATTTCCTGAAAGGTCGCCGATTCGAGTCATTTGAAGAATTTGAAGAAGCTTGCCAAGAGTTCTTTGATTCAAAACCGACGGAGTGGTACCTCGACCAGATCCGAAAGCTTGCAGATCCTTGGACTAGTCGTAGATAATGATGGGCTATACTTTGAGGAATAGTTGTTGTTATTTTTGTTATTCAAGTGGGCATAAAAATTGAATTTTTCGCAGCTGAGTCAGGACTTTTTCCTCAACCTAGTATTTTAATGATTCTTTAGGTTATTCATCATAACGCGGCTCGTACTGCTGAAGTTTGGATGGATGAATACAAGGAGTTCTTCTACAAGATGGTCCCTTCGGCAAGACGCGTTGATGCTGGTGACATGACCGATCGACGAAATTTGCGTGAACGGCTGAAGTGCAAAAACTTCAAATGGTATCTTGAGCAAGTGTATCCAGAGGTGAGCACCTTAGTTGCCACCATGTTTCAATTAGTTTAGTCACCAATCCCCTCTTCGTTCTTGTCATTGGGGCAAATTGCAACAGCTAATCAGCAATGTATGGACACTGTGGGACAAAAAGCTGGAGGACAAGTCAAAGCTGGTCCTTGTCATGGCCAAGGGGGAAATCAGGTATTTAGCCGTTTAAATACATCTTATATTTTATTCAGGCTTTTGCTTTGTCAACGAATGGAGAATTGCGTTTTGATGACCTTTGTTTGACATCAACCGGAGGTTTGTTTTAACATGAACTTTTTTTTATTAAACGCTTTCATTTTTATTTTAGGCTTCTCTATGGACTCTGGTGTCAAACTTGAAAAATGTTCAACGAATGGCAAGCCAAATACAAGACATTTGTGGAAATACAATTCGCAGGTACGTATAAACGAATTGAATGGCTTGCATTGCTTTTTATTTAGAATGGTCAGCTGATCAATCAAAAAAGTGAACGCTGTATTTCGATTGCGACTGAGAATCGGCTTGTGCTTGCAACTTGTACTGAGGTATTAAGAAGAATTGAGCGTTGAGTAATAAATTTGCTAGTAGCGCCTAGCGTAGTTTTAAAGATCCTTAATTTTGGGATGGAGCGGAGGGAAGAGATTTTTGAAAAAATTAGTTTGAAGGCAAATTTGGTATTTTGCTTCTTTTAGACCGAAGAAACGCAACGGTGGACGCTTGACGCCTACAAAGGAGAACTGACTGCTGATGGTCGAGAGAAGGAATAACTTGTCAACTTGATTTCTTTAGGTTTTTCTATTGAAATCCGCGTGAGACTTTCTCAATTCTTATCTTTCCTAATAATCCCGTGTGAATTTACATATCATATTTGCATTTCCTCTTGATCTGCGCGCATGTATTTTTCACCAGATCTTTCTGTGCCTTTTTGACAGAATGTTTGTGCTTTTGTTTTGTTTCTGTTGTTCGAGGTCTTTCCTCTTTCGTCATAATAACTTTGGTTGTGTAGATCTTCTATGAACTCGTTGTGATCCCTGTCTACAGGTTGTGATGGTTGTATCTTTGTTTGTGATTGTGACTATCATCAAAATGGGTATTACGTGCATAAGTAATAAAATTGTTTTTGTCTATTTCGTAACGCAACACATTTAGGTAATTCATATAGAACATTTTATGGTTATGGAGCTATATTAGAACATCTTACTTGCGATTGACACAATCATCAAAAAAATGGGTATTACATAAATAATAAAATTATCCTTGTTTACGACACAAGAACACACAGCTATTGCAATTTATAGAAACAATTTTTCCAAACAATGTGCCTTTTGGCGTCTTTATTTCGTAAAGCTCGTAATTTCGCACATGTTCTCGATTGCAGACGATAAAAATCTCCGTTCATTGTTTAATTAGAATCTCCGTGTAAAAGGGATACGCTCTCCCTTTTCTCATATTCTTTCATATGTTTTCGATTTGCATCTTGTTTTGTGACACCGACATTTTGAATCACAGGCCAGTGGGGAAGAGAAAGAAAAAGAGAATCGTCGAGACGCGACGAGCACTCGACAACTCTTGGAGAGTCCCTTTCTCTCCCCAAAGTGTTTGGGGGTGCTGGCTTTTTGCTGTCCATTGGATTCCCATGTACTCCTTATCCGTTAACGTTTTTCTTCTCTCTATGCCTCAAAGCTTGGTTTAAATTTCCCTCCTCTTTTCATAATGACAATGTTTTACACTATATTTTTTTATAATGTTAACATCTTTTTAAAAAATACAAATATATTCAGATCAATTGATTCCTTCAGCTTAATGTGAGAAAAAATGGCAACTACTGGAGGAGTGCTTTCTTTTGTGAAGGGAATAGATTTCTCGAGAAATGATTTTTCGGTAGATTTCTTGAAGATATTAGATAAAATAGCTTTTATTGCAGGGTGATCGATTTCCTCATGAGTTGGAAGCATGCACGCAAATGACATGGCTTAAATTGAATCGATCACAATTGGAAAGGGTTTGTAATTAAGCTTTAGTAAAAACACAAGCTTTAGAAAAAGCACTAGCGCGACAGCATTAGTAAAGCTATTGTTAAAATTCCCGAAATTTTGTAGAGCCGTTAATTACAAAGAAAAAAAAAGCAGCTAATATGGGGCTAATTTCAGGTCCCAGATGAATTATCGAGGTTGACAAATTTGGAACATTTACAAATGTCGCGCAACTCGCTCACTTCCGTACACGGAGAGCTTTCTGATTTACCGAGACTTCGCTCGGTTATTGTTCGGCATAATAATGTATTGAAATAACTCTAAAATGATTCTATTTCTTTTTTTTTTAGATAAAAACTTCTGGAATTCCGACAGATATCTTTCGAATGAAAGATCTTACAATCATTGATTTCAGTCATAATCAGTTGCGCGAGGTTTGAAACTTTTTGAGATCCTTTATGAAGATTTCAGGTACCACCAAATTTGGAATATGCTAAAGGGGCGATTGTCATGAATTTGTCCTATAATAATATAGAAAATATCCCAAATCAGGTCAGTAACCGAAATAGAAATCATTTTTTTGAAAAGATCATTCAGGTCTTTGCCAATTTGGTCGATCTTATTCATGTGGATCTTTCTAACAATAAAATTGACATGCTACCACCGCAGATTCGAAGATTAACCCTTGTACAGGTGATATAAAAAGAGTTGGCCATGCAATGACCACAAAATTTTAGGTTTTACTTCTTTCCAACAATCCGATGTCTCATTTTCAATTGAAGCAATTGCCAAGGTATATCATGAGACTTTGCACAGCATTCTGAAAGAACAACATTCAACATTTTAGCATGAAAGCTTTACGTGTGCTTCATATGCGAAATACAAATCGAACTCTTGATAACATCCCGCCAATACTTGATGATCTTGAGAATTTGATGGTATTTTGTGATGGCAAAGCAGTAAACAATGTTTTCAGGATGTGGATTTCGCTGAAAACAATTTGCCGAAAGTGCCAGAAGCGTTGTATAAGTTGAAAAAGTTGAGAAAGTTGGACTTGAGTGGGAACAAGGTAGGCTACACAAATAAAAGTAAAAAGCTGTCGATTTTATAGATTAGTAAAATCGAACTCTCGGATGGCTTTTGGGAATCACTGGAGACATTGAATTTGTCCTCGAACGAGCTCACCGTACTCCCCGAAGGAATCATTCGAATGACGCGATTGCAGCGCCTTTACGCCAACAATAACAAACTCACATTTGAAGGTTACATACATTTCGAGTTCACAGTCAATTGCAAACTTCAGGAATTCCTAGCGGAATTGGAAAGCTGATACAATTAACCGTTTTACACATGTCGCACAATAATTTGGAGCTGGTTCCTGAAGGATTGAGCAGGTAAAAATGCCAACTACAGAACATATACAATTCTCTGAATTTTCAGATGTGTCAAGCTTCAACGCCTCCGCTTAGATCACAATCGACTTTTCACATTGCCCGAGGGAATTCACTTGTTACCAGATTTAGCCGAATTACATTTACATGGGTGAGTAGAAGTTAATGTTTTTTTATCGGAAAATCGAATGTGCAAAATTGCTAACAATCTTGTACAGCTTGTAGCTTGCTTGTACAGCTTGTAGCTTGCTTGTACAGCTTGTAGCTTGTAAGCTTGTAAAAAAAACATGCAAACTAGACATTTTTTAGAAATGAGGACTTGGTGGTCCCACCGAAGCCAAGTGAGAAACGTCGAGCTCTCGCTTTTTACAACATTGATTTCTCGTTGCAAGGACAGGTTAATATACAAAATCTATCAGAAACAAATTCTTCAATTCCCACAACCTTTTTTTCCTTGCCTTATTTTATATTCATATCTAGATACTCGGCGGGGTTGCGAGAGAACACAAAAAGTTCTCTATATTCTATTCTGTTTTAGATATTTTATAAAGTAGCAAACATTTAAGCAATAAATCTGAGAAATTAGTAAAAATATAAAAACGAAATGATTCATGTCTTTGGCTGCGTTTTTATCTCTTTTTGAGCTGATTTTGTGAGCGCCCCTCCTTGTCCCCCAAGGGAATAATTTTTACCATTGGTCGCAAAAGCATATTTTCTTTTCGATAATACATTCCCTTCTCCCTCTTTAACTTTATCCACAGCTTTCATGCCGTTCTCGAAAAAATTCTATTCGATTAGTTTATACGACTATCGGACACTGTTTACGGATCGAAAAAATGCGGAATCGATTGATCTTACGCTAGTAAACTTTTGTTTTTTTGTAGGCCCAGCTAGAAAATGATAAACAACAAAAATAGGTCAAAGTTTTTACAAAACTTTCATTTACTGCTTCATTTGCTTCGTTAGCAATTTTGAGCTAGCGAAAATGGCAAACAAAATGAAACCAAAATCATAAAGATTAGCCCACTTAGAAGAAAGTTATGCCGAGTTGCGCAAACGACCCAGTTGCGCAAATGACCCTGTTGCGCAAAAAAAGTTGCGGAAACTAGCCTACCCCGTCAATTTGCTAAATTACAACAAGTTTTTTAAATCCTAATTTCTGCATATCTGCATAAATATTCAGCTAGATATCAAAATAATTTTGTGGTTTTAGATGAGAATGGTCGGACAATTGAAGAGTGAAAAAGAGCACTCGTCGACCTCGTCGATCGGCTCGGCGCACAAAGATGTGGTACAACGCAAAAAGGTTGGCATAAAAATATAGGGCACTTCGACTCGCAATAAGTAAATTTTCCGACTTTTCATGAACACTTTAATTTACCTAATTGATAGATTTGTGGGTTGAAAAAATGAGAGATGAAGAAAATGAAAATGAAATTAGAGAAACTGTGGCGATAGATTGATTTCAAAACATTTCTGGCTCATTTACTTCTTAAAACTTTTCTGATTTTGTAATTAGTTCGTGGGAAAATGCGATTTTGAACTTTTTGGCCTTTTCTATTGGTTAAAACTATTAGATTTTCAGCTTTAATTATTTCTCATTTGATTTAATTACCGGTACAACTGTTTTAAATTTAAGGATTTTATTCGTCGACGTCGCCATCAGGCAGATGAAAACAGCGCAGACAAAGTGATCAAGGTTATTTTTATTTTCTTTAATGATAGTATGATTAGTTACTTCAATGTAGTCTAGAAATAGTTTGAATTATTTGAAATATTATTTGAATATAACAATATCTAACATATTTGCAGCCTAGAACTAGTTTATTAGATAAACTAGTTCTAGGTTCTAGATTCTTTTGATAGGTCTAATTATTGACTTGCCTAATTGATGATCATTTTTAGGGAATGACGAAAATTGCCGGTGCTACAGCTGAAATGAAGGAACGCGAGAGAGAGGAACAGGAGAATGCAGGAAGTCTTTCGAAACCACAAAATTGGAAGGTGAATTTAAATTCTAAACATTTCATGGCTTTGATGTAATTTGAAATCATTGAACGCTTATTTATTTCAAATTTAGGCTCATTTGGAGCGAAGTCGAAATAAATTGGATTACTCGGATATTTTCGAGGAAGACGTTGGAACTTCGGAGGGACTGTAAGTTAAAATTTTATAAGATTAAAAATATTTTTCTTATAAGTGAATGTCAACTGGGTGTGGTGGCCAAATGACAAGCCATATGCTATTTTACTCTGTTTCCGAATCTACAAAAAAGCAAAAGAAAAAAGAAAGTCGAACTGCGGACTCGAACATTAGAGTCCTTGCCTTGTATTCTAGCCTATTGCCACTCGACCAACACTAATTCTTAAGGTCTCTGGTAAATTTGCTTATAAACTCGAGGGATGATTTTTCGAATTTCATACAAAACTTTTGACAGAGTGCTCGATAACAGAAACGAAAAGCAGATTAGGAATCAGTGTAAAATTCTGCATCGAATGGCATATGGCTTGTCATTTGTCATTTGGCTACCACACCCGGTTGATATTCTCTTATTAGTTGGATGTGGGAAATCGACAAGTTTTATCCGTCTTTGATTGAGCCCGAATTCCATGGACAATTCTTCGAGGCGGACGCCTATCTTGTGTTAAACACAACAGTGGTGAGTTAAATACCGTTGGTTTTATTTATTTTTATTATTAATACAGGAGACAACTGGCCAGCTTAAACACGAAATTTATTACTGGCTTGGTGAACACGCATCTTTGGATCGAGCAATGTGCGCAGCAATGCATGCAGTTGGATTAAGGAATCATCTCAATGCCACATGCAGGTAAAGCTCAGTTTATTTGGCTATATTTATTTTTGAATTCTAGAACAACTCGCGAAGAACAAAATGAAGAAAGTGTGGAATTTCTTTCACTCTTTGGTGATGAGATTATTTACTTGGAGGGAGCGCGAACGACTTCTGGTTTCTTTACAGTCGAAAAGAAAGTACATAAGACCAGGTTTTTACAAAGAAGCTTTTTTGTATATTTAAAATTTAGATTATATCGAGTTTCGGTAAACGGTACGGCTATTGAGATGGAGCCGGTGGGCGTCTCCTCTCTATCACTTGACCCACGATACGCGTTCTTGCTCGACGCAGAGAAAACCATTTGGTTATGGAGTGGTAAAAAAAGTCGAGTAAGTATCGATTCGGACAATCAAGATTTTGGGCTAGTACTTTTTTACCGATTTTCAATTTAGATCACTGTTGCAAACAAGGCTCGCCTCTTTGCTGAAAGGATGAACAAACGTGACAGAAAAGGAGCGGCCGCCATTGAGAATTGTTCCCAAAGTCAAACACCGGAAGAGTTTTGGCTAGCTTTGACCGGTAAAATCATTGCATTTTTTTAACTAATACATAGAGTCTAGGAGTATCAACCCCACCAGAAGATCCAATTGTTGAACACGTTCCTGATGATTTTGTCCCAGAAAGGATGCGACTTTATTTGGTACATTTTTGCTTTAAAGATTTATAAATGCAAATTTTAAGGTGCAAATCGGAATGGGTTTCTTGGAGTTACCGCAAGTCGAACTCAAACACGGAGTTGCTAAACAAGTAGATTTGTTCTAATAAAAAAAACTATTTTCTTTCAGGAAATGCTTCAAACAAAATGCGTGTACTTACTTGATTGCTCATCAGATGTCTACCTCTGGACTGGGAAAAAGGCGGGGCGATTACTGAAAATGGCTGGACAGGTTTAAATTTCATGCAACATCTAATTGTAAGGTTTTTTGCTTTAGCGGCTCTTGACGGAATTGTACAAAATGTTGCAACGGCCGGAACACGCTGAAATCATTCGAGAAAACGAAGGAGAAGAATCGACAATGTTCCGATCAAAGTTTGCCTCATGGGATGATATCATTCCGGTTGACTTCACGAGAACCGCTGATTCCGTACAAAGACGAGGTGCCGATACAAAGGTTTGTAAATTTATTGTTTACAACAATTTATTTATCTTTATTATTTCAGATTATTCTCGAGCGCGATAAGATGAAGACAGACTTGACTCATCTTTTCCTCGAACGAAATCCACCGATGTCCAGTACGGATAGCGAAGAACTGTTGAAAGAATGCAATGAAGATCTTGAATTGATTGAAGGATTTGTTTTGGTAAGCATTTTCGGTGATGGCTTTTACAAAATTCACATTTTCAGGAAGGAAAGAAGTTTGTGCGTTTGCCCGAACAAGAATTTGGAACTTTTTATACAACCGATTGTTACGTTTTCTTGTGCAGGTAACTTTAATAGTCAAATTTCAAATTTTCATGCTCGTGTTTACAGATATGCGGTTTACGGTGATGACGATACTGACCTCGAAGATGAAGAGGAAGCAGTGCGTTTACACTTCAGTTAACTTTCAATATTAAAAGTTTTAGCCTGACGAGAAAGCTGACGATTTCAAATGTGTCGTTTATTTTTGGCAAGGACGAGAGGCGAGCAATATGGGATGGCTTCACTTCACGTTTAGTTTACAACAAACATTTGAACGTCTTTTTAAAGATAAACTTGAGGTAGTGTGATAGCTTTATTATTAAAAACATCTTATTATTAAGGTGGTTCGTATGCATCAGCAGCAGGAAAATCACAAATTCCTGGCTCACTTCAATAAAAAGTTCCTCATTCGATCTGGGAAACGACGCCCAGCGAAAGGCGAAAAACCTGGTAGAAAGCAAATTACTTAGCTCAATTTAAAGTTTTTGTAGTTCCAAAAGTTGAACTTTTCCATATGCGTGCAAACGGATCCTCATTGTGTACGAGGACAATTCAAGTCAAAGCGAAGTGAGTTTTCGCTCTTTGTTCATAATTATTTATATTTAGAGCCACTTCATTGTGCTCGGGCTTTTGCTACATTTTGCACTACGAGCCAACCGAGGAAATGGTAGATGACTTAGAAAAAACTTGGGTCTGGATTGGAAATGAGAGCGATGTGAACGAGCATACACTTTTACAAGAGGTAATAGAAATAATTTGTCATGTTACTTTATGATCATTAAGGAATTTAAAATATATAAAAGAACCGATTTTTAGATCGCTGAAAAAATGATTCACCAAGAAGAAACGTCTGTGGAAATTATCAAAGAAGGTGACGAACCTGAAGAGTTTTGGGAACGGCTAGGAGGTAGATTGGGAGCAAGAGTTTGATAACTTAAACTTTTTAGGTCACAAAAGATACAAGACTGATGCATCGTTTATGAACTACACGCGTCTCTTCCGATGCTCGAATGAAAAAGGCTATTTCTCTGTATCTGAAAAGACTGTCGACTTTTGTCAGGTGGATACTCAATATTAACATATTCCATTTGTGGCTTTTAGGATGATCTCAACGACGATGATGTCATGATTTTGGACAATGGCATAATTGTATACCTTTGGCTTGGCTCAAAGGCGTCTGATGTGGAGATCAAACTTTCATACAAAGCCGTCAATGTACTTTTGTTTTTTTTAAAATTTTTATCATCTTTCAACAGGTTTACACGGCCCATCTTCGAATGAAACAACCGGATCGACCTCGTACAATAATGGCCACGCTCAAGGTTTGTTAATTAATTATCTAAATTTATTTTCTTTTCGATTATTTACATACATATGTATTATGTTTTAGGGCCGTGAAACACACCGATTCACGAAATGTTTTCATGCATGGGGAAATCACAAGAACTATGCGGTGGAATAGACAATAATTTGCCCTTCTTTCATCGATTTGCTTTTAAATTGTTGCTTCTAGTCATCACATTTCCTTTGGGTACTTTGTGATATGTGCTTCTTAAGCTTTCATATAAGTTATAAGTTTTTGCATAATTTAGGGTTGCTGAATCGAGAAATTTGCTCAAAAAGGTGCAAAAGCACGGGTAGGCTCTTGGTTTCTACTCCGTCATTTTGCTTTGATTTTTGTACATTGAGTTTTTTTTTATCGGAGCTACATGGTTTTTATCATCGAGATAACAATCACTTACATTGTAATTTATCACGTATTGTTTTTATGCAAAATATTTATTGTGTTTTTTTTTGTCTGGAAGTTTATTCCTAACTTGTTTAATTCTTGAGATGACATGACCCTTTGTGCGTTGATTTTTTGTAAAATATCCTTGCGTTGTTTTATTTTATCGTTTTAATAAACCTTTCTTTTTTTCTTATTTTGTTGAGGTGAACGTATAAATGCATATAGCCAATTAAAAAAGTGGCCAAAGAAAAAAAAAACATTGTGGCTATGAAAGGATGGGGAAAGGACGGCAAGTTATTGCGAATTAATTAATCGGATCCACTGGATGCATTGCGAGGATAGAAAAGAGGGGTAGTATGAGAGCCCCTTCCCAAGAATGGATCTTCCCCCTTCCAAAAACCCTCTTCTCCATTCTGAGCTTCCCCTAAATTTCACTGGCAATTTCGTATAAATAATTCTCCCTATCGACAACCCCCAAACCCAAACTTCTCCAAAGCCGATGTTCTATTTTAAACTTTACTTGCCTCGACAAGTTGCTGATACGATACTCGCAAATTCATCTCTCTAAACTTTAAGTTTTCAATGTTACTCAGTTATAAAGCTCAATAACTGACCTCAACACGAAACTAATATTCAGTTTGAAAATTTAGTCACATGTTCGTTTTTCTTTGAAAAGTATCAACCTCTCTTTCGAAATGTCTGGCCATAGATTTGTGGGGATTTTTTCAAAGCAAAAGAAAACGTGGGATTTAGCGAGGCCCACATGAGGAGACGCATTTGGGAGGAAGGGGAGATGGATGGATGGAGTCCCCCCTATCGAATAGCAATATGTGTGTGTGCATGGAAGGAGCCTCAGACCCTGAACACATCCTTTGCTTCTGCCCTTCTCCGTCACTCGCAAAAGAATAAAATAACTCTCTAAAGTCCGCTTCTTCTTCTTCTTCCTCTTTTGCACAAAAAGCCTCCCAAAATGCAGCAACTTTTTCCGGCACCCCCCTCCCTGCGCTTATATGCGGGGACTTTGTGGCACGGGATTGGAAAGAATCGAGAAATTCGAACCCTCACCCTCCCATCGACCATCACGACTCCACTTTTGCTCTCCATCCCTGCCTTTCCTGACATCGACCCTTCACCCCTTTCATTCCCCTCTTCTTCTCAATGTTTCTCAATTCTAGCACACATTTGTTTTCCGGGCTTTCCGAGGCTTTCCGAGGTCATTTCCGCTCTCATCAATGTCGTTTTATTTGTTTTTATTTGTTTTTATTTATTTCTATGGTCAGGAATTTTTGACATAGATCCTATTAAAATTTTTGGCATTCTCTCCTTGTAAGAAATATATGTTTATGTTTTGATCTATATAATTTCTTGTGAGACCGTGTCTCGGTGTGGTTCAATAGTGGTCTTCTTGAAGAACGCACAATTTATCCAACTTTCCCTTATTGCCCTAATAAGCCTAATAACTTCGCTCAAACTGGAGCAACTTGACACTATCACAATTAAGTCAACACTTGAATGTGTAAAAAGAAAGATAAAAAACAAAAAAGGAGAACAAAAAACTCACTCAAAAGCAAAGCTTAAAATAATGGGTTTTTTAAGTATACAAGCTACGACAAACGGACAGCTGAATATCATCTAGTGACTGATTACGGTAGTTTATCCATCAACTTTGAATTTTAACTTGTATTGAATTTTTGACTAACTGCAGAGCAGTGGCAATTCGCCACATTTTTTTGTTTTTGTTTTTTTTTTTTTTGCCTGGATAGAGTGTTAAAGTATTTTTTTAAAGTCAAGAAAAGGATTTTATTTTATTATTTTGCCATAGGAATAATCCATAAATTAGGCGTAGTTTCGTTTCGAAATCAAGCCTTTAAACTTCAGAAAAAGGAGCGCTTCTGAAACTGGGCACTATTATCAGCTCAAATCTCGAACTTTGAAATATGGAGAAACAAAGGGACAACAAAGGAGAACTAGTAAAAAAAGTTTTTGAATTCAGGTTCAACTTTGTGAAATAATATGGCGTCACATGTTTTTTTCAGGATTTTTTTTCCCATTTTCTCTCCTCTGTGCCCCCTTCCAATTCGGTGGGACTCTCGCGCCGCGCTTTTGCACAAATTCTATTTGGGCAGTTGTGGAAAGGGGGAGGGGTGAAGGATGTGCCCTTCTATCTTGTTTCCTCCAAAAATGTTGGGGATGTGGGCACTCTGTCGACCATCCCATCCGTGTCTCTTCCGAGTTCTTTATCGACTCCTCCCTCCCCCCGACAAACTCCCCGATTCCACGTGAAACTCGTCCACAATTTGTCTTCTTTTCTTTTTTCTATCTCGTTCCCCTCACTGATCGACGTCCAGTTAGCCCCTCTGGCGGGTGAGAGTGAATTTGTGGTGACAACCTTGGCTTTGTTGCCTTAGTTTTTTTTTTGTGTTTTTTTCGATTTTCAACTTTCTCTCTTTTTGAGCTGAAATCTTTCAAAAAGCGTTTTTTATTTGGCTGTCCAGTTTTTTTTCGTTTCTTTTCATACTTCCGTTTAAAATCAACAAATGTAATTAATTGAACTACGGTTTATTTCAGTAGAAAAATCGATTTTTCTGTAAAATCTCATTGAACAATAAATACTTATTTAAAGGAAACTATAGGTTAATTAATGAATATTTATTATTTCCCCTTACCTACATTATTCTATCGACTAGAGGCTGTTCACCTTGGAGACCTGCTGCGGATATGGGTACGATCCGGTACGAGATTCAAATTGGTTCCCTCGGTTTTTCAAGGACCCAGCCAGGCGCACGAGACGCCACAGAAACCGTGACGCTTTACGGAAACAACGTCGCTATCTTCGGCTGAACCGTTTCCAGCGAGTCCGTTCCTTAACCTTTTTTTTTTAACGGATTTATGAAAAGAAACGGAAAGAAAAGAAAAGCCTTTCTGAATAGCCTACAACTCATACACTTTTCTTTTATCGTAAACATATTCAAATCGTAACTCTGAACGGAAAATTTGAATCGAAATTGAAAACCATAGCTTTATGATGAGTGAACTTTCATCAAAATCCATCAAAATCCATCAAAATCCATTGTCCTTTATGTTCACATTTGTGATCGTGTGTTATTTGGTGGTCTAAAGAGAAGCTCAGGGTTCTTTTTGAGATGAAAAGAATTGAAGGGAGGATATCCGTAAAAAATATGGCACATGGGGCACACCACACACATGTCGTCAATCAAACCAACGAAAAAAAAAGAGCGAAAAGGAAAACATTTATCCTCGAAAAAATATAAAATTCTTCCCGATTTTCCCTTTTTTTTTTTTTTTTTTTTTGGTTTACTCTTTAGTTCTTTAATAAAGTATTCTATATATTAGTTCCACATGTGAGTCTTGGAAAGGAGAGAAAATAGGCGATCTCTATCCGTTTTTTTTGACCAACTCTTTCACACGAGAAGCAATAAATCTCGATGAAAATCCGAACAAAAAGCTTCAAACTGCTTCAAAAAGCTTTCTAGGTGAGAATATTGAAATTGATGGTTAAATTATTAATAGTAGAGGGTCTGAGAAGCTTTTTTTGAAGTTTTTCTTTTATAATTGCAATTTGTCAAGGTCTAAGTTGTGAAAAATAACAACAGATGAATTGAGCAAGTTGTCTGGGTTGGGGATTTCCTATGTTTTTGCAGGTGGACATTCCAGCCCGGATGGACATTTGAACGTTGCAAAAAGGGGTGATATTAAAAGAAAAGAGGGAAAGGGATCCGTTGTAAAGATTGAGAGAGACATGCACTCTTGGAGCTGGCTCTCGGCTCACCCCTCTCCCCTCTCCAAAAGCCCTTCTCTTTTTGTGCTACTTTCTTATTTATTTCATCACTGTTCTGTTCTTTTGTTTGCCCCTTTTATCGCTTCTATTGGCCCCATTCATCGCTTCTATTGGCCCTTCACTTGATGATAATTTTCTTTTGATGGCCTTCGATGCCTTATTTACTTGATAGCCTGTTTATATCGTCGTCGGGCTCTCCGGTCAACATGGTCCTTTGGCCGACTGGCTAATAGTCCTGTATCTGAGTCGAGAGGTCAAGGGCTCAATCCCGGCCAGATTATCGGTGCTTTTTTATTTAGTAGATAAGTTTTTTTATCTGCTATACAGCTTTTTATCTTCTATACAGCTGCTTGTGTATTGTTTATACCATTCATGTGAATAGGGGCCCAGAAAGGGAAGGGTCTGTGGTCGACCCCGTCCGATCTGCCAAGTTGAGCAACGTCGGCGCGGGTTAGTTAGTCGTGGGTTCGACTCCCATGGGCTCCCCTCCGAGCGCCCCAGCCCGGCCATCGGAGTATCATCGGCTACGACAACTACACTTCTGCCTCAGTAAATGTGGAAGCGGGTTGTGATCTGCGCTAAGTGCGAAGACAGATCAAATCATTATTTTATTTTATTTTATTCATGTGAATAAATGTCATTTAAAATCAACTAGATCAATTCTCCAAAGAAATTCCTTCTGAAAATGATTCGATTATCGAAATTTGTCTGTCTTTCAAAAAAACGCTCTATTGATCCCATTTCCGGGGTTTAGCTTCGAATTAAATGGAAATCGCAAAAGTTGCTTAACGCTTTGAAGTTTGTGAAAAAGTTTTTATTGAAAATTTTTTGGATACACTTAAAAGAACTAAGCCATCTCATTGAGCGCTCATCTAAAATGTTGATGCTTTCTTCTAAAAAGATCGAAATCACAATGTTTTGCTTGATTCAAATTCTTGTCGAAGAAAATAGCCATCGAAACATTTGCAAATAGATTGCACAGTCATTTTTTTTTGAAAATAGAAGAGCTTATTATAATTGTGTTGAGCTCTCTCTTGCTTTTTTCTTTTACGGTTTTTATTTTATTACTCTTACGATCTATCGTTTTGTTTTTACATTTTTCAACAGTTTTATGAATCTTTAAGCCTCGGGTTCAAATTTTGAATTTAAAATTTAAAATTTTCAATAATTTTCAATAAGTTTTTGCTACCGCAGTTAACCGATGGTTTTGTGAGTGTTGAATTTAAATTTAAATTTACACACTTCAAACAAATTAGATTGTTTTCATTGGATGGTTGGAGATATCGGAGATATGAAGAGAGCCGAATACCTACCGTAAATACCGTAATAGTACCCCACCGCCATAATGACAGTGCGGAGTGTTGCGTAGTCTAGCTTTGAACGAGTTTTTCTCGACACTGGTTTATGCTACGATGCGCGCTTAGGTATCAAAAAATAGCCCTGAATTTCAGCTATTTTTTGATACCAAAGACGCATTTTTTGAAAGTACGGGTGCTTTGAAAAAAAATAAAATACTAAAAAACTTTTGCGACTACGCGACTGTACGAGGGCGGTGGGGTAGTATTACAGTATTTACGGTAGATATTTTGCCATTTATAATTCGAATTTCTTTCTTTCAAAATCCATTTATTTACACCTTGTTTTTGTTCTTACTGAAATAAAGTTTTTATATTTTTATTTTTATTTTAATGCTTTTTAAGGTTTAGATTAATTGGAAAACGGTGATGTGTGAAAAATGGTGAAACTCGACGAGTTCGACATCGAATTGACAAACCCTGAACACGCATATTTTGCTGGACAGGAGATTTCAGGACGGGTAAGTTCAGAAAAAAAGAAATAAAGAAATAATATAATAATATAATAAGATTTACAAGATTTAAATGAAAGTCTAAAAAGTATTTGAACAAATAACAACATACTTGCCACTTTTTTTTAGGTAATCCTTGCCACTAGCGAGCCAAAGAAAATCAACGAAATCCTTTTGGAGATCAAGGTAATATTTCAAGAAAATATTGGGTTGATGAATTGAAAACTGCGGGCTATTGTCATATGTGACAGTTTGAGCCCTTTCTTCAAAAGAAACCCATTTTGGTGTCAATGGAAAAAAAAGACTGAAAAAATAAAACACGACGAAAGACTGAACAATTCTTTGTGGCGGGGTCGTTTTATTGCGTCGGACTACGGTAGTTTCCGACGTTTGGCGCGGAAACGTCGGAAAGGCAAAGTGTACGGTGGACGGTCCGAAAGGCATCTGTCGTCAGAATTTTATTATTTCAAGTGAGAATTCATTTAAATTGATTTAAAGTAAAATGAAATTTAACCCGATTTGTTTAATTACTTTTTTGATTATTATTTTGAATTTATTGGGTTGGTGAATTGAAAACTGCGGGCTATTGTCATATGTGACTGTTTGAGCACTTTCTTCAAAAGAAACCCATTTTGGTGTCAATGGAAAAGTTGTAGAGAATCAAAAATCAAGCTTATATCCAAATTTTCAGAACGATTCAAAAACTGGTTTTCAAGGAATGCCAAATTTAAGAAAGAAATGCGAAATTTTCACAAAACTTGCATTTTAAGCGAAACCACTAAGTGTATCTTTTTGGAAATTTGGCCATAAGCCTAATTTTTGATTCTCTACAACTTTTCTATTGACACCAAAATGGGTTTCTTTTGAAGAAAGTGCTCAAACTGGGACATCTCCAGTCCTCCACTTTTGAGTCTCACACTTGTCTCACACACAAACCAAAATCCTACTAGAATCGAAAAATCCAAAAGAGGAATCCACAAATTGCCTGTAAAATGGGCAGAAGTCGTCAATAATAATGGAAATTATTTGGAATGAATTCATGGTTTTATGTTCAATAAATTTTAGTTCAAAGTCCGGCAGTTTTCCAATTCACCAACCCAATATTTTAAAAAGATAAAAAAAATGAAAACTGAATTCAATTCGAAATTTCGTAGGGTCGAGCACGAACGTATTGGACGAAAGATCGAGGAAAATCGCGAAAGCACTGCGCCCACTCGGAACCATATTTCCTTGAACAGTTCAACACGAACTACACACACAAATTTGGTGCCGCCAACGAGGTTTAACTTAAACATTCAAAAATGATAATTAGAGGCTCGAGATAAACCGGTTTAGGAGCGAATATTGCCACCGGGACATCATGAAATCCCCTTTTCGTACACTCTCCCCAAATCTCTTCCCACTTCATTTGAAGGAGAATTCGGATTTGTTAGGTAAATGAAAATGTTTTACAAAATCAAATAACGATTTCAGATATACGATAAAAGCTCTTTGTGAAAGGCCATGGGATTTCGATATTGTGGCGAAGAGGGCATTTACTGTAATCGGTATTGAGGATATCAACAGTGAGCCAAAGGTTGCTTTTGTAAAAAATGACAAGGGAAGATCACAAAGCTGAGGTGGCCAAGCTGAGGTGGCCAAGCTGAGGTGGCCAAGCTGAGGTGGCCAAGCTGAGGTGGCCAAGCTGAGGTGGCCAAGCTGAGGTGGCCAAGCTGAGGTGGCCAAGCTGAGGTGGCCAAGCTGAGGTGGCCAAGCTGAGGTGGCCAACTAGGTGGCCAGCTGAGGTGAGCTGAGGTGGCAACTGAGGTGGCCAAGCTGAGGTGGCCAGCTGAGGTGGCCAAGGTGGGGGCCAAGCTGAGGTGGCCAAGCTGAGGTGGCCAAGCTGAGGGGCCAAGCTGAGGTGGCCAAGCTGGGAGGTGGCCAAGCTGGGTGGCCGCTGAGGTGGGCTGGGTGGCAGCTGAGGTGGCCAAGCTGAGGTGGCCAAGCTGAGGTGGCCAAGCTGAGGTGGCCAAGCTGAGGTGGCCAATGGCATCAGTCATCTACCATACGATGCTGAATTTTTATGCTGATTCCGACCTTGCTATCCGTTTTTGCAATATTATTTGGAATGAATCTGACAAACAAATTTGAAACCAAAATGAAAACAAAAGGAAGGGATCGAACCCGAGCAAAGACTTGGTCGCTCGTTTCGGAAACAAGACTCTCACCCACTACACCACAAGCTCAAATTTCGAGGCGGCGAAAGAAGCCTTCTATAGGGACTGACTTTTGATTTCTAATTTGACCTTAAACTTGTGTTTTTTTCGAATCACTTTGTAAAAACGTATAGCAGCATTGGAGTCAGGGTAAAATTCTGCATCGTATAGTATATAGCTGATGTCATTTAGCCTTGTGAGCTTATCACTATGTGAATAACTTCAATTTTAAACAATATTAGATCGATTTTCAGTTGTGCGAGCCAGTGACCTCGTCGGAATGCTCGACAGCGATCGCGTGGTGTTGTCGAGGAGCCGGCTCCGTCACCGCCGAGATCTCACTCCCAAAAAGTGGCTACACACCTGGAGAACCTTTATCAATATCTGGTGAGTTTCTTTCGCCTAATTGGATTGAGATTGGTAAATATTGGCTTTGGGATTATTCCCAATTTGGGATTTTAACATTCTCAAAGCAGCAAAAAAAACCAATAAACAGCAACCAATTACCCAAGAACAATAATCCCAATAAACAGCAACCATTCCCAATTTGGGATTTTAACATTCCCAAAGCAGCAAAAAACCAATAAACAGCAACCAACAATACAACTTTTCATACAACTTACAACAATACAACAATACAACTTTAGGTAAAGTTTCTAATGAGAGTAGCCGAACGAAGACGGTTTCCTTTCGATTTGTTCAAACGATCCATTACAAGTATTTCATAGTTTAAAAACAAGAAAATTTAAAATTTTCATTTTAGAGCGAAAACCTTTGCGGGTCATGAAGAAATGAAAGTTCAGCAAAGGGTGATCGCAAAGATTCCAAAGGTGAAACAAAGAAAAACAAGATAAAAGGAATAAAAGGAAATATTGAATTATTGAAAATCCATTAATATATAATATATATGTCGTAGCCGATTATGAATTTCAGCCGATTATGAATGAGTGGGTCTAGGAGCGTCCAAACATCAAGTATTTAGTATCATTCAACGCAGAATCATTGATAATTATGTTAAATTTTTAAAATTAGAAAGATTGGATAAAAAGAACACAAATTAGAGCAAAAAAACTGTTTGTTCAAGAGAAAACTTTGAAGCCCCATAATTTGTGTTCTTTTTTCTCTTTCTAATTTTAAAAATTTAACATAATTATCAATGATTCTGCGTTGAATGATACTAAATAATTGATGGTTGGACGCTCCTAGACCCACTCATTCATACCCGGCTGAAATTCATAATCGGCTACGGGGGTCCCGCCGATTTTGAATGAAACGTTGTAGCGCCGGCAATTTTTAACCTAAACTCACAAATTTGGTACCAATCGACGGAGAATTGAATTCGCTACAAGATGATATAATATTGTCCTCATACATCAAAGGGTTGCTCTACTAGAAAGATTTGCCAAAAAATTTCATTCATAATCGGCTACGACATATAGATTGATATATAAAATGAACTAAAAGTTTTAGGGTGATGTGGGCGGGCACGAGACTCGTTCTCTAGCAGCTTTACTTCCACTCCCTTCATTGTGCCCTCGATTAGGAAAATGCCGAATAATTTCAATTGCTTATACTGTAGAACTTGAAGTAAGCAAAATTTCTCAAAAATAATCTTATCAATATAAAATATTTTTCTAAAAATTAGGTGAATGACGTGCACGCTTCAGTGCTTTCCATTTTGGGGGTGACTTTTTAGTTCATTTGATCTTTGATTATTGAAACAAACACGTGTAGTTTGTTTTTGAATGCACTATGAGCGATCTTCTGTGAATATATCTAAAAATTTTTGGCTCAAGCTGCACGTTATCGCTTTTCCTATTAGTTTATTGGTGTACAAATAGTTATAGATTAGATGAGTTAAAGAGAGTTTTTTTAGGTGGATCAAACAGTGACCGCTTCGGTGCCAATCGTCATCGGTGCAATACCATTGTTATCAGAATTACTTTCACATTCGAAGCATCGAAATGGGAAAGCAAGAGAAAGTGTTGAACAAAGAGAGAATCGATTGGATAGCAAAGATAATGAATCGGGAGCTGTTCAGGTGAGAGAACCAAATTTGTAGACAAAAGGAACCAAATCTGTAGAGAAAAGGAATCAAATCTGTAGACAAAAGGAACCTAATTGTAGACAGAAGGAATCAAATCTGTAGAGAAAAGGAACCTAATTGTAGACAGAAGGAATCAAATCTGTAGACAAAAGGAACCTAATTGTAGACAGAAGGAATCAAATCTGTAGAGAAAAGGAATCAAATCTGTAGACAAAAGGAGCCAAATCTGTCTAGAAAAAGAAACCAAATTTGTAGACAAAGAAGAAAAGGAACCAAATTTGTAGACAAAAGGAACCAAATCTGTAGACAAAACGAAAAATGAACCAAATCTGTAGACAAAAGATTGTAGAGATGTGGATTGAAGAATACTACAATCCATAAATACTCTAATACGTTTAAACGAGTACGAAAAGGAATGAAAAGACTTTCTCGACAATCTAATAGATATAAAGAAAAGATTTCTTTATTATCATCGAGATTTAGGTGACAATAACGGATGAAAGTGGACGCACGGTGGACTCAGTGGAAGCGGATGCGCTTTCGTCGGAACTCGACGCTCTGTTGTCGGCAAGGAAAAGAGTCCGAATGCCTTCATCGATCCTTTCCGAACTCTATCCAACGCTGCCTAGTCCCTATTATCGGTTAGTAAGCAAGCAAGAAATTCGTCAGAGAATTAGTTTTTCCATTCCCAACTCGGATCAAGTTTTAAAAAACGCATTACTCGCGAGGAACACACTCTATCAAGACACCGTACTTTCTCTAATAGTAGTGCATCCTGAGCTTCGCCTAAATTCCTCGAAATCTCGAGAATCGCTTATCAGAACCTATCGATATGGGGTCGGGAAATGTAGCTGACGATGAGATCTAGTGGGGGATTTGAGTGTTGAGCTTTTGTGAAAACTTGGAAACCGTAAAATAGTCACCAACTCGGCTCGGCCGCGGTGCACTACTATTAGAGAAAATACGGTATGTTCCTGTTAAAATGGTTTTGCTTGGTTTAATGATTTGAAACGACCACCAGTCTGCTATAACTCTGCTCATCAGTCTGCTCATCAGTCATCAGTCTGCTATAACTTTAAATGCATTACATAGTCCATATTTGAACAGCGTTATATTCTAACAAAATTTCTTCAAATTTTACTTTTAGAGAATCATCATTTGGCGGTGTGGACATTTCTGACGAAAAAGAGAGCTTTCAATTCGGCGAGAAGAATTTCACCCCAAAATATCCTTTCTATACCGATTGAAAAGTGCTTAAAAGCTTTAGAGAAATGTTTTTTGAAATAATTTCTAAATAAAAGCAATTACATACCATAAATACTGTAATAGTACCCCTCCCCCCTCGTACAGTCGCGTAGTCGCAAAAGTTTTTTAGTAATTCATTTTTTTCAAAGCACCCGTACTTTCAAAAAATGCGTCTTTGGTATCAAAAAATAGCTGAAATTCAGGGCTATTTTTTGATACCTAAGCGCGCATTGTAGTATAAACCAGTCTCGAGAAACACTCGTTGAAAGTTAGACTACGCAACACTCCGCACCGTCATTATGGCGGTGGGGTACTATTACAGTATTTACGGTAAGTTTAAATTATAAAAGAAATTGATGAAAAAGAAAGAAGAGATGAGTTTAAAATGGAATAAATTTTAAGCCATCTTTTTTGACATTACAATCTCCTCTCTATGGTTCTAAAATAAACAATTTTCTAAACAAAAAATCCGAAACTTATCTATTTCCAAATAGCTGAGCTTTACGATAAATAATTCATTGTTTATTTTTCATAATTTTTGTTATTTTGTCCGTTTTCTGGGGATTTTTCTCTTGTTTTTGTTGTAAATACGATTTGAGATTAAAAAAATAGAATTTTTTTGGTTTTTTTTGGTTTTAATAGCAAAAAAAGATAAACATTTATTAAAAACAAATGAAAGTGAATAAATCTCAAGAAATTGATCACAAATTTAAGAAGAAAAAAAAGGAAAAGAAAAAGAAAGAGAAAAACAAAAGCGCCCGTCTCATGTCGAAAGGCTACCAAAAGATTGTTTTTTGGTTAAGCCTAAAAGATTGCAAATGGAAAAATTGATTACATAACTACCGTATTTCTTCGAATAGAAGACCGGGTAAAGAGTATCATCGCGTACTCCTGCGTAGCAGCAATTTTTAAAGCGCGTAGCAGCCCTTCTTTCCTGCATAAAAGCTTTCAATCAAGTGCTATAGAGCTGGAAAATGGCTCAAAAATCTGTTAGCTCATGTCGTATTTTTGAGTCATTTTTCAGCCCTATAGCACTTCATTGAAAGCTTTTATGCAGAAAAGAAATTTTAAAAAAGGCGCTACGCAGGAGTACGCGAGGGAGACCGGGTAAAGAGTATTATCGCGTACTCCTGCTACGCAATTTTAAAAAGGGCTGCTACGCAGGAGTACGCGATGATACTCTTTATCCGGTCTTCTATTCGAAGAAATACGGTATACAGAAATATTAAATAAGAATTGAATGTATCCTTCTTTCATCCATTTTTCTAAAAGACACTTAAACTACCGTAATCTGGTCGCAATTTTTCATTGATTAAGCCTTGTGATTCCTCGTCGAATTCGACTAAAATTTGAGTGTGATCCAATGAAAACTAGCTGCTTGATTATGGTAGTTTCTTTTTAAAACAATTATCTTTTAGATATTGTAATGAGAAATATACTTTAAACAGAAATCTCTAAACATAAATCCCTAAATATCATCAAAAGTGGGCACCAAAATGAGCGGAATACTGAAAAATGAAAAAGAACACCGTATAATTGAGGGATAGGACAAATGCGACCTTTTTTTTTGCGCACCTGGACATTTGCGCACCTTTTTTTCGCGGAAAAAGACCGTAGAGCTTCAAAAATGTTTTCCCATAAGGGAATCGTGTGCGTAGATTCCGAATTTCGACAAATCAGACATTGCTGACACGTAAAATTTCGGCCAAAAAGGATAAACTACGCGACTTAACGCTTTTCCGCAGTTTTTGTCTTTTAGCCTAAATTTGACGTGTCAGCGAGGTCTGACTTGTCGAAATTCAGAATCTACGCATACGATTCCTTTATATTAAAACATTTTCGAAGCTCTACGGCCTTTCCTAAGGCCTTTTCCAGCGAAACAAAGGTGCGCAAATGTCCAAGTGCGCAAAAAAGGCGCAAAAAAAGGTCACATTTGTCCCCACCGCCTATGATTGAAAAAAAAAATAGTATTAATGAGCATTTTTGTGGAGATGAACATCCATATTGTAAGATGATGGCACAAAGAAAATAAGAATAAAAGAGAAACGATGGGGAAATCTTTGTGACTAGCAATCCTCATTCTCAATATCTCCCCGTGTAGGCGAATCGGCTCGGCTGAATTTAGAAATTTGTATTTGAAGTTTGGAGTTTAAACAAGGAATTGTACTTTGTGCGTAAACGCATCCTTTCTAGCGCACTTGAGATCGAGTGCGACAAAGATTGTACGTTTGTTTGAGCTTAGAGTTGTGCCCCTATCAATCTGTTAGTTCAATTTTTTTGAATTGTTCAATTTTTGAGGCTTCACCAAGTTTTGAGGCTTCAAGCCTAGTGAAGATGCTTCTGAGTTAGATAACAATTGTGCTATTTAGATTAAAAAAGAATCTTATAACAAGATTGAAGACCTGTTGATAAGCGGTGAGATGAGGGCTTTGTCTTGAATGATGACTTCCTGATGGAGATGTGTTTTGAAGATTCCAATAAGAGCCATATAAAGAAACACGACCATTCTAAAAAAGGACATGAAAGGGTTGAGGTTGAGAGTTATCAAGGTTATCATTGAGTTATCAAGGTTATTATTGACATTTGTGCTTTTAGAATTCGTGACTTTAGGGTTTAGTTTAAAAGAATTTTGTAAGAATTGAGTGTGACAGAAAGTGCGTTTCAATAGTTCAAACTAAGCCTCAAAAAGAAGTCTAATTGTAAATTTGATAGCTGATATGACTCACTTGATTATAAGCATTCATTTCCGCACTGATACGAGCCGCTTTATCAAGATGATCCTCATAGGAAGATCCATCAATCTGTTGACTGTTTCTCTTCAAATTATATCCACCAACCGGTCGAACTGAATACGATGGCCCGTATAAAGTATGCAATCGCTCCGAAGATCTTCTGAAATTATTAAAATATAACTTTAAAAGAGATCTTTACCTTCTCTTGCAAAAGAAGAATAGAACAATGCAGAGAAGGATCAACAACCAGGCGGCAACGATTGAAGCCGGGATGATTACTGCCATTCCTACAAATTTTCAATTACTTTATCTTTTGGAGGACTCACGGCTTGCAGCAGCATTGGCAGCTTCATGTTGTTTAAAGGGATTATCGGGAACTGTTGGTGGAGCGGTCACTAGTCCTTCTTTTCCTCTTCCACTCAACACTGTGCTTGCTTCTTTCAAAACTTTCGATGATCTCGTCGGCTGAATGAACTAATGATTTTTAATGATTAAGTCTAAACTTACAGTTTTAGTGGTGAATACAAGGAAGTGATTTGTTTTATCAGTATCACTGGTGCCAGGACGATTGGCAAAGAGAAGTGAAAGATCAATGGATGAGGTGGATGAGGTGGTTGGGAGATTCGGTGTGGTGAGAGGTTGGCTCTCCTCTTCAGGCTCTCCAGTCACAATGCTTGGTGGAAATTCATCACTTTTTCTTCCCAAGTGCATGTCAACAATGCGATCGCGGAGATCGATTGACGGGGATTTGCTGGTTGTGATTGATTTGGGGATTGGTGCCGAGTCGGTCGTTCCCGGTTTCTAAAGGTTTGAACAAATTTGTGCGTGTTTTTATGCAAAACATATAGCGTTGAAGCGGGAGCATAAAACAAACCTCGGCAGTGATTCGTTTGATTTCTTTTGGTTGCTGAGGTACAGGAAGATCAAAACGGCCCTAAATCTCATTTTTACAAGTTAATGCCAAATAAGCACCTCATTTTGTCTTGGTGGAAACGGTTGAATAGCATTCTCCTCTTGATTTGGTATCCTTGTTACTTCAGTAATTGTCGGAATTGTTGGGAATTGTTTATTGTGTTGAATCGGGTTTTCCTTAAATGAATTGATTTTTCATTAAAGAAAAAGGCTTACTGTAACTTCAAGGCTAAAATCGGGTCGTTGCACTTTCTGTCTTTGTGTGAAAATCTCCGGGATCACGGTGACAAATGGTGGAAAAGTCACCTGGAACGTTGTGTCTACATGGCCAACTGGCTAAGGGTGTTGTATCTTAGTCGGGAGGTCAAGGGTTCAATCCCATCGACTGGAATTTTGGTTTTGGTTTTTGAAATTTCTCACCTCAAAGACGTCTGGCGGGATCTCATTAATATCAGCATCAGAAATCGAAACGAGAGGTCTGCAATGGAAATGAAAATTGAATGCAATTGATAAGTTTTCTCTTACTTATGAGGTGTGCTATTGAAAGCGGGTCTTGGTTTTTGTGTGGTCGGTTGATGAGTTGTTATTTCACTAGTTCTTATTTCATCGACTTGTGGTTGCTTCGGAGAAATCGGTGACAATTTCACAATCTCTGGTTGAATGAAACGAGGTCCGGGTAAAAGTCGTTGTTCTAAAACTTTTAAAATCACATCTTTATCCGAGTATTGTCACCATTGCGTGTCGTTTGTGTCGTTGTTGGTGATCGGGTGGTCGTTGTTGTGGTTGTAGCCTTTTGAGTGGAGATTTTTCGACCAGGTGGAAGGGCTGCAAGGGTAGGTGGATGGCTCTAAAGTTGAAGAGCTTTAAAGGTAATCCCTCATTACAAACTTGATCTTCAACTTCACAATATGGTGGTTGTTGATCGGATCGAACACAACCGGGGACAATCTCTTGATCAACGCGGAACAACCAAACGCCTGAAATTCATTTTGCTGAAAGCTGAAAGCTGAAAAACCCGGCTAATGGGGGGTGGGGCGTTTCTGGTTACCGTATTTCCTCTAACTACATAGTAGTGCACCCCGGCGAGCCGAGTTGGTGACGATTTTACGGTTTCCAAGCTTTTGCAGAAGCTCAACACTCAAATCCCCACTAGATCTCATTGTCAGATACATTTTCCGACCCCACATCAATAGGTTCTGATAAGCGGTTCTCGAGATTTCGAGGAATTTAGGCGACGCTCAGGGTGCAATACTATTAGAGAAAGTACGGTAGTCGTGGCGTGGCCGGGAGCGGGCATCTCTACGGCCCACATGATCCGGGTTCGACCTATCACTACTGCCAGTCAACTTTCAATTTTTATTTTAAATGGCACAATTATAATAGATTCTAAAGTTTTCTAAAGGAGTTTGGTCAAAATACGACCGAGAAAAAGCACGTACAGACGGACGGACAGACACTACTCTTTTATATAGTAGATATTACCAGGTTGCTTAACGTTTGTAAGCTGTGTGAGCAATTCGATTCCATCAGTGCCCGATCCAGGAAGAGAGATTGAATTTGATGGATCGGGTGAGACGATACCCGCCTCAGCTCCTCGACTCCATGAGAGATCTTTATACAAAAGTTGAGCAAAAGTCGCTTGTGAATCGCTTCTCAAACGACCCGATGTAAGCACACATTGAAAAGTGTTTCCTTTCTATCAAAAAATGATTTGTTTTTAAAAGATTTAAACTTTTAAAAACCTTATTCTTTCCATCAGTTACATTTTTGTAAGAAACGATGAGCGCTGATTCGACTTCAAATGGCTCTTCAACAGCTCGAGAAATGCTTTCAGCGATCTTTTGTAAAATAGATTGATCTGAATGAAATTTATTGTTTTGTTTTGTTTATTTCAAAGAGTTTAAAACCTTTAGCTTCAGTGATTGTGACTGAACCACTCTTTGTGAGATCGATTGGCGCATAGAAAGGAGCGATTCCCGAAACGCCGATATCATCCAAATGGAAAAACTGAAAGGATTTAAGAAATTGAAAAGCTTAAAGATTAGTCTTTAGGCTTTTAAAGGGAAAGACATCTAAACTGTACAAGAGGGAAAGACATCTAAACTCTAAGAATGTTTTAAAATATTAGTTTTAACCTGAGAATTTCCGGGTAAATCATTAACAGCAATCAAGCCATTTGATGAGATTGTTATCGAGTTTCGTAGCTTTCCAAAAAGACGCATTGCCGGTACAAGAGGGAAAGACATCTAAACTTTTGTTTTTAAAGTTGAGAAAACATTTCTCTAGTTTACTTTTGTATTTTTTCCTTTCGGTAATAGATTTCTTGATTGAGAAGAGTAAAGAAGAGCGGGAGAGCAAGAGACAACGCCATCACCTGGAATTCAGAATAAACACAAAAGAAAATGACTCAAATGTAGGCTTTAGGCATTCAAGGCTGAATATGTATTCAAGAAACGCTTATATTTACCAGTAAAACCTTCATTGCATTGACAGAAGAAACGACCGGGTGTGTTTGTGCATGTTGCCTTCTCGTGGCAAATTCCTTGCTCTTTACACTCGTTGATATCTAGGAGAATTATTTTTTTTCAACAATCCTTTCTTTTTTTCCTTTTGAGTAATGTGTTTTCTAAAAGGCAATCTATTTTTTGAGAAAACTATCGTTGATAAAACGTTTGTTTAAATTCAAGGGTAAGCTAGTTTCCGCAATTTTTTTTTTTGCGCAACTGGATCGTTTGCGCAACTGCCATAACTTTCTTCTAAGTGGACCAAAGTGGAGAAAAGTTCCCGTATGCTAGAATTTTAAGTGGGTAGAGTGAGTAATTCGTTTTCTAAAAAGCATCTATTTAAGAAAACTATCGTAGTTGGGGTAGGCATTTTTTGCGCAACTCGCCATAACTTTCTTCTAAGTGGGCCAATCTTTATGATTTTTGGTTTCATTTTGTTGCACTTATTGAGATCTACAAAATGAAACCAAAATCATAAAGATTAACCCAATTAGAAGAAAATTATGGTGAGTTGCGCAAATAACTCTGTTGCGGAAACGAGCCTATTCTTACATTCAATCAAGCTAATTTTGATATAATTGACTGAGCCTTGTGATTCTTTATCAAATGATACAAAAATTTGACTAATAAAACGATTTGATTACGGTAGTTTTCTTAAATAGATGCTTTCTAGAAAAAGAACTCTGTTAGCGACGAAGCCCGGACGTCGATTTAGCACCTTTTTTGTGTGCGGCTGATTAAGCTGAAAATTTGCACCAGGAAGTTTTCAGGTTCAAGAAATTCGAATCCGTTCTTAGTTTCTCAGAAAACTACTCTATTTTTGGAAATTTCATTTAGTTTAATTGCCCAAAATTCGTTTTTTTTTCTCTAATTTGGTTTAATTACGCAAGTTTTTAGAGTTTTTTTGATGAGCGTATTAGCTTGGAAATTAAGGCTAATTAAGGCTAATTAAAGCTTAAAGTTTCTTAAAAACTAATAACGGATTTAGATTCTCTATCCTAGAATTCCATGGTTACAAATTTTCAGATCTATAGCTAACATATTGGGTTGATGAATTGAAAACTGCGGGCTATTGTCGTATGTGACAGTTTGAGCACTTTCTTCAAAAGAAACCCATTTTGGTGTCAATAGAAAAATTGTAGAGAATCAAAAATCAAGCTTATATCCAAATTTTCAGAACGATTCAAAAACTGGTTTTCAAGAAATGCTAAATTTAAGAAAGAAATGCCAAATTTTCACAAAACTTGCATTTTAAGCGAAACTACTAAGTGTATCTTTTTGGAAATTTGGCTATAAGCCTAATTTTTGATTCTCTACAACTTTTCTATTGGCACCAAAATGGGTTTCTTTTGAAGAAAGTGCTCAAACTGGGACATCTCCAGTTCTCCATTTTTGAGTCTCACACTTGTCTCACACACAAACCAAAATCCTACTAGAATCCAAAATCCGAAAGAGGAATCCGCAAATTGCCTGTAAAATGGGCAGAAATCGTCAATAATAATGGAAATTATTTGGAATGAATTCATGGTTTTATGTTGAATAAATTTTAGTTCAAAGTCCCGCAGTTTTCAATTCACCAACCCAATAGATAGTCGGAAAGGCAGCCCAATCTTTTAGCTTTGTCTACCAAAAAAGCTATAAGTATTCAACTCTCACCTTCACACTTTTTATATCCATCTCCAATGAAACCGGCTAAACACTGACATTTCGAAATAGGTTCCCCACATCTGAACGACAAAAAGTAGACGTTTTATCTTTGAAATAATACCGATCCTTTTCCGTATAGGACAAAGCGTTCAAAGCACATGTTGCCTGATTTCTCGATTTGCAATTCTCTTTCTCTAAAATTTCAATCATTTAGGGGAAACGTTATTCTGTTACTTGTCGAGCAAGCAACACCCATCCAACACTCGCCACATCCACTCTTGCAGCCACCATTCACCGCATCACATCCACCCTCGGCACAATGACAACACCCATCACAGTCGGCTCCCCATTCTCCCGCCGAACACTCTACATCTTTTAATAGCTTTAAACATTGTGCATTTAAACCTTGATCACAGGTGTCTCCTTTAAAGCCCGGCTTACAACGAATCACTCGATTCACTCCCAATTCGAACATCCATTCGCCCGGGATTCCCGTATTTCCATATTCTTCCAAGTACATAATATTTTCAGAACCTAATAAAAAAAAAAGAGAATGCAATTAGAGAATTAATATAAAAAAACCTGAAGATGGTAAAGTAAAGTGTAAACCCGAACCATCTCCATTATTAAATCCAGCCTAAAAAGACTCACATATAAAATCAATATCATATCAATTCTCTTCTTCTTTGCTTACCTCAGCTCCTTGTGTCCAGCCAACGTTACTGTAAATGAAATTTGCAAAAGTCTCATTGTCAGTAATAAAAAGAGCTGCTTGAAAAGTGTTTGTATTCTAAAAATTGTTAAATTTGATTTTATTTCTTCGTACAAACGTCAGCGGGAAGAACCGTTTCACCGAGTGGTTGCATCTTTTCCCATGTAACAACAATTGCTGATTTTACCGGAAATTTCAATTTTTAAATCGAAAATAAATAGCTTACACTTACTTTGACATTCTTATCATATTGATATCGAATCTCGGATTGTCCCCGTTCAAGCACTCGACCACCTAATACCGTATTCTCTCTAATAATAGTGCGCACTACTATTTTTTCAATCCCCTCCTGGACCGCAATACTATTAGAGAGTGCACTACTACTATTAAAGAGTTTTATCATTTACCAAAGTAAGACAGTTATAAACTTTATTCCAAAAATTCTTGCAATTCTTTCATGTACTCCTTTGGCTCCTTTTGACATACAGTTGTGGGCCGGCGAGTTGAAAATTTGTGTCTTGACAAACAACATTTGTGTCTTGACAAACAAAAAAAAGAGATTTTTTGCACTTTGCACAACAATTTTAGATTTTTTGCTAACTTTTTAGTTAGCAACTTTCTGCTAACTAATAAATAAATAAAAAAAAGCCTCACTTTTGCTTGCTTGAATAGCTTTAGAATGTCACATAAACATAAAGTCAAAAAGGTTTAGATGAAAAAGAAGCATCAGAAATTCAAATTTTCGAGGCTGCACTATTTTTTCAACCCCCTCTCGGACCGCAATACTATTAGAGAGTGCACTACTATTAGAGAGTGCAATACTATTAGAGAGAATACGGTAAATCAAATCTTAAATGCGAAAAAGAAAAAAAACACAAACTTATCACTTCTCGATACCAAACATGCCCTCCATTCCTGAGATCATTTCGATTCCAAAACGGTGCAATCAATTTCGATCCACCCAAGAATATATGAGTTTTATAAGAACGAGAAGCACTTTCAAAACCGATTCCTCCATTTGAAAGTATCTAAAGGATTTGTTTCAAAAAAAGTTTCTTTAATCTTTCTCACATAAACAGTTTTAAAGTTTTCTCCATAAAATTTGACTGATTGATGTAAATCGAGTTTCTTTCCAACATCAAGTGATCGAGGGATCTAAAATTGATTTTAAAACTTTAAACTTCTTGATCTTCTCAACAAACTTCTTGATCTCCTGCTTCTTGTCCATAATCGAAAAGTCGAGAAGAGAAGAGTGGAGCTGTTACCTAAAAGTGGGAGTGGAAGAGTGCAGCTGTTACCTACCTACCTACCTACCTACCTACCTGTTACTTTTTGATTAGTATTGTTTTTTTGATTGTTTATTAAGTAAATATCTATTTTCTACTTGAATTTGTATCTCTTTCGGGGTAGCAAGTTGTCTCCTAGATCGAGCAAGCGTCGGATCTCTTCGAATCGCTTCTTTCAATCGATCCTCCTCAATTTCTTCTTCGATGCTAAACATTTTAAAGTCAATTTTCTTCCGTAAAATTTTCCCCAACCGTAATCTAGCAGCTATTCTTTCAGGATCGAGTCTCATCGAGTGAACGGTGAAGACGAGAGTGACCAGAGTGGCCAATAGGCCAATGGGCCCCATCTTTTTCACCTAAAATACTTAAAATAATCTAGATTTATGTAATAGGAATAGATAAAAGAATAGATAAAAAGGATAAAAAGGATAAAAAGGATCAAATTTAAAGTAAATATTAAACAGTAAACATTAAACATTAAACAGTAAACAGTAAACAGTAAATATTAAACAGTAAACAGTAAACATTAAACAGTAAACATTTAATAGTAAAATAAAGTGGAAAATAAAAATCAGGATAAAGAAAAGAGGTGTGAAATTCTTGACCAAAGTGTTTTCTGAGCGACATACACATCAAAGTTTTGACCGAGATAAGAAAAAAAAAAGAATTTGATATAAAAGAATAGATGAACGGAAAAAAAGGGCCAAGTGGTGGTTCAAAAAAAACTAAAGAAAAACCCTTAAAAGGTTATGATGAATGTATTCTCCCTTTCCCCCTTCTAGCTCTTGACATCTTTTCAACTATCTTTTCATGTACTCGTAAAAAGCAAGCAAGAAAGAAAGCAATGATTTAATTGAATTGAAAAAAAAAACGTGAAAACAATCCGTGCAATCAAAAAGAATGAAAAAGAATGAAAAAGATTTCAAGTTTGTGATTGAAACTGAAGCGATGAGAAACATGCTAACTGGCTCGATTGAAAAACTTGAAAAACTCGGCTCTTTTTTGACCAATCTATCTGAAATCGGCTTGTTGAAGAGAGAAAAGAGGCTCAGTTACATCACTCTGAATCGAATCCCTTATTTGCATATGAGAGCTAAATCCAAATCGATCTCTTTTCTTGTTCAGCCTTGTGAATGCAAAAAGGTGTCTAGTAAAAAAAAAAAAGTTTGAAATTGGTATGTGAGAAAAGAGAAATGGAAAAAAAGGTTTGAGCAAAGCAAACTGAATTTGAGTAAGCTGAGCAGTTGATGAGGATTATGATTTGAGAAAGGCCATGTACAGAACAGTGAATAGATTGAGAGAGAGGGCAGCTCTTCAAATTTTGGATCAAGGTTTATGAGGGGAGATGGGGGGACAGGTGGATAGGTTTGTGGAGGGATTGAGTGAGAAATGGAAATGAGCAAAGACAGAACAGTGGTGGGGAAAGGCCAATGGCCCGCAATAATGCGTTAATTGGTCACTCGAAAATCGCGATGCATATTGAAAGGACATGCAGGGAGAAGGTGTAGTTTTGGTTGAGTTTTCGTTGAGTTTTCGAGAATAGTTGTAAAGGTCTTAGACATAGATGTAAGGGGGAAAATTGAAAGAATTCAATTCAAGAGTGATGGAATTGTTCGCTAAACGTTGATCCAAAGAGATCCAAAGAGATTTTTTTAATAAATTTCAATGAAAATCTTAATATTAAACTGTTCAAAATGTTGAAAATTTGAAAAAAAAAATCAAAAATTTCATTTTGATTAGTCTAATTTCATTTGTAAATGTTTAAAATTCAAAAAAAGAAGTTTAGATTAGAAAATCGATTTTGTTAAAGCTTGACTTACTAGGAGAAAGCTATTATTGTCAGCTGGTATGAACAACCACAGCGGGAAGCATTCATTTGAGTAAAGACTACTCAAATATTGTTGGTTCTCTTTTCTGTTCTGTAGACATGGTATCGCATTGTTTCCCCTCTTTTCCTTTTCTATCCATCTATTCTATCGTCTCAAATTTCAACTATTTCACCCTCCTTGTCCTTTATTTGGCATCGACCGGTAAAACAAAAAGGTTTTGATAGCTAAAAACAAAGTTTAGAAACATTTTTAGATATCTTTCTATAAGATTCTGGTTTTTTAGATCTATTGAGTGACGGTGCTCCTGAAAAGAGTGACGAGGAGAATTTCTTGAAGCGTCTTGAGGGTATCTCACCGCCTATCGTAACCCCGTGCTCATTTTGGAACAATAATAAACGCCAGCTAACAAAGTGCATAACAGAAAACGATTATGGTAAAAAATCAGTTCATAATATTGGGTTGGTAAACTTGAAAACTGCCGGACTTTGAACTAAAATTTATTCAACAAAAAAACCATGAATTCATTCGAAATAATTTCCATTATTATTGATGACTTCTGCCCATTTTACAGGCAATTTGTGGATTCCTCTTTTGGATTTTCGATTCTAGTAGGATTTTGGTTTGTGTGTGAGACAAGGGAGACTCAAAAGTGACTGGTGGACTGGAGATGTCCCAGTTTGAGCACTTTCTTCAAAAGAAACCCATTTTGGTGTCAATAGAAAAGTTGTAGAGAATCAAAAATTAGGCTTATAGCCAAATTTCCAAAAAGATACACTTAGTAGTTTCGCTTAAAATGCAAGTTTTGTAAAAATTCGCAAATTTGGCATTTCTTGAAAACCAGTTTTTGAATCGTTCTGAAAATTTGGCTATAAGCTTGATTTTTGATTCTCTACAACTTTTCCATTGACACCAAAATGGGTTTCTTTTGAAGAAAGTGCTCAAACTGTCACATATGAAAATAGCCCGCAGTTTTCAATTCATCAACCCAATATGTTAGCTATAGATCTGAAAATTTGTAATCATGGAATTCTAGGATAGAGAATCTAAATCCGTTATTAGTTTTCAATCTAAATTCGCAGTTTTCAATTCACCAACCCAATAGATCTAGAAAAATGAAAAAACAATCAAAAGCTTAATAAAAGCTGCTAGATAAAAGATCAAAAAAGAAATGAAAATCATTGTTGGTTTAGATGTTTTCTTTAAGAAGAACCGACTCATCTAAAAGACTGAGAAAGGGTTTGAGAAGAAAGAGAGAACATCTAGACAATACCAACGGGTCATCCAGGGTCAAGGTGTCTCCATTGAACCCACCCTCTCTCCTCATTCCATTCCTCTCTTTCTCCATCAATCATTTATTTATACTTAACCATTTTTAACTAAAAAAAACTTAAACACTGTAGTTTTCTAATAAAATATCGGATGAATAGGCTTCAAAGAAGGAAAAACTTTCCAATCTATTCATTCATCGATGGGTATTCAGGAAAAGTGAATGCCTGTCTCCTTTGAGTGAAAAGCATCATAAAATGTGAGAGAGAAGGCGTAAAAAGCTTTTTTTTTGTTATTTAGAATCAAGTATTCAGACATCTACCTCATTCGGGATACTTTTTGTGAAAGAAGAAAATGTAGAATAACAGATAAAGATAGCTTTCAGGTAGCTATCAAAAAAGATAGCTTTTAATTGTATATATACTTTATCCGACAAGGAAAAGTGACAACGCAAACAGATTGAACAGCGTAGACGAAGAAAGATAATTGATATACACCTACAATTAGACACGTGTATATATGATATTAAAACTAATTTAAATTGACGGCAGTCGGCTTATATATTGAGGATTTAAAATAGTTCAGAGACGAAAAAATATCACAAGGTAACTTATTCCAAATTGAAAGATTGAATAGAAAAAGATAGCTTTCAATTGAAAGATTGAAGATAAAAGAATTTCAATGGTTACTAGGGAAGATTTGAGTTTGTTTTCTTGTTTCAAAAAAGTGAATCAAGAAAAAAGAGAAGAGAATAGTTCAAGACATTGAAAATTCGCGGACCCGCTTCGTCCTTGACATTTTAAGGTTTTGGAAAACCACTAGAGCACCGTAAATGGGAAACCGTAAACGAAAAACGAGGCAAGTGTAAGAAGAGATTGCATATGAGGATTGCTCAATTAGGATAGTCATTTTTTTAAAAACAATTTCTTTCATTTCAAAGATTCCTATGAAAAAAAGGAAGATAAAAAAAAGCTTTGAGGTAACAGTATTTCTTTTTCTTTATTTCTTTTGAGAATTTACTTTACATTACATTTACATAAAGATTCCTGTTCATCCGTCACTCTCAGAACTGTCTTTTATGCAAATTCCCTAACAAAGTATAGAATAGATGATGAAAAAAGAAATATCAAAATCAAAATCATTGAATTAAGAAAAATTCAAAACCCTTTTATGTCATTAATGGTTGGTTTGAAGAATCAGAAGTCTCGCTCTCATGACCGCCATTTGTGGTTGAGGAAAAGTTGAGAAAGAAGAGAAAGAAGAGAAAGAGAAAGAAGAGAAAGAAAAGAAAGAAGAGAAAGAAGAGAAAGAAAAGAAAGAAGAGAAAGAAGAGAAAGAGAAAGAAGAGAAAGAAAAGAAAGAAGAGAAAGAAGAGAAAGAGAAGAAAGAAGAGAAAGAAGAGAAAGAAAAGAAAAGACAAGGGAACACTTTTTGCCCATTTTCGCAATGATGGTGTGCGGGTTATAGCCAAAGACAGCTCACCTAAACCATTGTCTTTTTTTTCCTTCAGCAATTTCTCTACATTTACATAAAGATTCCTGTTCATCAGTCACTCTCAGAACTGTCTTTTATGCAATACTTGTTATTAGAGAATGGTAAAAGGTAAAAAAGAAACGATAAGTAGAATCTGTCATAAAAAAAGCTTATTAAAAAGTAAATTCACATTACAGGAAGATGAAATGATTAGTGAGATAAATGTAAATTTAATTTCAATAAACTGATGTTGTTTGGAATTGCGAAGACAAAGACGATCATGGCTATGTTGTTGCGAATTGCAAAGACGATTATGGTTATGTTGTTGCGAATTGCGAAGACGATCATGGCCATGGTCGTTCGAAGATGATTATGGCCATGTTGTTGTGAATTGCAAAGACGATCATGGCCATGTTGTTGCGAATTGCGAAGACGATCATGGCCATGGTCGTTCGAAGATGATTATGGCCATGTTGTTGTGAATTGCAAAGACGATCATGGCCATGTTGTTGCGGATTGCGAAGACGATCATGGCCATGGTCGTTCGCGATTCCCAACAACAGCAGTTTCAACACTTTCCGGATTGTTGCTATCACCACTTGAGAACCGAGCGGCTCATCTACGTGCCGGTAAATTTTAAATTCAATGTTGTTAGAAGAAAGATATCGATATTAATTCAACACAGTAGGTGTAGGTAAAAACAAACGATGATGATGATTGACTTTGAAAGTTGATGCTGCGATGAAAGTTGATGCTACGACTAAGGCAAAAGCTAGCCATGAATATGAATCGTTCATCATTAAATAAAAAACATTAAATAAAAGATTTGAAAAGACAAATGCGGAGCTTGGAAAGAATAATGGGAGAGATTTGAATCAAGAAATTGGTGGAATGAACCCAAATCCTTTGCCCTCTTTGAATCTCGCCTTTCTCTCGAGTTATCGCGTCGGATCATCTATGAATTTCTGGATTTGCTTCTCTTTTCTAAATATCTACATGAATATGTTGAGTCTATTATTCTCCAATTTCCTCATTCATTCTTCTCCAAGGATTTCTGACCTGAAAAAGCGACAAGATTTCCATCAAAAGCATCTAGCAATTCTAGTGAAATCACGATTTTTACCACCGAATTTCTTTGAAATCTAATTTGAAATCTAATTTGAGAATACAGAGAATATGTAAATTCTTTTTCATATCATCATGTTTTAAGTTACCGTATTTTCTCTAATAGTAGTGCACCCGGCCGAGCCGAGTTGGTGACTATTCTACGGTTTCCAAGTTTTCACAGAAGCTCAACACTCAAATCCCCCACTAGATCTCATCGTCAGCTACATTTTCCGACCCCACATCGATAGGTTCTGATAAGCGGTTCTCGAGATTTCGAGGAATTTAGACAACTCTCAAGGTGCAATACTATTAGAGAAAATACGGTATATTTCTTTTAAACAACATCACATAACATTACCTTGATGGAATTGTATAGCCAAAAAAATGTCACATTCATTGAATATTAACAAATGAAATGAGAAAAAAACTCTTTGATGGACAATCGAAGCAAGCAAAGACACTCACAATTCAAAGGGTAATTGATCGGTGCTTTTGGAGTTAAAATTTAAAACAACAAAAAAACCAAGGTGTAACTTTTGGAGAAAGAATCAAGAGCTCGACAAAGAAGACAAATCACCAAAATTAAAAATTGAGGATGAATAAATATTCATCGGAAAGAGATTTACTTTTAGATGTGAGGTAATTTTCTTTGGAGAAATACGCGAAAGAAAAGGAGTGAAAGTGCCTGAAGGGAAAAGAAGGAAAAGAAGGAAAAGAAAGAAATAAAGGAGAAGATGAAAGATTGGAAAGAGGAAAGAGGAAACACCTTGTGGATGAAGGGGAGAGGCTCGGATCGAGTCTGGACTCCCATTCATTGATCTCACTCTTTTCCATTTTTACTCTTCTTTATTTAGAGGGCATAAATTGTTAAATCGTTTCAACAGTTGATCTGGAAATCTGGAAATCTGGAAATCTTTTCCAAGAAAATCGATTACATTTTGATAAAACCAAAGTCATAATACTGATTTTGCGAAGAAAAATGCAAAAAAAAGAACTGGGACGAATTGTCCTCGTTTCCTCGTTTCCTATATTTCTTCAGACACACAGTCAAAGCCTTCAAGGCCATTCCCTTCAAACCTTACGCAATCCATGAGATCCCGCATTGATCTCGAAAATCGTTATTACATATTTTCAGTTACTATCATTAGAAAAAGACAGCTATAAAAAAAGATTTACATTCATTAGAGTAGAAGAGAGTTCATTAGCAAAAAAAGCAATGATTTTGGGGAAATGTTAAGTACACTTAGCCAAGTAATATACAGTAATATACAGTGAAGTAATATACAGTTAGTCAGGTTATTGAAAGTTAAAAGACATAGAGAAGATGGAAAAGATGTAGGGTGAAAGAGGAATGGAGTGTGCCAGTTGAATGAGGGTCATCTTCTTCTCTTGTCCCTGGAAGGGTTGTCCATAAAATTCTTTCGAAAATCCATTTTTGAAAGTTGTTTAACCCATTCGAAACCGCAGCGTTTTTTCTTTTTTTTCGTCTACGGACCAAGCCCTTTTTTAACATTTTTGACTCCGAAGCAGTTTATTTATGGTTGGAAAGATGTAAGAGAGTCTCCTACACCATTTATTTTTGATGAAGAAAGATTTGGATTTGACTTCAGTACTTTTCAAGATCCTATCGATTATTGTTCTTATTTTATCGACGACAATATTTTAGTAGGCGAATCTAATAAACATGGAAAAAGGAAAACAAACTGGCAGGATTTCGATGCAAAATCTTTCAAGCTCTTCCTGGCTTCAAATGGGAATCGTCAAATTACCGAGGATTCGTGACTACTGGAGTAGCAGGCCTGGATTAGGAGGATTTTCCCACATGTCCCACATTATGTCAAGAGCAAAATTTGAATCTATTCTTCGCAATCTGCGTTTTTGTGATAATGAACTGGATCCTGCAGGAGATCGGCTTTATAAGATTAGAGCTATTATGGAACATTTCAATGCAAAACCAGAGACTGCATTGATTCCGGGTAAATATGAAATATCTTTTTTGCCCACGTAATTTGTAGATCTGCTACAATTGGAATATACATGTAATGCTGAAAAACAGCAAAGAAAAAAGCAATTAATTGAATGAAAATAGCTCAATTAGCGCTGCAGCGAATAATCGCTGCAGCGGTCCGTTCCTGAGTTTTTGCTGCAGCGATTATTCGCTGCAGAAGTTTCGAATGGGTTAAGAAATAAGGAACGAATGCACATTGTCTATCAACTCATTCTGCTGTCTTTCAAGTCAACTTTTTGCTCTCCAAGTTCGTGAGTACTTTAGAAAGTAAAAGGAAATTTATTTTAACATAAAAGGTAACTAAAAAAAATAAACAACAGAGATTTAAAGGAAAGAAAGATCCTAGAAAAGTGATTGGAGTACAGGAATTGAAAAAATGAATGAAAATGTTTGAGAAAAAGGATAGAAGTCTTTTCTTTGACTTCATTCCATCCTTGTTCCTTCCCTCTTCTTCATTCCCTCCTTCTTCTTCCTTCCCTCCTTTCTTCTTCGATACTTTCCAACTACAAGTCGGAGTCGGAGGTCATTCCGCACCGATGAAAGGCGACCGGTTCTCACCTTTTTTTTCTTTTCTACATTTTCTTCTAAACATCAATTTAAGGTCTTCTTCCAGAAATTTGTTATACACCTTTTGTGCCTTGTGCATTGTCATAAAGACGCTTGCCATTTTTATAAAAGCAGAAAAAAAGCTTTCTGACTGTTCACCTCAAATAAGAAAAGCAAATAAATTTGGAAATAAATAAATCTACAAAATTTATATAAATAATTGAATGAGCGGATCGAGCTTTCAGGACACTTAGAATGTTTGCCCTGAAATGAGCTCAAGTAGGATATTTTGCTCTATTTTCTCCACTTTTTCAGACAAAAAAACTGGTAGATTTAAGGAAATAAAAGATTTTTCGTTAGGAAATAGAAACAAACTTTTAAAAGTTTGTTAGAGAAATGTTTTCAAGTTGGCGATTTCCATGACGATCTTTTGATTACGGTAGTATTGCAAATGACTTACGGTAGAAAAGATGAATTTTTAAGTTGCCCACATTCGTAAGTTAACTTTGGTATGACTGGAGACTACTATTCTATTATATTTATTCAGAAAACTCCTTGAAAGTACAAATTATTTCAATTTCATCCCTTGTTACATCAATTTTATTTTTTTTTGCATTTCTCAATAAATTAGCTTTTATTCTAAATTCTATTATATTTATTTAAAAAAAAAAAAATTTAAAGCATAATTTTGAATAGATGACTATCAAAACTGACATCTAAGATCACATGCGATGGCAGTAGAAGAATAAGGAAAACACAATAAGGAAAACACAATAAGGAAAACACAATAAGGAAAATTCCTTTCAAAGTCCAAAATCGGCTTTTGATCGTTTTAAAACAAGAGTTTAAGGGGGGTGGGACAAATGCGACCTTTTTTTTGCGCACCTGGACATTTGCGCACCTTTTTTTTGCTGGAAAAGGCCTTAGGCAAGGCCGTAGAGCTTCGAAAATTTTTCCGTATAAGGGAATCGTATGCGTGGATTCCGAATTTCGACAAATCGGACCTCGCTGACACGTCAAATTTGGGCTAAAAGGCAAAAACTGCGGAAAAGCGTTAAGTTGCGTAGTTTTTGCCTTTTAACCCAAATTTGACGTGTCAGCGAGGTCTGATTTGTCGAAATTCGGAATCTACGCATACGATTCCCTTCTATGGAAATATTTTCGAAGCTCTACGGCCTTTCCTAAGGCCTTTTCCAGCAAAAAAAAGGTGCGCAAATGTCCAGGTGCGCAAAAAAAAGGTCGCATTTCTCCCACCCCCGAGTTTAAATTGAAATGCACGCGAAAATAATTACCGTATTTTACATGTCTAAAGAAGCGTCGCGTAGTCGTCGTTTCTTCTGCATTAAATCATTTTTTTTACTCGCGAACCTCTAAACCGATTTTGTTCGGGTTTTTTCTTAAAAAATGGCTGTCTCATTTTTCTATTTTTGATTTTGTTTGTTTTTTTCAAAAAATAGAGAAATAAGGCAGCTATTTTTTAGAAAAAAACCCAACAAAATTGGTTCAGAGATTCGCGAGAAAAAAAGAAATGATTTAGCGCGGAAAACAACGACTACGCGACACTTCTCTGTCATAGTGTTAAGAAAAATGCGGTATCTTGTTTTGAAAACCCCAAATTTGCCATCAGAATACCCATATTTGAGAGTGAGAGAGATTTTTGGTGGTTTGTTGACAATTTCAAGGCAAAATCATCTCCAAGAATTGGCTAGAAGATATGGAAAAAAAAAGAAGAAGATAGGAATTAAGAAACGAAACAGAAAAAGGCACTTTTTGAAAGAGAACCGGAAATTTGAGTAAGATATTAAGTAAGATAAAGAAAAGAAAATCGGGTGACTAGTTCCAATCGAGTATCTTGCAGCTCATCGAGGTCGGCGAACAATCCTCGTATTCACTTAGAAATGGATGATCGAGATCACCGCTGAAAACTTTTAAAGTCTTTTTAAAGCTAGTTTTTGATCGATACTGGTGCAAAAGAATGTTGGCTTTAAAAATTGACTCTTAAAATTTCAAGATATCATTTCAATTCAACTAACCGATTTGCTCCTTGTGCCGCGTGAACGGAGAGACCAGGGCCGAAATTTTTCACACACGCACATCGAGTTCCTTTTGCTGTTGGATCAGTGTATTTTCTTGGTACACCAACCTGAAAATTTTCGAATATATAATCATAAGAAGATAGAATTTTAAGATATAATCATTTTATACCGTAACAACTACCGTAAATACTGTAATAGTACCCCACTCCCATAATGACGGTACGGAGTGTTGCGTAGTCTAGCTTTGAACGAGTTTTTCTCGACACTGGCTTATGCTATAATGCGCGCTTTGGTATCAAAAAATACCCCTGAATTTCAGCTATTTTTTGATACCAAAGACGCATTTTTTTGAAAGTACGGGTGCTTTGAAAAAAAATGAAATACTAAAAAACTTTCGCGACTACGCGACTGTACATGGGGGTGGGTTACTATTACAGGATTTACGGCAAATATTTCACAATCTCGACTCACCCAATCCCTCTGTATTCCTCCACTTTTCGTTGAACACCACATTCGACCACCGCTTTCTTTTTTCCATTCCGAGTTGCATGGAGGGAAAACCTGATGAAATGATTGGAAAGTTTACAGTTTTTGATTTTCTTTTCTTTTTTTCTTTCTTTTCTTTCTTTTCTTTTCTTTTCTTTCTTTTCTTTTTCTTTTCTTTCTTTTCTTTTTCTTTTCTTTCTTTTCTTTTTCTTTTCTTTTTCTTTTCTTTACCTCATTTTCTGCAGCTTTTTGTGCTCTCCATTGGGCTGCCACCTCCATTCTCGCTAACACCTAAACTCCAATAATAATAAAGATCTTAAACATAATAAACATAATAAAACATCTTAAATAGTCTTAATATTCTAATATTTTCTGTACTTTTATCGACTTTATAAAGCCCAAATTTTCTTTCCTACTTACATCTTTCAATTCATCAGTCGGATTCCCTTGCGCATCGTAGTAACGACCAGTTACGACGCCGATCAACGTATAGTCTTTCTCGTAAAATGAAACCCAATCTCGGATACCCAACAAGTCATCATGACCTAAATGAATTTAAATCATCTCTATTGTGTTCTAGCTTCTAAAATAGCCATAAAAATTTTTCTTTAATGAAAAATGAAAGATAAAGTATTGATGAGAAACCTAATCCACTCAAATCATCATCATCTAATGAAAACTTAGATATAAAGTATTTATGAGAAACCTAATCCACTCAAATCATCATCATCTAATGAAAACTTAGATATAAAGTATTTATGAGAAACCTAATCCACTCAAATCATCAATGAGACCATTCGGCGTGAAATCCCCAGAGACAAACGCTCGTGATCCATCTTTTCCTGAAAATGATTTTCGAAAAGAGATTTTCCGTATTCAAACCAGCGAAGAATGAATATCCGCCACCCTTTCCATAATGCTTTTTACCTTTGTCGACGTCGTAAACCTAAATTTTTAACGAATTTTTTTCATAAGTCGATCCTCTAGTGGATCCTTGACGTTATCTGTGCTACCCACATTTTACAGACTCCCCAGAGTTTTGAGAGAGTTCAATAGTCTCGAAACCTTTAAATTATCTGTAGCTGATCGTGATCTTGAAGCTCTGATGGATCCTTGACGTTATCTGTGCTACCCACATTTTACATATATTATATCGTGTTTCTTTTTATCGGCCCTTTTCGTGTTATGTGTAATGAATTCATGTGTTTTAATCTTAAATCTAGCGCACTTTATCTCAGGTCCTGAATAAAGTATCTATATAAACTTTTCACGATACCCTTCCAAGAATGGCTAAATAGACGGGTCTTGAGGCTCGAGTCCCATCAAAAAGCAATAGTTGTTCCGGAGTGAACACAGATCGACTCAATCCTGGTGATGAAATCTGAAATCTTTAATTCTTTAATATTCTTTAATATTTTCAAAATTTGAAAATCCTTTTAGTGAGGGTGATTACCGTATTTTCTGTAATAGTAGTGCGCACTACTATTTTTTCAACCCCCCTCCTGCCTGCACTACTATTGGGTTGGGGAGAATGAGTCGGCGCCGAAAATGAAAAAAATGTCTAAAAATTCTATTCGACTTCGTCAAATAATATGCGTTTGATATGAGTAGAATGGTTAACTAATTCTCTACAAAATGACATTTAAAAGAAAATTCAAACAGCGCCTCCGCTCAAGAAAAAGCCATTTTTTCACAAAAACTACAAACTGTGATCTAGAAAAAACCATTGGTGGGATCTTCCTGCAAATTTGGCAACTTAAGTAATTGAATGTGCTCTATCTTTTTTATATAAACACCAAAGAAGGTTTATGTGAAAGAAACTGTTCAAATGATGAGTCGGACTCTTTGCCATTTTAACCAGCTGCGTTTGGAAGTTCATAAACTCCACGAAAGAAAAGCTTTGTGGAATCTCTCAAAAGTGATTTTGTAGAGAAATGGTGGATCCTTTTGATGAAACCAAACGTATGTTTAAAGAAGGCTTTATGTGTGCAAAAAGTCCCTTTAAAGTTTGGCGCCGACTCATTCTCCCCAACCCAATATTATAGACTGCACTACTATTACAGACTGCACTACTATTACAGACTGCACTACTATTACAGACTGCACTACTATTATAGACTGCACTACTATTACAGAAAATACGGTATGTTATTTTTTTGGGGAAAATTTTTGAGAATACTTTTTTCCATTTTGATTGTTTTGCTACACGCACCTGAAAAGCTAGATTTTAGTAACGAGATTTTATTTTTTATTTTATTTTCTATTTTATTTTCTAATTCCCCTTACATCCGCTGTGATTGGAGCTGAATTCTCTTCAACACTTCCACGAGTTTTTCTCGAAAATTTTTCCTTTGTTGTTTCCTGGAAAATGAAATGTTTTGTTTTTGAATAAATAAAACGATATAAAGAAAATGAGCTTTTTTTACCTGTGCTGCATCAACCCAATCTCTAACCAAATCAATCTTTTCCCGCATGTAATCATTCTAGAAATCTTTTCGTTTCCCATTTTTATATCATCGAAAATTTCATACCTCTTCTAATCGATCGAGTAACCAAAAAGTGACATTACTGAAGCCACAATTGTAATAAGAGCTAAGAAATGAGACGAAAGCAATCTGAAAAGAGCAATCTTAATTGATCTAATTGATTTTGTGATAAGATTTCATTATATTGGGTTGAAACAAAAAAATCCGGCTTTTTTTTTTTAATTTTTTTTTTTTAAAAAAAAAAAAAAAAAAATTAAAAAAAAATTTTTTTTTTTTTTTTTTTTTTTTATTTTATTTTTTAAAAAAAAAAAAATATATTCTTTTTTTTTGGAAAAATATAAATTAAAAAAAAAAAAAAAAAAAAAAAATTAAAAAAAATACAACTTATAAAAATTTATACAAAAAATTCAAAAAATATAATTAAAATAATATTTTTTAAATAATTTAAATAAAAATTAAAAAGTAATATTTAAGGGTATTATTATTTTTATAAAAAAAAAAAAAAAAACAAAGCGAAACCCAAACAATAAAAAAAAAAAAAAAAAAAAAAAAAAAAAAAAAAAAAAAAAAAAAAAAAAAAAAAAAAAAAAAAAAAAAAAAAAAAAAAAAAAAAAAAAAAAAAAAAAAAAAAAAAAAAAAAAAAAAAAAAAAAAAAAAAAAAAAAAAAAAAAAAAAAAAAAAAAAAAAAAAAATATTAGTTTTTAGTTTTTAGGTTTTAGGTTTAGATTAATAACGAGAACGAGATTTTGTAGAAACGAGAGCAATTAAGAGCCCTCTTAATTCATCTAATTGATTTTCAATTCAAAAACCATTACAGATTTTTTTAACATCCTTTCTAACAAACCTGACAAGCAATGTATATCAATCCAGTAGTATAGAGAGTGCTTCGGACATGCACCCCTCCATTGCCAGGCATAATTCACCCTAAAAAATGAAATCTTATCACAAAGGCAAAAAGATTTGAGCGATAAGTAGAAAATGGCGAGAAAGACAAGGGTGAAGTCTATCTCGGAGTGACGGTCGAGAAGGGGAGAAGTTGGGCAGAGATTAGAAAAGAAAGGCAAGGGAAGGAAGGGGAAGAAGGGAAAGAAGGGAAGAGGGAAAGAAGGGAAAGAAGGGAAAGAAGGGAATGAATGGGGAGACAGGTCATTGATCGACTCCTTTATCCCTAAGCGATCCCCCTCGAAATGTTTCTCTTTCTCTCGACCCTTTCCCACACTCTAATCACTCATCTATACTCTAAGAAATCTCTACTCAACAAATCTAACTCAATTTTTTTCTTTTCGTAAGTAAACATAGGCTATTTTGAGAAACCAATAAACGATTTAAGACAATATTTCTTAAAATTTATTTCAAAAATGAACAATCAAAGTGAACACAAAATTTTGCTCACATTTTTATGTACAAATTTGGTATTATATGGAAAAATGGGGGAAAATGAATTGTAAGAGATGAAAGTTCTTTTTTTTTTTGCAATAAAATTTGCAGAAAGAATCACAGAAGCATAAAAAAAAAATGAAAAAATACAGGGTGCGGCAAAAGTTCAGACACTTTTTGTAAACGGGCAGTTTGACTTGGAAAAAGCGCGATTTTTGAAAAACTAACACCGGCTTATAAAAATTCAGATATTTTTACCCCCTAATATACTTTTTTTTTACACAAAAATTGCCATCTAAACAACCTTTTGATGAGGATGTTTAAAGGTCGTTACAGCAGTTTTTTTTTTTTTTGCTTTTGAGATTTGGGTGCCCTTCGTAGGATCGCTTGAAAATCTTTCGTTTTTGAGATATAAAATTTTTTGTGTGGCTTGTTTTTGAAGAAAGAAAAAAACTCAGTTCTATCAAATGGTAACAGGAGTTTTTGGAAAAAATTTCATTCTGCAAAGTTTAAGTCAACTTTCGCAAAAATCTTCAGCGATCAGACCGGGATATAAAAAAATTCTCGTCAAAAAGTTATTGAGATTTGAAATCTTTTTATGAAAATGGCTATATTGGGGTGAAATTATCGAAATTTTCAGAATCCGGCGTTAGTTTTTTTGAAATTCACGGGTTTTTGAAGCCAAAAATTATTAGCCAAAAATTACTGCTTACAATTACAAAAAAGTGTCAGAACTTTTGCCGCACCCTGTAGATCTAGAGCACAAGAAAACATGCTTTTTCGATGTCGTTTACCTGATTTTTGATTGAAATTTAATTCGATTAGAGTTAGAAAAGAAAAACAAAACAACAAAAAACAAAAGAAAACAAAAGAAAACAAAAGAAAACAAAGGAAACTTGAGAGAAAATGTCTGACAGTTTAACCTGATGATTTCACTGTTTTCTCTCAGACTTTAAATGCTAATTTTAGTACCATAAGATTAAGAGTTTAGAAGAATAAATTTAAAAACAAAATCAGGACAAATCTAGAATTCTATAGCACATTTGTGAGCATTGGTGATGTGATATGATTTTGTTTGAATCAAAAAAAAAAATCATGGTTGAATCAAAAAAACAAATGGAATTTTTGGTTTTAATAACCATTAACATTTGATATTGATTACTCTAATAGAACTAGAGTATTGATATAATATTGGGTTGGTCAATTGAAAACTGCCGGCTATTGTCATATGTTTGAGTTTGAGCTTTGAGACAAGTGTGAGCCTCGAAAAGTGGAGGACTGGAGATGTCCCAGTTTGAGCACTTTCTTCAAAAGAAACCCATTTTGGTGTCAATGGAAAAGTTGTAGAGAATCAAAAATCAAGCTTTTATCCAAATTTTCAGAACGATTCAAAAACTGGTTTTCAAGGAATGCCAAATTTAAGAAAGAAATGCCAAATTTTCACAAAACTTGCATTTTAAGCGAAACTACTAAGTGTATCTTTTTGGAAATTTGGCTATAAGCCTAATTTTTGATTCTCTACAACTTTTCTATTGGCACCAAAATGGGTTTCTTTTGAAGAAAGTGCTCAAACTGGGACATCTCCAGTCCTCCACTTTTGAGTCTTACACTTGTCTCACAAACAAACCAAAATCCTACTAGAATCCAAAATCCAAAAGAGGAATCCGCAAATTGCCTGTAAAATAGGCAGACGTCGTCAATAATAATGGAAATTATTTGGAATGAATTGATGGTTTTATGTTCAATAAATTTTAGTTCAAAGTCCGGCAGTTTTCAATTCACCAGCCCAATAATATCTTCAAAACAATTGTTTAGAAAATGTAGTGCCTAATCATTTGGAGTTTCTTGAGAAAAGAGAGCCCACAACTCGTCCACTGTTTTCAAGAAGACAATGACAGCGGTGAGATTATCTGATGATCCCTCATCTTTTGCCGCCGCACACAACGCTCCAGCGATCCCTTGATACTCTAAAAGGGTTTATTTTTTGAAATCTCTATTTTATATTATCTCTATTTTATATTATCTCTATATTATTTACCTGTTGACTCATGGCTTTCCACATATTTTTGAATAGTTTCATAGATTTGTGCACTTGTTAGAACATCGCTTACTCCATCACAAGCAAGTATCACAAGGTATTCACCGCCATCTCTCTCCATCTTTAACATATCTGCATCAGAAATGATCATTGGACGACCGGCAATGTCACCTGAACATTTTGTTACAATATTGTGACTTTAAAAAATACCAAGTGATCGAGTAAGATTGAGAATTCCATTGACTCGGTACTCTCCTTGCAACCAAACCAATATTCCACCAGCTGCTTCCACCCGTTTTGCTTCAGACTATTGCAAATGTATAAAGAAATTTAAGTTAATTTAAGTTAACCCACCTCTTCACTAGGTGAATGATCTTTTGTGACTTTTGTGACTTCAGTCGATCGCATCAAATAACCAGCTGAATCACCGACCCAACCATAGCAAATCTCCTGAAATCTCTCGCATTTTTAGCTTCTTTTTAAAGTCGATATGCTGATATCTTGCTCGATAACGAAAATAAATTCTTGTTACCTTTTCATCAACTGCTACACAAACAGCCGTACTTCCACTTTTCCAATGCTCTTTCTTACATCGAATTGCTACTCTTCGATCTAAAAACAAGGAGAAATGAAAAAAATGCTTGTGGAAAACTCGTCCCAACCAAGTTCTTCAAGACTTTGCTTTAGCTTGTCAAAGAGTGCGCCTTGTGTTTCATGGAAAACATCTGGGAGATGAGCAGCTGCGTAAATAGCCACTTCTGCGCCTCCATGTCCATCAAAAACCCCAAAAAGACCCGTTCCATCTGGAAAAACTTTTGCATTCTGAAGTTTTCTTTATAAAGTTCAAAATATCAATAATTATATCAATTTCTCAAGTTTACCATTCTTTCCACCTAACAACTCCATCGTAGGAATGGAAATATGCCGATCTTCCATCTTTTGCCGTCGATTCCGATCTGCTGCTACAGAATAGCGATACTGGGATAGACCGGGCAGATTTTCTAAAAAATAAAAGTTGAACACGCCGGGAATACAAAATAGTCGGCACCGAGATTCGAACCCTCGACCTCCCGAATACCGCGCGAGCCCTCTACCAATGAGCTACACCAACACGTTATCCCCCCGCCGCCAGGCTAGGGCCTTATTCAATACTGAAATTTCCCCGCGTTCCCTTTCTTTAACTCACCGGCAACATGAATTTCCCCATTCAAAACGGAACTCAAAAAAGCGGGAATTGCAGCCACCACCTTTCGACACCAAACAGAAGCATCAATTGAATCATATTCATCATCCTGAAAACCATTTATTTATTTTAGCTAATTCTTAATTTAAACCTTAAATGGTACAGAAACAGTTCGAAGTTCTTCACTCGAAGCATGCGAATCGACGAAAGCTCTCGCCAAAAGAAAAGCGCTCAAATGGGGTAAACCTCTGAAATTCAAAACAAACTGTAAGCTTTTCTTAAACAGATTTAGTTATCAAAAATAGATAAGTTATCGAAATTTTAGAGTTTAAATAAGAATTACTGTTGAACGAGATTTTCAGCGACAAGATGTGCGGCATCACCACGCGCATCATGGGCACTCGTTCCAATAAATGGAGGACGGAAACGAATCACTGGAGCGCCTAGGATTCGGAAATCATTTGAAAATTTCACAATTCACGAAGCAATATTTAACTAAAAACAAACTAGCTTGAGCCTCGGGATTTGGCGGTGGTTGAGGGTTGACGAGCGGTCGAATCTGAGCAATGATTGTGTCCTCATCATCGCCCGTCTCAGCCATTCAAAAAAACGCCTTAAATTTTGTTAAATTTAAACTTAAACTAGATTTCAATACACTAGATCTTTAGAAAGTAAATGAACAGAAAAAAAGAGTTGCACAAGAGTTGCAAACTTTAAAACAAGAAGAAGAAAAAGAAGAAGAAGAAGAAGAAGAAGAAGGAAGAAGAGAAAGAAGAGGGAGAAGGAAAAAAGGAAAAAAAAAAGAAAAAAAAAGAAAAAAAAAAAGAAGAAGAAGAAAAAAAAAAGAAATGAAGTTGGTGAAATGAAAAAGATGAAACGATCAATAAACTTTTACAAAGTTTCTTTGCTAATCTCCGGAAAGTAAAGTTATTTCTCGGGGGGTGTGTGCAATGCAAGCGGTCGAATCTGAGCAATGATTGTGTCCTCATCATCGCCCGTCTCAGCCATTCAAAAAAACGCCTTAAGTTTTGTTAAATTTAAACTTAAACTAGATTTCAATACAGTAAATGTAAATGAACAGAAAAAAAAGAGTTGCATAGGAGTTAAAAACATTAAAACAAGAAGAAGAAGAAGAAGAAGAAAAAGAAGAAGAAAAAGAAGAAGAAGAAATGCAGTTGATGAAATGAAAAAGATGAAACGATCAATAAAACTTTTACAAAGTTTCTTTGCTAATCTCCGGAAAGTAAAGTTATTTCTCGGGGGGTGTGTGCAATTATGAATAAGAGAGGATATTCGGCTGTAGGTGAAATGAGGACATTTCGGGGAAGGGAAAACAGAAAAGATGAGGGGGGAAAAGGTGTAGAGAAAAGAAAATCTTATGAAGAAAGGGGGGGGAAAGAAAAAGAACAAGACATTCCTCTGTACATCTTGTCGGTCTGTCTTTTTGTCCACTTTTCCCCTTATTTCTCGCCTCTTTTCCCTTTTTATTACCCCCTTTTTCCCCGTTTCCCACCAATTAATTCCAATAGATTTGTCAGAAAAATTTGTTTTGTGAAAATTTGTTTTTTAATCTTTAGAATTAATCAGAAATGTCAAAATTTTACAATTTTAAATTTTAAATGTGAAAATGAGAAAATGAAATTGAAATTCTTTATTCAGCACCAATCAAAATGATAATTAAAAGCGTTACGGAAAAGCTCTCAAAACGAAGAGACGTTGATCAAGAGTTGGACCTAAAAAAGTTCTAAAGTGCATTTATGTGCATAAATAAATATTAGCTTAGAAGTTTTTTAAAAGTTTATTTCTTTATAGAGATATTTTGAATGTTTTGAAGAGGAGAAGCAGTGAAATCGAAGAATTTTAAAGGCAATCCACGAAAAAAGAACCAAAAATAAATAATTTCTTGACTGATTACTGATTCTAATTGTATTATACAGTACTGGACAATGAAATATGATATTTGAAAAACGATCGTCACTTTCGCGCGTCTGTAACTCCCTTGTCTTTGAGTTTAAACTATTGGTGTTATACATTTTCTGAAAGCTCTTTTCAAGGGCTACACAATGGTAATATTAATATTTAGAAATACGGTAAAGACAACGGAGTTACCGACACGAGAAAGTGACGATCTTTTTTCAAATATGATATTTCATTGTCCAGTAGTGTACATTATATTATAATTATATCTAATTGTATTATTAAAGATTAGTATTATTTTGTTATTTATTTGTTGGTTACTGTAAAATGCATGAAGTCATGCTAATTTCCACCTACCGTATTTTCTCTAATAGTAGTGCACCCGGCCGAGCCGAGTTGATGACGATTTTACGATTTCCAAGTTTTCTCAGAAGCTCAACACTCAAATCCCCACTAGATCTCATCGTCAGCTACATTTTCCGACCCCACATCGATAGGTTCTGATAAGCGGTTCTCGAGATTTCGAGGAATTTAGACAACGCTCAAGGTGCATGACTATTAGAGAAAATACGGTAGTCGTGGCGCAGCCGGGAGCGGGCATCTCTACGGCCCACACGATTCGGGTTTGACCTATCACTACTGCCAGTCAACTTCCAATTTTTATTTTAAATGGCACAATTACAATAGATTCTAAGGTTTTCTAGGCGACGCTCAGGATGCACTACTATTAGAGAAAATACGGTATCAAAGCCTATAATTTTAGCCCATCAAGCAATTCGAACATTTTAAGAATATTAAAGAATCTAGAAAAAGATAATATTTCTGATAAGCGGTTCTCGAGATTTCGAGCAACTTAGGCAAAGTCTTTTTTGTCTTTCGTTTTGTACAAACCTTCAGCGAGCAAATTGACCTCTTCTCTGAGCCATCTTTTGTGCATTTCATTGTTCATCTCATCACTTCGAATCAACAATTGCTTTGCCACCTCGCACGCCAAAAACTCACGACGAGTCTTCAACAAATCACTAAACAATTTTTATATGTTTATTTTCTTAAAAACATTTTATTGTTTAATAATGTTTACGTAATCTTTTTCTCTTTTCCCTCTCGATTTTCTCTCTCTTTTCGTTTTTTCTTCTTCTTTAAATATTTTGATAATGACTCAGCTCAAAAAAAGACTTTACTGTAAAGAAATTGAAAAGCTTTTTGCGTAAATTCTTAAAACTTTCATACCAAATAATCGGATTTGCCCATTCCTTAAGGAGTGCCAAGTCGTAAGCAATAAATAACATTACAATCTGAATTCAAACCATTAAGAAAAACGGGGTAGGCTAGTTTCCGCAACTTTTTTTGCGCAACAGGGTCATTTGCGCAACTGGATCGTTTGCGCAACTCACCATAACTTTCTTCTAAGTGGGCTAATCTTTATGATTTTGATTTCATTTTGTTGCACTTATTGAGATCTACAAAATGACATCAAAATCATAAAGATTGGCTTACGTAGAAGAAAGTTATGCCGAGTTGCGCAAAAAAAAGTTGCGGAAACTAGCCTACCCCAGAAAAACATTAAAATATTAGTATTAGAATATTAGAAACAAAAACAAAAAAGATTATCAGTTTACATATATAAAAGAATACTTTGATCACCTCTTGATAAATATTGTTTGCCGAAGCGTCGTCTCTCATTAAAACACGAAAGCAAAAATCGAGCGCTTCTTTGTAACGACTTTTGCTGATCGTAAAGAAATCACATCTTCTGTAATATTTAGAAATATTTAGGAATGGGATTCAGTATTATACCTAAAAAAGTTTCTGAAAAAGAGATCAAAACCCTTGAGAAATGGATAAGGATCGTCGGCACCAAGCTAAAAATATCAAATTTTGAATTTCAGTTTTTTTTTCTCAAACCTCCAAACGAACGACACAAGCCAATTGAAAACCCGGTCCACCTAGATTTTTTTGAAAATTTAACTATATTTTGCGTACAGTTGCGTAGTCATTACTGTTTTACTGATAATCAAAGATAAACTAAACTACCGTATTTTCTCTAATAGTAATGCACCCTGAGCTTCGCCTAAATTCCTCGAAATCTCGTGAACCGCTTATCAGAACCTATCGATGTGGGGTCGGAAAATGTAGCTGACGATGAGATCTAGTGGGGGATTTGAGTATTGAGCTTCTGGGAAAACTTTGGAAGCCGTAAATCGTCACCAACTCGGCTCGCCGGGGTGCACTACTATTAGAGAAAATACGGTACTTGAGAAGGGATGACAAATTCTGTGAGAATAAAGATAAACTAAACAACCGTATTTTCTCTAATATTAGTGCACCCTGAGCGTCGCCTAAATTCCTCGAAATCTCGAGAACCGCTTATCAGAACCTATCGATGTGGGGTCGGAAAATGTAGCTGACGATGAGATCTTGTGGGGGATTTGAGTATTGAGCTTCTGGGAAAACTTTGGAAGCCGTAAAATCGTCACCAACTCGGCTCGCCGGGGTGCACTACTATTAGAGAAAACACGGTCTTACAACTAATGTGATAGCTCTCCTCTCGAAAACTACTATAAACTTATCGAGAACTTTCTACAAAATGCATAACAAAAGTCTTTAGAAGCTTGAGTTAACATAAAAATGACAAGTCATCAGTACAGCCTACCGGAATCTGTTAAAAAAGATTTTCAAATTACTAGGCATTGCTGCTTCGTTCCTCAAGACACGAGCCATGAAACTTTCCATTTTCGCTTCACTTTTCTCTTCAATAATATGTGAAATGCCTTGTTTAAGGAGATCAGCAGACCAAGTTGGATGTTGAGCTACCAAATTCTAAAAAAAAAATCATTGAATAAACTAATTTTGATCAAAAATACCTTGCACCAAATTATCAACAACTCGTCAGACACCCATCCACCTCGATGAAGACTCACTTTTCTTGGAGGTGGCTCTGGGATATCTGTAATAAAGCTTTTACAATTACAATTAGATTAATAATAATTTTTCTTAGAAATATTTATTACTTCTTTAACACGTTGACGACAATGGCGTTTTTGCACAAACAATCGCATGGGACAACGTTGTTTTTTTTCGACAAAAAATGTCACCTGACATCAGGTGACAATGTCCCAGGCGAACGAATATGTGTCAGACAGCATCAGGTGACAATGCCGTCAACGTGTTAAGAAGATCGTTAAGAAGATCAATTTTTCTTACTTTTTTGTTGAAGAGCTGGGCTTGCTGTGCGTCGTGGTGGCACAGGTGGTTTCCATTCTGTATTTGGTAAAGATCGTCGATGAAGTAAACGATCTACAAGCTTTATTTTTAGATTTTAAAATTAAACCTAACCTCTTGCCTTTTCTTCATCAACTAATGGCTTATTACGAAGTTTCGGAATATCATCATTCCATCCTAATCTTGGCGCTATGACAGCTCGATGCTGTGGAATCGGGGCTCGTAATGGAGGAGTTGGCTAAAAACAACATTGTACTTTTAACTAATGTTATTTATTCTATTCTAGACTCATTCAGACCCATCCAGACCCATCCAGACCCATCCAGACCCATCCAGACCCATCCAGACCCATCCAGACCCATCCAGACCCATCCAGACCCATCCAGACCCATCCAGACCCATCCAGACCCATCCAGACCCATCCAGACCCATTCAGACCCATCCAGACCCATCCAGGCCCATCCAGACCCATCCAGACCCATCCAGACACATCCAGACCCATCCAGACCCATCCAGACCCATCCAGACCCATCCAGACCCATCCAGACCCATCCAGACCCATCCAGACCCATCCAGACCCATCCAGACCCATCCAGACCCATCCAGACCCATCCAGACTCATCCAGACCCATCCAGACTCATCCAGACCCATCCAGACCCATCCAGACCCATCCAGGCCCATATCTGCCATAAAATTGTCGCCTTTTTATGTCCATTTCATACCTTTCTCCATTCTCTAATCCTTTTTCTAAACGATACAGCTGTTCAATCTCATAAGCTAGATCATAATATTTTCAATAACTAACTGCCAATCGAACTGGAGTAAGCCTTGGCTCAAACTCTGACGATTTCTCCAAGAATCCGCTATCGTCTTCCGATTTTTGTGATTCCTAAATTCTTAATAAAAGTTTGTTTCAAATTTTTGAAACTTTTGATGTTCCTGGTTTTGCATCAAGATTTTCAGACTCAATCTCAGCAAACTTTTCCACATTTATATAGCGATGAATAAACTAAAAAAAATTGAAACTAAAAGAGGAAACTTTGAAAATTACAAACAGCTGCCTTTAGCTCAGTGATAAACGGTTGCTTGTTGTTCATTTGTTCTCGACTCTCGTCAATTTCCATCTCTTTTTTAGCAATTATTGTTTCATCGTCTTTATTACTAAAGTTTTTGCTTATATATAAAGATAAAGATATAGCTAAAGTATTCAACCTGAGACTCATCGGTGTCGGTGTCACTTCTTCGTCTTCTTCTATTGGTGAACGGAGTGGAGTGAATGACTGAAATTTCAAAATTTCAAGATTACCATATAAATATAAAGCTTATAAAGCTACCGGTTTATCAATCTTTTTATTTGCAAGTTCTTCAGCGCTTGTCGATCTTCGCAATAGAGGAGTCCCATTGAAAACTTGTTGCAATTGCTCGAATTTCGTTTTTCCCAATACAACAGAAGCTACACTTGTCACTGGTGGCTTTTCTTTCTGCTGATCAAATAAAATTGATGAATAAAACAAGATTGAGTTTACCTTTGGTTTCATTGTTGCTATTAGATTGAGATCCGAGTCATCCATTGATCCAAAGGGAAGTTTTGGTTCGGGTGAATTCGGGTCATCGATTGGGTCCATTAGGAAAAGATCATAGAATTGTGATTCTTTTATTTCCAAGATTTCCTTTAACGCATCTGTTGCTGTCGGTCGTTTCTCAAGTTCTCGAGAGCAGCAACTGCAAAGGAAAATTGTCTTTCTATTTCAGTGTTTATCCTTACCGAGTTATGAGATCAGCGAGCCGATCTCTGCATTTCGGCTTTTCCAACGGATCACCATAACAAATTCGAAAGACAAGGGTTGCATGAATAGCTTTTGGACCTGAGTAGACGATTCTGAAAGTTGGGAAAGTTTGGGAAAGTTTTAGACTTTCAATTTCAGCTTCTGGCAAATCAATGTATTGGGTTGGTGGAAAAGTCGTTTCCGATTTTTTGGGAGAGTACCTTAAAGTTGTCGAATTTTGACGTTTTATAGCTCATCCTAAAGCTGAATTCAAGACGGATCGATTGGTAAAAACCGTTTTTGTGCGAACTTTGGCTGGACAACTTTTTTTAAAAGCAAAAACGAAGGAAAATCGCGAAAAGCGGCGGAAAGGCTATTGATCTGAGGGTGGCTGGTTCGACTTCCACCGGTGACAATATTTTTCAAAAATTTTTTGCTAAAATTTTCAAAAATTCAAAAGATTCTGAAAATGCGTGTCTAGGGGTTATTTTTGGCGCCGATCACGAAACACATGTTTTTAGCCTAGGTTTCTGCACGGAAAACTAACGAAACGTGAAAACAGCCATTTTTTGGCTTTTGGCTCTGCCGCCCTTTACTAAAATAGCTGTAAAAACTTTTCGAAAAGAGATATCTCAAAACGGTTCTTACCAATCGATCCGTCTTGAATTCAGCTTTAGGATGAGCTATAAAACGTCAAAATTCGACAACTTTAAGGTACTCTCCCAAAAAATCGGAAACGACTTTTCCACCAACCCAATAAATAGGATTTGCTTCTGTGCTGTATCAATATCAAATCAAAGCGATCAAATCAAAGCGAGGTTATTTTTAGGATTCTTTTAAAGCTGGAAACCTTCTCTCAATCGTTTCCCACAAAACAAGACCAGCTGCATACAGATCACTCGCGTGAGTGAACTAAAGTGAGCTTTTGTGCTTTCTTTTTCTTGTTTCCTTCTACCAAATGTTGTCCCTCGATATAGCCAAGTGCTTCTGGTGGGGTATATCTCAATGTCCCCACTACACCATAGCTAAAATCTTTTTTATTCTTTAATTTCCCCCCTCATTCTACTCACCCTGAATATTCAGAAGCTTCAACTTTTGATAAACCGAAATCACAAAGTTTCATTTGATACAAATGTCCCAATAAGATACTAGAAAAGATATTTTTTAAGTCCTTTTTTTTCATTTTTCATTCAAACTTTGACGGCTTGATATCACGATGGAAAACACGCTTTTCTTGAAGATATGTAAGAGCACCGAAAAGCTGTGATCCCCAATCAATCACTGTTGAAATCGAATAACATTTCTCACTATTTTTAATAACTAAATTGAAGTAAAAAATAAATCTCTCTTGCTTTAAAAAATACAATTTTTAACATCGCCCCTCTCACAAAATTCGGTGACAATGTTTACGAGAGCTCCTTCATCCGAATGAAAAACATCAATGTATTCGACGACATTTGGATGTGAAAGCTCTTTCAAGATATTCACTTCACGCCGTAAACTTCTTGGATGATCCGCTGCTTGGAGACATTTCACAGCTACGGTTCTGAAAAATCGTATTTACAATTTTCTTTTTTTGAAAAACAGCTATTTTAAGAAAAATTTGATAAGATTTATTTAGGTAATTTGTTATTTTTTAACAATTTGTTTGGTAATTTGTTAACAAAAATTTGTTTATGACTTTATCTTACTGTTTATGACTTTATCTGACCGTTTATGACTTTATCTGACTGTTTATGACTTTATCTGACTGTTTATGACTTTATCTTACTGTTTATGACTTTATCAGAAACAAACAAACAAACCTTCCATTAATTTGCTGCTTAACAACTGTTCCAAAGCCTCCATGTCCGATCACGTCACGAGACATACAATATTTGATCGGAAAATTTAAAAAGATTAAGTCTATCTTTAGTTAAAAATCAAGAGAATCAAGAGAATCAAGATCGATTGAGGGAAAAAAAAACGAAAAAAAAAGATGGTTACGTGAGTTGAGTCAGAACCTCTTTTGACTTCTTATCTCTTTGCGAAAAGGCGACGAGTCTCAAAATGCTCGCAAATTCATCTTTTTCCTATCACAAGAACTTGAGAAAGCTCTAAATTTGACAATAAAAAAGATATGTTGAAAAGTAAAAGATTTGATTCAATTTGATTTAAGTTTTTTTTGATAAAAGATTGTTGAAAACGCTAATGAATTAGCATTAGCTAGAAGAATTTTGTTACTGCCAAAAATATGAAACGATTTAGATTAAAGTACAGATCATTCTACAGTAATCTCTGGGTGAATGTCTTTTCGTTCTTTTCTTTAGATTTTCTAACTGACTATGAGCTTGACTTACAGCTCTAGAGGCTAAGTCAACAATCAAGGCCAACTTCTCGACCAATCCTGTAGAAAAGCTTGATCTGAAGCAAGCCTAGCACTGCTTTAAATCGATTTAAATTAAAATCAAATCAATTGATTGCCAATACGAAGATTCAACTCTACGATTCTCATCGGTCAATAGATTTTACAAAATTTTATAAAGCTTCTAGATCTTGCTTCTAGGCTTCTAGAGCTTCTAGAGCTTCTAGAGCACAGAGCTTCTAGAGCTTCTAGAGCTTCTAGAGCTTCTAGAGCTTCTAGAGCTTCTAGAGCTTCTAGAGCTTCTAGAGCTTCTAGAGCACAGAGCTTCTAGAGCTTCTAGAGCTTCTAGAGCACAGAGCTTCTAGAGCTTCTAGAGCACAGAGCTTCTAGAGCTTCTAGAGCTTCTAGAGCTTCTAGAGCACAGAGCTTCTAGAGCTTCTAGAGCTTCTAGATCTTCTAGAGCTTCTACAGCTTCTAGAGCTTCTACAGAGCTACAACTACATCTACATCTACATCTACAGCTACAGCTCATTAGACCACCCATCGCATCGTCAAAGACCGAACTTCGACACCAAACTTTCACAAGAATCCCTATCAAAATTTGAAAAGAAAATGAATCACATGATTTCTTTGTGTGACTCATCCTCCCATCCAACGTCATCACAGCTTTTATCAGTCGTTTCTCTCTACGTATAAAATAACCCCGAAAAGTGCTCAGCAAACAGTCAGCCCTTTCCTTCGCTTCTCAATTTCATTCCTTTTCCCTCTTCCACTTCAAACCTTTCTTACTGTACCTGAAATTGAATAATTTCATTTCCATTTTCAGTTCTCTACTTTAAAATGTCGTACCCATACGGATATCCCTATGCTAATGGAGCCTATATTGCCCCGCCAGCTTACACTGCCTATCCAGCTGTTCCAACTGTTCTTCCAGCGCCTGTCGGTGAGTGAAAAGTTGTTTTCAAATAATTTTCAAATAGTCTACAGCTTTTGTTAGTTAATATCGAAAATAGAAAATAAAATACAATACAATGTTTTTTTATTTCAGTGCCAGTTATGCAACCGACTGTCGTAGTGGCTGACATGCATCACCCCCACCACCACCATCATCACTCTTTCCTCGGCGAGGTTCTTCACCACGGATTTGGTCATCACCATCACCATGGTTTGTAAAAGTTTTCGAAAAGCTTAACTATTCAACTTTGATGCACAAGATTTAACTATTGATTTAGGATACCACCATCATCATCATTGTTAAAAGATTTCTTTGACATTTCTTCATAAATATGATCTTCAAATAAATCGGGTTCAAACAATCAATGAAATTGCATGACATCAACAATGACACAGAGAATTTAAGAGTTATCTGTAAGAGTTATCTATAAGAGTTATCTGTAAGAGTTATCTGTAAGAACTATCTGTAAGAACTATCTGTAAGAGTTATCTGTAAGAGCTATCTGTAAGAGTTATCTGTAAGAACTATCTGTAAGAGTTATCTGTAAGAACTATCTATAAGAGTTATCTGTAAGAGTTATCTGTAAGAGTTATCTGTAAGAGTTATCTGCAAGAACTATCTGTAAGAACTATCTGTAAGAGTTATCTGTAAGAGCTATCTGTAAGAGCTATCTGTAAGAGTTATCTGTAAGAACTATCTGTAAGAGCTATCTGTAAGAGTTATCTGTAAGAACTATCTGTAAGAGTTATCTGTAAGAACTATCTGTAAGAGTTATCTGTAAGAGTTCTCAAAGAGTCACGCGGTAAACCTTCTCTGAATTTGTAATGACAAATCTTCTCAAGAGAACAAAAAAAAACTCGTTCTTTCAAATCCTCGAAGAAAACATTGAGGGTTGAAAAGTGTTTGTGAAGGAAAGATTTCCTTTAGAGACTCTCAACCCTGTGTACATAATACCATTCAAGGGTTCTGCATAATCACGCCCCAAAAAAAAACTCAGACCCTCAAACCGTTGATTTCAACTTTCGTGGAAATTGACAACTCTATGATGAAGCTGATCTTTGCATTAATATCACTTCAAACCGTTGTCACTTATCCTTTATGCACGACGAACACTCAATGCCAACCTGGCTTTGAATGCCTACCCATTGGCAGCTTTCATACTTGTCAACCATGTCATGTTCATCATTGTAGTTCGGTAAGAATCGGTATTCTAAGAGATTGAAAATATTATTAGAGTGATAGCTGCCAAACGAATCTTGATTGTCCTGCAAACTATCAATGTGCGATCATGGATGAAACGGGACGGAAAGCGTGCTTGGTTTGTGGATTCTAGGGAAAAAGAACCAATGATCTAGCCGGTGAATTGAACCCTTGATCTCTCAATTAATATACAAGACTCCAGTCGGCCATAAACGACTCGTTAAGGGTATATGAAACTTTAACAGGAAATGGCGCCTCCACTTCCAATCTCGATCCCCCGACCACTCTCCTGTCGAAGAGATTCCGACTGTCCGTTTGGATCATTGTGTCAAATGGATCTCTCTGGGGTTTCACAGTGTCAAGTAAATTCTTTATTTTTACTTTTCTTACTCATTTCCAGATTCCCATTGTGTCAAATGGTTGTGTTTACAATACAGATTGTCGAGGGAATCAAGTGTGCGTTCAAAATGATAATGGATTGCGGAGATGCTTGGTTTGATTGAAAGTTTGATTGAAAGTTAGACATCAAGATTTCAGGAAGCCCCAATTGTTCAGTCTCCGCCTTGCTCTATGAGTCAATGGTGTGAATCAGGATATTTATGTCAAGTCAACGAAAAACCTATGTGCATCACGGTAGTCAATATAATATAAAAAGTACAATTGTACAATTATTAGGCGAACTGTGTCTCAACGAGTGATTGTCCAATTGGAAAATCCTGTGTTCAGGGATTTAATCAAAAGACTTGCATGGTTTTGGTTGTTATTTGAAAATTGAAAAATTGATTTGTTAGGATAATATCAGTGAGCCACAGAGAGAACATCACAATGGATGTCGTGTTGATTCACAATGCAAATCGGGTTTCTCTTGTACAGTCAATGGACAAAGGCTATGTACTGAGGTGAAAATATTGTCAATGACATCAATAGCTTTTAAATTTATCATCACAATGTATCACTTGTTCTTTTAGAATCCCCCAGGTATTCAACGAGGCGATGGTGGTGTAAGATTTGGACGATGGTGGTGTAAGATCTTTTACAACAATTACGCTAGAAATAAAACCGAATATAAAAACGAATGTTAAGCCAAATATAAAGCTAAATATGAAGCCAAATATTAAACCAAATATTAAATCAAATATAGAGCCAAATATTAAACCGAATATTAAACCAAATATTAAACCAAATATAGAGCCAAATATTAAACCAAATATAAAGCCAAATATTAAACCGAATATTAAACCAAATACTACCTTATCAAATTACTATCTTACTATCAAATTACTATCTTACTATCAAATTACTATCAAATTACTATCTTACTATCAAATTACTATCAAATTACTATCAAATTACTATCAAATTACTATCAAATTACTATCAAATTACTATCAAATTACTATCAAATTACTATCAAATTACTATCAAATTACTATCAAATTACTATCAAATTACTATCTATCAAATATTAAACCAAATCTATCAAATTACTATCTTATCAAATTACATATCAAATAATTATTAAGATTTAATCTACAAAACTGAATTCAGCTCCGTGCACCCGACGATCGGATTGTGTCTCGGATCTCTCTTGCTACACGACGCTCAAAAATCGGAAACTTTGCGCTGCAGTTTCTTGTGAGAATTACTAACAACTACAACTGATTTTTATAGATCTTCCCTATATTTTTTCAGTGTAACAAGTGTGTGGAAACTTTTCTACACTCTATCCATAATCTGCAAAGCATTTAGCTCATTCTTGCATATCCGATAACGATTGTCAGACTGGTTCTTGTCTTCTCGATCATTTGAGCGATGTGCTCGGCTACTGCTCAAAACAGCCGCTCACTCAAATAAAAGAAGAGGTTAATTTTCAAAAAGATCAATTAGTTTTTTTTAATATTTTAGCTTTTCTATGATGCTCAGCGGAGAGGCTACAAAAACTACAAAAACAAAAAATAAAATTTTAAACGATTTGTCCGGACATAAAAGCTAACGTTTATTTCTTTCTCTACAATAAATAGAATTTAAAAGCGAGTGATATGGTTTATTTGGTGAAAGCACGAGCCTGAGAAAGCATACACGAGGATTCTCCAGTGGATTCATCTTTGAGCTCATATTGCAGCTGATACGGTGTGTTGTCTTTCAAGAGACGAATCACTGACTAAAGTTTGGTGATTGGATGTTTGTTTCAGCAAAATATTAAAAGATTATTTGAAAATAATCTTTATTTATGAGAAAACTTACACCAAAATTGCTAAAGTCGAGAGTGATTCGGGTGATTTGTTTTCCAGATGGAATCGGGCAGGGCACACCATGAGAGCAAGCATCAAGACGCTCAAATAGTGTTTCTTGCGAGTAATTGTATTTCTCTTATAAGTTACTCCAATTACCGTAACCCGCCAAGAGCTATTTTGTGGCTATCTTTGTGGCTATCTGTGGCTATCGCCAAGAGCTATCTTTAGAAGAAATTTTTAAGCAAAATTCTCATTCTAGACAATTTTCAATAGTGTAATTTCGCTTATAACTTATCAAATTTGAGTTTTTACACTGGTTTTTGAAGAAATTGTTTAAAAAAATTTTTAATTCTTTGAACAATTGTCGTTGAACAGTTTAAAAGCTTAAAATTAGTAACCTAAAAGCTAAATGGAAAAATGGACTCGAAAAATGGACTCACAGAGAGCAATCCAAGAGTGGGGACCTAAAAAATGAGATTGAAGTTTGAAAACACTCTTAAACTCGAACCTCACTCCATTGACAACCGAGCACTCCACCATAAGACCAAAGAGTGATCGTAGCGATGGTTCCCTTGAAAAAGTGATTCAATATAATTATTGCACCTTTTACAGTACCTTTGAAAACTCAGCTTTCGTCTCCCATTCAGTTTCGACGATCAATGGCTCGGTGAGATGGATCGGGTAAGCGCTTTGACCTCAATCATTCTTTTGAATATAAAATTATCCAGATTATCAGAATCAGAATCTGAATCTGAATCTGAATCTGAATCTGAATCTGAAGCTGAATCTGAATCTGAATCTGAATCTGAATCAGAATCTGAATCTGAATCTGAATCTGAAGCAGAAGCAGAATCAAAATCAGAATCAGAAGCAGAATCAGAATCAGAATCTGTATCTGAATCCAGTCTTATAGAAAAAAGATTATAATAACATTAAATTCTTAAAGTATTTGCAACACTTTATCCCTCACCTTTCAAATCCAATGTCTTTGCCGAGAAATAGGTCGTTGTTCCACCACATTGCCACCAGTGAAACGCCGAAAAAGTACCTGGAATCGATTATAAATATTAGAAAAACTACCGTACTTCTCTAGATCTTCATTTTCTTTTTAATCATAAAATCTAATCCTTACCATTAGGCCAATTTTTCTCTTTTGTCAAATCACAAGCATAGCCGAGAGTGAACACAGAAAAGAGAATCTGAAGCCTCATTTCTCTGATCTCCAGAAAAATCTACATTTTTGACTTTTCTCTTTCTTTTATACAAGCCTTGTAATTTTATCAATCAAGATTTTCCTGACATTTGCAAATAAATCGTGGCTCTGATAGAGGAAAAGATTCTCTCGGAGGAAAAGATTCTCTCGAAGGAAAAGGTTCGTGTACTAATAAGATTCATTTTTAGACTTCAAAATAAACAAAAGACTTTAAAATAAACATTCATTAAAGTTTGTACAGTTAAATGAAAGACGAAAAACATGAGGGAAAAGATTTCTTTTTATGATTAAATATTGTTTGAAACTGGGTTTGTTTGATGTGCTTACCAACTTACCAATTCTAACTTACCAAGTCTTACCAACTTACCAAGGCTTATCAGGCTTACCAACCTTACCAACCTTACCAACTTACCAAGTCTAACTAGACTGTGTTACCTCTTGCTTTCACAAAGACACTTGTTTTTTTTAAACCTACCGTAATCCAATTCCAGCCTTTTCAGCAAGATATTTTGTCTGTATTTTTGTATTTTATGCATTTTTTTTAGAAACTCATAATCAACACGTTTATTCAGGACTAGCTCACCAAAGGAAAGGCGAAAAGTTTTTTTTTAATGTCAAGAACAATGAAAGAAATTAAATTTTTAAAAAAAACGATTGAAATGAAACGAAATAAAACGAAATGAAATGAATAACAATGAAGAGAAGAAAAGGAGAGAAGAAAGTAAAGAATTTTTTTTTTTGACAACGAGAATTCGTTCTATTTCATTCTATCATAAAAATTGAATCAGCAAATAATAAAGGATTTTTTTAGGTCCCGTTTTAGCGATTTTTCTAGGGTGAATACTATTTTACCTACTATTTTACCGTTTTCTAGAACAATACGATGAGAAAGATGCACTTTTCTCTGCGCTTTTCTCATACTTTCACCATTGTAAAGAATCAAAAGAAGGAGAAAAAAAGCAAAATCTATCATTTAATGAAGCCAAAGAACAAGAAATTTTCAAGAAAATCCCTCAATTGTTTTTGCCAAAGAGGAAAAAGATGGAGAGAAAAAAACAGGGTGTGATAGTTGAGGAGGAAGCAGAAAAAAATTGAGCACCTTAAGGTGTCAAATTACGTTTCAACAGACTCCCAACTAACACAGAAACTACCTTTTTTTTCACTTTTCATCTCAACGGAAATAAGAGTAGTAGGAAAAAGATGAGTTTTTTTGAAAATCAATTGATTGATCAATCAATTTATAAAATGAATTGATTGATCAGCAGTGGCTGTGGTCTCTCAGCTGAGACCACAGCCATTGCTGGGTCAGCTCCTGGGACTCCAAGAGATTGATGAATTGATTGATCAATCAATTTATAAAATCAATGCAAAATGAATGCAATTCAATTACATTAACCGCTTTTTTACCTAGCTTTTTACTCTATTTAAATATAAAATTTGCATATATTATTTCAAAAACGGATATTGTAATCAAATTTTCACTTAAAATCTCTATATTTTGGGTATTTCTTTCAAATTTAAAAAAAAATAAACAAAAAGCACCAAAAATCTCTACCGATATAAGAAGAAATATAGAAAAGAAAAGAAAAGAAAAATTTGATGGAGAAATATGGAATTGAAATCTCAAATCATTTTAAAGAGATTCGATATTTACAGAACAATTCTTGGCAAGAAGCTCAGCTCAATGGGTTTATGAGTTAACCACTGCTGTCACAAAACCCTGTCGCTCGAGAATTCGTAGTCTAAAGTTTTTTTTTTGTTTGATTCAAAACTCTTACATCTTCGTTCTTTTAGCTTTATCTTTTAGCTTTATCTTTTAGCTTTATCTTTTAGCTTTATCTTTTAGCTTTATCTTTTAGCTTTATCTTTTAGCTTTATCTTTTAGCTTTATCTTTTAGCTTTATCTTTTAGCTATACCTCTTCTCCACAGCATTTTTATATCGTGAAAGCACCATTTTATCTTGTTCAGAGTTGACTTGTTCAGATAAAGTGTGTAGCATCATGTATGCTGTTTGATATCTGGAGTTTAATCTAGACAAAGAATTTGATGTAAACAATACCTTTGACTGCAAAGATGAGGGTTTCCAAATAACTCGTCGAGGGCAGCTGACTGGCAGAGTTCAATCGCGTGTCTGTACATGATTCTCTCAGCTGAGACCACAGCCATTGCTGGGTCAGCTCCTGGGACTCCAAGAGAGGCTAATTCTTGAGATCGAACCAGACATTGATGATATTTATCGTTTAGGAGATTCAGCACATTTTGAACGGCTGGCGATGGGTGAAGAGTTCGAGTGGCCACATTTCTGAAAGAATTTCGGTAAACGTTCATTGTTTTTTTGCGCTTGAATACCTTTGTGCTAAAAGAAGAGCTGAACTCAGCATATGCAACGCCCGTACATAAACGACGAGTTGTTCGGCTCTTCGATACGCAGTTCCCCTTTCTCCTTGCTCAACCTGAAGCAATGGTACGATAAACTTTGATATCTTCTACCTTATTTGTGTGAATGTTGGCTAAAGGATTCTCTTTCGATTCAGCTACTCCAATCAGTGTCTCAACTAATTCCAATACGAACTTCAGCTTGCCAAGAATCTGAAAGACTCAATGAAACAATATTTACTTCTTTTCGCGTACTTGTTTATGCTCCTCACGCATTACTGTTTCTTGTTCCAAGGCTGGAGGAGGTCCACCTTCAGTGTCAGCAAAGTCACTTTGAGTAAACGGATTCTGAATATTAATTAGATTAAATAGTTAAGCTCTTAGTTAAGCCCTTAGTTAAGCTGTTAGTTAAGCCCTTAGCTAAGCTCTTAGTTAAGCCCTTAGTTAACCCTTTTTTCCATAGACTTACAGCTGGTCTAGGCAAAGATGGTGGAGCTGCAGCCATACTCGAAGATGTCGTATCATCACCGGATGTTGAAACAGCCATATTTGAATGCAAAGAACAATCAACTGAAAACCCCCCAAAGTCTTTGCTTAAATTCATTTCCCATTTACCATTTTGTGGTTCTTGGTTGAGATCAGTGGCACAGCCAAATGGTAACGAAATCTGATCATTCGCTTCATCCTCATCTTCGCTGATATCACTGAAAAAAATTGAGTGATGAATGAAAAAAGTCTCGAACCTTTGTGCAACTGCGGGAGGTGAAGCCTTGACGGTGAGAGCGGCTTGTTGTCGAGGCGGAGAAACGCTGAGGTATTTCACGTTATCCAATTGTTCGGCTTCTTGGGGACGCAATCTCAGCTAAATCATTTCCATCTTTTATCTTTTCTTTTCTTTTTTTTCTTTTTTTTTCTACTTGATTTCCATTGCTAGTTTGTCGTTTCAAATCATTTGAAGTAGCAGATTTGGGGATGAGATCAACTTGTCCAGGTAGGGTTGGTATAGCCTAAATATTTTTTGATAATATAATTAAAATGTATATCTGTTTTTTTTGTTTTCTTAAAATTCATAACTTTAACAGTTCTTTAACAATTTTCTTAACATATTTCGGTTAAGAATTGCATACCGGTTCTTCGCTGACAGTGGTGGGTCGACGCATCCGATTGATTTCAGCCTGACTTCTTCGAGTTGCTGAGCTTCGAATAATGTATTGAGCTATAAAAATTGCGTTTAGTTTTGAAACGGAAACTTTCAGACTTTCAGGAACAGTCATTGTTTCAATGGATGGCACTCGTGCTTGTGGCATCTCGCGATTCTCGGGCACTGGAGGGTTTCCAGGACTTGCCGACAGAATACTTTTCTAAAAACTTTTCTAATTCGTTTTTTATTCTCATTCTACCTCTTTAGCCAAACTGAGCCTTCTCTCTTCAATTCTTGCATAGGCTTGTCGTTGACTCGGCACTGGCACAGCTCTTGCTCCTCCACCATTTCCCAAATTCGACTCAGTGTGCACCTGAACCTAAACCGTGTTTTTAGTAAACGAAAACCCTTGATCTAATCAAACCTGTTTAACGGGGTTATTCTCAATTCGAGATTGAGGTGATTGAAGAGGAGGAAGGAAAGTGAAATCATTGCTATCATTCATCAGTTTTCGAGAGGATAGAGGACTATCCTTGATGGTGTTTCGGCGAGGAACGGGTAAAGCTGACGATGAAGCGACAGGTCTTCTTGCCGCCAATGGACTTCCTTGTGCTTCAAGGATTCGTTTCGATGGTGAAACGAGTGGTGGAGTGTGTAGGAACTCGTGATTGAAGAAATCCTCTGAAAAACTTGTGAGTTTAATATCGAATATCGAATATCGAACATTTGCACTCACCAAAATCAATCCGATCTTTAGCATTTCTTTTCAAGAGTTTCAATAGGAGATCTTTGAGTGCCGGTGAGCACCAATCGGGTATCGCCGGTCTTAGCATCATGTTCTTCTCATAGAACATTTTCAATTGTGGTGGTGTTTGGGCCTAAAAGATTTATTCTTTTATCTTATTTATCAAGAAATCTTTACCTGAAATGGAGCTTTTCCGGTAAGACATTGGAAAAGAATCGTTCCAATCGACCAAAGATCCGCTTTTGCGTCATAAGTCAATGACATGATGACCTAATTTTAGTGTTTAAATGAATCATTTTTATTAATGCTACCTCTGGAGCCATGTACATTGGAGATCCGCAAAGAGTCGCTGCCATTACTCCATCATCGAGGAAACGAGCAAAACCGAAATCTGCCTGAAAATGGGGGATATTTTTTGGCTTGCTTAGGCGTTAGTATTCAAAAATAAAGACCCTAGTTTTCCTGTTTTCCTTACCAATTTGATGATAAGATCTTGAAACGGTGGATTCGATCGACGCCCCGGATTGCACAAAAGAATATTTTGCGGTTTCAAATCACGATGCATAATCCCTTTTACATGAATTGCTTGAAGGGCTCGTGCTGTAAAGATTTCCATTAAACATTTGATTTCCATTTTAGAATTTGTACATTCTCCTATTGACTTGTACATTTTACATTTTACATTCTTCCCATTCTTTTTTTCACAAACCAATATGTATGACAAGATGTTGAATTGTATCTTCTTTCATTGTGCTTTTTTGTTGAAGATAATCCGCGAGATCTCCTCCATTGCAAAATTCCATTACCAGAAAGACATGGGTAGCCGTCTCTGTGCATTTCAGCAGAGTCACCAAATTCTCATGTTTTAAACCACTCAATTCCTAGAAGATTTGAAAGTTATAATCGCAAGATTTCTCTTTTTTTTTACTTTTAAAATCTTGATCTCTTTTTGAAGAAGATTTTTCGACTTTTGGAGATTCTTCTTGGCAATCGCCTTGATAGCCACAGGCTCCTCAGGACGCTGAAAATCGACAATTAGATAGATTTTCTATATCCATATATATCTTTCGGATTTATTTCTCACCACTCGATATCGTCCTTTGTAAACGATAGCAAAAGCGCCATGTCCTATGATGTCTCTGTTGTTGTACTCAAAATCGTCGAAGCGCTCCATAGCGGCTTCACTTCTGCCCCAAAAGGGCTCATAAAAATCAAACTAAACTTTTTGCCGTTTTGCAAGTACAAGAAACATTTAAGAAAACATATAATTTCAATCAAAGATTTCAAGATTTTAATCAAATTTTCCATTTCAGATTGACCAAAGCAACTTTGAACCAAATTTAGAGAGATAAGGAAACAAATCTAGAGAGATCAGGAACCTAATTTAGAGCAAGAGAGGGGAAACAGGGAAATTATTAGGAAGAAAAGGAAATTTGTCCTATTTGGCAAGGAAATTGTTTGTTCATAATGAGGAAATGTTTCAAGAAAATGATGACCAATTATTGCCAAATCGAGTAAACCGATAAGGTATACTAGAGAAAAAAATATGGGCCTATTTGGTCGACTATATTGGGGAAATTGGTTTGGGAAGAGGCCGATGGAAGATAAAGAGCAGATGGGAGAGAATCCGAGAAACGAGCCGGGCAGTCAGCTGGCAGAATCGATACGCAACGCGGGTTCTCCCCCCGCCTCCCACACACACCACAGCACACCCATTTCACTCATTCATTTCCCTTCGAGACTCACCTCGCATTCAAATATCTCCGAAAAACCTCGTCGTCCTTCAGTAGCTGTTGATCGCCTACGTTTAGTGCCTAAATTTCTGTAACTCTCTCATTTCTTCGTTTTCTCGGCACTCCTAAATTTGGGCTTATCTCGCTTGCAGCTCAAATTTTGAGCAACTTTTTGTCCGGTTAGCTGCTTTTGATCAAAGCTTGTAAATAAAGCTCAAAGTTAGGCCAACGGTTTTAATTTTATTTTTTGAATCTGGATCCTTTTGGCTTCACAATTGTTCCATTGTCTTTAAAAGTACGATTTAACTAACGTGCTTTGAAACATTTTCCCCAAAACTCTTGAGGCTTAAACGTGTCTATGATGCTCAGTGGAGAGGCTACAAAAACTGATGCTAATAAAATTTTAAACGATTTGTCCGGACATAAAAGCTAATGTTTATTTCTTACTCTACAATAAATAAATTTTAAAAACGATATGGTTGGTTTTTTATTTGGTTTGATATGGTTTATTTGGTGAAAGCACGAGCCTGAGAAAGCAGGTACGAGGATTCTCGAGTGGATTCATCTTTGAGCTCATATTGCAGCTGATACGGTGTGTTGTCTTTCAAGAGACGAATCACTGACTAAAGTTTGGTGATTGGATGTTTGTTTTAGGAAATATTAAAAGATTATTTGAAAATAATCTTTATTTATGAGAAAACTTACACCAAAATTGCTAAAGTGATTCGGGTGATTTGTATTGCTTTCGATCCGACTTATATACGACCACAATCCAGCTTGTTTAATTTTTTTTTAAATTAATAAATGTTTAATCCGGGGGTGGGACAAATGCGACCTTTTTTTGCGCACCCGGACATTTGCGCACCTTTTTTTTTGCTGGAAAAGGCCTTAGGCAAGGCCGTAGAGCTTCGAGAATATTTCGAAAATATTTCCATATAAGGGAATCGTATGCGTAGATTCCGAATTTCGACAAATCACACCTCGCAGACACGTCAGATTTGGGCTAAAAGGCAAAAACTGCGGAAAAGCGTTAAGTTGCGTAGTTTTTGCCTTTTAGCCCAAATCTGACGTGTCTGCGAGGTGTGATTTGTCGAAATTCGGAATCTACGCATACGATTCCCTTATATGGAAATATTTTCGAAATATTCTCGAAGCTCTACGGCCTTGCCTAAGGCCTTTTCCAGCAAAAAAAAAGGTGCGCAAATGTCCGGGTGCGCAAAAAAAAGGTCGCATTTGTCCCACCCCCGTTTAATCCAGTTTAATTGATTTGGTGGCAAATTCCCTTCAAATGTAAAGATATTCAATTTACTCGACGTGTAAAGAGGATTACTCGTAGTTACTCGACCAAAAACGTCTCCTAATCGAGTAAAAATCACTCATGCTAATTTTACTCGAGTAATTACTTACTTACTTACTTACTCGGAAGGAACACGCTCTATTTCAGATTATCGATTCAGACTATTTTAAAAGTTGATGCACTTGTCTTAATTATTGTTAGTTCTTGTTTTCTCCAAAAATGGGTTATTTTTTAATTTACTCATCTCCCCACCTCTTCCTCCCAAATTTGATGCTTTCTTTTTGGTACTATCCTAGTTGGGGGACACTTTTTTTTCTTCAAAACCACTTTTTCTGGGAGGTAGTCAAAACAGCGCCATAATAGAAAACGTTCAAAACAGCGCCGTCAAATTTCTCAAAATCCAAAAAACCAAGCCGGTTCAAGTTTTATATCAAAAAATTCCTTGCGTTCTTGGCTACATGATGGGTGAAACAGTTTTTTAAAAAAGTTAATATTTCACAGATAAAAAGAGCACTCAAAATGTGTGCCGAGTGATACTCAGTTGGTTAACTGAATATCTTTAGAGACCCATTTTGAGTGCTCTTTTTATCTATGAAATATTAACTTTTCTAAAAAACTGTTTCACCCATCATGTAGCCAAGTACGCAAGGAATTTTTTGATATAAAACTTGAACCGGCTTGGTTTTTGGAGTGTGAGAAATTTGACGGTGCTGTTTTGACGTTTTCTATTATGGCGCTGTTTTGACTACCCCCTTTTTCTGGGGTAGTTTTAGGCATAGATTCCAAAAAACACAAAAAGAGCTTGGGAAAGGGCGTTTTAAGCCACGTTTCGGGGCTCCAAAGTATGCCCTCATATAGTGTGATGAGGATACACATAGGGGAGAGGCCTAAAAATGGTCTCGCAAAACCATTTTTGAAGTACAATATAAAAGCGCGCACTTTGGAGCCTCGAAACGTGGTTTAAAGCGCCTTTTCCCAAGCTCTTGTTGTGTTTTTTGGAGTCTACGCCTAAAACTACCCCAGAAAAAGTGGTTTTGAAGAAAAAAAGTGTTCCCCCCAACTAGGATAGTACCTTCTTTTTCCCTAGTATTTTTCTTACTAATGCCCATGGCATTGTCTCTAATAGCAAAAATCGCTTAGCTTACTTTCCAGACTCGTGCAAAATCTGATTTTTTTGCTATCACCGAGACATGGCTAGACGACTCTCTAGTCTCCTCTATTCTTGACCCTAGTGATTATTACCATATTATTAGGTGTGATAGAGCTTCTTTCACTAAATCACATGGTGGCGGTGTTTTGTTTTTCTCCTTAAGTCCCTGCTATGTGGTTTACTGCAGTTCCATTTTTAACTGTAATTGTAGATGTTTATCTTGGTAGGAAAGTTCGTTTTCTTGTCGTTTATCAGCCCCCCTAGCGTGAATTTTACTGATACTTCTCGTTTGTTTAATCATTTATCACTATTCTTGCATGATTCGGAGATCAACATTTTACTAGGCGATTTAAATTTTCATGTCACGCATTCTAATGGCAAATTTGTGTGTGATAGGTATCCCATTATTTTGCTAGAAAATTTTCTTGTTAAATGCTCTCTATTTTAACACATTTGCTACCTTCTGCCACGATTTTTATATTTTAGATCTGGTCTTGTCCGATTCCCCTGATGCCATCATGGAGCTGAAGCTTTTGGAGCCTCTTCCTGGATCTGACCATATGGGTTTGCGTTCAAAATCAAAGACTACAATTTTCGACTCCTCCACGGAAAGGTTGCGTGCACTTTGAATTTAATCCCGACCAAGCGGCTCTTCCCTTCTTAAACTCCCTTAGTGGGGGAATTTATCCTAGAGTCCCCTTAGTGGGGACTCTAGGATAAATTCTATAGATGATGACTATAATTTTCTCTATTCTAAAATTCACTTTGCCGTAGAAAACTCATGCTCTCACCCTGTAAAATTAGTCTCAAAATAATATTACGAGAGCTAAAGCAAGACAAGAGTTTTTTTTAAAGATCTAGCTACGCAAATCCTTTGGTTGACCCACTAGTAATCGAAGAACAGTTCAAGCTCTCGAAATTTTGTCAAAAGTTTGAGTCAAACATTGAAAGGAAAGCTGTTTATTCGAAAAACAGCAAGTCTTTCTTCTCCTATTTAAACTTTAAAACTAAAGATTCAAAGATTGCCTCCAATTCTTTCATTGATCCTTTAAACAGTACTAAAATTGGTTCCAATCTCAATACAATTGTCACTGAATTTGCCAAATTCTTTCATAGTGTAAATACAGTTACAGATGAAACGAAAAGCCCGGCTTTTCCGGTAAAGCGAATTGGTGTGTAGTCAGATTTTTTAATCTGTGTTGCGGACATTGAGAAAGCTTTTTGTAAATATGACCTAAAAAGTCGTCTAGTCTAGATAACCTCTCAGCTTTTGCTATTAAGAGACTTTCTAGAGTGCTTACCTACCCTCTTAAAATTTTTCAAAAAAATTCTTATTATTTCAGATGTCCCCTCTTTTTGGAAACAATCTTTAGTTATTCTCCTTCTCAAAAAGTCTCCTAAAAACCTTTTCAGTAACTATTGTTCGATATCTTTAACCTCCCCTGTATCTAAACATTTTGAAATTATCATGAAAGATAAAGTTACAGCTTATCTTGATAAGCATGGACTTATCTCCGACTATCAACTTGGCTCCCTTAAAAAATAAGTCCACCACTTATCAGCTTATTTTAGCTCACCAATATTTCTTTAAAGCCGTAGATCAAAAACAATATAAGCACTATCAGCTTGAAGCTGTGTTTTTAAATTTTGCTAAAGCTTTCGACACTATTAAATTCTTAGTTCATAAACTACATGCATAATGCATATAAAATCTGCTCCTCGATGATTTCTGTTATTAAAAGTTTCCTTACTCAGCGAACTTTCAAAGTTCTTTCAAACGATCCTCTTTCCCCTTCCTTTAATCGCTTTAGCGGTGTACCCAAGGAAGTATTCTGGGTCCTATGCTTTTTACAATTTACATTAATGATTTAGCTGAATTAAATTTTTCATCTAGAGACTTATCTATCTGGCTTTATGCTGATGACTCTAAATTAACTTTTAAAATCCCCCATCAAAGATGAAGCCGCTAAGCTTGCTTTTTTAGAAGACGCCATGTCAGCTCTTGACCTGGTTGGGAAATGATCCCATAATTGGAAACTAGCTTTAGCCCCTACGAAATCCCATCATTTCTCTACCGGAAATGCTTTTTTCCCTTGGAAATTAATTCTACACCATTAAACATGATTGGCAAAGAGGATTATACCAGAGATCTTGGAGTCCATGTTTCCCCACTTTTCAATTTCTCAAATCAAATTGAAATTATATGTCGTAAGGCTTCTTTTGTGTCTAGTCGTGTCCTAAAAGCAGTTTGTTTTCGAAAATTGATAATTACAGGAACTGTTTCATCACTTACGCTAGACCCATTTTAGAATATGTATCTATAGTTTGGACAAATACACAAGTTGATATCTCTCGTCTAGATAAAATCCAGCAGAGATATACTAAGATAGCTCTATGGAAAATAGATTTTTTTCAAATTTGCAAACTCTAGTTGCACTGATAAACTCGAAATTTTTGATCTTATATCCCCTAGGTACCGCCGCTTGGTCACGGGTTTCATAGAATGTTTCAAAATTGCAAAGGGCAAGCAACCTATCCCTCTTTTTTCGAGATTTATTCAAAGTTAATTCGACGGCTAATTCAGGGAGATGCTCCTTCGTGTTAGAAATTCCAATCACCTTCAATAATCTTGTGTATTATACTTTTGAAGTACCGCCCCCAAGTGTCCCCATATGGGAACACTTGGGGGCGGTACTTCAAAATATTGTGCATAACTCTTTTCCAATGAGAAATGCCAGAATTTGGAATCTACTCCCTAGAGTTTTAAGAGAGTTCAATGGTATTGAAGCCTTTAAATTATCTGTAGATCTTGATCTTGCAGTTCTCGTTGATTCTTGACTTTATCGGTGCTACCCAATTATTACATATATTATATCGTGTTGCTTTTTATCGATCCTTTTCGTGTGTATTCGTGTTGACCAGGAATTATGGGGCGTAAGCAAAACCCTCTTTCCTCTCAGTGCTTTTAATCACATTTTATTGTTTATTTGTTTTTCATCTGTCTTTCGTGGTCAAACCGTTTTAACTTTTATACAAAACTGGCTTCAGACCGAACTCTTTTCGAATTCTTGAACTTTCACAAATTGCATCATCAATCGTCCGATTTCAACAATGTCTGGAAACTGGGACGACACAGGTAAACAAAAGAAAATATAGAAAATTCTCAATTTTGTATTAATTCAGATAGCGAAGATGATATGGTGGTTGTTGTGGAGGAGAAGCCAGTGATCATGCCTCGATCTCGACAGCCATCCATGGCAAAGAGTCTCGAAAAGGCCTCAATTCTCGAGAATCCCGTTGCCGGATCAACGAAAGATGATGTAAATATATCAATCACATGAAATTTTCAAAAAATATTAAACTTAACCTGTTTTCAGAGTGATGACGATGGTGCGAGCACGACCTCTCGATCGGCTGGATCGGAAAGCTTTGAAGACGACAGTGATGTCATCTTTCTTGACTATGATTCGGATAGAGATATGAAGAAGGTAACAATTTGAACAAAAGTCTATAAACTTTCTTTGTGAATTCAGATGATCAGCCTCTTTCGATGTGGTTATCGGGATATCATTGCCGAATTCGCCGACGTGGAGATCTTTTTGATATCGCTCGACTCATTGATCATCGAATGCACCGCTCACTGTTATCACAATTGGACATTAGCCGGTCAATCGCTTGTACTCAATTCACAGGTTAGTCAAAATGGAAAACTTTATCTACAGGGTGGCTAATAAGTATTTTCGCGTGCTTGAACGTGTGTTACTACTCGAGGCTAGTTTCAAATCTCATGAATAACATACCAATATGTTGCTAAGAGTCTAGGGATTCTAAATATAGACAAGAATTTTTTAGACAATGACTGTGAAAGATTTTATTGTAATTCTTTTGCTTTTGAAAAAGGTACTTTGCCCGAGGTTAATTCAGAGCTTCTTATGCAAGTAGGATTTCTATCTATTCAGCGAACTTTTTAAATTTTGCTCCAAAATGTTGCCCAAAATGTTTTCTTACTGAAATAGTTTGAAATTTAGCTCAAAGTGACCCTTTTTAAAAAATTGTATGGTTCTTTGTGGCTCTCATTAATACCAATGTTTTTTGGCACTTTGCTTTTGTGGTTTGATCTTCTGAGCATCCTTCACAAAAATATTTTGCACCAAACTTTAAAAAAACGAACAGTGGGCAAAGTGCCTTTTTTGAAAAGCACAAGAATAGCAATAGAATTTTTCAATTTTTCACAGTCATTGTCTTAAAAATTCATGCCTATATTTAGATTCCCTAGACTCTTAGCAACATTTTAGTATGTTATTCATGAGATTTGGAACTACAGTGCGTCTCATATTTCGAGACACCCCCCCCAATTTCAATTTTCTCTGTTTGAAGCGTTTTCACAGTTTGTTGGCAATCGAAATGTTGTTTTTCGAGATCAGCTTATTCGAAAATCCAAATTGATATTGTTTATTCCAAACAACGGAAATAGCTTTTTAAAGTAACGAACTAAGAAATTTAGGTGTCCCAAATTTCGAGACACCTTAAAAATAAATGAGCATTAGCATATCAAAAACATGAGTCAGCGTTTTAAATTCATCTAATAATCAATTTGTTGTCCTTTTCTTTGAATCAAGTATGCATTCGTTAATTCATCGTTGAAACGAGATTTTCGAGGAGTTTGAGTGGCAATTGGTTTCGTTCAACCTCAATCGACTTTTTGAGATCAAAAACCTTATCATACTGCTTTCCATCACCATAAACCGGTATTGCTAAGACTTCCCACACAAGCTCTCGATGGGATTGAAATCAGACGAGCCGACCAATCAATTAGTAGAATATTCTGTTTAGCCAGGTAAGCTTTTGTTGAGTTGCTCACATGAATGCTCGCATTATCTAGTAAAAATGCGTAGTCTGGGTTCAGATTTGATGTAAAAAAAGGCGTAATATCTTTGTTCAAAACGTTCCTGGTAGTCGTGGCTGTTCATTTTGCTTGTTGTAAACTGAATTGGAAATGTGCCCCTGCATGAAAAGCCTCCCATGTCATAACTGAGTCTCTACCCAAATTACGCTTAGAAAAAGCCAAGAGATTCTTTCGGGAGTCATGCCAGTAATATCGAAAACCATCACAGCCATCAAGATTCCACTTTTTTTCACCCGAGAAAACAACCTTTCTTAATTCCTAATCATCTCGTTTTGGCAAACTCGCGTCTATTCACTCTGTGTTCTTCCGCCAATCTCCCCGATTGACGGAAGAGCCTTGGCCATCTTTTGGTATTTGAGATTTGGAGAAGCGGATATAATTCGATGGGCTGTTAACTTTGAAATGTTCAATCCGCATTCCTAAGCGAGCCTTCGACATGATTTCTGGCTGTTTAATGCGGTGTTCAAGAGATGTCGCTTGTCTCGTTGATTAACTTTGGACTTTGGTTCCGGTTTCTGTTTTCTTTTTGGATTTTCAGTCCTTTTAATAACATTTCGGACTTCAGACTTCGACAAATTCAGTGTTTTTGCGATGAATCCGTATCTGTGCCCGGCTTTGTGAGAGCTTTTGAGAGCATCGATCTATCCGAGTTTTACGCCACTCAACCGCTTGTAACCCGTCATTCTAAAGAAACAAATTAAAAGAGAACAGTAAATATACACAAAAAACAAAGTAAAATTTTAAAAAACACATAAAAAGAGAAAATCGCAAAAATTATCAAAGGTGTCTTGAAATTTGGGACACCTAAATTTCTTAATTTGTTACATTACAAAGCTTTTTCTGTTATTTTTTGGAATAAACAATATCAATTTCGATTGCCAACAAACTAGGAAAGCGCTTCAAACAGAGAAAATTTGGGGGTGTCTCGAAATATGAGATGCACTGTAGCCTCGAGAAGTAACACGCGTTCAAGCATGCGACAATATTTAGCTTTTTTGTATCATTGACTGATTTCTTATTGAATGATACCAAAATCGGGTTGGTGTGATGTAAACTGACGGTTTGACTACGATAGTTTTCTCAACTGGCTGCCTTTTAGAAAACACATTACTCGTGAGGAACACCCTCTATTAGAGACTGGCTCAAAAAAATGTAGAACAAACTGGATAATTCAGATCGATCGTTTCCTTGAGCAATTCACGCAACTTGGCGGCAAATTCAAATTGGTGATCTTCTCGGAGTTGTCCCATTTGTTCACACGCGATACCACTCTCGGTTTCATTCGCGCCACCGCACTCGCTCATTTGAGACAAGGACCGCACAAAAATGATATTGAGGTATGATATTGGCACTCTTTTCTAAAAGTCAAACATAAAAACTTTCCAGGTTTTCTCATCACCACTTGATCCTCGATGGGGAGAGTATCTACAAGAAATCACACCATCTTTCTTGGTGAGTAAGAATTGATCATAATCTTTTCGACTTAAGAATTATGCTGTATTCCTAAATAAGTTATGATTTCGAGCAGTTTTAGCTTACTTAAAAATATTTTTAGATGATCTCCACGGAAAACGTTTCCTCAAAAGTTTGCGGCCAAGAGGAGGTCAACTTCACGCCGCAACTTGAAACAATCGGTACATTTGAATCTAATTCTAACATCCTAAGACTTATTGAATATCGAAAAAGTAGCAATATTTGAATATACATTACTTTGTTTCCTTTTCTAGTCTTGGACGCCCTTACGAGAGCGATCGCTGTTGTTCCACTTTTCCGTATCGTCGTCAACTTCTCAAAAGTCAACGCCTACTACATTGAACCAAAACTTGTCGTCGCTCAAAACCAAGAACAATTCTTTGCCGCCTATTGGGATTCCGGATGCCAAGGAACCAAGAAAACGGATCCACTCGACATCTCCAAATGTCCATCAATTGCCGATATCTGGGCGCTCATCATCAAAGAAGCTTTGACAAGGTAAATAAAAGAGAAACGCAAAGTTTATACAAAAATTTAGTGACGCTCAACGATCCGAGCATTTCGAGGCGTTATGCTGCGCAACTTTGGTTTCAGCTTTGATTTGCGAGAAGAAAGGCGCGAGACGAGTGTATCAACCCGAGAGAAAAGACGGGAAACGAGGATTGGATGTGATCAGAGACCGGAGACATCTTCTACAAGTGGCCACAGCATTTATTGAAGGGGTAGGTTCCGAGATTTCTGAAAAGATTGAAAAATGGTAAAATATATAAAGACCGTGATTCAGGCGAACTGGGGTAACGTGAAGATTGCGGTCAACGATTTTTGGGACGGGCGAATGGTGTTGTCGCTCTTCGACGCGATCACAGCTGGGGAAACGGTAAGTGAGACGGGCTATGAAAAGTTGAAAACTTCTTTATGAATATAATTTCTAGGTTCTCCCCTATCGTGTCCAAGAAAGCTTTGCCCGAGTTCACACAACCGCGTCTCTTCAAAAGCCTATTCCCACAGACACCACCGACAAGTTAGTTTTCCCCTAGGCGTTTATCACAAGTTTTTCATAACTCAATAAATCAAATCAATTTTTTTACATTAATATTCTTTAGACTCTTTGATGTCGCACCGGAACTCGAAAATCCGTTTGCTAATCTACCTTGGATGTACAAGGTAAAATGGACAATAGAAAAACTGCTAAAACACTGCCTAAAATCTATTTAGGTTAATTCACAACTTTTGCAAGAATACGTGCCCGAGTGGAAAGAGTTGGACTCGAACAATCAAATGAAGCATTCAATCGGTAATTGAAAGCTAAAGAGACGTTAATGATTGAAAATTTAGATATTGCAAAGCACTTGAAGTCGACTCTCAATTGGAAATTCAAGCCAATCGAAGAAGATTTTGCAAAAAACCCTGAGAAGATCGAGGACACATGGCAACAGAAAAGGGCGAACAAAGGTCGTCAATTCCTTTCGAGATGGTTAGTTTTTAAAAAATGAAGAAACATCAATGATTCAAAATCCTAGGTACGAGATGTTTGCAAATTCGCTGGAAGGTCGAGGATCAAATCTCTTGGTCGATTTCTCTCGAGCACCGAAGGGATTCGCGACGAATGAGGAGACAAATGGAAGAGACACTCCAAAGGAAAACAAAGGATGGGCTGGGCAAAAAGCTGGTATGAATTTTAATTTTTTTAAATTTTAATTCTTAACTTACAATCCCTTTTATCAGGTGGCGGAAAGAAAAGCAAAGAAGCGGTGAAATCAAAGAAAGATTTGATCTTGGAAGCAAACAAAAACGTCAAAGCGAACAAATTGATGGATGGGGAGAAAAACAAGATCAAGTTCGCTACTCAACAAAGAAATGTGAGTTTGGAAAAGTGTTCAAGATTTTAACTGCAATTTTCAGGCAATCTCTTATCTCGAGAATCTGTCGTTGGACTTACCGGAAACGAAGGCTCTTTGCAACTATGAGATTATCGTTAGAGTTGGAAGGTGAGTTTCGAAAGTTTCGAATTCGTTTTTATTTTACGAAATATTAGCCATTTATTTGCAGAGAGATGCAAGCTCGGTATGCTGGTGAAGATCACAAACGAGTCCGACAACGAGAAGCCGTTCATTTGGTCGGTCTTCTCAAGGAATCATTTATCTCTCATTGGCAACATTTGGATGAAAAACAACGTGATGATGCAAGTTTTTATAACCTTGTAGACAATAATTTCAATGTAAATCCATTTCAAATCTCTTTCAGATTGTGAACATCTGGGTTTCACTTGGCTTTGAAGCACCAGAGGGAAGAAAAGCGTCATCAGATGCGAAGAGCAAGAAGCTCGACTTGGGATTGAATATGGTAAAATATAAAAAGAAAATCTAGGTATACATATCCAATTCAGATCTATTATCAACTACAATATGCCGGAGAGTTGATCGATATTCAATCGGATCCACAAAAGGATGACCGTGTCTCCGGTTTCAGCCCTGATGCTTGGCAGAGAAAGATGTTGGACATCGTGGATCGAGGTACGAAAGCACAAAACCGAAAATCTTATTTTAAAACCAATTCAGGACAATCTGCGGTTATCATCGCCCCAACTTCGGCTGGTAAAACATTCGTCTCTTACTATTGTATCGAGAAGATTCTGCGCGCTTCCGATGAGGATGTTGTTGTTTATTTGTCTCCGTCAAAAGCGCTCACGAACCAGGTGAGTTAATAGAAAGTGATCTTTAGAGTTGCATAAATGAAAACTCAATCATTAGATGAATTATAGGTTTGCGGGTCCGTGTACGCTCGATTCCGGAACAAGTTGCTCACTCGGGGAAAAGCTCTCTTTGGAACACTCACTACTGAATATGGAACAAATGCTCTCAACTGCCAGGTTTGCCAGACACACACACTAAGCAAACATATACTGGTACTGATGTTCTAACTTTTTCAATTCCAGGTCCTTGTCACTGTGCCCGACTGTCTTGAGACTATTCTCCTCTCTACTAATCCGGTGGTTCAACAATTTGTCTCGAAGATCAAATACGTCATCTTCGACGAGGTTCACTCAATTGGGTAGGAGCACTTTTAAAACAAAGTACTTTAGCCCGCCATGGCCGACTGGCTAAGAGCCCTGTATCTTAGTCGGGAGGTCATGGTTTCAATCCTAGATATTGGGTCTTTTTCTTCCTTACATTTGGGGCTTAGGGGTTGTGCTTGTGTATTGTTCGTATCACATAAATATATTTTAAAAAGTATTTTCAAGGGCCTCCGAAGAAGCAGCTATTTGGGAACACCTTCTCCTTCTCATTCGTTGTCCATTCCTCGCTCTATCTGCCACGATCGGAAACGCGAATAACCTCTATGATTGGTTGAACACCGCCGAGACTGCAAAAAAAGAAAATCGGGGAAAGGTGTGAGAAATCAGGATTTCAAAAATGGTAATTTTTTAGGTGAATCTGATCCAATACCACGAGCGGTACTCGGAGCTTGAGTTGGCCATCCAAAATATTGATCCACCCGAGCCAATTGTGGAGACAAATGAGGATGAAGAAGAGAAACCACTCCGGATCGTTCGACCAAAAGATGGAGAGGTAGTGATGCTGAAAATTAACTTTATTGGAAAGCAAAACTTGCAGAGTGTTCTCACCCCATTGATGCCTTATGGAGTTTTCATGCCGGAGAAGATCCGAATGTTCGGGATTCCCGACGACCATCAGTTGACGGCTCGTCAGGTCTTTGATCTATATCAAATTGTTGCTGAATTTGATACCCAGACAAAGTGCGTGATAGTTATAAATCAGATAAGCTTAGCTAAAAATTATTTTTCTAGAGAAGAGCTTGAGCCATGCAAATTCTTCGGCTATGCTCCTGGAAAACCGGCATGGATCTCGAGAACGAATTTGCGAAAACTGGAAACGGAGCTGAAGAAACGGTAAACCTCACTCAATCTTTGGCAATTATAATTTTTTTTCAGTTTTATTCATTGGTTGAATCACGACGAGAAAAAGTTGTCGGCAGTCTTGAACAAATTGAGCAATCCTGTTGCAAAACAGCTCGACAATCGCTCAAAACCCTTTAATCAGGTGTTAAACATATAAAAAAGGAATAAATAAGGATTTCAGAAAAAAGTTTCCCAAGAAAACATCGTTGGTTTGATCGAAGAACTCCAAGAGGAAAGCATGTTACCTGCGATTTGTTTCAACGACGATCGTTTCGTCTGCGAGAGCCTGGCCACCATGTGAGACGAGTTTTCTTTAAGAAAAATCAAGCTCAATTTAGACTTTGTGACGTGCTCGAGAAAAAACAAACTGCTTTTGAGGAAAGCGCTGAGTTCAAGGAAAAATATGAAATCAAGAATGAAGAGGTTTGAGGAGTGAGGTGATTGCTTGAAAGAAAAGTTTTAGAAGCTTCTGAAAATGGCAAAGCGCAAGCGAGACGCTGCGGATAAGAAAAAAAAAGGAGATAAGGTTCGAAGCTTATATTTTGCTGTGCTTTAGCCAAAGTTTTTATTTTTAAAGTTCCAAAATTATAGCCCGAAGATGAGCCACAAGAGGAAGATGAGGACTTTGATCCATTTGCTGCACAAAGGCAAAAACTCAAAGAAGCGCTGGCAAAGTGGGAGTTTGTAGCTACAAATAGGTTCCAAGAAAAATTAAAAAGGCAACTTGTGATAGAAAGTATCAAAACGATTATTCAGGTTTCGCCTGCATGGCCGAACGGCGCAGAATGACGATGTCTACGATAAAATGGTCGAGAGAATGGCGAGACAGGCAAAAGGGCGAGAGAGCACAAGGTGATCAATGACTAGAATTTATTGAAAACAACAATTTAGACTATTGTTGCGCTTATTCGAGCGAGGAATCGGTTTCCATCATGCTGGTCTTTCGATGGTCGAAAAGGGAGCTGTTGAAGTTCTCTTCCGTAGCGGCCATTTGGCCATCATCTTCTCGACGAGTACACTCGCTCTTGGGTTAGTTTTTTAAAAAACTTTCGTTGAAAAAGATTTATGCAATTGTTTCCAGAATGAACATGCCTTGTAAGACGGTTATATTCGGTGTGGACACGCCATTCCTCACTCCTCTCCTCTATCGACAAATGAGTGGTCGTGCCGGACGAAGAGGATACGATCATGCTGGAACCGTTATCTTCATGGCTCTTCCCACGAGGTAATTAGTTATAATTATTAGGCTGTCCAGAAAATCTTTTCGATGCTTTTCGTACTTCCGTTGAAAAATAACCAATTCACCAATTAACCTATAATTTGCTCTAAAAAGTGTTCATTGTTCAATTTCGGTTCACTTTCAAGCAAATTCATGAAAACACGTGTTTTTCGTAAAAAAATCTGTAAAAACCTTTACGAAGAAATTGGGTGAATGAATTTTGGTGGATGAATTTGGCTATATAACTTTTTGTGCTCTACCTTTTATCTATTGATACCAAAACGAGTTTCCTTAGCTAAAGTGTCTAAACCGTATCATGGAACCGTCCCACTTTTTTTCTACCCGACTTTGCGCTCCCAAAAAAATCCAGACATAAGACATTTTTAAAGCCGTTTTAATGTTATTTTGCAGAAAAATAATTGGTCTTTCTAATGAGACAAATTGTAGTTCAATTGGTTTGTTGGTTTTAAACGGAAGTACTGAAAAGGACCGAAAAGACTTTTTGGACAGCCTATTAGTACAGACTTCCAAGAACTTATTTCACTACTATAAAGCCAGCTTTACCTGCCGTGAGCCTGTTTATATTATGACATCTTTTCAGCAAGATTCGCCGTCTTCTCACCGCTTCCTTATCAACACTTCACGGAAATCCACCATTCACAATCTCTTATTTGCTTCGTTTGCTTGCTTTTGTTCATCAAGAAGATGTTCCAAATTCCCTCGAAAAGAACGCTCCTCCAATCAGCACGCTTGCTCATCGAACCAAGGTTGGGAAATTTGGTAGAAAAGACTAGGTGAAAAATCTAACTTCTAATTAATACAGATCAACAAGTATCTCATTTTTCAGATTGTTTTGACTCTTATTCAAAACTCGTTCTCGTTGTTCACCCGGAAAGAGGCTGACAATGGAACCCTTCAAAAACAGCTTCGCATTTACACGATTTTCTCTGTTCAAATGCTTCGACACTTGCAGCTCATTGATGAACAGGTTTGGAAAAAAGAATAGCTTCAGTTTTTACCTTCAAATTTCCAGTGCAATGTCTCTGGCCTTTCTCAATTGGCTTGCTTGCTTCAAGGTGCTGAACCTGGTAATCTTCTCTTCATCTATCTTCTTCAAAATGGTGAGTTATCAAAAGTCTACAATATCTCAAATACTTGAACTTCTCTTATAGATGTTTTCCATTCGATTTGCAAGAAGTACACTGGTGAAAAGCTGAAGCGGAAAATTCTCGTCATCATGGCAAATCTTTTTACCAGGTTTGTAGAAGAAGAGGCTAAAATTTCATTGCAAAAATAGTTAAGATAAATAATTCTAGAATATATCTGCCACCGTCATTTGATCCAGAAGACAAGAGCACTTATCCATCGGACACACAATGCCAAATCTTCCTCGATTCACTACCTGAATCAGTGCAAAGCAAAGTTGAAAAGTGATTTTTTTTTTGTCTACAACTTCATCTTCATCATTTTTATGTCTATAACTTCTTTAGATTTAACGAGACAGCAATGAAATTGTTCACTCATTTGATGTCCGCCGTGAACCCCGAAAAGAGTTTATGGGTAAATTTTTGTATTTAAAACTTAAAAAGAATGCTTATTTTTAAAATTCTATCCTTTACAGGAGGATTCCTTCTTGGTGACCGGCTCCGAGCCAACGGAAACGACACTTTTCAACGAGGATTTGGTGACACCCCATTTCGCGGGAATTTCTCATGATGATTCGTTCTTGCCCACTCTCAATCTTGCCCCCAAAGATCATCGCGGAAGAAGGGTGAAGCATTTAGAAGCTTTATATTATATTATATTTTTAAACGGGTACTGTTTTCACTACCCGAGTGTAAATTATTCAAGTTGCAATGCCGAATGTGTTCAACTTTTTAATTGAAGAGCGTCAAACATATTTAATCTTTTAAATATAGTGTAGTCTTACAGTACTTTACAGTAAAGCTACACTGTTAATAGCAAGGTTCCAGTTCTACTTGAACGCTTACGCGATCGACTTCTGGCATAATGAGTCGCGACGACTCTTGGAGGCGGCCAACAAATTGGCCACCAATCAAATGTGGTACTTGTTACACGATTTCAAGGTTTGTATAATAGATAAAGTAATGGATAAATTTTAATTTAAAAATTAAGAACTTTAAAGGAAAAATTTTAGAGCATTCTCGAGAAAATCTCGGTCGGTTTGGAGTCGGTCGCTCGACCACAAGATCCTTTCGCCGAAGTGATGAAGGTAAGGTGTTTGAGACTGATTATAACAAATTATCACGCTTGATACTGTTTTAAATCTAAACAAGTCAATCTGAAATGAAATCCATGTGTTAAATGAAATAATGAGTCATTTTTAGGAAATTGCTCGTGAATACGACTCGAAATTCCGAAGCGCTTTCGGAATGAAACACAAAAGTGGACTCTAGGGGCTCTTTTTCCCCATTTTCTTCTTATATTTTCTTGTGATTTTCCCAGTCGTCGATATCATATCTACAGTGGTATCTAAATCCGGGTCTAGTACTATTTTTTCTTGTTATTTTTCTTTTTTTCACTTATTCAACTCTTTTCAAATCCGTTTTTTAATAGAGTAGTCCTGCGATGTAATTTTTCTCAAAAATGTTAAATGTTTGCAAGAAATGGTTTGCTTAATCTTTCTGGTTACAGTACCCTAGTCGTAAAGGGAATTTTGGGCATTGTTATAAATTTATAAATTTACAGCAGAAGATCTTTTTGTATCATCTACAGTGCAAAAGAAAAATCCTTGAAGAAAGAGGCCGAAATGTCTAGCGAGGTGTTCTTTGTGTGGCCGTGTAATCGCTCTCCATCTGACAAACCGCTTCGGTAGAAGGTGCTTCCCTTTTGGAGGGGGAAAGAGCGATGGGCGACTGACCTGGTTTCGCCGTTTTAGGCGCCGCCATGCCCAGACTTTTGGGGTCAAATTTTGCCTTAAGTATGGCTGTTTCTCCTCGAAATTCCGCATCTCGTTGAACCACTTAAAAAGTTGTTTTGTCTCCTAATTCCCCAGGATCAACCTCCATCAACAGTAAAAAACACTACAGTATGACAAGTACAGTAATCCTGGACAGATTTCAAAACAGTAATCCAAGTACAGTAATCCTGGACAGATTTCAAAACATCCAAAAAATCAATTTCTGATCAAGAAAGTGACAGGATCTTTCCCTTTTTCGGTGAGATTTCTCTCCTTTTTATCCCTTGAATCAAAAATGAAAACATTTTCGCGGAGAACGAGATCTCGACACACCAACACAAACATAATGACTCTCCTCGAGTCACAATCAATTCCCGACAAAAGTCACCATGTCAATCAAATTTATTCTACTCTGTTTACATTTAGTATTGGGTAAAATCACATTGCTTTGATAATGATTTAAAAAAAAAAAATTTAGGTGATTATCTGGACGTGAATCAATGCTTCAGTCAGCGACCCGGCTACGAGGTGTCCGTGAGGGTGAATGAAGTGAAAACAACAGCTGTTGTTGAAATGAAAGTTTGTACTGATTTCCTCTGGTACTAGGTTTTAGAAAAACGAAACTATACAAGAAAATTCTCTGTGTTGTTACAAAAGGGTAAATTTGTCTAGGATGAATGTCTTCGTGCCTGTTTGAGGACATTGATCGAGCCGGGCGAACGCTGTCTTTCTATTATGCACATGCCTCGTGATAATGTATGTTTTTAAATGTTAAAAAAAAATCATTTCCTTTTCATCGATCTAATCACTTATCAGAATTGCATAATTTCGAATGCGATTGGGCAAAATATTGCAAAAGCCGATGATACAACGAAAAAGCACACAAATTACTACGAAAATGAGTGTGCCAAGCCACCGGGTGAGTTCTTGAAAATGAGTACTTTAGAAATATCGATAGGTATTTAAAGATTAAAAATGATATGCTGAAAGAGTTTAGTCGGTGGACAAGTGGAGGCTCGGCTCTCTGGTTACCGTGGCGCTGAAGGTGTCCTTCAAATGGCACAAGTAAACATCTTAACAAATCAAAATTCACTATAGAATTTCATTCTATTGATCTTTGATAGGAAATTAGGTGCTAAATGATTTTTTTTTTTAGAAATAAAGTCATTTTTATATTTAGAAACACGGAGATAAAGCGAAGATTATGGTTGTGATGACAGGATTGGCGGCTGGTAGAGTGAGTCAAGCATTATCAAGGAAATTATCAAGCTTTTACTTCTAGGACTACTCGATCTATTATGCTCCTGAGTTAAGCAAAGAACAATGTCGAAAAGTGCATACAATTCACAATGCAAAAGTCGGAGAACGATTGGTTATTGTTGATTCGGATCATAGTGGAATGGGCATTCAGGTTTGTTTCCATTATTAAATCACCATTTTGAAATGATCTTTAGCCGTGGACGGAAATCAATTGGGAAATTCTTGATGATGATGTTCTTAACAAAGTGAGAGGCTGATAAGATTTTGACTTTAAAAAAGAAAGAAAAGAAAGATCAGTGTTGATATGCAAAACGATAGAAAACGATTGCAAAACAATTGCAAAACAATTTTCTAGGTTCTCGTTGTCGCTGAGACGAATTCTGGCTTGGTAGTTGATTGTGGAGAGATTAAACTTCGTGGAAATCGGTAAAAATTAGCATGCTATCATCAATCTCCAATTTTAGAAGTGAATGGGATGTTGCGGTAAATGGATCAAATGATTTCCCCTTCTTCGCTTTCCCATTTCTCATTTTATTGACTCTTCTCTTCAATAGATATTAGAAAAACTGATTAATGAATGATTTGAATAAGATTCAATAAAATTATTCGAGAAATTTGTTCAGTTCTTTGCAACGTCAAAGCATCTAAACAAACACGCTCGGGGAAAACACATTCTATCAATATTGCAAAGGTTTAAGGCTTGTAAAGTTTTGCTTTTCAAAAAACGAACATTATTAGTGTTAGCTATTTGAAAAGTCTAAATTCTAAAGGCTAAATTTTTTTATAATCTTTATAGTTATTGAACAAGAAGGGGGCTTTTTGTACGTGGCATCTATCGACTTCTTTCCTTTTTTTGCCCTTTTTCTTTTTCTTTTTCTTTCTCTCTTGTTTTCTCTCAATTTTCTCATCCTTTCGCATTCTTTTTCTACTTTGTCCACAAAAAAAATCTGCCATTAGCAAATAATTCAAGCAATTTTTTCTTGGATTATATAAATTTTCAATTTGTTTTTTTGTTTCTTTAAGATTTAGATTTGGTTTTCAAGAAATTTATAACAATTTTAATTGTAATTGTAAAATTGTTAACAATGAACTTTTTACGTCAAAAAGATCCGTTTTTCAAGTTTTGTCATGTCATGTTCTCCATAAGTCAAGTTGTATGCAACTAAAGTATCATTTTTGAACTCTCATTTTTTATCAGACTCTCATTTTTTGTCAAATCCTACCTTCTGGATCGATTTCTTGATCATCGAGATCATCGAGATGCTCAAGCGCTTTTTATGAACTTTTTACGCCAAAAAGATCCGTTTTTCAAGTTTTTTCATGTGTTCTCCATAAGTCAAGTTGTATGCAACTAAAGTATCAGCTTTGAAAAGCGACTCTCATTGTAATTGTAATTGTAAGCTTAATTGTAAAAAAACGATCAAAAAAAACTCAATCCTTTATTAGCTTTCTTTAGTTTGAAATTGAGATTTGAATCTTTAAAATAAAAAGGAGGCTTCACGTTGGCTTTTGTTGAGGAAAAGACTTCGATGTCTATCTCTGCCCTTTTCCCCTCCTTCCCCCCCCCTCCCCCTTCCAATCCACGTCCAACCCCGTGTCGAATTCACGAATTCATTCACCTTTCCTCCTCATCCTCCATCCTCTCATTTCTATTTCTTCTCTATTCATTCTCTTTCATTTTTATATTCAACTTATTTCAATTTATATTCATGGGCAAGTTTTTTTTGATTAGTAATTTCATTTCATGAAAATCCTATCGAAATTAATGTTTATTTAGGAAACGAGGTGAGTTCAGAGACTGGAATGGGTGAAGCAGATGCCGTGCAAGCAGAGCCTATTCGAGTGCTTGTCACTGGTGGATCGGGAATGGTCGGGAAAGCTATTGAACAGGTAAAAAGCAATAACTAATAATAGAGCTAAATACTTTTTTGATATTTCCAGGTAGTGAACACTGTTGAGAAACGGTCGAATGAGACGTGGATTTTTGTGGGTAGCAAGGTTTGGGAAAAAAAAACGATAGTCTTTCAGAAAAGGCTTTTAGGATTGTGATCTAACCGATTTAGCAGCAACAAGAGCTCTTTTTGAAAAGGTCAGTCATTTGTCAAAGAAGAAAATCGTTTACTTTACCTTTACCTTTACTTCCCCTTTGTATTCCCTTTTTCTTCTCCAAGAAAGAAATACCCGTTAGCTCAGTGGTTAGCGTGTCGGCCCGGAAAACGGTCGAGTCGGAAAGGGGTCGAGGGTTGAATCCCCTCTCCGGAAATTTTTCTTTACCATTCCTTGCTTTAATTTCTTTGCCATTACAGGAGAAACCGACTCATGTCGTTCACTTAGCGGCCATGGTTGGAGGCTTATTCCACAACTTGGCTCACAATTTACAATTTTTCCGCAAGAATATGGTAAAGAATCTAGCAAGATCTTCATAAAATATTCATCTTTAAGGCTATAAACGACAACGTTTTGGCAGCATCGCATGAGTTCAATGTGCGCAAATGTGTTTCCACACTCTCCACGTGCATTTTTCCTGACAAAACCACGTATCCAATCGATGAGACAATGGTTTGGGGGGAAATATTTTAAATATTAGAATTTAATGTTAATGTTAAGCAATGTAAGCAATAAACGATTTCTTAGGTACACAACGGACCGCCACATGACTCGAATTTTGGGTATGCTTACGCGAAACGAATGATCGATGTGTTGAATAAAGGATATGAGACGGAGCATCAAAGAAGGTTTCTTTAAAGATTTACCTTATCAATCTTGATAAATAGCTTACAATAGCTTACAATAGCTTACAATACACGTCGAATTTTAGATACACTTCTGTGGTCCCATGCAACGTGTTTGGCCCCTTCGACAACTACAATTTCCAAGACGCTCATGTGCTGCCCGCTCTCATTCATAAAGCCTATATTGCGAAGAAAGAGGGAAAACCGCTTGTGGTGATTAAGAAAGAAATATTTGATGAATTTCTTTATCATTTTAGTGCTTTGGCTCGGGCACTCCTTTACGACAGTTTATCTACTCGCTTGACCTCGCTAGGCTTTACGTTTGGGCAGTTCGACACTATGAGGTAGAAATGGAAAGGAAAAGACCCAAAATCTAACATGTTAAATATTGTTAGACATGTTTAAGAAGTGCTATAGTAAATCCCTAACTCCTGTTTACTCTTTACAAACTCCAGGAAATTGATCCAATCATTTTCTCTGTTGGCGAAGAGGACGAGGTATCGATTCAACAAGCTGTCAATGGGGTTGTTAAGGCGATCGGTTTTGAGGTAAATTTTGGATATTACAAGCTATATGTAACACCTCACTTGCCAGCTTTTAATCGAGCTTGCATTTGCCAACGAAAGAATTGATATGCTTTTGAATAGGTGGAGTCGAGATTCTTTAAGTTTACATTGATGTTCAATTGAACCCACCAGCCTTTTCGATAAGATACCCAAAAACACTTGGAGTGGTTAATTTCGATAAGAAATAAATCCGAAAACAATAACAATTTAGGGAGAAGTGATTTGGGATCGAGAGAAAGCTGATGGACAATACAAGAAAACGGCATCAAATGCGAAACTCCGCAAATATCTACCCGATTTCAAATTTACACCTTTTGATGAAGCGATTAAGGTTGTTTTTTGGTTTTGGTTAGGATAGGGATTCATAAAACTCAGTTTAGAAACAATCAAAACCGATCTCTAATTGGTAGACTTCATAAAATGAATGATAAAATACCTCCAATCAATCCCAATCAATTCCAACCAATTCCAATCAATCCCAACCAATTCCAATCAATCCCAATCAATCCCAACCAATTCCAATCAATCCCAATCAATCCCAATCAATCCCAACCAATTCCAATCAATTCCAATCAATCCCAACCAATTCCAATCAATCCCAATCAATCCCAATCAATCCCAACCAATTCCAATCAATCCCAATCAATCCCAACCAATCCCAACCAATTCCAATCAATCCCAATCAATTCCAACCAATTCCAATCAATTCCAATCAATCCCAATCAATTCCCCGACCCTAAAAACCCCTGGGTACAAATTTACAGCTTAATAGCTTCTTTTCTTAATAGCTAAACCAGATTTACAAAGCAAAAGAGAAACTGTGTAAATGATTGCCGAGGTGTTCTTTGTACGGCCACGTAATCGCGCTTCATCTGGCAAACAGCGCCAGCATAAGATGCTTTTCAAAAGCACGCGTAAGAGGTAAAGAAGCGCTTAGCGAGTGACCTCGTTTCCCCCTTTTCGACCTCACTATGATCAAATCTTTGAAATGAACTTTTGCCTTAAATTTGCCTAAATTTACTCACAAATTCTAAACCATTCTCTATTAATTTAAATCATCAAATTTTAGCATTCGGTCGACTGGTTTGTGACCAACTTCGAAACAGCCAGAAAATAAGGGAGTTTTTGTACGGGAAAATTTTTGTTTCACTCTTTTCATTTCATTCTGTGATAATCCATTTATAAGTGCTTTTTATGATTTTTACCTAAAAATATTCAACGAATAAACGATTTAACATTTAATGAAATCAAGTAAAAGAGACATAAAAAATGATCAAACATTGAGCTGTTTTTTGTTTTTCTTACAATTGATTGTAGATCTGGATCTGGCTCTGAAATTAGCTTATGTGAAAGAAAGTGGAAACGAAAATGCAGTCAATGAAGCGAAATTTGGGTCTTTGAGATGGAAAAGATCTCCAAGGTACTCTCGAGGTACTCTCGAAAGTACTCTCTTTTGAAAAGGTTAGAGGAAAGTCGATTCACTTCAAATGTCCATACTTCCGCTCACAACATTTCACCGAGAAATACACGAGTTTTCATTTTCATCTTCTGAAATTATTCTTCTTCTTCATCTTCATCAGTTATTCTTATTATTTACAAGAGAAACGATTAGTGTTAGCATGCTAGCAAGCTTTGAATTTTTGACGAGTTTGTTCGCTTGCTCGCATCGATTGCTTTTCTGGAAAAGCTGCTAGCTATTTGATGATTATCAATAGTGATTAGGGCTCTATTATACAAAATAGTAAGCCGTTAATAGTTACCGTATTTCTTTGAATAGAAAACCGGGTAAAGAGTAGCATAGCGTACTCCTGCGTAGCAGCCCTTTTTAAAATTTCTTTTCTGCATAAAAGCTTTCAATGAAGTGCTATAGGGCTGGAAAATGACTCAAAAATACCACATGAGCTAACAGATTTTTGAGCCATTTTCCAGCTCTATAGCACTTCATTGAAAGCTTTTATGCAGGAAAGAAGGGCTGCTACGCTTTAAAAATTGCTGCTACGCAGGAGTACGCGATGATACTCTTTACCCGGTCTTCTATTCGAAGAAATACGGTAATACAAAATAGTAAGCCGTTAAAGTGTGTCTAAGTAACGAAAACCTATAGTACTTTTTTCCTTTTCTATCTTTTTATCTATCTTTTTCTTCGTTTCCTTTTCCTCAACAATGGATAATTTTTGTGTATTTATTGGCGTGATAGTTGTCACTAATTGCAACGTGATCCCCCCGTCCATTCTTGGATAGTTTATAAAAATCTTTCTCTCCACGCTGCCTGGGAATTCTTTTATCTCCCAAGCTTTTCCATCATCATCATCATCGATTCCCATCAAATTGTTATAAAAACGATCGTGATTTATTTGATGATCTAATGGATAAGCTTGCCTTTAACAAGATAAGCTCATTAATCTTTTTGCTGTTATTGCTTGACTCTCTTGCGCTTGAGCATCTCGATGATCTCGATGATCAAGAAATCGATCCAGAAGGTAGGATTTGAGAGAGAAAAATGAGAGTCTGATAAAAAATGAGAGTTCAAAAATGATATTTTAGTTGCATACAACTTGACTTATACAGAACAAATGACAAAACTTGATGCGGATCTTTTTGGCGTAAAAAGTTCATTGGTTTTCTTCTTTCAAAAGTTGACTTTCAGGTGTACAGTCGAGATAGAAGACCTGTAAAAAATGAAAACAAACCAGTGGAGGTTGATTAGAAATTAGAAATTAGAAAAAAAAAAGAAAATTTACATTTTATTGCCAGGTCAAAGTGCATTATCATGTGATTCATTTGGCTGTCGATGAAGAAGAAGGAGTTCTTTGGCTGCATGGGCACCTTTATATGGTTTGTAAAAGTGTAAAAGTGATCTATTTGATGATCTAATTTGATAAGCTTTGCCTTTAGCAAGATAAGCTCATTAATCTTTCTAAAAAAAAACTATAGACATGGTCGGATGAGTTTTTGGGATGGGATTCCACAAAATACAACGGGGTTCGAATGACAAGAACAAGAAAATGGAATATCTGGAATCCAACTCTACGCATACATAACACGTGAGTTAAAGTAAAAGCTCAAAAGGCTCATTGCTCAAAAGGAAAACAACTTTTAGAGTTTCTGGAGCACAATCAAATTGGGAAATCTCCCGTAGCTCTCATGTAATCATCACCTCCAGGGGAGAATCATTTGCTCAAGTTTGATTCATTTCCCCAAATCAATAAAGTAAGCTTTAGATTGAAGTCTATCCAACGATGAGCCTTAAAGTTGGCTGCCACTTTGACTTTACGTTTGTTTTCTTTCACTTAAAGTATTTGAATGTTCAACTTTAGCGACTTTCCCGATGATGAGCAACGATGTTCAGTTCGGATGTTTGCCAATGAGAGAATGCCCGAAGTGCAATTGAAATTCTATGGAGAGTTGCCGTCTACAGTTCTTTTAGGTAAGTTGGACAAGCCACTGGGGGACAAAAAGATCTGGCAGCGGCGGGACTCGAACCCGCGGACCCCAGTCGACCTCCCGCTTTCTGGCCTAATGCTCTACCAATGAGCCAGACCGACAGACCTTCGGTGCCGCCAGAGAAGAGTCTTATTCTTTAATGGTAAGCAAAGAGATCGATTTGCAGGTTGGGGCAGTCAATCAATGAAAAAGAAAGTCGGCTCATGGGAGTTGATAGACACAAAGAACACTGTGGAATATTATTCAGCTGGCAATTATTCAACAGAAGTCCCAGTTTTAGTGGAAAAGATTTCAAGGACATGGTTTGTTTAGATAAGTTTTCTTTCGATAAATTCTCTAGGACAATTCTTGAGACAACTTTTATTCTCCGTCGCCACGCGCCTCTTTTCACATATTGCTTCAAATTGCCTTGTCTTGTCTCGACTCTTCTCGCGATTCTTCCATTTTTCTTACCAAATATTCATCACTCAATTGTGATTTTAGGTTTGTTTAAAAAAAGAAAGATAAAAAGAAAGATCTATTTTTTGAAATCATTAAAGAATAACGCTAAAATTTAGTGACAAACATTGTGATACAAGTGGTATTTATGCATGAGTTGGTTATGAAAACGCCACTTGCTATTGGGAGTCTACCGAATACGGGTTTTTTCTTAAACTTTTGAAATAATGTCTGAAAAATTGAGTCTAACTGATTCTAACTGATTCTAAGTGATTCTAATAGAGTCTAACTGATTCTAACTGAGTCTAACTGAGTCTAACTGATTCTAACCGATTCTAAGTCATTCTAACCAATTCTAAGTGATTCTAACTGATCCTAACTGGTTCTAACTGATTCTAACTGATTCTAACTGATTCTAACTAATTCTAACTGATTCTAACTGATTCTAACTGATTCTAACTGATTCTAACTGATTCTAACTGATTCTAACTCATTCTAACTGATTCTAACTAACATACAACTCTCAATTCCAGTATTATTCTACGGGTTATCGCTTGGATGGAATGGTTTATGCTTGGGTTTTCACGTGGCTTGTCTCTGGGCACCGCGTGCTACCCCCGGGATGCCGATTCTTAATCCATTAGCTCTGTTTTCTCCCGAAAAATCATCAAATAACGAAGAAGGTTTTGACCTCAAAAATATCGAAAAATCCAAATTTACAGACAGCTTGCCCGCATTGTTGTCGGCTTTTCGAACGATCATTGGAATCTTCAGCCTTTTCCTCTTTGCTTCTTTTTATCTTTTTCTTGTCGTACTGTAATCTTTCCATCAAACTGTTTATTAAAAAGAAAATAAAAATTCTTGAAGAAAGTTATTGTTTTAAGCCCATCCACCGGGCAATTTCTCTCCACCTTCTTCGACACTTTTATAGAAAAGATTGCCACGCTCGTTTTGCTCCATTTCAATCGATTCGAAGAGTGCCTTGAAGTTTCCAGCTCCGAATCCCTGAAAGTTGGTTTGTTTTTCTTTTCTTTAATATCTTTACCTGATGATTGTGCCTTTGGATAACCTCCAAGAAAAGCGTAGGACGATCCTGACAAGGTTTCGAAAAGATCTGAAAGGTGAGTAAGTTTAAACTTTTGATCTTCCAAAAAATCTTTTCTATTTTTTTTTGAAACCTGTAAAAGATATCCATTCTCATCAAAATCAACAAGGATTTTCAATTGTTGAAGAACGGAGAGATCCTCTGTCACCTGAATAACGTTTTTTTTAAAATGATTTTGAATTCTCTTGAACCTTTGTGCGTGAATGTTTCAATCTCTCACGAAGATTATCATAGTAAGTGTCGGGAATCGAAAGAAACTCCAAACCGCGAGCTCTGAAAGCTTTGACTCACGCGTTGACTCTCTTTTTCTTACCGTAAAGCGCGAATGGCTCCAATGATGTCAGAAGTGTTTAGGGCAATGTGCTGAACTCCGGCACCTCCATAATAGTCCACGTACTCCTAAGATAATGAATTGATTGAGTAAATCGTCTTCCAAGAAATCTTTTCTATTTCTATACCTGAATTTGTGAGACAGCTCGACGGCCTTCAGCCGGCTCATTGATCGGCATCTTGATTGTCTCCTCGTAATTGGTGACCACAATCGAGCGAAGCGCTGAGTATTCGGTGTGAATCATTGAGTCATCCACTGACCAAAAACTGAAATCCCAAATTCTCTTTCAGATTAACAATAGATTTGTGTACCGATGAAAGGTGAGCACGTTCTCGTACCACTTCACCGCGGACTCCATCTCGAGATCCGGTTGATTGCCCACACAATGATCAATGAAATTCAATCCAGCCTAAATTCTTTTCAGAATTGTTCAAACTTTTAGACAAACCCTGGGTAAAGTTTGCCAGAATGTTTTAGGACTAGGGTGCTCCTTAAAGCCGGGCAAGAAAAGACCACGATAGTTCTTTCGTTCGAGAAGTGTGTGAAGTGTGTCTCCATACTAAATAAATATTTATTTTCTTTAGTACTTTATGCGGAAACTGGAAACTAACTTTATCTGCGGAAACTGCGGAAACTAACTAACGGAAACTAACTAACGGAAACTAACGCTCACCGTTTTCACGGAAGCATATTTAACAGTTCCATGCTCATCACTCTCCTCGGTGACATCTCGTACCACTTCAGCTCCGGCTTTCTTTGCCGTTTTGATGATCCATTCCACATCATCTACCTATATTTGTTTGAAATTTTGGACCATTCTTTGGTGACTTGTTTGTAAAAATTGTTGTTGATTGACAACTGCTTGAATACTTTTGTTGATTGACAACTGCTTGATTTACAATCGAAATAAAATCAGCCTATTGGCATTCTGATTGATTTGGGATTATAAAAGTTCGCAACTCTCAAGCCTAGGTTGTAAATCATGATATGATCAGTTTTCCCGAGACTCTATCATTTGAGAGATAAACTGACGATTAGTTTTACCTCAAAGGCAACATCTTTGACCCCATCGCCGTGTTGAATTAGGTGATCACCGATCTCGTGATTGCCGGGGATGAGCGCTGTTTCGAAAACAAAAATAATCTAAATGGACCATCGATGAAATGCAATTTTGAGAATTTTGAGAGATTTTCAACCTTGTTTTGGCGAATTGCATGCTGGGTGATGAGTCGACTTCCCGTTTCCAATCCTTTGTATGCAAATGGCTCGAAACCAAAGTGGGTACAGTACCAGGCAGCCGCCTAAACTTTAATTCTTTCAAGGATTTCATTTTTATTTCGCTTTTGTTATTTAAAAAAAAAGCGGATCAAAACCGTCACGTGCAAAGATTCCCAGAGAAAAAGATTAGAGAAACGTCTTGAAAAGGGAAATTTTGTGTGGTTGTGAATGATTGATTTGTCGCGTTTTCCGTTATGACGGCCGAGATTTAATCCATTTTCGAAATAAACTAGCCAGGGTAAAATTTTCAGTACGTTTTTGTCGAAATAAAAAAAATGAAAGTACCTGTTTGGCATTTCCGACCAAGAATCTCACATGATCAAAACTGATGAATTGTCCATTATCGGGCTTGGCCCCTTTGTCATAGGTTGTCTAAATTAAAGTGTGTTCCTATTGGATAATGCGTTTTCTAAAATGCACGTAGTTGAGAAAACTATCGTAGTCAAAACGTTAGTTTACATGCAATCAATCCGATTTTGGTATCATTCGATGAGGAATGACAAGGCTCAATCAATGATACCAAAATCGAACTGATTCCATGTAAACTAACGGTTTGACTACGATAGTTTTCTCAAATAGGTGCATTTTAGAAAAGGCATTATTCGATAGGAGGAAATAAACATTACAATTTAGACACACTCTAGTCTAAATTGTAATGTTTATTTCCTTCGGGAGTTTATCGTTTTGAGAAGCGAACTTTCTAGATGTTTAAGTCAAAAATTCAAAAGAAAACGCCGATTTCTTTTGGGGTCAAATAGTTAGGTTCAACGATTTCATACTGTAGCAAGATCGTTTTCCATTAGGCTATTATAGAACTTTTCAAAACACTTACCATATTTGAATATAGGTTTAGAGCAAAGTGTGTTACTCGAGCTAAATGCCTCGTGTGGATTTATGAGCAGGTACAGTGGGGGTGGAGCCTAGCGAGGCACGTGGGAACACGAAGACACCCTAGAAATAGAGCTAGGTGATAGAGTTAATCACTATTTTTGGAGTCGATCGAGTCGCAGAGATTGACAAAAAAATGTCGAAAGGAGAGATTTCGACGAAATTCCCCGAGAGACGAACACAGTTGTCAACGAAAGAGGCTGCAGGGTGAAATCGTGGAAATGTCGAGGCTGATCTCTTGTCAGAGATATCATAAACTACGCAAGGAGTTCAATCAACTAATCAGCTTAAGCATAGGCATTATATATAGTATTGCATATCATTAACTTGGGATACAATCAAATATAGTAATTTCAAACGTTGGATTAAAAAACGAGAAAAGGCAAAAAAAAACAAAGATTTTGGTGAAGAATGACCTAAAACTGAACACCTTTTATCAAGAATCACCTAAGCTGAACTAAGAATACGCAAACTCCGGACATGTTTAGAAAAGCGGGGTAGTTGTTTTGACGGTACAGCTGAAATCGCGAAAAGTGCTCTTTTTGTGATTCAAGTCGTTTCTAAACTGTTCCCCAAGTAGGTTACAGTAATTTTTGTCGAGCCAGCTTTTGTGCATTTTTTACAATTACCCACCGTAAATACTCTTATGGAAGCTCCCATGCTCATAATTACGTTTGCAACGTTGCGACAATTACGACGGACGCTTCGTTCTCCGCGCTGTTTTATGCTACAATGTGCGCTTGGGTGTCAATAGATAGCCCTTGAATTCAGCTATCTTTGGATACCAAAATCATAGTTGGAAAAAATCTGGGGGCTAAGAAAAAATGATCTTGTAAACAAATTTATCGACTACGGGACTGTACGGAGGTGGGCTTCTATTAGAGTATTTAGGGTAGTTGTTTTTCTCTAAATTTCTCATTCTATCCAGCTACCGCCTACCCATCGAATTTTCCCAATTGCGATACTTTTTTGTTTTCAGTTGTTTAACGACTAACATGAGAGTAAATTTGTTTTTTAGTGCAACTTCAATCCATCTCTTCGAGATGGTGATCAATGAAGCCAAGTCACACCAAATATACACTTATCCAGGTGATTATTTTGTATCTTATGTTCGAACAATTTTCTAATTAAGAAGATAGTCAAAATTCGGTAAAGCAATGGTCGCATTCTTACAAATTGCCGTTTTTGGAAGTGTTGTCGAAGCGGGGAACTCAAAGCGATCAAAAAATCAAAGAATTAATTCGAGAAGTTGGTTTCACTTTTATTTAAATCCGGCTAGATGCTTATTTTGGGAGTGGGACAAATGCGACCTTTCTTTGTGCACCCGGACATTTGCGCACCTTCTTTTCCGCACCTTGCCCATTAGCGCACCTTTTTTCGCGCCTTAAAAAAGCTCTAAAAAGCTAATATTAACCAATTTCTATTCCAAATGTTGTTTTTCTAGGTAATTTGAGGGTGTCGAATTCAGATTTTGACATAACAGAGCGTGTGGAACCAATTTGAAAGACAAAACGGCTAGATCAAATTACAGAAAATTGGCGATCTTTCTCTTTGTATAACTCCGCCCGTTCGCCTCCACAAGCTCTAATATGCCAAAATTTCGATTCTACGCCCTAAAATTACCTAGAAAAACAACTTTTGGAATAGAAATTGGTTAATATTAGCTTTTTAGAGCTTTTTTAAAACGCGAAAAAAGGTGCGCAAATGTCCGGGTGCGCAAAAAAAAGGTCGCATTTGTCCCACTCCCGTTTATTTTAGCTAACACTGCTGGCTGAAAAACTCATAAATGATTCGAATCCGCAGAAAGAAAATTTAATTTGGTCCCTCCAATCTCTTCCATCTGAAATTTTATCATATTTTAAAGTATTTTCATAAAATTCTTCCAAAAGCTAGAGTTTTAATTCAGAGCGTGATTCAAATTGCAAAGCCTCTCTTGGCGAAAATGTTAGCGGCGCGCTGTCTGGCGTTAAAGCTATTAAAAAACTGCACACACAATGCTGGTTTTTCGAAGGGAGTTTCCAGGTTGATTGTATCTTTTTGATGTTTCGACGAATTATTTTTCAGGAGCTGATTCGTTTATTCACCCCACATTACTTGAAAGTTGGGGGGGAAATTTTTGTATGTTTATCACGAATTCAAAGCTAAACATTGATTCAGAACCATAATGCAAACTCAAAACAAAAGTCACCATTGCTCGATTAACACAGTTTTAACGGTATTTTTTATATTATTTATTTAACTCTGGTTCTACGTTATTTTAACGTTCACTTTTAAGATGTTGGCCGTGATTCCAGAGATTCGGCTTCACATTGCAAAAAATGTCAACCAATCAAGCGCCTTCAAAGCCATTTTTCATGTCTTTTATTTTTCGTATTGGGTAAGACATCTGTAAAACTGGTCTTACCACATTTAGGATAATGAATCTCAGCAGAAGTTTGTCCATGAGGTGCAATTGGACCCGCACGGGTTACACCGATGGCAAAAATACGGATATGAAGTGGTCGAGATTTGGAAGCACATTGCTGAAAGGTAAAAAAAACTATTTGCCTTTGTTTTTTGTAAAAGATCATATAAAAAATTAGGTTGTGTTTGGATCTAATCTGCACGACAGTGTCAAAAAGTGATTTGCACCAATCTTGGACTTCTCTTTGTAAGGAAGTTAGAGTGTAAGTAAAATGACTTTAATTTATTTGAATCTAGACTAAGCGCTTTCTGATGGTATTTGAGTATGTCAATTCAAATTGGGAGTCATCAAAAGTTGAAGAGCTTCCACAACTTGGTATTTTTTTAAATTTCTGATGTTCATAGTTTTAAACCCAAATGGCTTTGTAATACGATGCGTTGGAAATGTTGTGCAAACTCCACATGGAAAACACGTCTATCTGCTTCTTCACAACCAGACCACAACCACAATAACTGTAAGTTAGCTTTAGTGCGAAATTTTAGTAACACATGTCAACTTTTAGATGATCAAGATTGATGACTACATATTTCAAACGATGGCTCCTTTGCCCGTGTACCGCCCTGCATTAATACTATACGAGTTTGTGTTACTGTGTTCTATCATGAGCTTTGTATTTTAGGCGTATAACTATGGATTCATACGTGCGCCAGCCATACTTTGAAATGGCCAAGCAATAATTGTATTGTTTTTGTGCAACAAATTCCTAGTGGTTTCTAATGTTCCGGGAGTGGGACAAATGCGACCTTTTTTTGCGCACCCGGACATTTGTGGAAACAAACGGACGGAGTTATACAAAGAGAAAAATCGACAATTTTCTGTAATTTGATCTAGCCGTTTTGTCTTTTGGCTTTGTCTGTGTCAAATTGGTTCCACACGCTCTGATATGTCAAAATTTCGATTCTACGCCCTAAAATTACCTAGAAAAACAACTTTTGGAATAGAAATTGGTTAATATTAGCTTTTAGAGCCTTTTTAAAACGCGAAAAAAGGTGCGCTAATGGGCAAGGTGCGCAAAAAAAAAGGTCGCATTTGTCCCACTCCCAATGTTTCTAATGTTTTTAAATTAACTCCCAATGTTCCTAATGTTTTTAAATTAACTCCCAATGTTCCTAATGTTTTTAAATTTACTTGTTCAAAAGTTGAGGCATTTTTTTAATCTAATAATAAATCGCATGTTTGCTGTTTGTTGATATTTTAAAAACTATTTGTTTTTCCATTATATACCTGCCCCTTTTACATAGCTACGTTGCAATGCAAGCAACCAGTAACTAATCGACACTCTTGGGTAATATTTACAAAAAGAAAGGTATGATCGCGACGTATGATAGAATTATCTTCTATCTGTTTGAATTGGAATTGCAAATTTTTAATTCACTATGATTTCATTTTTAGATGCTATGGTTTTTCAACAGCGACGAAAAACTTGACGCCTTGGCTTCTACTTCAAGAACTTTACTTGAAGAAGCAGAGTCGATTGATGTGAGAACTTTGAACGTTGACGACCGAGAAAAGCAATTTCACGATGCCGTACGAGAACATATTGTAAGTTTTATTTATTGGTAGAAATAGTTTATTTTGTTCAAACTGTTACGTTTAGATTTGTCTTCTGCTATTTCTTGGGTTGTATCTGTTTTCTTATTGGCTATTGGCGAAATTCAAACAACGAAATGTGCTCGATGCTTTGTTTGCTGGAGAAGAGGACTATTTTGTTTACAGAATTTCGTAAGTTAATTTGGTGTAATTAAATGTTTATAATTAAATTTAGTCTATGGATGTGCACAGTATCGTTGGCGGTTTCAATCGGATCAACTGTGTTGATGCCCTTCTCATTAATTGGTGCTGAACTACTGCAGAGGTAATTTTGGAAATAAAATTATAGTTAACACTTAAGAAATTTAGGTACCCGGGAAATTTTTACCTGCAATGGTTGTCCTGGTCTCTAATACACTCGCTATGGAATTACGTTTTTGTTTTGGCAAACCTTTCACTTTTCATCCTGCTGCCTTTCTCTTATTTGTTTCTGGAAAGTCAAGGTTTCAGCAACAAAACAAAGGCAAGTTTTTTAAAAAAAAGCGATTTATAAACCTTTTTAGGGGATATTGAGCCGATTATACGAAACGTTGGCTGTGTGTACATTGTTTATTGTCATGCTTCTTTGCCTTTGCGATCTCATCTATTACTTGCTGGTGGCTTCGTCCGAAAATCTTTCATTTTTGAGCTTGTTCTCAATCTTCAGTATTACTTCGGTAACCATCGCATATTTTCATTCACAGTTTGAGATTTTCAGGTGAATCTCCCATTACTTTATTCGTGTGTTTCTCTATTTGGAGTGATGCTTCTTTTGGCTCTAACACCATATGGTTTCTCAAGAATGTTTACGATCGTCTTCGAAAAAGCACAAACAAAGGTGTTTAATAAAGCTAGGGTTATAACGACTTAAAATTTTAGCCTCCAAATCCAGACGCCGACGACGATATTTTAATTGAAAAACTCGAGATGTTCTATCAGGCTCGAAATCTGACAGAACCTTCAGCAATTCTAAAAAGCAGCTCATTGAGGTAAATTTATAAGACCCTGTCGAAGTTTTATTATGTGTTTAGCAATTGTTCAACATTGAGACACATACAAAATCCTTCATTGCGAAATAAGAGCACCTCCTCTGATAAACTGACCTTTACAAGTTTGTAGAAATTAGGTATATATGAATATATTGAATCTAGCTTATTTATCATCCGGTGATGCGCCAGAATTTGGTTTAGCATCAACCGAAGCGATCACATCACAGCGACAACCACACAATGTTCAAGGTTGGAGTTTTCAAAAAAAAGATTGGCAAATAATTACTTTTAGATTTTCCATTTGCCAAGCCAGAGAATGCTTTTTCATATTACTATAACAGGGCTACTAAAAGCATGCTGGCCTTATCATATGAACTGCCGCTTCGGGAAAAGACTATACGTTGGTATCAGCGAATAGCCCACGCAATCAAATACCCACTTTGTGTATTTGGACTAGTGGTTCTTACGGTTGGTAAAATTTAAATGTTTTCTTTTAATATCATGTTCAGACAATTGCCTTTTTGATGGTGCTGATCAACATTTTAAAGCTTTCTTTTGGGTTTCGTGCTTTGCCAGTTTATGTTCAATATATGGAGGTACGATGCTTCTTACGTTGTTATTATAATTGGTTGATTATAGGTTCAAAATCGACACACTTTTGGATTGCTTGGGGTGATTATTGAGGTGATAACGATTTTGTGGGTTTATAATTTTTATTCGCTTGAATGTACTTATTTAGCTATGTCATGACGACGTCGTTAGTTGGTTTTTATTCTCTGCCGATCATGAGTTCAATTCGCCCTAAAAAGGTATGTTGTAACTTTGTTTAATAAGCACCGATGAATGCTGTTGTGAGGTTATTCGAAAATTTAGGATCACACTTCGATGACTGCTATTATCATTAACTGTTCAGCATTGGTGATTCTCTCGTCAGCTCTACCCGTTCTTGCTGTCACATTAGGTATCCATTTTTAATTATGAATAAATACAACATTATTTACTATAACTTTATGATTTTAAGGAATAACTTCTTTCGACTTGTTGGGCGCTTTTGGCTCTCTTCGTTGGTTGTCCTCGTTTTACCTGGTCGTCGGATATAATTGTCTATTTGCCGGAGCGACCGTTCTGATTTTGTGTAAACAATTCACTAGTCATGTCTTCAAGGAATTAGCGAAAAAGTATGCTTAGATAACTAACCATCTTATCTAACTATCTTCAGGCTATTTTTCTGCGGCGGGAGGCGGTTTGGCGAAGAAAAGGCTGCAACAAAACTCGAGTGAAATTCCGATCGATTGAATTGAAAGTCTTGCTGTTAGATACCTATGTTAAACTCTTGATTAACAATAAGTTGCTCTTTCTTCCCGCTCTACCCTTTTGTCGTTTTTACGTTTGTGGATCTCATTTATGACGTGTATGACTTTTGCCTTTATCTCTAACTTTCCTTTCCCCTTGCTCACTATGGTTAAACGCTAATGCTAAGAGTCACATTCGGGGCTATTAAGATTTCGGGTTCAAGGATGGTTTTGCCTCCAAGACTAAAAAGAATCGATTACTTTTAGGAAAGTAGTCGTTACATTTTTGGTAGCTCTTTAGTGATCGTTGAGTTTCCTGGAGAAGCTCAATTTTTAGTACTGCTAGACTTTATAGTAAATTTGAAGCTGGAAATTAACAACTCTGAACCATTTCCTTCTTTGTATAAAAATCGATTTATCGGCTATACGTTCAGTTATCTGTAAGCTTTATACCTAGTTTTTTTTCTAGTCGAGCATAATCGATGACGTCAGGGTTGTATGGTTCCAGGGAGACTGCTTTTGTTTGTATACACATAACTTTCTTGTTTTGAATAAAATTTTGCGAATCAATGTTATATTGTGAAGATATATGCAGGAAAGATTCATACAATAATTTTGTTTATCGTGTTTATTTTAATTAAAATGTAGAAGGAACAGGTAGATGTGGTGCCGGTTGTCTGTGTTACGAGCATCACGACAATTATTAGATGAGGCCATTTTTCACAAACAAAAGCATGCCATCATTCGTTCGATTTCTCTGTCACACACCGATTTAAAAGGTTTGTTCAATTGTCAACTCATTAGTTTTTTCTCATTGTTCAGGTCATTCGCATTGGCAAAATATCAGAAGTACCAAAGAGAAATTTGATGGCATGCGCTCAAAAGCAATCAATTTATTGTTGAAGAAGGTTACCCAGTTTGATATAATATTCCGAGTCTTTAATTCTTTAGATGAAGGTCGCAGTAAAGAATGGTTATGATTCAAAAATCAACAAAGAATTGGCATCTGTCGAATCGGAGTTTTTAAAACAAGGACTAGGAATGGAAACTTATACCCGTACACTTAAAAGACTCAAAGTATTTGTGTTACTGATAGATCTGTGTGAAACAACGGAACTATTTTAGGAAAAACCAGAAGTCCCAATAGATTTGGCTGTGATTGGACCTTCAGGAACGTTTTTTGTTGTTCATATGGAAGCGAGCAGTAAATCGACGGCAGAAAGCACTCTAAAAAAATATATTAATAAAGTAGTAAAGTAGTTGTTTTTTCAAAAAATGTCCTTTTTAGACTGGCGGTGGTTTTCGAATGGCTCCCGACCTTAGTGCAGTCCAAGCATGGTTTGATCAAAAAGGAGTACTATCAGTTTCGGAAAAAGACCGCAACAATAAGACACTTTCTTTAGAACAGGTTAGCGTTTTGAAAAAATGTAGTATGCTATTTCAATACATCTACATTACATTTGACCTGTGTTTCAGATGGAAGACCTGGGTATCGAACTTGATTGTGAGGAAGTCTCTGCATTTATGGTTTCTAACTATTAAATGACATCAAGTAGTTTTGCTTAGGAAGATGGAGAGCGTAAATTCGAACTCTTGTGTAATCCGCTCAGTGTAAACAAGATTGAAGCACTACTAAATGAGAAAATGTAAGTGTTTAAATTTACAGCTAGACCAATTATTATCCAATTTTTAGGCTCGTGGTAGAATCGGGTGAAGTGGAATTTAGAGCAATGCATCCCATTAATGTAGAAAGCGAGGATAAAGAAAAGGTAATCAGCTTGATAAATTAGTCTTGACCACTTTTTTGTACTTCTTTTTAAAAATAACCTATCCACCAATGGGCCTAAGGTTTGCTTTATCATAAAGGTTAATTTTTTTTCTACAAAAGACTATTGAAATATTACTAAAATGTTTTGTCTCTGGTTTTTTATGGGGGCGCATGATCGGGTGATCAAAAAAGGCGACAATCCACAACAAAAAAAGATACGATTTAGGCACTTTGACCTAAAGAAACCTATGTTTGTGCCAATAGAAAAAAGATAGAGCACAAAAAGTGGTATATAGCCAAATTTTCAGAACAATCTGTTCAGTCCGTTTCTTTGTAGGACTTTTATTGAATTTTGCGAAAAAAGCTAGCTTTTGCACTAGAATTTACTTGGAAACAGACCGAAATCGGCTTGAAGTAATCGAAAAGTGAATGCTAAACATCTTCTATTTGAAGCAAACCGTAGGTCAATTGATGATTGTGATTTCTAAGTTCTAATATATACAAAAAAAAGTGGTCAAGACTTTCTTCACCAAGCTAATAGTTCTAAAGCTGCAATTTTCTTCCGAATTTTAGATTGAGAAGTTTTTCAAGCTGTTAGAAGAGGAAGATATGGTGATCAATATTTATGACAATATCGATCCCGCTTCGTAAATTATTTTTTCCAATTTATTGTGATCTCATTAAAGAATTTCTAAAAGGAGCATGAAATTAGTTAGGTTAGCGGTAGCAAATTTTAGTGATTGTGAATGGTTAATTGTTTGCGTATTGTTATTGTTGCTTGTTCGTGACTTTTTGATAAAACTTATGAAAATCAAAGGCTCTTCCCTGACGCACAATATTGTCAGTTGTTCGATGGCCAGTTTTGAAAGCTTCAGTTTTCCAGATTACACATGACAAACAATTTATCGCCGATTGAATATTGAATAGAATTGCTTTAAGTATCACAGCCGTTCGTAAACACAGGTATACATGAATAAAAATGATTGCTCGTGCCGAAGCATTGATTAACTGTCTGGCAAGGTTGGCTTATTTCTTACCACCGAAAGCCGATGAATCTTGTGGCTTGTCCACACCTTTGTATCCGAGAAGTTTTTTCATCTAAACCAAAATGTCATAAATGCGCTATACAAAACTGAGTTTGTAAAACTATTGTCAAAAATCGAAAAATCATCCGTTACCTGATGATCCTGGTTGCGAACAATTGCATCATTGCGATCAGCTTTAACCTGGATTCTAAAATTTATTATGAAAAGTATGAAAACGCGCTACTAACCGATCTAGCATTTGATTCTGATCATCGACTTCCTTTCCAAGAGCTGCACCCAGGTTGCGTAGACTGGAGAGCTTTTGTGACATATCGTCTATAATCTACTTAGTGAAACAAAAATCGTACAAATCTACCAAGATTTTCATCAATTTGGTTATTCATTGCCTCCCACCGAGTGTTCTTGATTGTGTTTCGGCTGCTTTCGCTAAAAATCGGAGATATTAAAAAATCAGTTGCCTACTTTTGATTCCAAAAACACAAAACTTTAAAAGTGACCTCAAAGTTGATCCTCCTTGCATTTGCTGTACATTTTTGGATGAGCCACTACCAGAACTTGAACCAACTTGAGTAACCGTATCCGATAAATGACTAGCAGATTTTGATTGCGGAATCTAAAAATATTTTTTACAAAACCCTTTAGAAATTATCTACCTCTGATTCAGCAGGCGGCTCTGCAGGCTTGCGTGAGAACTTATTTTTGAAGAAACCCCCAAAAACACTTTTCAAGCTGTTGAGATTACGTTGAGTTTGCTAAAATGAATCTGCAAATACCAAGAAGTGCTAGTGATAAACCTGTGTGTTACGATGAATATCGTCAAGATTTCTTTCCGTCCTCTCGAGTTTTTCTCGTTGCTCCAAAAGATCCTAAATTGTTTGATATAGTCACACCTGCATTCGTTGAAACCTGTGCTGTCTTTGCGCCGACTTGTTCACTTTGGTCTAAATTACGACGACTCCGTTCAGTACTGTCAAGCGACTCCTGCATGTATCTACAATAAATTGCTAGAATACTGAATACATTCGTAATAATTTAGCATTTTAAAAAGAAAATATACTTTTCAATCTCTTTTTCGTAATAATCAACATCATCTTCGATTGCACCGCTACCAGCTGTATAAGATTTTACAGTTTCTAAACAACTTTTTGAAAAGAAAAAATTTCCGACTCACGGTTACTATAATCTTCAAAAGGGTTCGACATATTTGAAAAACGTTGAATTCAAAAGCCCTAAACGAATCAGGCATAAAGAAAAAATGAAATAACAATACGAACAGGTATTAATCCAGAGTAAAACCCGATTTACTTCCTTCCTTTAAAACTTTCTTCCTTAAAATATATTTATTCAATAGCACGCAAGGCACAATTTAAGGTCTACCGTTCATGAAACACTGTACAGAGAAAATAATTTAAACAATATATCGCTTAAGACTAGAATTTTACACAAGTTTTCAAAGTAAACATTTTAACATTATCTCCTATTTTAATTGAGAATATTTCGTTGCGGTCAGGATCTTCGATTGCATTTTCTCAATCAATGGTACTAAAATAACACATATATTAAGGCTTTTGCAAAGACCTAACCAGTATATGCAACAGTCGCATCCCAGCCCGGTTTTGCCCAAGTAGAGTTTCGTGTTTCGTTACGACCGATCATAGAGGGATATGCCCAAATATGATAGACCACATAAAGCTGACCGACCTGAAAAATTCTAGTAGTTCTAATGATATCGAAATTCATTCTTTCTTGTCGTGATAAATGAAATTTTTGTGGACCTGTGCAAAGAATCCTCCCACATCTTGGTTATGCTCTCGTCGATAGGTGATGCCCTTTGCCCATGCATTACCCCATTCAATCATTGAGCCAGGCTAAACATACCACATTTGTCACAGATCATACTCACAAAAACAAATACCTTTAGGACGTAGCTGCGCAAATCGTAGACATGACGCTCCGGACGTGGCTTGGGTTCACCCCAGTAGGAGAAACTTTTTACAAGAACAGATCTAAACATATGAAAAAATGGATAAATAGAGGAGTAAAACTTTCTCCGCCCACACAAAGCAGCTAGCTCGTTGTCAGTTGCTCGTAAATTTGAATCACGTGAAAGCACGTCGATTGACCTGAATAACTTTCTTAAAAGTGAAAAGGAAAATTCATACGAATCAACATCTAAATAGCCTTTGTGATAGCGCCATAAATGAATCGCCTGATCCTTGGTTCGGCCATAAGCTACGTTCCAAGAGCCGACCAGCTCAACAGAAGGTAGTGTCTAGATAAACAGGTTATAAGACCGATTTCTTAACACACCTTTTCTAGATTCTTTTTATATTCACCGAAGCAATCAAGATATTTCTCAGTTGACCCAGGACGAAAGTTGTGAGCTAAACCAATGAATAAATATAAAATCAGCGAAATCCAACTTGTAATTTCGTAAACATAATCGGACGCAGAAAGAAGCGAGGAGTGAGATTGTTTTTGAGCGCCCTCAGGATCGTATTGCTGCCCAACAAACAGCTTAGAGATCCAACCTAAAATAAATGTAAATAAGGATAAATCAAGAAAAACCTTGGGGTTTTGTTGACTCGTTCTCGGTCTCCTTTGTTTCACTAGGAGGCTTGCTAGTTGAAAGATTTCTTAACGAGTTTTCGCATCTAAATACGACGTTTTTGTTGTTAAATAAACAGACCTAAACCTGAATATGGTCGTCCGGCCAAAAATCCTAGCCACGCTCATCCCTACAACTAACAATTACCACTTGCCACAATCAAAATTAAAGAAATGGATTTACCAATCAGCATTGGTCCTTGAAATGATTTTGAACATTCGGATTTTTTATTAAACAAAACAAAGTTCAACAAACAAAATAATATCAATAAGCAACCTCAAACCGGGAACAACGAGATCAATAAATGTCCAAAGGAGAGCAAACGTGGATACAATCCAAACTGTTCAAAAAAAGAATTCAAAACATTAGGTTAATAAGGCTCCGATTCGGCTGCCCGTTCTTCATCACTGTTTTTTCCGCTATTTTTGATAAAATGAGATACGGTAGTTGCGTGAACTTGAACAACCCGATTCTTCTTTGCACCGTCCTGAAGCAAGCAAATTTATAGAAATTTTTCGTTTAGAAGCTCTGAATTTCGTTTAAACATCATTAACATACTTCGGTTTGAGGCGTGTAAGAACGGAGAGCTCCAGTAACATACACACGATCGCCTAAATATAGATACTCATAGACACGACGGCACACAACTACCTTTCTTTGTGTTGTCCATTACAATGCCTACTAGCTTGCCGTAAACCATCACGTTGTGAAATTCGACTGCTTCCCCTATAATAGAAGCAGTCAAAGAATTGCAGAAAAAAGCAGAAAACCGTAAGTTGTAACCATTTGCAAAATTGTGTAGTCCATTCCATTTTTAGCTTTCCGAAGCACAGGATCCTGCGAGACTCCGCCAATCAACTCAACATGATTTTTTCTAAATGTAAAAGTTCTTTTCATCAAGAATGCACGCGTTGTTAAATAAAAACAACTTACGAAAAGGCTTTAAATTTGGGTGGATTACTTTGGCGTCCAAGAGGAGATTCGATCGAAGACTAAAACACAATAAAATAAACAGAAATCTCTGTTATTATACCATTGAGCTTTGTGCATCCGTTGCAAGACCACGTATGGCGGTGCGCGTTAAAAGACCAACGTTTCGCAACATCTAAAAAATTTTCAAGTCCATTAAAGTTTCTATTGGCAATAGAGATTCTGCAAGTAGTAAACTCCATAAAATACATAAAATATAGAAAGATTTAAATAATTTATCAAAAAGCAACAACAATTTTCGTAACAAACCTAAATTACCTATATTTGATCAACGATGTATTTAAAAATGTCATTACACTAAATCATAGAACAATAGTTGAAAAAAAAGATCAAGTTTTGAGATCAAAAGAATTTAGCTTATTCTTTCGGATTTCGTGCAGGTCTGTTCACAGGACTCACAACATCAGCAACGATATGCATGATTCGCTTTTTCCTACCATCACCCTAAAAGCAATTTATTATGTTTGTAAAGAAATTGTACCTGTCCTTCGATAGTCGTGTAATGCAAATGTGCCAAACAGTGGACTTTCTGGCCTAAAAAATAAGATGAAATAACTAACAAATATAGGAATTTCTAATACCTTTCTTAATGTTTTCTTTCACAAAATTTCCAAGATCCCCAAAAGCATTGAGCGTGTGTCGTACGGGTGCGCCATCATTCGCATCTAAGAAATTCTTTATTTTCTAAAAAAGGTCTTTACTTTTTCTGGTTATAATAGAAAAGCGTATGGTTTCTTTTCCATTAGAAAACGTCTTAACATCTGGATCCATTGGAACATTCCCAACAAACTCAACTCGATTGATGCTAAAAACTTAACGTAAAGAAGCAACTTCGAAAGATTACTTATTAACAGGCTCCATTCGCATTCCGCGCTTTGTTTCATCAGTCTTGAATAGCTCATCAATTTCCTAAATTAAAAAATATATCTACGTAAAGAACGAATGTTTGGAAATAACATTCATACAATAAATGAAATAAAATAATAATGATGAAAAATTAACCTTTTTAGTCGGAGCTTCTTTTTCCCTGAATTCTGGAGTAGAATCTGCGGCGATTGCAGTCGTTTGGATGGCTCGTCCAAGCAGACGCAAACTCGATGCCACTCGTAGCATAATTCTGAAACAAGAAAACATAAGTAACTGCCAAAACACTAAAATGAATCCGAAAGTATACTTTAATAAAAAAAAAGCAAAAAGCATAAGTTTTGAGACTTCATGATAAAACTAGTACATATGTGTTATTGTATTAAAAGGTTGAATTTTGGTTGAAATTAAAAGGTTGAATTTCAACAGGCTTCAACGTTTGGATCCTTCGTGATTTCTAAACGGATGTTTGACTAAAACTCTAAGTATAGTGCACACTAACGCGTGGTGAGACCGGGACAATTAAGAAAAGGGGTTTTACAAAGAGAGACAGAGAATATGAGCGGCGACATTATGATGCGTTTAGCAACTGATAAACGTTTTGCCCCACCATCACAACGAGAATTTTGAACATTACTGGATTTTAAGTTGCCACTGGCGGTTGGAACTTTGAATACGAGTACAGCCGTACAATTTCATCCGTACCTATTATCGTCAATTCAACGACTTCTTTTTAATTTTACGGGAACTTCTTCAAATTTTTATTTGTATTCAAAAAACAAATGAATGTGTTGTTTTTTGTTTGTTTCTTTTTTTGAGGTAGGCCAATTTCCGCCATTTTATTTGCGCAACTCGCCATAACTTGCACTTATTGAGATCTACAAAATGATACCAAAATCATAAAGATTGGCCAACTTAGAAGAAAGTTATGGCGAGTTACGCAAAAGACCTTGTTGCGCAAATAAAATGGCGGAAATTAGCCTACCCCTTTTGTTTTCCAACTGTGTAGCTTGTCATCCATTTTCAGACACTTATCAATGGAAATTTGTATGTGTGATTTAGGTAAGCATTTATGAAATTTCGTGAAGAATTCGACAATTTCAATGGAGAGCCAAAATCGCCCGTCGTAAAAGAATTTAAACGAGTGCGTTTTCGAAAGTACAAAAAAAACTTTTTATTTGGTCAATAACGATTAAAGAAAACTACTCAAGAGCTGATCAAAATGGTTCTCCTTTTTAGATTGTTGAAGTCACTCAACTCGAACCGTTAGATGCGATTAGTTCGAATCGCGAATACAATCGAATTGTTGTCGGAGGAGTGAGAGCTTGTTCGTTGATCTCAAAACTGCGCTTTTACAAGAGAATTTCAGCTCTGCGAATTTTCCAAGTCTCGCCAAATGTAGACGGTCTCGAAAACGAGTTCTGCTTTCGATTGGGTAAAAAGCGGAACTTATTATCAGCGAGTCATGTTGCCTGGAGTAAAACACGAGGTATTGAAAATAAAATGCTATCAAGTAAAAAAAAAATTCTGGTAGATCAGTGCATTGGGACAACTTCAACCAATGGAGCTGTCACATTGTGGAATGCCGAGCGAGGAGAGATCGGTTTGAAGAGCTTGCAAAAATACTTGAAATTTCTACTTTCAGAATACTCTTTTCAAGCTCACAAGCGAACAGCCACCGTGGTCCGTTTTCATCCCACTGATGTGAATTTGTTGATCAGTGGATCAAAAGATGCTTCCGTTTACCTCTATGATCTGCGCGAGAAAAATCAAGTCACTTGTTTTAGGTAGATAAATCGAATTTTTCCAAAAAGTTTCCAAAAAAATGTAAAAATTTAGCGTTGGATCTTTTGAGACAATTCGAGACGCTTCCTTTCACAAATATCCAGAATGTTCAACGCTTTTCGTCACTGCCGACGATTCGGGAATGATTAGAATTTGGGATATCAGGTTTAGGGATACCTCTCACAGATATTCAAGAAAGAAGATTTTTAGAGAGCCAAAGAAACCGTATCTCCATTTTCCGGCGCATCAAGGTTACGCAGCAAGTATCAGTCTTCACTCAAAAGCACCACATCTTTTGGCAACAGGTGGTGGGCGGGATCGTTTTATTAAGGCAAGTTTATATGTTAAATATCTTGAACTCAAGTTTTTCTAGGTATGGAACTGGAAAAGTATGCTTGACGAAAACAAAGACACTCGACCAATGTACACCGTTGAAACAATGGCTCCAATAGGGCGCATCTACTGGAGACCCGGCTGTGAATATCAGGTACAATGTTTGTTTCATGTTTTATAGAATATCATCTTTTTTTTTACTCATCTATAATTAATTGCATCTGCTTTAGATAACCTAGATAGCTTTAAATAACCTAGATAGCTTTAAATAACAAAAGGTATATCATGAAACAAAACACTATGCTTTCATGAATTATAGAAAAATTATGGTGATGATATAAATTATGGGTATTGTTTGTTTAAACAATTGTTTAAACTGTTTAAACAATACAACAAGGCTTATTGGGAAGATTTCTCTTTAAATTTTTCTAATAATTTCTCTTCTTTTTTCATGTATTAACGGACGATTGGGCATGTGCTTTATATTTGTATTGCAAAGAATGTCCCACTTTCAAGATTCACAATGTGAAGTGACTTTAGAACCTTTTTCTTACTACGGAAAAAAAGTTTCGTTTTTAGAATTTGTACTTTCATTTTTCGTGATATCCTTGAATGTCCATGAAAATTTAACAAAAAAATCTAAAATCTAAAGCAATTTAAGATCTCTTCTTGTGCGATAGTTAACGATACAAGTGTGCATGTGTGGGATGTGAGAAGACCTTTTCTGCCAATTTATTCTTTTGAAGAACACATCGACAGTTGCACAGGTAACAAGTCTAGCCACAGAATCGTCACAGCAAAAATATTAGATATGTGTTGGAGGAATGCAGTCGAGCAGAATACTTTCGTCTCTTGCGGGAAAGATGGTCGAGTGGTAAGTGAGAGATGAAATATGACCGAAACAAAGGACTCAGGTGTTACACACAATGCGAGAAGCGGCACGACCGCACGATTTTGCGAACGACTGCACCGTTGATGTGGCTCCCGATGGATTGTATGCTCTAGGAGGTAAAAACTAGAATTACTTTTATCTATACTTGCTTTTATCTATACTTGCTTTTTTATTTATATTTAAATTTATCAAGCTTTTGCATTAAAGCTGAAGATGCTAGCAAAGTAATTAGCTTTTTAAAATATTGCATAGTCATGTCAATTTTTAGTCTAGAAAGGTTAAGAATTGTTAAAGACCGTTAAGGATCGTTAAAGACCCTTAAGCAAGTCTAACAAAAACCCAAAAACCCAAACTCAAAGAAACAAAATCCTAAAACTTTTTTAAACTTTCAGTCAGCTCTGGCGTTGTTGATGCACAAATGTCAGATGTGATTGATTGGTACAAAAGAGATTCAAATCGACGACAAAATGAGCCGATAGTCAAAGATTTGAGTGAACATCCATTCGATGCCTCATTTGAACTCCCCGCTAGCGACAAGTTTGCTCTTTTAAGTGAAATTGGATTCAAAAAAGTTTAGGCGTGCATATTTGGGGCCATATCTCTTCAAGAACAACAACTATCTACCACATGTAAGATTCTCTATTGAAATTCTTACGAAAACATGAAATATTAAAATTTAGCATGAAGGCGGCTATTGCCCCTTTTCTAGTTTGATTCCCTCAGAGATCCGACTGGGTGTTCCCGAGCTTCAAAGTGGACAAGAAATTCAAAAGTTCTTCAAATGTGCTAATGGGTTGGTTGAAGCTAACAAAATTCAAATAAGAGTTATCGTTATCGTTTCCAGTTATCGTCTTGGTGGTGCAAGTATCACAGAACTTTGCGCAAATAATGCTCGAGTTTCTGAAAGAATGGGAATTCCACAGGTTTTTTCGTTAACATATGATAAAAAGTAGTGATTTAAAGGTGGCACAAACATGGAGACTGGTCGAAGCTCTAGCCGAACAAGCACAAATCGAAAAAAGAAGAATTGAGAAAGAGATGGAGACACAAAAAGAATACACCGAACAATTTCGAATGCAGTATGTAAAAGGAAAAGATTTAAAAAACTAGTAACCTTGTCCTTGATTTCAGAATCTTGTCTTTGATTCAACAAGAACGGTTACGATGTTTGCACGCAATTCCGGAATCACTTGCTAAGTGTCGTTTGGCAGGATGGATTTTCGAAAAAGATCGACAAGTGAGAATAGAAGACTTTGAAGAGTTTATCTAGATAATATGAGTTCTCTAGATAGCCGAACAATGGCGGGCCGATTGTCCCTCATCAGCGAGCATTTTTCCAACCGCTTCTCCATTTGCCATTTCGGCTATCACCGCCACTTCTGATTTCTATTTTGGTGATGGAGAGTTGGAAGGATGTTTACATACAAGTTGTCAGCGTGCACAACTATGGTATTAACTTCTATATCTATTTATAAAATCAATTTTTTAGCTCAGCTCGTTTCCCAGAAGTTTTACCATTTCGATCTGATTGGCGTCCGTTAAAAGTGGAAGCTTTTACACAAAGAGATCCAATGGAAGGTGAGATAATTTGCAAAGTATCAAAGATTATAGAAGCGGGGTTCTTTTTCTCATTAACAATCTAACTTTAAACTCAAATTTCTTGGTGTTCGGCTGTTCAAATGAAATAATTTTTATACCAATCGATAGAGAACGACTTGGCGCATCCAATGATAACAAAGAATCTTTAAATTGAACAGCCCAACACCAAGATATTTAAGCTTAAAGTTAGATTGCTAATGGGAAAAGAGGCGTATCAAATATCCGATAATCTCACAAAAAGTTTTACAGTGAGCCCATCAGCGTCAAAACCTTTGCCAAAAATTGCCGAAGTTCTTCAATATCACGCTGATTTGGTATCGGAGAGTGGTTTTGAATTTTGAAATTACGAATTTTCAGGGAGATGTACAAACATGCTCGTGTGTGGCTCTTGTAATTGGTGGTCTTCTAGGAGAAGCTATTGATGAAGATACCGCCGCAACTTGGTTTTCCAACTATCTTGGTAAAAAAAAAGGGCTAGATTTTCACTGATCAATAATGTTCAGAGATGCTCGATCGATTGGAGTTATTTGTCGCAATGGCTGCCGTAAGAAAATATGCTTGGGTGAAAAGGATCAGCGACAAAGTGTTGACGGTAAGTTTTAAGTCAAAAAAAAAACGAATTTCGGTCTTTTTTTTAGGGAACACACCTTAACGTTTCTTGTCTAAAATGTCGGAAAAGAATGGTTGACGGTGCGTGTCTTCGTTGCGATAGGAGAGTCGCTGAATGTGTAATATGGTAATCACAGTCCCAAATTTCTATTTAAAGCCAAAAATTAGTGATTTAATGATTTTTGGAATGCATTGGATGTGTGGGAAATGTCGTCACCCAATGCATCTCGACGAAGCAGTTGAATGGTTATTCAAAAATCTAAAACTAAACCAAAAATCATATTTAGGTTTGAAGTCTCATCAATGTGTCCGGTCAGTGGATGTAAATGTCAATGCAATGTGAGGAAATAATAAGCTGCTGTTATATAGATTGAAATTCAGCTTCGAACAACCGAGCAAAAAGTGATGCCCTCTAGGCCACAACCACAGCTATTTTTCTCGAAAAAGGTAAGTCGTTTTCGAAAAAGTTTGATTTGTTTTTGAAAGATTGATGTTTGAAGATTGAATTTGATTTTTAGATTGAGATTCGAAGGGATTCGCGTGCAAGTGATTCGAATGGCTATCGGCAAAGAGGATCGGTAGCTTTTATTTAGAGTTTTCTGTCTTATTTATTCAATATCTATGGGCATTTTTGTGTTTGTTGTTTAACGCTTCGAAAATCAGTTTATGCAAAAAGCATTAAGAGTTGCGGCAAACATGATATGCTTTACTGTTTACTTTTACTGCTTACTCAATTTTTGATGCGAGAAATCGATTCATTAGAACTTGATCACTATTTATTAGAACTTGCTCAGCCATCTGAAGGGGTTTGTAGTGATTATTGTTGGTTTAGATATAATCTTTATTACAGCGATAATAGTTGGTTCAGTGGTTTGAGATTGGGAGAGTAGAGACACTCCACGGCACACATCGGCAGCTCGTTCACGTTGCTTTTATGCGGAACTCAGGCGTTGATCTCGTCTTGCACACAATGGAGTTGAACGGATAGCGACGCATATTAAATCTCGCACAATAGGCGTTCGTCTCGCACAATAGGCAAACATGATATGCTCACTTTTACTGTTTACTCAATTTTTGATGCGAGAAATCGATTCATTAGAACTTGATCACTATTTATTAGAACTTGCTCAGCCATCTGAAGGGGTTAGACTTAGTTATTCTTATTTAATGATAAGAAATTCTTCACTAATGATAAGAAATTCTTCACTATTTACCAGTTTTTGAAATTTATATAATATTCAAAATGTTGGAATCATATTTCAGTCATTGATTCTTTCAAGAAAAAAAAAATGACCGAAATTAGTGTCAAACTAGATGTATCACAATGATAAATCGATGACAAACTCGATGTACCACAGTGAGCACTTTCCACGAAATTTTCTAGACAAACATCAACACAAAAGGCAATAATTTTTGAAAAAAAGTGACTTTGATATGTTTATTTCTTTATAAAACATTATATTTGTACAAGACGAGCTTTAAACCTAGTAATCTATTGGTCTAAAATTGAACATCTTGTAGAGAAAATGGCGGCAACTAAAATAAATACTAAACGCATACCGTAAATACTGTAATAGTACCCCACCCCCATAATGACGGTGCAGAGTGTTGCGTAGTCTAGCTTTGAACGAGTTTTTCTCGACACTGGTTTATGCTACAATGCGCGCTTAGGTATCAAAAAAATAGCTGAAATTCAGGGCTATTTTTTTGATATTAAAGACGCATTTTTTGAAAGTACGGGCGCTTTGAAAAAAAATGAAAAACTAAAAAACTTTTGCGACTACGCGGCTGTACGAGGGAGGTGGGGTACTATTACAGTATTTACGGTAGGTAAATACTTTCTGATATTGTATTGATTGTGAGAGAAAAGCTGGTCGATCCATGTCGATTTTCAGGCCGTCAACGCAGCATCTTGGAATCTGGCTCGAGTCCGACAAAGGCGAGGATCGTCTCGTTCAAATAATCGGCTACAAGAGCAGGTAAACATATCAAAAAAAAAAGCTGATAACCAAAAATCCTTAGGTACTAAAAGAAGAGGAAAACTCGGAATATCTTTTAATCGACACACAAGCACAGAAGAAAATCGCACAAGAAGGACTCGGAACAGCTGATGAGTTTAACTTGGTTGTTTTCCATTTTGCCGAAGAGAGACACAAGAAAGCCTATCCACGATGGGCTTCTTGGAGGAGAACTTTTACATAAGAATACTATCAATTATTAATTATCAATTACTAATTATCAATTACTATTTATCAATTAGAAATATCTTTTAGTAGTTTCTGTATTTTTCTGTAATCAACAAATCCCTCTGTAAAATGTGGCAAATATACTGTGATTGTACATTTTTTTTCTCTATCTACTCAATTCTATATCAAAAGAACTCTATTTTTACAAATGTTTTTGCCTTGAATACTGATTTCTTTACGGGTTTCATGATTAGCTTTTATTGAAATTCAATAAAGTGAAACACATTTTTATATCCAAAGAAAAATACTAGGCTAAAAAAGGATCGGAAAGTTTGTGCGGAAATCCCGTTTCATTCAGCGATCACAATTGAAAGAGAAGAAAAAAAAAGATTTTTTTCTCAGAGAATGATATAAAATCGAGAGTATGAATAAAGATAATTAATAAAATAAACCAACAAAAATAGAAGATCAGTAAAAGATTGATATGAGAAAGTAAAGCATTTCAAAGTCAATCTTGTAAATTCAACTTTTGAAATGCTTTGTTTTCCCTTGTAAACCCTTATAGTCATATAAATTTTTCTATTTTTTTTGATAGAGGTCTGGATAAATCTACAAATTCCCCGTTAAACCAATGGAAAAAAGGAAAAAAAACAAAGAAAACAAGATAAAGATAGGCAAAAATAAATAATGCGGGAGTGGGACAAATGCGACCTTTTTTTTTGCGCACCCGGACATTTGCTCACCTTTTTTTCCGCACTTAGCCCATTACCTTCTTTCGCGTTTTAAAAAAGCTCTAAAAAGCTAATATTAACCAGTTTCTATTCCAAAAGTTGTTTTTCTAGGTAATTTTAGGGCGTAGAATTGAAATTTTGACATAACAGAGTGTGTGGAAGCAATTTGACAAAGACAAAGCAAAAAGACAAAACGGCTAGATCAAATTACAGAAAATTGTCGATTTTTCTCTTTGTATAACTCCGTCCGTTTGTTTCCACAAGCTCTGATATGTCAAAATTTCGATTCTACGCCCTAAAATTACCTAGAAAAACAACTTTTGGAATAGAAATTGGTTAATATTAGCTTTTTAGAGCTTTTTTAAAACGCGAAAAAAGGTGCGCTAATGGGCAAGGTGCGGAAAAAAAGGTGCGCAAATGTCCGGGTGCGCAAAAAAAAGGTAGCATTTGTCCCACTCCCAATAATGCACATCAAAGTGATTAGCTTAAACAAATTGCCAAATGATACCTATTTTTTAAGAAAATAGAAATGAAAAGTTGTACAATTTTTCCACTAAACTAATACTTTTTTTTGGCACTTGTCGATATTTTTACCGCTCCATTACCGTAATACCTCTAATAGTAGCGCCGCGCTCCATAATGACGGTCGGAGCGTCGCGTAGTCTAACTTTAAACGCATTTTTCTCGCCATCCGTTTATGCTACAGTGTGCGCTTAAGTATCAAATGAAAGCTGAAATTGAGGGCTATTTTTGGATACCAAAAATGTATTTTTAGAAATTATAGGCGCTTAGAAAAAATGATTTGCGTAGATTTGATTTGATTTGAAAAAATGATTTAGTAAAAATCTTTTGCGTCGACTACGCGACTATACGGGAGGAGAGCGCTACTATTAGATGTATTACGGTATTTACTCTGACTGCTGGAGAGATTATAAAACCGATGAATTGAAAGCAGCAGGATATTGCCCAAATGAATCGCTATAACTTTGTCGACCACAAGGGAACACACACCAAGCTAATTTGCTAATTTATGCAAATGGTTTCTAATGTAAATATTTGCGGTGACAAGTGACAAGCGGTGACAATCGACAAGTATTGACAAGACAAGTTTTTTTTTTATTATGATTATGATATCGAAGCTGATTTTGACTAATAGTAAGGGGAAAAAAAAGGGATAAGTGAAAATTTCATCTGGAATTTTGTAATAGGAGAATAGGGTTTTTTTGAACTCGTATTCTGTAGAGCCTCATTGCTAAGAACACCCGCTTTATCGACCAAAGAATAAAATATCAAGTGTTTTGTGTGTATTGGTCAATAATAGTGGGCAAGCACCTAAAATAATCAAGAGGGGAAAAGTGTTCAAGATTGTAGTTAGATTGAGATGAAGAATTGGTGAATGCAAAGCAATTGCTGTGTCTTCTTCACTTATAGTTAAATGATTTGAAATGATCGAAAGAAACGGAAAAAGCCGAGAACGACGTTTGCAGCGAGGAGAAAAGTCCCGTAGAGCAGCAAGACTTGCACCAGTCGATGTCGACGTCTAAATGATTGAGTTTTAACATGTTTTAACATGAAATTGTCCAAAACCAACAGTTAAAGATTTTTCAATTCTGATTTAACAGACAAAAACGCTGTCGATTACATAGTTCTTTCTTTCTTTCTTCCTTTCTTTCTCTTCCTTATCTTTCCTATCTTCTTCTCGGGTCTTCAGAAGCCACCGATAGCTTAGTGGTAGAGCATCTACCTGGTCTAAGAAGCCACCGATAGCTCAGTGGTAGAGCATCTACCTGGTCTAAGAAGCCACCGATAGCTCAGTGGTAGAGCATCTACCTGGTAGCTCAGTGGTAGAGCATCTAACTGGTCTAAGAAGCCATCAATAGCTCAGTGATAGAGCATCTAACTGGTCTAAGAAGCCATCAATAGCTCAGTGGTAGAGCATCTAACTGGTCTAAGAAGCCACCGATAGCTTAGTGGTAGAGCATCTACCTGGTAAGCTAGAAATATCAAGAGTTCAATTCCCCTGTTTCAAAGTCTTTGCCATACATTTCTTTACTTTATTATAATAAGTAAGATTCTAGAATGATTATTATAATTATAATAACTAAATCCGCAGATTATTATAATAACTAAGCCCAAGTTAATCTTTACTTATTTGCATTGACTCACTTTCGAGGTATTTTCACGGATTGCGAGATTGCGACAACGATGTGTTGCCCATCAAGAGCAAAACACGGCACCGCATTCAACACTCCCAGCGCAACCGACAATGTCACCACGTATTTTCCCAGCAATTCTACTGTATCTGAAAATTATTTTGGTCTATTTACAAATACTTTCAATTTCAATTTTCTATTTCAAAACACAACACTTTTCAATGACTTTTGTGGAACTTACGTGGTAAAACACGCGGCACCCATGACCATCTCGATACCAATGGAGAAACTTCTACTAGATACAAAAACTAAACCCAAAAAATTGAGGAAATCAAAAATCTTGATAACCTCCTCAAGTTTGCCGACAAAAAGCACCGGTTTCTCATCGTTTTCCACTTGTAGACGAACGAGCTTTGTCCCATTGTAGAGTGCCGGATAGATACAAGTCAACTGGTTCGACGCCTGAACTTTCGTTGGGATTGGACCATTGGCCTGTCGACTAAGATACATGTCTCTTAGCCACTCGGCCATTCGCCCATGGCGGTCATCCGCTCTGCTCAAAACATTCAACTCTAACAAACCTGTTTGCTAGAATCACATGGCAAAGTGTCATTGCACAATGGTTGATCGGTGACTGTTCTCGCGTCAAGACATGACAATTGTGTGCTCAATTTCGTCTCAACTCTCACAACATCTCGCGGCTTTTCCGCTATCCCCAATTTCAATGCTTCCGCCAAATTCGGTGCCTTTGTTTCTTGGTGATTTCTTCGTTGAACCTAAACATTTGCAATAAAATTCTTTTCAACTTTAATATCTACCACTTGACTCTCGAAACAGATATGAGCGGGTGTCGCATTTTTCTGCTCATCACAGCAATGAAGCTCATTATCGAAGACGCTGATCTAAAAAAAAGTACTTCAAATCCGATTGCCACTATTTCTTACTTTTAAACTTTTTGCTGATTTCACAATATCTGTATCCATGCAACGACCATAACGTTCATTTTGTAAAGCTTTTGCACATGTTATCCACGATTCTGGATGATAAACTTTACAATTGTCAATTTTAGTGACAATTTGACCGGGTAAAAGTCCACCATGAAGTCCAGAATCATGAGAAACTTCTGAAATTCAAATTTAATCCAAAGCAAACCAAATAAATCCAACCCAAACCAAATAAAACCAAACCAAACCAAATAAAACCAAACCTTCAACTGTGACACCATGACCGGTTACAAAAAGTGGAGCCAAAAGGAAAGGAGTCGAGTAAACTAAAGCAAATCCGAGCGCAGCTAAGACGAGATTATGCCAGACTCCAGCACAATAAACTCTGAGTCGAGACCACGTTGGGCGTTGATCTGTAAAGATTTTTTTTTGATGAAAGATTTTAAGAAATAAAGCTTTTACTTAATCCAATGTCATCGATTTCGGTGAATGCTCCTGGATAGATTCCTAAAACGAAGACACCAAATCCTGAGACACGAATATTTTCCATTCGAGCCGCCCAAGCATGTCCTAGCTAAAGAAAAGAAAATTTTCTGTGTACTTTGTATTTCTACTTTTATACTTTGTCCCACTCAGCTGAATATCTTCGACTTTCGTGAGGGATTTCAAAAGGGGCAGCTACGAAAAACCTACGCAGAAAAAGGAGCATAGCTCTTTACTCTATTTCGTGCCCCAAATCATTTATTGTTTTGTAGCTTGTTAGCTGAATATCTTGTTTTAAAGCTTATATAACGCAACTGCTGTTCATTTGATGTGCCCTATTTTTATCTATATTTTTTATTTTCTCATAAAACTTAAAAGATATTCAACTAGAGCTTTGAAAGTATAAAAGTATAAAATTTGTATTTCTTTACCTCATGTAAAACAGCGGCAATTACAAGAACAAACATGAAAATTGGGATATGAGCCCAAGGCATATTAATCCCAGGTATGATTGGAGTTAAACCTAAAAAGCTTTCATTTCATTAAACCCATTTCCCATTTCCCTTTTTACCTTCATCTCTTGATGGATGATCAATCCGATCCTCATCTCCTTGAAATACAGGAATTTGTGGCTCAAGTGTTGGAGTTGGCTGAAAGAGTCTCCCAGGGATCGGTCTTGGTGTTTCCACGGATTTCTGATAAACGAGCGTTGAGAACATTGCGCCGATTGCTGGCCAAAGTTGCCAACTCAAGTAGATGACCATGAAAATCTGTTTCTTTTTGAGAAAAACGATTGATTTGATGAAACATACACAACAAGCGATCGCGACAACAACTCCAATATCGAACCATAAAGAAAAAAGAATGAGGCCAACTCGACGAGAAAGCGATCGGTCTTCACTTTCGCCCACTCCCGGCATCAAACGACCATCATATTTGTGAGTGTAGAATCGAAGCTGTAAATGGTGTTTCAATTTTTTGCGAAAATTTTGAGAACTTTGACAAAACAACATTCATTTACAACATTAAACAACATTAAACAACATTCATTTACCTGTAAAGGAGAAATCTGTACGTCGTGTTTCTCAACAAATTGCACATATCGTCTTGAAAGACCTTTGAGAACGAAATCGATAAGAAACAGACCACTCCAACTCAAGAGGAACAGGCTAAATCATTTGTTTATCATTGAAATCTTTGAAAAATGAAAAAATTACCTTAAAGCCGTGATGAAGTACATAACTTGCCCACTCCTCTATCCAACTTCCATTGTTTTTGAGGGACAATTGGAAAAAAATTTAGATCTAAAATATGAAAATCTAAAAGAGAAAAATGAAAAGAGAAAAATAAAAAGAAAGAAATGAAGAAGGGGCTTTTTTTTTTTACTAAAATCAACAAGCTTCAATAAAAATTTGACGAGAAAATATGGGAAAAGAGTGGAGAAGCAAAAGGAGGAGCTCTTGAAAAGAAAAGAAAGAAGACGGCCTAGATTGAAGAAAAAGGAAAGGGAAAATAGGTAGAAAAGAGATCGACGAGAGTCCACAACATTCACCCGTCGATCGTATCCTCTCGTTCTTCTATGTCGTCAGCGTTTTTCATTCACTTTCACTCTCTCTCTTTGTTAGCTATTTCAAGCGTGAATACCTAATTAAATTTTTGAGGGTTTTCAGTACAAATGACACAAAATTGTTTCTTTTGTTTTTTTTTACAAAGAGATTTGAAAGTACAGACAAATAGAAGTAAATATTTACACAAAAAATCAGTGAGTTTTACATACCGTAAATACTGTAATAGTACCCCCACCCCCATAATGACGGTGCGGAGCGTCGCGTAGTCTAGTTTTGAACGCGTTTTTCTCGACACTGGTTTATGCTACAATGCGCGCTTAGGTATCAAAAAATAGACCTGAATTTCAGCTATTTTTTGATACCAAAGACGCATTTTTTGAAAGTACGGGCGCTTTGAAAAAAAATGAAATACTAAAAAACTTGCTTCTTTTTGCTGACAAAATTTGCTTCTTTTAATTTTTTTTTTTACAAAGAGATTTGAAAGTACAAACAAATAGAAGTACATATTTACACAAAAAAGTCAGTGAGTTTTACGTACCGTAAATACTTTAATAGTACCCCACCCCCATAATGACGGTGCGGAGCGTCGCGTAGTCTAGCTTTGTCAGTGAGTTTTACATATGATAAAAGTTCATAAGTTCTGCTTGTAAGAAATATATTTTTACTTTGATCTTTATAATTTCTCGTGAGACCGTGTCTCGATGTGGTTCAATGGTAGATGTCTTGAAAACGCACAATTTATCAAAAACTTTCCCCTTATGACGGCCAGATGGCCGACCGGTTAGGAGTCTTGTCTCTTAAGCGGAAGGTCGAGGGTTCAATCACTCTGGCAAGATAAAAATGTTTCTTTTTCCCACCAAGTGGGTTTTTTCTTTCACAACATTTGGGTAATAGGGGTAAATAGGGCTGAGAACGGCCGCAGTGCCATAAAATTGTGTGTTTAACCTTTATGTCTTATTATGTACCCTTTGTTTGTATCACATTATTGGTTTTCAATAAATGTATTTTTTTTTTTTTATTAGGGCAAACTTCGCTGAAACTGAAGCAACACTGGCACTATCACAATCACTTCAACACTTGCGTTTGAAGAAAAAGGGATGAATAGAAAAAGGAGCACACAACTGACTCAAGACAAAGCTTAAAATAACGGATTTTTAAGTACAAAAGCCACGACAAACGGACACCTGAATATCGTCTAGTGGCCGATTACGGTAGTTTATCCATCAGCTTTGAATTTTAACTTGTGTATTGAATTTTGACTAACTGCAGAGCAGTGGCAATTCGCCACACTGCTTTTGTAAATTCTGTTCTGCAAACTGTAAGCTTTTCCAGAATTTCTTGATATTTAATTTGTTTTTTCTGACAACTCCAAAATTCATCAACATCAAATAACTCTTTATTCAAAAGCCATCAATGATCTAAGCACTCGAAGGAGCGGTTGTCGATTGAGAAGTGTGCGGCTTGCACATAATATGCTCCATCATTTTTCGAATCTAGAAATTATTCGATTGATGAATAGTGAGGAATTTGATTCAAAAAACTAAACTCACATTATCACGAGTCTTTTCGGGATTCTTAAGACCAGCACGACAAAATCCTTGCACCATCGGAACCATTGCATCGTCTGTAAAAGAAAGTTTCTTTAAGTTGAACATCAAAAACATCAATAGTGTTAATTGATTAGAAGTGACAAAAAGGTTATAAGCTTTCTGTTACTTTTAATCAATTAACTTATAAGCTTTCTGTTAGTTCTAATCAATTAACTTATAAGCCTTCTGTTACTTTTAATCAATTAACTTATAAGTCTTCTGTTACTTTTAATCAATTAACTTATAAGCTTTCTGTTATTTCTAATCAATTAACTTGTAAGCTTTCTTATAAGCTTTCTGAAAACCAACGATTCGCTTGATAGTATTTGCAGATAACGGGGTATTCATTTGTCCAAAGTGTCTCGCAGGTATCGCGAGACTTCTCGATTTCACCGATAATATCCACACAGTTTTGCATGGCCTGTAAAATAAGAGATTCTTTTAGAAACAAGTACAGAGTGTTTTTACAGAGTGTACAAGTTCTTTACAACTTTTAGATAACTCTAGAATATCGTGTTAACGAAATGTTGAAACCTGTTGGAAAACGGCGGTCATATTTGGTGGTTGACCGGGTTGCGATTGATTGAAGAGCTTGTAAATGCTTCTTTCCCACTGGAATTTGAATCATTCTACTCTTGAGAAATCTTTGTACTTACCGTGTAGATGACATCAGCACATTGAGGGTTTTTCTGCTTGATGTTGTTGATTTTGTCAACCTAAACTTTCATTTTTGTAACAATAGTTTGTCTTATAGCCAGCAGCTCTTATTCAAAGCCAGCAGCTCTTAATCAAAGCCAGCAGCTCTTAGCCAAAGCCAGCAGCTCTTAGCCAAAGCCAGCAGCTCTTAATCAAACCTGGACTTGATAAAATTTGTCGACATATGCGGAAAGAGTAGATGAAGGACATCCAGCTTTGATCAAAGCAATCAATGACTAAAACCATGACTCATCAATGACTTAGTTTCTCGTTGTCAAAATTTTATATTTCTTCTTTTATCTCTTTATCTTTCACCTCTCGATCAGCTGCATGATTGCCCGTTTTACAATAATTGTTGATCAACGAGGCCATGCAATCAAAATCGGTGTTGTTGAGCTAAAATTATCGTCTCTTTCTCTTTGTCAATTCAAACTCACTCCTTTGATGAATTTGTATGCATCTTCTTCCATCAATTTCATCGCTAAAAGTGCTTTTGGTTCATCGTTATCTCAATTGCATTTACCGTAAGCTTTCTCAACCTGAGGCAACGACGTCATTAGCTCAGCCGCAGTGCATGGAATTCCTGAAGTGCAAGTGTCCATGCAGGGTAGAGCAGCCGCACACTAAGAATAAATGTGGAAAATCTCTTCAGTCTTCAGTAAACTGAAGTTTTACTTATGCAAAATGCCAAGAGCTAGACTTATAGTCGAAGAACTTTTGCGTAACTATGAGAAATTTCAAAAGATAAGAACTGATTGTTTTATGCGAGGAATTAGCACTTCACATGAAAGATCTAGTAAAACAAATACTGGCAATCGATTCACCGACCCCGAAAATCCCCGGGTACAAATTTACATCAAAATATCTTCTTTTTATATCATTTAAAAAGTGAAAGAAAAATCCTTGTCTAAAAGACTGGCAAGGTGTTCTTTGTGCGGCAGCGTAATCGCTCTTTACATGGCAAACCGAGCATCAGGTAGTCCCCTTCCGGTTAACATTTTTGTTGTTTATAAGATACCTCTCGTTGTGGAGGCGCAGAGCTCTGCGTGGAAACCCAAGGAACCAAAAGCATCAGACACAATGTCGATGATTGCATTCTCTAGAGTATTTACCTTAAAAACTTTTAAAAGAATCAATACTCTAAAAACGATATTATGAAAAGGGTGAGAAAATCTCAACTCCCACTCAAAAATCCGACGATTTTTTTGACGGGTTTTTGATCAAATCGCTTTTATATGTGTGCCCGAAAATCCGTCGTATTTGCTTTTGTGTCCAATTAAATTTTGTCACTAACCACGAATAATTGGGTGTGAAAAAAAAGGGGAATAGAAAAGAGACTTCGGTATGTATTTCATGATTTTAAGTGAATGATTATAGCTCATAGATCTCATAGATCGTTTAGTTACTTTAAATAATTCAATTTTGTCACTAACCACGAATAATTGGGTGTGAACAAAAAGGGGAATAGAAAAGAGACTTCGGAATAGAATACGTTAGTTACTTTAATTCCTTTAAAGTAACTAACGTTTAGACCTTCTCGTTAGTTACTTTAAAGAAAACAAATGCCTACCTCATCGTTGATAAACGATCATCAACACTTCAGGGAAAGGTGACAGCAGTTTCGAGACAAATTTTCGTTTATGTTTGTAAAGAACTTTATTTTATAAAGTAGGATTTGATCCCTCGAGAAGTCAAATTTTTTTTTTGATTATAGGTTTGATTAAGTCTATTATTTGTCGATTATTTGTCTATTTCATTGTATTATTTTCCCAACCAACCCGTGCAAACGTGATTTCACTCATCCGCTTCATGTAAAATTATGTGAGTGACGAGAATCAGCTCTCATGCTAAAAAGAAAACTCGCAAAGTTGCACGGTTTGAAAAAAATTTTACTTACAAACGACCTATTACTTTGTCTTTGTGCTCAAATAACTGCATGTACCGCTCAAATACTGCATGTACCGCTCAAATAAAACCTCTAAAACCTGTTCACGAAGAATACCGAAAGATACCAAAAGTAAGCAAATTGGATAAAACTAGAATTGAGATTACGCTAGCTGTTACAATTGAGAATTGAGATTACGCTAGCTGTTACAATTGAGAATTGAGATTACGCTAGCTGTTACAATTGAGAATTGAGATTACGCTAGCGCTAGCTGTTACGCTAGCCTTGTTTTAAAATAACAGTATTTAAGAGAAAATTCTCATGACAAATTTGTCAATAAAAAGCTATATGTAAATACCTTACTTTTGTTTTCTTTGACCGTTCAGCCAAGGGGAGTCAGCATGTAATTCGTCTTGGCTCATGTTTTGGTGTCTTTTAACTGTCCTACTTTGATCAACTCGAGAGCGCTAGCGACTCCACTACAATTTGTTAGCTATCTATGCTACAAATGATTAAAATAACATAGTAGATAATAGCTCTTAAAGATTTGATAGCTTCATTATCAACACACTTTTTGAAAACAAACCAAAATAGTTTGCGCTTCTCCGACGTATTTACAAATTGTACTTTGTATTGTAACGAATTGTACTTTGTATTGTAACGAATTGTACTTTGTATTGTAACGAATTGTACTTTGTATCCCATAAAGTGGATCACTTAAAGATCCAGAAAAAAAAATGAAAGAACTAACTATAAGAGAAAGTTTGAGAACTGTAAAATTATTAGAATAACATTAGGCTTGAGTCTAAACGCTACCGTAACAGAGTAACAATAGCATTCACTTTTCATTGTTGCTAAAGTACCAGATAATTTTCAGAGTGTCTTCAAGCTTTAAATGCTTGAACTCAATCGAATTATAAAGTCAATTATTATTTGTACTTGTGATCGTCAAGTTAAGCCTAGTCGACTATTAAAATGTTAAAATTGCTTAACGAATTGTACTTTGTATCGTTCGTCTTTTTTTTAAGTGTTGTGCTTTCCCGCTCGATTCTCGGGTATGAACACTTATCAGCCGTTCGTCATATCTTGTTTCTACGTGAGAATCAAGTGAAAGAGAGGGTAGGGACATTTGTTTTTCAGGGGGAAAAAAAGGAAGGGAAGGTTCGTCCTGAGGCGTGCGGGCGGCTCGAGGCTGAAGGATGGGGAGGGGGTCACATGTGAAGGGGGAATGTGGGGAACGAGATGTGCGGAACGAGTGACCGGTTGAGAGGAAAAAGAAACGAAAACGCTGACTCGGAAAAGAGAAGAAATAGTGTAGGAATTTGGGGGAAAAGATGGAAATTGATGTGAAGAGAGATCGAAACGAGAGCAGAGGCCGCAGAGGGCGCCCTCCTCACGGATCAGCTGTTGGCCGCTCGTTGTCGTCGTTCGGTTGAGGCCTCGAAGCTCCCTTCTTCTTTTCATCTCCGATTTCTCTCACTCTCAACTCATTTTCCTTTTCTTCGATCGCCTATCAAAAGCATTAAGCTTATTCCATGGCTGGACTTTAATCGTTAAATCTTTTATGTTAAACGACAGTTTTTTGCTTTGATTTCTGTTAGTGTCACTCTTTCCATCAATTTTTCGTGTTTTCCTATAACATTTTGTATGAAAGTTTAATTTGTAGCCATTGTTTACAACTTTTTTTTATTTATCTAAAAGTGAATTGCTCTTTTCACTTATCGATATCATTGTTATTCAGTTGTTATTCAGTTATTCAGGGAAAACAGAAACTTTTTGTTTACAATTTTCATAATTATACTTTTGGTGTTTGGCTTTTTTTTTGATAAAATGCATTTTTGTTTCTGAAATTATTTATTGATTTTCGTAAAAATCTTTCCTTCAGATTGAAAATTCGTTCGTTTTTTTGTTCCTCGTTTTCGTCAAAAGCGCCGTATGCGGCGCTCACGTGAGAACAGGTTTTAAAGAATTTTTTTTTTTTGGTAAATAATTTAAATATATATATGTTGTGTCCGATTTAGATTTCCGTCCGATTTAGATTACAGTCTATATCGGACGACTCAATCTAAATCGAACGTCTTATATAGATTGAACAATAATATAAACATGTTTAGTATATGTTCTTAAGCGTTTTCTGTAGTTTTCTGCACTTTCAAAGGTCTTTTATTGATTATTTCATAGTTGGGTTTTCTTTTCAGAAAAAGACAGTAACAGACCTTTGAAAAATGCAGAAAACTACAGAAAACGCTTAAGAACATATATTAAACATGTTTATATTATTGTTTAATCTATCTAAGACGTCCGATTTAGATTGAGTCTAAATCGGACGTCCGATATAGACTGTAATCTAAATCGGACGTCCGCGATAAGTTCAATCTAAATCGGACGGAAATCTAAATCGGACGGAAATCTAAATCGGACACAACATATATATGCTTTATTCATGGGGGCGAATAGAAACGAATCAGATAATCATAACTTTTTGAGTAAATATGATATTTGAAAAACGATCGTCACTTTCGCGCGTCTGTAACTCCCCTTGTCTTTGAGTTTAAACTATTATTGTTATACATTTTCTGAAAGCTCTTTTCAAGGGCCACACAATGGTAATATTAATATTTAGAAATACGGTAAAGACAAGGGAGTTACAGACGTGCGAAAGTGACGCTCTTTTTTCAAATATGATATTTCATTGTCCAGTAGTGTAAATAGCTTATTAACAATAATATTATAATTCTAGAATTTACCTGAACACTCTCACATCCTTTTAGTGAAAGATTCTTCAAGAAACCGCCGCACCGTTTTGCCAGATTTTCGACAACAAAAAATACTCAAAAAAAAATAGTATTTATTTATTATTAAATAGTTTTATATTATATAACTTTAAAATTTAATTACCAATTTGAAATCAAAAATTGTTTAGAGCAAACGAAAACGCAGAAGCGGACGAGAGACACCCATTGAACGGGGAAATCAACAACGGCAACAACAATAACAATAACAGTGACGACGAGAACCGTTTGAACAACAATCACAACAACAACAGAGGATCGGCTTCTTCGTCGAGACATCGAAACAATCGAAACGGACAGGTTCATTATTTGAATTGTTACAGATTTAAGCAGAGATTTCCATAGCCAAACATCAAATAATCAAAGATCAAATCTCAATACAAATAACTAACAATCCAAGTCCGGCTATTTTCTGCAACTTTTTTAGATGAGTGCTGAAGGTGGACGATCGGGGGGGACCCATTCCCGTCTTCGTCATCGAGCTCTCGGTGCTCAAGGGAAAACCCATCCAACAATCACTGCTAAGCATAATCAGGTAAAAGAATCTGCTATTCTAATAGCTATAATTTTGTCTCACTATCAGACTCGTTTATTCAAATTACGTTAACTTTACGGTCCTTTAAAATGCTAAGAAATCGAGTGTTTTCCTCGCAAAAAAATAATTATTTAAATTTCTTCAATAGAAGACGGGAAAGGTATCCCCTGGTAACTCTTTTAACTTTCATAAAGGAAGGGAAAAGCTCAAAAAAAAAAAGATTTATTTCCCACCCCACTTGATTAGTTTTAAAGAAGGGGGCTTTTCCCGGCCCTTCCCGTTTTTTTTTGGTTATATGGACCTTTATTTGTTGGGAGGAAGGGGGTGAGGGAGGTGGGTTTTTTATTTTGAAAGTAAGGAAGAGGGGGGGGGAGGGGTGTGGTATGTTTTGGGCTTTTAAGCGAAGAAATAAGGGGTGGATAGATTTACTTAAATGATTTCTTTATTTGAATAACACGTCAAATAAACCTCAAATAAGGCGTTTTAAAAGCGCTCTAAAATTTTGATGATTTTGATGATTGATAAAATTAACGGTTTTGTTTTAGGGTATTTAACGAGTTTTTTCTTTCTTTTCCCACCTTTGTCACCTTTTCTTAAGTTCTTCGCCTTTTCTACCCCTTCTTTATATCTTTTTTTTTTCTTTTAACACTCTCTAGCATACATAATAATGAGTTCCGAAGAAAAAAGTTTCTAGTCGACGGTTTTTTTAGTTCTGCTTGAAAGGTATTTAAGAAAATAGTTTCTTTTTTTGATTTCAATGTTCTATATCTACAGATCAACAAGTTATTTAAAAAGTATTAAAAAAATTAAATCAGACAATTCGAATCAAAATTTCGGCAATTTTTAATGATAAATGATGATTAACAGAGTTGATTCTCCCGCTCAAAAACTTCAGAGACAAAGTCAACCTTGAAAAGTGACCGCATTTAGTGTTGAGGGGTTGGTTGGATAGGGGAACACCTGGGATCGGCCTTCTTTCCCCCCTTTTTTCCCCTCATCCTACCACTCTAATTTTCGAGCAAGACACATAAAAATAGTCCCGGAAAACGTTCAATTCGTCTCTTGATATTCTACCGAATGAAAGTCCACGATGCGCTTTGGTGGAAAAAGACGAATTTCGAGTGGAATCCATGGGGAAAACCCCAGGAAGATCCATGCCTCCTTCTCTCGGCCCGCAAATTACCCCATCATCGTGAAGAAATTTCTGGTGTGAGCATCATTTATGCAATTTTTAATCAATCAAATTTTATGAAATTTCATCTATGATCTCGAAAAATTAATTTTTCTTTTCTTTAGATGTACCTCATCACATCGATCATGCAAAAACCACCAATGGACGGCGCACTGATCAATCAGGCATTGCCTAAGGAGCTTATTTTGAGGTTGGGCTTTTTAGAATATTAAAGATCTAAGAATTCTTTAGGATTTTCTCGTATTTGGATGTGATAACGTTGTGTCGTTCTGCTCAAACGTGTCGCTACTGGAATCTTCTCGCGTTGGACGGTTCTAATTGGATGGAAGTCAACTTTTTCGAATTTCAAAGAGATATTAAGGTGAGAGTTTGAAAGTTTTTGTTTATAACTATTTGATTTTATTGAAATTATTTAATTGAATCTTTTCAGGGTACTGTTGTCGAAAATCTGGCAAAACGGTGCGGCGGTTTCTTGAAGAATCTTTCACTAAAAGGATGTGAGAGTGTTCAGGTAAATTCTAGAGTTATAATATTATTGTTAATAAGCTATTTACACTACTGGACAATGAAATATGATATTTGAAAAAGGATCGTCACTTTCGCGCGTCTGTAATTCCCTTGTCTTTACCGTATTTCTAAATATTAATATTACCATTGTGTAGCCCTTGAAAAGAGCTTTCAGAAAATGTATAACACTAATAGTTTAAACTCAAAGACAAGGGGAGTTACAGACGCGCGAAAGTGACGATCGTTTTTCAAATATCATATTTCATTGTCCAGTAGTGTAGCTTACAAATTTAAACATTATTTTACAGGATAATGCTCTTCGATCGTTTACCCGTCAGTGTCCAAACATTCAAATGCTATCACTTGAGAAATGCAAGAAAGTCACCGATGTGTAAGTGACATCTACGATAAAAAGAATATTAAAACACAAAAAGATGAGTAGTAATGCTTTGTTTAAAATTGTTTAAAACTATGTCAGATGCTGGGCGCACGTAATTTTCAACCACCCTGTATAGTTGAATATTAGTACTAATATTTATACTAAAACTAATACTTATCCATTTGTTGGCTTGTGAAATATAATCATTTTTTAGCACCTGTGAGAATCTCGGGAAAAACTGCCACCGTTTGTTAGAGTTGAACTTGGAAAATTGTGCCGCGATCACGGATCGAGCTCTCAAATATATATCGTAAGAATTTTAAGCGCAAAAACGTTCAACTTTAAATGTTTAGCGATGGTTGTAAACGTCTTGAATACATCAATATCAGCTGGTGTGATGCGATCACTGATCGGGGAATCGGCTTGTTGCTGCGTGGTTGCCCCCAACTCGCTCATCTTATCATTAAAGGCTGTGAAGGGGTGAGAGTTTGTCTTCATTTCATTTTATGAATCGATTAACGAAAAGAAAAGAAAAAGAAAGAAAAATTGATGATTCAGGTGACGGAAAATGTTTTCGATAACTCACTCGAGCATATGGGCTCTCTCGTGGAACTCGACTTGTTGCAATGCTTTGTAAGGGACTTTTAAAAAAAGAAAAAAAACAAGAAAAGGTATAAGAAAGATATAAGAAAGATAAGAAAGATATAAGAAAGATATAAGAAAGATAAGAAAGATATCAGAACAAAAAAAGAACAAGAAATGATTTAAGGTTTAAAGCAATAGAACAAGTATATAATATTTAAAAAAATCATTGTTAGGTAACTGATCAAACAGTGACTTCATTGTCGAAAGGCGCGGCAAAACTTGAGTATCTTTGTCTCTCGCAATGCACTCAAATCACTGATCGATCACTGCAGGCTTTAGCTCATGGATGTAAACGACTCACGTAAGCAAAATTCTATACAATAAATAACAATAAATAACAATAAATAACAATAAATAACAATAAATAACGATAAATAACCATTCTACACAATTTCAACGATTATAGATCCTAAAATTCTTTCAGAGTTCTCGAATTGTCGGGCTGCGCCTTTCTAAGCGATCCCGGCTTCATTGCACTGGCGAAAAGTTGTAAAGTGAGTTAAAGAGAAATTTTCATTCATTCATTTCATTCACAGGGCTTAATGAAGCTGGATCTCGAAGATTGCTCGCTGATCACCGATCAATCGTTGCACGCATTCGCCACTCATTGCCCGCAAATCGTTGAAATGGTACTCATTACAATAAATGATTAAATTATTAGCCTATTAATAGTTTCTTTTTGATCTAAACTTCAATCTTTGTGCCTAAAACGAGTTTCAATAGTTAAAGTTTGACTTAAATTTTAACCTGCAACCTAACCCTATTTTAGACTTTATCTCACTGTGAGCAAATCAGCGACGAAGGAGTGATTGAGCTATGTCAGGCACACAAAGAAACACTTGAGGTTTAAATGATTGATCCCATTTTAAGCATTTTTTTTTTTTCATTTCCAGGTTTTGGAACTCGATAACTGCCCACTCGTGACCGATTCGACCATTTCGCACATAAAAAATTTGCAAAATTTGAGAAGAATCGACCTTTATGATTGTCAAGGAGTCTCAAAAGAAGCAATCAATCGATTAAAGGTTTGTTGAAAAGGTTTTTGAATCAGTAATTCGGAAATTTTTCAGCAACACCGCGGAGGCCTCGAAGTGCACGCGTATTTCGCTCCACCCACTCCACCGGCTGCCACCACTCCGCCCAGAAATAATATTTGCCGGTAAAGTTGTATATGATAGCTTTTTGAACAATTTTGAGTTAAAATCTTTTGGATATACAGTTACAATGTAAATTGGAGTGTAAATTGGAGTCAAAGACGAGCCTCGAACACGCATAGATCCATTGAACAGACTAGACAGACTGGCTAACTTTTAAAATTAAAAAAAACCTTTTCTTTCCTTCTCTTCCCCCTTGTATTCCCTCTTTCTTCTTCCGAAACCAGTTACCGAATAGCTCAGTGGTTAGAGCGTCTGTCTGGAACATGCTTGATTCAGACGAGGTCGGAGGTTCGATCCCTTGTCCGGAAATCTTTCTTCAGCATCCCTTCTTTTACTTTTGATACTATAAAGTTATGCACCAAATATTACAGCTAAAACAGAAAAAAATTTTTCAGTTGTTGTGCGATCTTATGACTGGGAATGGCTTGGATCTCGATGAGTGTGCTGATTGTGGCAATCGCCATTCGTCGAATCACCGGCTCTTCCTCGTTCAATTTCCTGAGCTAATTGACAAAATTTGAAGTTTTTCTTGATTTGAAAACTTGAATTTACGGTTTTCAAATATGATTTCTTGCTTGTACATAGTGGTAGCGCTTCATCCGAAACAACGATTCTCGTTTGTCCCCATATTTTCCTAAAATTTGCTAACAATTTCTGTGATGGAATCCCGTGTTGTGAACTTTTCGATTTTTGTTTTTTTTGTTTTTTTTGTTTTTTTGCTAACAAACTCTTGCTAGCCTTTCGCTTGTCTTTTTAACTTAATTATTGCCCCCTTTTGTCCATTTTCTACTTCCCCAATATTTTCCAATTGTTCACTATATTCATTCCTTGACTCGAGTATTTTTTTTTCTTTTTTTTTGTATTACTTGTCCGATTCAGTGCCTCAGAGAGTTGAACCTTGAAATTAAAAGATTTTGATTACCGTATTTTCTCTAATAGTAGTGCACCCTGAGCCTTGCCTAAATTGTTCGAAATCTCGAGAACCGCTTATCAAAACCTATCGATGTGGGGTCGGAAAATGTAGCTGACGATGAGATCTAGTGGGGATTTGAGTGTTGAGCTTCTCGGAAAGCTTGGAAACCGTAAAATTGTCATCAACTCGGCTCGCCGGGGTGCACTACTATTCGAGAAAATACGGTTAATCTTTTCATTTCAAAAATCTGAACCAATATAGCTTTCACTAAAAATATTTGTAAAGTTGAAATGAAAAGGAAAGGGGAATGGTGAAAAGGCTCGAAGTTTTAAAGTGATCAAGCTTGGTGGAAAGTGAGGCGTATTTGAAAGCGGAAGTGTGAAGAGGAAGAAAAAAGGATAGAGAAGAAGATGAAGATGAAGATGAAGAGAGAGGGGGAGACACATTTCAGTAATGATATTGTGAGAGACCCATTCTCCTCCTCCCCCTTCCGCTCTCTATTCGATCCTCAAGATGTATTTCATAGATGTACATCGAGATACCCTCCTCCTCCTTTCCTCAGCACTCCTCAAAATCCTCTAATCAAATTTCCCCCAATTACTTCAATTCGTCAAGATGGACTCTTTCCCCGGCACTTCTTTTGTTCACATTTCAACCAATCTTATTCAATTTTTTTTTCGTCTAATCCATCAAAAACATCATAAACATTTGTAAATAATGTTCATTTTTAGATTTTGAAACCATTTGCTTTCTTTTATCATTATTTTCTTTCCTTTTTCTTTCCTTTTTCTTCCCTTTTTTTTCTCTTTTATTTGTACATGACTACCCCCGGTTATTTATTCTCTTTGATTCATTAATAGAAAATTTGTGAGATTCTTCTTTTGCCTATTAGTTTTTGTGCATAATTTCTCGTAAACTAGCGACAAAAGCTTGCTCGAATTTTGGAATGTCGAAAAATTTGACTCTTTGTCTATACGCAAGACCAATATGCTTGAGAAATGAGCGCCCACTCATATCACTCTCATTTTTTCATTTTTATTAATTAATACTTGATTTGTCATTTAGATTAAATCTTTGATTTTCTTCCTAAAACACTTGCCAACTTTTAGAAAAACTGCTATTCCATTTACAGAAAACAAAGGGATCATTAAGGGATCATTTTTCTTTGGTTGATAACTTCCAATGTTTGAATTGCAATTCAATATACTTTTCAGATTTCACAAAACCTATTTGCTTTCGATTACAAGAAAAAAAACGACAAGGAGTGGTGTTGATTTTTTTGGGATCATTGTATTGACCCTAGTGATCGCTTATGCTATTTTCATGGCCGTCCTCATCGACAGGACATACTGAACAAAGGTCAGATTGATCGCAAAATCGAACAAATCTATGATCAAACATAAAATTTTCCTTTTTAGTTTGAATGTTGGGTATCCTAGCGCTATTGTGCGGTTTGTTTTATCTCCTTGCCGCTTTCCTCATCGTCACTTATTGTGTACGAGATCGAGACGACACCGAACCACCAATGGTAAGGGTTTTTCAAATCCAGAGTTGTTCTAGAGGTAACTGTTCCCGTTCAGTCTAGAAGCCAGAGCTTGGTTTGACCTTCTGGCTTTACTACATTCCTGGCCGATCGCCAGAAGTCGAACACTGGGCTGAATTGTCCGGATTTACAGAACACACCGGTCCAACTAGGGTCTGTAAATAGGTTTTGCCTGGGATTTGGTCGGCGCACAAGCAACCTTTCGCTTACCAAGCAAACGCTTTACCAAATGAGCTACACCAACGCGTATCACAATGCCACCAGAATAGGGTCTTATGCCTGCTGGTCACTCTAGTTGGAACAACCCTGTTCGAATCCATTGTGAATGAAATACAAGCTCATGTTCAGTGTGCTCTGAGCTATGAGCTTTTCAAAGTCCTGTTTTTTTATATAATATAGGGATCAATTAAGGTAAAATTCAAACTTTTCCATCAACATATTCACGAAGATACACCGATTGACAATTATTTTTAGTGTTAATTCAAGTTTTTTTAACGATTTTGTTATTTATCTCGCTGAAAGCTCTCTGAAAACTGAAAACTAGCTTTCAAGAGGAGATTCACGGCTATCAAACGACTATAATAGTTTCGTTTATCTTTGAATTTTCATAGTTATCAGTAAAACAGTAACGACTACGCCCAAAGTGTGCGCCCAAAATGTACGCCCAAAACCCCAAAACAATAGCAACTTTCTTCTTCTTGTACGTAAACAAAAAAAGGTTATTGATTTTTATTTCAGCCTGTCAATCCGATGGTTTCAATTATCATCTCGAAAGATTCGAACTCATGTGCTCGTCATGACTCGATCACCACACAATCAATTCCAACTTTTCCATAAATTTTTCTAAATTTTCTTATCATTCCCTCCATTATCAGCATATCACCATCAACTTTTCGTGTACACATTTCTCGCTGAATAAACGATTTAGATAAGTTCACAAATTTTCACAAAAAGTTTACAATCTCACAAAAATCTTTTCAAAGATTTCAATCGTCAACCATGGCTTAAATAACCCTTTTTGATTTAAAATGACGCGTGAACGGGGGTGTCATTTGTTTCGTTTCGTTCGCGCATCTCGACTAATAATTTTATCTAATGTTTTCGTGATTGGCTTTATTATGGAAATTGGCTTTATTTATTATTAACTTTATTTATTTCTCTCTTTTCATTTAAAATTTTTAGATCATGAGGCCATACATAGTATTATTGCTGTACTTCATATCGGCCACTTTGGGTGATGTGTTCAGTTGTGGTGGATACATCAGAGCTGCTGTGCCCATCGATTACTCAAAAATTCAAGTAAATATAATAAAAAGGGTGGCTAGGTAAGAAAAAAAAATGGTCAGGTGAAACTTTTTTCATCGGAAGGGCATCTAAAACAAGAGGAAGACGTGAATGCACAGACTGGCTATTATATGCTGCCTGTTTATCAAAAAGGACACTACAGTCTACGGGTTTCCTCGCGAAACGGGTTTTATTTTGGTAAGTATGATTTACATATTTATGCTAATATGATAGTTTTTCTATTTTCTATCTTTAGAACCTGCCTCTTTTGATCTGAAAATCGATGGTTCCACTGATCCGTGTTCTCGAAATGAAGACATCAACTTCTCACTGACAGCATTGGAGATTAAAGGTTTTTTTTGAAAATTTCGGTTAAAGCACAAGTTTTAAAAACAAAATTGGTACTTTCCTAGTTAGAGGGAGGCATTTTTTTTTGAGAATTTCACTTTTTCTGGGGTTATTTTTATGATGGCCATGAATTTCACGTTTTTAACTTAGGTTTTGAACCTAGGCATGGCGACCTCAATGACAATAATTTCTAGGTGTTGTCGAGAGTGGTGCTGACACGGGACCGGCCGATCTCGAATTAATCCTCTTGAAGAATAAACAAGAAATCGCTCGAACAACAACCACCGCCGGGGGACATTATTCATTCAAAGCACCACCAGGTACAAGACTTTTTATCCAAAATTTAGAAAATTATCATCCAGTTTAAAAGCTTTATTCCTTCCTCTTTAGGCACTTATGACGTATCAACGGCTGCTGAAAGTTCAGTGTGCATTTCGAGAGGAAAAACACAAGTTGTGGTAAAAAAAAACGAAAATTTTCCTGAACATAAGAAATTTAGCTAAAAAATGAGCCAGTGCGCGTCGAGCCACCACTTAAAATCTCTGGTTATCCGGTTGAGGTTTGAAAGAGAAGTTTGTTGTTCAATAAATTTTCATTTACAGATCGAAATCACAAAAGGCAAAGCACCGATGGAGGGAGTCTCCTTGGAGCTCTATTCAGCCACGAAACTTGAGGTTTTTTTTTTATAAAAAACATATTGTTACTAAAGTTTTCTTTTTTCTAAGCTGGATGGCTGCAAACCGGTTTCCTCACTTCCAAACGGGGTGACAAACGCGAAATTCGTTTGTCCTTTGCCGCAAACAAATTCACGTGGACAGGCAAGCGTCAAGCTTTGAAGTCATCCCAAAAAGGCTATTTTAGAGTTTTGTGAAATGCATTGTCCCTGGAAATCACTTTATCGTTCCCAACTATCAATCAAACGATCTCAAATTCCAATTTTCTCCATCAGTCATCACTGCAAATGTTCAAGACAAAAAGTTGAAGGTAGGGAGTTGATTTTTAAAGTAACTATAGAAAAAATATTCAGCTCTCAGCAAGAATTGTCGGCTTTTCGGCGAAAGGACGAGTGCTGCGTGGAAACGATGGAGTGGGTGGGGTAGAAGTCCTACGAGATGGGCAAATGGTAGGATTTTGATTTTGATTGACAAATATTTGAATCAATGCTTACAGCTAGCCACCACCGACTCACAAGGCTATTATTCTTTGGAGAATCTCAATGAGGGAACAATTGAATTGAGCGCTAGAGTTTGTGAAACTTTGACCAACTTCTAATCAAATTTTTCAGGCTCCAAACACTGAATTCGAAAAGCTCCGTGCTCAACTCAGCTTCTCGAATGCTCGTCTACCGGACATAAAACTCACTGGGTACTTAGTGAATTCAATGAAATGAAATGAAAAATGAATGAATTTAATGAAAATTTTTTTAGTTACGAAATTTGCGGAAGTGTTGAGAAGACACCTGGTGGATCGAGCTTTGAAGATGTGACGATCAAGGGAAAAAACGTGGAGAAGACTCTTTCTCCTAAAAATGATGGCACTTTTTGCCTCATGTTTGCACCTGGAGAATACACAATTACTGTACGAAAAGTTTGCAACAAAATATGATTATAAAATATGTTAAGCCAACATCCTCAAGTTCATCATTGACTCCTCGAAAGCTTGAAATTGATTTGAGAAAAGGACCTAGAAGCGATTTGAAGTTTTTCCATTTCAAGACGGACGTTGATGTGCGATTTGATTGCATTGGTTGGTTCTGAATGGATTTTTAAAGGCATTTTTTTTCAGGTTCTTGTGAAAATCATCAAGTCAAATTGCTATTGGGAGATAACGTTCTTTACACTCAATCTGGCAGTGATTCTCTTGTACTGAAAGAAGTGCCACCTGGGAAATATATTGGTAAAATTGGCTTCATTAAACTCTTGAGCAAAAATGAATTTCAGTCCAAGTTGTCGAGACGGGAAAAGTTTGCTGGTCTTCGAGCAAGATCCCACTTCAGGTAAAGTTGAAAGTAAAGTAAGAATGTCGATTTTGATTTTTTTTGTCTTTATTTTAAGCTAAAATACTAAAATACAAATATGTTTTTTACGTTGTGAGCTGCTATGATGCAAATTTCTAGGTCGATCTCTCTCGTCCATCGCCCGTTCATTTCGAGCAAACCGGTTTCCATGCTCATGTGAAACTCAGCCATTCAACTAGTCTGAAATGGGCCCACACAACCCGAGCCGATCTTCAAGGCGAATTCGACGCAAAAGCGGGAAGAAATGATTTCTGTGTACCAGTGCAGGTTCAAGAGCTTAAGAGTGTACGTAAAGGAAAATATTTCTTTTTTCAGGGAAAATACACGATCACTTTGCACTCATGCAGAACGTTCGATCGGCCAAGCTTTTCGATTGAGGTTTTCTAGATCGATCAGCTTTTTTCATTTCATTTCATTTCTAGGTTCCTTCTGAAAGTGGAAATGAAGCGCAGGCTCTTGATTCTATCATTAAAGGAACCGTTTCGGTAAATGAACCAGCCGAGATCACAATTCAAGTGAAGTGAGCGAAAGTTTGATTACAAATTTGCTGTGTCACAAAGTCAAAATAAACATTTTTTTTTTAGCTCACCATCAGGAAAGCGAAATGTAAAAGTGGAGAATGGAGGATTTTCATTCCGAGAACCGATCTCATCAACAGGTGTGCAAAGAAGAAAAAAAAGTTTATACGATAATTTCAGGTCAAATCACTCTTGTCCCTCAATCATCCACGCATCTCTTTGAACCAATCTCTACCAAAATCGAGTTCTCCGGCGATTGCATTCAGAATGCTGCCAATTTCCAAGCGCACAAAGGTGAAGTAATAAAAAATTAATATACCTATATACCTATATAAAGTAAAAAAATTAATTTACTTATATACCAAAGGCTTTCAGGGATTTTCGTTGAGGGCAAGATCAGTCCGCCAGTCGAAGATGTTTTGATTACGGCTGAACACGTGAAAGACTCATCGGTTCGATTTGAGACAAAAACCGATAAAAGAGGAGCATACAAGTGAGTATTCGAAAGTGAATATGATTGTTTAAATCACGTTTCAGAGTTGGACCCGTTCGTCACGCTGAGGATCTTTCAATCACTGCTTTTCTTGAAGGATATTCGTTTACACCTGTACGTTAACTTCTGCTAAATGAAGAAAATTTCAATTTCAGGTAGAGGGAAAGATTGGAGACATGAAAAGTGTGCGTTTGAGTCGACTCACAGTCGTTGTTTCTGAGCTTGGAAAAGAGGGTTTGTTACAGAAAAGATTAGAAAAGATCATTTTAACAAGCATTTAGGCTCTCGTCTCGAAGGTGTCCTTTTGAGTGTGGTCGGTGGAACGGATTATCGCAGTAACAGCATGATTGAAAACACGGGCACTATCAATTTCGTTGGATTGGTTAGGAAATTGGGGTTTATAGTTGAATCATAATAAAATACAGGCTCCTGGAGACTACTATGTGCGACCGATTCTACAAGAGTTCAAATTCGAACCCTCACAAACAATGGCAAAAATCACTGAAGGAGACCATGTACACGTCGAGCTAAAAGGAAAAAGAGTTAACTGGAGGTGGGGAAAAGATTTGAAGTTACCGTATTTATTCTAATAAAAGTGCATGCGCTTCTATTTTTCAATCATTCCAAAAAAATTGCTTTTATTGGAGGCTGCATTTCTATTAGAATAAATACGGCAATCTAGAATCTAAAGGTAATCTGGAATAAATGATCTAAATTTAGCGCCTTTGGACGCGTGCGTGAGATGAGCGGTGGTGCTGTGTCGGGAGCACTCGTCGAAGCACTTTCCTCTACTTGTGATCAACACCAATCCGAGGCAACCACACAACGAGTTAGAGTTGTAGACTTTACTTCCCAAACCAATAATTTTAGGATGGAACTTTCCGTATCCGGGGATTAAAGCCAAACTGTGAATATATTGTTTCAATCAAGGTATGTAAATGGTTCACTCAAAAATGATTCTGTTTTTAGGGTGGAGAGGATGGACGACCAGCCCCTCATTGTTTTCCATCACAATTCAAGGTGTCAATGACTGAGCAACATGTGGATGAACTTGAAGTAAAAGATATTTTATCTAGAAAAAATCTATAAGACAATAATTTGCAGATGATCGTCGCTCCATCGGATGAGGGTTTCGAGTTGTTGGCGGCGATCGATGTTACCGGAATGGCCACTCCACCAAAAGCTGTCCGATTGACGATTCTACGAAACAGCGAAGTACGGCAACATTTCAACGATCAATTCATTCAGAATCTTTTCAGATTGTGCATTCCCATATTCTCACCGAGCCAATTCGCTTGTTTGCTGTGTCAAATCTAACTCGCGATGGCTCAACATATTCTGTTCGCGTTGAACCAGATCGACCACCCCGACTTTTCCATCCAAAAGAAGTGAGTCAAGAAAAACAAGCGTGAATTTAAAACTCTTTTTTTGGAGAGGAAGATCTACTATACATATATAAAAGAGCAGTGTTTGTCTGCCCGTCCACCTAACGGCTGGTTTTTCAGCTGGTAATTTGTAAAATTCGTTAAAATTATTCAGGTCTCTTTCACCGCGAATACCCCAGTGAAAACATTGACGATTTCATTGCTCGAAAGCCGAAAGCAGCACGAGGTAAGTAAACAAAACAATTGAATATCTAATTGAAAGCGATTTTCGCAAGAGAATTGAAACTTTCAGGTTGAATTGTCATTTTCTTCATTGCTTTCCTTGCCATTCTTTGTGCTTCTTCTATGGGTGGCTTTCAATCAAAACAAGGTAAATAATTTAACTCTGAAAAAGATAGAACTAAATAAACATTGCAGGTAATCGAGTTGTTCCGTATGGCAACAAATCGACCGGGTAGCCCGTCATCTCAAGCGTCAAATAAGAAACGGTTATGAATCTCATTCCAAAGATGTTATAGCATCGCCTAGCTCTCTCGTGATCGTTGTTGAATTTCTTTGTTTCTATGCTCATCTTAATAAAGTGCTTTGGAAAGAAACAAGCAAAAAATAAAAAAAAAAGGAAAAGGATGATGAGAAAGCCCCGCCCATTGCCCCTTGGGTCCTAGAAAAACCGCTCAACTATTTGGTTTCTTCAAGAAAGCAAGAATCGAAAATTTATTATTTTAAATCTCTAACAAACTCTAGTTCAAGTTTATCTTTGATTTTTCTTATTTACCACAAATACAAAATTATAAATCTCTCACCATTATTACAGAAAAGTTTTTTTCTCAATTTCTAGAAACATTAGAAAGCGAATTACGGTGAGAAAATGATTGGAAAGAAAGGTGTGAAGAATCGGGGACAAAAAAAAGGCTGTTCAGGGGATAAATAATTCCACAAAGTGAGTGTTTTTCACTTTCCGAATAGATCTCTTTGCATAACTGATCATTCCTTCTCACACTCGATCTCGACCCTTTCTTCTCATTCTTTTCATTCTTCTCAATTTCAAATATCTTTTTTTTTTGCTTATAAAATGCTTTCCAATCATGCTTCTAACGAATTTAGACCTCGGATGAATGTCTAAACTTTTGCTCTTGTTCATATTCTCTGTTTTTTTCGTAATTACCTTGAAAGCGGAGAAAAACTGCGATAAAGAGGATAAAGATGATGAGAAAAAAGGTGAGTTTTAAAATATGATAATAGATAGCGTATTTCGGCGAATAGAAGACCGAGTAAAGAGTCTCATCGCGTACTCTCGGCGTAGCAGCCCTTTTTAAAGCGTAGCAGCCCTTCTTTTCTGAAAAGCTTTCAATCAAGTGCTATAGAGCTGGAAAATGGCTCAAAAATCTGTTAGCTCATGTCGTATTTTTGAGTCATTTTCCAGCCATATAGCACTTCATTGAAAGCTTTTATGCAGAAAAGAAATTTTAAAAAGGGCTGCTACGCAGGAGTACGCGATGATACGCTTTACCCGGTCTTCTATTCGAAGAAATACGGTACTCAGTTGGCTTGAGAAATTGTACTATTCGAATTTATTATTTACCATTTTAACGATTCAAATTTAATCAAAATTTGATTTGCTAACTTGCTTATATGTTTCACTATAGAATAAGAAATTTATTTATAGAGATTTATAGTTTTATCGTTTTGCGTTCTGCTTTCTGCGTTCTGTTCTGCGTAATCTATACTATGTATTGAAATTTACGTCAAAAATAAGGGAAAAGCTGAGTGGGGAACTAACGGGGAATTCAATTCGGCTTGCTTTTCACCGAAAAAAAAAGAAATCCCTCTTCTCGTATCTTTTCGATGTCGGGAAATCCGATTTATGAGTGTTATGGGTTGAGGGTTAAAAAAAAAGACAAAAATGGTGTTCAAGAACTCGAAAAAATAAGCTGATAGATTCAAAATGAAATTATCAACGTAAAAATTGGGTTTCTTCATTCATAAGCTTTTTCAACTTTTCACGAAAACTTCAATAACAATTTCAGTCTTGAAATTGACCTCGCCAGCTCGAATAAAAGAAGTGATCGTGACGGCGAATGCACCTCGACCACGAAGAATCTATGGTTTGTCACAGATTTAGTTTTAAACGAACTTCTAAAGCCGCCAACCAACTTCTAAAGCCGCCAACCAACTTCTAAACCCGCTAACCAACTTCTAAAGCCGCCAACCAACTTCTACTGTATACCCCAAACTTCTTTTCACTATAAATCCATTTAATTCAGCTCTTTTATCAGATTCTGGAGTTATTTTTTTTGCGCCTTTCTTGGGAACAAAAATCTTGCTTGGGAAATGGGGATTGAGTTTCGAGGGGTTCTCGTTGTGAAGTGGGAGACTTCTTCCCACAAGCATCACCATTTCACCCACCGATCCCATTAGTTGAGGCTCTTTTCCCCCAAAAAACCCCGTGAGAGGCTCTGCCTCAGACAAAAAAAAATATTCTTTATCAATAAATATTTTTACAGTACATGCTCAAAAGCCGAGAGTACCCGTGCCGACCAGTGGAGGAGTTCAAGAAAAGTTTGTGGTTGAGCAGAAAAGGAATTCAAGATTTGCAGATATTCATAAGAGAAATGGTTTTAGCTAGAGTTTTTCTAGGAAAAGAGAGCCGAAAAAAGTGGCTGGAGGTCACGTTCTCCCAAGGGATCACAGAATCGCGCAAAAGGAAGGGAAACGACGGAAGATTCGTGTCACAAAGCATCGCTTCCATCACTCAAAAGCTCATCAAAACAAAGGAATAAAGGTTTTTTTTTGATTTGAAATATAGTAGAAATGAAAGATAAGCTACTTTTCGATTATTTGTGAGTTTTCGATCTGTTACTTTCCTTCCCAAAATCAATGAAACAATCAATATAAGTTTTCTGTGAAGTCTTGAGAAAAGATTCTATATATTTATATACCGTAAATACTGTAATAGTACCCCACCGCCCATAGTTACGGTGCGGAGTGTTGCGTAGGCTAGCTTTGGACGAGTTTTTCTCGACACTGGTTTATGCTACAATGTGCGCTTAGGTATCAAAAAATAGCCCTGAATTTCAGCTATTTTTTGATACCAAAGACGCATTTTTTGAAAGTACGGGTGGAAAGTAAAATGAAATACTAAAAAACTTTTGCGACTACGCGGCTGTACGAGGGGCTTGGGGTACTATTACAGTATTTACGGTATATATTTATATAGGATTCTATTTCATTGCATTATAATTCAATTTCTATTCAATTTCAGGCAACTGTCAATCGTCCGAGTCGAGACGTGGCCCATGCGGTGAACGGTCCACTCGTTTCACACGGTCATGGCCCTCATGGAGGACCTTACACTCCTTAAATTTCTATCAAATCTTATCATTGACCCTTATCGTAATCACTTTAGCCTCATTTCAATATATATATTTTCTCATTGAGATGAATCTCACTCTCTTTAGACGAATTGAATTCTCTTGAGCTTCTATCGGCGGGCTTTTACACCCATTCGATTCCCGGTTATTTCTTTCAATAAATTTTCTTTTTTTTTCCTTTTCTATCACAATTTATTCTCTAACAATGCGTAAAAACAACAAGAGAAAGGTTAAATTTTTTCGAGAAGAATCTGTTGAGCTTTTTGTTGTTTTTTTTTAAAGAAAGGAAATCATCGGTTTCACTGGATCACAATGTACTTTTTGAATACGAGCTCAAGAAAGACAATTGAAAATGAAAGAGATTTTCAGGGAACGAAAAGATTGGGAAAATTTTTGGGAAAAAAAGTTAAAAGAGAAGTTGAGCGTAGAAAAAAAAGGGGAAAAAAGGGAAAAATAAAGGAAAAAAAAAGGGTTGCAAGGAAATGAAATAAGTATACCGGCTTCTGAATGTGATTTCAAAGCAAAAAAAAAAACACGACAAGCATACACTTTGGCACATAAAAACATAAATAAAATGCTTGATTTACGAAAAACTTAGTTATCCTAGTTAAAACTTAGTTAAAAACAATAGTTATCAATAAAATTGAATACTGAATCGGATCACCGTTTTTGGAATGAACAAATGAAAAAAAAAAATGAAAAGAAAAGATGGATTGCTCAAGTTTTTATGTAATTTCTTAAAATTTCTTGAAATTTGTGTATTTTATAGATTAATCAGAAAAGTTAGAGCGAAATGGTTGCGTAGAATTGAGTGGTTGAGCAGGGAAAGCTTTTTTGCGTAAATGTTTCCTATTTGTGATGAGAGACATGAAAAGTGGCGGGATCTTGGTGCAAATTGTCTCTTGATCTGAAAACTTATCTGATAGTGTTAGTATTATAGCCCGCTTAACGGGTTTTTCGGGATGAACGTTCTGGTTGTGTTTCGGTCGTCGTGGCGCAGTCGGGAATGCCCTTGTCTACGGCGCGGCTCGACTCCCCCCCCCCCCGCGGGTTCGACCCCCCGTACTGCCACTCAGTTTTTGTACTGATTTTTTTTGTACTATGAGCCTTACCGCGTATGACGTGGCACCAATTTGGCTCGATGCGGGAAAATTCCGTGACCTCTCACTGGATCGAGAGCCAACATTGGCAAATCTCCTAAATTCATTATTTCGATTCCCAATTTTCGTTTAAAAACCGATAGGCTTCGGATCAGTGCCAAGTGATCTCGTTTCAGGAATCACGATGTCCGTTTCGGCGTACTCAGATGGAGTCGAGTAGATTGCGCTCATTGACTAAAAGAATTTTTGGACTAGATCAATCTTTTACACTTATAATACAAACTGTGGTTATCAGAAATACACCAAACACAATTCACAACACTAGTCGATATCTGTCTATATGTCTATATGCCTTCTACGCCATCTTTGGACAGTCGGTCATCTCATGGATTCAAATCAGAGACTAACCGAGCCGTGTTTCAAAGTGGTCAAGCCGTGGGTTGAATTTGTACGATAATTCAACCCTCGTATAAATCTTTCCTCTCTCAATTTCCCTGTCCAATTTGCTCACCTGTATGAAAAGATCCGGATTGCTGAGATATTTAATCTGTACATCTTTCGCTTGCAATGAGTACTGTGCATTGAGTCGTGCTTCTGCTAGCTAAACAAAGAAAATATTGTAATCCTTAAATTTGAATACTTGATGCGAGTCTCTTCTTTCTCGATATGATGGCGGTTTATCGTATTCACTCGTCGAGACTTGCTCCGATTTTTCATCATCACTTCGCCCACAATGAAAAAGAGTAAGTAAAACGGGCAAAATGACAAGCCCATGCAGGGCACCCAATGTGATTACCAAGATTATCGTCTAAAGATTGATTTGCATTTTTGAAAGCTTGTCTCAACAATACCTTAAGGAATGATCTAAAGACATAAGATTCAGCAGTGGCCATGAAAGAGACGCCAAGAATTGTCGAGGTGGCTGATTGAAGGATCGGTGCACCAACCGCATAGAGCGCGTTTCTCATTCTCTCATCAGCTGTTAATCCCTCTCCCTATTTAATTGAGATTTTTTTTGACTTAAAAGCTAGTAAAACCTTTGCATAGTTGTAGGCAAGATGAGCAGCAAAATCGACACAAAAGCCGATGCTCATGACAATTGTGACCATCGAGATGAAATCGAGACGCACTGACCAAAAAGTCATAAAGCCGAGAATGCCGACGTTGATCGAAACGATCGAGAAGCATACCTGAAGTTGGATTTTAATGGTTATCATTCATTTTTCTTACCCAAAGACTAGCAATCGGTTCCGGGATTAAAAGAAGTGAAACGGCGACGACGGCGATTCCCGCATAGGCAATCGATGACAGTGTTCCTGGTAGGACAGCATTATACTGCTCGGCAAACTAAAAGAATTTCTATTTAAACTTTCCATTAAAATAGATTAAACTTGAAAGAAATCCGCGTAAACTCCGGTGGAAAGTTGACTAGTTTCAGCCAATCGTCGAAACAAATGCATCGCTTTTGATTGATTTGCTGATCCCACCTTAAAAGTACAATACTAAAAGAATATTACAATACTAAAAAAGAATATTAGACTGTCTAGAAAATCTTTTTATTCCTTTTCGTAAAAAAATTCAGACATAAGATTTTTTAAAGCCGTTTTAAAGCTGTTTTAAATTGTAGATAATCCTTTTTTTTTAAAGTCAATCTTAATCTTACTTGTCGTAGATGTACAGGAACTCGAGAAGCATCAAGTGATGTCCCAGTTTGATCAAAAACCACATCCCTAAATTCATTAATGTTTCTTCATCAATGTTTTTTTATCTAACCGATTATATTTTGCAAATTGTGGTTGTGAGAGGAAAACATTTTTGAGAATATAAACGAAATTCTCAGGAGTAATCAGAAGACCGGCTTGTTTGATGAAGGCAAAGAAAGTTCGGAGCCTGAAATTTGATTTCTTCGTGTGATAAAGTGATTCTTATCAAATGATTCTTATCAAAAATTCTTATTCTTATTAAAATCAAATGATTGTCGATGATAAACGAGAAATTACCAAGAATCGCTGCCTCCAGTGAACTCGGTGTGTTCATATAGTTCAATCTCTTTGTCAAGCACCACCCAAATCCTTCTCCCTCCAGTGTCCGTTGCCGACAAGTTGTACATCCAAACGTGAAGATTGCTACCATAATCTAAAAAAAAAATATATTAAACCCTATATTCTAATCGAAAATCCACCTGCAAAGTACTTTTCAGCGATTCGAAGAGTTCTTTTTCCATAAGAATTATCGGGTAAAAGATCATTCGGTTCAAGTCCCAATTTTACATTTGTGCATCCATAAGTGGCAATACCCTAAAGAAAAAAGAAATTTGACATTCTATTACTTGATTTACTTGATTTACTCACCAAATAGCCCATGAATAAGCTCAGAATAATAATTCGAACCACCGGATTCAAGAGGAAATCTAAAAATGCAAAAAACTTTATCAAACTTTCTATAAAAATTCAACCAGAGTAATGGGTTTTGAAGAAACGTGCGAGAATGTGATTTTTCTCGAAAGATCGATCTTGTGGTTGATGGGAAGCCCAATGACCGGCACCTGATTGCAAAAAAAATGAATTGAAAATCTCGAAAATCTTTACTGAATTGTTGAAGTTTTCGATCAAGTCTTTCCTCGACTTTGTCTTTCATTTTCATGAAAGTTAAACAGTTTCGATTGGAGATTTCTCGACGACAAGTGAACACCATTATGCCTAAAATTAATTTCAATAAGTTCAATCATATATAGTTTTATTAAAAACCTGCAAAAAACGTCAACTGATAGATGTAAGTGAAAATCACAGCCACCACAGCGTACATGCAAAACATCTGAAAGTTAGAAAATGAAATTTTTGTTTTTTTTTAATGAACCTTGACACTGGGGAATTCGGTGGCACAGCCGACGGCAAAAGAAATCAAATCGGTGAGAGAAGTGACTGAAGATTTGTTTGAAGATTCTCGAAAATCTGCACAGCTTACCGGTGATTGAAACGGCCGCCTCGGCGAAAGTCTCTCGAAGACGATGCTCGAGATTTTCATGCGTCGGAGTGGCTCTCCATGCCGATAAAAGAATAAACACATTGTCCACACCGACCGCTAAACTTAGAAGTTGTTCTCATTGTTTAAACAACTAACAAACAACTGTTTAAACAAAACAATATTACTTAAACAAACGTAATATTACTTAATATTAGTTGTAGTTGTAGTTGTAGTTAATATTAAGAAAGAAAAGAAGCGAAAAGATTTTCTGGACAGCCTAATAGTTAAACTTCAATCTATATGCCTAATCGAGTTTCGGTAGTTAAAGTACTTACTGTAAATACTGTAATAGTACCCCACCCCCCTCGTACAGTCGCGTAGTCGCAAAAGTTTTTAGTATTTCATTTTACTTTCCACCCGTACTTTCCAAAAATGCGTCTTTGGTATCAAAAATAGCTGAAATTCAGGGCTATTTTTTGATACCTAAGCGCGCATTGTAGCATAAACCAGTGTCGAGAAAAACGCGTCCAAAGCTAGACTACGCAACACTCCGCACCGTCATTATGGGCGGTGGAGTACTATTACAGTATTTACGGTAGCTAAACTCTTCCCCCACTTTCAGCTTTATAATTTTCTCAGTCAAACTCCGTGACGCGGCGCACGTATTTGGAATTAGCAGCGGCTTCAAAATTTGCATACCCGATCGGGCAATCGCTTGTTTGAGCGCCGGCTCAGAACCCCCTTTTCCTGCATTCTTTCTTTTGAAGTCTCAGTCTTGTCTATAAGGTCAGCATACAGAACACACAAATATCACCATAAATCTTTTCTCTTTTAGGAATATTGATCAGAAAAGTTTCAACCAATGAAACAAATAAAAAAGACTTACAAAAGACAATGAATGGCATACTGTAGGCGACACTCGTCATTCCAAAACCCAACAATAACATCAAGCCGACTCCAGAAGCGATAGCCATTGCTGCCGAAATTACGCCACCAATCTAAAACACTGGATTCTACTATAGTTGTGTTTCTATACCGCAAGCCATGGCCGACTTCTTCTCCACGAAAAAACGCAACAAGTGAGAATCGTGTAGATTGAAACGGCAAAAAAGCAAGGCAGCAACATGCTAAATTATTTTTGTATCTTTATCTAAAGGTTATCAAAAAGCCTACTTGATGAGTTGATGTCTGTCTCTTGCACTCTCACTCGCCAACGTTTCGTACGTCCACCAAGCAGTTCGAATAATTGGTGAATCGTATTTCTGTAAATCGATAATTTCAAACAAATAAGAGCTTCCTTTACAGCTAAGAATTCGGCCAATTGGAGTTCCCATTGCTCGGCGACTCGATCTTCGTCTTGTGAAGAATGTCTCAAGGCATATGGTAACATCATCGCTTTAGCACCTAAATAAGTTCATGTCTCGTGAAGTGCCAACTGAGCCAATGCATAGTTTACATAGTCAAAATTAAGTCTTAATTGTTGACAAGTTTAGTACAGTTTCCTAATATGAATACTAAATATGAATTTCAATAACTAAACTGAGTTTGAAAGACAAATTTTCCCGTTTATCCGAAAAAAATAAGTAAGATTAGCTCAAGTTATAATAAGTAGGATTAGCTCAAGTCTTAAAAAGCTTTACTTAGCTTTACCAATTGTTTCGAAACTAACCAGCAATCCTTTTCTGACTGTCGAGAGTGACTCCGCCAAGAAGATGGGTCATCCCGGTTGCGTCCAACTGGACCGCATCCCCGATTTGACCCAGAGTAATCTCATCGATTGATCTGTGAATGAGAATTTTACTCTTCGCAATCATATAAATGACTCACCTATTTAGAAAAGATCGATCCGACACCAGTACCAGTTTGAATATTTCGACTAGCGGATTCGAGACACAAATCTCATCAGGTCTAAAGTGTTCCTTTGTGTTTATGTATGGCTAAAGCTCTGTAAAGATTCGACCTTAATTTGGCACACTTCCCTGATCCCAAGAACAAGTTGTTTTTCCCGATCGCCCCTTCCCATCTACAAAAAAAAACCTCTGAAAAGGAGACAATCGGAGAATGAAGAGATGAGAAGAGAAGAAAGAGAAGAAAGAGAAGAACGAGAAGAAAGAGAAGAAAGAGAAGAACGAGAAGAACGAGAAGAAAGAGAAGAAAGAGAAGAAACAACGTGAACAGATCGCCGGATTTCCCTTTTTTGACTTCTCAGGGGGGAAAGGCTTGAGGGTTTTGTTTATTCAAGATTTGCTAGCGAGAAAAGAGCTCTGTTTTGTGTCTTTCTTCGATGGACACTTCGCCCCTTCCCGTCAATCACTCCACCGAAAAGTCGATTTTAAAATATCCGCTCAAAAAAAAGAAATGCTCGACGATATAATCAGTAAAAGAGTTTGCTCAGGTTCTTATATCCAATTTTCTTCGGTATTCGTAAAATTAGGACTAGGAATTAGGGAAAACTGTCTAGAAGTTGTCTAGAAATTGTCTAGAAGTTGTCTAGAAATTGTCGGGTTTAATAACCGATTTACTGCTCTCAATCTTTTAATTGAGAACTGTTTGAGATTCCCGAATTCCCACGAAACCTCCAGGAAACGAATGTGAAAAAAAAGTCGCAACATATTTGTAGCACCCTAAACGATCTTTTCACCCCTTCACTTCCCTTATGGCCTAGGGTTTCCTCTTTTGAGTTCACTCCTTTTTCATGGGTAAGTGTGTGTAGATGCATTCGAAAGGAAACACAGAGAAGTGAGGAACCTTTTCGAAGAGCCCACCCCGAAATTCGAACCCCATCGAACTGTGCTTAGTCTCAACGATGACTACAATGAAGGCGTTTTCACCATCCCAAAACATGCAACATTGAAATCAATCTTTCTAGTGAACCAACTATCACACAAAAGATCAATCAATGTTTGATTCTGGTTTTGAGGGGTTTTTGTTGGCAAAATTGTTTAGCGATGTTTAGCGATGGAAATGTTTAGCGGAAGCGGGCATATCGGATCAGAGAGTCGTAACAGTGCTTTGTTTTTCTTTTCTCTTTTCTTTGTCCAAATCTTCTTGCAAATTAGCGCTGAACCATCTTTTCCCCGATTGTGCAAATGTGTCATTTGTTTTGCTCGACTCCAAAGAAAATCTTCAATTCAAAAAAAATGCAAAAATTAAGACCCACGTTGTCATGTTTGGTGAAAAAAGGGCATGAATAGCTCGACCGAATTCAGGTGGCATTGGAAATTTGACACAAATCGAAGGGTAATTGATTCTTCTTGATGGCCCATCTTGAACAGTCATTGCTTGCACGATCGACCTATTTTGAAATGAGATTTAAAGTATTTCTAAAAAAAAGTTACCATAATTGCATAGCAGCATGCATGACGAGTGGATTGAGTATATCATGATCCTCTTCTCGATGTGTCACAATAATGTAACCAGCTCGTTTGATATCATATCTGAAACAAAAACAAAATCATTGCTGCTTTTTCTATCATTTGCCAAAGAAAATGCTTTGTGCTTGTTTTATAAAAGCTTTATGTTTCATCATGAGTGTCGCGGCTTCCGCAAAAGATGTGCAAAGAGGAGATTGGGGGTACCGTCACACGATGGTCATTGTTTACACGACGGTGTTCTTAGCGCCTACCGACAGCACTAACACCCATCGTTTCCTTCACTCCCCTTTTTTTCTTTTCACTTCCTTTCTTTGCCTGGCAATTTGTGTCAAGATAGCCAGTCCTTGTCCTGCCCATCTCTATCAAAAAAAAAGAACCCATAAATGATCACAACTCGCGGTAAAACAATCTGCGAACATTGTTCTTTTTTCGTCCAACAACCGGGTCAGAAAAAAAAAAAGAGAGTAGTGGAGATCTCTAACCAGTCTATTCCAGTATTCCGATAGAAAATCACTCAATCTAGTATGGGAAAAGAGAATGAAATAGATGAAAAAACTCAGAGTTATTTAGAAGACAAAAAAAAATTCACCAACCTTCGCGTCGCATAAAAGGGATCCGAGTCGTTGATGTGAAAAAGTTGATCGAGTTGAGCAAGCTCGTCTCGAGCCTTTGCATCGGTTGGTGTATACAATTCGAGTTCGTCTTTCATAAAAGCCTAAAATAAAATTAAAATATTAGCCATAAAAGTCATTGTGCAAAAAAAAAGAACTCTATTTGAGGCATTTACCTGTTTGTGTCGAAGTAGCCCAGTGCTCAGAGCGGCTGTCACCATCATGGGAATGAGCACAAAGAACAATGGCCATCGCACCACAATACCTAAAGAAATTTCGAACTCAACGGCAAACCTTTTGAAAATTTAAATTCAGAATTCAGATATTCAATACAAAACAATTGAATAACTTTATTGTATTGAATAACTTTTCGGAATTAAACGTACTCGCATATTCGGAGAAAAGGACGGCAAAGCGCCGCTCGATGCAGTCGATTCGCATCCACTTTTGCCGTTATAGCTAATATTCCAAAAAAAAAAAAAAACGATTCTTTTTGAATTTAGATTATTCTTGATAAAGTCTCTCGTCAAATGTACATTAAAAAGTGAGAAAGTAGTCGTTCGTCGGCAAATTTCGATGTGCTTTCTAAATTTTTTTTTTGAAAGCATGAAACTTTTAAAATTTGAGAGAGATGAACGAAAACATCGAAATATGATGCGCAATAATGTCCCCGGAAACAGCTAAACTCTCTTAAAGGTGCGAATAAACAATTTGCATTGTGTACAAGAGAGCGAACTCCCGAAAATCGTCATGGAAAGTGTTTGCTTGAAAAAAAAAAAGAGATACAAGAAGAGAAGACCATATTTGGGAAGAAGAAGACGAATAAAAAGAGATGAGTTGAAGAGAGGAATCGAACGGGAAATCGAATAGAGGAATGGATAGATGAAAGGATGAGTGGGACCGCTCCCCCCACACACGGGGGTCATCTCTCGATCCACCACAATGTCCATCAAACTCTCACCTCTCTTCTTCCCAAAGGTCGATCAAGTCGATTGCTTTCCAATTAGAGAGGCTTATCGCCAGCTATTATGCATTCAAATTCCTTAGAGCTTTAGAATTCAGATACAATTGAAGGGTTTTTTGTGATTTCATTGAGACAAAAGTGATCTAATTCAAGTCTTATTCAAGTAACAAGGTAAAATGCTAAGCTATAAAATGCTAAGCTAAGCAAAGCACCAAAATTTATTGGTGAAATTCAAAGGATTTCAATGCCAAATGAAAATTTAAGCTTACAGTCTAATTGAAAGTAAATAAGATATAAAAACTTGTACCATACTGATGAAAGACCGCAAGTGGCAACAGTACAACAGTGGCAACAGTAGAAAGTGAAAACAGCTGTAACACTAGTTATAAACTTGTCGAAAACGAAGAAAAGAAAGAAAGAAGCTTAGATTGGTGTGTAAAAGCTAGAAGAAAGGACAGGGACGACTTCTCCTCTCCGACTTTCCCTCTCCTCATTTCTCTCCTTTTCCAATCGACCATCACATACTAGCTCCGCCCCCTATTCCAAATTCAACGATGGGTATGAAATTTGTTTGTCTAGAAAATTGTTTTTCACAGCTGACTTCATCTAGAAAGAGATTATTATACACGCACATCGTCCATTAGTACGATGTGATCAAATATTTATCAGTATTGTTACGGATACCCACGCGAGACAACCCGACCTCTCATATTTCTTAAAAGGCTGTCAAATTTACACCTTTTAAAGAAAAACCTTTCCTTGATGTCTGATTGGATTGGACTAACGGGATTTCGAATCAAGCCTAGCCTACGAAGAGTTACTTATAAAACAGCTACTTTTACGTGTGAAAGACTTTACGATGAAAGGCGCTTGTGATCGTGCACACACTCACGTCAAGGCTAGAGGACCATAAGAACCCAATGCACTATATCTCTATCCTTTCTTCGGGCTTTTCTCGCCTAAAAACAAATTAGAAAAAAAAAAGCGAGCCGTTTGGGGGGGAAAAAGCCGAGAAGGGAAGGGGCGACCCTCGGGTGAAATCATTCCTTTCTTTCAGGGCCAACAGATGAGAGTCAAAGAAACGATAGTTGAAAAGAGAGTGATATCTCTCTCAGAGAAAAGGGATAGCTAGAATCCGATTGCGCAAACACGCCTAAAGCGAGACTCTTCACACACCGCGAGGTTGAGATCGGGTGAATCAATTGAGATGATTAGCTTCATTGATCTTCAGGCCGAGCACTCGATTTTATGGTCTCAAAAGGGTCAAACATATTGTGCAGATTTGTCCGTTATCCGTTATTCGTTAGCCATAACTTTTATTTGATTTTTTATTTTATTTATTTCAACGTAAAATGAGCAAAGTGAAAAGTAAAAAGTCAAAAAATAGGAACGGATAAAACGGAAAGGTTTTAAGCAAATATCTTAACAAATATCAAACATGAAAAAGTCAGCCGTAGCGCAACACAGTTACAGTAATGTTCTTATGTTAATATAAAAAAAAACCCAATATTCTAAATAAAAAGTGTTTCAATTGATTAGTGTTGCGTCCAAGGTCCAACTTCCAAAACATCTTCTTCAGAATCCTAAAACAAAACGTTAAAACGGGCTACGCATATGGAAATTTGGTCATATAGAAAACAAAACCAACAGCATCATATCAATCAATTATATAACCGTACGGAGCACCGAACTGTTTCACACAGTAATACCATATTTTTCCTTTTTTTCACGTATTCTTTCCTGTTAGAATCAAAAATTATTATATGTATCAACAGAAAGAAACTCTTTAAAAAAGTACTTTTGATTTCCCTATACTCTAAAAAGGGTACTTGTCGATTTTTTTCCCCGGCCACTGGCAATGCAAGTTTGAGAACATTAGTGAACCTCCTTCAACATGATCGTTTATCCCAAATCCAGGTTGTTTTGTCTCCACAATGTAGTAAGCATCCTTGCACATGTTCATGCACATGCTTTAAAATACAAATCATGTCTGCATGTGTAAAGTGACTGGGAAAAAATGGGACCATGACGATTGCGCCGCAAGCCAAAAACGAAAATTGCGCCGAAAGACCAATTTTCGCCTCTGGTCTTGCGGCGCAAATTTCGCAGCGCAAAATTCAGCACCGAAATTTTCGCTTCTGGTCCCGAAAAAATTGACCAGTACCCTAAAAAGTGACAATAAATCTTTTTGGACAAATGCGGAATTAAGTTAATCTTTGAAGAAATTTAATCAACAAATTTATGAAATAAACTTGAAAATTTCGACATGAATTTTTTGCTTTAAGAGTTTTGTTCATATGCACTATCCGAATGTGACTAGCCCATTTTAGATAAAAAAAATACCGTCTCTACATATTCCCGGCAACCATCAAGTATATTGTCGAATAGGATTTTAGTTTCACGTTTCGTCGAATAGGCTTTGAGCGTCATATCGCTGTTTTTATCTAGAAAAAAACCGAATACGCTGTACGCTTTCAACCCAATCAAACAATTGATTTAGTCGATTTTAAAAGATTAGCTTGTGTTCATAAATCGAAACTTTTTGCTTTTAAAATGTCATTACAAAATTTTATTTCTTACAATCATGACCCGTAAATATGACATGACAAAAATAATACATCCACTTCGCAAAAGACAATAAATTCACAAAGTTTTGAGCATATTGAAAAAGGAAATAATGGTACAGACCGAACGATATTTTCAATGTTGAAATGAATTTCACAGATATCCAACTATAATTTCATTTTCACAAAGGTGTAAATAAAAAGAATTGCATATGTTACGTTCGATTAAGAATTTATCGGGGTAGGCTAATTTCTGCCATTTTATTTGCTCAACTCGCCATAACTTTCTTCTAAGTGGGCCAATCTTTATGCTTTTGGTGTTATTTTGTTGCACTTATTGAGATTTATAAAATGATACCAAAATCATAAAGATTGGACCACTTAGAAGAAAGTTATGGTGAGTTGCGCAAATAAAATGGCGGAAATTAAACTACTCCAATTTATCGAATCAATTTTGTAAAAATGCGAAACGATGCAAACCTAATTTTTTTCAGGCATATACGGTGTTTTCTTTATTGGTGTTATCTTGAATCATCAGCAGCTGATAGGTGCTAAAGATATCCTGAAAAGATCTTAATTAAGAAAAAAGTAAAAATTTATTGCAATCAGTTAACAAAAATGTAAAAAGACCTCAATATCAGCGTTCTACACCCTCCTGTGACTGCGAATGTCGAGGTTTTCAGTGAATCAATTTGCAATCAGGTTAAATTATTCCTTGCGTTCACTATCAAAACTAACATTCATTAAATATTCAAGCAGATTGGCATTGAGCATATCACATTTTTACATAATTGATTCGATAAATTCTTAATCGACATAACATAACATATAAACACGGTTTTAGCTCAACAGTTCTTTTTATCCGGCACATAAATAATACTCTCGACGGTTTGGTTATGTTCGTTATGTTCATCATCATCACTTGACTCAAGATCTAGAACCGGTTCGGTCACTTCAAATTGGGTGACCTCCAACGAGCTCGGTTGAGAAATTGCATCGTCTTCTTTGAAATGCTAAACAATCAGTACGGTAGGTACCTACGTTGATTGATTAAAATACCATTTCATTTGAAAGTAATGGAAAGATAACAGAACGTCCTTCTGCGGACAGCTTATTGAAGTGAGCAAGTTGTGTAGGCCGAATTGCCTCTCTAAACGTTTTCTTACATTTTCCACAGGTATTTCTTGCGTATAACATATCAAACGTATAAAAATGTATCCTTACGCAAAGTGCATACATTCAGCAACTTACTTTATTCCTTTTACATAGGTTATATCTCGAGCGTATTGCTCAAAATAAATCCGCATTTCAGCTTCTCCTGAAGCTAAGACGTTTTCAACATAATCGGCTATTTTCCTAAATTTTTATTTATTATATTAGTTTAAATAAAAAACCCCCAACCTCATCGTGTCCTTGATCTCTGCATGCTCATAACCAAAATTTTCCTCGGACGCAAATCCTATGTTCGCTTTTTCGACAAATGCACTTTCTGATTTGCAAGTCTCGACAAGTATCCTGCATAATAAGTGATATGAAGAGAATTGCTAACTGCTATTTCATACCTGTTTCTTTCCTGTATTTCATTTACAACCTCAAGGCATTCCGTAAGATTGTCTGTCAAAATAGCATTTCTCTCCTAAACAACTCCTGGTCCACTCAATTGATATAGTTTCATCTAACAAGCTCTATCTCATTTTTTTTAAAAGAATTGACTTACTATAAAAAGCTCGGTTTTGTAATACTCATCGTTAAACTCGTCTAACAGGCGTCGACGTTGTGTTCCATCATCGTTATCCATAAAAATGTCGTCCAAAAACCATTTATGATTACTAAAACTTATAAAGCTTTGATACATAGAGCTGGCGAGTTCATCCAGTGTCTAAATATAAAACGTTAAACTTACAAGATCATGCGTTGTTTCTGTGTTACTTTAGTCGACATCCCCATCAATTCGACGACGAAAGCATCGCTCTCTTTGAACTTAATTTTTTTTATAAAGACTGTACATTGATTTGACTACCTTTGTGTTTAATCGCCTGCAATCGTCCAACAACTTCTCGAGCTCAACCTCCGACATAGCTGAAAGTTGTAATAGACATGAGACTATAGCTTCACTGCAGCGGTTTCACCAAATTCCGCAAAATATTCAAAAAAAACTTCAAATAATGAGATTATTGCAACTCTGCTAAACAAGATTTCATATCATCAATTTTTTAAATTAGTTTTATTGCACCCGTAATGACAAGTCAAATACCACAAATAGTTACAAAGTTACATACATAATACCATAATTCAGCGAAAATAGGATTTTTTTTTTTCAAAGAACATTCTAAAGATCCTCAATTTCGCCATACCGGATAACAAATTCTCGAATCAAATCGAAAAGTTTTCGTTTGACTTCTTCGGAAACGGCCTTTCTAAAGATTGATAAAAAAAACAAGTCACTTTCGCGAATTGTATCAGTTATGTGAAGAATGCAACTCAAACCTCGCGGGACCTTTCAAACTGTTGTACATTTCGTCAACGGTAACTTCTACTCCCTAAATATGGGGACGTTATTTGGATCTGCGTTCTAAAACATACATTTTTAAGGAGAAATTGTCGGCACAAATTGTGAATCTCGCTCATCCATCCAGAATTTTCCAAGAGCACCAGTAATAGCTCTTTTGTTTTTTCCTTTTCTCCTAAAGCAAAGGCACTTCTACGCCGAATTTAGAGGATAAATATACCTGAACTAACAAAATGCTCCTCGAATTGTTTTTCATTATAACTTAACATAGTTGATTCACTGAATTTACGGCTGATATTCAAAAAACATTGTAGTTAAAAGGTCAAAATAGGTATAGGTTCCCGAAAAACAGTTGAGCACAAATCTACGTTGAAACAATAATTTATTTGGAAAAAAACAACCAAATCACAGTTTTAATCGCCCCGTCAAAACATATTAGCAAAACATTAAACTACATAAACACATCAATTGATAGCTCTTAAACAAATCAATCTTTTGAGGTGCCCAGCTCTTACTATGTTGAAATTCAGCAATTTTAAACGTTCATCAATCAACTAAACAAAATTTTTATAAAAAGTAAAACATAATATAAATCTAACCTCTTCAGGTTGGTTTTCCAAAGATTGAGAGAAACTCTGCAACTGAGATGACGATAGCGCAAGAAAGCGCAATATCTCTAGCACAGGTTGAAGAACCTAAATAAACATTATTATTGGAAAAATGAGCGCCAAATACAACTTACATCTTCCCATGAACTAGTTGATAAAACGTGCCCAGTAGCTTCTTCCTCGGTAGTTTTAGTGCGGGAAGAAATGGAACGTAAAACAGGCAAAAGATAATCGTTTATATCAGTTAGCATTGCCTGAGCGCCTGGTTGCCTAAGAAAATCAAACTTTAAGTATAATAAAAGCACTTACGAAAATTTGCATGAAAAGATGACATCGATCTCCATGATATCAACGATAGCCTTGATCAAACCCATAAAAAATCGATCAAATGATGATGGTGACAAAACTGTGCTGCACGCAGTAAGATTTGAACTAAAAAGAAATTTCGTTGTTAACTTTAACATTTACATTTTATCGAGAAAAATTCAGAAAAGACCTATACTAATAAAATACCTACCGAAGATTGTGTAAGCCAGAGCAAAAGTGAGGAGAAATTCCTTCACTGTAGTTGGGGCTTAACCTGAAATTCTAATCTCATACCTTTCCTGTATCAGATAAAAATGTACCAATTTTGTCGTTTATAATCGGTCAAATATGATGCAAAAGAATCGCAGATGTGCTTAACAAGCTCATCACACATTTGTATCCACATAAATCTAAATTAGTATTAATTTTTAAAAGAGAGGTGAAAACTGAAGTACCTATACATCTTTGCCGATTCTTTGAGAGGACCTAGATGATCGGTAAAACTAAGTGAGTCCGACCATTCTTCGAAAACACAAGCAAGATACCTAAATGCTAACTGTAATTTATTAAAATAGGCGCGGCTCTCATAAACCCAAAACTTAACCGACCATATGGAATTCATCACACATAAGAATGTATTGTTAAGTGGAACATCAATGAATCGAGCTATTTGAGCAAGTCGTGCACGAAATTCATCTACCAGTACCACGATCACCGAAATTATCCTAATATATAAATAGTTTTTGTTACAAGTAAGAAGTATTCACCTTCTAGTTGCGCTTTCCTCCGGTAGCATTTGAGCCCTTTGACCAAGATCTGTTAACAGTGCAACAAACGCATCTGCGCATTCAACAACACGATACTGAAAGTTTAAAGAAACAATGATTAGCCAACTTTGAAAAACAGCTTACATCGTCCAAAGATCCCAATTCTTTGCTGAAGCGGTCTTCAAATTTCGAATCACCGTGCAAAATTTCATCGAGCCGAGCACTGCATACCTAAAGTAATTTAATTTTCTGAAAACATTTGCTCTAACCGTTTGTTCGATATTTGTCCATCGCCGAATGACATCTTCTTCACAAAAAGGTTTGAGAGCTGATTCGCCTTTGTTTTTGGGATCGTATGCTGAACATTTGCTTGAGGTAAATATATAAATCATCAGTGCTAGTTCTCATTTAAATCTTACTTGAACGCATCCTCTCAAAGTTGATAGCTTCGTCAATAATATGTGAAAACAGGAGAGTGTCTGCTACTACGGTTGTTTGGGAGAGAAGCTAAAAGCTTCGTTAAAGCTTTAAGGACGAAAATGGAAAAAATAAAACACTTTATAAAACTCACATCCGTTGTTTTGGCGTTTGCCAAAGTCGAAATATGTTGAATAAATTCTTCAGAGGCATTAAGCTTCTAAAATCAGCTCATGTCTAGAAAGCTCAATAGGAATTCCCACATTTGCGCAGAACTCATTGAAAATTGACGTGAAGAAGGGCAAAGAATGAAGAATCCATTGTATTAGCTAGAAAATATAGTAAACTATAGTAAGCTACAAATTATTACTTGCTGAAAATACCATTCAGGATGTGACGAATCATTCGTTTTCCTAGCTCCATAGAAATGATAATGAAAGCGTTTACGAAATCGTTGAAAAACGACATCCATTACAGCCTCGACGCTAAATAAGTTGTTTACATGTAAACCAAAGCAGCCTACCCAGAGCTATTGCAATGATCCTTTGAAAGAATGGCCACTTTGATTGCTTTCATAAGTTGCCCTTTTGATGAGCTAGCTCCCCAATCCACTGCAATATCAAATGGGTATCCCAAAGAATCAAGGTTCTTTTCAAACGCCCCAAGAGCAACTTGATAAATCTAAAAGCTTTATAGACGTTGTAGTATTCAAAATTATACCTCCTCGGCCAGTGTTTCGACTTCTTTTTTAATCTTGATGCATTCCTGAACATCAACAATCTCAAGTTCCGCCTCGTCAGCTAATATCTATAGTCATTAGAGCATAATTGGACCGAATAGGAAATTAACTCACTTCTAAAAAAACTTTGAATGAATCCTCGCTATTTCCTTTTATTAAGGTTTTACAGAGTGCAATTTTATTTACCAAGCTTGCAATGGCCTAAATAATTTGTATAGGAGAGAAGAACAAAAAAGATTACCTTAAGATTATTTAGTTCGGTTTGATGGCTCATGAGATTTGTTAGAGCATCTACCTCAAAAGATTCCTAAAAGGAGCCTCATAATTATTTGCCAAAATAAGAACAAACCTTGAGCAAATCCACTATGGCGTTTTTCTGTCGAGCATGTTCGTCTCTGAGCTCAACAATTTGTTTCCGGTAAGAAAGCAACTCCTCCCGGAGCTCCTTTAATTTTGCCAGCTTGGTCGGCAACTCGCATTCATGCACAGACTAAAACAACACACAATTCATATATACCTATGCCTGTTCTAAAAAGGAATCCTTTAAAGCCTATGATTATTCAAAAAATTATATAGAAAACCAGCGAAGTAAACAACTTTGCAAAAAGATTGGGGACGCAACGTACGTATGCCATTTTTTGCAACGCTAATTGCAGCCAAAATAGGTATTATTCTCAAAAACACTTACTATTTTTGTCATAACACTCGTGAGTTCTTTATCAAGTTCGGCGCCAAGCGAGTGCACTGTTGCCAATAAATTGTTTGTATCATTGTCACATAAAGAAATTCGATCTTTAACAATCTAAACAATTAATTAGCTATTTTATTTGTTAAAAACGGCTTACCGCTTGATACATTTTATTCGCAACCGCGAAATCTTCTTAGTGTCCGATCTAATGAAATTTGGTAATCGCCACAATTGAAGTCGCCAGACAACGAGTCTATACAATGCACGTCATGAAATAAAAGATTTACCAATCGTGTGTGTGAACGAAATTTTTACGGGAGTGGGACAAATGCGACCTTTTTTTTGCGCACCCGGACATTTGCGCACCTTTTTTTCCGCACCTTGCTCATTAGCGCACCTTTTTTCGCGTTTTAAAAAAGATCTAAAAAGCTAATATTAACCAATTTCTATTCCAAAAGTTGTTTTTCTAGGTAATTTTAGGGCGTAGAATCGAAATTTTGACATATCAGAGCTTGTGGAAACAAACGGACGGAGTTATACAAAGAGAAAAATCGACAATTTTCTGTAATTTGATCTAGCCGTTTTGTCTTTCAAATTGGTTCCACACGCTCTGATATGTCAAAATTTCGATTCTACGCCCTAAAATTACCTAGAAAAGCAACTTTTGGAATATGCTCACAACTTCCCCGTGTTTTTCTATTTTCTATTGTTACAAGCTCTTGTTTGAAAAAAAAAAAAAAAAAAAAAAAAAAAAAAAAAAAAAAAAAAAAAAAAAAAAAAAAAAAAAAAAAAAAAAAAAAAAAAAAAAAAAAAAAAAAAAAAAAAAAAAAAAAAAAAAAAAAAAAAAAAAAAAAAAAAAAAAAAAAAAAAAAAAAAAAAAAAAAAAAAAAAAAAAAAAAAAAAAAAAAAAAAAAAAAAAAAAAAAAAAAAAAAAAAAAAAAAAAAAAAAAAAAAAAAAAAAAAAAAAAAAAAAAAAAAAAAAAAAAAAAAAAAAAAAAAAAAAAAAAAAAAAAAAAAAAAAAAAAAAAAAAAAAAAAAAAAAAAAAAAAAAAAAAAAAAAAAAAAAAAAAAAAAAAAAAAAAAAAAAAAAAAAAAAAAAAAAAAAAAAAAAAAAAAAAAAAAAAAAAAAAAAAAAAAAAAAAAAAAAAAAAAAAAAAAAAAAAAAAAAAAAAAAAAAAAAAAAAAAAAAAAAAAAAAAAAAAAAAAAAAAAAAAAAAAAAAAAAAAAAAAAAAAAAAAAAAAAAAAAAAAAAAAAAAAAAAAAAAAAAAAAAAAAAAAAAAAAAAAAAAAAAAAAAAAAAAAAAAAAAAAAAAAAAAAAAAAAAAAAAAAAAAAAAAAAAAAAAAAAAAAAAAAAAAATATATTAATGCTTTTATTTTTCAGATGCTTTTGAAGATCAACCAATTTTACCTGATACGTCGAGGATCAACTTTATGCACAAAGCTCAAGGAAGCGTCAGGAGAAGCTACGACGTCGAAGGAAAAGGAAAAATATGTAGCCGGATCTGAGATCGAACGCGATGCAAATGGAGAGGCTTTTCGGGAAATGTTCGTGATGCCAAACCGAAAATTGCGAGCTCAAATACAGCTTGAGCAATTGACAGGCCGTGGACAGGTAATGCTTTTATTTTTTTAATATCTTTACTGGATATTTTTAGGTTCAAAAACTAAGCCGCTTTGACATTCAAGACCGACTGGCTGTGAGAACGTCTCGATCTAAAGAAATGAGCCCAGAACAAGACTGGACGAACGTTTGGCCTGCCCCTCGCAGTTTTAATGCTTCGGTTGTCCCTCTTCCAGTTCGAATGGGATCACGGCCTCATCCAGAAAGAAGAGCTCCGTTTAAAAAATTTGGCAATCTTGAACTGGTGAAGATTCCAAATTTTCTCCATTTGACTCCTGCCGCCATCGAAAAGCAATGTTTGGCAATCAAGCAATTTTGTACAGAATATCCACCAGAGCTCAAAGGCAACAAGGAACTTCAGAAGGTGTGTTTTGTATCGATTTGATAACTTTTATAGGCAGTACGTATTAAACGAAAGTCTATTTGTTCATTAATTCACTATTTTTAGGTTGTGCCATTGAAGGTCTATTACAACGACTACGTGCATCAAGGGTCGTCACTTCGTGATATTCGGTCCCGTGTGACAACCACCACTTTGAATGTTGCTGCTCTCAACTTGAGTTCTTTCGCCAGGGATAAACTACAGCGACTAGCTGGAAGCAGGTACCTACATTACATTTCTTTTTGTTTTTTATCAAAAGTTATAGATTTGATTCATCGAATGGAATGTTAACGATTTTGACTGACCGTTGCCATACCCGTCAGCAAAATGATCAATACGCCGCTTATTTACTTACTGTTCTTTACCACGAAGCAAACAAAGTCGAAAAATGGGAGGAAATACGACAGAGAGAAGATGAATTGAGAATAGAATATGATGGATCAACAACCCAACAAAAGGTTGTGATTTTCAAACGTATTTCTCTATTAACCATAATTTAGATTCTTTCACTGCTCGGCAAACCAGCCGCAGATGAAATTGGCTCGCAAGCGACACTTGCGGAAACGAAAGAAGTGAAAAGATTTAAAGAAGTTTGGACCAGTTATCGAAACAAGAAAGAAACCCCGGAATCAGCACGAGAATATGGGAATGCTGTCAGGGCATTAGTAAATGCTCAAACAAGTTAGATTTGAACAGTTATAAATATTGTTTTCATTACAGATTAGGTATTGTTTGTTTTTATTTTTGTGTAATTTTGCTATGAAATAAAACGTTCAAAGAAGTTGTTTCGCTTTTCGGAATGACCATTTAAACTTACAGTACAGGGTGCGGCAAAAGTTCGGAGCCGCTATGAAAACATTGCAGAAAATTTAGCTCAAGCTTTTTTTGTGTCTCGTATATTTTTTTTCCTTTTTTCGAGTATAGTTAAGGTGATTTGTTACAAAAATTTTCTTTTTTTCTATACCGGATTTAAATCTACAGTAGCCTACACTGATTTGATTTAAGCTTGATGTGGTTAGCTTTAACATAGTCCAAAGAACTTCGGCGGTATTTTGCTACAGAAAACTGAAAAATTGTGTTGCACATTCCCTTTCCTTACATAGGTAGGGTGCTAACCTCATAGTCAGCTACCCCTTTGTCCCTTTCTCTTTTCATGCATTCATGACTAGTTATTAGTTCTGGGATGCGCGGCTAATTGCAGCCATGGTCGCTCTTTCTATGGTGTGGTTGCCTTTCTACATTCATCGACTCTATTCCTTCGTTTGAATTTCTTTCTCGGAAACTGAAACCCATCGTTGCACTTGATTAGGTTCCTATCTTCTGTTTTTTGTTATAAATATGAATGTTCAGCGTCTATGATCAATGTAGATCGAAAATTGAAAGGGACAATAAGAGCTTTTTATCCTAATGGTGATCGAAGTGTTGTTTTACACATAAATGCAACAACAAGATGTCATCAGGTTTCATTTTTGACACCGATTGTTGAAGCTTTTTTTGTGAAATTTAGCTAGCCATCCAATATAGAGTGGATACATTGTACCTGCAAATTGGAAATTTACATATCAAGTACGTTTAAAATGTTTTGTTCTACACAAACAAATCTTTTTTAGACCTCTCTCAGCTGATTCCCGGCCTTTGGTCATACAATCGGAGCTATTGACCACATTAGGGTAACAAAAAAAACTTGATTGTCTAGTTCAGTTTAGCTACAATGTTATCGATGCTCTTCAAGTCCCAACGCATACAAACTTTCGACACATTTTCGCTTTTTTCCTTGGTCGACCGGAACTTCAAAACAACAAAAATTTAAACGAAATTCTTGTTGCAAATTGTCTGGTAATAGAATTTACCTGACTTTCACAACCACTTTCAGATCAGAAAAGGACGACTCTTCAGTAAATGGGACTCAAAAAAGTGTATTCTTTGTAATGGAACTCTTCGAATTGAAAGACGTATCGAAATAAAAGAATACTTTTAAATCTAGATTTGGTATTAGATATGGAAGAAGATGAAATGCTTTTGGTGGCTAATTATAATGTCGAGATTACGGTAACTCGTCGAGGAAAGGGACTACATTTATCGAATCCAACAAACGACTTTCTTTTCATCTTTGATCAAATTGAAACATTGCATTTATGGGTATCACGATGTCTACAAGTTTTTGATTTGTAGTTGATAGATTATTAATGGGATTTTAGTTTAAAGTCACTTCAACATGCGATCTATCCGATCAGCGTCTTGTCCTTTTACCAGATTCAACATTTTTGGCTCCAAATTTACAAAAAATATATCATTTGAATTTGAAAAGAAACTCTTTACAATTTAAGACATGTCACCAGGTAAATTACAACAAATTCTCGCAATTTGAAATATTCCTAAAGTTTAGGATGAACTGGGACTTGATGGCACATGGTCGGCTCCTCAACTTGGATGGATCGAAGATCTCTATCGTTTCTCAGCTCTCAATCATCTTGATTTATCTTCTAATCGGTTTTAAACTTTACAATGATTCAAATAAAAAGCAAAAAAAACTTTCAGATTATCAATGTTCCCATTGGCTGTCTTACAATTGAAATTGCTCACACGCCTTTTTCTTTCAGATAATCAAATTGATCGTATTCCAGGAGAGATAAGATTGCTGAATTTGTGAGTAACACAAAATTTCAAGTTCAAAAACAGCAAATTTTTAGATTAATCGAATTTGATCTTGCCAATAACTGGTTAAGTGAATTACCTGATCAACTTGGAGATTGTACAGAGTTAGCCGTATTGAATCTAACACTAAATCGATTCAAAAAGGTGGATCAAACGATGGAATTGAGAACTTTCGCATTTCAGATACCATCGATTCTTTCCACAAATCCAAAAGTGACTCATTGGCAATTGGCCGGGAATTTTCTTGATCATTTGATAGGTGTTGAGCTGAAACAATGTATAAAGGTGTTGCAGAGTTGGTTGTTTATTTCCAAAGAAAATATTTAGCTAGATCTACGGAGAAATGCCTTTCATGGAAAATTAATCATTCCTTCATCGGGTGAAACGTTGAGATGGCTTGATTTACGGGATAACCAGCTGAAATCCCTATCGACAACAAATTGCCTAAATCTTCGAGTAAGCTAACGTAAATTTCCTAAGACAAGAGCCCCTTTAGGAGCGTCGCGTAGTCTAAAAGGCAAAAAAAGAGCCTCATCATCTTTCAATCATTTTATTCTAAGCGCTGGTTAATACTAAAAATATGTGTTATATCTTAAAAAATCACCCATCTTCTCTACTTTAATTTGATACCAAAGCGCACAGAAACAAACGTACTGATGTCAAGATATGAGCGTTTGTTTAAGAGTAACCTTAGACTACATAGCGCTCCTATAGGGGGCCCGTTCTATTAGAGTTTTTACGGTAAACTTTAATCTTAACCACAAATCAATAACGATAAAAGTATTATAGATTTATTTTATTGGATAAGACGTTACTAGAGGCTTTGCCAAGAAATTCGGAGAATCAAAAACTAGCATTAAAGAAAGTCATCTAGAAAACAAGTTGTCAATAAGTTTACACTTTGAAAAAAATCACCCATCTTCTCTACTTTAATTTGATACCAAAGCGCACAGAAACAAACGTGCTGATGTCAAGATATGAGCGTTTGTTTAAGAGTAACCTTCGACTACGTGACGCTCCTATAGGGCTCTTCTATTAGAATATTTACGGCAATCCTTTTGCTCTCTCTCTCTCTCAAAAAAATCTTAGACTTTACATTGTGAGAGAAATCTATTGAAAGAGCTCAGTGTGAATGGGCAAAATATTTCCTATCTAAACGCATCGTTCAATGGTGAGTTCGAAAAAGAAACTTCGAATCTTTCAATCAAACGCCTTTCAAGCTCTTTCTTCGCTGATCGTTTTACCGATGCCAATGAATCTCGTCTTTTTCTCCGTCGCTTCCAATCAATTTTCCCATTTACCCAACTGGATCACCGATTTACAAAAGATCAATCATATCGACGCACATAAAAATCAACTCAAAACTTTACCCGAAAGGTTTTTGAAAGTAAAAATTGCGAAAATTACAAATATTCCAGAATTTTTCGCGTTCCATCTTTGAGCACACTAAATCTGCACTCCAATCGACTCACCAAATTGCCAGAACAAGTCGAAAATTGTCAAGTGCTCATAAAAACTTTATCTATTATATATGAAACTAATTTTTAGATTGAGATTCTAAATCTACATCACAATGCTCTAGAGAATTTGCCTTCACTTTTATTCAGATCTAGTCATCGGTAAGAAAATGAATTGAAAATAAAATGTTCTGATGCTTTATCGACATCGACTGATGCTCTGAACAGAGTGAAAAAGTTCATTAAAAAAAAGAAAGTTATTTAGCTTGCGTGAAGTGAATGTGAGTGCGAATGTGCTCACCGAAATACCATCTCCAAATCCCGTTCCTGATCTGAATAGAGTTCAGGTTTTGTCTTCTCCAATAAATCATCATAATTTCATCATTTTTCAGATTCTACATGCAGCAATGAATGAATTGGATGATCGCGTTGTGCATACAATCATTGCAATGCGCAGGTTTGACCCGATAAATTCTTTCTTTCTGAAATCATTTTCTGAAAACTCTTACAGGCTACGAATCCTCAATCTCTCAAACAATAAAATCAAATTTTTTAACGACAGGTTAGAAATAAAAAAAAATACACAAAAAGAACAAAAACCTTTTAGCAATTTATGTTCTTTAACTTCTCTGGAGGAACTGAATTTGTCGTCGAATCGATTATCATCGATTTCTTCATTGATTCTAGCACTCCCGTCTTTACAAGTCACAAATCTCATTCGCATTTTCAATATCGAATTCTTTCAGATACTAAGAATACACTCAAATCAAATAAATATTCTACCAGATCTTTCCCAATCAAAGACTTTAAAGGTCAGCAATTGTATTGATCAAAATCAAAAAATCAATCCATTTCAGATTTTTGATGCTTGTTCAAATCGAGTCTCTCAAATGCAGTCGACAAATTGTCTAGCTGAAAACTTGCGCCAAGTCGATCTATCTTGTAATCCCGAGCTTCCTGTGCACTTTTCTCAAAGGTAGATTTTGTATAATAAAAAAAGCAAAGCAAACCATTAAAGGAGCAGTCGAATTTATTCTTTCGTTAATATTGCTGAAGCCGGGGGACACAATGTACATGTAGGCTTTAGTGAATGCACTGGACAACGAAATCGGTGACTTAAAAAATTGCAAAAGTGAATTTGTAATTAGATTATCGGTAAGACAAATCCTTCCCAATACTCGTCATGTCTCTCCAATATTGGCCATCATCGATACTTCGGGAAATGCTAGCTTGGCTGCTGAGCTATCCGAACGCCTTTTTCGGATGGCTGAAACAGAAGTATTGCCAAAAAAAACAAAAAAACTTTTTAAGTAAACAAAAGTGATGTGTTTCTAGGAAATTGTTGACGAAAACACTCTACGAAATTGGATTCTCAACGCTCATGAATGGATGGGAGAAAGTGGGGAACGCGTTGGAGCAAGTGATAACTTTTATTGCCTTTGATAACATAAAAGAGGCAAATAAAGTTGTTTTCTAAGGTATTCTCCTTGCATCGATTTGTGACAATCAAGTGCTGTGTGCGAGTGTTGGAGGAAATCGCGCTTGGATTGTCGCTGGTAGACGGCATTTGGGACAAAACCGTCGGGAAAAACTAGTGTTTAGATGGAAAAATTCATCCTCTAATAGCTCCGATCCAAATTGACTCGAAAACATATGAACAATTGAGGATGGCCAATGCAATAGTTGATGAAGTAAAAGAGATTACCTTTGGATGAAGATCGATTATTTTTAGGAGAATTTGATATTTGGCGTTTGTCCCTATGTTCGCCAGATTGGATTCAGCGCGTTTTTCCCGGCGATACTCCCTCGAGCTACTGTGGTCGGTTGTAAACTAAACGAAAACATCTATCGGTCCTTTTTTGCCATTGGCAATTCAAGGTTTTTCGTATTTTTCTCAGCATCAACCTTTTGATTTTGACTATTTTGACTATCATTCGATGCAGAATAAAATTGCGCGTCGAATGATATCAAAATTAACTCAAAATATAATATCCGCGTAAAGTTGTTGGCTAAAAACATAAACCCCGTTCATTATGGGCGAGACTTAACCTTTTGCCTCAGAACTTTACGTAGATATTACATTTTTAGTTAATTTACGGCAAAAAAGGACCGATAGATTTTTTCGTTACAAAGTCGATTGCGAAATTAGTCAACAAAATATGATTTCCTATAGAGAACAGCTAAACTCAACTCTCGAGAAGACTTTTTAATCCTTGGGTCAAGAGCTGTTGGAGGATGCTTATCTGAGCCTTTACTTCAATATATCGTTGCTTCAACTTCAAATCCGCAAGTAGCAGCAAAAAGAATTCAAGTGAGACTGAAGACGTTTTCTCAATTATCGATAAACTTCAGGATGTCGTACAATCGTTTAATTGGACAGATAATGTGAGCGTCATTGTGGCGCAAACCGGAAACCTCTTGAACAGAAAAACAAAGAAAAGGTGCTGTCTATAAAAATTCTTTCGATATTTTCTTTAGTGTCAATCCCTATTCGATTTCCGAACGAGAAGAAATCTCTGAGTTAACGTTGCAAAAGATCGAGGAAAGAATTGAACAAATTAGTCGAGTTAGAAAATAGATGAAAAGGATTAAGGAAAGAAAAGAGATTAGGTGATTTCGAGAATTGAAGACGATAGTAATGATGAAGGATTGGGAAAAATGAAAAAGGAAATAATTTATCAGATAAAAGGTAAAGTTTAAAAGGAGATTTATAGAAAGAAAGAAATAGAAGATGAACGAGAGAGCCCATCCGTACCATCAACAGCTCCACCCGATCCATCAACTTCATCTAAACAACGACGGGAAATGAATGGTGATTTTTAATCACTTACAATACAATATTTGGAGGTGGGACAAATGCGACCTTTTTTTTTTGCTGGAAAAGGCCGTAGAGCTTCGAAAATGTTTTCATAGAAGGGAATCGTATGCGTAGATTCCGAATTTCGACAAATCAGACCTCGCTGACAGGTCAAATTTGGACTAAAAGTCAAAAACTGCGGAAAAGCGTTAAGTTGCGTAGTTTTTGCCTTTTAGCCCAAATTTGACGTGTCAGCGAGGTCTGATTTGTCGAAATTCGGAATCTACACATACGATTCCCTTCTATGAAAACATTTTTGAAGCTCTACGACCTTTCCTAAGGTCTTTTCCAGCAAAAAAAAAGGTGCGCAAATGTCCAGGTGCGCAAAAAAAAAGGTAGCATTTGTCCCACCCCCCAACATTTAACATCTACAATGAAAACCTCAATCTCTATGATTTCTATGATATGAATTCAGATGAGATTCGCGATCGATGGCTTCAGATGTCATCGATCTACTCAAGAACTCACTCTCCTCTAAATCCTCACCAAAAAATGATGAACTTTTAAGAAACTTTGGAACCATTTGTGTTAATGAGACATAAAAATGCAAAGTTATGCTAAGTGTGATTCACATAAAAAGAGGTGATAAAAATTTCTCTTTAAAAATCAAAGAAAAGCAATGATATCACCAGCCATAAAGGTAATTATTTGAAACGGGCGCAGGCTCGGATACTGAACGAGATAAGAAATCGACAAAATCACTCAGTTTACCCAAATCAAACACTTTTCATTTTGCAAGAGTCTTTCATAAGCTTTTTTTGAAGAAAAATTGATTTTTCTTGAAGATGAGACCCTCGGGCTTGTGCTTATGCATTCTTGCTGTTTTGGGTATGTTTTAAGATAAGATTTTTTTATACGGATTTGATTTAGTTCCTTTGGCAATTGGACAAGTGCCTACAACAAGTAGGTTTAATTTGTTATATGCAAAATAAGAAGAATAAAAGGAAGCTGGAATCAAGCAACAACCGCTCTGCCACCACCTACTGTTTCACTATGTGCTTGCTCTAGTTTGTGATCTTAAAAAGCACTAAAAACCTTAATTCTTTTGATTATTCGAATATTTGGTTGGATGTAATGGTGTTGATTGATAGTAGTACGGCGATGACAAGTCATGGAATATTGGAGGCAAAAATTTGAATTTAATTGGGTTACGCTTAGATTTTAGTTGTCGAATTATTTGGTGACATCATTTTTGCAATTGAACATTGGACAAGGAGATGGGCATGTAAGTGATTGAACAAAGAAATCGACGCGAATCTATTAAGTACACAAGAGTGGGAGCAGTTGGATATGGAGATAATGCCACTCTGCAACACTCACTCACTTCATTCACTAGTGTCAACGATTTATTGAGTCGCTTCAATCCGACTATTGATGGAACTAAAGGATCAAATATTGAAGCGTATTATGAAATCAAAAAACAAAGAACAAGTAATTTTTAGAGCTATTCGATTGGCACAAGATCAGTTTGATTCACAAGGTCATCGCCCGAATGTAAAAAGAGTTATCATTTTAGCGGCGTCTCATTACGAGTGAGTTGTAAAAATCAAATCAAATCAAATAAAATCAAATCAAATTTTCAGTCAGAAGTAATCGATTACTAATAGTTGATAAAATTTTAAAGCTTACTGATTGACTGAGTCAATTTTTTTTGTTAGACCTGGAACTTCTGAGGATCCCACCCAAGTAGCTCAACAATTTCGAGAAGATGGAGGCTTTTTGATTACCCTGGGTAATAAAAAAAGATGTTTATCTCAAAAAAAAGCTTTTCTAGAATACGTACAAGAACATGGAGCCCAAGTACCGATTCTTGCCGACTTGGCCAGTCCGTGTTTTGCGATTTCAAACTCAAATGCGGATCTTCATGCTGTGGACCTTCAGAATAAACTTTGCATGGGTGAGTTAGAACAAAAAGTAGCATTCATTTTTTGATTCAAATATAGCAAATTGCTTTTGCTTGACGAATTGGGAACCCTATATGATTAATCCGACCTGTAATGTTCCGGATGGAGGATGCTATTATCCGGTAAATTGTAAACATTCAAGCTTATATTCAGGCTAAATCCTAAATCAGAGTAATTCTTGTTGTTTAGGTGCTCATTCCCGCTGCCGAGATTCTAGCAAAAGCGTTTTGCGAAAGACAAACCGGTGGAATGCTTGTTAAAGTCGAAGATGCAGCCAAAGCCATTTTTGTCAATTCGAGTTCGATTTCGAAAAATCATTTTTTTTAAAAATGGTCAGAAAGACAAAAATGATTTTCAGTGTACAGCAACACAAAGGAAAAGACATGGATTGGACTGGAGTATAGCCCGTTGAAGTTTGGCTATGTGTGGGATGATGGATCAAATGTGGGATTTACTTTAAAAAAAAATGCTGAACGAGGAACACGTCTAGTTTATTATTTAAACACAAAGCTGCAAAAAACATAAAACAAAATACTTCGAACAGAAATCACCGCAAATTTCAACAACTTTTAGGTGGGCAGCTATCAGCCATTTGCTTCTAGAAACATCAGTGTCACATGTGTGTCACAGCAGCCAGGCAGTGGCTTCTTGACTAATTGGTGAGTTAACGCCGAAAAGCAAGATGAAAAGAGGAAAGTTTAGGTACCCGGCTGATTGTGTCGAAGATCATATGTACACTTGTCAGTCTACCCCATGCAGTGCCGATAAATATTGCCCGTGATTAAATCGAATTTCTCAATACCTCAATAAAGCCTCAATATTTATAAATCTCATTTTAAAACTTTCTAGAAATTTAAAGATTTTGCGATCCTTTGTTTATGCACAATGAATAGAGTAAACTAAAATTTTACATGCAAATCACTAATTTTGCTTTTTTTTAAAGTTTACGAATTTAAATCTTGGGGTAGGCTAGTTTCAGCAACTGGGTCGTTTGCGCAACTCACCATAACTTTCTTCTAAGTGGACCAATCTTTATGCGTTTGATGTCATTTTGTTGCACTTATTGAGATCTACAAAATGACACCAAAAGCATAAAGATTGGCCCACTTAGAAGAAAGTTATGCCGAGTTGCGCAAACGACCCAGTTGAGCAAATGACCCTGTTGCGCAAAAAAGTTGCGGAAACTAGCCTACCCCTAAATCTTATGTTTATAAGGTATTCAGTTGTTTCATTAGCTACATCATGCTTCAAAAAGTAATATAAACCAAACTTTCCACGAAAATAGACACCTTCATAGAAAAGTTGCCAATTTGACCGTAGCCCCAACAAAGTTTAAACTATAAAATTAAAATTTTAATGGTTATTTAAACGCAACCGAAACTAAATCTAAAGTTAAATCGTATTGTGAATTAAAGTCAAATTTGATAAAAAAATTAAGATATCAGCTATTTTCCTTTAGCTTGTTTAAAGGAGGTCAATATAAATAGTTTTTACATGTTTTTATGTCGTACTTTTGTTTTTGCTTCTTTAAAATGCTTAATAAACTGCCTACTTGTCTTGGGTAACGCATTATTTTTGCAATTCTAATAGTTTTAGGTAAAACTATTCTGATGGGATTGAATGGAATAAATGCACCGGAAAAGGTCGACCTTTTCGAGCTTTGGAAACGTTCAGAAGTAACTTTTTCTATTAATACCATTCGATGTTTGAAGTTTAGTGAGTGGATATTTATAACTTTTGGACTTTAGGGGCCATCTACCGCACCTCTAGGGACGCCGGTAATTCATCAATCGGCCATAGGAGAGCGCTTTTCAAGTTCACGGTCGACGTTATGGACTAATTTCTCGCAACTATCGCCCAGTGACCAGGTGAGGTTTTGAATTTTGACTATATTGAATTAAAATAAGATCAGAATAAAAATTCAAGTTTTCACGTGATTTATTGTATTTTTAGGGTCGTTTCTTCTCTAAATTAACATCGGTCTGGCCATTTCCCTGGGAGAGAAGGGCTGTTTCATGGCCGATACACGCTTCAATTATTGCAAACTCTTTAACGTCATCCCTCATCGCTACAAGGATCTGCGCAGATATGGTTTTGAAAGTCTATCCTTATCAAAGCATATTTATTATGTGTAGATACTCTATGAGCCCAAAGCAAAATTTTTTGATGTCATACGTAGAACGCCGAAGTCGCCACTTGTATTCGGGGTTTATTCTTCTGGTGTTGCATTTTATATGCTACATATGGTTAGTGTTTTTGGAAACTACTTATGAATTAAAAATTTAGTCCTTTATTACGCCAAAAATTTTTACCGAAGATGACCCATGCAGCTCGTGTACACTCTCAAAGGTTGTTTTTTTCGTTAAGTATTTAAACCATGGGTTTAGGGAGTGTTGATATCATTAGCTACTGGAATAGCCCTTCCACTACTTTCAACTCCATATATAGCCTATTATGTCTTGCTACAAAGGGAGCCAAAGATGAAGTTGGTATTAAATGCTGCCAACTTATAGTTATATTTTAGGTATCCGTTGATAACGAAAAGTCAAGAAATGCTCGCTATTGCGTTCACAGGTATTTCTTAATTTGCAAAGTTTTAAAATGCATTTGAAATGTAGGGAACAAGGCAGCTCGCTCCTTGCTCCCAGTTCTGGTTCCATTTCAAGTCGCAGTGGCCGCTATATCTGCATATGTACTTCTCTGGGGTCGGAATAGAATATTCAGGTTTCAATTTATTCATATGTATAAAATTTAGAGTTTTATTTACAATTTCTGTCTATGAGACTGAAATTTTAGTACAATGGACGCAGATCCAGATCTCGCTAAAGAAGTGATGACAGCTGCTCAAGTTATGGAAGGACCTAAAGAAAAGGTTTGTTATTACTGGGTTATCAATAAATAAAGCTTTTAGATCATGAAATGGTTACACAATGCTCCTCTTTTGAGTGGATTTGTGGCTGAGCCGGCGCCGGAAAATGAAAAGCTTCGTTAATTTTACGATTTAGGTAAGTTAGGTTTATTTGCTAAATTTTTAGATCGTTAGTGATAGATTGTATAGGAGTTCGAAATTTACTTTGTACATTGTGTTGTTAAGGTATGCGTTGTTTGTTTTTACACATCGTTGCATATTTTTTGAGTGAAAATAAATGATTATTGGCTTTTGAGAACTTGAACAAGAACATGTTTTGAGTTTTACATTTGCTTTTTTTGCACTTGTTAACTCCTTGTTGTAACGATTTTTTTAGGGACACAAATGAACCGCCGAGAGAGACGTGCTTTGTTGTTTCGTAAGTTAAATATTTTGGGTTTTCTTGAGGAATAAATAAATTAAGAGTCCGGCGCAATCCCTCACTTTCATGAACCCAAAACGAGTGATCAATCGAATGCGGGGGATGTCCAGGCAATGCAGGTAATTTTTGTAGATGGTTATTTTAGTTTATCTGATGCAACTGTTTTTAGCAAGCGGAAGGACCAGGAAATGATGAGTCGAATTGTGTGAACCAATTTTATCAACAAACTGAGACTATCATTGTTGAAAATCGGGTAAAAAATTGTCGATTTTACTATACTCTTTGATTGCAAGAATAAATATCTAACGATTAGGTCTCTCAACAATCAGAAGGTGTGCTCGGTGATTGGGCCCCTAGCAATGATCACGATGTAGCTCCTTCCATTGCAGAAGCGAAGCCACCATTGCAGAAGTGAGTTCATATATTTTGTCATGCTATAGGCTAGTCTGTGTCTATAACGTTAACTGTTTTCATTTTTAGGACCCTTCTCCTCCTCACGTTCTTTTGAATCAAGAACGAGCTGAAGAAATTGTCAAGAATGCTACCTTTTTTCGTTCTAGTAAGCATTTTGCTGAATGCAAAGGATTTGCTATCAGGTAAATTAAAAGAATTTCTAAAATGGCAAAGCTAAAATATACAGAATAAATACGTTTAAGATTTTTTAGCGCGGAGAAATCGATTCCTAATGCTTTTGTGCGACGTGTCAAATTTTCGGGAGATGGTTCGTTTTTGGCGACAGATTCGGCTGATAATGTTATAAAACTGTTTGATTACAACAGCATAACGCAATCAATGGAGAATGTTAGTCTTGATTTACTTTTTTGCATTTTTTATTTATAGAATCAAGTTGATCCCGTTGCGAGAATTCCAACGGGCGGATATGTGCTAGACATGAAATGGCATCCACGACTACCTTTACTGGCTGGTTTGTTTTGCTTTTTTGAGTTTTAAATATCGTAATTAAGTTGCAACACACTCTAGCCCAATTCGCGTCTTTTCAATCGACCACACAGTAGATACTGTCTTTGTAGCGAAGAATGCCGTTGTAAGTCGTTTCTCTTTAATAACAATTTTTTAAACTAATGAATGATTAAGGACGAGCATTCAACTCCCACTGCTCTAGAATGGATTTCTGAACGCGAACTTTTGGCTGGATTTACAAGAGGGCCGTTAAGGTGCTTTGATATTAATCGACCGTCGAAAGCGGTTTTCAGCATACAGGAAGGAGGTTTATTTTTTTGATGTTCTATCATTTTTTTAAACTTAGATAAATCGTCAGGAAACCCTATCGGCAAAATCAGTTGCCTTGCTAACTCCAATAACGGGTGCTATGTTGCTGTTGGAAACTATGAAGGAAGCGGTATAAAAATACATATTCTCAACATGTCAAACTTCAATATTTAGTGTCAATTTACTCAAAAAGTAATTCATCTTATGTTGCTTCAACAAATTTTCGTAAGGAAGCTGTAATCGATTTGCGTTATTCTGCTGACGATAATATGCTTTTTATTGCCTACCAAAAAGTAGTTTTGAAATCTCATCAAAAGATTTACAGACTACATTTAGGTCGATGCGATTTATTGTTTGGACCTTCGTAACATTAGCGACGAGTATATGTTGTTGAAACGGCCTTGTGAATCAAACCAACGAATTAGTTTTGATGTTGATCGGTGATAAACTACATCTTATTTTTTTATTTACAAAGATTTAGAGCTGGTAAATGGTTGATATCTGGGTCAGTCTCAAACGAAAATGGAGGAGAAGTCTACTTTTTCAACTTGGAGAATTTAAACAGTGAACCTTTGCGAAAACTTGTCACCCCCAATACGGCGGTTTCCTCAACAAGGCTTGTTTTTAAAAACGTTACTTAATCACTTTGTATTTTAGCATACACCCAACTCAATCCTTTGTAGCGGTGGGGACTGGCGAACGTATTTTTCCAAGAAGACTTACCAACTTTGGTTTATCTGATGTAATCATATATCAGTGTTTTTTTTTTAATTTTTACACTTCGGTTTTAGGATAGTTCATCTGATGACGAAGGCGATAATCGATTAACTGCACGGCAAAGTTATTTGTATAAACAGAATGTGAACAATGTTACACTGGAGAACTCTTTGTATCTTTACGAGTAAGTATTTTATCTTGTTGTCAAAAAAATTTCCAGAGGTTATGCAATAAAGAGTACCTAAATTTAGTTTGACGTGATGTCGAATCTACCGGCTAACATTGTAAAGGATTTCATTTGACGGGGAAATTGTTTGTTTTTAAATAAATAGTACTTTTGAGACATAAAAAACTAAACACATGCACGACACAAACACTAAAAAGTCGTAAAATAGCATCAGAGATTGACCCATGAAACATTGTCTTTACTTTTTTACGATAGTACTTGAAACTGTTCGCATTCATTCTGTGAGTCCCTTTTTATGGACTAAGTGACTGAAGTGGTGCTTCGAATGAAATATTTCAGCCCTTGACTGACCTCAATGCTCTCTTTCTTCAGAGCTCACAGCTCTGGATTATTCCTTTGCGAGACGGTTATGCATAAAAGTTTTGCCACCCCAAATCTGGTTCATCCTCTGCGATTCATAGGGATTTGTGGAAAAGGCGCGCCCTTTCGCCTGTTTAATCGCTACCCAGTTCTTTGTAACCAGTACTTCAGAAACTCATCATTATTGAGAGGTGAGCTTTTTTGAGAAATCTTTGGATTGGGCTAGATAATACTTTTCTTTGATCTTACATTGTGACTTCATAACCATTTCGAAAAACAGCACAAATATTGAAGTTCTGGAATTGAAACTACCCCTGTTCAGATGTTGAACTCAACAATATTTCTTTATTTGTGAGCTCAACTCAAACGACTCTTGTCCCTTCATTGTTTTCGCGGTCAGAACTTTTTAGATAAAATCTTGACATCGAATCATACTTCACTACAGGTCAAAGCCCTGTAGAGGGCTTTGACCTCAACAGGAAAAATAAAAGTCAAATAAAATAAAAGTAAGAAACGAAAAGTTTGACGATGAGTCATGAAATTGGCAAAAATCGAGGGGATAACTTGTGGTGTGCTTAGATTTGGGAAGGGGTTCCGGTCTTTCCAATCCTCAAGTGAGCCCTAAATCTATCCCTCATCCCCTTTCTCACTCACCTAAACGCTTTGAAGTGAATGGCTCTCTTGCTAGAATGACTTCTCTTGAGTTTCCCAACTAAACTCATACTCAAATCATTGTTTATTTAATGCAAGAAATTCGATCTTTTTTTTAGAAATTTTTTGACTTTCTCAAAGCTTTGAGGATCGTTTGAAATTCATATTTTTTATGATATTCAACAATAAATAAGTTTTGTGGTTAAAAGATGGTGCTTGATGGGAGGAAAAACGGCATTTTGAGGACTGGAAGGCATTTTTATGAGCAGAAGCTGGAAAAATTAGAAGATGGGTGAATGAAAGAGAAAAGAGAGAGACTCTCTAGTGAATGAAAGCGAGCAATGGCTGCGCTTTTCTCTCTCTCAACGTCAATGATCCAGTCCTTTCATTAGGGAGAAGAAAAGGCTCGCAAAAGGAGAGAATGCCGTCGGCAGCCCGTTTTTGAGAGACTCCTCTCGCTCTCCTCATACAGCGATCAAGCATTGCTTTCAAAAAAGGGAAAAGAAGAAGTTGCCCTCCTCGTCTTCTCACACTGCTCCACAAGCTCATTCACTCATTCCTTTCTTGTTTTCCTCATCCTTTTAGCCGCCGATTGATTGCCTGAAAATTCTCATTTCATTCATAAGCATTTGATCCCGTCACTCTGCTTGCTTTCAGGTTTTGTGATGGCCAAAAGGTCTAAATTTTTGTTGAGAATAACCTATAGTTATCTTGAATCTTAAAACTAAACTGTTTTCCTTTAATCTAAGACTTTTAATATCTTAAAGCATATAACTACATTCATTGTAACAAAGCTTTTTTTGTTTTCCCATTCTTGTTTGTTTCATCCTTTCTTTCATTTCAACAACCTTGAAAGCATGGCGTTCGTGTGAAATTAAATGCAAATTTTTACAATTCTCTTTCTTGTTTATAATTGAATGGTTTATTCTCTTGATTCTTTGATCTAAAATTAAAATCTAGAATTCGAATGGCTCGAGTGAATGATTCAGGAGGTGAAACATGTGACGGGAGAATACCCCCAGATAGGTTTGTTACTTTTGATAAATCAGCTGATAAATTTTAAGCACAACAATGAAGTTGCCAAAAGTGGTGCCGCCAAAGAATTCGAATGAGGAGAGACGAATGAAAGAAGGACATATTGAAGATAATAATGAGGTTTGAAAGGATCTTCTGATTTTTGAAATGATGATTTCTTATGATTTCTTATGATATGAATCTTATGATCTTATGAACATATGATTTCAAAAACTTTCAAAATCAATTCCCTTCAGAGACTTCTTTTCAGGATATTTCTTACTTCAATTTCCCTCTTCTTTGGTGGTCGGGCACTTTTGGAATGATTTCTCTTATTTGTATGGCTGTCGGTTTGTATTCAACGACTATATAGTATAGTATTGAAATCTACAGTACTGGACAATGAAATATGATATTTGAAAAACGATCGTCACTTTCGCGCGTCTGTAACTCCCTTGTCTTTGAGTTTAAACTATTAGTGTTATACATTTTCTGAAAGCTCTTTTCAAGGGCTACACAATTGTATTATTAATATTTAGAGATTCGGTAAAGACAAGGGAATTACAGACGCGCGAAAGTGACGATCCTTTTTCAAATATGATATTTCATTGTCCAGTAGTGTATAAAAAGAAAACATTTTTCTTTCGTTCAGCGATTGGTGGCAGTCTTTATACGGACTATGTGCCGACTCCACGTCAATTAAAGCGAGGTTTCATTGCTCGTTATGGAACAAGTGTCTATTTGTGCAATGTTGATTTTTACTTTCAATTCAAAAACCCAAACAATTTCTAGAGTACAATCAATTTTGCTGCTGATGGATTACCGTCACTTTTGAATCTTTTTGAGCTAAATGTTTCGGGAAATGTTTTCTTTCGAGTTGCTGTTGTACTCCCAATGACTGTTCGAATTTTTCAAGCCTATGCTGTCAGGTGAAAGAGTTGAAATTATATAAATAAGATTTTGCTGTTTAAAATCTAGCTGTTTAAAATCTAGCTGTTTAGAATCTAGCTGTTTAATATCTAGCTGTTTAAAATTTTCAAAACGATAAAGTACTTTGTCAGGAATCTGGTATTGTTGTCTTCTTCTATAGAAGCATCAATTCCTGTGCGACTTCTAGCTGATTTAATGCCCACTTTGATGATGCTTGAGACTGCCGCTTTGGCTCTCTTTTCCATCATCACCACTCACTTTGATTATGAAGGTAAAGATATAAAAGAAAAATTCAATGTTAAAACGATTTTCAGATATAAATCGCTATTGCAAGCTGGTGTTTTGTATCACGGCTTGCGTGAACATGTTTGCAACGGCGATCGTTACATTTGGTCATCTCAAAGAATCACCAAAAGTAGTTTGAATGGGTTTAAAAGAAAGAAAAAAAGGATTTTCAGCAAATCGACGCGATTTCCTTAATGGTGAAAATCTTTTCGGCGGCAATTTTCTGCTATGTGGCGCCTCAATACTTCCATCGGCATCAAGTTGCTATTCGTTTTCCCGTTTGTCATTCACATTGTGAGTCTTTGGAAGGATTTATTTACTGAAAGTTTAAATGTTTCTTTTCTATTACTACCGTAAATACTGTAATAGTACCCCACCGCCCATAATGACGGTGCGGAGCGTTGCGTAGTCTAGCTTTGAACGAGTTTTTCTCGACACTGGTTTATGCTACAATGAGCGCTTAGGTATCAAAAAATAGCCCTGAATTTCAGGGCTATTTTTTTGATACCAAAGACGCATTTTTTGAAAGTACGGGCGCTTTGAAAAAAATGAAATACTAAAAAACTTTTGCGACTACGCGACTGTAAGAGGGGGGTGGGGTACTATTACAGTATTTACGGTAGGTATTTTAAAAAGTTGAGTGCCTTAAAAATCGCGTACTTTTAACCGTGGAATGGGTAATTTGAAAAAATCCGGTATTTATATACAGCGATTTGATGTTTTACTTTAGCGTTGCTGTTTATTTTTATGTACACTACTGGACAATGAAATATGATATTTGAAAAACGATCGTCACTTTCGCGCGTCTGTAACTCCCTTGTCTTTGAGTTTAAACTATTAGTGTTATACATTTTCTGAAAGCTCTTTTCAAGGGCCACGCAATGGTAATATTAATATTTAGAAATAGGGCAAAGACAAGGGAGTTACAGACGCGCGGAAGTGACGATGCTTTTTCAAATATGATATTTCATTGTCCAGTAGTGTATATGTTGTATCCGATTTAGATTTCAATCCTAATCAGATATCTCATTTGGATTGAAACATTATTGCACAGTATGTTATGTTTTTTTAAATGCTTTTAGGGGTAGGCTAATTTCCGCAATTTTTTTTTTGCGCAACGCGCCATAACTTTCTTCTAAGTGGGCCAATCTTTATGATTTTGGTGTCATTTTATAGATCTCAATAAGTGCAACAAAATGACACCAAAAGCATAAAGATTAGCCCACTTAGAAGAAAGTTATGGTGAGTTGCACAAAAAAAATTGCCGAGATTAGCCTACCTTATCAAATTTCAAGTCTGATAGCTGATTTAGATTGAAAGCTAAATCGGATACAACATAAACATAAAAATAAACATCAACGCTAAAGCAAAATATTAAATGACTGTATAAAATACCCGATTTCTTTAAGGTATTCATTCCACGGTTAAAGCACGCGATTTTTTAAGATACCTAGTAATAGGAAGAGCCACTTAAACTTAAACAATATTGTACTCTAACGCATTTTCAGTACCGCGTACTGTTGCCTACATGGAATACGCTTGTGTAGTCTCCTATCTTCTTTTCCACTTATCGCAGGTTTGAAAAGCTTGGGGTTAAATGAAAAAGCAAAAAACAAAAAAAACGTTTAGTGGTTGGACATTCGGCAAATGAATTTCTTGGTCTATCCACGAACATGCAGTGGTGAATGTGAACCGCTTGATCCGAAGAATTTCGAGAAAGGAGCTCGATATGAGTATTGTCGGTGAGGATTCATTATCGAGCTGCATTCATTATCGATCATTTATCTAATTGTAAACTATAAATTAAACTACTTAATCAAATGATTTCCAAAAAAATTGTAAAAGAGAAATGAATGAATATTTTCAGTTCATGGGAGTACCGTCAACGGCAATTACTCGGTCTTCCTGTTCTCACTTTATGATCCTCAAAAAGTTTCTTATAAAATTTGATGTTTTTTTTTCTTCTGTGCATAATAATCTAATCTAAATTTCGCTAAATATTTTACAGATTTCTTCAAAGTTTTGCATTGCCTTATGCTTTGATTCTTTTGAAGCTTCTCTTTGAAAATACGTGTATTCATTTAAATCCGAATCCCACCAATGCCTTTCGCTCAATCATTTTTTAAAATTTATATTTAATCTATTCGTTTTTTTTTGCGAGAATATAAATGAGTAAATGCGCTAAAATATTGCTCGAGAGTTTGTGAAAGTTTTTGGAGAGATTTGAAAGAGAAAAGAGAACAAAGGAGACCACCCACAATGCACCGATTTTTTTTCTCTTTTTCTTTTCTCTTCAATTCAATTAGGCAACATTTCTTCACGAAATTTACAGTATTAGCGTACAGCCTTTTTAGCTATAAAACGTTTATAAAATCTCTATATAAAAGTATAATTCTTGAATTTTCATTTATTTAAAATGAACTTTATTTAAAGTGGACTTGATTTAAAATACTTAATATCATCCTGATTTCACAAAAAAACAGATCAACTATTTGCTTTCAGATGAACAGATCTTTTCAGATGAACAGATCTTTTCAGATGAACAGATCTTTTCAGATGAACAGATCTTTTCAGATGAACAGATCATTTCAGATGAACAGATCTTTTCAGATGAACAGATCTTTTCAGATGAAATCAGATCTTTTCAGATGAAATCAGATGAAAAGATCGTCATTTTAAGCTTTCTTTACAAAGAACCAGTTATATTTTGAGGATTATGATATGGCGTAGATTGTAGACTTTGAAAGATGACATCAAATATTTTTTGCGGTTATTGCGATACCATGAAAAACTTTATGAAAGGACATTAGTGCAAAACGAGAATTGCGCGAGTGCTCGGCCACTGTCCCAAGTGTGGACTCAAGGAATTGGAACCCTCGACGGCCGGGTGTCTTTTGTCGGACACATGGGGTATACAGACAAAAAGTGGTCCTGTTGGTTGCAAAAGGAAGATGAAAAAAAGGAAAAGAAGAGAAGGAAAAAGAAGAGAAGGAAAAAGTAGAGAACGAGAAGGATAACGAAGAGAAGTCGCAACGCATACACTAGCCTCTTTTGGCGGAAAAATCTTGAGGAAGAAGATCAAGCAGTGTAGCCAAAGGAATTGCCGTTGTTGGGAATATTTTTTGGCTTCTTTTTGCGCGCAAAAGCCATTAATACGGTAATCCAGAGAGAAATGGACAAGAATTACGGCCAAAGCACCCACTCCCCCTTTTTTTCACGTAGCCTGATCTGTGTGTCCGTTTCCGTTTCTCAGCCCTCTCTATGGTCGTTTCCCTCTCGTTTTGCCACCTCCCCTTTTTGGTGGAATATAAGACATGGATGGAGGGATCTTCTTTGCATTGGCCTTCTCCCTACTGAACATTGATCTCTTTCTATATCGTGATGGATTCTAGTATTCGATTTACTCTAGTTTCGTTCGGTTTTCTGGCGCTAGCTACTGCACAATATGGTAATCAATTAAAGATTTACTTAACTTATAAACTTTCTAGGTTTCGGTGCTTGCAACCCTGGATGCATTGGAGAATCTCAGTAAGTATTAAGAAATGCTTTTAAATGAGAGTTATCTAGATGTGTAGCAGGAGGTTGTCAATGCATGGCGCCGAGTCTCGTCTATCAGCCGGTGATTGGTTGTGTGCCTCAACCGGCTCCTTATCTTCCCGTTGGACCAGCTCCAGTCGTTGTCCCAAGACTCATCCCACAAGTCAATTTTTTTTCAATATAAATATATCAAGTATCAAATATCAAGTAGTTTCAGGCTTTACCTGGAGCTCCTTGTGAGCCAGGAGTCGAATGCACTGGAGGATCAGTTTGCTCATTGGGAATCTGTGTATGCCCACCAGAACTTGTGCAGGTGCTGGAAAACTATTGTTAAAGATATCTAGTACAGTACAGTACAGTTAAAGATATCTAGTACAGAGTACAGTTAAAGATATCTAGTACAGTACAGTACAGTTAAAGATATCTAGTACAGTACAGTACAGTTAAAGATATCTAGTATAGTCTTGAATTGACGAATTCCAATGATTACAAAACTTGTTACAGGAGGGAACAGTTTGTGTAGCGAGAACAGTTTATGGAGTGGTTCCTCCACCCATCATTCCTGTGCCCGTCATGCCTTCAATCCCTATGGCTGTGCGTTGAACTTATTATATGCTAAAAGAACTTATATTTAATATTATTTGCTTTAAGAAAAGTTGATTTCAGTTGGTGCCTGTTGGAGCTGCGTGTGCCCCAATGAGAACCCAATGCGTTCGAGGAGCCGCTTGTGGTTTAGCTGGAGTCTGTCAATGCTCTACAGGGTACACTCCAACTCCACAAGGACAATGCTTTCGAAGACGTTTGTTTTTAAATTTTCTATTTATCTATTTATCCAGAAATTTCTAGGACGAGCCCGTGTCGCTGGATTCAAGTATCAAAACTGAAAATTGCAATAAATTGTCTTAAAGGTTGTTGACTTGGAATTTTTAAAAAGACAGACAAAGCTAAATAACTAAAAAAAACAAAACTGAACTGGAAAAGATGACCCATGAACTCGCGTTTTTTGAGAAATTTGTGTGAAGTAAGAAATTGAGGAGAAATTAAGGAAAAGAGAAAAGAGAGAGAGAGACAAGAGAAATGGAGATGCCGAACCGGTATCTGTCTAAAGGGGAAAGGTGGGGGGATGAGGCGATGAACTCGCCGTCATCTCTAGCCAAACCTCTTTCTTTTTCTTCAATCCATTGCTGGGTGTACATTCGATTTAGACGTCTGTACATGATAGCGTTCTTTTTTAAAAGTGTAAACTTATTGACAACTTGTTTTCAAGATGACTTTCTTTAATGCTAGTTTTTGATTCTCCGAATTTCTTGGCAAAGCCTCTAGTAACGTCTTATTCAATAAAATAAATCTATAATACTTTTATCGTTATTGATTTGTGGCTAAGATTAAAGTTTACCGTAAAAACTCTAATAGAACGAACCTCCTATAGGAGCGTTACGTAGTCTAAGGTTACTCTTAAACAAACGCTCATATCTTGATATCAATACGTTTATTTCCGTGCACTTTGGTATAAAATTAAAGTAGAGAAGATGAGTGATTTCTTGAGATATAACACATATTCTTTAACCAGCTTTAACCAGCGCTTAGAACAAAATGGTTGAAAATCGGCGAAAATCGGCTCTTTTTTTGCCACTTTTCAATCATTTTATTCTAAGCGCTGGTTAATGCTAAAAATATGTGTTATATTTCAAAAAAATCACCCATCTTCTCTACTTTAATTTTATACCAAAGCCCGTAGAAATAAACGTACTACGATCAAGATCTGAGCATTTGTTTGAGAGCAAGCTTTTGACGACGCGACGCTCCTATAAGGGGGCCGAATTTTTACGGCAATTACATTTTCGTAATACTGTAAACAAATTCATTCATTCGAATTCAAGTTGAAAAGCCTGATTGTAAGCTGAAGGATGAAGGACCAATGAAAGTTGAACGGAGACTTTCTCGACTATCACTAGCATCCCTGGATTTTCATCTACAAGGCAAAGAAATTGAAGTGGCTCCAGATTCCTTTCTTTATCCCTTCTTTTTCCCAAACCACCAAGACTCATCCAGTCACTCACTTATTCATTCAATCCATACAAACCTGTCCACTCGGCCATTTATTTACACCTTTCTTTACCAATTCATCTTTCTCTTCTTGATGCTCTCACTTTTTTTTCCAAAGAAAACATTTCTAAACATTAAACTGTTATTCAAATTTCAACAGCTTCTCTCATTATTTTTTCCTTGTAAAGAACGTTATTGTAATTTTATTGCTTTATTGTTTTTTGTGAAAGACGATTGGCAGGAAGATATAGATCTTTGAGAAAACGAGATGAGACTATGGAGTGTTATGCAAGAGGTCGAGTCTCGATCAAGATAAATCTCGAGGCTTTTCTCAGCCTTCCCCACCGAAAACAGGATTCATTTTTCAAGGATTTTGAAATAAGGGAAATAAAAGAAATAAAAACATCGACTAGGGTAGAACTAAAGTTTCAGTTAGATTTCTTGTAGAAATTTTTTATTAAATTCTGTTTATTTTATAGCCATTTGTTAAGTAAACATTGAAAACTTTAATATTCTTTGCGTTGAAACTTGATAGAGCAATAGAGGCATGAGATTCACAAACAGGCTCTCAATTCCAATTCCAATTTCTTTTTCTTTTCTCACCACTAACTTGTTGTTTATCTGCTTGAAAAGCTTTCTTAAGATATCTTTTCTCAATTCACCCTCCCCACTCTCTCATTTATCTTCTACCATTGTGCCACTTTAGTTTATGTGTCACTTTTACGTGCAATTTACAAGGGAAAAGGGCATATCGTTTGAAAAAGATTCCCAGATTCTCAGATTTCCAGTTTTTTAGATGCAACTTTTGAATCAAAGCGATGGAATTTTATGAAGAAGATCTTTGGAGAAATGGGAGCAACCCATTGCACGAGAATGGCACTCAAGTGACTTTCATTGATCGTCTTTTCTCGAATACATCTCTTGCACACAGGTATCAATTTAATATCTAGAATCTAGAAAGAATTTGATATTAAAGATTGCTTGAAAGACTCACTTTCACAAATCTTCGACACACTTTCTATTTGATTTCTCCATATGAAACGACGGTACATTCGATAGATGATGTTCCAAATTATAATATACAGGTTTGACAAGTGTCAAAGTGATATTGATTATTGATATTGATATTGATATTGATATTGATATTGATATTGATATTGATTTGTTTGATATTGATTTGATATTGATTTGATATTGATATTGATTTGATATTGATATTGATATTGATATTGATATTGATATTGATATTGATATTGATATTGATATTGATTTGATATTGATATTGATATTGATATTGATATTGATTTGATATTGATTTGATATTGATTTGATATTGATTATTGATATTGACTATTGATATTGATATTGATATTGATATTGATATTGACTATTGATATTGACTATTGATATTGATATTGATATTGATATTGATATTGATATTGATATTGATATTGATATTGATATTGATATTGATATTGATTTGATATTGATTTGATATTGATTATTGATATTGATATTGATATTGATTATTGATATTGATATTGATATTGATATTGATATTGATATTGATATTGATTTGATATTGATTTGATATTGATTTGATATTGATTTGATATTGATTTGATATTGATATTGATATTGATATTGATATTGATTTGATATTGATTATTGATATTGATATTGATATTGATATTGATTTGATATTGATTTGATATTGATTTGATATTGATTTGATATTGATTTGATATTGATATTGATATTGATTTGATATTGATTTGATATTGATTATTGATATTGATATTGATATTGATATTGATTTGATATTGATTATTGATATTGATATTGATATTGATATTGATTTGATATTGATATTGATTTGATATTGACTATTGATATTGATATTAGATCATATCCTAGTATCAATAAACTTTAATTTCTATATATTGTTTTTAATCTATCTATTGCTAAACTTTAGGTATCAGTATGGTGGTTTGTGTTCATTGTTGTAGAGTTGTTATTGTTGCGACTCTCAAATCATGATGATCGTTTTGCTCTTAATGATTCGATCACTTCAATTTGTGCTGGAATGCTTTCTCAATGTTTTAAGTAACGAAAAAAAAATGTGAAACGAGTTTAAATTTCTCTATTTTCGATTCTCTGGACGTGCGGTGGCGATTTTTGGATATATTTTCATTTGGGAAAACTGTTCTTTGTTGAGACTACCATTGGAAAGCCCTTGGACATGGATTCTTTGTCTTTTCTTCCAAGATTTCATGTATTATCTGGGACACAGAGCTGTTCATGGTTCATCTTGTTTAGCTGTTTACCTATAAATAATTTTAGAGATGGGCTTTTTCTGGGGTTTGCACACGATTCACCATAGCAGTGAATATTACAATTATACAACCGCTCTACGACAAGCTGCTATTCAAGATGCAGGACTCGCTTTTTATGATTGCTTACAAGTTTCATTTTTTATTTAGATTTGTTTCTTTTAAAACATCCTTCTAGGCTTTTTTCATTCCACCACCGATTTTCTTGGTTCATCGATATTTCTCGGAAATTTTTCAATTTATTATGCACACGAGTGTAAGAAGTTTGATTATGTAGAGGGGAGGAGTTTCTGTTTTAGTTTTATTAGTTTTATTAGTTTTATTAGTTTTATTTATTTATTATTTAGTTTTATTAATTGATTTAAAGGGACATAGAGTTTATATTAAGCTTTCCAGAAAGTCTTTTCGTTTCTTTTCGTACTTTTGTTGAAAAATAACAAATATTCATCAACTTTAGCTGAAAATTTGTCTATATACTTAACTTTTTGTGATCTATCTTTTATCTATTGAAACCAAGATCAATTTCCTTAGCTAAATTGTCTAAATAGCATCATTGAGTCGTCACCATTTTAACGATGATGATGATGATGCGGTTTAGAAACTTTAACTCTAAGGAAACTTATCTTAGTATCAATAGATAAAAGATAGATCACAAAAAGTTAAGTATATAGCCAAATTTTCAGAGAAATTCATCCAGTCAATTTCTTCGTAGAGATTTTTACGAAAAACACGAAAAACTCTCGAATTTGGGCTGAAAGTGAACCGAAAATTGACTTAAAAAGATGGGAAATTGAAGAAGAAACCTTTTTATTTAGAAGAAATCATTGGTTGGAGAAAGAATGAGAAAATGTCCGAAAATTAGGTTGTATCTTTCATTCTAACTAAATCTTTCATTCAAATTCATTTTCTAATTGTTCAAAACACGTTTTCACGCTTGAATTTGCTTGAAATGAACCGAAATTGAGTTAAAAAGATGAGAAATTCAACAATAAACACTTTTTATTTAGAGGAAATGATAGATTAATTGATGAATATTTGTTATTTTTCAACAAAAGTATGAAAAGAAACTCTGAAAAGGCTAATATTTCAGCTTCTTGGTGATATGGGTCCACTGGGTTTGGTGTTGAATACACCATCGCATCATCGGGTTCATCACGGAAGAAATCCTTATTGTATTGACAAAGTGGATTCAAAAAAGAACAATAATGTTATATTTGTTTTCTCTAGAATTTTGGTGGCGTCTTCATCATTTGGGATCGTCTATTCGGAACATTTGAAGCGGAAAGGAAAGAAGATCCACCTGTTTATGGGCTGATTCATCCAGAGAACAATTTTAATCAAATTTGGCTTCAGGTTTGGCTTTTAAACTAGCTTTTAAACTTACAAATTAGTGTTTTTGAAAGAAATAAAATATTCAGTTTCACACTTTATGGGATCTTCTGTTGTTCAAGGGGCTCGCTAAGGATAAAACGGGAAAACCCATCTTTCCTGGTCTTATTAATAAAGTGAGTTGTGGATAGGGTAATGAAAAAAAAAGGGTATTGTAGTTGAAAGCTGCTCTTTACCCACCGGGATGGGTTCCCGGGTTACCCACTGTGATGTTCTTTCATTGGAAAACTTTAGTCGATCCTGCTCATGGAGTTCCGCAGGTTCGCAAATCAAAAACTTGTTTTAAATAGAAATCTTTTAGCCTGAAAAGCCGGTGATTCGATACAATCCCCAGCTCGAACTCTGGATCAAGCTTTATCTTGTTTTTTATTTCACTTTATTTGTAAGTATGACTGAGGAAAGCTTTATCTGAAAACTTCTTTCAGTTGGCTATATTTTATCATTTTGAATACGATCGCCCAACGCTTTCCTATGCTGATTTCACGGTTAAAATCTTGTTTTTTGTCATCACAATGCAATGTTATGGAGGATTTTTTGATAAGAGGTAAAGAAAAAGGATTCAATACAATCCTCGCTCTAAGAATCTTTTAAAAAAAAGCATTTTAGATGGTGGGCCCCGTTGGCAGAAAGTGGGCGCTGCTTGGGAGTGATCGGCTATTATGGAGTGCTATTATGGATTGATGGAGGAGCCGGTCCACATCGAGTCTCCGTAATGTGTCTTCATGCAAGTGCTGCCGCTTTTTGGACCGGCTATGGGACACAAAAGGTATGCTTTGATAGCATTTGAAAAAACGATCTCACAATTACAGTGGCTTCAAAAACGGATCGCCCCCGAGGATAGCAAAACTCAGATAACCCAGACTGTCACAACTATCATCCCGATTCCGGTTAATTATATAAAAAATTTTGAAAGTCAAACATTTTAGAGTATTGCGTCAAATACTCCTCCACCGCCGTACACGAAATAACTCGGATTTCGTGATTCAGAGCTCTATTTTGTTAACTTATAAAATATTTATACACCTAAACATCAAATTTTTAAAATAAACACACCTTTGTTGAGAAACAGAGTAAAAACATAAAGTCGCCTTTGATGCCTTGATATTCAGTCGAATTTTCAGTTTCAGACAGACAGCTGAATACCTTAAAATTTCGCCAGTGAAATTACTGTAGTCACACCTTTATAGTGAATTTAGTGAATTTAGTGACGTTTTGTCATTATTTTTCCCCTTTTTATGAGGGAATGCTGTTTTCGTTCAAATGCACGAGTTTTTAACTCGATGTAGTCAAGATGTAGTCAAGATTGGCTCGATGTAGTCAAGATTGGCTCTATTTTCTCTGGGTTCAGAGGTGCGGGCCGAATTAAGAGGCTGAAACCCTAGGTAACTGCTTGAAATAGCTAGAAAACAGTTACTAAAGTTTAAATAAATACCAAATTAAGAATCTACGCCATTAAAAACCCTAGAAGCAAAAATTAGTGCGCTTTGGCTTAATAGAGATGTATAATGCCCCCCTCAACAACTATATCACCCAAATGATATCAAGACTTGTGGTTGTGAACATGCTGTTTTTTGAGATCATTTTTACATTTGAGATTAAATTAAGTGTACTTCAATAGTTTTCTTCTGTTTAGATAAAATGGAAGGACCAATTGCAATCTTGGGGGCAACGGGGTTCCTCGGAAGTAATGTCGCTCAGCTGATCCAAAAAAATGACCGAAACGTTGAAGTGAGAGAATGGGTCCCTTTCGTGTCTCCGGATTCTTCGTGCTCACGTAAAATTTCAATGCCGGCCTTTGCTTCAATTTTTCCTTTAGATAAGCTTGAGTTATTCGTCGGCGAGAAGCAAATTGAAGATTGTCTCAATGGCGTTAAGCTGGTAAGTTCTTAAATCTGAAGGCCTTTTTATCGTTGTTGCTAGATAATCAACTGTCATGAAGCCCGAGACTTATCGCTGAATCCAAAACTTGAAGTCCTGGCTGAGCACAATGAAAACTTTGTGGCTCTGGTGCGGAAGCTGAACCCGTGTCCATTTGTACACGTTTCAACAGTGCTGGTTCAGGTTGCTTTTTTCTCGCTTTGTTATAGATTTGTATTTTAGTGCTCCAATTTTTGGCCAAACGTTTTTGAGCCTGAAAGAGATGGAGCAAAATACTCGTCTCGGTGGCCTTGTAAGGTTAGGAGGGGTTTATTTCATCTAATATTTTTTACTTTAGGCTTATTGCAAATCGAAACTTTTGGCTGAACAGGCATCATTTTCTGCTAATGACGATGTTATAGTTTTAAGGTTTAACTTGATAAGATTAAAATGAACCAAATGTTTTAGGATTCCATTTCTTTACGGCGAAGGTGACACCGGTTCTATTGTGACTGACGCAATTCTATTCGCCGACTACTTCGGTTCGCAAATTCCAAACATTGGGGATCGAGGCGGAGCTTTTCAGGTTTAATTTTGTAGATTCCTTGGTTATAGTACTTCTCTTAGATGGCCTACGTCAGGAATATTGCACAAGGGATCGAAGACGTTGCCACAAAGTTGCTCGCTGGGGAATTTAACAAACGCGAAGTATGTTTGAAGTTAACCGTCTTGTATTTATGCATTTAGATCATGATAATGGCGGATGACACACGGATTGGCGATCCATATTCAACAATTCTCGAACCATATGCGAAGGTATGCTTAGTAAACAATTTTGCTTATAAATATTAATATTTTAGAACCCAAAGCGTCCACTATCCCCAGTGACGCTGCCATTTCTGCCGCTCTACTACGTGTATCTACTCATCACATGGTTGCTTCTACTCGTAAATCGTCTGGTCAATATTGGTGAATTTCTCGCGAAGGTATTCAATTTTACTCCTCACTGAATTGTCAAGTGATTTTTAGTTGCCTGATCCATCTTTGCTGTATTTGGTCTTCCATCATTGGACGTTTTTCAACACCAACAAGGCATCGTTCCTCCTTCCCAAGCATCTCAACATCGACCGAGAATTTGTCGACAAAATTTCGCGAACACACTATAATTGCGTAAGCGTTTGCAATTATTATTGTATCTCCGAAAATTTTTAGTTTTTCACAAAATTTTTTTAGTTAATTCCAAGTGAGCTGAAGGCGAGTTGGACTCTCAAAATCGACAATGAATAATTTTTGAACGTATTTTCCATCTTCTACTGTGATTTCTGTGCGATTCTATCATTCTGTGATCTTTCATTCTTTATAATCTTTTTTTCTATATTTGATAGAATGACCGATTAAATGCTATTTTTTCAAACTTTGCTTTTTACGAAACGAACCGTCTACACAGGGTAGTAAACAATGGCTTCCTCGAGCTGACCCGCCAGCGACAGCTGATAAATTATCCAATCCGATAATAATTCGCGGATGAACGGCCGTGAAATGAAAAATGAAAGTAAAGCGCCGTGTCCAAAAATTATCATTCATCTTCAAGCAACAAGATGAGCCATTTTTTTGTGCCGTTTTTGCCAAAAAAGCGCATTAATTCTTTTTTCACCCTATGATTTTTCTTTTTGGGCTACTCGCAGCGCATCAGTCTGTCGTCTCAAGCGTTCCGCCAAGAAGAGATAACTTGATCCACCAGCAGATGTGCTTCTTCTCAACTCTCGAATAATTCTTCGATCAAAAGCTTTTGATCAAACTTTAATAAACGGTGTTTTTCTTTATATTTTTTGTTGATTTGAGGCTATGCAAAGACTATTTCTAGAAAAGATGTATTGCACTTGAAATTTGATTATGTATTTGCGATTGCTCATAGCATCGTGGGAGATTGCGAAAAAATTATTGATCGGTGGGCGTTGATTTGTTCTGATTGTGAGATTGTTTTTCCAATAATTCGTGGAGCTAAAATTGACAAGTTAGACTTTGATGTGAGGATTGGCATACCTTTTGTTTGTGGTCCTTGTGCATAATGATTTCCTCTTCTAGTTCTTGGATCCTTTGATCTTTCCCTTTGAGGGCCTGTATCAAACGAGTATTCTCAGTTCCGTTTCCATTTTCTCGTTGCATTTCCTTGAGTCGGGCTTGAAGTTGCTCATTGGTCTTCTGTAGTTGATTTATGCTGGTAATCTATTATTGACAAGTTTTTTTGGTATGACTGAAAAATGGTGTACTTTATTGACCAAGTGGGCTTCGACTTTACGCAGGGCGAGCTCTTTCTCGCGGAGTTGGCTTCTCAAGAGTGTGACTTCCTCATTTTTCATTGCCTGAAATTAGAACTCTTTGCATCGGTTGCAGTTGACTCACCAATGAATTTGCAGGATAAATTGTGATCGGCGAGCGTTTCAAAACTAAAATAAGTGGAAAATTTTGATTTGACAACTGGTGTCTGAACAACAACTGGGAAACAATAGTCACCTTGTTGATGCGTTGAGCGAGGTTCGGGAAGTTCTTCTTTGATTTTAGAAGCTGATACTGGTGATTTCGAAATCGATTTCGTATGTGAACTTCCGAGGTTTGACTTTTTCCAAGCTACTGAAATACGATTTTTGTCATTTAAATGCAACGTGAGCGCTTACTTCTAGGTGGATTGCTTTGAATTTTTGGAGATGCTCCCTTAGAGAAGAGTAACGATATGTCGATTTCGTCTTGCTGAAAACGGAAAATGTTTGGAAATTTGAATCTATGAGAAATTTGAGGTCTTACCTGGAAATTCTGTGAAGTGGACTGCTGAGCTTCATCATCGATTTCAGTTTTGATTTCTCCATTAAATGTGGTTTTCTGACAGAGTTTCTCAATATCGTTGGTCACATTTCTTTGTGCTGGCGATGTGAAAGAGATCGGATCGGAGCGGAGTGAATTCTATGAATTTTGTAAGATAGTTTGTTAGTTTTTCCTTTTCGTTACCGGCTTTTGGATTCTTGCTGAAGGTCCGTCAAGCTTTTTCTTTAGCAAGATTTTCTCCTAAAAAGGATTGCTTTTTCAAATCCAGATAAAACCCCACCACGATTTTCCCTTGAATCCCATTCACATTCGTATTTCGGCACTTACGATCACCTCTATCGTACTGAAATCTAATGATCGTAAATTTGAGAATTATTCGCAAACTCGAATCGCTTTTCGTGTGTACCATTCGAGAATCGATGTTCGCTCGGTGGGGAAACATAATAAAGTGGCATCTCTGAACTCGTCTAACGCTTTTCGATCCCTGAAAACTCAATGGGCTTTTAAGAATGCGCTAATTTTTAAAGGAAAACAGATTAGACACATACATATTGTCCACGATTTTCGGCATCTCATTGCTAGGCTTTTTCTTCAAATGCAATTTCGATAATGTCGGAGAATCTCTGAAAATCTTTTTTTTTAAAACTTTCAATTCCCTTTTACCCATTTTCACTTGTTGAATGTTCTTTCAAGATATGTTTTCTCACATTGATCTCGAAACGAGCCGAATAATCACACAAATTACAACCATACTAAAAAAAGACATACTACCGTATTTCTTCGAATAGAAGACCGGGCAAAGAGTATCATCGCGTACTCCTGCGTAGCAGCCCTTTTAAAAATTTCTTTTCTGCATAAAAGCTTTCAACCAAGTGCTATAGAGCTGAAAAATGGCTCAAAAATCTGTTAGCTCATGTGGTATTTTTGAGTCATTTTCCAGCCTTATAGCACTTCATTGAAAGCTTTTATGCAGAAAAGAAATTTTAAAAAGGGCTGCTACGCAGGAGTACGCGATGATACTCTTTACCCGGTCTTCTATTCGAAGAAATACGGTATATCTGATTATTTAAACTCACCGGTCTAACATCAATATGTGAAATGGCATGAGAGACCAGTAATCCAGCTTGAATGTATCCCTTGCTAACCATAATCACATTTTTAGTGCATAGCTAAAATTTGATTGAAATCTTTTTATACAAAAAAAAAAAACCAACCACGCATATGCGAAAAGTTTCCCTGTTGGCTTGCGCTTCGATTCTTTTTGTGAACTGAGCGACACGAGGTTTCCCGATCGAGAGACCCGGATATGGATCGGACTCTTCTTTCATCTCACCCATCCCATCTATCTAGAATTTTTTTTTTTTAAGTACAGTAATTTATATCCAACTATACTACCCTAAAGTCGCGAGTATAAGTTCCGTTTGGTTTTCGCATGCAAATTGACGGTTGTCTCCGGTGCGGTGTGTCGAGGGTTCGAACCCCGCTGCAGCATAACTTTTTTGCTTTTTAAGAACAATAATAAAAGTTTATATAACAATAAAAATGTATAAAAATGCAACAAAAAGAAATTCTCCTCATTCTCCTAAAATGAAAAAAACAAAAAAAAAACAATAAAAATGAAAGAAAGAAGAAAATTTTCCATCAGAGCCCTTTAAATGTAAATTAAGGCAGAACTTATACTCGAGACTTTAGGGTAATTTTAAGTTCAACTTAGCCTCATGAAATGTATATTATTAGTATACCTGATGCGTGAAGAGTGACATATCCAGCTCTTCATCGTCAATCGCTTCGACTTTCACAGTGGCGCTCATTTTGAAAGAAATTCTTCAATTTTGCAAATTTTATCAATCTTTATAGAGTTTATTGATGAAATTTTAGAAAAAAAAAACACTTGGACAATTAGAATTAGAAGAAATGAGTTGAAGAAAATGAGAATGAGAATCAAAACAAACATGAAGATCACAGAAAAGAGAGGTCGACAAAAGAAATCGAAAAAAAAAAAAAAACAAAAACGTGTTTTGAAAAGTTGTAGTTTAAAATGCGATGTCGATAGGAGTTTCGGAAATTTCGAATCGAGCATTTAGTAGAGTTTCGGCTGAAAAAGCGAGAGAAGGCAAGAGACAGAGAAACATCTGGAGACCCAGATCAATCCAATCCGCCTCTTTTTTCGAAAAACTTCAACATCTCAAATAAAAGTTTTGAAAACATCAAAAAATAAAATTTTTCCTTAAAATCACAATCGATTCTTCAAAAAGCTCGGGTATCCGGAAAGAAATGGATTAATTGAAGGTGGCAACACACAAACGCTTCCAGCAAGGATCTAAAAGATTTTCTTTTTAATAATGTCTTTAATAACATCAATACTTTATAAGTATTGATAAAAAAACCAAATTTCGATGTAAATTACCAATTGTGGAGGGCAAATACAGTAGCCAAATGTGCATTGAGAGCCACCAGTGCACTCAGTACCCGCCAAAGAGCACGATTCTCCGGGGAAAGCCTGAAACCACTAGATAACAAAAGATTTGGCTATATTAATATAGAAAGAGATTATCAGGTACAGTATTTGGAGTTATTTATGTTCACCTGTGGCCTCATGAAGCCATGTGGTATTGTTGGCGGAATTGGGGCCACAAAGCGAGCGCTTTGATAATCCGGCAAGCCGGGATTCGGTAAAAGCATCTGAAAGTTGAGTTCTTTTATGTCCCCTTATGAGTTGGGACTGGGAAAACCAGAAAACAGGTCGGGACTCGAACCCGTGATCTCGCGCTTACCGGGCGAGCGCTTTACCAATGGGCTAGACCGACCCGTATGCCTAGCGCTGCCAGGGTAGGGTCTTATCCCTTACTGTTCATAGGAAAGTAGTCAAAACTTACAATGTTAGTTCTTCGGCCTTGTTCGGGTAAAATTCCTGGAATGAAAGGATATGGAAGTGATGGAGTTGGGATTGAATTGAGGAGAGTCGAGAATCCTTGCGAGACACAACCATAGGTCGACAAATAGACGTAGTTTGGCACAAAACAGACGCATTGATTGGCAACACATCTGAAACTGAAATCTCCTTTTTTCTGCATTATTTTTACCTGGCTGTCCCAATGCAAGCCGGTTGACAAGCGACAATTGATTCCATTGGTTTAAGGCTATTCGCGGGTTTTACTGAAATCAGTTTCGTTTTCAGTTTTCAGTTATAAAGCTAAATAAAGAAAGAAAGCTGTTTTTGAGATCTCTTTCTCTTTTTGTACTTGTTGATGGAAAAGCTGTTGATGGAAAAGCTGTTGATGGAAAAGCTGTTGATGGAAAAGCTGTTGATGCAATTGATGATTGAGTATTCGAGGAAAACGTGGGAATTGAGGTGCTTGGTGGAAGGACTATGACTGAAATTTCAATGACAAAATCAAGAAAACTCTGAAACTTTTTCGAGTCTCGACAACCATCGGCAAAGTGATGGTGCTAGTTGTGGTGGGAATAGTAGTTGCTGGAAAATGAGCTTGAAACTTTACTAGTTCAACTATTTCAAGAAAACCTGCAAAAGAAAGTTTTGCTTTGCTTTTGCTAGACTATTAAACTTTGAAAAAACCTGTAGAGGGAACTGGAAGAGCGGTTGTCGTGGCTGTCGCATTGATCTGATTGATGACGGTTTCCAAGGCTTGAGCCAGTTGATCTTTATCGATTTCACCCTAAAAATAAACATAAAACCAATAACAGAACGAAAAACTTTAGAAAGATTTGCAGCTAGCTGTGAAAATTGCATTCGATGAGGCGTTTGCGGTGTGGAGGCGGAAGCGTCAAGCTGATAAATGAGAAATGGTCAGTGCTGTTAAAAAGATCGACTGTAAAAGATTGGCTATTGTAAATAGTCAAATAGAACGCCACCGTCGAATAGAACGCCATCGTACAGTCGCGTAGTTTAACTTCTTTTAAGAAAATCATTTTTTCTCCGACCCTAGACTTTTCCAACTACACTTTTAGTATCAAAACATACTAGATTTTAAGGGCTATCATTTGAAATCAAAGCGCACACTGTAGCAGCGCGAATTGGACGTTTAAAGTTAGACTACGCGACTGTACGCCCATCATTATGGCGTTCTATCTTATGATTTTAACAAAAAGTCTACGGCAAGTTGTTGTTGTGCTGCTCGAGTGATCTCTTCGAGGATTTGAAGAGTCCTTTGTGCGTCTCCATTCGGGAAAATCCCCATATCCAAGACTCTAGATTGAAAAGATGAAAGCATGAACAGTTCTTTGAAAGTAAATCTTTAAATCTAATCTTTTTATTTCCCTTCAACACATGTTAATGGAAGGGTAAAGTAATAAAGTTCGGTTTCATTTACGTAAAAAAAAAAACATTATCAAATCCTCACAAATGAATTTATTTAAAAACAAACGGAGTGGGAGCCTCTTTAGGCAGACAAATCGAGTGCCGACATACATTTGGTGATTCACATAATGATCTCGGGGAACAAGCCTCAAATAAATTCCCTAAAACTGAAGAATTTTATTTAGACATTTTATTTAGACAACGATTACCCAATCTTTGAGCGGATATGGTGTAATGTAAATAAAGAAATAAAGAAATAATTGCCCACATCAGTTTTGTTTTTAAGGTGATTGATGGGTTCTGAAGTGAGGGAGGCTGGATGGGATGGGAAGAGAGCTGTCTCTCTTTCTTTCTCACTCTTCTAACTTCGCATCGAATTACCCGTGAGATAGATGAAGAGAGAAGGGACAGTCCGAAGACTGAACGAAGACTTCGATGGAGAAAAAGGAAACACAGTCGCCAACATCGTATCCGGAAGAAGAATGAGTTGACCATTCTCTTGTCGGCCGTAATTCGACCCTTTCCCCTTCTAAATTTTTTTCGTTTCTTGTTGCCGAACGCTGATTGTTTTGTGCAATTCGAATCATCGACTGGTCAAATTTTCGCAACTTTGAATAGCCTAGAAAATCAGATTGGTCGGAAAGTCTTGTCTTTTTTAAAGATAACTTTTTGAAATGAATAATGAACCAATCGATCTATGGTTTATTTTATCAGAAATTTCTATTATTTATTGACAAATTACCCTTTAAGAAATTCTGTAAATGTAAATCAACAAAATCAACAATTGAACTACGGTTTGTTTCATTGGAAAGATCAATTATTTTTCTGCAAAATAAAATTAAAACGAGTTTTAAATGTCTTATGTCTGGATTTCTACGAAAAACACGTGTTTTCACTCTCGAATTCTCGGTCTTTGCATTGGGTACGGTGCTGTGGTGCTCGACGTGTTCTCCCCGGTAACCACCATGCATCGGGCCACCGCCGCCACCCATTTGCTAAAAAATGTTAGTTGATATTTGTAATTAAGAGTGATTACTAGGCATTTAAGCAATAATAGTAATCTAAGAATAGTAATCTAAGAATAGTAATCTAAGACTAGTAATCTAAGACTAGTAATCTAAGACTAGTAATCTAAGAATAGTAATCTAAGACTAGTAATCTAAGACTAGTAATCTAAGACTAGTAATCTAAGAATAGTAATCTAAGAATAGTAATCTAAGAATAGTAATCTAAGAATAGTAATCTAAGACTAGTAATCTAAGAATAGTAATCTAAGAATAGTAATTGTTAGGTTATCCACAGAGTCTTTACGTTTCTTTTCAACTTTCGTTTATAAACCAACAAATGCACCAATTGAACTACAATTTGTCTCATTAGAAAGATCAATTATTTTTCTGCAAAATAAAATTAAAACGAGTTTTAAATGTCTTATGTCTGAATTTCTACGAAAAACACGTGTTTTCACTTTTCGAATTTGCTTGAAAGTGAACCGAAATCGACTTAAAAAGATGAAAATTGACTAAAAAACACTTTTTATTTAGAAGAAATCATTGGTTTAATCGATTATTTCTCAACAGAAGTATGAAAAGGAACGAAAAGAAATCTAAAAGACTTTCTGGACAGCCTAATAGAATAGTATTTCTCGAATCTATTTCTCGAATCTCACTTTTGATGTCGGAGGGAATGGGGAGTAGATTGCACATTGGACTGGGTCTCACCACGATCACCCTGTCTTCATCTTCTCGTTTCCAGTCATCCGCGGGACGATCGGATTTCTCTATGCAGTGTTTCTATAAATGGATTAGTGAATAATGACTAACTTTATCAATTAAGCAATTAAGCAGAGATGGAGAAGCTAAGAGGGGAATTCTCATCTCGACTCGCTCAACTTGGATCCTCGCTTGCTTCGTCTAATGAGGATGCCATTGTGAGGGATCTGAATGTGCAAAAAATATTATATCAAAAACTTTTTGTAGATGGATGATATGACAGATTATGTGCCATCTCCATACGAGGGTCCATCCACTTCAGCAGACGCCGAACCGGCAGTGATTCTCGTGAAAAAGGTTTCGTTTTTGAGCAATAAGCATCAAAGAGATCAGATTTATTAAGAAGATATAAGATTATTAAGAGATTTATCATTTTTTATCATTATTTTCACAAAATCACAGTAAGAAAAAAAAGCTTAGGAGCCACGAAACTTGCCGCGCACTGATGCACTCAATGAAGCGGATATCGTAAATTCGATTGATGCTATTTATTTTGCAGAAGATGAGGATTTTGATGCAATCGCTTATGAACTACAAGTAGATATTTCATGAATTTTTTCAAAAAAAAAACTCTTTCAGAAATTATCTTGCAGCAGTGAAATGTTGGAGGATATCGAAAGAGAGAGATTGAGATTAAAGCAACAATTGGGAGTAGTAAGCAAAAGGATTGCTGCGTTAATTCTTGAAAAGGTACGCATTTTGTTAAAATTCTTGAATGTTTATTTGAAAGATTTGTGGATTTTTCGGTTTTATTCTTTTTATTTTAATTATTTTAATATTCAGTCACCCTCCTACTCGGCACAGATGAATTCGTTCACCGAAATCCGAGATGAGCTCACAGAGCTCACAACAAAAGTGAAAACAATTCGAAAGTTAGAAAATTGTACCTTGCAAAAATACGATTTTCAGAGCTTTGAATCACTCAAAAAAGCGAACAACGACAGCGCTTCGAATCTTGGCAAACGAAAAGAAAAAGGCAATGCTGGGCGAGTTAAAGGTTTGAATGAATCAACTCCAGACAAACTTTTTGCCTTTCCAGGAAACATTACACACGATCAAAACCCTTTATGTGACCGAGTTTCGTTTGCGAGAGCTCATTGAGGTTTGAGTTTTCGAAAAGCTCATCTCTCAATTTTTAAAGGAAGGGCAATTCCCGATGGCGATCGAGTTGTGTGCACGGATGAAAGAGGCCGCACTCACCTACAATCATTTCACCGCCGTTAAGTAAGAATTCGTCTAAAAGTGTTTTGGTAGATTCTTCCGACTGTTGTAACGTGATTGGGTGCTATCGCAATCGGGTGGGTGGGGGGAGTCAAAAATTGTCATTTAAAGTCAACAACATATTTCAAAATGTGTGTACGTATTATTTGTGTTCGTGTTCTTGTTTGCAGATAAGAGATTATGAGGCCGGCGCATCACGTGATTTTTCAGTTCACCTGCGGTGGGCCAAAAAAACTCGTAAGCCAGACGAAACACATTTTCCCCCTTTCGTCACTCCCGCGTTGCGTCTGGCTTGAGTTTTTTGGCCCACCGCAGGTGAACCGGGAAACCACGTGATGCGCCATTTCCCGGCAAAGTTTTTGAAATATGTTGTTCACTTTAAATGCAAATTTTTAACGGCAGAACTGTAACTGTAGAAAGCTGTAGTACTAAATGGGAGGGAGCGAAAATAAAATAAATGGCACAAACTACGCGGCGTTCTTAGTGACAACCTAGACAGACGTGAAGGGTGCACTTTAGAAAACGACAATTTTGTGGGAAGTATAAAATGCAATCTTCCCAACAAAAAAAGATAATTCTATGGCAATATTTCACTTGAATTTTACAGTGATTTGATGTTGAAACTCTCGGGTACCTCACAGTTGATCGAAGCTGAATTGGCGTCATCACTTCCGCAACTCATCGTACGCTATGACGCGGATCGATACGCGTTTGTTGTCACCGCGTATACGATCCTTGAAAAGCAACAGGTATCTTGTTAAGTCAAGATTCTATTGTAGAATTGTTTTTTTTAGGAAGGAGCCGACGAATTGGTGAACAGGGTTTGCACCTCACTTGACTCATCCGCTCGATCGGTTCTTCTTGAAGAAATCTCTTCATCACTTCCCCCAATGGCTGATCAATTGGAGCTCTCTGAACTTTCAAAGGTTCATTCAACTTCCTTCTAACATCAAAAAAAAAACAATTTAGCGACTGAAAAGCGAGGAGTTGACTGGAGCATTTCAAAAACTCGGCCGTGTTCTTTGTAAGGTTTGTATTATTTGTATTTTTAATATAAATTTAATATAAATTTTGCAAATTGTTATATGCAAATGTTATAAAAAATTGTTTTGCGGAAATTTTGCGGAAAATTTCTTTTTAGATTCTCTCCAACTATCATGCCATGTTGAGACATAACATCGAAGAAGATGAAAGGATTGCAATGGCCAGTGGAGATCACGAAATAAATGGTAGTATTTGGGGAAAAAATTTCTAGAATAACAATTTCTAGAAGAGAAATGTATCTTTCAAGCTACTCTCCGTGCTCATCTCCCTAAAGTGTTCAAGATTTCGATGAGTCTTGTTACAACTTGTCTCTCTCCTCACAATCTTTCTCATCTTTCTTTTGACGATCTTCTGATGATTGTTGACTTTAGCAATAGGTTGTTGACTTTAGCAATAACGAAAAGTTGATTGATTTTTCTTTAGATTTCGACGATTCGGTATTGTGCATTTTGGCGCTGATTGTGATGCTTTGACTCGATTTTTAGAAGAACAAGCGGTAATTTGAAAGAGAATCAGCAACAAAAATCAGCAACAAAACGATTTTTAGCTGCTATTCTTTGGAAGATTCCACGGAGAGCGATTGAGTGAATTGTGCATGTTCTTGGAGAATGAGATCTTCGCTTTATGCCCTGTTCCCTATCAATTCACGATCTTTGATTTACAGGTAAGAAAGCAGAAATTAGATAGAATTTGAAAATATTTAGGAATTTGCATTTTTAAAAGAAACGAGGAAAGGAGACGAGGTTGGAGAAGTGGATGGAGGAGAGATGGCAGAGAATGGTTATACAATCATGACGCCGAACAGTCCACTACCATTTAGCAATGAGGAAAACCGACGATCACAGGTTTGCATTAAAGTTGAAGTGATTTTGAAAAGTTCTTAGTTTAAAGTTTAAAGTTTAAAAGTTCTACCGAGATGGCGAAAAAAAGAATTTACTTTTGAAACGCTTTTCGGCTTTTGTTTTTGATTTATTATTTTTGGCTTTTACTTTTCAGCTTTTGTTTTTGATTCATTTTTGAAACGCTCAATGTTTAGCTTCATTCTGTGAGCTCATTGAATGGTTGTGAAGTAGCCGATTTGCCCACTCCGACAACTCATCGTGATCTCGAGCCAAAGTGAGTTTCTTAGAACATAAAACAATAACGACTATTTAAGCTATTTGGAACCAGCTGATCATGTACCGCCAAATCTTTGCAATACTGCTCTCAATCTGCTACGGTTTTTCGGTTCCTTTTTTTTTTGACTTTTACGAATTCAAACGAAATCTTAGGACGATACATGCGCATGACGACACTCGTACCAGCACTAGCAACAAGTTCAATGCCTGCCATCACACAACTCTTCAACTATTTCTTCTTTTCGGTAAAAAGATCTTTTCTCTAGTTTCCCTATTCTTTAGCTTTACTCCTTCTTTGGACAAGATGGACCAGAAGTCGGGGAAATCAGTCCAATATTGAAGAAAACGCTTGAAATTTTGAAGAGCTCGATTGCTTTACATATTGATGGAACGGTGACTATTTGATACAAACAAAAAAAAAACGTTTTTGATTCAGGAAATTCACAAGGCGGCTCTTTCATGTGCAATTCAACTTCATTATCCCGATCAATTGTTTTCGGCAGCAGAAAGGATAATGGCTGTCGAGTCATTGTAAATTGAGAATTGTTTTTGAAAGTCATTTATTTTGCAGAGAATTCGTGGCTAGACAGCTGGACTTGATGAGGCCAGTGATCGAGTCATTAGCTCAAGATTCGGCTCTTCTCGATCACTTGGAGCGCTTTCATTCTCAGGTTTACCCAAATTCTCGATCTTTCTATTTAAAACAATTTCAGGTTGTATCTGTTGTTCCAGAAATGAGAGTATTGGTGATTTCTTGTGTAGCAAACAAAGCCCTCAAATTCCCAGTTTTTGTTCAAAAGGTATAGTAAAATCTAGGCAAACATGATAAATCAATTCTCTAGATTTCTCAAACAAAATGGGACATCCACGAGTTGCAAAGTCAACACAGTGAATATGCGGATTTCATTCTAAAAGTGAGATCGAATTGGTGATCGATGATTTTAAGAGAATTCATTCAGGATATACCTTTTGTAGAAAACGAGTCAATTTAAAATTTAATCAAACAGCTCTTGTTTTCTAAAGCTCGAAAAGAAGAGCTGTTTGCTGTAACTGGAACTGGCGAGTTTTCTACAAAAGCCAATGTCTAATTCAGGATGTTGAGCTCTTCTGTAAACGACTCGACGCAGTCTCATTTTGTGTGACAGTGAGTCCAGCAACTCGTCGCCTTTTCTGGGATCGTCTCATCTATTACACGTTCAAAGCATTGGTTCAAGGGTTTGTTGATACTGGATACAGTTTTTTCATTAATGATTCTGTAAATGATATTAGAACTGTTCATTTGTCGGTCTAATTGTCAAGATGTACGACAGAACGACAAAATTTAACCACTTCAATGGCTACTTTTTCAGAATTTCTTTCCATATAAAGGTAAAATTTGCCAAGCTCTATCTTTTGGTCTGAAAAAGTTGCTGTTAAAGTGGTCAAATCTCATTTTTCCGTTGTACAATTGACAATTGACATTGACAAAAAGACAATTGACAATTAGAGCGAAAATGAACAACTATAAATGATATTACCATTTATTTATTTATTTTCAGATTCAGCGAATCAGCTGGGAAATGTTCATCCGAGGGTCGAGCTCTCATGCAATTGGATTTTCAGCATTTACTTGGGAAACTCGAGGCGATCTCTTCGATTCGACCCTTTCCGCACACGGCTTTTGTCGATGCCTATATAAAAGTTCGTTAAATAGAAAATTTTAGAAAAATCCGTACAGCTTCAAAGGTTTTGAAGTAAAAGTTGAATTCCTGATTTTAAAACCAAAAGCACTAGCTTTTTTGTTTACACAGACTATTATTTTCTCAATGAAGTGTTTCCCAGGCTTACTACTTACCCGAGGCTTCACTCGAGCAATGGGTAGTTCAACATTCGGAATATTCTCCCCGTCAACTCATTTCACTCCTCAACACCGCTTCACATGTTAGCAAAAAGGCGAGACAACGAATTGTGAATGCACTCGATTTATAGAAATTGAATTTTTTTTAGGAGAATCATTTTATTCATTGAGCTGCTACTGTTCTTCACTAACTAGGAAAGGTCACCGATTTACCACCGAGTTTCAAAACTATCACAAACTATCACAATCACAATCACAATCAAACTATCACAACCGAGAACTATCACATCTAGACCAGCTTTTCGCGCTGATTTCAAATCTGCAATCAAATCTACTCCCACAAGGCCTCTAAAGCCATAAAAATCTATTTTTATTTTCTATAGGAAGAGTATTTTTCTTAAAAGCCAAGACAACAGCTTTACGGTCAACTTTTGAAGTCCATGAGGATCTATGGTGTAGTGGTTATGCTCTAATGTCCGTCCTTGACTTGCTGGTTCGATCCCCGGCTGGTCCAATGTTTTTAGTTATTTCTCTGAAGAAAAATATGTGAATACAATTGTAACATCGATTTAAAGTTTAAAAAAAATCAACTAAAGTTGACTATAAAGCTGTTGTCTCGGTTTTTAAGAAAAAAAATTGGAATCTAATGGAATTGGAATTTGGAATCAGCGCAAAAAGCTTGTTTAAATGTGATAGTTCTCATTTTGAAACTCGATGGTAAATCGGCGATCTTCGCTAGTAATTTTGCAACTAATCTTTCCACTTTCACATTGCAATAAGGGTACTCAAGGTTTTGAATCAAGAAATGATTTTCAAGAACGATTTATTTCCCCTTTGGCTCATCTGATTCCCATCTCCATGACTAGGGTTTTTTTTTGCTTTTTTTTGCTTTTTTGCCGTACTCGCATTACAAATGCATTATTAAATCTGCATTTTATTTTGCATAATTATTTCCACATATCGAATCTCAATTCATTCTTGCATTATACTTAAAAAAAAAGACTAAGACTAGACTATAACCGTATCTTTCAATTGGATTTCAATGCATATAAAAAGGCTAAATGTTTCTAGATTTCCCCAACCAATCACTAGATTCAAAAAAGATTCTTTTATGATTTGTTGCTAGTGGAAAAACTATGTAATAATCAGCTTTTTGACTGAAAGATTTCCTGTGAAATAGATTGATAAATAAAGTGTTTATTATGCACATAAATATATCAACATAAAATGAGATAAATCACAGAATGAAAAGCATTAAAAGCTAGAGTTTTGAGGTAGAGAGATGAGAAAAGAGGCGACATTTTCGAGAGATGCAAAGCAGAGAATCGTATTTTGATAAGAAGATAAGAAGATAAGAAGATAAAGTTTTTTTTTGAAGTTTAGAAATGAATTGAAATGAATTGAATGATGGATTCGATTTAATTCTATTCGTTCGCTAAATAGTTCGGTGAAGGGATATCCGAGCTCGCTTTCTTCAGTTTAGCTCGTTTATTCTAAAAAATTTTGATTTGAATTCGATAAAATTTTTAAGCAAACTAAAGCTGGATTATTGCAGAATTCTATTATTGCAGAATTCTTTTATTTGAATCTAATTGAATTTGAAATCTTGACAATTTAGCTAAGATTACACGTCAATTCTATTTCGCACTTGTTTTGTCTGTGTTTTCTAAACGATGCTCCTTTGTCGCAAAAATCGGGGGTGGGACAAATGCGACCTTTTTTTTGCGCACCTGGACATTTGCGCACCTTTTTTTTGCTGAAAAAGACCTCAGGAAAAGTCGTAGCGCTTCAAAAACGTTTTTCATAGAAGGGAATCGTATGCGTAGATTCCCAATTTCGACAAATCAGACCTCACTGACACGTCAAATTTGGGCTAAAAGGCAAAAACTGCGGAAAAGCGTTAAGTTGCGTAGTTTTTGCCTTTTAATCCAAATTTGACGTGTCAGCGAGATCTGATTTGTCGAAATTCGGAATCTACGCATACGATTCCCTTCTATGAAAACATTTTTGAAGCTCTACGATCTTTCCTAAAGCCTTTTCCAGCAAAAAAAGGTGCGCAAATGTCCAGGTGCGCAAAAAAAAGGTCGCATTTGTCCCACCCCCCAATTTCGCTAAGATTACACGTCAATTCTATTTCGCACTTGTTTTGTCTGTGTTTTCTAAACGATGCTCCTTTGTCGCAAAAATCTTTCTTTTCTCGCGAGAAGGGATCAGTTGCGTTTTTTATAAAAGATTCCTTTCCTACTTATAATTCTACTTCTAACCGCGTTGTGGATTTCTTTATTTCTTTATGCTCTTGCATGTATCTCGTTACCTTGCCGCATCTTGCGCGTAATTTATTAGTCTTTGATATCATTGGGATTTGAATAAAAGGTGTTGCGAACGTATTGTGTATGAAAGAATCGTTTTTGCACAAGGCTTTCTAAAAGATTTCGTGATTCGTGCATAGTTTGCTGAATTGATTGAAGCTATAAGCTTTGTTGTGTTGTGCTATAAGCTTTGTTGTGTTGGGCTGCCTACGCTGTCACGATTCTCATTCAATCGTAGTTTACCCTAGACATCGGGTAGGAGCCAACCCCAACTTTGACAATGAAATTTCTATCTGATTTTAGTTGTAAGTAATGCAAGATTTCAAAGGGATTAAAGTTGACAACGATTGAATTCGTTCAAAAAAAGAAAGAGATTGGTATCTTCTTGAATTCAACCGTCAATTCACAACACTCATTTGCGCATATGTGAGGGTGAGAACAGGCAACAGGTGCCCTTTCTTCTTCCCTTTCTTCTTCCTCTTCTCCTCCTCTTTTCCCCCCAATTCAATCACTCCTTATGTATCCCTTTCTTTTTTTATATCTTCACCCTCATCACATCGACCTTTTCCCCCGATTCTCTTTTTCTCTTTGGCGATTCCGCGAAGGTGAGAAACCCCATAAAATCCCTCTTCTCTTTTTTTTTTTCCTGATACATGTAAACGATTTTGCCGCTAGTTTTAAGATTTAATCAAATTTTCTTAAACCAGTATTCAAATTTTTCGATATCAAGTAGATTTTAGAAAAAAACCAGTCATATGACACGGGAAATGCTCGTTGAAAACGGGAGAACGCATAGGAAAAGAGACGATTTGGAAAAAAGATTATATTTTGGATAGAGGAAAACGTTCGTTTCGCGCCACAAACCGTTTAGACACGAGTAATTTGGAGAAAAGGGAAAGGAACCCCATAAATCGGTACAGTAAACCTTCGAGACGAGACACTAGACTGATCAGTGTTTGGACTAAGCAAAAGTAGGCGGTAAGAAGATACATTTGTTGTCATTGGTCTAAGAGACAAGTGAGATTGCAAGTAAAAGTACTGTAAGACGATTGAGACAATTGTAAAAGTACTGTAAGACAGGCTTACTAACTATTGAGTCGATGGGTATGATGTCGCTATTTTTCCGATTATTCCGTAAGCTCATTAAAAAAACGGAAGTGGAAGCTGTTGCGTGAAAGTGAAGAATACTTTTCCAAAAACAATGGAACCGGGCTTCCTCACTTTCTGTTATTTCGAAATTTTGGTAACTTTTCCTGTGACTATTGATAATTTGCCACCTTTAAATGTTTATGTGGACGGATAAGCTCCATTACGAACACGTGCAAACTGATTTGCTAAATTCCGTTCTGGGATAGACCATCCATCAGTCCAGCTAGATAATGCCAAGTTGCTCGAAATTTTCCTAACCAACAAAAAGATTTCTCCCGGCGAAATAGCAGAAGAGTTATTAGTTGATCATACAAAAATACTCGAAAATTGCATAGACTTGGGTTTAAATCGAAATTAGGAACATAGATTCTATATGATTTAACAGACAAACCAGAAATTTCAACGCGTTTCAATCAATGCTGCGCATCTTTCTCGATACGAGCGCAAATCGTTTTTACTCCGTATTGTGACAAGTGATAAAAATGGATTCTAACTGTCAAGGAGTGTCAACTTTCAATGGATTTTTGAGGGGGGAAAGCACGAACACGACGTTATGCCAAATGTGCATGAGAAGAAGTTTACGCTCTCGGTGTTCTGAGATTTGGAAGAGCCTATCTACTAGGAACTTTTGGATAGCAAGACCACACTTTACTAAATCAAATACTCCGAACAACTTAACAAGTTGGCCAAATCTTTGCTAGAGAAAGAAAAATCATCCATCAACATAATAATGCTAGGCCACAATGTTTCGGAGATGAGTTCTCGTCCTAAGCTAAACTCACTTGGATGAGAGGTGACCCATACAGCCCTGATCTTGCACCTTCTGATTACTACTTATTCCGAGCGATTAGCGAGAGATATTGATATCGATATTGATACGTTCATGTGCAATGTATGTTTAGGTAAATTTTTAGCGAGGATATCTGAAGTTCAACATAACTATAGTCATAGATTTGTTTAGTGATAGACTGTACTTAGTAATGGTGAATCGAAAGTGGTTGAAAAGTTCAAAGAGTGAGATTAAATAAATCACCGATTCGGGCGTTTCGCGGTGAGGGTTTTGTTTTCTGGAGGAGAAAGAGAGGGGGAAATTCGCCACGATTTCGATCACCGCCAAATTGAGCGAGTCAAGCGGCACAATTGTGTGTGTAATCGTCGACTAAGATCTCCCCCATCTCAATGAAATTCCTTTTTCGAGAAAAATTTTCACTAATCATGGGCTTTGTGAGAGGATTCTTAAAAAAATTAAAAAAAAAGATTTCACCTGAAACCAGATCTTGATTTGCGATTCGTTGAGGCCAAGCTCGTGCGCTAGCTCTTGCCGTTTCTTTTCAGTCAAGTACCTACAATAGTTTCGTTTTCAAATGCAATCTTTATTTACCGATTATCGATGAATTGTTGTCTGAGTCGTTGCAATTGTTGTGGAGTGAAAGCTGTCCTCGGTCTTCTTTCTTCTTCCGATGGTGACTCTCGTTTACGCGGTCGTCTCGTTCGAGGGCCTTAACTCATTCTTAACTAACTCTTAACTCATCTTTGTTCAAACAATTCTTTTGTCTCTTGTTTTCATTATCCACTCAGCTAATCTTTTCATTCAAAAGAGGCATAGCTGTCAGTGTGACAGTCTGCCAGTGTAAATTAAAATTTCGGAGAGAAATCATTGTGTTGTGTCGAGATTGTAATTCGTCGTCAACACCCAAAAAGAATGGAAAGAATGAGTGAAAAAGAGATCGTATGTAGATAAGTTTCTCCCTTAGCTCTACGTCTTTTTCTCCTTTCAATTTCCCCTACCGCACTTGAGCCCTCGATTGGATTTTGCTTGAATTGCGGATTGAAAATTCAGTAAGAATTTCGTTGTTCAAGAAATTCAGTAAGAATTCAGTAAGATTCTACAATGCTTCTATGCTTCTACAATGCTTCTATGCTTCTACAATGCTACTATGCTTCTACAATGCTTCTATGCTTCTACCAACCAGCAGAGGGTCGATCCGAATAACGAGTGCAAAAGATCCAAGCTGGGAAGAGATTACGGGGATCGGAAGCAATTTGGAAAGGGAAACTCGTTGAATTGGATGAACTTGGTCGGCCAACTAAACTCAAATCTTTTATAAAATGAATTCCACATTCAATTTCACTATAATCCACTCACCAAGATCTGAACATGGAAAAAAATTGAGAGCCGGATTCGGTGAAGGTTGGGAAGAGGGTGAAGGCGCAAGGATTTGTTCGATTGAGAATGACAACCGATTGGGTCTCTCTGTAATTTCCGCGAATGATAATCGTCAGTACGATTCGATAACTATTTTAAAACACTATGTATTACAGTATGACTCTTGTAGACCATAGTATGACTTTTTCAAACTCACCAGATTGACCTCGTGATTGGGTGTTTGGGCTACAGCCCGGCGACGAGAAATCCGATTCGCCTTCGCTCATCAGCAATTAGACATAAGCTGGAAAAGAAATGATTTGAGGTGGATTAAAAAAGAAATAATTGAGAAGGGAAATGTGTTTATTGAGCTAATTGAGCTAATGCGTGAAAGTGGATGAAGAGGGAAGAGTGGGAGGGATGAAGGATGAAGAGGGAAGAGTGACTCCGCCCAGTTGCCTTCCCACCTTTCCTTTCTCCATCCAATCAGCACTCATTGACTAAATGCGTTTTCATTCACGACAATACGGCCCACATAATAGCTGTATTAATAGCTGTATTAATAGCTATTAAATAGCTGTATTAATAACGATTTTTTTGTGTCTTTCTTGGATTTTGGATTGGATTTTGGATTTTTGTAGTTAGCTATCATAGTTATATCATTTTTACAAAAAAAAAAGCTTTTAAACAATGCAACACTGCAACTATAAGCTCAAATTTTAGCAATTTCATTTTCCCCACATAAGAATTGATTGTCAAAAGGATACGAAATCCGACGAAATGTTCAAATAGAAAAATGGGCCCTGTTATCGGCATTTCTGTGACCAGGAAAAGGGTAAACGAGATTCGGTGAAGGGGTAATGTCGTCGCCTCTAATATATCCGTTTTCACCCATCCATCCGAGCCGCCTAATTGCATCAAAGTGACTGCCAATTCAAGGGGCACAACCGATTACCCTTTTGCTTTTCGAGGCGACATAAGAAAGGGGGATTAACCTCTTTAAAAGGCACATAGAAACCTTTTCCTCTCTTTTTTTTCCCATTCGTTCCGTTTATTTTAAATGAATGATGTTTTATGAACATCATTTATATATATGCTTTATTCAGTTGAATAGCGACAAAACAAGATCACAATAATTACCCGGGACACCACTCAAAACACACCCAAAAGATAAATAGATACCTCAAGAAAGAATTCATTTAAAAAAAAAACTTCATAAAACTTCAAAGAAACCAAAAGATTCTTTAATTGTCAAGTGATTAACAAGGAGAGAAACCAAATCATTTATAATTTCTGTTACAAACTAAATTAAGCTCTGAAAGTCAAAAAGAGAAAAATTTCAGAATTAAATGCAAATTGAAAACGATTACTCAAAAGGAAACAGATTGAAGTGAATGAAATGAATGGAATGAATAAAATGAATGAAGGGTTCTCAAGGATTGGGTCTTCCGTAAAAGGGAGGGGTGAAAAGAAGTCTTTAGATGAAAAGCGGTATCTTTAGATGAGCGAAGAGGTTTGGTCTCTTATCAAGTCTTGGATCATCTAATGAGTATAGCACTACTAATTATATGGGAGAAGAGGGTGTCGAGAAGTGCCGCCTGTTGAGAAAAGTCATTTCTTTTTGGGAGGGGTAAAGAGAGGATGAACACTGATCTCGTTTAGATATCCACATATCCAACACCATTAACATGTTGAATAGTAAAGGAAAGGTAAAAAGAATACGAATGTTTTACATGTTTTTGTGCATAAAAAGTGTAAGTGTGGCGAATAGGCATTTGGTGATTTTTATTACTTGCAATAGATAAAAGAGCTACACAAATTTACGTAGAAAAATCATCACAAGCGTTTACTTTTTTCAAACGCAGATCGATCGAATAACAACTACGCCTGTAAATGGTGAGTGCGATGATGATCGAGACATATGATTGAATGAACCGTTATGGATGAGGAGACCCGAGAAATCTCTCGCTTTTCTGAGATCGTTGCCGATTAGATGCATGTAATCATTCAATCCATCCCCTTAATCATATTCCTTACAAGGTCACTAGGCTTGTGAGATCGATGCGGATAATTTGTTGGAGTTATTCCATGTTTTTTTGAATACCTGCGGTTTTTTGTTTTGCATCTTTCTTTATGAGTTAGTATTTATTTTACACCCGAGACTTATGAGATCTTTTTAAAAAACAAATAGCTCAGATCAAGCGAATAATAGGATACAACTTAAAACACAATATCATAAACGATGAGGTCAATTATAATTTAAAGTATAACAAGGATATCGATATCAATTAGTTGGTTGACCTTCTGCCCATTTTTTGATATCCGTTGGGATGTCACATGCTTCAAGCTCTTTTTCTAGTGCACTGGGACAGCAACTCAATGTGGCACGTCTAAAATATAGAATCTGTGTCTGATGATTTTCTTACTTCTACACTCTCCAATATTTATTCTTTTAGAAATAGGCCAAAATTCAAATGACTGACTTGTATTCTAGATTCGTACAACCCCTTTCTGCCGTGACATCAATGATTCTTAGCTCGCATAGTTGATCCAATTCCTAAAAGTTCAGAGTAACAAAATTCACATTTTTTTTACTTTATATAATTCAACGTCATTTGTCACTGATAGCCGGTCGTTGCTCGCCGCTTTACACATTTGTTTATAATCTAAAGGAAAAAAATAAATGCATACAACACTACCATCAACATTGATTTTACATACCTGTAATGATACGCCAATAACTAATTCGCCCATCGTCCATTTGATAGCGTGCCCGACGAAGTATGCATAATATCAAAGCATGAGTTCGTGTTGACAAAGCTAAAATGAATTGCTACACATAAAATTTTTTGGGCGACAATAATCAGATAAACCAATCCATCGTTGATAAACAAAACTAACCAAGGATATTTGGGAGTAGTCGGGAATTAATTTCCAGAGAAAATTTGATGGCGTTATCCAAAAAGTCTGCCTGTTGCTGTACATTCAAATCCGGGTTCGATAAAATGTTTTCGACCCAAATCGAAAGAATACTTTTTAGCCGGATCACAGAAGGATCTATCTAAATTAAAATTATGCCAAAATCAATTGAAAACATTTACCTGAAATAAACCTTTGAACAATGCCTTTATATTTTTATCCGATAAGACCTTCTCCATTTTCCAAGATTTCCTTTTTAGTAGTGGTCCCAGCAACTAAAGCCCGAACAGGTTAATACTAACTGTTAAACTCTACCTCGCCACAGCTCCTAAAATAAACATCGAAATTTGTCATGCTGCCAAATTGCATTTTCTTTGAAGAGATTCGAGAGCGTATTCTTTTTTCTAACGACATAACAAAATCCTAAAAACAACTTGTAGAAACATAGTTAATGATTCTTAACTAACATATAAGGTAAACACATCACCATACCTGTCGATTAACTATTAACAGCACAAGCCAAGGCTGTGTTCGAGTTGCATTGAGCAATCTGTAAAGAAGCGCTTGCTTTGAACGAGCAACCAACTCATCTACTCCTAAAGGGAAAAAAAATACAAATAGAGAAATTATAAACCTCTCACGACAATAATCGTCTTCTCGACATTTTTGTTTATTGCCGACTTTGTTTTTGCTGTCTAAAACCAAATATTATTTCCAGTTTCATTTTTCTCCAAGTCTCAATTTCGCATAACTTACTCGGCCTTTCGATTTTCGACCTACGGGGCTGTTCTCTTCATCCTCACTGGCCTGGCTGTCCAGGAAGTTATTTAATTTCCTCGCCTCAGCACCCATTAACCAAACATCCATCACAACAACCTTTTTGTTTCCAGGCGTCTTATTGAGAGCCTAAAATAATTGATCTATTTCATCAAAATTACATAAAAAATAAAATAAAATCCAGCCCACTTTTTCAATCGCCGTGGAGCGACCACTCTGTCGTGGGCCGGCTATAACTATCGATTCACCCTGTCCATCTTTCAGAAATCTGGCAAAAAGTTGCTCTAGGCGACTAAACATCCTAATTAAAAAACTTCAAAAATACGAAGCACCTGATATTTTCATCTAGTCCCACCAATTTGGAGTCAATGTGTGATGTAACCTCATTGAGTAGTCTATCCGCGTCGTCCAGCATCCTATAATCGTAAAACCAATGCAATGCAATTTAAAATCACCAGAGAAGTCAATAAGCTTTTGCCGAATGTAACTTGTATTTAGTCATTGCTCACTTTTATAATGATTTATTCTTGGCTAAACAATTTACAGATTTAAAAAAATATGAAACAGGGTCCAAGTAATTGGTTTTAAAGACAATCGAAACACCTACTTGGGTGCCTTAGACAAAGCAGACAAAAATACCAACATTTTAAGAAGCACGAAAGTAAGTCGAAAAGACTTCAAGGGATTTACATTTACGTAAGCTTACCCTAGATATATATCAAAGGCCACTTAAAACGGGCTTATCACCTACAAAACTGCAAGGACTAAATTTAGAAGGTGAAAAAAAGTAAGAGCAGAGACGCACAGCGCTCAAACATTTTTTAAAAACCCAAAATGGTTAAAGTAGAAAAATCTAGACGAAACTAATGAAAACAAAGAGAATTTTAAAGGGAACCTTTACAAAACAAAAAACAATGAGGCCATTTGATAAAACCATAAGTGAACTAAAGTCAAGGATTGTGTACATGTGATGACAATCAACACGATCAAAACATCGCATCTTGAGCAAGGCAAATTTGGATATTTATATTGGCGAAACACTGGCAAACTTACAAAATAAATAGTCCAAAGTGACTAAAAATCAATTTACAGAAGTCATGAAAAAGCTGGCTCCCATGAATGTAACTATAAGTCTCATTTTGCCACGATGAACCAGCATTTTTCAATCTAAACAAATAAAATCCTGCGTTTCAAAGTGGCTGTAAAAACACGAACCACTAGAAAATGCTTTAGGGAGCTCACTTAAAACAAGGGTAAAAAAAAGTAACCCGCAATCAAATACGCGTGAACCGGAGAGATCGCAGACCGAATAGAAGGTTGTAAAAACTATACAAACAACAAGGGAAATGGGAATCAAAGGGGAGAAATGATAAGCGATCAAAAATGGAGGACCATCATAAACTTTAAACAGTCTGTTATAGCATGACTATCGTCGCCCATTTTTCACCGCAAAAGAAAAAACAAAAATTTGTGCAAAAAACACAAATACCAATCACAAAATGATTTAAAAGCTAAAAAGACACTCGTATATTTGAATTGGCGCATCAGCAATAAATCTTCTTAGCGAAGTCAAGTGTGCAAAACATAAAGTGAAATAATAAGGAAGTCCTTGCAAATGCTATAACTTATGTAAAACGGGGGAATGGCAACTAAAATCATCTCCAAAAATTCATAAACGAGTCTAATGACTCAAGAAATTGAAAGAGGAAATTATAAAAAGAAAAATTAAAATGTTACAAATCACAATGAGCATCGGAGCAAGACTAAAACTAAGAACTTTTCACAGAGGTTTCACACTAACTACAATGAGTTAGCGCACAAAAAGAGGCTTGAAAACAAAAAGCGTGTGAGCTTGTTTTGACAGACAAACAATATGTCCAGAAGCAGCGACTCGCAATTGGGTGCAACGCGACATCTAAAAAAAACCGGTCAATTCAACTGTTAGCTACAAAGATTTCACCTTGAATTCTTGATGTGTAAATGATTGTGGATGTTTTCCAGTTACATCTTCAGCGGGGAATACGACGATATGCATATGGTTTCCATGAGTATCAGCAACAAGCACATCACCATTCTAAAAAAATTAATAACATTTCTTTAGTTGCAAAATATACCTTGCTAACATCGATCCCAATTGGATAAGGTGTAATAGCTGGTTCTCCAAGACGACGAATGTAAGTACCCTCGGTTGAGAAAATGTGAACACAGTGGTTTCGGAAGTCGGTAATATATACATTCTTGTCAAACATGGCAACATCAGTAGCCTAAAAAATGTTATTATAGGCTAAAATAACCAAGTGAACCTCTCCCATGCGTGGGGCTGTATCAAACCAATGGATCACACGTGGGATTGCTGCGCTGATATCCAATGAATAAACCAGTCCACCGTGATCAACGAGAACCAGATGCCCAGCCAAAGTACCACAGGCAGCTTGAACATCAAGCCCGACTTTACCAATTTGAGCTAAAATTGTAATTAGAACTGGTGCATGCGCTTTACGCTTACTTAGATCCACACGCCTGACAAATTCACCAGCAGTATTAAAAATCTGGCATCTTGACTTTGTATCTATTGATTTATCAAGGACAGCATATCTAAATTCAAATTAAAACTTTTCTCAAAGCCAACTAACCGCATGCCTTCAGGAAGCTTCAAGGCAACGACTTTGCGTGGATAACAAAGACAACCATCCTCCTAAAAAGAATAGACTCAATAGCATTTAAGCCCAAAGTTTCAAGTTCGTTAAAACTTCAACATATGATACTAGCTAAAAAGGCTTACCTGACCCGGTTTTCCAAAGAACCACGGAACTGGAGGCCCGCAAACAATGATCCTGTGATTGTTTGTATCAGCAATTAAGATGTCATCGTTATCTGCCAAACAGAAGCCACCAGGAGTATTCAACTCGCGGATACTGTTGCCAGCGACACCTAAAATTTAAAAAATGGTGATCAGCTATTTTAAAACCTACTAGTTCTATTAAACCGTACGTTTTTCAAACAAGGCAGAACAAACCTGCTCCAAAAACAGAATGCATCTTCAACTCTGACGCTGGGAACTGGTGGTTTCCATTGCTCTTTTGGCCGTTTGAAAACAAACTTTCAACCGACTGAGGGCGCACGTTAGCTTGCGAGGATTGCGAAGAAACGCTATCCAACGACATGCCGCTGACATTTAATGTTCCGATAGGATCCATTGCTGGATGACCTCTCAAACGACTTTGTGTAGCAGCATGTTGCATCTGAAAGAAATATTGTTAGTTAGAATCCCTAATACCAACTAATCATAAAAATATACTCACCAAAAGTTGATTGTGCTGACTATTCAACGCCCCAATTCCGCCTACAGAGACGTTGCTTTGCTGCAAAAGTAGAGCGGCTTTGAGTTGTTGTAATTGCTAAATAACTGCACTGTTAAAAACAGAACAACTGAAACACCTGTAATTGAGTAGAATTCATCGATGAAGAATTAGCAGAAGAAAAAAGCCCCGGATTACCAGCAGCACTAGCATTCAAAAACATTGCTGCTGCAGCTGCCGCAGAACCACCTGGAGTCGTAACTTGCCCTTGTGTTGGAGTAGCGACATTGGATTGATTCCACTAAATTAAAAAATGTTAAAATATTGAAGAAGTTAAGCGTTACCTGATAACTATTGTACATTGATGCAGCTGGAGAATTCATGGCTAGCATTCCAGAGCTCAACATGTTCGAATTGGACGCTGATGATTTCAATGAATCAGCAAACTCTTTCGGGGGTGATGGCGACGGCAAATCTGGTGGATTGGATGGAGGCCAAATATTTGCGTAGTCACGAGTAGTGGAGAGACCACTGCTAGCGACAGTCTAAATAAAAACACCCTTACTTATATCATTTTGTCTAAATGGTTTATGAAATGAAAAGCACCTTTCGTCGTTCCATGCCAATAGCACCAGGTCCTGCTCGTTCTTTCGTTCCACTCAAGTCAATTGTGTTTTGAGTCATCAAACCGGCTCTACTTACTGGGCGAGTGGCTTTCATAACAGGAGCATCTAACAAAATTTAAAAAATTGATGCATATTTCGAAATTACCACGCCATGCATCTCGAGCGGCATCAACCATAGTTTCTTCAGAAACACTTTTGACGGGGTCCGGCAATGGTTGTGTTCGGTTGACACTTCGCACTAAAAAAAGGATGTAACAAAGTAATAAAACTATATTTCAATTAAAAAAAATAATTGGCTCTGTATGAAAATAAGAGATTTTAAAATCCCCCCTTTTCTTCGTCAGAGTATAGAAATATGGGATTGGTACATGATCTCCCTGGCGCAGTGTGCTTGAGATTAGTCAAAGATTGAGATTAGGCGGAGGGGGACTTATGTAGGTCCAGGGTGGGGGGAAACGCACCTCGTCTGACATACGCTATTACTGCGATCTCAGCAGCCAGTCTTAAGATAGCCTGTGCCCGGTCAGTACTCTGAGTGTGCAAAACGGTAGCCTAGATAAATAGCGTGTAAATAAAGAAAGAAGGAACCAAAGAGCAATTTTAAAACCCCTCATTTTTTATAATCCCCTATTTTCATACAGAACCAAATAACTGACAGCTGACGGATCCACAAGCGTTTGATAAATGTAGTTCGATTTCTCGCTTTGACGGTAGGCCGTACTCCAATTCAAATTGCGAGTTTAATGCTGGCATCGTGTGCTTGAGATTAGTCAGTTGTTGAAGGATCTAAAAACAAAATTTATAGATAGCAGGACAAAAGTAATATTTGCTACATCGCGACTCTTACCTTACGACGAGATGCAATCAGTTCTAACCCATTCGCTTTAGTAACAAGGCGTTCAGCAAAGCTAAAAAAGAAACAATTTTAGCAGATAACCAATAATCTAAAACCTGACAGCGTCTGCGACACGAGCCTGGGTTAAATCAACTTTTCGATCCAGGGACACCAGTAAATCGTCCTGACGATCACGTTCCGTATCCAATTCTTGCAGCTTGCGTGCTCGAGTTTCTTCTAACATCCGGTGGACTTCCTAAATGTTCCCTTCGTGTTTACAATTATTCTAATAATTACCTCAAAAGTAAATTCTATTTTAGTTTTTGCCATCTCGTATTGACTCTGCAAATGGGCATGTCGGTCGCTTTGCGAATTCCATTGAGTCATCGATTCCTTCCATTTGTTACGAACTCTGGCAGCTAGCTGGCTCAATTCGTTTTGAATTGCGTCCACCACACGCGTGGTGATTTCAACCAACTATAAAGTAAATCGTATTCTACCCTCTCTATGCGGCGAAATTACTTTGTGAGTAGCTCCATGATCGTTTTCCAAACAAGTCTTACAGACGAGAGTCTCACAAGTAGCACATAGCATGATGTAGGGTTGACCATGAAGACAGCAATTGACAATACGCGCATCTTTGCTGCGACCAGCCATTTCCAGTTCCTCGTAGAGCAACACCTGATGACCATCAAACATCCGCATGTTTTTGTGTGCTTGTACGCACGTAGGGCAGAGATCACTCACACAGTGTTGACACAAAGCAACAGCAGCCTAAAATTTAAAGTTATTGACCGTAGTAAAGTTGCAAGGTTTCTAGCAAAAACAAGCACCCACCTGTTCACTTTTGCAAGCTCTGCATTTTCTCTCAAAACCACGTAGTTCATCCGCCTCGACCATTCGAACAAAATCCATAAGCATTGTGTGCACGTAGCGAACATCGTTCCCGACATGGCTTTCTTGCGAGCAAATTGGACATCGGATTACACCAGGCGGAGTAGGACGCTCTTTTAGTGCAGTAGTCTAAAATCACATAATTAACGACAATGAATATGGCATGACGCCTTACCTCAAGCTCAAACTCTTCCAATGCATTGGAGACGGCAGCAATGTTTTTGTTGCCGAACGTTTCACGACGACCATCAAGTTGTGCAATAATGCAATCTTCACACATCGAATGTAGACAATCAAGTACCCGTGGCTAAATTAAAACGTGTTAATTTAATGTAAAATTGAATAGAAATTCAAAACTAGTATCAAACTTTCAAGAAAAAAACCTTGCGAAAATTTTTGTGGCAGTATGGGCATGTTGTTGGATCATCCAATGGCAGTAAGGCTGTGTCGAGCAGCGGACTTGAAGTATTTGATCGTGGAATCGAGTGTCCGACACTTGGAGGACTGTCAAACTAAAAACATCAATAGAACCATAGTTATTAATATGATATGGAATTTTAAAAAAGCCTTTTGAAAAAAAACTTACTCCGCTAGATTTACTATCACGACTTTTCGGTGAAGGTGAGTGAACTCCGGAGGATTCCCCGTTCTCGGCCATGAATCTCCGTCTTTTATGTTATGATGGAGAAAGAAGCCGTTTTAAGCACAGCTAAAATAAAATTTGATAAAAAAGAAACAGTTCACAAAATGCGGAATTTATCAAAGAAGAAATGCTAAAAAACTTTGTGATAAGTTAAGAGTTTGAGTCAATCGACTGGAATGTTGTTAGTCAAAGATTTAAATAATCACGCGGGAGTAATTTGTAAATTCTGCAAGAAATGCTACCGTAAATAACTGGGTGAAGCAAGGAAAATTCTTAAGGATCGTGGTTGGTGCAAAGCGGACGCGCGGCGGTCTATCGATTATTCGAGCGGTTCTTTGCTTTTCTCGTTCTCTTATGCGGTGAGATGCGAGAGAAGTGTGCGCCCGCACAACATTCCCTTGACGCTAACAACGGTTGACGCCAATTCTGACGCCTCCCCATCCCCTGGATTTTTTCTCTGCATTCACATGTAAGTGGCTTTCAAAATCTGCACCAAAGGAAAACAATGTTCGTGACAAAGTGACAAAGCACTTAAGGTCCAGTGTTTTTTGCTGAGAAAACAAAAAAAACATTAATGAATTCAAGAATTTTCTGTTGCCTGTCGTTTATAGCTGAATGTGGTTTGGCAAAAAGCTAAAATCGAAACAAAATCTGCTGTTCTAGGTTCTAATTATGGGCAAAAATTTTAAAAATTCAACATTTTTTAATCGCTATTAATATAAAAAGAATAACAAGTTGAAATGGGAGTGGGACAAATGCGACCTTTTTTTTGCACACCCGGACATTTGCGCACCTTTTCTCGCCTTTTAAGAAAGCTCTAAAAAGCTAATTAACCAATTTCTATTCCAAAAAAGTTGTGTTTCTAGGTAATTTTAGGGCGTAGAATCAAAATTTTGACATATAAGAGCTTGTGGAAACAAACGGACGGAGTTGTACAAAGAGAAAAATCGACAATTGTTTGTAATTTGATTTTCTGTAATTTGATTTGATTTTGTCTTTCCACACGCTCTGTTATGTCAAAATTTGAATTCGACACCCTCAAATTATCTAGAAAAACAACATTTGGAAAAGAAATTGGTTAATATTAGCTTTTTAGAGCTTTTTTAAAACGCGAATAAAGGTGCGCTAATGGGCAAGGTGCGGAAAAAAAGGTGCGCAAATGTCCGGGTGCGCAAAAGAAAGGTCGCATTTGTCCCACTCCCGTTGAAATCAAAAAAGTAGTGCAAATTTTTAGAAAAGTTCAAGATGTTGACGCAAATGGAGGATGGTTTTGTGGAAGTGAGTGATAAAATGGACTATAATTGAATACAGTAAACAATGTGCATAAAATAATGGCACAAAATTTGACCAAAGACTACCGTAGTCTCGAAGTCAAATACTATGATAAGTTTTCTTACAAATTGTTGAAGTTGCTAAAAATGGATGTTTAGGAGGAATTGGATTCGGTTCCCCTCTCGGGACAACATCATTTTCTCGAAGAAGAGGCAGAAAACTTGGTAATCTTAATTGAAAGCTAACTAGTGCGTGAGAATCAATTAACAATAGTTTTTCTAGCAATAAGGGTTCAAATTTTGAAACAAGAAAAACTGTTATCAGAACGATTATGGAGGAATGGATCCAGCACTTTATGAGGCGATCGTTGAATTCAAGAAATTCAATCACTATCCGCGCATTCCACAAAGCATGGATTCTCGCGGAGCTCGCACAGCCAACTGTCATTGGAGGTTCTCTTTTCCCATAGAAATCGAAAATTCCCAAATTTTCCATTACTTCCAAGAAGAGCCTTTTTTTGTAAAGATGTGACTCACTAATGATTCATGTAGTTTCTTTGACAGAGAAAAACATTCCGCAAATTTCCGAATTTTAGACTAAAGTGTAATCGTTTCCTCGTCTCCGAAGCTGACAATGAAACCCTCTTGTATTACAATCCAAATAACGTAAGTGAGAATGAAAAGAATTAGATTAAAAAAAAAGATTTTAGACAACAGAGGAGCCAAAAGTGGTAGTAAAGAAAGGCGAAGTGAAGAGAGTGATCGAAAGAATTCATGAATTGATTGGACATCTTGGAATGAAAAGAACGTGAGTAAATGAAAATGTTTTTTACAAGTAGCAAATTTTTAGTCAATATTCCATAATGCGAAAACTCTATTGGCGATCGGTGAGGCAAGATGTGCGAAATCTCGTCAATAATTGCCAATTCTGCGTCTCAAAGAAAGTGGAGGGGAAGAAAATCATGAAAGCTCCTGTTGATATTATGAGTCAGTGAATAGAAAACAAAAATTGAGAAGATAGAATGAGAGATTGATTTTGATTTTTTATTGAATAGCTCTTTTTTTTAAAACTCGAATTTAGGTGAAGATTTCGATTTGAATATCGTTTACAGAAGCACTCGTGATTTAGAAGAAAATGGTGGAGAGAGACTGGTGAGAATTACAGAATTACAAAACTTTGCTAGCAGTCAATGGAAACAAGTTTTCAAGTTCTATTTTATCTGGAATTCTTTCAGATAAAATTAAAATCAAATCAAATCAAATAAAATCAAATCAAATAAAATCAAATAAAATCAAATAAAATAAAATCAAATTTCAGCTCTTCTCTTTGAAAGGAATTGATGAGGAAGAAGTGCGATTAGCAGCTGTGCAAAGGATGACTACTTACACTTTCAAAGAGACAACCACAGATAGACCACCGCGGATGCAATCATCGGTATAATATAATCTTTCAGACTTTTTTCTAATCATTTTTTTCAATTCAGACTTTCCGACGACAACCTTATGTAAGAAAATCTCGTTTCTCGCCCAGCGCCACTGGATTTTTGCTTCCTTTCAATGGACCTGGCGAATATTCAAAGGTTCTAAAACTCTATTTATTTGATAGCATCTTTAATTTAGAAAGAAAATAATTTCATCGAGGTCTATCCAAGCGAAATCATTGCAGAAAATGATTATGAAAGGTTTTCTCTAAATCCTTTTTCGGAATATATAATAGCATTTAGCATTGTGGCAGAGGGTTTAGTTCCGAGTGGAGCTCTTGAAGAGGAAGTTGTCGAAGAAGTTGTTGAAGCTGAGGAAGTTGAATATGTTCAACATCGGGTATTTGAAAGAATTAAACAATGAAAAAGGCATTTAAGGAAACTTGGCAAGAGGCGGGTCCATCAAATGTTGATAAACCAATGATGGAGTCACGGTTAGTAAAAAAAACTTTTAGAGAATCAAACCATGAAATCAAACCAGAAAGGAAGAAAGGAAAACTTTAAGGAAATCTGAACAGTTAACTTTTAGAGATTTTAGAATGCAAAGAGAGATCGAATCGATCAGTCCTGAGCATATCATTGGACAGTATCTTCAAATGGATTCTTCAAGAAAAATCTCTCATCAACCGTCAAGAACATTAACGTTAAATAGAAATCGAAATAAATTCAGGTATTTATAAAAAGATTTTAAATAGATATGATTTGCTTTTTAACAGTACTCATGTGTTGGGAGCTGGTGGTCGTTTTTCGGGATCTCTTACCGCACCTGAAAAACTCATTTTTGATGCCGGTCATTTGGTTGGTGAAATAAAGAAATATTAGATCTAAAGAAATAAAAAAAAAATAGAAACAATCAAACCAATTTCTTTCAAATCAAATTTTCAGGTGAATAGTTACGAAGAGACGACACAACGAGTTGAGCTATGTCCACTGGCACCCATCATGTTTCTGCCAAGTACAGATAGTGATGTCATCATTTTACAAAAAGAGGTTTTTTTTTCATTATTGGAAATTTTATTGATCTCGTATTTAGCTTCTAGAACGGCAGAGGAAAATCCAGCTAATGCAACAAGAGATTCTCCAAGCTCAACTTGATGCCCTCCATTCTTGAGTCATTTCTTCAATGTGCCTTAATAAAAGATTCCAAATAAACACATAAATACTGAGTTTTGATTTTGAGAATTCTCTGCTACAATCACAGAAGGACACACTATTGTACTAAAGCAAAAACTACATCGTTTCAGAGATCGACTTTTCTTTTGAATGGTTTACAAGCCTCATTTAGCAAATCTCCAGGGAAGAGAATATGAAAAAAAATTGTGAAAGTCAGAAAGAGTAACAGAAAGAGTCACGAGGGATGAAACGAGTTAGTCAGAAAGTCAAAAAAAACTCGCTTTGTAGCTTCAAACTCTGTCAAGGTTTGATCATTTCTGATTATTTGATAAGGATTTGGTATTTTTAGTACTGTTATGGTTTTATTGGTTGCAAAACAAAGCTTCAATCTTATCGAAATATTCGATCTCAAAAAATAGAGTATTTTCTTTTCAAATAATGTGTTTTCCAAAACACTTCAACTTTCAAAAACGACCGTAAGCTTTGCTCTAGTTTATTTTAGGATACCGAAAGATAAATAGATAGACTTGACTATCTAGAACGAGCTTTCGATATGCCAGATCTATATACTATCGAGATCTCGATCTATATAGGTCTATAAGTTTTCTGGAACTTTCAATATCAGTCTGGAGTATCGAAATTCGTACTCAGCGCATCGAATTACTCCAGAAAAAACCCTAGCTTGAGTGGGAATCTATTATTGTAGGTCGATGAATACAGTCGACTCTTGATATAACGACTCTGTCGGGACCGCGAAATGGAGTCGTTATATCGAACATCTTTATATAGAAGTACAGTCGACTCTCGATATAACGACTTGTTCCATACAACGACTTGTTCCATACAACGACTTGTTCCATACAACGACTTGTTCCATACAACGACTTGTTCCATACAACGACTCATACTTACGGTCCCGGTCTTACTTACTTCTATATAACGATGTTCGATATAACGACTCCATTTCGCGGCCCCGACAGAGTCGTTATAGAGTCGACTGTATTCATCAACCTACAATAATAGATTCCAATCTTTTCGTTTCTTTTCATACTTTCATTGAAAAATAACAAATATTCACCAATTAATTTATAATTTCCTCTAAATAAAAAGTGTTTATTGTTGAATTTCTCATTTTTTAAACTCAATTTCGGTTCACTTTCAAGCAAATTCAAGCATGAAAACGTGTTTTGAACAATTAGAAAATGAATTTGAATGAAAGATTTAGTTAGAATGAAAGATACAACCTAATTTTCGGACATTTTCTCATTCTTTCCATCTTTCCAACAAATCTTTAGTGTGAGAAAGGGGTTTTGTCAACATGCACACGCGTATTTGTGCGTTTGTGTGTGTTTCTCTTTCTTTCTTTCTTTCTTTCTTTCTGTGTTCGTTCAATCACTTCTACAGAAGAATCACAGAGAATCGGAGACGATCGAAGGCACAAACGATTGTTATGTGTGACTGGTCTCTTTGAATGCTGCTTCGATACACGCCTTGCACACGCCTTACCAGGCCTATTCCCCTCATTTTCCTTTGCTACTATCACCTTTTCCATTCTGGTTCTTCTTGAAAGCTCTCTCAAAGATTTTCCGTATTTTACCACCATCACCTTTTTCTTTTTTTCGGATTTCTCTTTCCCTCAGTTTTAATTAGATTCCAAATTTCCCCTGAAAGTGTTCGTTTCCTCAGCGACACCGTTTCCCCCCTCCCCGTAAAGGTTCAGGATCCATTTTTCTATGAATTTCTGCTTTCAAATCTTTCAAAAGTCTCTAATTTCTGATTACTAAACTTTTCCCCTAATTGTAAGTTGCAAAAAAAGAATTACTAATTAACCAAAAACAAATAATTATTATGAAATCACCATTTTTGAATCAATCGATCAATTTTCGATAATCTCAACTATAATGATCTTTAAAAGATCAATTATAATGATCAACTATAATGATCTTTAATTTACCATAAAATTGCTTTTGTTTAAAGTTGTATTCAAAAAAGACTCTTGCGTAAGATATTATGGGAAAATGTCGTGAGGCGAAAGAGAAAAAAAAAAGATAATTTCTCGGGTCTCAGCCCTAATTGACCGCCTGCAAATTGGAGGCGGGACGCCTCGATTTTTGTAGACAACAAGAAAAAAAAAGAGAAAGAGAAAAGCTAGAGGAAAAGTTTCATTACCAATTTTTGCCATCAACACTTTTTTTTTGCTCAAAAATCTCATAACTTTTAAGCGCAATTTGTCCCGAAAACTTTTTCGACTGTTCAAACGTTTTCTGCAGATCTTTCCGGAAGTTTAACTTTCTCTTGAGTTGAGTTTTTTTTTTTTTTCAAAACCAGTTTCTTTTTAGTTCAACTCTGTCTAATCATAGATTTTTAATAATATTTAAAAATCTGATAGTAAAGCTCAATTCCTAAATTACCGTATTCTCTCTAATAGCAGTGCACTCTTTAATAGTATTGCGGTTCGAGAGGGGGTTAAAAAAATAGTAGTGCACCCTCGAAAATTTGAATTTCTGGTGCTTCTTTTTCATCTAAACCTTTTTGACTTTATGTTTATGTGACATTCTAAAGCTATTCAAGCAAGCAAACGTGAGGATTTTTTTTTTATTCATTTATTAGTTAGCAGAAAGTTGCTAACTAAAAAGTTAGCAAAAAATCTAAAATTGTTGTGCAAAGTGCAAAAAAATCTTTTTGTTGTTTGTCAAGACACAAATAATACTTTCGCCCAATCACGTGTCGTCCAACTTCGGTAGGTCCGTGCAAAGTCAAGGCGCTGCTTCCGGTGCTTAGAATTTGTCAGAGGTTTACGGGCAGCCCTTCTTGCATATAATCCAGCTTGATTTAATCGTCGTCGGATCGTTTCCGGCGATACAACCTTGTTAAATTGATCCCTCATCATTTGACTTCCATCGGTTGATGTTTTGTTAGGATCGTTTTTCACTCGCCGGCCCACAACTGTATGTCAAAAGGAGCCAAAGGAGTACATGAAAGAATTGCAAGAATTTTTTGGAACTGTCTTACTCTGATCTGTCTTACTTTGGTAAATGATAAAACTCTTTAATAGTAGTGCACTCTCTAATAGTATTGCGGTTCGAGAGGGGGTTAAAAAAATAGTAGTGCGCACTACTATTAGAGAGAATACGGTAAGTTGTTTTCAATTATTGATTGAATATCTTCAAATCATCATTCTCAATCTAAGGCTTTGGTGTTCAATTTTGAAAAAAGCAATCACTCTAAAGAACAATAGAATCATCAAGAATGCAATCATCAAGAATGGAAAAGGCAATGGCTGTTAAAAAGATTGGCTCTCGAACAAACACTCAGCTTACACACAGAAAAGAGATTGGAATGAGAGGGGATAAATTGAGAAAAAAAGAATGGTGGATGTTTGTGCTGCATATTCACCCCCTTTGCATTCTCTTTTTTTTGATCGACTTTTCCTCAAGTTTGTCTCTTTGTGTTTGCATGTGTTCGATTCTCCTTGAGCCCTAAAGCCCCGAAATTTCATTCGACAAGACGATCCCCTCATTTGTGTCTCATTTCAATTTTTAGTTTCACCTTTTGATATTCATCTTTTCCTATCATTTCCTTATCTTTTCCCTTATATTTCCTCTTTATTCTCCTGGATTATGATACCGAATAGCTCAGTGATTAGAGCATCTGGTCGGGAAGCACTCGATTCAATCGAGCTCGAGGGTTCAGTCCCCTCTCCGAAAATCTTTCTTTGCCATTCCTTACTTTCTTCTCCTTTTCCTCTAGAGATCATTAGCTTCATTGCTGTACTTGATTTGATAAGTTCTCATCTTTCTTTTGAGCCAAGTAATTCTCTACAATTAATCCAATCATTTCCAGCAATTAACATTCTTAGATTATTTTCTCCAAATCCCTTTTGAATAGCCCTTTTGTCAATGTTTCTATTGAGTGAAGAAAATCGAGTTGTCTCCCGATTGAAAGTAGAGTGCTTTTTCCAATTCGAGAATTCTCTCCTTCCCAAAATTCACTGAACGTTTCGATTAGTTTTCTAAACATGCAACAATTTCTTTTTTTTTAGATTAAAACAATTTATTCAAAATGGCCACTGGAGTGATCGCCATCGAGGATCTTCCAGTGTTGCAATGTGTAAGTTTGATCTATAAAGATTCACAAATGCCATCATTTCAGCTGCGGATTCCTCCAAATTTGACGCTAAATGATTTGCAATTTGAGATGGGATGTCTTGAGAAGGATCAGCTGAGTGAAGGAGGAAAAGGAGGAGAGATACCACAAAGACTCTCCCACGAGACTAGCACGTAAGTCATTCAAGGCATTTACTTTAAGCTAATAAATTTTTATTTAAAGAACTTGGGGATTTGAATGGGATTTTAAAGGAGTGGAAGGCAAATGGGGGTTTTGATTTTTGTTGTAGCTCATTTCATAACATGTTCTTCTCTTTAATGAAAGATTTTTTGAAAAACGAAAGCCGTAAAGTTGAAGTCTCACAAAGTATTCAAGACTAAACATTCTGGATTTTCTATTGGACATGCTAAACCGATTTACTAGTCATATCTATATAAACTTCATCAAAAAATAATACTAGATCACCTACCGTAAATACTGTAATAGTACCCCACCCCCATAATGACGGTGCGGAGTGTTGCGTAGTCTAGCTTTGAACGCGTTTTTCTCGACACTGGTTTATGCTACAATGCGCGCTTAGATATCAAAAAATAGCTCTGAATTTAAGCTATCTTTTGATACCAAAGACGCATTTTTTGGAAGTACGAGCGCTTTGAAAAAAATGAAATACTAAAAAACTTTTGCGACTACACGACTGTACGAGGAGGGTGGGGTACTATTACAGTATTTACGGTAGTAGCCAATAATTTGTTTTTAAAATCAATCTTAATTCGAATGGCAAAACTTTAAGCCACTAATTGTAAGTTAGTGTTAATTACAGATATAGTATAGGATATAGTAAAGGATAGAGAGGTCATGGCTATGAGGTTGACGACGGGAACGGGGATCTACGGGGGGATGTGCGCGAGTGAGCGTGTGTAGAAAGCGCCCGATGAGGGTAGGGATTGTGGAAACCGGTCCTTCCCCCTCCCCCCTCCCCCCTCCCCCTCCATTTCATTTCTCTTACACATGGTTGAACTGCTTTCTCTATAGAATATTTTAACCTAAATATAGTAACATTTCTTTCTGCTACAATTTTCCCCAAACCAAGTTCGTGACCTTTTAAGAGTTTCCTGAGTCAGGTACAAAAAAAAAGAGAGTGACTCTTCGCTAGAGATTTCTCTTACTCAAAATTTTTCACTCTCCAGAAACTTTTCTCTTATAGGATTCCCCCTTTTGGTCATCTTTTTTTTTCATTTGATGGTTCTTTATTTCGCAATTTTCCTCGGCTTTTACGTAAAACTTTTCTTGATATTATTGAAATAGAAAGCAATATAAGACATGTGTCAAAAAGGAAAAAAACAAAAAGAGTTATTTATGAACTCTTTTTGAACTCAAGCTCGAAATTCTGCTGACAAAACCGTTACAATTTGCATAAGCCGGGGAAACACGAGCCAGCTTTGATTATTTTTGCGATTATTAACACAAATTTTGTAGTTTAATTGATTTTATATTTATAAAATAAACAAATTTTGATATTTATAATATAATAAATGAATAATTTCAGGTGTAGCCCTCCAAAAATCAGAAAACCATTGACAGGAGTGCTCAAAGTTGCGGTGAGTTCTCAAAGTTTTAGGATTTGATTGGAAATTCTCTTACAATTAGTTCAATAATATTTCAAGTTGTATAATAAAAACTTTCAAATTCCTTAGTAATAATCTTTTTCTTGTTTAGGAAGATTTCCCATCACCTTCACTTTCTGGCTCATCGTCCATTCAAAAATCGAATGGACCTCGCTTCTCCGAGAAGTTGAAAACACTCATTTCGTGTAAGTCGAGGTGTGTTTTTTTTTGCAGAAGCTTTTCAAACTAACAATCTAACTAACAATCTAACTAACAATCTAACTAACAATCAAACTAACAATCAAACTAACAATCTAACTAACAATCTAACTAACAATCAAACTAAATTGTTAGTTAGATCGTGTTTTGAGTGTGGAAATGGGTGGAAGGGGGATCGAGTTTTAAGGGTGAATCAAGAGCGACCGGCCGATTGCTGGCTGATTCATGCATGCGACAAACACTCATTTTGCTCTGTCTATCATCGAGGAAACCTTTAACTTTCAGCACTCACTGTAGAGAAATTTGTACTAATAGTTGAGATTTCAAAGTTTGTCGTGGGTTGGAATTAAAATGGATTTACTGGGGGTTAACGATCTTCATAACGATGTCATTTACAATACGATTTATATCTGTTACGTTCTTTATTGAATCAGAACCGAATGTCCGTTATTAAACAGATTTAATAACTAATGTAAAATATCAAAAAATCGATTCATAACATTTAAAAGCAAAATCTAGAATCGAACGTTTTCAGTTGTGAACGAACGTTCTCAGTTGTGAACGAACGTTCTCAGTTGTGAACGAACGTTCTCAGTTGTGAACGAACGTTCTCAGTTGTGAACGAACGTTCTCAGTTGTGAACGAACGTTCTCAGTTGTGAACGAACGTTCTCAGTTGTGAACGAACGTTCTCAGTTGTGAACGAACGTTTTCAATTGTCAACGTTCTCAGTTGTGAACGAACGTTCTCAGTTGTGAACGAACGTTCTCAGTTGTGAACGTTTTCAGTTGTGAACGTTTTCAGTTGTGAACGAACGTTTTCAGTTGTGTAATTGTGTCCTGAAAGCCAGTGAATCTGTAAGCGTAATGAAAGAGCAATTAGTGAGGGTATTGAAGAGGAAAAAGAGAGCGGAGAACGCGTGAAAATTTTCTCCCTGTACTTCTCATAGAAAGAATAGTTGTGTGGGTGTCTCACCTCGAAATGAGGCCCACATTTTCCCCGGGGCAACCGTCTCTCCGTCTTTCAATGCAAGGCTTTGTCCAAATCATTTTCATTTTCTCTCAAATCCCTCACTTTTCCAATTTAAGCTGTAAGTCTTTGTCTCTCCAAATTCTGCGCATGATTTCTTTTTGGATTTATAGAATAGAGTTTCTTTTTAAAGTTCTTTTTATTGACAGCAAATTCCCGTTTTTCTCAGAGTTTCTAATTTTATAAACAAAAGAAAAGAAATGCACCAAGAAAAACAATCAAATTTTTTTTATTTCAGCTCCCTTGCAATGGTGTTACCTTCAACTAGCAGCGATTCGCCGTCAATAAAGGTTTAACTCAAAAAAACAAAAGAAACACTTTTCAACAAGCCTCGAAATTTCAGCCCTCAAACGAACTACGATTCTCTCAATCTATGGATCCGAATAAGCAACAAGTATTTTCTTCTCAGAATTTTCTTTTTCAAATTCCCATTTAGTGCCCATCTCTATGTGCAGATTTTCCACAAAATAGCAGTGAAACAAAAGAATTGAGTGCCACCGAAGAAAAGGTTAATTCACAGAGAAAATATTGAGAGATTTCTTTAGCCGAAAATCTTTTCAGGTGCCTTTTTTCTACATCTACCTAGCGCTTCTCTTCGTAATTCTTTGTCTTGTGGCCATCAGTGTTTACAATTATTATTCGAGTCTTAAAACATATCGACCAAGCACGATCTTTCATCTTGTTTCTTTTTTGAATCGAGTTGATCGATTTAAAGCCAACAATTCAACTCGATTCCCATAGCTTAATTGGCTTTTGTTTTTTGTTATCTTAACAATTACCTCAGAAAAATATACCATATTCTTTATATTTTTAGTCCTTTTAGATCATTTTACAGTTTAATTAGGTCAAATTATTATATTGCTTGTAGGTGGTGCTTATGATCGCTTACGTTGGTATGCATGTTCATTACGAGATACTTGTCATATTTGCCTCGTCAGTTCTTAAATTTTCCTTGTAAAATCATTCGGGTATTTTGATTTGCCTAAAAAAATTAACGATAAATTTATTACAAAATGCTCCTAAAAGCGTGACATCTTGTCAAGTCAATCTTAAGCAAGTAGAAAACGAAAACAAAGTCGACAATGTTTTGGTGCACAGATCACAACCAATAGAAATGCTATCTAGATATAAAAAACGACAATAAGCCCGCCTTTTTAAGTAAGGAAATTATTGGCAATCAAATTATATAATGTATGTATAGAGCCAAAAGCCTAAAACGAGTTGAGCAATTGCGAGAAAAGGCTGAATGTAATGACAAGTAAATCGTTTAAACCGAGAGATAAGCTATCAGTAGGGGTTTATCACAAAAGTAATGAGAATGGATGAGAAAATTTGGATGAGAAAATCACAGCCAACGTAGCAACAGCAGGCCCGCAGCCAGGGGGAGGAGTAGGGTGAGTGTGAGGCTTTCGGCTGACCTTTAAAAATTTTTCTAGCTACGGGCCTGCTATATACAGATATAGTTTTTTGTAAGCAAGAATGACGAAGTGAAAGAATTTTGATAAGTGAAAGCTTTAAAAAAGCTCAGGGCACCGGCTCCAATCGTGCTTTTTCTTGCATTCCCAATAGTCTCCATTAAATCTAAACTTTCTGATTAGCCATAAAATTAATTGAAGCTAAACTTATTACAAAAAAAGTAGCTTATCTATCTCATTAATCTATCACAAAAACACTAACTTATGCATGAGCGTTCCAGTGATTTCATCTTGTGTTTTCGTAAACCATAGTGGTGTGTACTCTTCATATGGTAATCCTAAACAAAGAATGAATCCAGAAATCATAGTTTGAAAAACCTTGGTGAATAGCTTTCTCCATTTCCTTTTCGCGTTCCTTCCGCCGAGATCGCTGTTTGTCCTCAATGTCCATTTTTCTTTTGTTTGCTTCATCCCACTGAAATCACCAATAAAAATTAATTGTCGAATAGCTACGAATAGCTTACTTTTCCATCCTCCATCAAACGTTGATCAGGGCGGAGCCGGCTGTCGGTTGGAGCGATTCCCGCTTCAGGCTCATTCAGTTCAACAGCAAGTTTTGTAAAGTTGTGCATTTTTTCAGATCCCTCACTAAAAATAATGATAGAATAATAGTCCCCGCACAATTACAAAGTTGGGTTAACAGTCCAAATCCGCCGGGGTGCTTCAGTCTCAAGTTTTGCTTTCTCGCCAGTCCCACTGCACTGAAATAAATTTGTGCTGTGAGAAATAAAATTTAATATACAAACCTTTGTGACACGCAAAATATCAATGTGATGCTCCCATGTTCCTTGGATGACATAATGAATAACACCATCCGCATCTTTCACTAATCCAGTAACCTAAAAGTAACTAGTTGACAGAAAAAATAAAGAACTAACCCTTTTTGGCCGTTTCACGACTGAAGTAAGAGTAAGGGGCGAATTTCAGCGTACACTTGTTGCCCGTTTGATGATCGGTGATCTCCATCTCTCCATGATTATCGATCCAGAGCTTTCCAACGATGATGTTATGTACGGTAGTTGTGACCTAAATTGATGAGATGAGACTCTTGCATACGTTAAGCTATGATAGAAACCTTTTTGAATGAATAATGGTTGCCTTTCTCCGGAAAAACCACATGCGTACAACCAATAGGGATGATGCTCAAATATTTTCCTCTAAAAGTTTGATTGAAAATTTATCTGTGGGAAAATTTTACCGAAAACGAGAAGTCATAGTGAAATCCTGGAACATTTCCCATCCTCGGCCCTGGGCATGATGAGCAACCGCGGGTGGATGATGAGAAACCTAAAAATAAGTAAAAAAATTACCAAGCAATGCTGAAAATCTTTCACCTGTTCTGTAAAGCTTCTCCATCCCAAATCATCCATTCGATCGCATTCATATGTTTCTCCAAGTAGTGGATTGAATGGCTTTGTAGTCCGGTTACCTGTTGTTGAATAACTAAAGTAGAGTTTTTGACAAAAAATATTCTCAAAACAAACCTGCTTACAGCAAAAGCCGCAACATAGCACATTTGTGTAAAAGAGTCCAAATTCACGGCCTTTTCCAAAACGTATCCATACTCCAAATCCTCGGTAACTCGTTGTAGCATTGAGAGTGGCTCGGAGAAATTGACCTGAATTCCACTTCGTGTAAGTAGTTGTACGATAATAACAAACCGGCATAGGTATCTTGCTGAGTTCTTTTCCAATACAATTTTTCATGATACTCCAAAGGTTGAGCGACATGTCTGGACGCTCAGGAATTGATTTTCTTCGAGGACGGCCGCGAGCTTCCGTAGTTGTCGTGTTGGAAGTGTTTAAGGAATCCTAAAACAGTTAATTTAGAAAAAAACTCATTGAAAAATCCAATTAGGTATGCCCCTCGAAATATACCTCCGAAAAAGCTTCTACCTGATCAGCATTTTTTGGAATAGAAACAATCTCTGCATTGAAATAGGAATCGTCCTTGGGCGTACTTTCACCACACATCGAGCCTTGTCTCGATGAACTTGATTTTCTAAATTTACAAACTAGCAATAGGCTTAAAACCAATAGTGTACCAAAAAGTTAAAAATGAATGTTTACTTTTTTCTCGAGAATATATGTAGTTTAGGGAATTCCATTATTAATAATTAATCACTTATTCCGGGTCAACTAGTATTGATTTAGTATGTGTGCAAAGTGTGTAAAGGTTTCGCAATCGAATTTGCAGTGCGAGAGTATGCGGATTTTTATTTGCCCACATGAGCACACGTTTTCTCTACACGCGCGTCGGCAAATCGCGGCACAATCGATCGCCGATGCCAGATTTTTTGGAAAGAACGTACCGATTTTTGCACTTTTTTCTAACTATGACTCAACATAAATAATTTTAAAGCAAAACTGTAACAACAACGAAAATTGGGGAGATATTTTTTCATTTTTTAAAAGTGAACGAAAAATAGCGAAAATAGCAAAACAAAACTTTTTGAGATATTAATGGTAAAGACTTAAAATTTAATCGTTCGAATGATTATGGAAACCTCAAATAAATTTGAGTGCGAAAAATCGAAAGTGGAGCGAAACGACCTTGAATGGATGGATTTATGATATCATGCCAAATGCCAAAGAGAAATGCGCGTGAACCAAAATCTCCCAATCCATAGAGAATATCAATTCCAGTTTGCCTGCTTTGCTGATTTTGCCTACCTTTCGTTAAAGGTGAAATCTTCTTCGGCATCATGAAAGACCTCTTCAAGATCACTTACTGATGCTAAAAATCAGACTTTTGTTGGTTGCTGATAGCTGATATATACTTAATGTTCTTGCTGATCGAACGGCTGCTCGTTCCAAGTTGGAGTGTTGTAAAGCCAAGGCTTCCAGTTGTTCTTGAAGTCTATAACTTTGAAATATAGTTAAAAGATCAAATGATGTTACCGAAGTTTCTGTTGTGTCTCGTTATGCATCACTCGACTAAGTCGTTTAGCTTCCCGATCCGACGACTCCGTAAACTCGTTGGCTGCTTTTACGACGGCAGATACGGTCAACTAAAAAAATGCTTTATACATTTTATGCAAAATTATTTACCTTGAAAATATTTGTTCTTTCAGCTAATGTTTTGTGCTCAACGTTTGGTTCATTGGCGTATGTTAACAAATCATCCGCGTGTTTGTCTAAATGATAATTGGGTATTTAGCTACAAGAAAACATAGTCTACTTAATAATCGTGAAGTTGTTTTCAGCATGTCGAGTTTATTGTAGACGTTGTGATTTGCATTTGCAACAAGCTCCTTTCCATCCGTCAAAAGTTGGACAGTTTGCGCCACAACTGCTGCATCCTCTTCTTCTTCTAAAAACAAAAGTTACAGATTGTATTATGTGAATTTATTACCCAAATCAGCACGTTTGATAGCTTCATGTCTTGCATATTCAAGTGCAGTTAACCATTGTTGTCGATCAACATCGTTACCGGCTTTCAAGTGGAAAGTTTGCGACGAGGCAGATATAACAATATTGTTCGTCACCTGAGTTGGAGAAACTGCCATTTAATAACGATCAAATGTTAAATTAATACTTTTTCATATTTTTTCTAACCTGATCAGATAAGATTCTGGCTTCTTGCAAATTGATACTTCCACGACAAGATTCACCGACTTCGTGTTGATTTCTAAATGTTTTAAATGTTTTCTTTTCTCTTGTTTTCAACAAAATGACTCATACATACAAACAAATGGTTTGCCTCTCTTTCAAGCTTTGGAGCAATTCACGGGGCGCTATCGATTTATTTCTTTTGAAAAGGCAAACGGGACCAGTACTGGGGAGATAAGGCCTATCGCACTTGAATCCATGAAAGAGACACAAAAAATACATACTTTGACCCAGAATTTTTTGCCTATAAGGATATTTATGGAATTGTTGTTTTCACCAAAAATCATTTACTAAAAAAATCCACAACTAACTTTGAATGGCTTTGATCAGAATGTGATTTCGTGATAGTTCTTTTTCTAAGGCGGCCAGCAAGAGACTTTTTCGCGGAACGAACACGTTGCCGCAAAGTCGGCATCAAAAAAAAGTGTTGATGGTAGGAATCAAGCGCCAACAAAATTGATCCAAAGTTAGAAGCAGTAAATAGGTTGGAGTCTTTGAAAGATTTGGTCTTCACGAATTGTTCTACAAAGATTAAGAAAATCAAGGAGAATCTTCCTAGTAAAGATAAAGCTATCGAGAGAAAGAGAGTTTGAAGTAAAACGGGAAAAAGGGGGCGGAGTCATGTGGGAACTGATTCTTCACTGACAACATGCATTCCGTTCAATTCTTTTATAAGCACCAAAATAAAGGAAACAAAAAGGCGGTTACACAAAACAAAGCGGACAAGCTAAGATATGTCTAGCCCCCAGACAGTTTTTATTTCAAAATGCAACCACTAAGCTGGTTTCAACTATAGTGACTTGACGTTAACAATTAATACAAAATACCAACCTATAGTATGAAAGATTTCCATTCGCATCCAACACGAACCACCGTTGACGATAACCTTTGATATAATTCGTCCATTTCTGCAGCCAACCCGACTAAACATAAGATTGAAAGGACATTTAATAGCACATAATATATGCGTTATAAATCTAATAATATTTATACCTTTTTCGCTGGAATCACATCAGTCATAATGTTTGACTCAATCGAACTCTCGAGTTTTGTTCCAGTCGAGCCGGACGAGTTCTAAAATAATGATTTATTCATGCTCAGGAAAATTATTAAAAGTATAATTTGGTTAAGATTTATTGATATCGGCTAATAATTTACAATTGTTTACAAACACGTAGGATATATGTAGGCTTTTAAAAATGAAATTTTAGAATTCGAATCAGTTCTAGAAAAATTCGGCTGAATTTCGAAAGGAACCGAAAGCTGAAAACTTTAAGATGGAATGAACGATAAGGCTCGATGAAGAAAGTGAACAGATCCCATCGGGAACAAATTTAGAGCAAAGAAAATAAAATTTGTTCAATGCGTTTCAATATTGAAATGTTTAGAGTGCAACCTTTTTCTTGTTTTCAAGCCCGTTTTTTAAAAGCGTCAACAATATAATACAAGGCTAACTTATCATTTAAACACGCTCAAAATTTTTTAAAAAGAGATTTAAAAGTTAAATATTTGTCAAGACAAACGTTCGCACAGTGCCTTATGCTATGCAATCTAAGTTTTGTTGACCCGAATGAAGTAGGGGCCAAACAACTACGGTAGAAATGGTGAGTGATAAAGTTGTTAAATAGGGCAATGCACTTTCCAAATGGATTTAGAAGTGCAAGAGTGGAAAGTTTTGATTAGTAAAAACAAGAAACACTGGATTAGCTTTTAATGTGATAAAAAAAGTTTATAGTTAGCGGGAAGTGAAAGTTTAAATAAAAATTATAGACTTATTCCCATTGCAAAAACGATAACTTGTCTTTTGCTTTATAAAAACACCAGTTTAAAAAACGTAAAAAATCACCGGGCATTCAGCGATAATATCTTGCAACGTTTGCTGTTGTGCCGCTCCGCGTCTTCTCCGCAAAAGCCCCATCACCATCGCTGAAAAAAGAAAACGATAATAAAAACAGCGAAATGATTAAGCAAAAAGCGCGAAAGAATTTCGAGAACAATAACAAAAAAGAATGGCTTGCTTTGGTAATTTTCGAAGGGGTAAGGCAAATTTCCGCCATTTTATTTGTGCAACAGGGTCATTTGCGCAACTCGCCATAACTTTCTTCTAAGTGGACCAATCTTTATGATTTTGGTGTCATTTTGTTGCACTTATTGATATCTACAAAAGGACACCAAAATCATAAAGATTGGCCCACGTAGAAGAAATTTATGACGAGTTGCGCAAAAAATTTGGCGCAAAGTAGCCTAACCCGTTTCGAATGATTTTAAGCACAAAATACTCTATAAAGCACCAATGTTAAATAATTTTTGACCACCTACGCGGCTACTTTGATAGTAAAATATGCATTAGCCTTGAAAATTACTAATAAAATTTGCAAAAAACTTTTCTTTCTCCCATTCTTGCCAAAATTCCGGTCGGTTCATTCAGAAATTTGCATATTTTATATCAAAAACATAAGAATTTTAAAAATCTGACCACTCCCCCGTCTTCCTCATCCATCGTTACCCCTAGTTCGATACTTTGCCTTCTGCAAAACGCAAATGGTAAAGCGAAATTGTGGTAACAGACTAAAACACAAATCAAGGACAATTTTTCAAAACTATAATATAGTAGATATAAAAACAGGCTTTTCTAAAGTTCAACTATAGTTTCCGATTACAAATTCAAACTTTTTTTGCATGAACTAGCCGCCTTTGTCCTTTTACTAGTCATAAAAATGAAAGCCATTCGCTGGATCGGATTAAAATTGCCCCCCAATTCGAAACGAGTAAAAGCGCGAGAAGTAAGTGTGATTGGCAGCTTTCACCCCTCTTTTTGATTCTTATCAATGAAGAAAAGACTCTCTTTTGCTCGTCTTCTCGAAACACAAACTAGCTTTAAATTATTTCTATTTTATTTCTACCAAATAACACCTATATTATAAAATTTCGCAAACAATGCTCGTTTTATATAAAAGCTATAAAAGTTTACGTTTATTCAAAAATTCAAAAAATAAACACCGTCTTTTAAATTTGCGCAAATTTGAAAAAGCTTACTACCTGTAATACCTGTAATAATAGCCCCCCTTCCCATAATGACGGTCGGAGCGTCGCGTAGTCTAACTTTAAACATACTTTTATCGCCACCCGTTAATGCTACAGTGTGCGCTTAAGTATCAAATGAAAGCTGAAATTCAGGGCTATTTTTTTGATACCAAAAATGCATTTTTAGAAATTATGGGCGCTTAGAAAAAATGATTTAGTAAAAAATTTTTGCGACTACGGGAGGGGGGGGGCTACTATTACAGGTATTACGGTACTGTAAAATGAAAGCTTTCACTAAACTTATCTACCTAATTTTAGAATGCAAGTCTTACTTGCTTTATTCTCTATATTGGTGCAATTGAATGAAGTGGATATGTGCTTCTTGTGCCCATTGAGAGAACCCCCACGACCCCGTCCTCTCGATCAATTTCAGCTGCCCACTTTCCCCAAAATGCCTTCAACCGATCAAGTACCACCTTTGTGTGAATATGCCAAAAAATTGCCTATTGAGGGTCAGTTAACAAACAAAGAAAAAAATAATTTCATTTTCAAGGAGCTTGCCAAAAAGGTTTCCAAAAATTGCTGTGCTCAGCCGAAAAATTTACAAGCACATTGCTGAATGGATGCCCTGGCAGTGATCAACCAAAACAATGTTCGAATTGTTCTCGGGAAAAGGCTGATAATACATGGTTGATTAGTTGTAAGTAAAAAACAAACAATTGAAAATCAATGAACAAATGATAGGGTTTGATTCGTTAGGAAAACCCCCATCGGGCATCAGTGACGGCAATTATTATTGGCTGGGTGACTACGAAATTTGTCATGATTTGCGAATGTGAGTCAATTATTGAATGAAAATAATTCCCAAAGAAAAGAACAAAAGAGATTTTTAGCCAAAAGCGTTTTCGAGGTCAATATTGTCGGGTTGAGCTTGAGATACCAGATGCACAAGTTGAATCAGGATGTCCACAAACAGATCCATTGGCGATTATTTTGGGAGTGTGTTTCCCAGCTGAATGTACGACTGAAGAACTTGCTGTTGTAGCAGAATGTTGGTCATGACTTTAATAAGTCAACCAAAATTAGATACAACGGCTAATTTTAGTCATTTCTCCATATTCTTCGCACGTCGACTGTGAGGTTCACGTCGAATGGTCATTAAGTGCCAAGATTTTCTTGTAAGCTTTACATGTATCCAGATCCAGATATCAATTTCTCATAGATTGGTCACATGTTTATGGACTCTATTGATCCTCGTCTGCACCGGACTTCACATCCGAGATCCCGATCTTCCACTCGCTCTTTATTGCCTCTCTTTAAAAGTCAATGGAGCTCGAGCGCTTTCCACAAAAAGGTTACTCAAAAAAATCGGAATATCTTAGCTTACAAACATTTTCAGAGACTATAATTTACATGCTCAACAAGGCCTTGAATTCATCACATTCTTTGCATTAATCATCGGAATGGTCTACAATTTCATGCTTCCATATATTGGTTTGATAGAAAAAGAGAAAAAATGATCGCTTCTAGAAAATGTTGCTTTTGCATTTGATGGTGTTGCGGTGGCTCCAATGCATCTCGTCAACAACTATTCCTATCATGTGAGACAAAATATCAAACATCAAGAACACACAGATTTAGATCGACGGATTACTAGCACTAACCTCTTTCTTTACAACTTCACTTTTGATGGGACATATTGTTAGTTTAAAAGACATTATCAGTGCGATAGTGAGAAAGCTAGTCAGGTAAGGTAATGATACAAAACTAAACTTAAAAACCGTTCAGATTCATGCCCAGTTATATATTTATCGTAGCATTTATGTCGGTTGTCTTTGCCAATGTTGGATCAGGTTTGCAACATCATCGTAACTAGAATGACAAAAAAATCACGAGCACCGAGTTATATAAAACTCCTTTTAAAGATATTCAGCTGTTTAAATGATTTGTTGGCAAATTCCCGTCAAGGGTAAAGATATTCAGCCATTTAGCTGCTTTGGTGAGAAATTCCCCGTCAAATGTAAAGATATTCAATTTACTCAACGTGTAAAGAGAATTACTCGTATTTTTTTGTGAGAAGGTTTGGGGTCCCTTTTTTAAAGGTTTTTTTTAAAAAAAAAAATTTTTTTAAAAAAAAATTTTTTTTTTTTTAAAATAAATATTTTTTTTTTTTTAAAAAAATAATTTTTTTTTTTTTATAAAATTTTTTTTTTTTTTTTTTTTTTTTTAAATTTAAAAATTTTTAAATGAAAAAAGTAAAAATTCTAAATTTATTTTTTTTTTTTTTATAAATTTATTTTTTTTTTTTTTTTTTTAATTAATAAAAATATAAAAATTTTTAAATTTATATTTTTAATTTAAAAAATTTTTTTTTTTTTTAATTTTTTTTTTTTTTTTTTTTTTTTTTTTTTTTTTTTTTTTTTTTGTTGTTTGTTTTTTTTTTTTTTTTTTTTTTTTTTTTTTTTTTTTATATTTATATTTATTATATTTATATATAAATAATTTTTTAAATAGGTTTTGTTATTTTTTTTTTATTTTTTTTTTTTTTTTTTTCTTTTTTTTTTTTTCTTCCCTAGTTATTCGATCAAAAAGGTCAATTAATCTCGAGTTAAGATTAACTCGCGCGAATTTTACTCGAGTGGTTACTTACTTGGAAGGAACACACTCTAATTGAAATAAATAAAGCGCTTTCAGGTCCAATGTGGATCCACGGAGATACGGTGCAACGATGTGAGCGTTCTTGGTGGAAAAATATTCTACTTATCAATAATTTCTTTGGAGTCCGAGAAACAGTTTGCAACTTGTACAAAGCTTTGAAAATCGGCATTCAGTGTGTCGATTTCGGACACGTGATTTCTCTAGAGGCTCAATGCTTTGCCCTTCTAATCATTTTGATCTACTTTGCCAATCATCATCGTATAGCTGCTCAGGTTTACTATAAAGGTCGAGCTTTGTTAATAGATTGGACAGGTGCTAGCTGGTGTATTCGCATCGATTTCAATCATTGTCAGCTTTTACTTGGTGCTCACAAATGCTCTTCCCCCAGCACCAATGCTTACAACAGAGCCCGTCGAGTAGTTTACCAATTTGCATTCGAACTTTAACTTAACTTTCAGTTCTTCTAAAACGGAATTTCTACTTTCGTCAGTCTTGATCGCTTTTGTGCCAAGGCTTTCAGCATACATGATTGGCTTTATCTATTACTTTTATTTCAATATGGAAGAAGTTTGAATAGGAAAAAGAGAGTTTTATCTTTTATTTAGATAGAAGAGAGTCATTATGTTGATGATCCAAATCAAAAAGCTGAGAAAACACATCATAATGGAAAAGTAGAGTTTTGAATAAAGCGAAAACCAAAAATTCAGACACTTTCTCTTCTTTTGATGGGTTTGACAGCTTTTTTGATGGCAGGAGTCGCTTTCTCGATGCTCCCTTATGCTACAACGTATTCAGGTGGGTAAAACATGGTAATTTCGGCTGAAAATCAAGATATTTTCAGGTGCTCAATGGTGGCTGGCCACTTATGCGGCGCTTCATCGTCCCGTTTGGGCTTTCGCTATCGTATCTCTATTGTGGCTGTGTCAGAACAAGAATTTCTGTAACAACTTTTCATTTTCAAAGATTATTATGCTCTAGCTGAGTTGAACTCCTTCCTTTCATGGCGTCTTTTCTCTCCATTGTCGAAGTTGACCTATCAAGTTCGTTTTCAAGTTTGCTTTCTACATTTTTTCATAGGCGCTCATCATCGCCGAGCCATTGATCCTCTACTTTTTTTCGGCTCTTCACCGTCCATCACACGCCACTCATTGGAGCACCGTAAGCTACATTTTCATAAAGAAATTTCTAAACTCTAAAATATCTAAAGAGTTGGAACTAGATCAGATTAAAAACTTGTTGGCTGTCGGGGCTCGAACCCGCGACCTCTCTCTTACCGGGCAATTGTGCTAACCATTACACCACAACACACTTGGTCTTCCTTACTTCAGAGGGGTTAACTAAAGAAAAAAGAATCTTCTGAACTATAATATACATTTCAGTTGTACGCAGCGGTAAGCACAGCGGCTGTCTCCTATCTTTTCGCTCTTCTCATCGACATCTTTCTCGCTCGTCCTCTCAGAAACATTCTCTACAGGTACTAGAAATAATTTTAGTACAATTATAAATATCTTATATATTTTACTACCGTAAATACTGTAAATACTGTAATAGTACCCCACCCCCCTCGTACAGTCGCGTAGTCGCAAAAGTTTTTTAGTATTTCATTTTTTTCAAAGCGCCCGTACTTTCAAAAAATGCGTCTTTGGTATCAAAAAATAGCCCTGAATTTCAGCTATTTTTTGATACCCAAGCGCGCATTGTAGCATAAACCAGTGTCGAGAAAAACTCGTTCAAAGCTAGACTACGCAACGCTCCGCACCGTCACTATCTTTGGTACAAAAGCGTCTTTGGTATCAAAAATAGCCCTGAATTTCAGCATTTTTGATACCTAAGCAAGCGTAAACCAGTGTTGAGAAAACGCGCCAAAGCGACACGCAACGCCCGCACCGTCACTATCTTTGGTACAAAAGGGCTTGGTATCAAAAATAGCCCTGAATTCGCTATTTTTGACACAAGCGCATTGTAGCGTAAACCAGTGTCGAGAAAAACTCGTTCAAAGCTAGACTACGCAACGCTCCGCACCGTCATTATGGGGGTGGGGTACTATTACAGTATTTACGGTCTGTATAAACTGAACTATAAAAGCTCATAGCATCAAATAACCTTAGCCGATCAATTCATCGTCGTCGCTACACGATACCGGGAAGAAGCAACTCGTTGCGAACGGGAATTTAAACTCTAAACTCTATTTATTTATTTTCCACAATAAGTATTATTTCTCAGTATTACATAGGCATTTTCGCGTTTAAAGCTAATAATCTTTTTTTTTCACTGATTATTTTTCTCAAGAAGATCCAGAGACAGTCCAAGTCCAGACAGTCCAGACAGTCCACTCCGAAATTCTTGTCTGAAACTTGTTTTCACAACTCTTTAATTGTAAAATATCTTGAAATTCACGAGTTTTCGATTTAATCTAATCTTTTCAAAATCTTTATTGACTGATAAACATAAACACTAGGAGTTTTTGAAAGAAAGCAATCTATGCAAGCACATACACACAGCAAAATTCAGGGGCATGTACAAAACGAATTTTTGAACTGTTCTCAAAAAATCAAGAAGTAGAAGTAAAAAAAAAACAATGAAATGGCGAAAGACCGAAAACCTTGCGCAATAAATAAAATAAAATCGGGCAGGAGGGTTGATTTGGCAAAAGAAAAAACATTCAAGATTTTTTCAGAGCAAAAAAGCAACCGTTTTGACGAGAGAGTTTTCTACCGGGAGACTTGAATGAAAGGGATGATAAAAGAAAGGATCACAGGGAGGAAATCAGAAAGGAAAGAAAAGAAAAGAAAATTGAGGAAAATATGTGCATCGTGTGTACAAACATTGTGCAAGATGATAGATTTGCTTATCGAATTGACCGAATAGATAATTTTGGATCTTGAAAATATTGCCGTTCGAAAAGCAACTCTAGAAAAGTCAAGTGAAACACGGGGGCTTAAAAGGTAAACTCTCTATTTAAGCTGTCCAGAAATAAGCCGTAGTTTAATTGATGCATTTTTCCGTTTTCAAACGGAAGTACAAAAATGAACGAACGACTTTTTGGATAGCCTAATAGTAAAGGGACCTGTAAGTTGTCGAAGAATATTATGATTGTATGAATATTATGATTGTACGAAATGAATATTATGATTGTACAAGAAAAACGATAAGAATGAAAAGAATGAAAAGAATGAAAACATTCTCACAGTTTTTTTTTAAAAAAATGCTACAAGAAGATATTTTGGCACTTGTAAAGTTTTTGTTAGATCATTCCGAGAACATATTTTTTGAGATGCGCTGGGATGGGGAAAGCGTTGATGTGACCTGAAAGTTTTCATTTCATTTTTTTCAAGGGAAGCTCTCATTCGTTTAAAACCTAGATTCTTTTGTAGCTTTATAAAATGCCATAAAAACTGACCGGGACGAAGGGGGATCACTTTCTCTCGGATTGCGACCCGACAGAGATGCTCGAGAGTTCTCGCACTTCTGAAAAATAAGCAAGAAAATGAGTCCGGTTGAGGCAACTTAAAACTACTACTTATAACTTACAACTATTACTTAAAAGTACAGTGGTCAAGCTAAAGTATGCCGAACAAAAACTCAATTCAATAGCATATCCCTCAAGATCACTCCCACCTACCGATTCATTTCAAGAATATGCTGTTTGACGAGATCGGGAAATGGAAAACGTAGCACCGCTTTCACATCCACATCCTCTTCTAAACAAAAAGTTGAAAACCTTTATTAATCAATTACTAATCAATTACTAATCAATTACTAATGAATGAATGAATCAAAAATCAATCTCACCTGCAAGATCAAGCATCACTGCCACGATATCCAATTGCCCTTGAGCACACAATTTGAGCAAATTGCTTAAATATTTCGGCTTGAAATTTTTGTTTGTACCCTTACCGCAGTTGTCCAGCTTGATGAGATGATGGAGTTCTGAGATAAACCCTTGCACCATAGGCCATCAGAAGAGAAACAACTTCTTTGTCAGCCTAAATTGCTAAATAATTTCCAGAAGTTTCCAGAAGTTTGACGAACCACATCTCGACTTCTGAAATATTCAACGAACGGCGTTTTCAAAACAGATCCATCCGAGAATTTGTGAGCAAGATTTGGATTAGCTCCATTTTCGAGTAGAATTGTCAAAATCTGAAAGAGACTTTGCTACTTGTTTCAACAATTTTTCTAACTTCTTTCTGGAAAGTCAAAATCGAGCAAGCAGCCAGATGGAGGGCTGAGCCGATGTAGGTGTAGACTCGGTTTGGATCAGCACCTTTCGATACGATCTCCTGCAGAAACTGCTTGATGAGAGCTTGATATTCATTTTCAAAAACCCGTATCAAAGCAGGATCGTCTTTAAGCACGGCAATGTCGAGAATTGAAGGTTTATCGTACTCGCATGGTAGCTGTACATCGGCACCTTTCTAAAAGAATCCATTTTTATAGATCTTTAAGAATTTTGTTGTTTTAGCTTATCGGGCTATCAATAACCCGCCTTGACGGGCTTTTCCAGCTCGATTTTTTGGAGAAAGCTTTGTTGCAGTGGTGCAGCGCGCTTATCTAGGACCCACATGATCCGGGTTCGACCCCCCGTAGTGCCACTCAATTTTGACTTTCTTATTTTAAATGGTACAACCATATTATATTTTGAGACTTGAAAAAAAAATTCTATTTTTTGGCCCACGGCTGAGAAAAAGCCCGTACAGACGGACGGATAGACGGACACTGCTCTTTTATATATAGTAGATCACCTCAATCATAAATCGGACAAGAGAAAGTGATCCGGAAAGAACAGCATAATGGAGAGCTGTACGGAAATCGCTACGTGAAGAGCCTTGTTGATTAATGTCAGCACCGTGCTCCAGAAGTATCTAGAAACCCTAGTTTTTTAAAAATTGCACTGATCTAACAAATGATTTAACTTGTTTATCAATCTTTTTTTTCTTTTTTACCTCAATAGCTTTTCTTCCCCTTTCGCCTCTTTTCGCCGCGATCATCAAAGGGGATAACCCTTTCCTATCAAGCACATTTGGGTTTGCTCCAAATCGGAGCTGAATTTGATAATTAATTAAATTTATTCTTAAATAACTTACAAGTAGTTCTAAAAGTTCGACATAGTAATCATCATTTGGGGTGAGTAGAGTGATTTCTGGACCATCAAAATAGAGGGCATTTGGATGAAAGCCAGCTTCGAGTAAAAGTTGTGCACTTGAGACATGTCCGTTTTTGATGGCTTGTCTGAAAGAGGGAAAGCAATGTTTTGAAATTGAACTTTTTATACAGATTTAGCTGTTAAAAAGTTAAAACTTTACCAACTATTTGATTCTAAATTTACCTCAAAGGCTCATCAATTGTGTCTCTGCTCGGGTACCGTCCATTCTCATCCAGTTCCACTTCTTTCTCGAATTGTCGTACAGAGTCAATATACTAAAATGAAAGTTATGCTATCTTATGATATAAAGTTTTGAGCTTTAGATTTTAGTTACCGTAAGCAGGAGTCGAATCAGCGGATCGTAGCCATGTTCTGCACATAAATGCAAAGGCGAACATCCGATCTCATCAACTGCGTCCACCTGGAAAAAAGATTAAAAGATTTGTCAACATTTCAAACCGAATCTCATAAGCACAAACCTTGGCCCCGGTAGAAAGAAGCACTTGAGCAGCGGTAAGGTTGTTTGAATGACACGCATAGTGAAGTGGGGTTAAACCCCGGGTCACCTCTCCATCGGCCTTCAATCATTGACATTTTTATTATAGAAAAAAAACTCTACTTGAGCTCCCATTGCGAACAATGCATTCAGCTCTTCTGTCGCACAACATTCCGTGATCTTATCTGCCAACTCTCTCTAAAAATTTCAAATAAATTTCATCACCAGTTTCACTGACAATAGTGAGTGAACTTGAAAAGGTCCCTCTTTTCCTAGCTATAGTTTGTTTACCCCAAATTTTTAGATATAATCCAAACATTGCTCCAAAGTTATTGCTGATTTTGTCTCCCTAGGTGGGCTGTCTCCCATATGATCTGGCTGCCTGGCCAAGCCTGAGGGGTCAAAATACTCGCAAAAAGAACGGGAGAAACGGAGAAGAAAAAAAGGAGTTTGGATCGAAAATAGGGCACTCGAGACGGCCAAGCACCGGCGATCAGCTGGTTTCTTCAAGAAAAAAAAGGGGGAAAGGGAGGATGGGAACATAAAGAGAAAAAGAGACCGCATTTCCTCATCCTCTGACCACATGCTGGGCCCTCCTCTTCTACTCTCAGCTGACCGTCACGCATCCTTTCTAATAAGCTGACTCATGACAAAAATATAGGCTTAGCTGTTTTTTTATTAATGACGAATCAAGGTGGGAACACAACCGGAAACTGCGAACGATTGAAGGACGGGGAAAATATTTTTGTTGATAATAACATGTTGTTGGGTATCTCAGAAATCGGGATCGATTTGGAAAAAACGAGTGACACAACAACATAAAGCTTCACGTAATATTAACAAAATCTGATATTTGATAAAAGAAGCTAAATAAATTCATGCATGATTTCTAAAAAACTAAACTGGTCTCCTTTACGGGCACTGACACTGAAGTGGAATAAGTGTTGGATAAAGCTGCTTCAAACAAATAAACAAGGTTCTCAGATTGGATTTTATAGTCATAAATATGCTTAAAGAATGTAGAAATATTTCAAAAGGTATAAAAGATATAAGCTTTTAATGTTTTTAGGCTCTTCTGTAACCCAAACCTGTAACTTTCGTTGTCGTTCCTCCACTGGCGACATCGGAGGACTTTCTTCGATATCCGAAGTATTTTGATTCATTTTTGCGTTCGTAAATCTCTTTTTCTTTTCTAAAATTAATTTTTTAAACTTTAGTAAGAGCAAAACATTGATCCAGAAAATCAAAAATTATGTAAATGAATTGAAAGCTTTAATGGAGTAGTGATTGATAATGAAAATGATAAAACGAGGGTTGAATTTCCAAACAAATAGAATGGAATGTGTAGACGGTGAAGTGAAATGGTCACACATGTTTGGACAACTTTCAAGGCAAAGAAAACAGCCCCTCAAAATAGTAGAAAATAAAGCGAGTTATAAACTGAAAAGTAGACGAGGAAAGTGAAGAGAGCCGAGAGGAAAAAGATGAATGTGGATAAGAAAAGAACAAGGGAAGGGCTATAGAGAAAATCAAGAAAATGGAGAGGAAAAGGAGGGGAGGACCCACGACGAAGATCACCAGTCTGTGCCCTCCGCCCCATCACATGTCCATCGGACCCCCCGCGGGAGTACAAGTTCGACCCGGGGACACAAATTCTCTCCACCTTCCTTGGAAAAAGACTTTCTCCCAACAACCCAAAAATTTGATGGTAAATATACGATTCCACGTGAGCACATACTCAGATATTTCGCCGGTCAATGCAATAACACACACTTTTTAGGACATTAGTGACCAGCGGGGGAAGCAAAAAAGATCGACAGCACTGAATACGTAAAAGTTTAACATAAAAGTGGGATAGGGCTTGGAAAGTGAGCAAGAACTTGGAAATTAGAGAGTTGAAAGGGGCGGAGAGGGGTGACTAGAGTGTGTTCCTTGTGAGTAAGCAATTACTCGAGCAAAATTTGTGAGTAATTTTTACTCGATTAAACGACGTTTTTTGGTCAAATAACTACAAGTAATCCTCTTTACACGTCGAGTAAATTGAATATATTTACATTTGAAGGGGATTTGCCAACAAATCAGTTAAACATCAATCAAAAAATTGGCTGAATATCCTTAAAAAGAGTTGTATATAGGTCGGCGCTCGTGATTTTTGCGCCATTTTTTGCAATAATTTTGGGGTAGGCTAATTTCCGCCATTTTATTTGCGCAAGTACGTTTGCGCAACAAGGGTCATTTGCGCAACTTTAACACTGTAGTAAGCACTCGAGTTTTTATCAGTATTTTCATCGTTTGAGCTTTTTTTATTTTTCTTTCTATTTTTTAAATAAAAAAATATTCTGGAAAAAATGAAAACAGCAAAAACTATGTTCAACAGGGTCGTAAGCAAGACGAAATCCCGCATAGATACTCGATTCGAAGACCTAAAGCAGAAAATGTTATTCAAAAACCATATATATACCAGTCATCAATACTTTTGGGAGGCTATTTCCTTCACTGATGAGATAGTCGAAAATCGTTTGATAAACTGCCGCTTCTTTACTTTCAATGTAGGCTAAGACTCAAGGAGTGAAAAATTGACCCAACTTAAGCCAATGTTAGAATAACAAAAACTCAACAAACTTGCACTGCACGCTGCTCTCAGCATCGCGAACGTGGCTATCAATGATGTGACGAGTTGGAGCACCTTGTGCATCAGCATTTTAAACTTCTTTTCTGATTAGACGTAACGAAAAACAAATAATAAACCTCAAAGTTAGCGTTAACCTCTTTTCCAAAATCAAGAGGTAAATGTTCATGTTCTCCGAGGCACTTTACATGTTTGTTCTTTGCCCCGGAGCGAGCCTTGACGTTGCAGTTTTTTTTGAAAGACATGTATCTAGACAAATTGCAATTGAAAAGAAACAAAGGAATACCTGTAATCAAGTTTTTCCTTTGAATTTTCCCGATAAAAGCGATGTTCAAATCCAGTTGCATCATGTAAAACCTCCTTGCCTCTGTTGGATCGAGGTCTTGCTAAAAGAGCCCTAAAATAAAAAAACTAATTACGTTTAAAAGCCATTTAAAACATTTAACCGCGTTTAAGCGTTTAAAAGCACTTAGTTTACTAATGTATAAAAGAACTCGCAACTTACCTTGGTCTGGGCATGTTCACATGATAACCAGACGATGATTGTCGAATCTTCGTAAAAATGAGTTAACAATGGTTTTTAAGAAAAAAAAACAATATAAAAAGCACAAACAATGAAAATAATGATAAAAAAACGCGAATGCTTACTACAGCGTTAAAGTTGCGCAAATAAAATGGCGGAAATTAGCCTACCCCATAATTTTCGCTAAGAGCACGGTAATTTTTCCCAAGCGTGCATTTTAAAAAAACGCATTACTCGCGAGGAACACACTCTAGAGGCGACCGTGTATGGAAGAAAGATGCGCTGAGTGTCGCTGGCTAGGATCCAAGAATTGAGGCCGACATAAAGGAACGAAGGTTTCTCTCATCCCATATCCATCCGTCTCATCCTATCTATTGGTAGTCCTATCCTATTGAGACGAGTGTTTGTTGTTGTTGTTTGTCGCGGAAAGAAAGCGCGACTGTCGCTGAGAAGAGATAGAAAAGACCGCCAAACAGAGACAATGACCATCATACAATACCCCTGACTTGAGAGTCCCAGACGAACCTTCACAACAAGTCTATCACTCTTCACTTTTGAACAAAAAACAAGAATGAAGTTGAAGAAAAAGTTTTGGCACGTCTATGTAGCTAAAGCTGAAGTGTTTGTGAAAACAAGGGAAAGAGGCTTTTTAAAAATGTACTATTGCAATGTTCCTTCACAGTTGAAAGTTTTGTTGATTACACAAACTCGCTTCAGAGTGGACAATTATTGTCCAATTGTCAAGTACTGTAATAAAGAACTGAAGAAATTGGCAAGAAAAGGTAGATTTCCGGAGAGGGGATTGAACCCTCGATCTTCGATCGGCAATTGCTTTACCCACTGAGCTATTCGGTTCCTTAACTTGCCAAGAGAAAGAAGGAAAGGCATGGGGGAGAAGAAAGGAAGGAAGAAAGAAAGAATGAAGTTTAACGTCCAATGAAGGGGATCTAAATCCAAATACAAACAACTAAGGATATAAGCAATGTTTTGGTCAAATCTGTAACAGATTGATAGAAAGAAACTTGAGACTTGATGTCAAACCTGAAAAGATTCAAAGAAGGGGGAATGGTTTTAGCGTGGAAGACAGGCTGGATGCGGAAGCGCGGGTGGAGGGGTGATGGTGTCGTGTCTGAAAAAGGGAAAACGTTTCAAGAGAGTCCTTTTCTCACTCCAACAGGTCATCACTCTTTTTTAGCTACTTTTTGATCTCAGATCTCTTTGCGACTAAATTCAAATATGCTAGTTTACCAGTTACCAATGGCTTTCCACCAAGTTCCCAGAATGTTGCAATACAACAGTAACTTGAAAGTTTTCCAGCAGCACTTTCCTTACAAATTACTCACCATTTTTAAATGTTTTTCGGTTTTTCGCAGATGTTTGCCTCTTTCAAAATCTCATCCCAAGATGTGAATGATCGAGAGGTGATTGCCTCGATCAGCTGTTCTCCTCTCTTTCTCTTCATATCTATTCTCGGATCAGGGGAACTTTGGGCTTTAGTATGAATTATCCTCAAAATAATCATTTTTGTATAATTCCCCTCATTTATCAGGATCACCAGATGATTGTAAATCTTACAAAAACTTGTCCCTAGTCGGAGACTAGAACTAAAGATCCCCATTCTCTTCTTTTCCCTCTCTTCTATCCCATTTTCTTTTTTCTTTCAGATTCACACAAAACTCGCCTCTCGATCCTCCCTGTTTGCCATTTATTTTCTTCCACCGAAAGAGTTTGTCCTTCTTTTTGTGCCCCAGCTGCTCCTCCACTCGGTCAATAGCTCTATCGATTTACTCACACCTCTTATCTCCCATCATAGCTTTATCGTAGTTTTTGATATAATTCCTAAAATTGACTAAAATTGATTGATCTTTAACTCCTTGTAGCGCTATTTTGCAAATAATTACAGAAATGTCATTGCCATCGGCAGCTCGAGGGGTGAGCAATGTAATCACAAGATGTGAGGCGGCAAAGGAAACCGAATTTCTTGGTAATTCTATAAGACTTTAAGCAGAACTTTTATACAGTGAATCAATAAATTTAGATTTATCACATTGCGGAATTATGTACATTGCGGATGCAATTTATTTGGTGTTGAAAGGGTACGAAGTTACGAAAGTGAGGTAGGATGACGAAAGTATCGACCATTCACTTTTTATAGCCTTGGAAACAATGAACTTAAGAAATTCCCGAAAAAGATGGTTGAAAAGTTTCCAAATATGACAGGTAACTTGTTAAACTAATTAATGAGTTTTGGATTTAAGTTGTGAATTGTGATTTCAATGAGATCAGCGAGTTGCCCGATGAGTTGAGTGCATGGACGAAAATGCGAGGGATAAACGCTTCTCATAATAAGGTAAAAAGTGAATGGATGAATAGAATTACCGTATTTCTTCGAATAGAAGACCGGGTAAAGAGTATCATCGCGTACTCCTGCGTAGCAGCCCTTTTTAAAATTTCTTTTCTGCATAAAAGCTTTCAATGAAGTGCTATAGAGCTGGAAAATGACTCAAAAATACCACATGAGCTAACGGATTTTTGAGTCATTTTCCTGCCCTATAGCACTTCATTGAAAGCTTTTATGCAGAAAAGAAATTTTAAAAAGGGCTGCTACGCAGGAGTACGCGATGATACTCTTTACCCGGTCTTCTATTCGAAGAAATACGGTACTTTAAGCTATGTAGGTTAAAGATATTCAATGGAAGAAAGGAATATTGTTTTTAAGCTAAAAAAACGGATATCGATATCGAAATGCAAATTTCGAATGCAAATTTCACATTTTTGTAGCAAGAGTCGACTGTAATTTGACTCTTCAAACTGTAGCTTTCCATTCATTTCAGTTATCATCTTTTCCCGATGCTCTACTCACTTGGTCTGATCTTGCAATCATCGACTTATCCTCTAATCTCATTGAGGGTAAAAATTCACATAAACAAAATCACAAACAAATCAATTTCACTTATGAAAGCCAAATTTAGAGTTGGACGTTGAACGATTTTTTGGTGCTTTTCCGCGGCTTGTCGCCGTAAATCTCTCGGGAAATCCCTTAAAAGAAGAAATTGTCGACAAATTGCAACAACTTAAGCCAGCAAATGTTAAACTAAAACTACAATAGGTTTTGTTTTTGAAAATTTGATCTCTTTTTGCTCAAAATTCTTCTAGTCAAAAGAACAAAACGAAAATTTTGAACTTTAACTTTCATTTCGTTTTATCGGGTTATGAAATTGACATTGTTTTTTTATGGTATTGAAATTATGCTTATCCCGTTGTTGAATATATTATTCATTAAAAAAAACGTCAATCAGCTCGTGTAGAAAAAAGTATGTAACTTTAAAAGTTGTCAAAAGTACTGTATTCAATTCTGGACACAATTTGGTTATAAAAAAGTTTATTGTCCAAAAACATCAGGACAGCGGTTCATTTTTTGGTATATTATATTTTACGATCACCGAGTACAGGTAGAGTAATAGAAGAGCGAAGATTAAGAAAAGAGCTCCTTGAGAAATGCAGACAAGCACGAATATCTTCACATGGGTGACACGACTACCTCTTGGACCAGAGAGAGACTCTTCTGAAACATTTCCTTTTCTTCTCATCCACCTATTCCTATTCCTTTCCCCCTTTTTATACTCACAAATTCAATCCCATTTCCCATTTTTTTCCTTTTTTCATCTATTCACATTGATCACTCTAATTTATCTTGTTTTGATTTTTAACTTGGACTCTATTAACTTTAAATCAAGAATCAACAAACTCAACTGTTATAGAGATTACCGTATTCTCTCTAATAGTAGTGCGCACTACTATTCTTTCAACCCCCTCTCGGACCGCAATACTATTAGAGAGTGCACTACTATTAGAGAGAATACGGTAAATCTAGTTTTCTAGCCTTATTGCTGAAGAAGTTTAACACTTAATTTTCCAAAAAGTTTCATCGATTTTCTTTGATAAAGTTCATGGCGTTCTTTAAGCTATTAATAGTTTTAGTTACACAAATATATGTACAATTTATTTACACAAACGTTGTCGTTATACAACACTTATTCATCGAGAAAAAAATATAATTATCAAAAAATTCCTAAAAATCGTGGTCCTTACGAAAGCTTTCAAGAAGGATCCGAATTTGACGTTGAACGATTCTTTTTAAGCAAACTTTAAATAAGAATATTTCCCGCTGGGCCTTGCATCGACGCTTACTTCAAGCAGCATTGTATACTAGAAGACCTGCTCTCAAGACTATGATGACAGCCAAACACAGGAGGCAGGGTCTTCAATTTGCTCGAACGTATTCAAGTTGGACAGTCGATGATTGGACCCGCGTGATTTTCGTTGATGAAACAAAAGTCGATATTTTTCCTTCAAATCGAAATCATCTGATCCGACGTCCAATCGGAAAGCGATATCAACTCAAGTACTTGCAATCTACGACGAAAACAGGCGGAGGATTATGGCGAAAACAATTATGTGTTTCGGTGCGGATAATTTTCTTTTTATGTAGCCCAATGTGATTTCTTTAGGTGCGATGTGCAAAAGTTCAACGGGTCCGCTTGTCCTCGTAAAGTCAACAATGGATTCTCGCCAATATATTGAGATATTGGACAAATGTCTACTTCCATTTGCGACTGCTTTGATGAATCCAGGATGGTTTCTTTATCAAGATAATTCGCCAGTACATAAAAGCAAACTTTTGATGGGCCGCGTTGTGACTCTCTCGAATGAAGGAAAAGCACATTTACCGGGATGGTTTTGGATCAATCACATTTCTTTGATCAAAGCTCTACCATTTTCACCAGATTTAAATGTTATTGAGAATCTATAGGCCTATTTGAAATCGAAATTGCGAGGAAAACGATTCAATTCTAAAGTCGAGCTATGGTTTTACATCAGAAAAATTTGGAGGACGATTGGACCTGGAATTCTTGATGAATTAATTACATCGATGCCTACTCGTATTAAAGAAGTACTTTTGGCAAAAGGAGGGCCGACAAAATATTGATTATAACTTAATTTCGTCTTGTGTTAAAAGACTTTTGCACCACGATTTTTAGGGATGTTTTGATAACTATATTTTTTTTCTCGATGAATAAGTGTTGTATAGCGACAAGTGTAAATAAATTGTACATATATTTATGTAACTAAAACTATTAATAGCTTAAAGAGCGCCATGAACTTTATCAAAGAAAATCGATGAAACTTTTTAGAAAATTGAGTGTTAAAAGACTTTTGCACCTGAATGTAGAAATTCAAAGAACAATTTCCATTCTACAAACCCAAAGTGACTCACTTTTCTTTGATAGCTCATCCATAAAGTGCCCATTCACTGCCACTACATCGAAAATCTTGATGATTTTGGATAGAAATCCGCGTGCTTTTTGACTGATGAGAAAATATTGTTGAAAAGTCGGAAGGGAGCGGAAGTGGTGGGAGATGAAGGGGTGAGGTGGGGTGGACAACAGCGGGGGCCTTTCTAGGCTTTGTGAGGGCAATTTTTGCGAGCACCCGTCCTAATTCGATGAGTGAAAGTTGAGGGGAAGAAAAGGAAGGGAGAAAAAGCAGCACAGGTCTCCTACTTGTGTGGACTCCCCCTAATTTTCTCTGAAGATCACTCAAAAAGTCATCATTATGGCCGCAATCGCTTTTTTCTCTTGGAAAATTGGCGTATTTCGAGCTGTAGTAAGATAGAGAAATAGCTTGTGAAAAACCTGTGTAGTAAAAGCTAAACTATAATATGTACCTAAATGATCATCCAATTTACACAATCGAGAAAGGAAAGTAAATGATGATGCTCTTTTTTCAACTGCAAACTTTGCTTTGAAGGTGATTTGTAAAAGTAAACAAGTACGGTAATAAATTTCATATAGTAATTGATTGACTGGTTAACTAATATAAAAGATATTTGGTTATTGCTTTGAGAATTATGTGTTGAAAGTTTAGATAAGTCAGTTGGCAACAATGCTGCTGCCATTTTGTAACGCAAACTCACACGTAGCCTTTTTATGCTTTACTATTTGTTTCGTTTATGTTGCTTGTTGCTTTACTGTTACGCTTTCAATGTTTAATGCTTGACACCTTTAAATTTTGGCTACTTGGTAACAACTTTTTTCTGTAATTGCTATCTTTCTTAGGCACATACAATCTTTTTTCGCGACCACACCGCAAATTTTTGTTGGCTGGCTTTTTTGCAACAACGGTAACCGAGGGACAACAACTCAATACAGAGAACATTATAAACCGCGTGGTCTAAGATTAAAAGGAAAAACAATAGTACGCGCAAAGCTAAAATAATGTGCTACTCGATTTATCATCATGCCATTTTCCAATTTTTTCAATTTCTTTGTATAAACTTCTAAACCAGATAATTTTAAATTTGAGGTTTTTAGAGAGATGGGGAAGAAGAAATCGGGACCATCGAAAGTATCGACGTCAACAACACCGCAAGAAAGAAAAGTCGCATTCAAGGCGTTAAAAAATGAGGTCACGACACATAAAAAGTAAGGTTTTTGTTAGATGTTTTAACAACTAATTTAATCATTCTATCTTAAAATTTATGTTCTGATTTATCAATAAGAAATCGGCAAATATTTGACCTTATTCTCTTTAGAAATGGTGGCATGCACCCATCGCCTTCGATAAACACGTTGCACCGATTGGAACGAGAAGGAATTGTCATCTGGAAGTCTCCCATCACAACCATTTATTATGCTTTTCTTGAATCATGTCATATGCTAGTCGAATTTCTGCAAGCGTGAGTTTTTAAAACATTTAAAGAGTTGGATTTTATAATATATTTGATTTGATTTGCAATTTTAGACTTGCCCGTCGAAAGCTGCTGCTTTTTCTGCTTTCCGTTGCCACTGCCGCCTTGTACTACTTTTATTTGACACCTGGTTCTCATCAACCCTATTTTCAATTTATCGAAAAGAAAATCGTTTGGTAAGTTGAAAGCAATTTTAGGTCAAGTTTTTTTTGTTTTTAAGGTGGTCTTGGTGGGTTTTCCTCGGTATTCTTTCCTCGATTGGATTTGGTTCTGGACTGCACACATTTTTGTTATATTTAGTGAGTGCTTTTGTTTTAAATGAATAAAATCTTCTATTTCAGGGACCTCATATAGCCAGTGTGACTCTTGCTGCTTATGAATGTGGATCACTCAATTTTCCAGAGCCACCATATCCAGAAGAGTTGGTATTTAGTTATATTTTCGGTAATCATCTTGCTTTTAGCATTGTCTGTCCAGACAATGGAAGAGGGACAGCGGAAATTACACTTTGGTCGATTATATCAAAGGTAGGTATTTAATTTTTAAAGAAGCAAATGACATTTTTATTATTTCAAACTTTTGTTGTTTAGGTTCGCATCGAATCGCTACTTTGGGGTGCAGGTACAGCATTGGGAGAGCTGCCTCCATACTTTATGGCCCGGGCTGCACGTTTGAGCGGAGAGGAACCCGATGATGAGGAATATAAAGAGTTCATGGCTCTAATGAACAAAGGATCGAACAATCAGGAATTGGTAGGCTAAGAAGATTTAATCCAAAATTATTTCTAATTTTAGAGTATTTGGGATCGCTGGAAGAAACGCATCGAATTGACGGTGGCTAGCGTTGGTTTTCCTGGAATTCTTCTCTTTGCCTCGATACCCAATCCACTTTTTGATTTGGCTGGAATTACATGTGGTATGTTAGTTTGTTGAATTCCTTTTGAAACATCAATCTCTTTCATTTAGGGCATTTCCTGGTTCCCTTCTGGTCGTTTTTTGGAGCAACGCTCATAGGCAAAGCTATTGTTAAAATGCACTTGCAGGTAAATTGTTCGTTTTGCTAATCAATATTTGAACCTAGATGGTGACCGTCATTTTTGCCTTTTCTCAGCACCATGTAGACCACGCCTTGAAAATCATTCAACAAGTTCCTTACGTTGGAGTTAAGGTGTGTTATTTGGTTATGATCTTTTAAAAACAATATTTAGATACATGAACCTTTCAAAGATTTTCTGGCGAAACAACGTCTAGCTTTGCATAGGAAACCAGGAAGCCAGCACGAAGTTCAGGTATTTTATTTTTATTCACTGCTTGTTGATCTACTGTTGATTTACAAAACTTACTATTTGAAAGTTTTCATTGTTTCATTTTAGGACTCCTCCAGTTGGGTACAAACAGGACTTCAAACGCTCATTACGGGAATGATATTAATGTTTTGTTTGTCTTTGCTCAACTCATTGGCTCAAAATTATCACAAAAGGATTCATTCTCGTGTTTAAACTCGGTTTGTTTTGTCCCGATAACTGATGACTTTGCATTATATCATTTTTTGAAGCACCAAATAGGTAGGTTTCAAAACCTTCTAGTTTGCATATATCGTGTGCATTATGACAATACATAAATTGAAGATTCTATCAATATTAGTATTTTTACTAATGCATACGATATTTTATGTAAAAGTATTGAATTGATGGGTAATTTTCAAATTTCATTCCCTTTCGCCAGCCATTTCAAACTACCCCTCTAGTTCTTTGGTGTGTAAAGTCATTTGATGTATAAGAAAACTGTGATAGCTCAAGCCCTAAGCTACTTGACTTTTCCTTTTGTCTCAGCAGAGCTTTTTGTTTGTTTTTTATAGTGTTTTATAGGCTAGATACTGTTTCTAAGGTTATGGTTTCTATATTTAATTGGGTATTTTTTTTAATTAGTTTATATCTATTTCTTATAGTCTTTCTTTTGTTTCCATAAATCATCATCATTTTACATGATTGTAAGTGTCGCTTGTGATATTTGTTCTGCTCGTTCAAAAGTCTGTGCACTTGTTTTGTGAGATCGTGTATATGTGCTGTCTAAGTTATGGTTTTTGTTTTGTGAAATGTGTTGATAAAGATTTTGGGATTTTTGCGTTTTTGAATGCTAAAGCCTTTATATTTTCCGAGACACATAAAAGTGACAAACATGCATACCAACTTTAACAAGCTTCTGTTATGCTAGAATGAAAAAAGTTGAATGGCAAATAAAGTTTTAACGAAAAAGAAATTCTAATGTGGGACTGCAGTTGAGCGAAATGTTCATTTTTGATCATTCTCTGGATTCGTCGAGATTCGCAGAGAAGTTTTTCTTTTCGAAAGAAATGACACGGCCGAGGCAACGAGTCTCGGATTAGAAAGACACGACAGGTGCCTTCTTTCTGAATGGATAGACATCGCAAACGGATATGTCCCACTGCGGTAGGTGTACAAAATCTAAGCCGATCACAAAAAATAGCTGTCTTCTTTTTACACAAACCTATCAAAAAGATTGACTACAGTGTGACAAGTGTCAGCCAAAAAGTGAGAACAAGTTTTTCAAGAAAGCTCTGTATTGTGTAAAGGTTTTGATTAGTTGATTAGTTGATTAGCAAATGTGAAAATTGAAAAGGGCATACATCATCATTGGGTTTTGTTTATAAATAATTCATTTTCAAATAATTTTCAAATACGACAATTCAAAAATGGACGTCCAATTCAGAACCGGACGTCCGTTATTGAATAGATTTAATAACGGACGTAACATACAGATGCGACAGATACATATGCAAATTAGAAATATTATACATTCCCTTAAGTTAGTCCACGTTTCGCGACGTGTGCACAGAGATTTTTGAGTTTCTTTTTGAGTTGAAGGGAAACCTATGAAAGAAACGGAGATGCCGTCGGGGCTGTCATGCCTGGAATAGGTGCTTCCTGTAACCATTTCAGAAGAAGAAGAAAAAAGAAGAAGAAGGTGTGATGGGGTTTGCGGGGAAAGGGGGAGGGGACTACCTCCTGACAGGCCCGGCTCGACTATAAATCAGCGCGCGGCGTCGTCTTTCCCAGCTCGCAATTCGAGTCTTCCAAATATGAAAATACGGTAGGTTCTTTCTTTTAAATCTTCCCAAACTCGATTTCATCTAAAAAAACGGTTTCCAATTTCTATGGTTTTGCTTTTGTTTTCAAGTTTTACTGTAACCTTCAGCTTTTAGCTAAGCCAGTCTTCTAAATATCTGTCTGCTGACTTTCTGACCTTCTGACTTTCTGAATTTCTTTATGAACTCTTTTATACTTACTATCAATAGATCCTGAACGACTGGTCAATCTTTAACTGATCTAATCGTTGATCATTTCATCTAATCGTTGATCATTTGATCTCTCGTTGATCGATCCTCGTTTCCAAATTCTAAGAGAGTTCTTCCAAGAAAAAAACTGCTTATCAATAGAAGAGATGATGTGATCAAGAAAAGGAAAGAAAGAAGAAATGTTTGCTGATGGTTCTTTGATGAGAGAGAGAGGTGTCAATCACTCCGTCTACGGGTACCGATCGTCGACGAAAAGAACAAACATTTCCCCTCACTTATCCAATCGCCTTTTCTTTTTCTCTTTCCATAAATGAAACAAGCTTCCGGGAATTAGGAGAACTGGTTTTTGAATAGCTGAATTTCAAGGCTGAATGTGAATTGAATGAATATTTAGAAGCGCTGTTCTATGCTCTCTTTTGGTGGGCACGGCCCTTTGCGCCCCAGCTGTCGAAAAGAAAAATGAAAGGAAAGCGGCAAAAATGAGACAACCACCGGCTGAAAAACAGGTATATCTAACAAATAATAGCATTAAATTTTTGAATAAGGTCAAGAAAAACTCGGCCGAGCGAATCGCCGACACGGTGGCGTCAATGGTTTTCGAGGATGACGCGGATACGGATCTCGCCGAATTGAAGCGAGCTTACAAGAGTGTGGTGGCGAAGAACCCCGCCGGTAGGCGAAGGGGGCCCAAGGGTAGGCTCTCCTCTCCTCAAAAAAAACAAACAACATCGACCCGTAGCCCTTTTCAATTTGATTCCATTCTAGCACTAATCACTCGAAATTCCACCCGAAATTCGACTACCCTTGTGGCTACGAGTCTCTTTTTTTACCCCAATATTTCATCTGTCCATTTTGACCGACTTTCAATTCTTTCAATTCAACAGAAGAAAGTTTCATTCATTATTTGAAAGACGGTCTTTTCAAAGCTTGACTCATTTCCTTACTGTTAATCAATCGGTGTCAATGCTATTATCAATCAATCATCCAAAAAAAAACTCTTCCAGCTTTCTCCGGTGGTTACGGTGGATTTGGGCGATTCGGTGGGCCGATGGGTGGCTTCCAGGTAAATACGAATATAAATAAATTAAAGGTAAAATTTTTAGGGTGGATATGGAATGGGTGGACCGATGGGAGGAGGCGGTGGTGGAGGATACGGTGGAGGTTATGGAAATGGTGGTGGTGGTGGGGATATGGATGGAGGATATGGAGGTGAGAGAGAGGCAATTGAAGGAGACAAGTTCTTGTCTAGGAGGATATGGAGGCGGACCTGATTTCGGTGGCTATGGAGGAGGAGGAAACGGTGGCTACGGTAGTGATCATAATCTTGTGAATTATCCACACTTTAGGCGGAATGGGTGGTGGCGGTTATGGCGGCGGCGGTATGGGCGGCGGTGGTTATGGAGGTGGTCCAGGAGACTACGGAGGTACTTTATCCGCCACTCTTTACTCAGAAACTTAACAGAATAGGGTTTTCTAGGCTACGGAGGAGATTATGGCCCAGGTCCATATGGTCCGTACGGTAGGTGAATATTCCCCCGCGAAAAATTCCTGAAGCTTGACCGGCTTGCTTGAAAACATTCCCCAATCATCCCTGCATGATAGATTTAAATCAACTTTGAATAGTTGAATCTTTTTAAAGTTCAATTGAAATTTCTGAAGATTTAGGTGGTTATGGAGGCGGAGGAATGGGCGGAGGAATGGGCGGTGGAATGGGCGGATATGGCGGAGGAGGATACGGAGGAGGAGGAGGCGGTGACTTTGGAGGACCGATGGGCGGATATGGAGGTGGGTATAGTATGTTTTTAAAACTAGGCATTCTACTCTAAACAAGGACGCCGATTCGCCCCAAAATTGGTGGCTAGGTAGAGTTAACTCTGGGGAACAAAATTTAGCTTCAATTTAGCTCCAAGATTACTGAGAGACTGAGAGAATTTTAGGACCAATGGGCGGTTACGGAGGAGGAGGAGGAGGAATGGGTGGAGGCGGCGGTTATGGAGGAGACGGATACGGAGGAGGTGAGGGTTTAAGAACACACAATGGTTACCCACTTTTTAGGTGGCTACGGAGGTGGCGGATATGGCGGAGGTCCATATGGAGGAGGAGGTGATATGATGGGTGGAGGTGAGTGCGAAAAGGATCTCTAAATGACAAATCCTATTTCAGGTAGCCCATGTGGACCTGGTGGATGTCGTGGCAAGAAGTAAGCCGGCTAAACAATAGAACAAAGAACTTTGGGTGGAAATAAATTATTGCATTTTACAGCCAACATTTATTCCGATCCAAAACGAGAGTTTAACGATTGATTGAGCAATCTTTCGTCATTGAAATTGTTTGATTGACTACGAATCGGCTAAAGAAACGAACACGTGAATAAGAGCAAAGAAATCGGCACAACTTTTCACCACTGATAACGCCCAGATCTAAAAATATGAAATTTGTTTGAAATTTGACTGATTTTAACTTGAACAGGGATTTGAGAAAGAAAGGAGAGTACAAGAAGAGTGTTCGGGAAATCCCAGTGTTGAGAACCCTAAAAATATTGAATGTTTTAGTTATTTAATGTTGTTGTTCTTTAAGATTTGAACTAACCTTTGTTGAAATAGCAAAAGCATAAAGTAGAAAAGCAGTTACATGAAAGCAAAGAGCAAATAGATCATATCGATAATGAAGACGTAAGAGACTTTTGTCGAAACGGAAGAGGCCATGAGTTAAACAAAGAGCTGCAATCACTGTTATCTGAAAATAGAAATGTAAAAGAAAAGTGAAGGAATAAGGAAATGTTACCAAATCAAAAGCTAGTAGAATATAGAAGAAAATAGGATGTGTGATGTATGCATTAAAAGATTGCTCGAAGGGACGCCAGAAATGGAAATGTCCATCCGAATAGAATTGAATCAACATACAAATAAGAGTTGTTGCGATAAAGAAAGCCTAAAATGGTTTTTCAGGAAAAGTCTAGTAACACTGACTCCAATAGTAACACTGACACTAACACTGACACGTAACACTCCAATAGTAACACTGACACTAACACTGACACGTAACACTCCAATAGCCTGAAATGGCTTTTCAGAAAAAGTCTAGTAACACTGACTCCAATCGATTCGATTTTCATTTACCTCAAAAGCGACCACAGCTGTGCATCCACCTCGAACTAGACACGAACTTAGGCAACACAATGGCTCCAATTCTAGATGACGAGCCTGGATTCTAAAACAGCATTGGTAAATTTTTAAATCTAATTTAAAAAAAGCGTTTCTTTTGGCGAGAGGATTGATAAGTGCATAGAAAAATGCTTTCTTATTGAAATTTTGTTATTAAAAGATCTGACTTGGAAGTAATCGGTGCCACTTTATTGCTTTGTCGATTTTTCCCGCATGAGCCAACATATGAACACAGTTGGAGGATGAATGTCGCATACTAAATGCCAATTTTGGAAGCTATTTTGGAAGCTATTGCTTTTTGACTGACCGGCTGAGCCCCAGTTGGCAATTTGTTAATCCTTTTCGTCACTTCATCGACAACTAAATTGTACAAGTAAATATGAAGAATGTGAAGAAAAAAAATTCACCTTCTTCTTTTGTTTCAGCTTCAACGTTGAGAGTAATTGGGGGATTTGTTTCAATGATATGTTCAAATGGGATTTCAAAAGTCATTTCAAATTGAATACTATTTGATTTAGAGGAACTAGTTGTGAAAGTTATGGAAAGGAAAAGGGAAAACGGAAATGGATCGCTTGACTAACTCTCGATTTTCCCAAAAAACTTCTGCCTATAAACTTTAGCAATTCTTGTTTTGCCTTTAAATTGTTATCCATGAATTCTAGAAGCTTTAACTATTAGACTAGAGAAGTTCTAACTAGGGAAAGGCACCAGGGAACATATAGCATACATTTATCGAGAAGTTAACTACTAGAAATTAGAGTGTGTTCCTCGCGAGTAATGCGTTTTTTAAAACGCACACTTGGAAAAAAAATTACCGTACTTTTAGCAAAAATTATTGCAAAAAAAATGACGCAAAAATGACAAGCCCCGCATTATATATGACACTTTTTAAAGATACTCAGCCGTTTAACTGATTTGGCGGGAAATTCCCTTCCAATGTAAAAGATGGTTTTTTTTTTGAAAAAGCCTGCGCAAAAAATTGGTTTTATATTTTTTCGCCCAGGCGCACTTTTTAGAAAACGCATTACTCGACAATTACTCATGCAAATTTACTTGAGTAATTACTTACTCGCGAGAAACACACTCTACTAGAAATTAGCGTATAAAATAAAAGAATTAAAACTGTGAAAATAAACTATATGGAGTTTGTTGGCCTAAATTTAAGCCCAGATTCGGATTCTAAAAAATTTCAAGCTCTCGTGTGCAAATTTCTGGGATTTGGTTATGCATTTTGATCCCTCGTCCAAATCGACCGTTTCGCAAAAAGTTGCGCGGTCGTTAATGGTTTAATAAAGAGAGAAAAAGCTTATAAGAACTCCGAAAATCGGCCTAGACTTTGATGCGAGATATCTCGCGTTACAAAGCTCCTTTCACTTTTAACTGACACACTGTACTTTAGATTATCTATTAGGTTAAGCCATGAGATCTCACTTACTGAATCATATGCACTTTCAGGGTTTCTGTGGAATCGGTGTGCAACGACGAGAGCGTCGCATACGAGTCGCTCCAGAAAGAGGAGGTGCTGAATGCGCTGCACTTCTCGAGACGCGCACATGTTAGAAAAACTGTTGCTCATCGGAACAAGGTTTAGCCGACAACTCCATATGCAATTTATTGTACAGTTGGGTGCAGCTTCCTCGTTTATTTGGGTTTAGGGCTTAGGTTTAGGAAAAAGTAAAAGCAAATTCAGAATCAGCATAGCTGATTCTATAAAGCCCTGTGGCTCCTGTATTCAAAGATCACTTTGACCTGATGCCTTTCCCTAGTAAGAATCTACTATTATGATGATAGAGCGCTAACAATGTTTAGCCATGATTTTATTTCACAATTCCTCATTTCCTATTTATTTCCATTTCAGATTTAATTAAAAAAATCGATCGAACAATTGAAAGGCACAAACTTTTTCGGTGTTTTCGTTTCCTTTCGTACATTTTCTCAGTCTTCTTCGCCTTTTCAATCCTTACTTCCGGTACTTCCATCTGAAAAGCGTGAAAAAAAATGGAAACTTTAATGGTTTTAAGAACTTTTTAACCAAAAGAACTATAATATTTGAAGCAATAAGCCTCAAGAATGCTTCAAGAATGTTTTTAGCTTTACAATTGAACAAACCCGTGGCGGATTGTTTGGTGGGGGTTTCCAGTGCTCCTCTTGCATTCCCTAAACAGTTACAGTACGATGAATTGTTGTTAAGTTAAGCTTAAGTCATTAATAATTTCAATTTCAATGAGTCTAGTCATCAAAATCGATTGATAGAATTGTTAATGTTTGAGGTTTTAAATTTATAGGCAGGACCCACACTGATAGAACCTAATAAAGTTTTATTGAAGATAGCTACTAGAGCGCCCGCGTCTGATATCTAAGCCTAAGCTTACTAATTTGAAGTAATTTTAGCTCTAGAAAATGGTTGGCGAAAATTTCGAGTGCGGGTTTGCTTGTTGTATGAAAACAAGGCACCCGCGGACTCATCGTGCCTGTGCAAGCATCGGCCAGACGGTTGTCCGACGTCAATGCCGGACGGTTCGCGCTTCCGAGACGGTGATGGAGTTTGAAGACGAAAACGCGGGACCGCCTCAAATTGTCGACAACGATGAGTTGAAGAACGCTATCGAACGGATCAGCCAAACAACTCGAGGCTTGAGAGCTTTTGATGCGACCATACAACCATTCTCCGCCATTTGCACGCATTGGAAGACGATCGGGTGGATGGTGCCACATCAGCTCAGCGACGCAAACAAAGCGGCCGAGCTACAATGGGTGGAATTCTCGACTCTATTTTACGGCAGATGAAAAGTAGTATGTTACGACAACACAACAAGAAAACGGCGTGGTTGACGCCGGTGAACCCCAAAACCGACCCCAAACCGATACCACGGAAAAAGGGATGCTTTGTATTTGGTGGAATAGTAAAGGTCTCGTGTATTTTGAGGTGCGGATCGGGCCAAGAGTCACGGCGGATCTCTACAAAACCTAATTGAGCCGCGGGACCAGGCATTGCGTCGTCAAGGCAATAACACAGCGCACAAAATTGCTTCGCGATAAGCCACCCCACACCGCAAGATCCCAGAGAAATCGAGGATGGGCTGGGAGTTCTGCCCATCCGCCATATAGCCCGGACTGGCCCCATCCGACTACCACTTGTTTCGTCGATGCAGCACTCTTTAGCAGAAAAATTCAACCGCGAAGGTTGGGTGTCCAACTTCTTCGAGTCGCAGTCCGGTTCTTCGAAAGGGCATCCATTCTCTGCGTGGAGATGGCAAAGAGTCATTGTAATGATAGCGATATCTTTTGGTTGAGGTTCTGTATTAGGATTTTTTACAATTTTGTTTATGGTTCCACGGAAGTTTCATCTGCACCAACCTAATAATATAAACATTAGAAAATTTCTAATAAAATGAAAAGAAAAGGATAGCTAAAGAAAAGAAAATCTAATAAATGAAAAGTTAGATCATTTCAAGTCAGAATCGAACCAACGACTCAAAAATGACACGCGAACTCTGAGCATTAAAGTCGAGACACCAACAAGACACCAAAAAGCAAAAAAAAAGTTTCTCATTTTGAGAAAAGAAACAGAATAAGTGAACACAAAATGATCAGAAGATCTATTTTTTTAATGTCTATGTTTTAGATAGAGTGTGTTCCTCGCGAGTAAGTAATTACTCGAGTAAATTTGCATGAGTAATCTTTTACTCGAGTAATAGCTCGAGTAATGCGTTTTCTAAAAAGTGCGCCTGCGCGACAAAAAATATAAAAGCTATTTTTTGCCCAGGTTTTTTCAAAAAAAATCATTTTTTTACACTGGAAGGGGATTTCCCGCCAAATCAGTTAAACGGCTGAGTATTTTTAAAAAGTATCGTATATAATGCGGGGCTCGTGCTTTTTGCGTCATTTTTTTTGGGAGCGGGACAAATGCGAGCTTTTTTTGCGCACCCGGACATTTGCGCACCTTTTTTTCGCGTTTTAAAAAAGCTCTAAAAGCTAATATTAACCAATTTCTATTCCAAATGTTGTTTTTCTAGGTGATTTTAGGGTGTCGAATTCAAATTTTGACATATCAGAGCTTGTGGAAGCGAACGGACGAAGTTATACAAAGAGAAAAATCATCAATTTTCTGTAATTTGACCTAGCCGTTTTGTCTTTCAAATTGTCTTTCAAATTGGTTCCACATGCTCCGTTATGTCAAAATTTCGATTCTACGCCCTCAAATTACCTAGAAAAACAACATTTGGAATAGAAATTGGTTAATATTAGCCTTTTAGAGCTTTTTTAAGACGCGAAAAAAGGTGCTCTAATGGGCAAGGTGCGGAAAAGAAGGTGCGCAAATGTCCGGGTGCGCAAAAAAAGCTCGCATTTGTCCCACTCCCATAATTTTTGCTAAAAGTACGGTAATTTTTTCCCAAGTGTGCGTTTTAAAAAACGCATTACTCGCGAGGAACACACTCTAGCTTTAGAAGTCCTTTTAAGAGGTGAGCTTACTTTTCTTCCGGCGTCCATCTCGTTCGCCTCTAAACTTATTCATTCGTTTTATTCACTCAAAAAGAAACTTACCTGAAAGCTTTATATAGAAATTTATCAGAAATCAATCAACCAAAAAAAATGCTTTCAAAAAGAAATCCTTAAAAACATTGGCTTTTTTGAAGCCGCATTGAGTTTTTTTTGTCGACATCGAATAATAGGCACTTCCTTTCTATTGAGGTTTTTAGGTAAACTCTTTTAGGTTTTTAGGTAAACCAAGCTTTTCTATTTTCTTTTTTTGTTTTTCTATAATTAAGAAAATTGTTAAAACTTTTTATTTTTCACTTTCAAAAGACCGAATCGAGAATTGAGGGGCCAAGATGAGAAGGCCAATCGCAGTCGAAGCTGAAACAAGGGGAATTATTAACGAATAATACTGTAGCTAGAAATCTGAACTTTCAAAGATTTTGAACAAATTTTGATTTCATATTCGTTTCTTTGCTTGTACCGGTAATCGTTAGAATAGCCGCAAAACAGAAACGATCGACAACATGCGAAAGGGCTCTCCACGCATCTTTTTCCGCTTCTTCACCATTTCCATCCTGAAAATTCGCTTTTAAACATGGGAACAATGATTGTAAAACTCACTCTTTTCACTTCAACGTTCTCATTGTTTGAGTTTAGAAAGGCACAGCGTTGGAGCTTGAGTTGTCGAAGGGTTTCATTTCTCTCGCGTTTCACTCGACCGCCAACAATTCGGCCGATCACAGAGAAACCAATAAAGCGCAGCCAACGAGTCATTCGAAAATAATTTAATAATTTGATAGTTTAGGGATCAATACAAACCTAGGCCTTTGCTCAGCACTGTGTCTAAAATTGAGCACGAGAACCGAAAGAGAAACGGAGAGAGCCGAGAGAGCCATATTTGACATTAAATAAATTTCTGAAAGATTTTGAATGACGTCATTTCATATATAAGGAAACCGATTAGCGGTATGACGTCACTAGTTTCTGGCATACTTTCAGCAATGTTGAAAGAGAAAACGGAGTACGCGAGAAGAACAGTCAAGCCGAGGGTTACCTGATAGTCAAATACAGTCGACCCTTGATATAACGATTCTCTCGGGGCCACAAAATGGAATCGAGAATTGAATCTTAAGATTTTATTAGGAGCTCGGCTGGGACCGGGGCTCTGAATCATTATATCGAGAGCCGACTGTATTATCATTATTCTAAACTTTTCCTCACCTTTTCCCCGCTCTCACACGGTAAAATGAATTGCATTAGAGTCAAGATCTGAAATGTTTAATGTTTAATTTCTTCACGACTCACGAATACCGATAGCATTACACACGGATAGATGATATTGTAGAGGAAATAGAGCATTCGTCTCCGCAAATGCAACTCGAACACCACAACCGGGAAACTAGCCAAATTCTGGTTTTTATTGTGTTTTATTCATCTCACCTTCCACGATTGTCATCGACCAGATATTTTGTGGTTCGATTGGCAACGATCTGATTTGATAGTAAAAGAATTCGAAATGGAAACGACTTTTTATGAACTACCGTCAGTAGAAGAGCTAATAGAAGAGCCGTATAGTGTTCAAAATTGGTTTTTGTAACTTAACAAAACAAACAAAGAAAATGGCGGTGCGGTGAATCGAACCGGGGTTCGAATCATTCTCGTTCGCGCGAGGCACTAGCATACTATCCTCTACGCCATTTGAGCGCTTGCTGGTGGGAACTAATTTAGCCTTATACCGCGGCGGCGGCGTTTTCCGCATGCCGAAACTTCAAAACTCTTTCCTTGAAAATTTTGTATTGGTTGATGATGCGAAAAGAGTTCCCTAGTTAGACTACGCGACGCTCCTATAGGGTCTTCTATTAGAATATTTACCATACCTGCCACTCGCCATTTTCCGTGAATGAGTCTCTCGTGAATGGTGTTTTCCCATCGTAACGTTCCATAATTTGGAGATCAAGTTGTTGCTTGTCATACATCCCTAAAGATTTGTACATTTTTTTGTTTTGTTTACTTCTTTTTACAAAAAATCTCTTACATGATCGAAACTCAAGTCGACAAAATTGGTCATCAAAAGGAAAATAGCTGACATCAAGTCTCAAAAAAAACAAAGCGATTAAATAGAATTTTCAGAATCAAACCGGCAAATTGAATACACTTTAGCTGGTGGTGCAAATTGAACTAAATGAAATATATTTTTTCTTTTGATTTTTCTATTTTATTCTACCATCCCCATCACTCGTAACGTGCAGATTCACCTCGACGAATCCCCGTGAGAAATCCCGTGCACTAAAATTGTGCACTTGAAGTGAGCCAAAGCCAAAAAAAGCCAAAAAAGCCAAAAATATAGCATACTTATTGAAAAGAACGATGTCTGGTGTCCACATCGCTTTAGTCGAAACAGATAACTAAAGAAGTTTTTTCGAAGAACAGGTAACTAAAGAAGAAGCAAAATTTTGCCAGAAATGCGAACTTTGCTAATATTTCCAAAATGTCCAGGATCCCATTTCACTCTTTCATCTTTCCAATAATGTTCCACCCAAACATTCAAAGCCATCACTTGACTTCTCTCATCCTAAAGCCTCTTGGTGAACGTGTTTTCGCTGCGTAGAACTTATTATATTGAATATATGAGTGAGAGTGAGTCCCATGAAGACATCGACCGCTTTTGAAGCATTGTAAACAGGTCGAACGGCTCGATCGTAACCCCACATAATGTGTCTACAAAAGAGATCGGGGATTAGGCGATTGATTGTAGAAAACTCTCTACCTATATAGTCTTCTCTCATCTCCAGAAATGCTATAAACATGAAGAGAATAATTGTGAAGAGACAAGGGGAATTGTGCTAAAATGGGATTGCAAAAAAAAAACAACTATGTAAGTAAACAACCGTCGTTTCCTGGTTTAGAATTGCCGGATCTAAATCTGTTTTCATTTTGATTTAGAGCCGATAATAAATAAGCAAATATGGGTGAAGAAAGAATCATTTGGAGCTCAAAAAAGTGAATTTGCCCACGTCGGGAGGAAAGAAGACTCGATAAAAGGGCCAATTGACTTTGCATTTTCCACTCCGATAAGCATATGCGCGAACATATTCAGTCCCAAAGTGTGTCTTTTTTGAAGTCTCAGTAAAATTTGGATTTTTTCTAAAAAGTTTAGTCTAGTATTACTGTCAAAGTATCTGTCGAGGCTAACTACATGTTTTTTCAATAATATCACAATCAATCGAGCACCATCATTTGGGTTCTCCGGCCTTATCAGTCGACAATTTTCCCTAAAGTATCCAATCAAACAAATCCTCCCTTATTTAAAATTTAATATTAATATCGAGACTATCTGTAATTACATACGCTTGCTTGTTAAACCACTTTTTTTTTAAAAAACGCAAGTTCACATTTATAAAAAAATGAAATGAAATACAAGAGTATGCTGGGCACTTTATTATCATAAATAAAAAAGAGCAACAACGGTAGGTGAAACGAATGCAAAAATAAATTATTATGACCCAAAATGAATTATTGCAATAGTTCAGAAGTGAAAATGTATATAGAGTATAAACTTGGAATACGCACTCTTTTGAAAGCACTGATTGCTGAGATAAATCATGGACACAATTCGTCAGAACAAGTGCAAAAAATATCTCTAGGATCAACCATTAGAATTTAAAATAGTCGAGGAAGTTCGTTGTTTTCTGAAAATTAGAATAGCCAGGTTCGACTGATGGTTTATAAAAAATAAAAAGATAACTGTGTAAACATCAAGTATGTAACAAATACCCGCATCGATAAAGTGCAATAATTACAAACTACCATAGCAAAGTACAGCCTTAAAATGTCTTTGGATTGGGATAGGTCTGAATAACTTTTCCGATAGCTTCAACCCATTTTTGCAATTCATCCGAGGAGCTGGCGGATACTCGGTAAACAGAATGACGGCCCTCAACCAGGCGTCCATCAGATTCCGTTTTGCATGCCTTTATCCTTTCATCTCGAGTGACAGAATAGATTTCAAATGTATGTGGTCTTGGAGCATTCTCTACTCTAAAATTTTATAATGAAAGTAAGCAAAAAATCTTTAATAACCTTTTGATCCCCACATTCTGCAGTGGAATAATGCCGCGAGGCTCTTTATCCTTTGGGTGTTCAAAATAGTACAAACACGAGTCTGACAAAATGAACCTGCAATGACAAATTAAAGATAAAAATTTTTAACATAAAAATATAAAAATGTCGTACAATACCCACCAACGTCTTTTCCACGAAAGCGGTCCTGTCAAAAATTGATTGCTTGATTGTTTGAATAACCATCCATCATAATCAGCATGATCAACAAGAGAACCAAGTGAGTCATTCGGCAATCTAAAGAAAAAGTTTTTTTTGTAAAAATCCACAACAAACTTGAAAGCTTGTTGTTTGATCGAGTCGTAAATATTCCCCAACATAGATTGCTGTATATCTCCAGAAGTAACAAAGTCTCTGTTCATAGAAAGAAATCTAAAAATTTGGTAACTATTGTATATGTTACATGATAGAGGCGCTACAAAGAGTCGTCCGTCTATTTATTTAAACACTAATGCCTACCTTTCAAAAGACGGTTTATCCTTGACACTTGGATTATGTAATAAAGTATTCAACATAACACAACTATAGGCAAGTATATAACAAACATCCGGCGACTTGAAGATTGTAGGGTTTGCTTTGGTGTAATGAGCTAAATATTAGTTTATTCATCTAACTTAAAATGACCAGTTTACCTGCAAACTTTTCAATTATTCTATCAATCTTCTGACTTTCTCCAGGCAAACGAAATGATGCCAGAAAGAGTCGAAGAGCATCCACTATGTGCATTTCTGCTAGACTGTGAAATTCACAATACCTTAAAATAATATATTAATAGAAGAATAATAAAAACTAACTTTTGCAGTACTTCCAATACAAAAGGATCGTTTAAACCCAAATAGTCGCCTATAGCCGCTTTACTCACTCCTGAAAATAAAAAATATACATTAAAACTTTGTTTTTAAACCTTTGATTTCAGTTGTGCATTTATACAACCATTGAGCTACATCACTGGGCGTAGGGCTTAGAAGGCCACGCTCAATCATCCACTGCAATCCCTTTTCTGGTTCTTGGTTAAATTTCTTCTTTCCTTGTGACATGAGTTTGCTCTTGGACTTGCTACCATCATCAACATAGTAAAGAGTCTCGAGTTCACTGTCAATCTAAAAAAAGTTAATATTTACGATAAAAAAAATTGCTAACCTCATGCATCTCATTTTTCAAAGATTGAATTTCTTCTATGAGCTCCATTTTTCGCTTTCTGATTTGACGAAGCGACGAAGCATCTTGCTCAGCCATCTGAAGATTGTCGTCGGCCATAGCAAAGCTCATTCGGTTGCGTTGTTTACTAGAGCAAAGCTAATATCTATCTCATTAAGGCAACAAGGCTTACTTGTTACGCTTATCTGGCGAATCGTCCGTAATTTGTATATATGGTACTGGAATCTGCCAGTGTCTCGATGTATCTTCATCCTGAAATTCCCAATTAAATAAATTGCTATTTTTATTTACGATAAAAAAATTCTAGTTTTTTCTTTCAATAACAGTTATGTAAAGGTTTTGAAATAATGGCGGCAAATCATTCAAGCTCGCCTAACTTTTGTGATACTTTGCATCGACGCTTGACTAGATGTCTTCAGGAGAAAAGAGATATCCGACAAGAGCTAGCAAATGTAAGAACTCATCTTGAAGACTTGGCTAATCCAATCGAGAATATACTCATTCTAGGCGATGGTAACCTTAGTTTCTCCCTTTCTTATGGAAGAGTATTTCACGGGAGAAAAGTCGATGCAACTGTTCTGGAACCCGATCGCTCGAGCTTTGTTGAACGCTATGGAGAAAGTGCTAAATCAATATTGCAACGCTTGGCTAGTTTTGCTAACGTAAAGGTATTCTATGGGATCGATGCCACAAAGAATGAAACAATCCCTAGCAAAAGCTATGACCGCATCATTATGAATTTTCCTCATCACGGTGGAAAAACAAACATTAAGAAAGCTCGTCTTCTTCTGAGTGGTATTTTTAACGTGGTCGCCAAAATTATGAAAAGTGCACCAAATTCCTCTACTCCCGAATTTTATTTGACGCTGACCAGAGAACAATCAGAATTTCGAAATTTTTCATCGATTTTCACCGAATCAAGCGTAATAACTAAACATATAGAAACGGGACACCACATGGATTCTTGGCAACCGATATACCTGGCAGCTAATTTTGAGTTAGAATGCACTCGTGTTCAGCCGTTTGATCCATCATTTTTTCGCGAATATAAAGCGGCAGGCTACAAGAGAACAAATCGAGGCTTCAAAAATGATTTGGGCGTGACATACGTTTTTGTGTTACGTCAAGCATTAAGTCTCACAAACCAAAGCAACTTTGTAAACCCTCTACTGCCATATTATTCGCATCATTTTTCCTTTGTTCTTCAGCAAGCGAATAGATCGACCGAATTTGACAAAGTGCCCCGCATACTCTATCAAGCAGCAAACGGAACAGCGATTCATTGTATCGAGCTTGAAGAACTTAGGACTTACGACCCAGACAATAGAGAGAATAGAATCTACAAAGTCACTTTTCAATCATCAAGCTCACTTTCCAAAACAGAATGCAATGTTTTGGTTGATGATACAAGAATTAGAGTGGGGAAGTTGCTCAAAGAAGAACAAATTTCTTTAATTCTAACGTAGTCCTCAACAGTCAGTTAGGTATATGTTTTTGTATTTGCTACTCTCTAATATATTTGTTGTATAAGCGATTAAAACATTAAACTTTACCTCAATGCGTAGTTTCTTCTGTGGCGGTTTCTCATAGGGCCCATAGTGATGAGCAGTTGTTATTTGAGACGACTGCGATTCTTGATCAAGACTCCATGCAGGCGTATACATTTCCTCATAACTGCATTCAACAATAGTTGATAGTGCCGGCTTTTGAGATACTAAAAAGAATGTGATTTACCTTATTTACAAAGAAACGAAAATAAAATGTTTAAGAACTGAAACATTCAAGAAGGGAAAACTTTGTTAACTTCTGTCAGAAGAACTAGCCCTTTGTTTTTTTTTTGGTTACAATCTACCAATTTCTCGAAAAAAAATTTTTGACTACCTAGCTTATTGTTAACAATATAATAAAACGCTTACGTGGATGTGCCATCGAAATCTCTTTTGTATTCACGCGCGGAGACCCCGTACTCTAAAAATATAGTTATTTTCATCAAGACCTTAGATATTTAAAGCAAAAAACAGCAAAAAAAAATAACGAAAATACTTGCTTAGCAAACAAATAATTAAAGTATGCAAAGGCCTGAATATCTAGTATTATTTTTTTGCTTCATTATAAACAAATTATATTATTATATTGTTAACAATATTCATTATAACACTCACAAAATTTTCCACCTCTTTTAAAAATTAAAAACGTATTGACGGGTTACACTTTCCTTTGTTTTGTGACTACATATTCGTTACCATTTGCCTTTTAATAACGCTCATGCCACACGTTTTTGTTATTGCAATTGTTGTTCTTAATAAATACATTCCAGGAAAGCCATCTTGAAAGATTCATGTCAATATGTGCGGAAGATTTATTGATTCGCGGGAGGCGCATTGCCGATCCATTTAATCGTCTCGGATGCACTATTGAACCTGTCGTCGCCGTGATAGAGTTTTGCCAGGTTAAGCTCTTTGAATTTAAAGTATGCATATGTTTTGATTCTAGATTGTGGGACCTCGTCCTCTTCTTTCTTACCCAAAAGATGCCTGTGAACAAGCCCATTTGGACATGGATTCGATAGCGGTAGGAAGTGGTTTCTTTACGACGGCAAGTAATATCTTTTTAGATTTGGTTAATGTCTAGCGAAACTACGTCGGGCACCGTACTAATGATCTACAACCAACAGATGGGAATTTATGCTCTTTCTTATTACACACTTATTTATGATATAAGAGCTCGCGCATTTCAAGTATTTTAAAATAATGTAAAAATGGGTTATCGATAAATTTAGCGTCCGATTTGTCTCGCTTATTTATCTTCAACTAAACCCACAAGTGATTTAATGACGCGTTTTACGTGAGTTACTTGGGAAGAAAGAGGAGATAAAGTATTTAATTTTAGCAAACTTTCGCGAAAATATCTTCTTCCCATAATTCTTTGCAATCGACGCGTATTCATTCATCAGCTTTCGGTGATGATTCAACTTTCCGGCCTAATTGAAAACGATACCGTCCAGGTTAGTATTAATTTTTGAGCCTCAATGATGTTCTTATCCAATGCATTTTGAATTTTAGCGATATTATTCGTTCCAAAGTGATGACAGGATAAATATAGCACCGTCGGTTTGGCAGAAAATATTGACTGTTTCAGAACAGGTATCCTGAAAATCCATTATGCTAAACGCTTGATTCTGTTTTAGGCAAGAAAATTGCGGGTCAAGATGGAGAATATGTACAAATCACTGGTTTCACGAACAAATTCTAGGGCATCTTGTTGTGGCCATCCAGTTGAGGTACAATTTTTATCTATTATTTATTATAATGATCAATTTCAGAAAAACAACCATAACGAAATTAAAGAAACCTTGTGCCAGTTTGTCCACGCTGTTCCTTTACGCCCAATCAAAAACTTGACTCCCTGTGTAAGAATTTTTATAATTGTTATTAAAAAACTATACTTCAGACATATTCGTCATTTGTTGAAGGCTTACCTCTATTTCACTCGCAACTTGTTGCCCTTGTCCCCCTTACCGGTGTTCTATTTAGGTATTATTTTTGTTTAATTGTAGGCTATAATAAAACTTTTTAGCTCCGGCCAGCCAATACTTCAATTTCCAAAGTATGAAACACCGTTGAAAGAAAGGCGCCCTACTTCGTATTTTTTTTTTTTAGATAAAAAACAATTTTTTTAGTGATGAACATGCTGCCATTCATTGCGAGCAGTCGTTAAAAATGATAACAGGAGCTCTAGATCAGGTAGTTTCTAAGATTATCTATTTTTGCATTTTGTTCTTTACGATCCAAAATGGATTTAGATGCTTTTCCCAGTGTTGGCGGGAGATTCTCTTCTTGTTTGTGGAAGCGAGCAACGAAAACGAGTTGTGATGGAATTTGCGCACAAGTTGAATTACATATTGCCGAAATCTCACTCGAATCGAAAGCCAGTTTTATGGAATACCGATCCCAGACGGTAATAACATTAGCTATTAACACTAAGGCTTTTTTAGGGGCTGTGAAGGGATTTTTGGAGAATGTGTACCCAAAGGGGGAACTAGAGAAAATAAGGTTGGTTGTTTATTTCCGATTTTTCTAATAAAGGTTTAGGGTGGAGCAACGTTTGATCTCAACACAAATGTTTTTAAAAATGTCCCATACAATGGGAAATTGCTCAATCATTTAAACATAAAACGAAAGTAAGTTAATTTTTTGACTAGATTTCAAATTTACCATAAGAATTTAGGTTTCCAGACGATGAATCATTAATTTCTTACATAACTGCGACATTGACTTGGCTTTGTTCGTTTGTGTATATTTGTCGTTTTATCTCCCTTCAAACCATTGGAAAATATGTAAGTTAAATTAAGTTTTCGCGTCTAGTTTTTCAATTTTAGGAGCCCATGACAGAAGATGATTTTCGAATAATTGCAAATTTGCTAAACGAAGTCGACTTTTTGAAATATAACTCTATCAAATCTGGATTGGATCAGAAAAGGAATACAGATGCACAAGCAAAATCATTTAGTCTTTAGGGTTTATCTTTTTATTGGTTACTTTTTTTATCTTCCACTTCCACTTATCTTTTGCGCTTTAAAGCACATATATCAGACCTTATTTACTTACTAAATCTTGAATCAACCCTTAACTTTTGAAAATTTCGAGGTAATTTTTGGCAAGTTTTGAGAATCACGTTTTGATGTTGCTTTTTTCTTGTGATTATACAGGTAAACCTTTCTAAGTCGAAACTGTGATTAACGAATGTAGAAATACAAAGATAAATAGCCAATACTAAAACCTCCAAGTTTACTTGACATTAACAATAGAAAGTCTGCATAGCATTTTTTTTGTATTCTTCCAAAGTTTTCATCTTCACCGGTGGTCCTGAGTGTCGGTTTGTGTACCTGAAATTTTAATTTGAAGAATGAGTATTTCGGCATTACCAATGGGCGGTCAATACAGCCAACGCCCAAGAAGTCCATCGTTGTCTCTTAGTCGTTTTACTAGATTTGCATATAGATTTTCAATTGCATTCAATTTAGTTACTTCCATCCAAAGAGTCGCAATCCAACGAAACAAAGAACGGCTTGAAGGAGGAACCTTTTGTATCGAAGTCTAGAAATACTGATACCATCGGCTTTTCTTATACCTTTTACTCACTTTTGAGCTAGTTTTAACCCCTCTGGAATCGTTTCAAGCTCTTCTTTGAGCACATGACGCCTGGTTCCCATAAAATAGTCAAACATATACGAATGCCAGTCGACTTGACGAATGTCAAAGTTAAATGTCTAGAAAATTTTTTTGAATTCTCGTTTTTTTTGAAAGTTTGTTTTTTACATGCTTATCTTCAGTAGTAAGCTCGTCGTAGAGTTTCGGCAAGGCAGTTGATCGAAAGATCCATTCATTTGTAGTGAAATAGTGGAGAGCTTCAATCATTCGTTCCACTTTTCCATATAAACGCATGTATCTAAAATTTCGTTCCTTTTAGAATAAAAGACTGATTTCTTTTTACCTCTTTCTTTTTCCCATAATTCCGTTTGTCCAATCGGCAATCTGTGATGGTAAATGATGATAAAATTTCCAATTGATCCACCACATCAAATGAGATTGATGAAAAGTTCCGGCTGGCACTCGCATCATGTTTGTGATTGGGTACTAGATTTGATGAGGTTTTCTTCATTCTCTATTTCACACAACCTCAACGTAGAAACGATCGACCAAACTGACTATGAAGCTCCAGTAGACTGGATTCAAATCACCTGATGCGCAATGCATCACTGGGATCTCCGAATATCTGAAAATTTCATACTGCTAGGACCTTTCCTCTTTCTTTCCTACTCTTTCTCTTTCTTTCTGCACTTACTGTGTTTGCATTCTGTGTGCTGCGGCAGCGATGCACATATTTGAGACAATGTCAACGGGAACGATGTCTGCACGTGATGCACTGCTTCCACGCATGTTTGTCAGAGCACCTGTTGCAACCTGCAAATTTTCTCTTTAGCTTTGAGTTTGAGAATCTCTACCGCAGCAAACACTCCAGTGGCTCCATTGTAATTGTCGGTCCATCCGGGTATCGGCTCTCGCCAACAGGAGCCTGTAAATTATGGCTTTACCGATCAGCGTTATTTTGAAAAAAACAAACCAATAATCGATGGGCGAACGATAATAGTCGGAATTCGATGTCCTTCCTCTTTGAGAAAAGACTAAAATAAGGGTTTTTTTGTTTTTTCTTTTTGTTTTTCTTTCGTCTCTCACCTCAGCCAACGCTTTTGTCAACGTGTACGTGTTTGGACGATTGCCGAGTAATTTCGGGGTAATCATCTAGAAAATTGACCATCTTTTTTTCGTTTTTCATTTACTTACGTCAATGATTTCCTCATCCATCCAATCAACAGCTTCCAATAGCTTTGATGGAGCCACTGGTGAATCGTAGATCTGTTAAAGAGAATGTTACTTTTTATGCGAGCAATGTCACCTTCTCATCAGTCATTTTCAGATCGCAGTTGGCATAGGCAGTCGAAGTGTGCATCAAACACTAAAATCTTCGATTCATTAATATTTTTGAATGCTTTTGGCTTTTGAATAATGCGATTCTAAGAGTGACTGACAAGTAGATTATGAATGGAGTGGCAGAGAGCAACGATGCGAGCCGTTCCCATCAAATTCATCTGCACCGCGTCTTGTAGCGGCTCATCAAAACGAACCGTTGCCGCACAATGGAAAACCACGTGCACCTGGAAAAAGATAGTTTGAAGAAGCAATGATCTTTTCCTCGCTCACATTGTCACAGATTTCCTGATGATCGTGTTGATTGAGTCCAAGTCCATCCTCAGTTAGATCCCCAGCGACCGCGTGAATTTTCGACAAAATACCCGGGTTCACAGAGCGAATCCGATTAAACAAAGTACTCTAAAAATGCTCTATAGTTTCTCTAGTCTATAGTCTATAGTCTATAGTCTATAGTTTCAAATTTCTCTCAACCTCAAGAATCTTTTGTAAGCGATCATTCGGAGAGTGTCCTTTTTGTGGTCGAATCAAACAGTAAACTTTCTTGATCTTTGGCACTGAATAGATCAGCTTTTCGACAAGAACCTAAAGTGGGATTGGAATGAATTCTGTTGAAATGAATTCTTTTCTTCACTTTTCCAAGAAATCCCGTGAAACCGGTGACGAAAACGGAGCGATCGGCGAGGACATCCTCGATTCGGCGATGAGAGGACATCACTTTGGGGACCCGATTTGAGGATAACTAGAGTTTCGTTTATTGAAAAGCTTATCGTTTTTAAAAAGTCCAATGTATCAAAGTATGAGCACAGTGAAAGGCTTTCAGACTTTGAACAATCAGTTCGACTTGGAGAGGTTTTTATCAAATTTTCGAGGCTAATCTGTCGAAATTGGCTTTTTTTTTTTGATTTGTTTAAAACTGATGAAATGGGTGGTCAGAGCATTCAATGAAAGAATAAAATCTAAATTCAAACACAAAGGAACATTGAAGAAATGAAAATATTATTATTAGAGAGAGTATGTCTGTGTGTCTGTCTGTTATACGATTTTAGAAAAAACAGCTGAGCCGATCGAGCTGAAGATTGCTGACAGCTGACATTATAAACCTAACTTTTTACGTAGTTTCATAAAATCTAATAATATTTGGCACATAATTTGACCGTTTTTCCTAAAAACTAATAAACGGAATTAAAGAATACATGCTACTGCGTGGCCGAGTGATAGTGTGCCCCGCGTCCTATCTGCCAAGTTCAGCAACGTTGGGCTCGGTTAGTCTCGGGTTTGATCCCGGCCGATGCAATTGTTTTGCTTTCTTTGTTTTTGCACTTTTTAAGAAATTATATTCAATCTACTATATATAAAAGGCAAGTGCCTGTCTGTCCGTTCGTCCGTCCTTATGGCAGAAATCTCAACCCTCAGTGCGCCGCTTTAAATCATTTTTTTCTTTGTTAGATAGGGAATTTTATTTAGTTGTGCATCTCACCTTTTAAATTTTTTAAAAGCAAAAATCGGGGTACCTACGGGGGATCGAACTCAGGTTGTGTGGGCGAGAGACGGTCGCGCTACCTACTGTGCCATGAATGCAAAAGGTTCAAATTTGCACTTTTGCTGGAAATTTCCTTCCCCATTAAGTTATTCAATTAATTGATAGAATATCTTTTGCTAGCGTTCCGTCTCGAGCCTTTAACTCGAGAGCTCAAACTATGGCTTAAACTCTGGCTCAAACTATGGCTCAAACTATGGCTCAAACTATGGCTCAAACTATGGCTCAAACTATGGCTCAAACTATGGCTCAAACTATGGCTCAAACTAGCCCCAATAACACAGCCAGAAAAACTCGCCGTTAGGCGGATTTCTCGGCTGGTTTTAATAATATCATTGATAAGAAATTCTGTAATTGCCGACCTATGGCGGATCTAAAAAAGAAGCTTATTAGTGAGAAAGCTCAATCAACTTTAGGTTGATTTTTAATATTTAATATTTTTTTTGATATTTTAAAGACAACTAGAGACTTGAAATTCTAATGTACAAAAAGAAATAAGTCTTCGAAAATCGACACGGGGCAAAAGGCAGGCTGGGAGAGGAATTCTTGGGTGGGAATTCTCTCGATAAGCAAATGCTGTCAATCAAGAAACCTTTGAGCCTTTTCAGCTCAACAAATTCGCAAAGAAATCGGTAATTCTGTATCATTCGTTCGTTTGTTTGACAGGGGAATGATGACTTTGGTCTTGGACTTGGATCTTGATCGTTTGCAAGCAAGTTTACAACAAATAGCTTAGTGATCAAAAGAAGAAAAGCAAAACTTGCTTGCTTGTATACAATCGTATCTGTATTTATATAAATAAAACTATTATATACAAGTTTGACGGGGGTTTTTATTAGAGTTTTTGGTGAAAAATGAGGCACTTTAGCATAAACTAAGTAGGTCAGAAAAGAGAAAAAAGTGAACTAAAAAAAAAGGTGATGAGAGGGGGATTGTGATTGGTAAAAATGAAAAAGAAAAAGTTGAACGCGATGCCTTTTCAAGAAGAGGGTAACGAAGAACTGATAGGGGAAAGGAAAGGGGATTCCCATCGGAGTGATTGAGGGACAATAGGCAGACCAAATCACGCCACAGTCTATCTTGCACTTTTCAACTTTGTGTACACCGGCAGTTAACCGCTGCCCAACTCCGGCAAACGCATAGTTTTTATAAGGCAAAGTTGAGTCTTAATTGTTATCAAATGTACTACAGTTCATTTACTACTAAATTTGTATTTCAATAACGAAACTGAGAGGGAAAGGCCAACTGGGTTCGCCAAATGAAATGAACCATAGACCATTCGACGCAGAATTTCACGCTGATTCCGAATTGCTTTCCGTTTCTCCTATAGAGCACTCTATCAAAAGTTATAAGCGTGTAAAGTTTTGTATGAGATTTCAAAAATCACACTCCGAGTGTAAAGGCAAATTTCCCAGAGTTTTTTCCCGAAATTCATTTTTGGAAGTACTTCGACCTTTGACCTCGCCACCAAATTCAGTTTTTTCAACTTTACTCAAAAATGGTTAAAGATTTTTCAATTCTGATTTAACAGCCAAAACGTCATGGTCGATTACACATTGTCTCAAAAAATCAGACCGAAATTCCCACTGGGACTCGAGTTATGAAGTGAATGGACAGACACACACAAACTTTGCGTCTTATAATAAGATACTCAGCTGATGAAACTTTACTTACTATTAGATAACTTTAGAATCTAGACGTTCCGGAGATCATTTCTAGTTATAACACATCAAAATCCATCGAAATCAAACGAGACGAGGCTCAAAGATCATTTATTATCTACTATACAGGGTTTTCAAAAAAAAAAAAGTCAGTTCAGCGTGATTTTTCTCAGAATTTCTAGTGACTTCTGGTGGTTGTTGTGGTGTCAAAGTGAATATTTTGGGCAAGCAAATTTTTGATATTTTTCACTTTTCCCGATTTCATGACTTTTTTTTCAAAACATGCAATTTCTGAGCCACCATGGCTGCCTACATGCAATTTCTACACGCAATTTCTGAGCCACCATGGCTGCCTACATGCAATTTCTACACGCAATTTCTGAGCCACCATGGCTGCCTACATGCAATTTCTACACGCAATTTCTGAACCACCATGGCTGCCACCGCCATCATGAGATTTTTGCCATAAAATTAAAACTATCTACTAGCATCGTGGTGTCATATCAAAGCCAACATGTAAACTAAGATTTTCAACCAAACACTTTATTGATTAGTAGCTCATGAGCAGAACATGGCTGTTTCTTTGAAAATTGCAAGTTAAAAGAGTTCTATGTACGTGCAAGTTAAAAGTGTAGACTCCGAATCTAAACCGATATTGGTTTAGTTTAGTTTAGTTTGGTTTGGTTTGGTTTATTTTCTAAACCGGTTTGCTTGAGAATCTTAGTTTATCTATTAACTCTAAAATGACACCACGATGCCAGAAGAAAGTTTTAATTTTATGGCAAAAATTTCATGATAGTGATGAATTCTTTTAGAAATTACATAATTATCAAAAGAAAAAGAACTCAACTTTCGGTTGAGATACAAGTTTTTGGTTGTCGGGGAAAACGGGAGTACACAATAAGTCGCTTGAGAGCATTGTTCGTTGAAAAAAAATTGTTTAAGTTTAATGTCAATAAATCGTTGACTCCTTCTGCTTTTTCAAGACTTTTAACAAATTTTTATTCAAAAAAGAGCAGCTATCATTTTGCTTTTTCAATTGAAATCGAATACTCCAATTTGACAGCGAAATAGTCGCTCCGATTGTGAAAACAAAAGTTGTACTCGCCCTAAAAATGAACTTGCTCAAATATTTGCTTTTATCATACCGCATCCAAACATTCAAACATTCCCTCTTCAGGCAAGCGGCTAGAAATCAAATGAAAATGTGGATAGACGAGATCATTGTGATCCTGTAATGAAAGATTATGACAATGCAATATTATGACAATGCAATATTGTGACAATGCAATATTATGACAATGCAATATTGTGTCAATGAAAGATTATGACAATGCAATATTGTGACAATGCAATATTATGTCAATGCAATATTGTGGCAATGCAATATTGTGACAATGTAATGACTTTCTTTTCTCAAACCTGATTCCGATAAACACAAAAGTCAATATCACCACTGATCGTAAGATCCCAAAGAATCGATTCGTTTTCAGAAATGGCAACCGGAACAATAAATTGCTCGCCCGTGGAAAGATCCTGAATCATTCTTTGATCATCTACAATTTCTATGGACTCACCTTCTTTTTCGGCTTTAATCTCTCAACTTTTTTACCAGAATAATGTCGATTTACGGTGTAATGATCTTCGTTTAAAATCTTCCTCCTCACACTCACTCCACTCGAATCTCCTGGCATCATCGTATTCACAAAATCACCTAAAAAATCTTCTACATTGTTTACAAGCGGCTAGAAATGCTATACCTCCAAATTCTTTCGGTACAAACCATTTGGGTAAATGCTTTTGTGTGAGCTCTTTAAGATCTGAGATCACTTCGATTAGACGAGCATTTCTTTCATTAAGAAAAAGCTATGACGAGAAATTTTCTTGCTTTTTTAGGTTTAGAAATACTTTTGCCAATTTCCAGAGTAAACCGAGTGCTCGCGGTGGATGGACGAGGTAAATGCGTTGAACCATTTCCGGGTACCTACAGTATACTAGACATGGGGAAAATTTCAAGTCGCACCTAATTCCACCTTCATTTTCTCGGCCCTTTCATGATCAATTACTCTGTAATTTTGTCTACAAGCTGAAAATGTTAATTTCTATTTGTAAACAAAATTTCAGAGTAATCAGCAAAGAAAACGAAGGTGGAAGGCTTGGAATTTTTGAAATTCTTACCATTCTTGCCAGAGTTGAGACCGTAACTGCCAGAGTTTCATATGACCGCTCAATGGATTTAAATAATCCATAATATTAATCGAAGATAAATCAAAGATAACAATGAATTGAATTGGTCCCTTGTTCTGGGTTTGCTTTGCTTCTCGTCTAAATTTTTGACTTTCGACTTTCAAAAATGATTGCTTTTCAAACCTTAATATCAATTGTAAAAGCATTTCTGAATAACCAAAACAATGAAATAAATAATCCGACGTTTTCATTGACTTGATGAACTAAAGAAAAGAAAAGATTTCAAGGGGGTGGGACAAATGCGACCTTTTTTTTGCGCACCTGGACATTTGCGCATCTTTTTTTGCTGGAAAAGGGCTTAGGAAAGGTCGTAGAGCTTCAAAAATGTTTTCATAGAAGGGAATCGTATGCGTAGATTCCGAATTTCGACAAATCACACCTCGCTGACACGTCAAATTTGGGCTAAAAGGCAAAAACTACGCAACTTAACGCTTTTCCGCAGCTTTTGCCTTTTAGCCCAAATTTGACGTGTCAGCGAGGTCTGATTTGTCGAAATTCGGAATCTACGCATACGATTCCCTTATGTGGAAATATTTTCGAAGCTCTACGGCCTTGCCTAAGGCCCTTTCCAGCAAAGAAAAGGTGCGCAAATGTCCAGGTACGCAAAAAAAAGGTCGCATTTGTCCCATCCCCGATTTCAAGTACTTTATATAGAGTGTGCTCCTCGCGAGTAAAATTTGCAATTTGAGTAATTTTTACTCAATTAATCGACGTTTTTGCTCGAGTAAATCAAATATCAAATAGTAAATCAAATAGTAAACTCTTTACACGTCGAGTAAATCAAATATCTTTAAAAAGAGTCGTATATAAGTCGTCGCTCGTCATTTTTTTGCGCCAATTTTTTGCGGTAATTTTCGCTAAAAGTACGGTAATTTTTTTTGCTAAGTGTGCTTTTTAAAAAACGCATTACTCGTGAGGAACACACACTAACTTTATAACTAACTTTATAACTTTATAACTTTTTACCTCTTTCGGTTGATTCCAGGATCTCTCAACGAAAAGAAAAGCATTATTTTCTTCAAGCCATTGTTGATCCTGGATTTTGTTTGATTATAATGAAAATTTTCTTTAAAACACTTGTAAACGAGATGAAGCAATGAAAGGAAGATATGAAGCGATTTTTGGCATTTCGAAGAATCTAAAAATTTAAAGATTCTTGAATTGAAAGAATTAGACTTCTCTGGTAGATCGGCATCTGAAAAACCGGCAGCTTTTCGTGAACTCACATACTTTACAAAGTTCTAAAAGCTTATAAAATTTTAGAAATATTGTTTTTAATAATCAATTATTGACTTACTTGAGTAATTGAATCGAAATTCTCTTGATAGCCTCGAATCCATCGCAACAAATTGAGATCAGTGTCCAGATCGGTGGGAATCCCATTCGGTAAGTTCTAGAGTATTGTTTTTAGTGTAATAATGAAAATAAAATCAAATATATGTCGTAGCCGATTATGAAGGAAATTTTTTTGGCAAATCTCTCTAGTAGAGTAACCCTTTAATGTATGAGGACAATATTATATCATCTTGTAGCGAATTCAATTCTGCGTCGATTGGTACCAAATTTGTGAGTTTAGGTTAAAAATTGCCGGCGCTACAACGGTTTCATTCAAAATCGGCGGGACCCCCGTAGCCGATTATGAATGAGTGGGTGTAGAAGCGTCCAACCATCAAGTATTTAGTATTATTCAACGCAGAATCATTGATAATTATGTTAAATTTTTAAAATTAGAAAGATTGGATAAAAGAAAAAAAAATTAGAGCAAAAAAACTGTTTGTTGAAGAGGAAACTTTGAGGCCCCATAATTTGTGTTCTTTTTATCCAATCTTTCTAATTTAAAAAATTTAACATAATTATCAATGATTCAGCGTTAAATGATACTAAATACTTGATGGTTGGACGCTCCTACACCCACTCATTCATAATCGGCTGAAATTCATAATCGGCTACGACATATAAAAAAAAGAACCTCCAGTAATTTTTGTCTTAAAGTCTCGATTCGCTCTTTCTCCTCTTTAGAAGCTGGTGTTGCCGCATGGCTTTGAGTATTGACAGTCATTTTTTTTCAAATTTTCTGAAAACTTGATAGCATTTTGAGAATTAAAGTGTAGAAAAAGAGGAAAAAAAATGATTATTTAATAAATTTGGAAATCGGAATGGAAATGGGAATTGTTATTAAGGATTCGAGGTTATCAAGAGAATTTCGATTCAATTACTCAAGTAAATCAATAATTCATTATTAAAACAATCTTATTAACAATTAACAAGTTTTGAGATTTGAGAGCAATATTTTTCTGAAACTTTTTGCGGAAGTTGTAGAATTCTGAAGAAATAAAGAAGTCTTTGTTGATTCATTTAAATTTTTGCAATCAAATTTGTGTCTTTGTTTTATCTAGTCGGGTCATCGTGTTTCGCGAGATCGCCAAAGGCATTGTCTGCGAGAAAGCCGATCGATTAGTTTGAAATTGGCTGGATTGGTTGGATTTGCTGTTTGATGTCTAATCAAAAGACAATATTCAAAAAAAAAACAGAAAAACGAGATACGAATAAGCTGAAAAGCTGATTAATTGTGAAAGAAAGAGGTTTAGAGAAAGTTATTAGGCTTTTCAGAAAGTTATTAGGCTTTTCACTCCTTCATCGTCATCTTCCCTTCACCACCAAAAAAGCTATTTAGTTCCCCATTGAGCTTAGGGTTAGGGAGCCGTCTGTCATGACGTGGGTTAAGTTAAGATATAGCCTAGTATTGTGTGTATCGTTGTATTGTGATTGATATATTTCGTGTATGCGATAAATTCACCACTGGTAGCCCCAGTCGGTATTTTTTTTTTTTTTCAGAAAGTCAGAAAGTGCTTTTCAGAAAGTCTTTACGTTTCTTTTTGTTTCTTTTCGTACTTTCATTTAAAATAAACAAATTCACCAATTGGATAGCTTAATAAAAATTGAAACTAGAGCAAGTTAAGATTTACAAAAAGGAATTAGGATTTTGAAGCGAAGAAAGATCGAGGGAAGGTCAAAGGGTTACAAGTGGAAGGAGTGAGGCGAGGATGGATCCCTCCCGTCTCTTCCCTCCTCCAAAGTGTACCGGTTTTTCTTTGCTGCATTTCATTTCCCCACTTCACACAACGTACAGTAAAGAGTTTTTTTTTCTTAGTTCAATCACAATTCTTCTCAAAGTTTCTTCGTAAACGAAGGAAATCCGAGTTCTTGCTGACCAACGAGAATATCCTGAAAGTGTAAAGCTAACACATTCACGACAAAGACATTGACAGCAGGCCGAAATTTGCATCCGAGGATTTAAAAGGTGCTGATTTCAAATTTCGCATCAACTTTTTTCCATTTTCATTAATTTCCTCAAAAAAAATGCCAATCTTGCTTGTTTTGAGCATTTACTGGTTTACAGACGTTTCTTGGGTCAGTGATAGTGCTTCTAAAGGTCATTTAGGCACTAAAATTGTTTTCCTTTCATAAAAACTAAAAGTTTCCTTTGTAAAAATCGACTTACAGACGTTTCTTGGGTCGGTGATAGTGCTTCTAAAGGTCATTTAGGCACTAAAGTTGCTTTGCGTTCATAAAAACGAAAGGTTTCCTTTGTAAAAATCGACTTATTCAAGCCGGTTTAATTACCCAATTACCCAATTACCCAACATCCAGGCAGTGTGCCAGATACCGCTTTTTCCTACGAGCGACATGAAAGGTATGCATAAAGGGACCGTTTTTTCGCATTTACAGAAAAACTATATTACCATTTTCAAAACTGAAAACAAATTCTGATTGAGGATAAAAAGTTACGTATTCTCGCAAAATTTCAGCATTTTTAGTTCAGTAGAAAGCACTTTATTCCAGCATGCAGCGGTGTTCGTTCCAAGGAGTAAACGGATTTGGACTAGAATTTAGGTTAAGTTAAAGAGAGTGGACTCCTTTTGATATCCTGCCATCTCTAACACCCTCAACAACTCAACTCCTCAACACAACCCGCCTTAACTCCTCCAACGTATTAGAGGGAAGTCCCTGTGAAATGACCGACCTGAACTGCAGTTGTATAGACCCGGAAGATATGTATCTTTATTTATAGTAGTACGATAAGATGAATAGCTTACAAATGAGTGGAAGGGGAAGGGGGGACTCCAGGTGAGAGCCTCACTTGTCCTCCTAGGCAATCCCAAGGACCGCCCCTTCTCGGCGATGAAAGGGATAAGCACAGGGGAAATCACATTTACATAAGAATAGACAATTCATTCAATAATAACGATAGTAACTAAAATATCTGTTTGGCTCGAAGCTGACAATGGATTACTTTCTCAAGAAATTTCTTCACCTTTTTGTTACTCGAATAACCAATCACAGTTGAATCACACGTGTGATTAATTTTAAAATCATTGAATTTATGTTCTGAAGAGTGACACATTCGATAAGGTGTTTAAAGTTTTATTGTACCGGTGCGACGTTTGAAAACATTTTACATTATATTCGTCAATCGGCGGATCAAACTTTTATAAATGAACCCTTTCTAGGTACTAACTTTTCCAAACAACTTTCGCGTTTTGGATTACCAGAGATTTACAATCGAGCCAGACATCAAGCCAAAAATCGGGCCAGATTTTCGCATCACATCCCTCTCGATTTTAATGATCGCTTTTTTGAAATCCTCGTCATGAAAGCTTTGAATGTGAAATGGCCCTACGTTGTGCTCACATTCATCTATTTAGTTTTAGGATTCTTATTACTTTTTCATTATTTTAAGAGGTGAGTGGCTTTCCACTAATCAGCTAATCAGCTAATCAGCTAATCAATTTCTTCAGCCCATTAGTGATATCAACAATAACTGATCGAGAATTGCAAGATGGACATCTGGCCAAAATTCGATTCAATTCCGAAGAGCAGAGGGGTACGTTGAGAAAAAGATTACAGAAATTATAGAAATTACAGAAATTATAGAAATTACAGAAATTACAGAAATTACAGAAATTTCAAGAATTTCATTTAGAAAGAAAAGTGAATGACGTTAAACGACCCAATTTTGAATCCGAACAAAAGCATAAGGATTTTGATGTAAAATCGAAAGGTTTTCAACGAAAAAGTGATACAAAGAAAGATGAAAAGTCAGGTTGAATGTTTAAATCGAAAAAAAAAAGATTACCCGTTTTTCAAGATCTCGTCATTTCAATCCCACTGATCGAGATTTGTCCTCCTGGCAAAAATGATCTCTGCTCTCCACCATTTAAAGCATTTATTAACAAATATCGAGTAACTATTTGAGAATCAAATTATTCAAACCAAAGAACTTTAGTTTTCCCCTCATTACCATTTATCGGCATGTGTAATCGAAAAATCAATGTCAACGATGTTGGCGGCAGTTATGTGTTATCTATACGATACACAAGCTTTTCTTGATGCTAATCGAACTCTCGGAAATGAGCTCTTTGAGCATCGGTTTTGAAGGATTTCATGAAATTGATCTTATGATATTTGCAGATTTTGTAAAGGAAAGAATGAAAAAGGTTCTCTTCAAGAAATTCATCAAACTGCTCCAAAAGCCGAGTAAGAAAATGAAATTTAAAATGCTCGGTAGTCAAAAATTCAGTTGGAATTACTTGGCCATAATTCGAGAGCCGATCGATCGTTTCCTTAGCGGTTTCACGGATAAATGTGTTAAGTGAGTGATAAGATAAAATGATTTACGAAGAACACCATTTTCAGGGAAACAAAACGTGGACGGGGAAAATGCTATAACTGTAACGGCAATCTTTCATGTTTTGTTCAAAAGCAGTATAAAAGAACACTTGGTAGGCAAAAATTACCGTCTCTCAAACATATTTCCTTGAAAAAAAATACGCTTTAGATTATGCAAGCGGTAAAATGAATGCAATCGGTTACGAAGATGTTCATTTCTTTCCCCAATCTTGGTAAGGTTAACAACATTAACAAGGACTTACATAGTTATCGTAAATACTGTAATACGGTCCCATCCCATCAATATTAATGCCTTCATGGTAACACCTTGTCCACTAGTCATCAAGAAACACAGATATTTCAGGAGATGTGGATTCAGTTCGCATCTTGCGAAGTATAGCTTGATACAATATGGTGGTCATGGCTCAGAGTTTGATCGAATGACCGATCAATTGTTTGATGGGTTACGCGATGCAGGAGTTGAACAAAAGTAGGCTGGAACAGAGAAATCAAACAATTGATGCAATGCATTTAGAGATATTGAGTGGATCGCCAGCCAGATGGAAAACGGTCGTACTAGCCATGCCACTCGAACTTCTCCAGAACGGCAAAAATTCGAGAACGAATTGAGAGGCGACAAAGAGCTGATGAAAATGGTCGTCCGAATGTTTTATTATGATTTTTTGTTATTTGGATTTCCATTACCTGTCATTAAAGAATAAAGAATTTTTGAACTCTAAAACATTTATTCTAGCCAACAAATGTACAATAACAATTTTCTAATTCTAAACAATTACAAAAAAAGAATAAGAAGTATCCATTGTCAACCAGATGAACACAAAAAGCTACAAAGTTTGAGTCGGACGAGATCTTTTAACCCCAAATCAGCGAAAATACGGTAAATGGAACGATCTGAAATTTTAATACTAGAAAAACTTCAGTAAATCTTATAACCATAGAAAAATCACAAAATTATAACATACCTGTCCATTTGGGAGCGGTTCAGGTCCACTTCGAAATCCAAGATAAACAATCAATGGCACGACACCCCATCTGAAAATATAGAATTTAAAAAAATGTTGCATATGCAAGAACAATGAATAACTCACCGAAAACCAAAGGTTCCCCATTCAATACCAGAGTTGACGAGCTCTTTCTGACTTGGCGTAAGCTTCATATCTAAGAACAAACTAAATATGTGATATCACCTCTAAAGAAAAAAGTATTATGATTTGATAGAAACTAACTCGCTATATCAAACTTTCTTCCATAATTTATTGTATTTACGGAACGGACACCAAATTGAATGCATCACACTACCATGGGTATAGCAAATATAAATAATGTCAAAACAAAACAAGATGATAAAAACATGATGCCAGTATAAAAGAAGTAGAAAATGACTGCAAGCCTGGTGATAGTTGAAGAAAAGCAACAATCACTCTCTACTCCTTTTTAGCACCACAAAAATCACAGTTTGTGGACCAGCTAGAATGTCAAATTTACAAATACTAGCCCACAGAAGTATTAGCATCCTAAAAACCCTAAAAAGTTCAAAATCGGGGAATGCTTTGAAAAATTAAAAAATAAAGTAAAAATGCAATTAAAAGTAAATTATTGGGTCAATGCATATGAAATGGCTAATCCATGTAAATTTCTCCATCAGAACAGCTATCTAATTTCTGTTTGGTTAGAATGTTTAAGCTAATAACAGCGGGGTAACTTTTTTATTTGACATGAAATGATGGAGAAACTTTTCGATCATTGGAGTCAACTCAACTTTAATGTTATTTTGATCCAAAGTTCTATTAGCTCGATATTTTTTTCATCAACATGTTTCAAAGATTTCAGTGAATTTTTATCACTGTTTTTTGAGTTTCGAAAATAATTTGAAGCGGTAAAGCCTGGGATTTCTTAATGAATTAGCTTTTTATTGAAAACGCGCATGAAAATCATGCTTGCTTGAAATAGTTTGTTCCACAGCTGGAATCTTTGGCCAAAAAGCTGATTATTGCCTAACTTTTCACTAGCAACAAATCATAAAAGAACTTTTTGGAATCTGGTGATTGGTTGGGGAAACCTGGAAAAATTTAGCCATTTCATATGCATTGACCCAATAGTTAAATAAAAAGATTTTTCCAAGTCAATGGCAATGAAGAAAAGAAATTAATATGGACCACTTTTCTGCTTGTCTAAATAGTAAGATTCCGGTCGCCCGACTCGATCCCGTGGAATTAGTCGAAGCTCGCTCCCGTGCTTGAGAAAGACGTTGCCCGCGGATTGGGCAGGATTCACCCCGACACCGTCATTTGTGATGATAGCTGAAGTAGCCGGCGGTACCTAAAATATAGATTGCGAGGGTTTTTTAATCCGATAATATATTGAAATCCATGAAAAAAAATGGAACGCAATTAAAGGACAAACTTTAAATTCCTCGGCGGCATATTTCAGTACGGAAGTAAAAGGGGCTGACTCCGGAACACTCAACCTAAAGCAATAAAATATTAAGCAATTTTTCTACGTCACATTCCTTTCTTCTCCTTAAAATCAAAAACATTTAGACACATCATTATAGATTAGATTAACCAATTCGCTTTTAAAGATTTCCTAACGTTTATCGATATCGTTGACAAAACAATTTTCGTTTGACAAAACTCTCAAAAACTCACACTTTGAAGGGCAGCTTCGGATCACTCGTGAGTGTGATTTTGAACGTAACTTTGGTAGAGCTGGCACTGTTCGAATCGCCCATTTCGTCTTCTAAAAAAACAGTATGTATGTTAACTTATTTAAAACAATAATGCAAAAAAAGCATGATTAAATCGACAATCAAAGTGGAAACAGATTCCTATTATGTTCAGTTGGCTCTACAGAATGCTCGGTTTCGTGTTAGGACACATGCGCTCTCATCAATTGTAGCCAATTACTCATATTCCTCTCGATTAGGCAAATGCAACTCATTAAGGCCTTATTAAAACTTTTTTTACGTGAATATAGAAGAGGGGGCGGGAAAAGAGGCTTCGAGCATGTACACAAACTTAACCTCAAAGTAGAAAAATGGCGCTGATGACACGGAATTCCGACATTCCGACAAACTCCCTCTTTACCTTTGGATAAATTACATATAATTTGATTTCAATTTATCCGAAATACGCATACAAAATGGCATCATTGTTTTCCACTAATCATTTGATTATTGTGGGTGTTTATTTAGTGTCTCGTGAGTCTGTTTCCATTCAAACTACAAACTCGGTAAACAAGAGTCTACTATCGGCATTCTCGGAGAGTTAGAGATTCCATTTTCACACACCGCCATTTTTCTTCAAACATCCCCAAAAAGCTGTGGTATTTTGCACACACTACAATAAATGAGTTGGAATAGCGAGAAGAAAAATTCAATTGACTCAAGGGAATTTTCTCGTCGCTCCTTTCGACAAGTTTATTAGTTGCGCTTTGACGTCACCCTACACGATTCAATCGAAACCAAAATATTACCGCCACACATTCACGATTTGCCCTTTTTAGTTTCACAACATACATTTCTTTTTGGCTTTCGTTTTATGTTTTCATGATTTAGGTATATTGATCGTTTACTAATTTTCAAATTTTAGGCTTTCTCTGCTGCATTCAAGAATCTCTTTAAGATGATCATTAAAGAATAGTAAGTGCTTTTTGGAAAAACTTTATAATTTAAACTTTTAGCCGAATCGTTTTGCCACTGACTGTTGAAGAATATCAAGTTGGACAATTGTGGTCTGTGGCTGAGGCAAGTAAAAACGAAACGGGTGGAGGAGAAGGTGTTGAGGTTTGTTATGAAGCTTGTGGTAAAAAATTCTAACTGTTTTTGTTTAGGTGTTAAAAAACGAGCCTTACTCGGGTGTTCCTCTTCACAATGGAAAATATAGCGAGGGTCAATATACTCATAAGATCTACCATCTTCAATCGTTGGTTTCTTTTTTTAAACTTTAGACGTGTTTGCTTTAGAAAAGTGCCATCTCTTGTTCGCCGAGTTGCACCAAAAGGATCATTGGCTATTCACGAAGAAGCATGGAATGCGTATCCATATTGCAGAACTGTCCTCACGGTTTGACCATGATTTTTTAAAAGTGTTAATTGAAATTTTAGAATCCTGATTATATGAAAGATGCTTTTTTTGTGAAAATTGAGACAATTCATTTGCCTGATCGGGGTGAAACTGAAAATGTATGTTTTAGTATATTTAGTATAAAATTTAATTCTTTTTAGGCGCATAGCTTGCCATCTGATGTGTTGGCAAAACGAGAAGTTGTGCATCTTGACATTGCAAATGATAAAGAGCATTTGGCCAGCGGTGATATTAAACCCGATACGAGTCCAAATCAATTCAAATCAAAGAAAACTGGTCGAGGTACATTTATTGCCTATTGTTTGCAAGAAAAAATATTAACCTATGAATATTTATTTGCACACACTTCAGTTCCGATTTAATCCTCTAACTACTTTAGGTCCACTTCTTCCTGGTTGGAAAGGCTCTGCTCAGCCGGTTATGTGTGCTTACAAATTGGTCACGGTTCATTTCAAATGGTTTGGCTTCCAAACAATGATTGAGAAGTTTACACACACGGTTTGTTTTAAATTTCTAGCACATTTTATTGAATTTTAGCAATATCCTCGTCTTTTCTCGAAATTCCATCGAGAGGTCTTTTGCTGGATTGACAATTGGCATGGTTTGACAATGGCTGACATCAGAGAAATCGAAGATCGAGCACAACAAGATCTGGAAGAACAACGGAGAAATGGAGCAGTTCGTGGTATGAAAGCAGATTAAAATTGCTGTTAAATCAGCTTCTAATCATAACGTTTCACAAAAGTTTCATACAAAAATATTAAAAAGAAGTTGTTTTAACATTTACTATATCTTCTCTTTATGCTTTTGCCATATAACTGCCATCGAATACAGCGGTTTACCAGATTTAGAATTAACAATTTGTGTTTTTAGTTTTAGCTCAAATTTTATTTGATCTTTGCATTGTTCCTTTTGTGCAGTTTAAATTCTGTCAATTTAGTGCATCAACTTTCTAGGATTTTCGAATGCACACATTTTTTCTTTACATTCCTTTGTAATTGTATCTGTGCAATTAACACTTGACCACCGTTTTAGCTATTTGTTTTTGATGCACTGGAATATTGCTAATAGATTTCTTGACAAATGAAAACTGATAGGGTTTATTTCAGCTGTTTTATGAACTTGTATGCGTGCACTCATTTTGTAACTGATTATTGCGTTGAATTGTGATAGCTAAAATTCTCGTCATTTTTCACACATGTGCATCTAAAGTCGTCTAAATTTTTATTCATTAAATCTTTGCATACCTAATTCATGCTGATGGCCTAAAGATTGACGATTGACTTGGTGTAAAGTTGTTGTTTGCCCTAGATATCTTCAATGTCCTTAAAATGTGCTCTTCGGTAAAGATCTCACGAATTTGTGGAAAAAAACTGGAGAGGTTAGAGTGTATTGACTATTTCTGCTTTATACTTTTATTAGTCGTTTCTGACTTGACCGTCCCGGTTTTTCGATTTGTCGAATTGAATTGTGTAGAAAGTAAACTCTTTATCAAATGTGGAAATTTCTGAAAGTAGTTACCGAAGAAGGTTCTCAACTCATACATATATCAATGAATTGGCAAATGTCGGTGGAACGCTTTTCTATCCTATCATAATTCTGTCATTTATACATGATAAAAAGTTGCTAAGAACTCAAGGAACAAATTAACTACTTTCAGCTTTTATTCATTAACAACAAATTAACTTTCAGCCAGCTTCAAAACTAATAAAACGATAATCACACTTTAAAGCTGAAGTTTTAATACCATAAATTCAGACTAAACTGCAAATGCAATCGGAAGAACATGACGGAGATAGTTTTTCCGATCCACAAAAAGTACTTCAGCTTTGTAAACGTTTGGTGTTACCCAAGACAGGACATGATCCAGACAAAGAGGTATTTGAAAGAAAACAATCTTAAAAAAATCGAAAGACTTTTAGATAGGACACTGTATAGAGATGTGCAACGAGTTTAAACGAAACATGAATCCTCCATATCGAGGAGTTGTAGCCGATGTAAGTTCATAAATTGCTTTGGTAAAAAAGGTAAAGATAGAAAATATATGTAGCAAAGAATTTAGCTTAACGTTCTCAAGAAGGAGGAACAATATCTGTCGAGATTTGGCTGTGAATTGCTTGGAGCTACTGAGGTATGAAATAGGCAAAAAAAATCGATCAATTTTGCAAAGTTTCAGTTGTTGATGAGTCAGCATAGAGCCATGATCAAGGAAGGTCTCGCTAAAAAGTTACCACTTCCACAGCCGTCAACGGTATATAAAAACAATTATATTTTGTAGTAAGAAAAATACAGCTTCCTCCTGAAGAATATAAAGAGCGACTAAAGTCGAGTCTTGCAATTTATGCGTCGGCTTTCTGCTATGAGATCGATGTTCAAGAAAATCGTTTGAATGAGTTGAAAAAGGTATGAAAACAGTAAAATAGAACTGCTTACTATTAGCAAATAAAGGAATTATCAATGATTGCTAATCCACTTTACAGGCAGCCACTATTGCAGCCTTTGAACGAAAGTTGATGATGGCTTTGACGAAAAAGCAAGAAGATGAGGCAATGGGCAAAGAAAGCAAGTAAGATCAAGATGCGAAACTACAAGAACTCAAGTGAACAACGAAAATATTACATACAAATTTCAGAGCAATCGATCCTAAAGCTTTAGCCAAAGAAGCCTATGCGGAGATTTACGGCCTATAATTTTTTAACATCTTTTCACATCTTTTTTTATCTTTGATATGAATCAAAGTACTATTCTTGCACTCAATCAAAGTGTCATTCTTTTACGGTTTATTGCGTTGTGTCAATTTCAAATGATCAATTTCAAATGATCAACTCACTTTCTTATCAAAAATTTTCTTTTTTATTTTATGTCAACAATTTATTTGAAAACTACGGGTTTATTTGATTCAACAATTTTGCAATAAATATCATACAATGAAATCGTTTATGATTTTTTTTTATATCCTCGCACGGGATTGATAATTTTCTAGTTGCCATTAGCGGTTTGGGGTGTAATTGTGCGGAGAATTTCTTTTTTTTTTTTTCGTGAAACTTCAGATCAAAATCTTTTCTTTTTTTTTCCAGTTTATGCCGCTTTCAAAGAGTCGTCGCTAAATGGGCAATCAGGTGTATGGATCGAACACGAAAAAGGACAATCTCACTTTGGCTGAAGCTAGACAATATGGTTCACTTTTATTCGCATTATTAAATCGTGAAATTTAATTTTTAAACCTATAACCATGAGTTTGATGTTAAAAGAAAGAGAATTCTTTCACTCTATGATTTAAAATCAAATTTATGGCTATTGTTTAAAGCGAATGCGATTCTATTAGTTAAAAGAAAGAGAATTCTTTCACTCTATGATTTAAAATCAAATTTATGGCTATTGGTTAAAGCGAATGCGATTCTATTAGTTAAAAGAAAGAGAATTCTTTCACTCTATGATTTAAAATCAAATTTATGGCTATTGGTTAAAGCGAATGCGATTCTATTAGTTAAAAGAAAGAGAATTCTTTCACTCTATGATTTAAAATCAAAATTTATGGCTTTGTTTAAAGCGAATGCCATTCTATTAGACGCTGACTGAAATAAGACTTCGAAAAAACATTTTAATATCAAAAATCTAGTACACAACATTGTTTACAATCGTTTTTAAGTGAGCGATGAAGAATTTGAGCGGCTACGACGGGCGTTCATTCGCTTCAAAAAGAATGGGCTCACTTTTGACGATTTTCGGTATCACGTGCTTGGAGGGGCAAGAGTGAGTGAAAAGTTTAACGGGAAATTTTTGTTTTAAGATGAAAAACAAGACATTATTTAGATTCCCCTCTCTGCAGCTCGCCTTCTCTTCAGTTATTTCACAAAAGGAAATGAGAGCCTTTCATTTGAAAATCTTGTTTGTGCCCTTGTTGGGATTTGTCGTGTTGAAGTCGTTCAAGCCAGTGAGAAAATTGTACCAATTTTTCGATTAACTTTAATCTTTTCAGGCTTTGCAGAAGAAAATCCCGATTTTGTGTCTTGGGGCCTTCTTCCACCAATGTTAACCGCTCCTATACATGATGCTTTCATTTCTTTTTATGAAGTCATGTCATATGTAACACATTGTAAGAATAGAAAATGAAAATTTGCTTTCTTAATTTCAATTCTAGTATCTGTCGAGGAAGTGAGAGAACTAGAAAAAGTGTTTGCAACGATTAGCGATCGTGGCCAATGCACAATCACGAAAAAGAATTGGAATATGGCGGCGGCAGGTGGAAGAGATCTTTGTGGTGCTTAAAAAAAGAATTCAGAATGTTTTCCGGATTGGCTTGTTTCTGGGTTGTTCAAAGTTTTCGATGAGAATGGGAATGGATCAATCGATTTCCGAGAACTCGTTTGTGGAGTTTCGGCAATGTGTCGTGGACCGTCACCGTCGCGCTTTTCATGTAATTTCAATTTCCATTGAACTAGTTTTTAAACTTTCTTTAGTTCTTGCAAAGCTATGGGACGAAGATATGGACGGAGTACTTTCGCCAGAAGAACTCATCATTCTTTATGAGAGACTTGCCGTTGTATGTCACTGAGTAAACAAAAGAAAAGAAGAAAAAAAGAAAGAAGAAAGAAAGAAAACAAATGATTATTATGGTTTGATTACAACTATTAAACTTTCAGCCATCATCAAAAAGAACGATCTCCTGTAGTCGTGGTGAAAATGCGGCTCCAGTAGATTTTGCTGCATGGGCGATTAGTGAGGGTTCAGAATTTGTTGATGAGCTAGCGGATATGGCTCTTGAGGTCAGCAACTATCAGCAACTTAGGAAATCAGCATTTTTTTTAAAAATTCTAGATTGGCCATATTTGTCTTGGTTTAAGGCCTGAGATGTTAGAAGTTGAACATCAAGTGATCAGGTTCGTTAAAACGGAGAGATTAATCAAGTCTGAATCTAGTAATCTATTGGAACGAGTTCGCGACTATTCAATCGCTGAATGGAACATTGTGTCATCACATTGGTATGCCGAGTGGTCAAAAACGGTTGTTCGAAAAAAGCAAAGGCACAATAATGACACTAGTTTTTAGATTTTGTCCGGCACTCGTCCGCCACCAGTCAGCAATCGAGACATTTGTGGGACGAAAGAGGATGGAGCAACTAGCTCAATGGTTAAACAAAACATCAAACGTTCAACGATAAACGATTTCTTCAGGTCGCTTGTATCACTGCTGAGTCAGCGTGTCTCCGATCGAATATTAACCCGTCTGAGTTCATCAAAGTTCCACCAGTCATGTGGAGAGCGCTTTTACGGTGGCATGGAAGTCAACAATCTGTGAGTTGCACATATAAACCAATTACTCTTGTATCAATTTTAGATCGATGGACAGTTCACTCGTCGTCTGTTGCCCGCTGAACTTTCAGATACAGGAAACCCTCAACTCGAACTTTTCCCACTTGATGTGATCATCATGAGACATGAAAGAAGGGTATGCTTGCTTGCCAATGATGCTCAGCTCATTTTTTAGAAATCGGCAATTGGACGTGATGAGATAGGTCAAAGCCCATGGGCGTATGCTCAAGTATGTATAAATTGGCCTTCATTTAAATAAGAATTTCTAGGTTTCTCGGGCTGTCAGTATTGGGGAATTGCTTCAGCTAGCTAAACAAGAACTTCGATTGAATGATGAAGAGGCTCGGCTATGGCTTGTTACAAAAAAAGACGAAAGAGTTAGTCTAACAGTGAAAAATCGAAAACTTTAATTGTAGGAGCAAAGACGTGAAAGCAAAGAAGGAATCCGTTTAAGCGATATGAGCTCTAAGGTAAGAAAAATGTAGAAACGAAAGATTTGTGAATGATAGGAAGGAAGACAAGGAACGGGGACTTCAAGTGAAAATGTTTTGCTTGACGAGCACGAGTGTTCTCTTCACGAATTGGGTTCTCTGACAGGCAAAGAGCTGAAGGTGAGTGAAGTGAATTGAATTTTAAAAAAGAAAAAGTTCAGCTTCTTCTTGAAATTCGAGATCGCACAACGGGAATTTGGCCGGAAGAGGCGCGAATCGCAGCAACGGGTTCTGGGAGCATTGGAACAGCTTGTGGAGAAAGAGAAGGGAGTAGGCCTGGATTTGTTGGACTTGTGAGTCAATATTAGAATTATTAGCTATTCAGACAAGATTCTAGGTAAACACTGGGAATTATTGCTATCGAAATGCGGCTGTTCAGTGTCTAGCACGAGTCTCACCGTTGACTGAATACTTGCTCGATGCGGGAAATATCACAACACTTAACAAGTAATTTTTGCAAATCAAAATGAACTAAATGAAATCAAAAAGTTTTTCTAGACGAGAGTCAAATGTGAGTGTGAAAACAACGCTCGAGTATTCGATGCTTCTTAAAGAAATGTGGACCACAACAAGGAAAAACATCTCACCGATTGATTTCAATGTTTGTCTTACAAAATTTGTAACTTATAAAAACTTTAGGAGGCTTTAAAAAACGCACAAAGTTTTATGCCTGGAGAGCAGCATGATTGTCAAGAATTTGTAAACTTTATGCTTGAGAATATTGCCACTGCGTTAACAGAACAGGCAAGAGCTTGATAAAATAATGAAATCTTGATGATAAAGAGAATTTTAGCTGAAAGTTCAAAGTAAACAAGAAGACGAAGAAGAGAAAAATAAAGTATTGGAAAATGTTGTGGAAAAGCCGAAAATTAGTGAGAGGCAAAAGGCGACAGAGGTGAGAAACGATGAAAAATGTCTCATCATTACCGTAAATACTGTAATAGTACCCCGCCCCCATAATGACGGTGCGGAGTGTTGCGTAGTCTAGCTTTGAACGAGTTTCTCTCGACACTGGTTTATGCTACAATGTTCGTTTAGGTATCAAAAATAGCTGAAATTCAGGGCTATTTTTTGAAAGTACGGGTGCTTTGAAAAAAATGAAATACTAAAAAACTTTTGCGACTACCCGACTGTACGAGGGGGTACTATTACAGTATTTACGGTAGGTTATCGGACGCTCCTTTTCTCGACGGTGCGGTGACGGTCCGAATGTTGCGTAGTCTAGCTTTGAACGAGTTTTTCTCGACACTGGTTTATGCTACAATGCGCGCTTAGGTATCAAAAAATAGCTGAAATTTAGGGCTATTTTTTGAAAGTACAAGCGCTTTGAAAAATGAAATACTAAAAAACTTTTGCGACTACGCGACTGTACGAGGGGTGGGGTACTATTACAGTATTTACGGTAGGTTATCGGACGCTCCTTTTCTCGACAATCTTGACTTTCCTTGACAATCTAACTTTCAACTCAAATTTCTTGGTGTTCGATTGTTCAATTTAAATAGTTTTTATAATAATCGATAGAGAAAGACTTGGCGCATCTAATGATCTCAAAAATATATAAATTAAACAGCTTACCACCAAGATATTTGAGCTTAAAGTTAGATTTGCAATAGCTATCAAATGTCCATGATTTAGGCATGGCTTCATTTCATCGAGCACAACAATAGTTTAGTTTCAAAGCTGTTTGCAGGACAACTAAAGGTTTTTGAGATGCTTTTCAATATAAAAAGCTTTTTTTTTCAAGTCATCTCTTGTCTGTAAATCGTGTGGCGCGTCTTCTTCAGTTTTCGAGCCATTCACTTCACTCTCGTTACCAATTGGCTTCGACAATGCTGAGCTTTTTCAAGTGATTGGTATTTGATCATTTTTACTTTTCAGAAATGATTTTCATTCAGTGGTACGAAGGGACGGATCTGTGCCGACGAGATATGGCTTTAGGCTGCCCCGAGAAGCAAATATACGAGCGTTTAAGGTGGAACGCGTTTTAATATCTCTTTATATATTCATTATATCTTTATATATTCATTATATCTTTATATATTCATTTATATAATCAAAAAGTAATATTAATTTTCAAAAAAGCTTCCAGGAATCAATCTCCGAGGTTTGCTCGATCACCCCCACTCGAATCGCCATGCTTTGTATGAGCAATAAAGGCAATTTAATGGTTGGATATTTGGTTTACGCATTTTCAACATCAATTTTATGTAATCAATTCATTAGCTAACACATTTATATATAAAAGAGCAATGTCTGTCTGTCTGTCTGTCTGTCTGTCTGTACGGGCTTTTCTCACCCGTGTTTTGATCAATAAAGCTAAAACTTCTTTAGAAAACCTTAGAATCTATTGTAGTTGTGGTATTTTAAAAATTCTTTGAAAAGCAAAGTTGGATGCAGCACCCGGGTATCGAATCCGGGTTGTATGGTGTCGAGCCTAAGCGCGCTCCCGACTACGCCATGGTGACAGGAAATGATGGCCCAGAAAAACCCGGAATTAAGCGGGTTTTTCAGCTGGTTTGAAATACTCAGTCAACACAAGCATTTTCACGAACAAAAAAGAATTCCTTAACTATTTTGGAATTTCAGCAGTGTGCAGCCGTCTCAGACAATGCTTCTGTCACAACATTTCCATCAGGTTTAATTTTAATCTAAATTCAGACAACTAAAACAACTTTCAGGGGCCCGGGTCTATGCAATGGAGTTGCCCGAGATTGAAGAGAAACACGCGTGGACTGTGGCCGTGCATCGGAAGCTGGTAAGTTGTTTGAATGCATGCTTTTGACCTTTCACAAACTTCAGCAATACAACTACGAGCCTTATTTCCTCGGCGCAACTTCTGGCTTCATTGTCAACGTGTTCGGCCTTCCGTTGATAGTCCCTCGATCGGTGAGTTGGAAAAGTTGGCTAAACTGAGTCAAATGTCTAGATACGATGCATTAGAATCAATTTATCAGCAAAAAAAAACACCCATCATTGCATTATAGGAAACTCTGAACGGTTCATCGATGTATGCCGATGTTTGGCGTCAAATGTCTCGTTTCATCTCGGCTCAACCACTTCCTTTCTCAAGCCGAGCCGCTGATCCGTTCGTTCCCATAAAATCAAAGCATTTTCTTTTTCTAGATGTGAAGACTCATCTTCTGGTCATCCATTCACTTTAAGCATTGTTGATTCTTCTCTGCAATGGTTTATCATTCATTAAATTTTCATTTTCATTTCATCTTATTCTAGGTGTGCTCTTTGCCCGCCTCTGAAATTCTGTCGTGGTTGTCAGATTCGCGCTGATGCAACCATTGTATGAAGAATTAGTCGTATTTCCGTACATTCTCAATTTAGCCGATGATTCCACAAGAGGCGTGCATTGCAGTTGACTGGATGCCAACAGCGCTCTACTTACGATATAATCTTTCGGAAGAAAGGGTAAAGTTGATCTTGCAGCTGGGAGTGCAAAACATGATCGGCACTGGGATTCGAACCCGCGACCTCTATGCGCGACTACTTACTTGGCGGGCGCTTTACCAATGAGCTACACTGTCAGGCTGCCGCCAGGGGAGAGCTTTATGCTTTGCTGTAAAAATTGGCAAACGAAAACGTTCAGAAATTTGATGATGATGCATCCGTTGAACAAACTTGGCAAAGACATTACAGTCCTTCATCGCTTGAAGCATGTTTGGAGAAGTTTAGGTAAAAATAGTTTTATCAGCCACAGCAGAAAGCCATTGGAACTTTCAGCTGTCCTGAGACTCTCGACTCGTTGATTGAATGTGAGCACTGTCAACAAAGAACTCGAAGAGATAAAGTGATGACGATTTGGACTCTGCCTCGATATTTAGTAGATAAACAATAGATCCTTTAGCTAATGAGAATCTCAGATCATTCAATTGAAACGCTTTGAGTATCGGAGAGAAGAGGGACGAATCGGAAAGTGCAAGTGAGAGGGGATATTTATAGTTTAAAGAACGAAATGGTTAATACAGTGTTTAGACGACTACGATACAATACGGTCAATACGATTATATAATAATATTCTAGACGAGCGGTCGATTTCCCATTGACTGGATTCGATCCAACACCGTTTGTCGACTCAGCGAGAGAATCCACCGAAGGACGAGCCGCTTTGTATGATTGCATTGCTATATCGGTTAGTCTAAATCATTAGATGACAACAATTAAGCTTAAAAGTCTAGTGACTCTTAAGTCATGGGGCCATTCAATAAGTTCCGATCTTAGACTATATCTTAGACTCATTATGGTCAGCTGGAATCAGGACATTTTGTTGCTTATGCTCGAACTGAAGATGGGCATTGGCTTCTCTTCAACGATTGTACTGTCAAGGTTTTTTTCAAAAAAAAAATAAACTTACTTAACTATTGCTTTTTCTATAGGATGTGCTGAGTGATGAGGTTGACCGAAGCAATGCCTATCTGCTTTTCTATGAACGAAAAGGTGCTTGAACTTGAGCATTTTCCTTTCCTAAAGCGCTCAATTCGTCACTTTCTTTTGAACTTTTTGATTCTCCCCCACTTCTCAACTTCTATTCTCGAATCATTTCACTTTAAAGCAAAAAGGGTAAAGTAAAAGAGCTGTATTTTCTTTGTATTTAAACCAACAAATTTTGGTGCCACTGTTCGGAAAAAAAAAAACTAGTCAAAATATCCCAAAATTCTAAATTTTGCTCATAGCAATGAATATGATTCTAAAATGATTGAAATCTTACTGTAAATGAATCTTTTTACATTACATTTGATGAATGCCTTATGTATAAAGTTTCAAACAAGTGTTGTGATATTTCCCGCATCGAGCAAGTATTCAATCAACGGTGAGACTCGTGCTAGACACTGAACAGCCGCATTTCGATAGCAATAATTCCCGGTGTTTACCTAGAATCTTGTCTGAATAGCTAATAATTCTAATATGCTAATATTGTGTATATTTTTATTAGCACCAGGTGTCTCTGTAATGCACATGTAAATGAAAGAATGGTAACAAAAAGCAGCTAACAAGCTTAGGGACAAGGGGTAATTTGATTGCTGCTTCGAATTGGTGGACTGGATAAAATGAATAGTTTCAATCGATTCCCGACCCTCAAAAACTTCCGGGTACAAATTTACAGCAATATCTTCATCAAACAAGCTTATAAAGTAAAGATTAAAAGTAAAAAAGATGAAATGTTTTGATTTTCTAAGCTTATCGTTCGGGTGCTTGGATGAGCAGCGGTTCATCTTCTTCCTCGATTTCTTTATTGTTTGCTTCATAGTATAAACCGACAATTTTCCTCCAATCAATCACCTAAGATTCAACAAATTTGCATATTTCTTGGGTTTAGACTTTGATCTTTTTGAGTACTTCTCCATTATGAGGGCCAATTTCTCATAACGCCCAGTACTTTTCCGCAGAGTGTCTCTGGGACTCTGCTAAGTGGAAGAACAAAAAGCACAGAGATCCTGCCAAGCACTTCCTTTCAAGCTATAAGCTATTTAGCCGAGTTCATGGTGAAGTTGAAGACAACCATATGTACGATTGGATCTTATCGCTTATTTCAAGTGTTTGCTCTTCTCAAATTGTTTAAGCCACCAGTAAACGTTTTGTGATTTATGTAGAAAGCTTTTCTTAAATACAAAAAAATGGGTTCTCATAACGGAAATGAGGAAGAGATAAGAAATAGGCCCTAATAACGGAAAAGTACCTCTTTTTGCTTTAGAATCGTTACCGTTTCAATGTTCCACGATGATGAAGCTCCCAGCTCTTCGGCTCGACCATCTAAAAGTTTAACTTCATTCTAACCAAATCTTCAATCCCAATTCGAATCTTTAATCTCTTTGAAATCTAATTCTTAAAAGTTTAGTGATTTTCTTTAGTCGTTTTCTTAATTTTTACCATCATCATCATCTCTGAATCCATCTCCTCTTCCCATTGTACCTCCACCCATCGAATAAGCGTCAATATTCTCCTCGTATCGCAAATCGTTTTGTGCTCTTTGTGTGAAACATCTCACTGAATATCTTTTTTTGATTGCTTTTACAATTCAATCTTTTTACATCGATTCCTATATGCGACTTTCAACACCATCCACAACTTGGTGAGCATGTTGATTGGTGATGGAGTCGCTGATCGTTTATTCATTTGTCGAATCAGAATCGCTCGCCCGAATTTCCATTCCTAAAAAGCGGATCAATGATCAATAGCCTTTGCTTTGCTTTGCTTACTTTATCGGATTGTGCTTGGATTCGTTGATACGTGTCAGACATCATAGCAATGAGTAGATTGATCAGCACCTAGGCATTTCGCTGAGTGATTTGTTTTCGTAAATCCCACTCACGATCAGGGTAACCAAGAGGTAGATTCCAAAAACGAGCTTTAAGATGATTTTCCCAAAGTCGGGCACAAGATGAAGTGGTGGCATTGAGTCAGGTTCGACTGGAAATTCGATGGAAGGCTTCAAAAGTGAATGAATATTTTATTTTCCCTAATAGTGCACCCGGTCGAGCCGAGTTGATGGCTATTTTATGGTTTCCAAGATTTTGCAGAAGCTCAACACTCTAACCCCTCACTAGATCTCATCGTCAGCTACATTTTCCGACCTCACATCGATAGGTTCTGATAAGCGGTTATCGAGATTTCGAGGAATTTAGGCGAAGAGTGCAAAAAGGGAAAATACAGTAGTTCAAAGTGCTGATATTCTCTGATATAGGGCTGTCCAGAAAGTCCAGAAAGAACGAAAAGGGAACGAAAAGACTTTCTGAACAGCCTAATAAACGTTCTTGATGTTCTTGTTGACGTTCTTGATGTTCTTAATGTTCTTGATTGTTGAATGTTCTTGATATTCTTGTACCAAGTCCAAAAAGTGAGAAGAAAAGCATCTCAAGTGTTTGTTCGGGTGAAGAAAGTCGCATCAACTCTGCCGAATCATCATCCGCTGGTTGATAGGCTGGCTGAAAAAAAGATTTGAAATATTCTTATCTTTTTGGATCTTTTTAGATCTTCTTTAATTAATTTCTTACCCTTTGTTCGGAAATTCTTCCGATAAAGTCTATTTTCTCTTTAAAATCTATCGATCAATGTTCCCCCTTAATCCTCCTTTATCCTTCATAATCTTTCCGCGATTTCCCCAGACATCCGCTAGCCAAAACATAGACCTTTTCAAAACGTTTCGCACTCAACTTTTCGGTATATAAACCCTCCGGTGCTTTAATAAATATTCTGCCTGAACCAAGGGATATGGACACAACCTAGCCCGAACACCCTTTGACTTTACCTGAAAGATGCTGGTGACATGCAATGTGAAACCGGCGATGAAAAGTAAAAGAATGACGAGAAACCGGGCCAAATCATACATCAGATCGCTAAATTTAAACAATATTGAAGAATATTGATTTTTTTTTCGACCGAATAATAATTGCCCATGGACCAAACAAGTGATGAACGGTGAGAAAATCAAGATATTGAACAAAAGCAAAGAGAAGAGCGAATGCAAACAGTTGATTCTTTAGATAAAGCATTGTTCGTGCAAAGTGTAGCTTTTCTTCGTTGTCTGAATTGGTTAAGTTTTTTTTTAAAAGTCACTTTTCATCTACCTAGATGAGTCATGACGAGTGCGGGATAAAGAAAAGCGAGCACGTGAATTGCAGTCGCTGCCGCTGATAACATCAAAATCATCACCTAAAAGGAAATTTGATTATATTACCTACCGTAAATACTGTAATAGTACCCCACCGCCCTCGTACAGTCGGGTAGTCGCAAAAGTTTTTTAGTATTTCATTTTTTTGCAAAGCACCCGTACTTTCAAAAAATGCGTCTTTGGTATCAAAAAATAGCTGAAATTCAGGGCTATTTTTTGATACCTAAACGAACATTGTAGCATAAGCCAGTGTCGAGAAAAACTCGTTCAAAGCTAGACTACGCAACACTCCGCACCCTCATTATGGGGGTGGAGTACTATTACAGTATTTACGGTATTTAAATAAAAGTTTTAGATAATAGATTTAGATAATTTTACAGAAAATAACTAACTTTTACAATGCCCAGCCCAGAACCGCCACCAATTGTGGAAAGCTCAGAGACAAGATTCCCCGATAACCACAACAATAACAGCCATTCAATTGGGTTTGGAATGATTGATGTTACCTTAAAATTTTCTTTTTTTTTCTAAACTTCTATGACTTCTATGATCTTCTTTTTTACCTCATACATCTTGTGAGTAATATTTAGAACAGTAATTGTTAATAACAAAGTGAAATATACGTGTGATACAACGTGACAGACAAATTTGATGATTGGTGCTCTTCCTAAATTTAAGATCTCTTTAAAAAAAGGGATTTGATTGATAAGAATGAAAAATATGGCAAAAAAAGTAGTTAAATTTTGATTTATTATCTTGATGTTAAGAAAAAGTTACCTATTCGACTATCGAGAGGCAATGAGAAGTAGAACCAGGCTGGTGGGCAAAGAAGAACGAGAATCGAGAAAGCCAACTAGATTTTCAATTATTTAAATATTCATAAATATTAAATAAAGATATTCAGTCTTGTTATTGAATAAAGATATTGAAACGAAACTGTAAGTTGACAAAATATATGTCGTAGCCGATTATGAATGAAATTTTTTGGCAAATCTTTCTAGTAGAGCAACCCTTTAATGTATGAGGACAATATTATATCAACTTGTAGCGAATTAAATTCTGCATCGATTGGTACCAAAATTGTGAGTTTTGGTTAAAAATTGCCGGCGCTACAACGTTTCATTCAAAATCGGCTGGATCCCCGTAGCCGATTATGAATGAGTGGGTCTAGAAGCGTCCAATCATCAAGTATTTAGTATCATTCAACGCAGAATCATTGATAATTATGTTAAATTTTTTAAATTAGCAAGATTTAATAAAAAGAAAAAAAATTAGAGCAAAAAAAACTGTTTGTTCAAGAGAAAACTTTGAAGGCCCATAATTTTTTTTTCTTTTTATCCAATCTTTCTAATTTAAAAAATTTAGCATAATTATTAATGATTCTACGTTGAATGATACTAAATACTTGATGGTTGGACGCTCCTAGACCCACTCATTCATAATCGGCTGAAATTCATAATCAGCTACGACATATGAGCACTTTCAAACTTTCTGCTATTACCGTTTTTCCGAAAGACCAATCAACTCGAGCTGTCCAAATCTCGGTGAGATATCGCTGCACAGAAGCATACGAAACAACTTCTTTCTAAAAGTTTTTTTGAATAAGATTTATTGATTTTTGCGTAAAACTTGTTCATTCTCGATCAGAACATCCAATAACGGTTTTCCTCTATTGTCTTTTGCTAAATTTAATCCTTAAAAAAAACACAAACATTACGAAAACCTTTCAGGAGTAAGGCTGAATCGTATTCTTGAGCCGTAATCCCCAAAAGTTCGACAGCCATATTCTCCGAGTAAACAGCCACATTGTACAAATCTCGAGCTCTTTCTTTTTCCTAAAATCTTTCAATGATTTAAACCCAATTCACGAGCTGACCTTTTCACTCATATCTCGATATACACTACTCAACTTGACGGCTGTTTCGATTGGAGCCGGACTTTGAAGAATGAACTCTTGTAACGGCTCATTTTTGTGCGCTTTTCCACAAACCTATTTTAACATAAGAAATCTCTGAATCCATTTAAAGAAAGATCCAAATTCGGATCTCTCCTTTAACTCTACCATTAGATCAAAAATGAATCTGCGATCTTCCATCAATTGATGTGTGTCATGTTTTTGTTTTAGAAGAAAAGAGAGACAATTTACGTGATTGTGAGCGGCTGCAAAGCATAGTGGAACCTACAAAATTGTTTGTTTATTGTTTTTGTTTTTTTTCAAATCACTCAAACCTTTCCTTCTTTCGTTTCTGCTAAAGGATCGGCCGAGCTTTTAATGAAAAGTTTCACAACTTGTAAATGGCCAGCTTTTGTAGCAAAATGCATGCCAGTCCATCCGTTCTATAAAATTTGTGATGCTTTGTGATTTATTTTGTGCATATTTTCGATAATGTCTTTCTTGCCTGATCCATCACATTGATATTGCTTCCTTGAGCGATGAGTAGCGAAACCATTTCATAATGACCATTCATAGCAGCCAAATGCAACGGGGTTCTTCCACGCCAATCCTATAATCAAATTTTAAGATCGCGTCCATTTCCTTCCTATTTGCGTTGCTATTTTGCAATTATTCGCGTCGCATTTTTCGCCCTTTTCTCCCTTCCCGAAATTCTTTTTTTTTGTCTGGGGGTTTTTGCCTTCCCTCTTGGGGGACTTTTGTTGTTTCATTTTGATGCGCATGCTGTTTTTGTAATGGTTATTGTTGCATTTCGGTTCCTGTACTAATAAACAGTAACATTATAAATTCACTTTGCTTTATGCTACCCTTCAGGTTTTAAATCCTGCTTAGATAACTGGTTTTACTAACATTTGTGTCACCATCGACGTAGTATCAATCCGATCCGTACTCTTCTCAAGAGTATTAATCTATTGTTGGACCCTACGTGTTCTTGTTACGTTATAAGCGCTTTTGGGGAAACCCTTTTTAACCTTTTGTGCTATTCGGCCATTCTTAAGCAGAATCATCTTCGTGGATAAGGTTAAAGCGGGTCGCACCCCAAACTTTAACACTAATTACTATACAGTCAATTTTTAAATTCCCAAACCTTTGAGTGTTGTTGTTGAGTGCTTCGACTTAGCAGCATTCCAACGACAGCGATGTGACCTTGTTGAGCTGCCAAATGGAGTGGGATTACATTCTTAACACAAATTAAATAGCACTGTAAGCTTTGTGATGACTGGATTAGCTTGGAAATTAAAATAGCTTAAAAACTAATAACAAATTCGATTCAGATTCTCTATCCCAGAATGCCCCTAGTTACAAATTTTCAGGTCTACAGCTAGATAACTGTCGTCTGAAACGGTAGCTAAGACAAAAATGGCTTCAGCTCTTGGCTTCATCTTCATCTCTTCATCATCTCTCTAAATATCTCTTGGCAAGAAATCACCATTGTTGTGGATGTTGCATCAACTTGAACACCTTGATTGAGAAGCATTCTCACTAGAGCATCGTGGCCTGATTGTGCGGCCAAATGAAGTGGTGTGAAACCGTACTAAATATGTCTAAGATGAAAATCGAGCTTTTTTCATCGTACCTCAGTAGCGAATTCTTTGACAACCAAATGATTGTAGATAGGAGGCTCAGAGCGAATGCTTGCTGGCACATGCTTTAGCATTTCATTTACAAAATCGGAATTTCCTGAACGTTTTGTTAATTAGCAATTACTTTAGAAAGTTCATAGTATGTTACCATAGTATGCGGCAATATGCAAAGCGTTGAGGCCCGTCTAAAAAAAGAAACTTTTTTTGCAATGTTCACTTTGTGAAACTGACTTTCTTTGAGCAGCGCCTCCACAACGCTTTGTCGAAAGCTTCCAGAATTGATACAAATCCGTTTTTCGCTCCCAAATGTAAAGCTGTCATTCCGTGCTGAAGTCTTGCTTTTGTTTTGTGTCATATCATTGCATCTTACTGAATTCTCATCCTCAGCGTTGGCTCCATTTTCTAAAAGTATCTTCACAATGTTTGCATGTCCTCCAGCGGCCGCCATATGCAATGTGGTCGCTTCCATTGTTTTTGTTTTTGCCTGGAATTCATATGTTACATCAAATTATGCACAGTACTAGGCCGGTACTAAGTACAGTACTAGGCCAGTACTAAGTACAGTACTAGGCCGGTACTAAGTACAGTACTAGGCCAGTACTAAGTACAGTACTAGGCCAGTACTAAGTACAATACTAAGTACAGTACTACGCCTGTATTTTCATCAATTTAAATACAGCTCGGATTCGATCCAAAGGAAAGATTCGGACGTCTGAACCGGATTCAGACAGCTATACTGCTCAATCATTAAGTAGTTCGTGTACCTGAATCACCATAGCCTTGTCAATCATCATCAACTCTCGGACTACGGCTAGTGAGCCCTGAATTTCAAAAGTTAAACGCATTCCATCAATTAAAAACCTTCATTGCCGCAATGTGAGCACAAGTGAAACCGTTATGATCGATGGCTGTGAGAACGGCTCGATTGTTTTGTTTCATCTTTAGGAAAAGTTTCACCACATCCGGGTAGTCATTCTAGAAATCCCATCAAGCATTAAGTATCGGAAAGCTATGGAACCTCAGCAGCTAGATGGAGAGGCGTTTGTCCTTTATCATCTCGGGCATTCGGGTTGGCGCCAAGTGCTAGCAGCGTTTGAGCCACAGCCAGTTGACCGTGCCGAGCGGCAAAATGGAGAGCTGTCTATAAAATGGTACAAAATTTGTTTTTTTCTATTATGCGCCCTGTTACCGTATTGCAACTGAAGGAAAATTTGTGCTTTTTGCAAATTATTTATTTACCTATTATTTGCAATTATCTAGCTTACATGTATTTTTGATATTCATTATTTTTTATTACTTTTTTATTGTTTTTGCTTTTTTATAAAATTAATAATGTGTTCTTTTTTCAGGGCAACGGCCAATCAACCGATCAGAAGGCATTCACTTGAGGAATGAATGCTTCTAGAGCTCGACAAATTCTTCAACAATTGTGATGACGAATTGAAGCATTGTCAACTTCGTGGTATATCTTTCACAGCTTTGCCAAAAAAGAATACTAATTGATCTACGCCGCTGATGAGACATGAGTCTGGCTTGTTCCGGTTGCAGGGAAATGCATCAAAAACAAACGCAGCAAGAAGGTCATTGTGCTGACGACTAGACACGAGAAGATGCGAATCACTGTCATGTTGACGGATGAAGTGCCGCCCACTTGTCTTGCTCAACAGGAAGCGGCGATCCAGCCATTAAGAAATTCAAGAGAGAATTGCATCTCGTTTGGAGCGGAAAGATGTGCTGACGCTGAACTGAACTGCTGGAACAAATTGATATAAACGAGGAGGAGAACAACGAAGAGAACAACGAAGAGAACGAGGAGAACAACGAGTTTGTCCACAGCGACACTAATAGATGAATTTTTCGTAAAAGATTAAAAACTTTACCTTTTGAACCTTTTGGCTAAAGAGGTTCTGTTTTTCTAATGACGCTTAGGATCTCAATTGGTTAGATCTTGGCATTCGCGAGTTCTTAAATATACCTGATTGTCAAGTGTGATCGCTTCAAGTGCAGCTCCGTGATCTTGCACCAAAACATTCACCACCTTCACATGTCCATTCATAGCCGCCAAGTGAAGCGGCGCCTCACCGGTTTTTGATTTGCTAAATTAAAAGTTCTCCAAAAAATACCTTTCTCTTTCTTGTACCTGTTTACAAACGCTTTATGCTGTAAAAGGAGATGACAAAGGGGCAAATGACCATTCGCGGCCGCAAGATGAAGTGCCGTTCTTCCATTCTCGTCAAATACATCTTAAATCACATTCTTTGTTGTGTATTTCTTTTTTTCATTTCACCTATTCGAGCATGATGTTGAAGTAGAATTTGTGCGACTCCCACGTGTCCCCGGGCACATGCCTCCAAGAGTGGTGACCAACCATTCTAAATTGTTTATGCTTATTCACTTTCACTGCCTCTTATCACTCACTTTATTCTGCTTATTTTGCACAATTTGTACAGCACCAGCTCCAATTTTGTTGACCATTGCCAATAAAACAGCCTAAATTTTGAGTTCTCATTCAAGACGTGAATTGAACCTGATTTCCAGATCTGGCCGCCATATGCATTGCCGTTTCTTGCGTGTTTTGAGATTGAATCTCAGGCTAAAGAACACTTATAAAAGCAAATCTTCTCTCATTTCACTTGTCCTCCATGATCGACAAGAAGATTGATTAATTTAGCGTCCTCTCCCGGGAAATGGAGTTGATCGGGTAGAATCTCAGCCGCATAATGAACGGCTGTAAGGCCATCCTGTAAGGCCAAATCGTTTTCTCCACTCAAACAAATCTTTTTTCATACCGCTGTCTTTGCATTCGTGAAATCCTTGATTCCCACAGCATCCATCTTTTCGGAAAGATGGCTAAAGATGGTTTTTTATTTTGAAGGATGAGCTTTCCCCGGTTTTTGATGAAAGTAATACATCGGCTTGTTCAGAAAGAAGTAGTCTAATGTAATTGAGCTAAAGACTCACGAAAGGATGAGCTGAGCCGCCTCATAATTGCAACTCTTTGCGGCCACGTGAAGCGGTGTTTCCCCGGTTTTCGATGAAAGTAATACATCGGCTTGTTCAGAAAGAAGTAGTCTAATGTAATTGATTTAGTCATTTATTTTTCTACTTTACTTCATGATTTCTTTATTTCCATTCCTGGCCGCAATATGGAGACATGTTTCTCCATCGGATTGTGCCACATTTGGTTGCCCTCCACTTTTCAGCAACATCATCGCACACTCGCGAGCCTCGGTTCCATTCAGTGAGGCGGCTAGATTCAGGCTGTTTACGTTTTCAAAAGAAATCCAACCAATATGCAAGGCTGTTTGCCCCAAATCTCCTCCTCTTACATGTACATCGGCTCCAGATCCAAGTAATGTCTAAAGTAGACATGGACACTACAAAAGCTTCTAACTTGCTTTAAATCTACCGGATTAATATGATCTATGGCTTAAAAAAAATAGAGAATCTCAAGAGCTTTCGAATGGATTAAAGCACGCTTAAAAATTTCAATGCTAAAGGAAGTTACAGTAGTTTGTAGCTTCGACTACGCGCGAGTACGGTTCATTTCGAGGCAAGACTACAAACCATTGTAACTTTCTTTAGCATTGAAATTTTTAAGCGTGCTTTAATTCATTCAAAAGCTCTTGAGATTCTCTATTTTTTAAGCTATAGCTCTTGTCAATCCGGTAGATTTAAAGCAAGTTAGAAGCGTTTGTAGTGTAACAGGTCGTCATTTTTGTAGTTTATAGTGTCCATGTCTAAAAGTAAACCGTATGCAAGTGCAGAAACTGTTCTTAACGTTTTTCTCACTCACTTCCACGACACTAGCTTTTCCCGATTGCACGGCTACATGAAGAGCTGTGTAATTATCCTAAATTCTCCATTTCTTTAGTCCCTTTACTTTTAAAACCTTTGTCCGAATATCGACATTAGTGCCTTTTGCAATAAGCATCTTGACAACATCATTAAATCCAGCTGCAGCAGCTGAATGTAATCCCAGTGCTCCTTTCTTGTTAGGCATAAATAATGGAACACCTAAGAATAGTTTTTTTTCGAGTTGCATTTCTCAATTCACCTCGTTTCAAAAACGCTAAAGCAGTATTTGTGTGCCCAGAGCAGGCAGCAATATGAAGTAAAGTTGAGCCATCCTTAAATAGCCATCCTTTAGTTTTATTTGAAAATTTCTCTCTAAAACCTTTGTCCTTGCTCGAATTGAGCCACCAAATTTGTCGATGAGCGATTCGACGCACTGTGTGTGTCCTTTCTCCGCAGCTACATGCACTGGGGTTTTATCATCCTGAAAATTTCTTTAATATTTGTTTTTTTAAGGTCACAACTTTATCGTGAATATTCGCATCGGCTCTCAATTTGTACATCACTTTCAATAGAGCCAAATCTCCACGCTGAGCTGACTAAAGAAAGGGTTTTTTTGCTCAACTTTGAAATAAATGTGTTTGTTTTTCGATTTTGAACTATTTTTAGATTTCGTTCAACCTCGTGCAGTGGTGTGCGGCCGATTGAATTCTGTGCATTCGCATCATCGCAACCTGCCTCTATCGCCAGTCGAACAGCCTCTACAAAAGGAATTTTTGATCGAGCATTCTTTACAACTTTACTAGTTCACTGTTCGTCAAAATGTTCTGAATAAAGTGTTAGAAATGTTCAATTCAAACCAAGATTCCCAGCTCTGCACGCTAGATGAAGAAGAGTATCCCCTTTTCCATCCACGGCCATCGCTTGTTGTGATCGGTGTCGCTGCAGAAGTAAATCGGCAACCGCTGTGTTTCCCAGCTGAATATCTTTTATGATTTTTATTTGGCTATGCAAATCAGCTTCAAGTGGTAAGGATAGATTGAAATTAAAAATAATCTTTAACCTTAAGCGCGAGATGAATGGGCAAGCTACCCTCTCCATCCGGTTCCATTGTCAAATCCATTTCGTCGAGAATCCGCTTCACAACTGGCACTGCCTGCAATTTAAGCAAAAAAAATCGTAATATTTACTTAATATACATTTAAGAATATAAGTATTGATCTATTCAAATCACCAACCTTTTTCGATCTTCTTTCACTGGCCACATGTATTGGTAGTTGGTTTTTACTCTGTAATTTTCTCTCTTACGGCTTAGGACTTTAATTTTCTGGCCAAGACTCGAGGCCAAGACTCGAGGCCAAGACTCGAGGCCAAGACTCGAGGCCAAGACTCGAGGCCAAGACTCGAGGCCAAGACTCGAGGCCAAGACTCGAGGCCAAGACTCGAGGCCAAGACTCGAGGCCAAGACTCGAGGCCAAGACTCGAGGCCAAGACTCGAGGCCAAGACTCGAGGCCAAGACTCGAGGCCAAGACTCGAGGCCAAGACTCGAGGCCAAGACTCGAGGCCAAGACTCGAGGCCAAGACTCGAGGCCAAGACTCGAGGCCAAGACTCGAGGCCAAGACTCGAGGCCAAGACTCGAGGCCAAGACTCGAGGCCAAGACTCGAGGCCAAGACTCGAGGCCAAGACTCGAGGCCAAGACTCGAGGCCAAGACTCGAGGCCAAGACTCGAGGCCAAGACTCGAGGCCAAGACTCGAGGCCAAGACTCGAGGCCAAGACTCGAGGCCAAGACTCGAGGCCAAGACTCGAGGCCAAGACTCGAGGCCAAGACTAAGAGTCCTTTTCTGGTTCAAAAACTAAAGCATTTTACATGGAACCAAGGGGTTTAAAAAGGTCCGAAACTCAATAAACCAATGGTCTTGGTTTTACGGGAATTTCTAGCAAAAATACAGCAAAATTTAAGGCAAAAATTATTCCAAAAATTTGGGCATAGCACAAATTTTTGGTGAAGCCGGCTCAGCCGGCTCAGCTCAACTTCATCAAAAAATTCTCACTAAATCTACCTGCTGATAATTTGGTTTTAATGCGAATTGGTCTTAATTCAAAGCTCTCCTTTAGGAAATAATTCCCCTGTTTACCCCAGCTGGTCTTTTCAGAAGATCACGATTGCATTTGATGACCGTTTCGAGCATTTGCCATGAGCTGTACATGGCTGAGATGTGAGCCGCGTTTCGGCGATCCTAAAGTTTGACGAGTCACATTTTCGAGTCTTTTTTTCTAAGCTTTCATGCTCTATTCTCACCTTTGTCGTCGAATTAATATCAGCTCCTTTTTTGAGTAATGTCTCAAAGATGAGAACTTTTCCGTCTTTAGCTGCGAGGAGGGGCACGGTGAAACCGTTCTGAAATCTTTTCTCTTTCACATTTCAATTTGAAATTTCGCTTGAAGCTTGTATTTCAATCAGTAATCCATTTAGATATTCTATAAATTATAAAAACAGTAATCCATTTAGATATTTCCCAAAAACAAGTACTTGATCAGCTGTCGCAAAATCAGCTCGATTGATCATGGTTAACTCTTTCTCGACAGCTTCCCATTCACTGTGTTTGGACAAGTAGAGTAATCTGAAGATAAATCTGAAGATAATCTGAAGAGATATCTGAAGATAAATAGTTGGTTTATATCCGAACAATCTAACAGGACCAAAGATATATAATTTTGTTATAATGAAGGATATATTTTTGTGGTAATCAAAGATACAATTTTTAAAAGCCTCCACCTCCTTTATCTTAATCTTGTTTTTAAATATTTAGAAGAAAAAAGATGATATAGAAAGAATAAAGTTTTGATGATTTACCTAGTTTGTGGATCGGCTTGTAGAAGATCTTCTACATTCATATCCATAGGGTTTTCGACTGGCTGAATAGAAGATTTTTGGAAGATAAATGAAATTTAGATCTGTTTGGAAGATAAATCTTAAAGGTTTCCAGTGGTTGGAGAAGCGATTAGAGGGATTCGTTTGTTGTGCGAAAATGAAAAGATTTCTAACCAAGATAAAAGTTTCTACAATAGAGAATGATTAGATTTCATGATCAGAAATCTTTTAAAATCAAGATCAAAGCACAATCATAATCAAAATCCCAATCAAAATCCTAATCAAATCCCAATCAAAATCCCAATCAAAGTCCCAATCAAAGTTCCAATCAAATCCCAATCAAAAAACGGACTTTCCTCTCAGCTCCTTCACTACTCGCTGTACTCTCCCTTGATGGATGTTTCACTCTAAATGTTAACAAGATTAAGTACTAAATTTAAAGAACCTGAAAAGATCTCTTGGCAAATCTCTTCTCCCAACTCCGTTCACTTCTTGATTTTTGCTTTCTGGTTTTGGATCATTTGGCGGAGAGTTGACACGACTTGCTTCTAAAAAGAATATTTTCAAAATTAACAAAAAAAAAACTCACGAATCTTTCCATCAAATGAATCAACTCTTAATCGTTTATGAGCCACGAATTCCTCTTGTTTCTAAACTTTCCCTTAAACTCTCTACTTTCCAAGTAGGTCTAACCAATTCGCTTTCAAGAATCGGTGAATCGTTGACAATCGCCTCCTCGATACCAAGCATTTTGCCGATCATTCCCGGATTATCCTTTTCGAGTTTCACATGCTAAATGCTTGTCAAATTGTTAAATTTAAATATTCACTTCATTTTCATGAATCCTATCCAAAGCTGTGCCAATAATTCCTCGATATCGAAGATCGGTTATCGGCTCTCGGTGCAACTAAACATTTGTTTGGCTTCATTTCATCATTTCACTTCATTTCACTTCATTTTACATTTCAACTCACTTGTTTATGCGCTAGCAAATTGGCTTCATCAGTTTCAAGAGCTTTTCCAATAATCCCCGTTCTCATTTGATTTGATTCCGTATCTTTCTAGAAATTGGGTTTAGTTTTTTTTTTGTTAAGTTTTGTTTTAACGAACTTTAAGCTCTTCCAAAGTGTTTTTCATCTCGTTGAGAGCTCTGGCTAATAGTCCCGGTTTCTCATCAATTGATCTTGAAAAAAGAGATAGAGACAAAGATTATGCTAAACCTGGCTGATTGTGTTCCATCCCATCGTGGATTTTTCTCCATCCATAAAGCTGAGGCAATGATACCACCAGGTTGAGCAGGACTTTCATTTTCACCAAAACTCGATCGATCAAGATCCATTATCGGTAAATGAGGATTCCTGTGAACTAGCTATTAGAAATAAAATTAGATATAATTAATATCGGGAGTGGGATAAATGCGACCTTTTTTTTGCGCACCCGGACATTTGCGCACCTTTTTTTCCGCACCTTGCCCATTAGCGCACCTTTTTTCGCGTTTTAAAAAAGCTCTAAAAAGCTAATATTAACCAATTTCTATTCCAAATGTTGTTTTTCTAGGTAATTTTAGGGCGTAGAATCGAAATTTTGACATATCAGAGCTTGTGGAAACAAACGGACGGAGTTATACAAAGAGAAAAATCAATAATTTTCTGTAATTTGATCTAGCCGTTTTGTCTTTCAAATTGGTTCCACAAGCTCTGATATGTCAAAGTTTCGATTCTACGCCCTAAAATTACCTAGAAAAACAACATTTGGAATAGAAATTGGTTAATATTAGCTTTTTAGAGCTTTTTAAGACGTGAAAAAAGGTGCTCTAAATGCGCAAAAAAAAGGTCGCATTTATCCCACTCCCTTAATATCTATTAGATATAATTAATATTATTATTATATTTATCGTAAATATTCTAATAGAAAAATTGCCTATAGGAAGTGAAAAAAAGACGATTTCTTATCATTTTTCTAAGCGCTGGTTAATGCTAAAAGTATCTGCTACATCTCAAAAAAATCAATCACCCATCATCTCTACTTTAATACCTAAATGCGCAGAAAGAAACGTACTCATGTCAATATATTTATTTGTTTGTTTGAGAGACTACGCAACGCTCCTATAGACGGCTCTTCTCTTTAAAATATTTACGGTATTTGCTCTAGAATCCTTTCACGAGTATCGAGCTCAAAGTGCACATTTGAGAGGCTCGTCCCACTGTGTTCTGCATCTGGAATCATTATTTACTTTAACTTTACTTTAACTTTACTTTAACTTTACTTTAACTTTACTTTAACTTTACTTTAACTTTACTTTAACTTTACTTTAACTTTACTTTAACTTTACTTTAACTTTACTTTAACTTTACTTTAACTTTACTTTAACTTTACTTTAACTTTACTTTAACTTTACTTTAACTTTACTTTAACTTTACTTTAACTTTACTTTAACTTTACTTTAACTTTAACTAGATTTTATTAAAGTTTTCTTGCAATAATATTGTTCAAAAAGAAAAGACTAAAAAACGAACGATAATGGAGTTGAAGTGAGGGTGGTGGAGGAGAGGAGAAAGGCTGTGATCGGGCGGAAGAGGTACGGCGAGAGGATGTGGAACTCGTCTCCATGGAGCACACTCAGTCACAAAAAAAACCTTCTCTGCAAAACCCGTTAAAACCTTTTTTAAGGATCAGAGAATAAATAAGTGAAAAATTAAGATTTATTGAGAAAGAAAATGCTTTTTGAATTAAATGTGCAAGTTGAAAGGCTGAAAAGCAAGTTGAAAGACTGAAAAAAAAGCTGTTTTATTGAAAAAACCTCAATGGTTTATTATCTTGAATCTATGAATTAAAGTTTATTTAGTAATAGACAAAGTTTTGGTATTTATAGCTGTCTTTCCTGTAAACATTGCTCAGATGAGAGATGAAGCGAAAAATTTGTACTTAAAGGTTTCCAGTGGTTGGGGAAGCGATTAGCGGGATTCGCTTGTTGTGTCTCCAATCAAAATCTCAAATTGTGATAATCTTAAGAAATTTTTCCGTATTTTGACTACAAATACAAAGAATTATAACCCATAATAACCAGCTTTTAATCGAAATCGAAATCGAAAACTTTTGTGACAAATTGAAATGAGTTGTGAGAAGTAATAAAGGATTGAAGTGAGTATGGCCGGAAGTGTTTCAGAAAGGAAGCTTGGAGAGACACCGAAACCAAAAAGAGAACCACTATAGCCACCACCGAAAACACTTTCTCTACATTCCACTACTTAAGTCTGTGTTCAAGATCTATTTCTCATGAAAGCTCAACCACAAGAAATCTTTTAAGTCTGTAGTTGTTTCATTTAAGTCTGTAGTTGTTTCATTTAAGTCTGTAGTTGTTTCATTTAAGTCTGTAGTTGTTTCATTTAAGTCTGTAGTTGTTTCATTTCAAAGTCGAGAATCTGGTAAATCTGGTAAATAGCGAAGTTTGAACTTTCAACATTAACTTAGTCATTGAAATCAGAAAGAAAGTCATTGAAATGAAATGTCATTGAAATGAAATTGAAATCAGAAATGAAAGTCATTGAAATCAGAAATGAAATGTCATTGAAATCAGAAAGAAATATTAAAGTTGACTAGAGGGAAACTGCTTTGAGAAGAAATAAAATACAAGAAATAAAAATGGAAATATTTAGTAAAAAGTTGATAAACTTCTACATTAGCTATACATTTAACAAAGAAAAAAAAGGAGTATTTTCAAAAATGAAAGGTTGAAAGGTTGAAAAGTAACACAATGGGATAATTGTTGGCTCAATTGTTGGCTCTACTTCTCACAGCAGTTTCCCTCTACTTCTCACAGCAGTTCCCCTCTACCCAACTTTAATATTTCTTTCTGATTTCAATGACTAAATTACGATTTCTTTTTTTGCTGATCGTTTATTGTCTTTTTGGGGAGAGCTTGGTGAATCCGAAATGTAAAATTGATAAGTTTTATGTTTGTATTTTTGGTTTAGGTTATCCGAAAGCGATTGGTGGTCGGTGTGGATGGCTTGGATTTGATTGTGATCCAACACTGGCAAAACAAGTTCTGAAATTCTATTTGAAAGTTTAGATATTGTACTTGAAAACAATTTTGCAGAACTGTATCCCGATCTCAGCTGTTAGAAATTGTGTACGAGATTGTGCAAATGGATCAGATGAATGTTCGGGTTTTTTTCAATTACTCAAATGTTTAATTGAACTTTCCTATGGCTATATGCAAACATTTTCCAAACAAAAAACACTATTGATTGTTTAGTCTGTGGTGAAGCTGAAATCCTCTGTGATACTTATCCAGCTCAATGTGGGCGTTGTGTGGCACAAAATGATGTGCAACGATCGTGTGCGGATAGAAAATGTACACTATCTATTCTAGATGTAAAATGCCAAAAAGCTAAAACGCATCTTCTCTGGTGCACTCATTTCCTTTTCATTTAAACAAAAAGTCATTTGAGTGCATTAGAAATGATGTTTCTCAACAAAGTACACTACTGGACAATGAAATATCATAATTGAAAAACGATCGTCACTTTCGCGCGTCTATAACTCCCTTGTCTTTACCGTATTTCTAAATATTAATATTACCATTGTGTAGTCCTTGAAAAGAGCTTTCAGAAAATGTATAACACCAATAGTTTAAACTCAAAGACAAGGGAGTTACAGACGCGCAAAGGTGACGATCTTTTTTCAAGTATGATATTTCATTGTCCAGTACTGTATGTTGAAATCCGCATAAGAAATGCGGATTTCAACATTTTCAACATTTTCATAGATTTCCAACGATAGAAACCTGATATCGATGAATGTTATACTATTTGTTATACTATACTATTTGTTATACTATACTATTTGTTATACTATACTATTTGTTATACTTTACTATTTGTTATACTATACTATTTGTTATACTATACTATTTGAAAGTTGTAAATCTCCTCTACAAAATAGGCTAAATCGTGTTTCAATTGATCGAACCATTGAAGAAATTTCGAGGGCGAAATGCGAGTGACCAAAAAAGGAATCGAGCCACTTTAGGGACAAGTGTGGTCAAAATAGAGTTAGCTTCGCAAAATTGAAGATTTAAAAAAAAAGGATAACTATATATCAATTCATTAAAAAACGTCTAACGAAAATGCATTTACAGAAATTTAGATAGAGCGTAAGTTCAAAACTCCACTTTCACAAGAGTTCGGTTTTGACTATATAGTGAAAAATGAGCGCTCTAAAATCATTATCTTAAAAATATCATTCAAAATAATTAAGAATCGGGATCATTTCATGGGAAAACTTTGTTTTTACAATAATTTCTCTTTTTTGTGAAAAAGCCGGTTTTTTTGACAATTTTGAGGGTTTTGAACTTACGAATATAGAACTATCTAAATTTCTGTAAATGCATTTTCGTTAGACGTTTTTTAATGAATTGATATATAGTTATCCTTTTTTTTTAAATCTTCAATTTTGCGAAGCTAACTCTATTTTGACCACACTAAACTTGTCCCTAAAGTGACTCGATTCCTTTTTTGGTCACTCGCATTTCGCCCTCGAAATTTCTTCAATGGTTCGATCAATTGAAACACGTTTTAGCCTATTTTGTAGAGGAGATTTACAACTTTCAAATATTAGGTTGATGCATAAGTCTTTTTGTTCCTTTTCGTCTGCCGTTTCAAGCCAACAAATGCACCAATTAAACTACGGTTGATTTCACTAGAAAAACCAATTATTTTTTCTGCAAAATAACATTAAAACGGGTTTAAAAATATTTTATGCCTGGTATGAAGGTTTCTTGAGAGTATGAAGTCGGGTAGTCAAAAAGGGCTAACTCGATGATGCGGTTTAGACACCTTAGCTAAAGAAAACCTATCTTCGTGTCAATAGATAAAAGATAGAGAAAAAAACGTTTGATATTTCGCCAAAATTTCAGAGAAATTCATTCAGCCAATTTTTCCGTCGAGTTTTTTATAGATTTTTACGAAAAAGGCGTTTTTCACTCTCGAATTTGCTTGGAAGTGAACCGAAATTCATTTAAAAAGATGGAAATTGAACAAAAAAAACACTTTTTTTATAGAGCAAACTATAGATTAATTGGTGAATTTGTTACTTTTTAACAGAAGTACGAAAAAAACGAAAAGACTTATGCATCAACCTATTAGTATAGTATAACAAATAGTATAGTATAACAAATAGTATAAAATTCATCGATATCAGGTTTCTATCGTTGGAAATCTATTGAAATGTTGAAAATGTTGAAAATGTTGAAATCCGCATTTCTTATGCATTTACCTAATATATGTAGAAGATCTCATAGATGAACGATTATGTGAAGAGCCTGGTACGATAAAATGTGCACACACGAAGAATTGCGTCTTTGCTAAATGGCTTGTTGATGGACAAGATGATTGTGGAGATGGAAGTGATGAGGGTTTGGATGGATGATTTATAACCCTAAATTTTCATTTTAGATCCATGTGAACAGGGATTAGTTGATTGCAATGGAGAACTTTTGACATCGCGTATCACTTTGACAACAACTTTTTCACCAACTTCAACAACTGTTCTCAAGTCGAACACGACGAAATCCCCGCCGACAACCACTCCTCCTTCCAATACTTCTCTTTCTATTGGTTTGTTTAAGATTTATCTAACCATACTTGCTAAACAAGTTGTGCACAAGCTTTTACAGTACAATCAAATCTTTCTATAGCTTTTACAGTACAATCAAAGCTTTATACAGCTTTTACAGTACAATCAAAGCTTTATACAGCTTTTACAGTACAATCAAATCTTTCTACAGCTTTTACAGTACAATCAAAGCTTTATACAGCTTTTACAAGTTCTCAGATGTCTCCAAGCCATGTCCACCTGCGAATTTTCGTTGCAACTCCGGGAAATGCATTCCCTATTCATCGATTTTTGATGGAACAAATGATTGCGGGGATAATAGTGATGAAAGTAAAGTACAGAAATGCTTAAACACCAATCTTTATTTCAGATTATTGCACAGTGGAAGAGGACTCGTGTCCTCCACATCGACCATGTTCTTTTCAACCAGACGTCGGCTCTTTTGGGTAAAGAATTAAATGTTTCAAAGTTAAATCGATAGATTCTAGCTGTGGTTGCCCACATGGTTGGAATCGAACAGAGGCGGGGATGTGTTGGGAAATGACGACGACGAGTGCGACTAGGAGAACCACTCCACCCACAACTCCTCCAGCAACCACAATCAAACTTCAACCTATCCAGGCTCTCATTCAGCATCGACCCAATAAACCCTGACTTTTTATTGAAAATCTATGTGCACAAAACGATTATTGATAATCATTTTGTGCACATTTTATTATCCCTTCATAAATATTTTTTAAAGTTTTTGAATTAAAAAGAATAAAGCACAAAGCACAGAACTGAGCAAAACAAAAGGAAATGCAAAGCAATAAGCAATAAAAGCAATGAGCAATAAAAGCAATTTGGCGTCATCTAAGAATTGTAAAATTTCAGAGTGATTCCAGAATTTCTGATATTGTGCTGTAAGTGCTTTCTGACGTACACTAAGATAGGGTTGAGTCAAAAAAAAGTTGAACTGAACTGTTGAACTGAACTGTTGAACTGAACTGTTGAACGAATTTCTGATAAACGCTCAAGTTAATCCAGTCTGTTAATGAAATTCACTGATTGCCTTTGAAGTAAACGGTAATTCAAGATATTGGGTTGATGGAAAAGTCCTTTCCTATTTTTTTTGGGAGAGTACCTTAAATTTGTCCAATTTTGACGTTTTATTTCTCATCCTAAAGCTGAATTCAAGACGGATCGATTGGTAAAAACCGTTTTGAGATATCTCTTTTCCAAAAGTTTTTACAGCTATTTTAGTAAAGGACGGCAGAGCCAAAAAATGGCTGTTTTCACGTTTCGTTATTTTTCCGTGCAGAAACCTAGGCTAAAAACATCTGTTTCGTGATCGGCGTCAAAAATAACCCCTAGACACGCATTTTCAGAATCTTACAAAAATTTTTGGAAAATATTGTCACCGGTGGAAGTCGAACCAGCGATCCTCAGATCAATAGCCTTTCCGCCGCTTTTCGCGATTTTCCTTCGTTTTTCTCGTTTTTGTAATAAAGGTCAAAGGCAAACTTAAAGGCCAACTTTATTGTAATCAAACGGAGTAGCTGTCTTTAGCTGTCTTTAGGAATTGTTAAATTCAATAAATATATTTAATAGACACCTTTCCTCCAAAAATCTGGCCCAAAATTGTCTGTGATGACGATTGACGATTGAAGATTGAAAGATTGACGATTGTCTGCGTCTTTACAAAGGAAAAGTTTGTCTATATGATTCTAAAGTAGTCCAGAAAGGGTTTGTAGTAGTGAACATTACTCTCAATAGCCATTCAACCGCAAAGCAAACAAAAGAAATAAACATTTAAAACATTTACTGAATTTTATCGACTTTTTCATTATCAATTTATTCACTTTTCAACTAATTCCCTTTTAAATACAATGATTTTCTCATAAAAGTTCCAATTAACTTTTCTCTGATCAGTCTTGACTTCGAAGCTTGCTTGCAGACAAAGCGAGCACTATGCGCTTCCAAGCCATAGTATTTCCATGCATGTGGTTGAGTCTCACATTCTTTGTTCAGTGTCTAAAAAATAATAGAAATTGGGGACAAAAATTGATTTGATTTTACTCTATGGATCAGAAGAGTTTGGGAAAACTTTCTATATCTCTGAGTCCATCTCGATACGTTACTCTCTACACCCCAGTCCTAGTCCAGAAGACTCTGAAGTCTAGACTGAAGTCTGAAGTTATCGTCTAGCCAGGCTAGACGAGAAATTGTACTTTGTACAGTTGTATCCTTACCGGTTCTATAAAAATTCTTGAGCTAATAATTGAAAAAGTCGTATGCTATTGTTCAAAAAGTTTTACGGTATACAAAATGCTAAGAATTACATACCGTAAATACTGTAATAGTACCCCACCCCCATAATGACGGTGCGGAGTGTTGTGTAGCTCTAGCTTTGAACGAGTGTTTCTCGACACTGGTTTATGCTACAATGTGCGCTTAGGTATCAAAAAATAGCCCTGAATTTCAGCTATTTTTTGATACTAAAAACGCATTTTTTGAAAGTACGGGTGCTTTGCAAAAAAATGAAATACTAAAAAACTTTGGCGAGTACGAGGGGAGTGGGGTACTATTACAGTATTTACGGTAGGTTATCGGACGCTCCTTTTCTCGACAATCTTGACTTTCCTTGACAATCTAACTTTCAACTCAAATTTCTTGGTGTTCGATTGTTCATTTTAAATAGTTTTTATACTAATCGATAGAGAAAGACTTGGCGCATCTAATGAGCTCAAAAGTATATATCCGAATCCGACCAGGCGTCCGGATCTGATCCGGACGTCCGAATGCGGCCAGAATGAGCGTGGTCGGATTCGGACGTCCGAATCCGATCCTGACGTCCGAAACCGGCCATTGATTATCTTGTGATCGGTTTCGGACGTCCGAATCCGACGTCCACACTCATTCGGGTCGCATTCAGACGTCCGGATCAGATTCGGACGCCTGGCCGGATTCGGATGTAACATTTAAATTAAACAGCTTAACACAAAGATATTTGAGCTTAATGTTAGATTTGCAATGGCTATCAAATGTCCATGATTTAGGCATAAAATAGTATAAAATAGTATAAGTTGAGACAATTTTTGTATATAACGAGATATCTAAAGTCACATACGGGTCGTGATCTGATCGGCTTGGCAAAAACCCTGCTTACCATCCACGGTGAAGACGCTGATGCGGTCGATTGGCTATTTGTGTAGTTGACAGGCGTTCCATCAGACCACGGCCCATTGCCCACTTGTCCATCAGCGTACAAACCAATCCAAGCATTCGAGTACTGACATCGCTTCTCGGGTGGAGCACCGTGAACAAACGTGGACACATCTTGTTGAATTAAAGCTGAAAAACGAGTAGATTTAGCTATGACATCAACTATGTTAACATCCGTCACTATTTATCATCATTTATTCTTTTCTCAACTTCGATCGGTTAAAAACGTTCATGGATTTTAGGTACTTAAGAAACTTCAGAAATGTTTTGAGGTCTAACGCTTATAATGATGCTCTGGGGTCCTCTGGGGTCCTCTGGGATCCTCTGGGATCCTCTGGGATCCTCTGGGATCCTCTGGGATCCTCTGGGATCCTCTGGGATCCTCTGGGATCCTCTGGGATCCTCTGGGATCCTCTGGGATCCTCTGGGATCCTCTGGGATCTTCTGGGATCCTCTGGGATCTTCTGGGATCCCCTAGGATGCTCTGAGATCCTCTGGGATTCTCTGGGATCCTCTGGGATCCTCTGTGAACCGTCAAAATCCAAAACAACCTGCAACAAAATCATCCTCAGCTTTTGTGTGAATCGAGACAAGGTGTCCGCCCTTTAGGAAACAATTCTTCTCGGCACTCGTCCAATTGTACAGCAGCCATGAAATCCCATCCAAATACGTGAAATTCTAGATAACTTTTTGAGCTATTTCTTGGAACTCTTGCCTGCAAATAGTAGCAATCGTCGAGAGTCGGACTGTAGATCCATCCCTCTGGGCATTGCATGACTTAGACTTTTCGATAATTGATTGTTTAGATCGGTTTACCCCGTTCAGCTTCAATTGTGCAAATGTAGGGCCTAGGTGTGACACAGTCAACGGCTCGCCATTTCATGTTCTCTGCATCCATAATCGCACATACATAGCCGGCATTCAAGTTTGGCTCTCCTAGAATTGGATCACTTATTCGAGGCTAAAAATCAATTGAGTTGTATTTCGAAGTACGGCGATGAACTCTGGACATGATTTGGCGTGTAGTACTTTGGGAAATGGCACCTTTGCGTGCATTTGACTAGAAGATCAGGCTCAGGCTTAGCCTTGACCCTGAACCTAAGCCTAATCCCTTAGCTCCGAGAACCGGCTGAGATCCAGAAAATGGGGGTTCAGCCCAAACCCAAATAGACTTAGTGCGAGGCGCTAGCCGCTAGCCCTCGCACTAAGTCCAAGCCAAAGCCAAGCCAAAGCCAAGCCAAAGCCAAGCCAAAGCCTAAGCCAAAGTTCCTGGCCAAAGCCAAGGGCCAAAGCCAGAGTTGGGAATTTTGAGGCCAGGCCAAAAATTCTCCCTTTTAGGTTTCTTTTTCGTTCTTGTTTGTTGTGGGCCTTCTATGGACTATGGGGTGTTTGGGTTTTTTTTGGGCTCTTTTGTTTTTTCTTTAGGCTGATGCCAAAAGTCTTTTTTCATTTTTTTTACCTCTTTTGAAAAATAACCAAGCCATCAATTAACCAATGGTTTGCCTAAATGAAAAGCGTTTATTGTCCAATCCCATTTTTTAAGCCAATTTGGGTTCACTTTCAGGCACTTCGAGAGTGAAAACGGGTTTTTATAAAAATCTAAAAACTTCTATAAAGAAATTGGCTGAATCAATTTCTCTGAAAATCTGAAAACCAGGCCAAATTCTATCTCTTTTCTGCGTTCAATTATTACATCCTTATCTAAAGCGTTCAAAATGCACATCGAGCCCTTTTTACCGACCCCAAAAAATCTAGATAAGAAATTATTAAACTCGTTTTGATGTCATTTTCAAATAATTGGCCTTTATGAAGTAAACGGACTTGTTCAATGAGCTCATTTGTTACTTTTTAAGGAGTAAAAAAAGAAAAGACTTTTGCATCAACATACTACACAAAATGACACTAATCTGATAAGTAGTAAAGATTTTAGAAGCATGGTAGTGCAGCTGACATTTTTAAAGTCGCATGCTAAATTTTGGCTTTGATCTTGCTTGGAGAACTTGTTTTGTCAATCTCTTTTTTTTGACTAATGTGCTCTATTGAGATAGAAAAGTCTCCTTAACATCTACCTGGATTCCAATTGGTGTAGTTGAGCGGTGTTCCATCGCTGAACTCCCAGGTACCGTTCTCATACTTCTCCACACCAATGAATGGCGAAACTCCATTCAAAACTGGAAAAAAACAATTATATTTAAATAGAGCAAGAGCTTTTTTTTCAGAAAACTAACCATTGTTTGCATATCCAAAGACCAAAGAACTTTCAAAAGCACTCGAGATTTTTGCCAAACTTCCGCCCAAATCGTTGCATTTACTTGCCGCCCAGATGTAGTATTGTGCTAAAAATTGTGCCTTTTACATTACTAACCGGGTTTACATTGCTTTTTACATTGCTGCTTTTTACACTACGTGACTTGAGTGAATGGCTGAAAACTTTCAAGTTAAATAGAACCTCTTTAAGTCTTAAATTTCGCTAAATCTTAAGGATTTTTTTGGATATAATTTGAATTATAATTAGAAATAGATTTAAATTTAGCTATTCTTTCAGGATATTAGTTTTTTTTTTTACCTGAAGTCTCAATGAATATACATCGATGCTCATTTCCGAGTTGGAGAGTTCCATTGGGACATGAGAAGGTTGCATCAGAGGCTTTCAGAAGAAAGGCCAATAAAAAGAAGTACCACATTTCGTGGACGGCAACTATTTTCAATCTTTTCTTTCTGTCCAAATCTGAATGGGAAACGTTTGGTTTTTTTTGCCTCTTATCTTGAGTGACTTTTTTTTGCTGACAGTTGTAGAGGATTTTAGAGTCTTTTTACAGTCGTTTAGAGGATTTTTAATTCCAACACAAAAGAAGAATTAGAACGAATAAGAGATAAGACTTTTAGAAGAATAATTTAAAAACGAGAAATGTGAAACGAGAGTGATGAAAGAAACGAGAATTTTTCATAGATAACCATTTCTGTCGGCGAAAACGGGTCAACAATGCGGTACCTCGTTTTATTAAGTTTTTTCATTTCGTATTCAAATGCTGATTTCACATGTCCCCAAGGAACAACACAATTGGGATCAGAGCATCGGTGTGTCTACATTCATCCCACAGGTAATTGAGATTGTTATCCCCTGCCGAAAACACTTTGTTCTTGTTTCTCGTTGCCTATTGTTTCTTGTTGCCTATTGTTCTAACTGTGCACTTTTTCACTTTTAATTTTTATCCTTTTCATTTATCAATTCATTTAGCTGAATACTACAATTGGGGTGCAAGGAAATGTCGAGATTTTGGGGGATATCTGGCCAAAATGACAAATTACTTCGAGACCTCGCTAATCTTCGCACTTGCTGGTCAATGTAAGTTTGAAAAGGAAAAAAAATGACAAATGAAAAAGGACTCTGAACTCATCGCAAATCAGATAAAGTGTCAATAAGTTAGGATTGAGTAAGTTGGGGGAAATAAATCATCTAAACCAGGGTTAGGAAGTCTGGTAAAAGCCCCTGGCCGTCCTTGATCTGTCTACTTTTTCGGGAAAGATCAGAAGTTGTCCTTTGTGTTCAGAAGCTGAGAAGCTGTGTTCAGAAGCTGAGAAGCTGTGTTCAGAAGCTGAGAAGCTGTGTTCAGAAGCTGAGAAGCTGTGTTCAGAAGCTGAGAAGCTGTGTTCAGAAGCTGAGAAGCTGTGTTCAGAAGCTGAGAAGCTGTGTTCAGAAGCTGAGAAGCTGTGTTCAGAAGCTGAGAAGCTGTGTTCAGAAGCTCAGAAGCTGTGTTCAGAAGCTCAGAAGTTATGCATACTTATTACTTATTGCTTCTTCGAGTTGCATCAGTGCACTCATTCGGTAAATCCTTTGTTCAACATAGAAATAATAAAATTTCTAGTATCTTTCAGCACTTGATGTCTCTCCTTACATTGGTGCCCAGAAAATGGCGAATGGAACTTGGCGATTCGCGGATGGAACCCCATTGAACTACTCGAATTGGGCACCAGGTATCAACTGATTACCAACGAGTCGTTTGAAATTCTAAGCTTTTGCAAGGGAACTATTTGAAGAAGATTTAAACAGTACATTTTGATGATTCCAGGAGAGCCAAATGCCAGCGATGATAATGTTATTTGTGCCATTCTTGACATCCAAAGCACAAAATGGAAAGCGGTTGATTGCGGTGCACCTCGCCCATTTATCTGTACTATTGAAGGGGATAAAGGTAATCCTTTCTTTCACGCCATTGCTTTAAACGTTGATAGTTTGTATATACCGTATTCTCTCTAAGTTCTTTTCTCTCTAGTAGTGCACTCTCTAATAGTATTGCGGTCCAGGAAGGGATTGAAAAAAAATAGTAGTGCGCACTACTACAGTGCGGTGCAAAACCATACGCCACCCCCTAAATTTCAAATTTTCTGCGGCTTCCGTGCCAGTAACAAAAAAACTGAAAACGTAGTTAGATTCAGGACCAAAAATAACCCTTAAACCCCAAAAATCATCGACATAGGGAAAATATAACAGGGAAATGAATAGGGAAAATGTAACAGCCAATGAATTTTCGTTTTTTGGCTGTTATATTTTCCCTATTCATGCTATGTCGATGATTTTTGGGGTTTAAGGGTTATTTTTGGTCCTGAATCTAATTACGTTTTCAGTTTTTTTGTAACTGGCACGAAAGCCGCAGAAAATTTGAAATTTAGGGGGTGGCGTATGGTTTTGCACCGCACTGTATTAGAGAGAAGTTCTTTTCTTAATATCAACTCGTTTTAATAACTATTAACAACTATTAATAACTATTAATAACTATTATGTAAATTTCAGTGATGCAATGCCCGACTGGATGGCTTTACAATGCGACACTCGATTATTGTTATTACCTTCAAGTAAGGGATTAGCTGAAACTAGATTTTGTGAATCAAAAATCTCAAGGAAAGCTTATCGTTATGATTTCTGTGCGTAAAAATACTACAAATACCGTAAATTATTATCTATTAGACCTATTAGACAGGTATGGCGCTGTATTTTTCAATACTCCTTTTGAGTACCGCTATATTAGTGGATGCCCGGTCTAATGATCGAAATCATCTACCAAAGTAAACCGAAAGAACCTCTAAAACACTATAAACGCGAAAAATCAGCAAAAAATGCATAAAAATTGAATTTTTCGCAGCTGAGTCAGAACTTTGAAATTCAGCTAACTTTTGACAAAATTCTCCAATGTTTTCAGAATTTCACGTATGCTGACGGGGAAAACTGGCAATTGTTCAATTGGTCAAGCGCCGAGAAGAATTGTCAAGTGATGGGCTCACATCTTGTCTCAATCCATTCACAAGATGAGCAGATTTTCATTTCGAGTGAGTGACTACTGAAAAAGAGCTGCTCAAAAAGCTGAGTCAGCTGACTCTTTAGCATAACGAAATTAGCATTAAAATTAAAATATCGCGTCTTTGCCCTTTCTTCTCAGAAATGATTCTTCCCAAAATGACGATCGTTTCTTTCATCTTTACAAAATCGTATATTTATGCCAAAACGTTTATTCGATTAAAACTCTAATATATTAAATATTAATCATATACCCTTTTTAATCTCTATCACTCAAAAAGTACGTAACTGTACAGTAAAGTACTTTCTTGTCTTGCCTAATCTCGTTCTGGTTTAGCATAGCCTGACAGCGAGATTTTTAAAATCACACTCTGTATTTTCTATTCTTACCTAAAATATAAAAATGACTCCTTTATTTGAAAAAAGAATACTTTCTTAACCTATCTTCAGCTATGACAAAACAATCGACAAGCAATTTCAATAATGGAGCCGCTTCGAATTTGCGTTGTGACTACTCGTACACTTGGATTGGGTACATCGGAGACGGTCAGCTCAATCATGGCTCGTGGAGTGATGGAACAGTCGTTGACTATGTGGCCCCCTACGGAAGCAGAAGCGACGAAGTACCATGGAAGGTCATTGCTTAAACATTTCTTTTACAACTCTATTTTTAGATGATTAACACAAATTGCTACGCCAACTATGTTCAATGGAGTTCTACCGCATTGACAGGAGTCTCCGCTCGTTACATCTGCAAACAACCATCAACGATGAGGGCAAGACGAGAAGCTGCTGAGAAACTTTGAAAACAAACATTGCACTGGAGTTTGAAATAAATATGGTTTCTAAAATGTCAATTTTCAAGTTTATTTTTGGGGAATTTAGCAAATCATCCTTCTAGAGTAGATCAGCTGATTGCATAGAGCTAACTGATTGCAGTCTATATGGAGAAAGAATTGTTTTATGGGTTTTCGGATTCTTGAAACCTAAACCCGTCATTACAGGGTGTTTAGCAAAAAAAAGCTTTCCAAATCAAAATTCTTCTCACAAAACTAAATCTGCTGATAGTGCTTGTGGTGTCAATTGAGCACATATAAGATTACAATTTTTTTTATTTAATTGTCTATCTGCTTTATATCCGTCTAAACTTCATGATAATCTGTAGAGAAAAGGAACCAAATCTGTGGAGAAAAGGAACCAAATCTGTAGAGAAAAGGAACCAAATCTGTGGAGAAAAGGAACCAAATCTGTAGAGAAAAGGAACCAAATCTGTGGAGAAAAAGGAACCAAATCTGTAGAGAAAAGGAATCAATTGAAAAATTGCTAGAATTGCAAGAAATTGTTTTGAAAACGCTTTTTTTTGCAAAACTCCCTGTAACTATTGGGTTGAGGAGAATGAAATGACGCTGAAAATCAAAGAAAATTTCGAAAACTTCTAGCAAACTTTGTCAAATGATACGCGTTTGATATCAGTAGAAAGGTTAACTAATTCTCTGTGTGAAAATGGAGTTTGCTCTCATGTGAAATATTGATGTTCAAAAAGACTAGCTTTTCAAAGTAACTCTATAAAGAGAAATGGGGCCGACAAGGAGGAAAAATAACGTTCTTTTTTTGACCCTCCTTGACTAGGCTCGAACTTATTACTGAATCAATATTTTTGAATAATCTTTTTTTTACATGTAATAGAACTTGAATGAGGATTTTATTGTACTTTTGTGCTTTATTAATTTGAGTCAATAAATTGTCGAAATGTCTTTGAGTAAAAACATTTAACGAACATTAAGAGATAGGTAATAAAATAATATGATAAGATAAAGCATATTCGATGAGTCGAAGATGATCAAATCCTTTTCTCAAAACAAAAACATTAACGATAACCGTATTCTTTTATAAAAGAAGTATAGAAATCAAAGCCGAAAAGAAAATCATTGCCATATTATTGAAGAGGACACTGGTTGATGTGGAAATTCTTCTTGTACATTTCATATTATAGGGATTATCACCTAAAGAGTCGTTTAATTCAAAGAAAATCCATTTGCTCAAGCCTTTATTAATTGGAAATCTTGGATAGACAGGTACACAAAAGTTAGCTGATCGCTGAGCTGTTTCTCGATCAGAGTTGCAAAAATCTTCTGCACAGATAATTATTTGTACGTGTGAGATCACCGAGTACACGCCGACCTGTAAATATTGTTATTGGGTTGGGGAGAATGAGTCGGCGCCGAAAATCAAAGAAATTTCTAAAACTTATAGCAGACTTTGTCAAATGATATGCGTTTAATATCAGTAAAAAGGTTAACTAATTCTCTACAAAATGGCATTTAAATGAGAACTCAAACAGCGCCTCGGCTCAACAAAAGGCCATTTTTTCACAAAATCTATAAACTGTGACCTAGCGAAAACGGTTGGAGGGATCTTCCTGTAAATTTGGCAACTTATGCAATTGAGTATACTCTATCTTTTTTATGTTGACACCAAAGAAGGTTTATGTGGAAGAAACTGTTCAAACGAGGAGTCGGACACTTTGCCATTTTGACTAGCTGTGTTTGGGAGTCCATAAACTCCACGAAAGAAAAGCTTTATGGAATCTCTCAAAAGTGATTTTGTAGAGAAATAGTGGACCTTTTTGATGAAACAAAACGTGTATTTAAACAAGTTTTTATGGGTGCAAAAAGTTTCTTTAAATTTCGGCGCCGACTCATTCTCCCCAACCCAATACAATAGTTCGTTTAGAGTCAGCTGAGAAATGTGGAAGTGAATAATGAAAAGATGGTGAATCAATTAAACTATTTGTTTTATAGTGACTGTTTTACATAGTTCAATTGATTCACCATCTTTTCGTTATTCAGTTCCGCGTTTTTTTTTTTCATCTAACTCACCTCAAGTCTGCCCTCTGAAAGAAACCAATTTTGCCATAAACAACCAGCTTTTGATATGTTCTTCTGAAAATCTCAGTATCGATTTAGTAAAACGACTTAAGAATGCCTTTTCATCAATGACATAGAGACAGCTTTGACTTTGACATGTGTGATTGGAGATAGCTTCTGGAAAATAGCTTCTAGAAAACAAATAAAACGAGATTCTCTACATTCTTTTGTTAAAAAGCTACCGTAAATACTGTAATAGTACCCCATCCCCCTCGTACAGTCGCGTAGTCGCAAAAGTTTTTTAGTATTTCATTTTTTTCAAAGCACCCATACTTTCAAAAAAATGCGTCTTTGGTATCAAAAAATAGCTGAAATTCAGGGCTATTTTTTGATACCTAAACGCGCATTGTAGCATAAACCAGTGTCGAGAAACACTCGTTCAAAACTAGACTACGCAACACTCCGCACCGTCATTATGGGGGTGGGCTACTATTACAGTATTTACGGTATGTAGATTTTGACCTTTCCCGAATCCTCGAAATGTTTTAATCTTAAGTGATACTCATGGAAAATCTAGAGATTTCAGTTTCATAAGATAAAAACGACTTGAAACCTGGTCAATTCTTGAAACACATTGTTTTCTAGGTTTATTAAGATAAATGTTATTAGGTTGATGCAAAAGTCTTTTTCATTTTTTTCGTACTTCTGTTAAAAAGTAACAAATTCACCAATTAATCTATAGTTTGCTCTATAAAAAAAGTGTTTTTTTGTTCAATTTCGATCTTTTTAAATGAATTTCGGTTCACTTTCAAGCAAATTCGAGAGTGAAAAACGCCTTTTTCGTAAAAATCTATAAAAAAACTCTACGGAAAAATTGGCTGAATGAATTTCTCTGAAATTTTGGCGAAATATCAAACGTTTTTTTTCTCTATCTTTTATCTATTGACACGAAAATAGGTTTTCTTTAGCTAAGGTGTCTAAACCGCATCATCGACTTAGCCCTTTTTGACTACCCGACTTTATACTCGCAAGAAAATCCAGTCATAAAATATTTTTAAACCCGTTTTAATGTTATTTTGCAGAAAAATAACTGGTTTTTCTAATGAAATCAACCGTAGTTTAATTGGTGCATTTGTTGGCTTGAAACGGCAGACGAAAAAAATGAAAAAGACTTTTGCATCAACCTAATAAGATAATTGTTATTATAAATGAGTAGAATGAATGAATAGTACTGCAGTGTGTGTGAAAGCTGTTAGAATTCGATTTTGGTATCAAAAAATAGCCCTGAATTTCAGCTATTTTTTGATACCTAAGCGCGCATTGTAGCATAAACCAGTGTCGAGAAAAACTTGTTCAAAGCTAGACTACGCGACGCTCCGCACCGTCATTATGGGCGGTGGGGTACTATTACAGTATTTACGGTACTTTAAATATTTCTTTTGTATTAAAATTTTTATTTAACTATTTAAGAAAATTAAAGATCTATTTAATAAATTAGAATTGTTAGCCCACCATTTCCCATTTCTTTAATATGACAAGTGACGACTTTCTCAGAGAAACCGGCAAAAGTAAACTGATTACAAGGATTCTAAAGTTATTCTAAAGTTCTTTGTAAAAAGTAAACAAACGTTCACCTGGCTTGGATAATATTGCCACAATATTGAATAATCGACTCCGTGACAATACCTAACGTACTCGATTTTCCTAGAAGTGAATTGATATCCATATTCACCGCCATCGAACACTCTAAAATTTGATGAAATCAACTAGATCTAAATATTGTCTAAAATAGAAAATGAATTAAATGTCTAATAATTTAATAGCTATCTGAAAAAATTGTAATTTGATCTCTAGGTAATATTCTAGTTAAGAACTAAATAGACTTGAGCTAGTGTCTAATCTTAATGTCTAATGTCTGTCCTGTCTAATGTCTGTCCTGTCTAATGTCTGTCCTGTCTAATGTCTGTCCTGTCTAATGTCTGTCCTGTCTAATGTCTAAAGTCAAATAGAGCTGCCCTATGCCTTCATTTTCAAGAAAAGTACTTTTAACAAACCCCCAAAACTTGTCTATTAGAAAATATTGCTTATTCTATAGTTGTCCAACTAAGAATGATACTTAAAAATCTAATACAACTTTTACTGAATGAACATTTACGGTAGCTTTCCATCCCATATCATCTCTTCGCTAATCGGTAAAAGTTCCGAGTCGTTCGCTCTGTTTCCAATCCACTCTCCGAAAATCCATCCACCATCATTATGGGCTCGAAGTGTATTGTTGCCAGTCGACAGCTGAAACAAATTCAATTAGACATGTCGAAAAACCTCTCACCATGGCCGAGCCAATAGCCTTGCAAGTGGGAAATCCCTCATCGCCAATCTTTCCAATTTGAACAACCGCAAAATCTCCCTCAGAACTTTGCCGTAGCTTTAAATCATTTGAAAAAAACTATCAATCCTCAATAGCCAAACTCTGTATTTTTGACAAGAGACATCTTCTCGAAGCGCCAATTCGTAGCTCTTTTTCCCGAAAGTCGCCTTTTTTGCATTTCTCATCAAACGCGGTCTCTCCTCATTACAATAATCCTCGTTTCTGACATTTAACTTTCAACTTTTCCTTCCCATAAAAGACTTAAGGCTTTTATTTTACAACTAGCTGTATGTCTGTGAACTTGAACAAACATTTTTCAAAATCTTAGCGTGACGAACAGACGGTGAAACGGACGGTGAAACGGACGATCAAACAGACGATCAAACAGACGGTCAAACAGACGATCAAACAGACGGTCAAACGGACAGACATACCTTTTATTTATAGTAAACTCTCGCCTAAAGGAGGCTTCTATTGGGAAAATTACGGTATTCAGTTTTACATTTACCTGCAAATGCATAAATACACGGGATATGGTGTTTCCTTGTTCTCGCCATACATATGAGTGTCAGCGAGATGACATCCCGGCTTCCAATAGCTCATCATTCCAATGACACAACTCTGATATAAAGCCTTTGAGTAGGAAAAATAAAGATAATAACAAGCGTCGCCATTACAAGTCGTATTGCTGAATCGGGTAAATGTTTACAAATTTCTCACTTGAGACGCTTGAGACGTCTTCAATTTGAGTGTCTTACCGTTAATTGTCTTACCAATTCAATTGTTTTGAAGTTGTCTTTAGTTTGTTTAGATGTTCAGTTTGTTGTTTTAAATGTTTAAGACAATTTCTTTTCAACTGAAAGCTTTCGCCCATTGCTTATTATAATATAAGCTTATTATAATATTTGCTTATTATAATATTTGCTTATATTTGCTTACTATAATATAAGCTTGTAATATAAGCTTGTTATAATATTTGCTTATTATAATATACTTTTTTTACGGTTCCAATACGGTTCCAATACGGTTCCAATACGATTCCTATTTTGATCTAATACGGTTCCAATACGGTTCCTATTTTGATCTAATACGGTTAGCACTTTTTTGAAAATTCTCTCCTCACCCTTCATCCACTCGATCATAACGTGGAACTTTGATATAGTCCACACACTTCAATGCATTTAATTGATGAGGAAACGAGAGAATCAATAGAACAAGAAAAATCATCTCCAAAAAAAAAACAAAAAAAGCAATCGACGATCTGCTGTAACTTATCAAAAAATATTTGCCCTTTTTGCTAAACTTTTTCAATGCCAAAAATATACAATGGATAGAATGTCAATTTGTGGCCGCGATAATCGAGTTTGCTGGTGATTTCTTAGAAGATTCAAGGATTGTAAAAACCAAAAAAACAAGCAGCAAAATTTCATTACAGCAAAATCTTTTTTCACTAAAAAGGGCAATTTATCGCAAATGAAAACTTTAAATTGGGCTATTGGGTAAAGTAAAAGTTTGGTTGGTAAAAAAGAAATGAGCGTCGTGTTTGTTGATTTGTATTTTATTCATAGTAAAAGATTTTTTAAAAATAGTTTATTCTATTGGAAAGAGCGTGTCCTTGCGCATCGTTTGATATATAATTTGTCTATGTTTACTTTGTTTTTTTTTTTTTACAAGAAAGAGTGTTTCGAAAATGTCGGACCAAAAATTTCGCTTGAGGTAAATATTGCTGCTTGTGGTATGAATTTAAGCAAGGCAAATCGGCTGCTAAAGCTCATCGCGCTCTATCTCAAGTGTTTGACGAAGATGCTCTATCCGAAAGTCAGTGTAAACGATGGTTTTTCTTTTTTACCAACCTAATACTTTGAAACTGGAAAGACTAGCTATTTATTTACTATTTAGACTATTTAGACTAGTTATTTAGTGGTAATTCTTGAGTTTCCTTGAAGTCTTACACAATTTCTTTTTTTAATATTTGAACAATTCAAAAGATAGCCAAGATTTCACAAAACATTTAAAGATCAGAATAAAAATTAAATTAACTAATTAATTAATTAAATGAACTAAAAATACTAGAAAGAAAAGACTAGAAATGAAAAAAAAAAAGAGAAAACGAAAACCAGGGTCCAATCGGTTCTCAGTTTAGTTCGATTTAGGCTAAAAACATAAAAATCGATCGTTCCTGTTCCAAATTTTAAAAACCAATTAGGCTCAGATCAAGTTTTAAACTTAATGTCTAATGTCTGTCCTTACTAATGTCTGTCCTTACTAATGTCTGTCCTATCTAATGTCTGTCCTATCTAATGTCTGTCCTATCTAATGTCTGTCCTGTCTAATGTCTGTCCTGTCTAATGTCTGTCCTGTCTAATGTCTGTCCTGTCTAACGTCTGTCCTTACTAATGTCTGTCCTATCTAATGTCTGTCCTATCTAATGTCTGTCCTATCTAATGTCTAAATCTTCTCAATTTACCCATTTTTCTCTTTGAATTTGTCGTTTTCCTAATGCCCATTAAACTGTAAAAGTGTAAGGAACAAAACTTGGAGTGTAACTTTAAAAAAATTAACTTTATTAACTCTCAATGAGAACTAGATTTGGTGCCGAGACTCGTCAACTTTGTGACGGTTGTATTCTTTCGCAAAAAAGCTGGCAATCTCGGCAATAGACATACAAAGATGACAAGGCTGAAATGATGAGAATTCTTTTGTGTCTACGATTCTGACAAACTTCAGTAGAATCTGACAAAATGTGGTCACCATTTCGGTGGCGATGAAATTCCAGAAATCCCCGAAAAAGAAGATCGAGTTGTCAGGATCCTCGCCTACGAGATCCCGGCCAATATAGGGAATCATTGAGATCATATGGGTTAAAAGGGACTGCAAATTAATCTACGAATTTTTAAAATTCTGTTAACAGTCTGAATTTTCTTTAGATCAATCGCTGAACGCTGATCAATCGCTGAACGCTGATCAATCGCTGAACGCTGATCAATCGCTGAACGCTGATCAATCGCTGAACGCTGATCAATCGCTGAACGCTGCGCTACGCTGACGCGCGCGCGACCGCTGCCAACGCTACGCTGCAGCATAAACGCTAACGCTGACAACGCTGAACGCGACAATGCTGAACGCTAATCAATCGCTGATCGCTGATCGCTGATCAATCGCTGACAAACCATGATGATCAATCGCAAACCAGCATTTGTCGTTGCTTTTGAGTTCTTTTTCTGGAAATGAATCTATCAATTAAAAATCGAAGAGTTTAGCTAACTTTTAAATGAACTAGATTTTAGATACTCTTTCCTGAAATCTCTCTTTAACTCACCACTTCCAAAATTTTAAGCAATACCCAAACATCAAGCAAAACGGCATATGGCAGAGTTTGTGTGGGTATGTTATCAAAATAAAAGAGATCCGATTTCCCATCTCCACCCACAATTAGACCTCGCTTTGTGGCTGACTTCACTCTATATAACAGCGGATCGTAGTAGTACTCGCGATGTGATTGAGGGATATAGTTGTAATGATAATCTGAAAACGATTACCTAACTAACTCTAGTTAAAAATCCTAAAGAAATCTAAAACCTAAAGAAATCGTGCTTCCAAATGCGACAAAATAGGCAATATATGTGACTAAAATATAAGGTAATGCGAGCTTCTCGACTCTGTTGAATAAACGACCGTCAAAGAAAACAGCAAAAACTCTGAAACATTACTGTTTCTTCATTTTACTGGTGCTCACTCATCTCACCGATTCAGTGTCAATCCAATCTCGATGATGGGCATCGCTTTTTGTACAGCTACATAAAGAGTGGCAGTGATCGTATTCTCAAGTGGAATATGGAAACGAGTGAACATGCGAATGTAGCAATGAGCGCTAAGCAAAGCAATTCAGTTGGCAACTAGCTCTGTGGCGAATAGCCACTAAAAGTTACCTAACTCTGAGGGCCTAAAAATTGGAAAAGTATTGCGGAAATCCGTGGCGCCTTCATTCTATTTCGCGCCTCAAATCATTTATTATTTTGCAGCTTGTTAGCTGAATATCTTCTGTTATATAAAGCAACTGTTGTTCATTTGATGCGTTTTTAGGGGGTGGAACAAATGCTACCTTTTTTTTGCGCACCTGGACATTTGCGCACCTTTTTTTTTGCTGGAAAAGGCCTTAGGAAAGGTCGTAGAGCTTCAAAAATGTTTTCATATAAGGGAATCGTATGCGTAGATTCCGAATTTCCACAAATCAGACCTCGCTGACACGTCAAATTTGGGCTAAAAGGCAAAAACTGCGGAAAAGCGTTAAGTTGCGTAGTTTTTGCCTTTTAGCCCAAATTTGACGTGTCAGCGAGGTCTGATTTGTGGAAATTCGGAATCTACGCATACGATTCCCTTATATGAAAACATTTTTGAAGCTCTACGACCTTTCCTAAGGCCTTTTCCAGCAAAAAAAAAGGTGCGCAAATGTCCAGGTGCGCAAAAAAAAGGTCGCATTTGTCCCACCCCCGCGTTTTTACTTTTTTTCTGCTTTCCTTTCATGGTTGTGTCCTAATTAAAACGAAAATTTTTCTGTTTTTATCGTCGCTTTTAATTCAATTGTCGATTTTGTGTGAAAATTGCTCAAGTGAGAGCCCAAAAATTTCGAGTCAGTCGGCTATTAATTCTAAGGCTATTAGTCTTAATTCAAGTGAGATCAGATATCTCGAAACAAGAAATAACGTATCTTGAGTGAAGAGTATCAAGCAGCAAGCATACTGTGGCGAATTACCACTGCTCTGCAGTTAGTCAAAAATTCAATACAAGTTAAAAATCAAAGTTGATGGATAAACTACCGTAATCAATCACTAGATGATATTCAGCTGTCCGGTTGTTGTAGCTTGTATACATCAAAAACCCATTATTTAAACTTTGCTTTTGAGTGAGTTTGTTGTTCTCCTTTTTTGTTCTTTATCATTCTTTTTTCACATTCAAGTGTTGATTTAATTGTGATAGTGCCAAGTTGCTCCAGTTTGAGCGAAGTTGCCCTAATAAGGGAAAGTTGGATAAATTGTGCGTTTTCAAGAAGACCACTATTGAACCACACCGAGACACGGTCTCACAAGAAATTATATATTGGGTTGGGGAGAATGAGTCGGCGCCGAAAATGAAAAAAATATCTAAAACTTCTATTCGACTTCGTCAAATAATATGCGTTTGATATGAGTAGAATGGTTAACTAATTCTCTACAAAATGACATTTAAAAGAAAATTCAAACAGCGCCTCCGCTCAAGAAAAAGGCATTTTTTCACAAAAACTACAAACTGTGGTCTAGAAAAAACCTTTGGTGGGATCTTCCTGCAAATTTGGCAACTTAAGTAATTGAATGTGCTCTATCTTTTTTATATAAACACCAAAGAAGGTTTATGTGAAAGAAACTGTTCAAATGATGAGTCGGGCTCTTTGCCATTTTAACCAGCTGTGTTTGGGAGTCCATAAACTCCACGAAAGAAAAGCTTTGTGGAATCTCTCAAAAGTGATTTTGTAGAGAAATAGTGGATCCTTTTGATGAAACCAAACGTATATTTAAAGAAAGCTTTATGTGTGCAAAAAGTCCCTTTAAAGTTTGGCGCCGACTCATTCTCCCCAATCCCCAACCCAATAGATCAAAACATCAACATATATTTCTTACACATACCAAAGAATATTTCTTTACATTTCCCTTCTACCTTCTCACACAATCAGCTTGATATAAAATATATAAACTGCAATAAAATCTCCCAATCGCATTCGTTAACATTAGAGTTCGAATTCCACGAGTCATCTTTGCACTTCGAATGATGATGATCATTGAAATGATACACGTCATAAGGTTGAGGCCACCAAACGAAAAAAGAAGAAGAAAAGAAGAATTATTTTAAAGAAGAATATCTGATTACCGTATTGGCGACAATGTTGACTTGTCTTCTTTCATTGTTCATCTTCCATTTGGGGATCTCTTTCCAACCGTCCATCAAACAGTTCCCCAAACAATTCTCCCATAAACCGATCCACTCTTGATCGTTTTCGAAAAACGTGTAATCGTAGAATTCATAAGCAAAATCATTATCATCAGACATCTATAAAAAGAAATTCGAAAAAATATGATAGTTGTCGCTTGTAACTTGAAGAAATTGAGCTTTTGTGATCACAAAAGCTCAATTTCTTCAAGTTACAAACGATAACTATCAGATTTTCATTTTAAATAAAAAATCAGTAGCTTCTTTTTACTAGTAGAAACACTTGAATAAACTGAAAAAGGAAAGAAAAACAGTAATTACTTCCGAATGGTGTGTGAACCTTTCCCGCCTTTCCCGCCCACCTTGCTCTATCAGAAAAGGGATACTGTGTGACTTCTCCTCACACTTCTCTTCGTCGACTAGTTGCTTTTTGTTTCATTTCTAAAGAGCACTTCTTTCATTTAATTTGACCAGTAAAATGTGGGATCTCTTTGATCTCACGAAATTCTCGGAGTACAAAGAATTCACGCGAATAGCGATCAATGACTCGCAGAGATATCAAATCGTTGCGAATGTCGGCATGGGTTTGGTGAGTTGAATTTTAATAACAAAGTTCACTCCTCCTCCAAGAGAAGCTAACTAACCTGCCATTGCTTTTTAAGAGCAGATTGATCCGACCTGAAAATGAAAACTGGATCGGTTTGATTCGGGCTGAAAATCGAGTTCAATTCGGTTCACTTTTGGTTCAGTTGCAAATGTCAGAAAAGCAAAAAACGTCATACTGCGAGGCTGAACTCACATGCTACGACTAGATACAGGTGCCCTAACCTTTAGACCATAAGGCGAGCTTGTTCTGAAGTTAGCGGGCACTTTCTATCGATTGGCGGTAAATTCTCGGTTAAAGTTCCGTATTTTAAAGTCCGGTTTTGGACTGGATGCCCATGCCTAGTTAATAGAGAATATATATGTCGTAGCCGATTAAGGATCTCAGCCGAAGAAGTCTCAGAGTCTCTTTTTGTTACTGTCCATTTTTTGTTTCTCCTCGTTCTTGACGACTTTCTTGGGTTTGTCCAAATCGCCTTTGATCCCATGATTGTAAAGCACCTCTTGATTCAATTCGTATCGAAGAGAGAATCGCACTACAAGTCATCGGCTAGTCGAAGAAGTCTGAGACTTCTTCGGCTGAAATCCTTAATCGGCTACGACATATATAATAAACGTATAATAAATAATAAATAATAAACGTAGTATAATTTGAAGATCGACAAACATTACCAGTCAAATACAGAGCTCATTTAATTGTTATCAACCTGAAATTGGGGCCAAACAAAACACTACTTTCTTCTAAAAACCTTTAGAAACCTTTCGACTTTAGATGTTTCTCGTCGAGTTGTCGGTGAATCTAATTGCTATCATTGTGTGCTATTGGTTAAAGTCAAATAAAACCTTCAAAAGCTATATTATCACTCAATCATTCGTCTACACTTATGAAGCTTTAGTTATCGCCTCGGAAATCGTTTGCAATTTGAAGTAAGTTCCAGAAAAATGATTGAACTTTTCTCCGTAAACTCAATTAACATTTCCGGTAGAAAGTTATGCTTTTTTTTTCAGTTAAAGAAAAAACCCAAAAAAGAATACTGTAAATAGAAAAGATTTATTTCAGCTATTGGTGTGTACCCTTTATGACAGGAGCGAGAATTGACTGGCAAAAACTTCTCGTCTCCATTCATTTCAGTGCCTTCAATTCGATGATCTTTATTCGATTTGTCTTTTTGCTGGCTCTGTTAGTTTGCTTTGAGAAAAGAAGTATATAGTTAACCAGTTGAATGCTTAACTTTTCTTATTCGTTTTCCCCTTTCCTTAGATGCTTCGACCTCGGAGAGTGTAAAGAGGAATTCTGGAACAGTCGATGCTCCTCTTTACACTTCCCGAGGTCGAAGCAGTATCACTGCTCCTTTTTTCGAGGTCTCTATTGTGGCCAGACTCGAACCCGCGATCTCTAGACCAGAGAGGACACGCTATCCACTGTGTCATTCATTGTCATTCATTGGAAATGAATGGAATAGAGAGGAATTCTGGAACAATCGAGCGGGAGGACTCGCCTCGATGACTAGACTCTCTGTATCAGCTCCTCGAGGACCTTTAAACCTTTTAACTGATTGTCTGATTTATGTGATCAGCTCTTTGTGCCTCTAGCTGATGGCTAGGATATCGTACCCTATGAGAAAAATCGATTTGCCTTTCCCTTTCTTTACAAGACTTTCAGAGCAGCTGAAGTCAATTTTCGACGGGCACATGTTCGCCTATTCAACAAGTTGAATCCTTTCCTCTATCCATTGTGTATTCTCATTTGTATCGCTTTCCAATTATCCGATCTATTCTACGTGAAAAACTATATGAAATTTGGAGATGGAAGCTGTTTCTATGCTCCATATGCTTTTGCCGAAGTTTGTAAGTTTCAAAAGAAGTTACCTCTTGATTTAAAGAGCTTTTTGAAAGCATTTTGAAAGCATTGAAAGCAATACAATAGAATTTATTCCATTTCAGGTCTTGACATGGATCGAAATCAACGTTTGGTACCATCACTCGAGGGAACAGCCATTCGTTTTATGTTTCTCAACGTCTTCCTGAGCGCTTTTCTTTATGGTTACACATTTCGACAAGCTTGGCTGAGAAACGCGGAAAAAGTGGAAAAAGCGGAAAAAGAGGTAATATAACTATAACAAAGAAGAGTAATATAACTAAGAACTAAATTGATTAAATCAATTTCCTTTAGGACAAAGATAATCCATCTCAAAGAAGCCTTTGGATCTACTTAATGGTAAGTTTTCTCTCTTTTTGCTTCATTTAGATTTAAAATTCAGGTCCTAGCGATCAACGTGTCGGCTGTAATTGAGAGATATTGGTTATTTGGAGATTTACAAAGTAGAGATTAAAGTTATGAGCTATGAAATAAGCTATAAGCTTTTTTATAGATTTCGATACGAGTCGAGAGTTTGTAGAAAACACGGGGCTATCACGGTTTTGGTGTCGAACAATCGGATCAACAATATTACATGTGTTGTCAAGGTGAAACGACTTTAGCTTTACCAGTTCACTGTCAATTCTATAATCTACTAGGTTTTGATTGGACCTAGAAATGGGTTCAAACTTTTCCAAAAATAAAAACTCAGATCAATTGATGCTCGATTGAGGAAATTGATTTAATCAATTTAGTTCTGAGTTATATTACCCTAAAGTCTCGAGTATAAGTTCTGCCTTAATTTACATTCGCTTTAATTGCTTTGAATTTCGTTGAGGAAAAAGTAATATCTATTGGGTTGGTGGAAAAGTCCTTTCGGATTTTTTGGGAGAGTACCTTAAATTTGTCCAATTTTGACGTTTTATAGCTCATCCTAAAGCTGAATTCAATACGGATCGATTGGGAAAAACCGTTTTGAGATATCTCTTTTCTAAAAGTTTTTACAGCTATTTTAGTAAAGGGCGACAGAGCCAAAAAATGGCTGTTTTCACGTTTCGTTAGTTTTTCGTGCAGAAACCTAGGCTAAAAACATGTTATTCGTGATCAGCGTCCAAAATAACCCCTAGACACAAATTTTCAGAATCTTAGCTAAAAATTTTTGACAAACATTGTCACCGGTGGAAGTCGAACCAGCGACCCTCAGATCAATAGCCTTTCCACCGCTTTTCGCCACCACCAATTATTTTTCTCCACCACCAATTATTTTTCTGCAAAATAACATTAAAACGGGTTTAAAAATATTTTATGTCTGGATTTTCTTGAGAGTATGAAGTCGGGTAGTCAAAAAGGGCTAACTCGATGATGCGGTTTAGACACCTTAGCTAAAGAAAACCTATCTTCGTGTCAATAGATAAAAGATAGAGAAAAAAAACGTTTGATATTTCGCCAAAATTTCAGAGAAATTCATTCAGCCAATTTTTCCGTCGAGTTTTTTATAGATTTTTACGAAAAAGGCGTTTTTCACTCTCGAATTTGCTTCAAAGTGAACCGAAATTCATTTAAAAAGATGCAAATTGAACAAAAAAACACTTTTTTTTATAGAGCAAACTATAGATTAATTGGTGAATTTGTTACTTTTTAACAGAAGTACGAAAAAAACGAAAAGACTTATGCATCAACCTAATAGTATAGTATAACAAATAGTATAGTATAACAAATAGTATAACATTCATCGATATCAGGTTTCTATCGTTGGAAATCTATTGAAATGTTGAAAATGTTGAAATCCGCATTTCTTATGCGGATTTCAACATACAGTACTGGACAATGAAATATCATACTTGAAAAAAGATCGTCACCTTCGCGCGTCTGTAACTCCCTTGTCTTTGAGTTTAAACTATTGGTGTTATACATTTTACGAAAAAAACGAAAAGACTTATGCATCAACCTATTATTTGGTTGAGGAAAAAGTAAATATCGATTTTTGTCACAAAACTGTTTATTGCTAATAATCTTGAAATAATCTCTGTTTAGAATAATCTAGATTCTAAACAGAGATTCTAAACATATTACAAGCTCCATAAGCTTGATATTTGGTTGAGGAAAAAGTAATATCGATTTTTGTCACAAAACTGTTTATTGCTAAAAACATAAACAAATTGCACATCAATCAATGGGATATTCTCCATTATTATTGATGACTTAATAATAAGTTTTTCACGTAGAATAGATCGGATAATTGGAAAGCGATACAAATGAGAATACACAATGGATAGATGAAAGGATTCAACTTGTTGAATAGGCGAACATGTGCCCGTCGAAAATTGACTTCAGTCCCTGATCCCATCCTGAAAAAAAATGGAGAGTTTTCGAGTCAAAATAAGTGTCGACTGCTTTTTTTGATCTGTGCATGATTCTCGAACTTTTCTCCCATAAGAAAACTCTTCAACGACCGAAATAAAAAAATAATCTGATGGGGTCAGGTCTGAACCAAAAGGTGTGTGGGGCAGAATTTTCCAACCAAACTCGTCGATTTCCCTTATTTAAAATTATACCACAAAGCGGCTCAAAGTCGAAACCATATTTGGCATTGTCTTTCGCTAATGCTGTCTTCCCCAAAAACTTCAATGATTGAATGAAACTTCAAAAACTTCAATGATGCGATTCAGCCGCGGATTTTCCTTGTTTAAAATCATACCACAAAGCGGCTCAAAGTCGAAACTTTTCGTCTTGCATTTTGTACCTGAAAATATTGTTAAATTTGTAAATATTTGTAAAAATCAAATAGTATAGAAGTATAGAAGCAAAGAAATGGAAAATTGCCAGCATAAGCAAAGAAAAGCAAAGAAAAGCAAAGAAGTATATGAAAGTATAGAAGTGTCTAGGTGATACCAATTTCAAAAAAATCGCATAAGCCAAGAAATGGAAAATTGCCAACAACGGGAATTCAGAACCGACATTACTATTTCCTCAACCTAATATTCAGTAAATTTCTTTTCAGTTTATTTTCGTTTGGTTTTCTGATGATCAATTGAAGAGGGAAAAAAGAAGAAAAGCATTTCTTTTATGGTAATAACTTCTATTTGTGTTTTTTTTTTTTACTTTTCGTAAACATTAAAACTTTATTTATTCCACCGTAAAGAAGAATAAAGAAAAGAAATTTTCAAATTCATTAAATGAACATTGACAAAAAACGCTGACAACAGTATTCGCAAACTCAAATAGCTTCTAAGAAATGAAATAACATTTGTTTCATACAAGATAGCCGATTTCTTTTCATAAAAACGATCTACGAGTTGCGATTGAGCTTTAAACTTGAAAATCACTCCCGAATTTAGTCACTTATACTCTGTGCCTTCATCAGCTTTATCGACAATCTGCCCACCTTTCCATTTGCCATATTTCTTTCTCAACTCCTCTCACTTGTGATCATCTGCAATCTCGACCCATTCTTTTTCCTGTTCGCCCTGTTTTTCCTGTTCCTGTTTCTGCATCTCCTTCCAAATCTCATTCTTCAGCTTATTCATTTCTCTCTGTTACTGTCTCTGTTACTCTCAACAAAGTTCTCTTCTCTCCAGAGCTCATTTCTCAAGCATTTCTTTCTTGATTTCTTGTCATAGCTGTTCTGTCGTAGATGATATAGCCAGAGATCTTGTTGTGCTCTCTCTTCAACTTGCTATAGTTTCCTCCACAGCTTTCTATTCTCTTTTCTTTTTCTAAATTGCCAATTTATAATTGTAAGATAAAGAATGCTTGCTTTAATCAGTATTTCAAAGTGAACTATTTAAACCATAAAAGATCCATACAGTCATGGGCTGATCAGATGCTTGTTCGCGTCTGTTGATTGATAACATGATTTTCAAATTTTTTGGCTTCTTTACTAACCTCTACTTCTTTACTAACCTCTTCTTTACTAACATCTTGTTTACTAACCTCTACTTCTTTACTAACCTCTACTTCTTTACTAACATCTTCTTTACTAACCTCTACTTCTTTACTAACCTCTTCTTTACTAACATCTTCTTTACTAACCTCTACTTCTTTACTAACCTCTACTTCTTTACTAACCTCTTCTTTACTAACATCTTCTTTACTAACCTCTACTTCTTTACTAACCTCTTCTTTACTAACATCTTCTTTACTAACCTCTACTTCTTTACTAACTCCTTGATCAGTTTATCATTAAAATAAACGTTTTTATACGCGGTTTTTTTGAAGTGAATAGGTGAAACACTGAGAAAAGAAAAGGCTGTACATATTGAGTTGTGTAATTATTTTACAAGAAGAAGAAAGAAGAAGAAAGAAGAAGAAAGGAAGAGGAAGAGGAAGAGGAAGAAGAAGAAAGAAGAAGAAGAGGAAGTTTAAAATTCAATTAGAACAAAAGAAAATCTATAGTATATAGTCTTTGTTATAAAAAGAGATTGACCAATGATTGACCAATTTCATAACGATCAATGTTCCTTTCCCTTCTTGCTAAAGATTACTTTAATTAACGTATCTATTTTATGGTTATTTATTATCATCATTTGCTTATCCAGATTTTCACTTTAAAAATACTTTTACAACAAGGATATTGAATTTAATATAATCAACACTTTTAGTTATAAAAGTTTTTCAATAAATTTTTAAGAAAAAAAAACATTTCTAAGATTATAAACTAATAATTAATGTTAAATTCTTATAATTAATTGATCCATTCGATAATCACATAGATAAACTAATAATTTAGAGCACGGTTGATCGGTTGATCGGCATAGCAACGGTTGATCTAAAAAAATAGAGCAAAAAGCAATGAGCGTTTTCTATTTCATTATCTAAACTTTTCAGAAATCATAGCTTACTCTTGGAAATCTCATTCTTCTTTGATTTTTGAGATTTTATTTTCTGTCTACACTTGACTGAGAGAGATTTTCTCAAGAGAGTCCGTTTCTCCACTAAAAAAGCCTTTTTTTTTTGTTTCTATTCTTTCATCAACAGGTAACAATTATTCCTCTTCCGACTTAAGCGTATTCTTTTTGAAAATCCAAAAAAACGAATGTGCTAGTGTCAAAAAAACGCTGAAAATGCTCGAGTTAAGGTTTTACTTTCAAAGCATTTGACCGAAGAGGATTCGAAACTCCGATCTCCATTCTCAAGACTAACGTTCTACGCTATTGGCTCTGGTGCAAGTGGACTGAAAGCGTCTCATATCGTTGAACCGATCAATTATTATTGGTTTAACAGTTGCATTCTATCAAACAGTAAAGTCTTTTGAACTTTTCTTTTGATAACACCACTTATGCATTGTTTTGCTCAAATAGATTGTCATTTTCCAATTCGAACATTGGATTCGAACACGATTTCGAACTTGAAACTTCCTCCAACTATCACAGTTCAACCTCAAACTTCAGCCTATCCAAGCTCTCATTCAGCATCGACCCTGACTTGTTATTGATAATCGTTTTGTGCACATTTTATTATTCATTCATAAATACTTTTTGAAAAGTGTTTGAAGCAAAAAGCACAAAGCAGCGTAGAAGAACTGAGCAAAACAGAAATGCAAAGCAATATTTGGCGTCATCCAAGAATTGTACAGGCCCGCAGAATTGAGAAAAACAATTTACTGTAATTAGGAAGTTTAAGCAACTCTGCGGGCCATTGAGTGAATGTGAGAGGAAAGGGGAGGAGTCGTTGAATCGATTGGATGACGCCTTTTGTCCTAGCAGGTCGTCTTTGCTGTTTGCCGAGAAATCTTTCGATCCTTGTTTCTCTTTGGTGGCACTGGAGTGTTGCTCACTTCCTAGAGAATTGGATAAAGTTGATTCTTTATCTTTTCAAACCTGTCGTCCGTAAAAGTATTTGTAGTTCTCGGAGCGGATGTACTCCCATACACCTTGACATCCACGAGCATCAAGTTGTTCCTGGGATTTTGAATACTTTGAAGTCATACTTTGAAGCTATTAGATTGGAAAGAAAGTTCTCGGAAATAGTTTGCACGGTCATTTCTCAAAAAGCTCAAAAAGCAGTAGGCTTTAGGTAAAAAAAATCAAAGATTTCTTCAGCTGAAGTGACTTGGTCACTTTTTGAGTGATCAGTCTTTAGACAAGTTTTTAATGGGTTAATGAATAGGCAATAGGTCTCATTCAAAAACTAAAATGAAGTACTTAAAATAGGGAAAATTTTTGATAAAGGCAAATTTGATCTAATGATTTAACTTTTCAGAATCACCTATTTTCGTAAACACTCAGTGCCAAGAAGATGACACGAAAAAATTATTTTTAAAAAATAAAGCTTCTCTGTACAAAAATTTGTTGACCAATAGAGTAGAGTTTATAGAGTTTATAGTTTATAGAGTTTATAGTTTATAGAGTTTGTAGTTTATAGAGTTTGTAGTTTATAGAGTTTATAGTTTATAGAGTTTGTAGTTTATAGAGTTTGTAGTTTATAGAGTTTATAGTTTATAGAGTTTATAGTTTATAGAGTTTGTAGTTTATAGAGTTTATAGTTTATAAAGTTTATAGTTTATAGAGTTTATAGTTTATAGAGTTTATAGTTTATAGAGTTTATAGTTTATAGAGTTTCTAGTTTATAGTTTATAGTTTATAGAGTTTATAGTTTATAGAGTTTATAGTTTATAGAATTTATAGTTTATAGAGTTTATAGTTTATAGAGTTTATAGAGTTTATAGCTTATAGGTTTTATAGTTTATAGTTTATAGTTTATAGCTTATAAAGTAAATTCCAGTGAAACTTTTTCCGAGAACTTTCTCTTTCCAATCTAATATTAAGTTTTGTATTTATTAAGAAAAGTAATGTGTAGAAGATTTATAAGGGTTTAGAAGCTAAGTAAAACCTGAATAGCGGGCACCCATGGATTGTGCTGAAGACGGAGTACCGATTTAGTAGAAACGAGATCAAGAGCGCCAAACTCTGGTGGTAGAGTAGTCAAACGGTTTCCTGAATTCGATTTTTCATTTCAAAAAGTATTTTAGTGTTTTTTAGCTTTATTTTTTACTTTAACAACATCTTTTGATATGTTTTACCTTGAAGATGAAGCTCGCGGAGTTTTTGCAGATCTCCCAACTCTCTAGGCATCATCAAGAGGTCGTTATCTCTAAACTATTGCATTAATTGTTAATAAGGTAAGTAATTTGAACTAATTTTAATTGTAATTTCAAATCTAATTTCAAATTTAATTTTAAATTTAACTTTAAATCTAATTACAAATCTAATTTCAATTCTAATTTCAATTCTAATTTCAATTCTAATTTCAATTCTAATTTTAAATCTAATTTCAAATCTAATTTCAAATCTAATTAACTTTAAATTTAACTTTAAAGAATTAAGAAACCTGAGCACAAGAATTTGTAAATTTGTAAGATTGCGAACGTCTCCAGGCAACATCTCGAAATCGTTATCACCCAAATAAAGAGCACGTAGAGTTGCTGTAAATTGGCACTGTACCTTTACTAAATACTAAATAAAACTCAATAAAACTAAATAAAACTAAATAAAACTTTTATATAATAGAAATTGATCAAAAATTGGCTCATACAAATGAAGAAAAAGTTCCCAGGGAGACTTTTCTCGGAGAGATTGTTATAGGTGAGATCGAGAATCTCAAGCGATGGGAATGAGCCAAATCCACGGGGTAAAACGCTCAAACGATTCATTCTAAATTTTAAAATTTGTAAAATTGTTTTATAGAATTCATTCATGCAAAAGTTGTTTTCAAATTTTCTTTTACAAACCCGATGTTAAGAATTTTAAGTCTCGACATGGTAGAGATTGAGGTGGGCAACTCGGTGATTTGATTATTCCAAAGGGAGAGAATCTAGAGGTTAAAGAAGTAAGTTTTGGTTTTCTTTTTAAATATCCTATAATATTATATAATATTTCATGAAATTCACCTCCAAATTGACGAGATCAGCGATATCGGGCGGGATTTCGGTGAGCTTGTTATGGGCGAGAGAGAGACGAGTCAACGCTTGGTTGTCCCCTGAATTTTAATGAATTGGCAAGCTAATTCAGCTTTTTTTTGTAATATATGAAAGCTAATAATAATAATGAGAAGAAGAAGAGAAGAGGGAGGAGGGGAGAGAGAGGAAGAAGAAGAAGAAGAAGAAGAAGAAGAAGAAGAAGAAGAAGAAGAAGAAGAAGAAGAAGAAGAAGAAGAAGAAGAAGAAGAAGAAGAAGAAGAAGAAGATTACTTAATCATTCCATTTGATCACTTACAAACATGTGGCACTGATTTGATATTGACCACATTTCGATCCACATAATCCACTTCGGCGATCGGCTCGTTCTTCTTTTCTTTACCCATTTTTGTCTAAAATATAAATACGATAAAATTTCAATAATTTCCATAAAATTTTCATTGAAAGTAAAGCAAAATATCAAAATTTTAGTAAGTTTAGAACAGATTTAATAGGGTTAAACAGGCTTTAAACAGGAGACAGAAAAACTGAAATGTCGACTGAAACTGTGTACTGAAATCTTTAACTCTTTACAAAATTAACAATTAACGGTAAAATAGTTAAACAGTTGAACAGTTAAACAGCTAAACAGTTGAACAGTAAAACAACTAATTAAACAGTTAAACAGTTGAACAGTTAAACAGTTAAACAGTTGAACAGTTAAACAGTTAAACAGCTAAGCAGTTGAACAGTAAAACAACTAAACAACTAAACAGTTAAACAGTTAAACAGTTGAACAGTTAAACAGTTAAACAGTTAAACAGTTAAACAGTTAAACAGTTAAACAGTTAAACAGCTAAGCAGTTGAACAGTTAAATAGTTAAACAGTTAAACAGTAAAACAACTAAACAGCTAAACAAATATTTAACAAAATATTGATGCGGGGGAGTGTACAGCCTTTAGGCTAAAAGGGAAAAGAGGGTCGCTTTTATGCCCGTTTGTGCACACTGATGTAAAGAAAAGAATGGGAAATGGCAAGAGATTTGAGAGAAAAAGAAAAAATCGAGAGAGATGGGGGAATGGAAAAGAGTGGTTGTTTCACCCATTTGGCTATCATCCAATGAGAAATCAAAAGTTTTCGCTTCTTGATGAGAACTTTAGAATACTAAATGATTCAATATAATAAATGGAAACTTCTGACTGATTGGAAGAACAAGGAAATCTTGTTTTTTTTTTCAAGTTCTATATAAAAATTTATTCTTCGGCAAGTGGAACAGAAGAATTGACACAGAATAGAATCACTTTTAAGTTTCAGAAGTAAGTATGTTTAATTGAAAATGATGAAAATCTTAAAGACGGCTTTATCTAATAGCTTAGTTCTTTGCAGTAATGCTTTAGATTACCGTATTTCTTTGAATAGAAGACCGGATAAAGAGTATCGTCGCGTACTCCTGCGTAGCAGCCCTTTTTAAAATTTCTTTTCTGCATAAAAGCTTTCAATCAAGTGCTATAGGGCTGGAAAATGGCTCAAAAATACCACATGAGCTAACAGATTTTTGAGCCATTTTCCAGCTCTATAGCACTTGAAAGAAAGCTTTTATGCAGAAAAGAAATTTTAAAAAGGGCTGCTACGCAGGAGTACGCGACGATACTCTTTATCCGGTCTTCTATTCGAAGAAATACGATAATAGATTAATAGATAGAATGGAAAGATTTAGATTAATAGATTAGCTTCTTTTAAATGCTAATTTAAGCTGATAAACGCTTATTTCAAGGACTGAGATTTTCTGGATTGTAAGACAAACCGAAGTAGCTGCAACTGTGCAAAACTGTAATTAACGAGATGGAAATCAATGAGTTTTAGGGTAACAATGTTATCAAAAAACGAATTGCATATTACTCTAGCTAAAAAACAAACAAAAATCAACTACAAACTCTAATCTAAAGAATATATTTGAATCATATTCACGGATTCGATCAGTCAGATCAGATCGATCAGTCAAAGATCGATGCGAACAAATGTGGCTCTTTTTTGAAGCTGTAAGTGATTTCGAGAATTGAACACATTTTAAAAGATAAATTGAGCTAAATTGAGCTCCTTTTGACTCGTAAATTAGCAAAACACACTATTAATTTGATTTTTAAAAGAATTGAAAGTATCCTTGCAGATTTGAACAAAACAAAAACAACTAACAAGCGAAATCAATAGAAACATCCGAATCAATGAATTCATCATTTTCTTGATCATCAATTCCTCGATGTCCTTGAAATCCCGTTGATATGAACGGCTTCAAGAGGTCCTCGATTTCATTTGAGCATTCAAACGCCAAATTTGCACTAGAATTGGAATTGAAATCACTGTCAAGAGCTTCGATCATGTTTTTATCCACTCAAACACACTTTTTCCCAAAAAAAATCCTGAATCAAATCGATGGAGAATTTTAAGGTGCATCTTTTGACTTAACAACGAACCCGATTCATCAAAGCATGGCTGAGAAACAGCCAAAAAACTAAATTGCTTAGGTATTCTTTGTGCGCTCGCACAATCGCGCACTTTCTGGCAGCGGGCTTTTACGTAAAGTCCCTTAGCTCTTTTTATGCCTGTCCACTGGTAAATCGGTTCCTCGGCTTGTAAGAGTATAAACCAGTATTTTGGAGACAGTTTTTAGAAGCTTGCTTCTCGCTGGGTAGATGCTTAGCCGATTCGCGGAAGGCGGCGCGATGGGCTGGGCCTTGGAAAGAATGGCCCGGAGCAGCAGACAGAAAGGATGTTGTGGAACATGGCATTTCACAGTCTTCCGTGAAGGAAACAACTGATGTTTGTGAAACCGCTACTTTCGTGGTGCCACCCGTTGAGGGAGGCAGAATGGTCTGTTGCTCGTAACCGGATTACATTATGCTCCCCTTGGGCTTCGGCTTCCGTTAGCTGTCCGCCACTTGACAATCGTCTAGATGGCCGAAGTTTTCACAGCAGATCAGAGGAATCGTGAAGTAGTTAAACCGACTGGGGATCTGATCAATTCCTTGCACATCAACAAAACATAATTTCGGAGCTTTCTCCTGAAAACCGTTCCCAAATGAGATCTTTTTAGGTAATTGATTCGGGTAATTGATACTTTGTGCGTCTCCGTAAACGCTCGCCTCTTGGCATACCGCTTCCGATCGGTTTAATTACCCAGGAAATGAGAAAAATCTCTCTAGAATCATCAAAATTCAAAGAAATTTGCTGAAAATTTGGTAACCAGGGCTTTTCGATGCCGGGAATTCGATGGAGTTGTTAATTTGACTGTTTTCAAACGTCTTTACTTACAGTACCGAGCAAAGTCGATGAAATTTTTTTATAGAAAATGCCACCCGTTCGTAGGGCTTTTTTTGTTTTTAATTAGAATAATACATGCACGCTTTATTTACAAAAACGAATTTGAAGTTCAGCGTAAAACAAAAAAGTAAATGACAAAACTACTAAAAAAAAAATTTTTGAAGCTAACACCAACGATGCTTACTTTTTGCGATGCTTATTTTTTTTTGCAAAACCAGTTGAAATATTCATTGTTGAAATTTTGTGATCCATTCGGGAGAGCTTTCATCGATTAAAAGTGGTGAGCTCCTCTTGAGCACTGGCTTCAATTTCCCTTCACCAACATCGGTTGCAAGTCGTAGCAACTAAAAATTCGATCAATTTTTTCTTTACTTTTTGATGAAACTTCTTCCGGTCTGAAATCGATATTTGATGGACGAATGTTGACTTCAGAAGGAGAAGCAGAAGGTGTAGGTGCTGGAGGAGGGCTTACGAGTCGATCGATCACTTCTCCAGGTTCCACTTTCTGAAGACAAGGTTTAGAAAGGTTTAGAAAGGTTTAGAAAGGTTTCGAAAGGTTTAGAAAGGTTTAGAAAGGTTTAGAAAGGTTTAGAAAGGTTTAGAAAGGTTTAGAAAGGTTTAGAAAGGTTTAGAAAGGTTTAGAAAGGTTTAGAAAGGTTTAGAAAGGTTTAGAAAACGTTTCAAGCAAGTGAATGATCTAAATTTCAACAAAAAAGCAAATCAACAAACCACTGGATTGATGACAATTCGATTTCCTTGTTTCTTCGCTTGCCCCACAAAGAACTCGGGTACATTGCTAACTTAAAAAAAGCTGAAAAATGAGATGAAGTCCTTTTCAAACCATCTGTGTGAATAGGTTGTTCACCAATTCTTTGCTCAGCCATTGGAATCTGCTGTGATTGCTGGAAAATAAGAAAAATTCGATAAATCATAAAAATTCTATCAATAGAACCTCAGGTTTTTCTACAATTTTCTCTTTTTCCTTTTCTCGTCCCAAATTCACTCGATTCCGATCGACTGTTGATGTCTAAAAAAAACAAAAATAATCAAATAATCAACAAATAATGTCTACATAACAATAATAATCAAATAAAGCAATCAAAATCACCTTTGAAGTATTTGTATCAATTGCCGCTTCTAGAATTTGTCGATTCAATTCATCTTTCGTTAGTACTTGACTCGTGCTCAGAATCGACTCAGTTTTCTAAACTTTTTCGCTTTTAGCTCAAAGATTTTTGTTTTCCTTTTTGAAAACCTCTTCATCATCCGGGAAATCAGAGATCAACTCGCAGTCAAAAAGAAATTTTTGACAACGTTCCCATTGAAAGTTTCGAATGAATGGATTGCAGATTGCATGCGATAGACCCCATAATTCCACACACTGCAAGTATTTATTTTGTTTTGTTTTCCTTTGTTTTACTTTGCTTTGCTTGGCTTTGCTTTACTTTGCTTTACTTTACTTTACTTTGTTTTCCTTTGCTTTCCTTTGCTTTACTTTACTTTAGCTTTACTTTACTTTACTTTACTTTGCTTTACTTTACTTTGTTTTACTTTAGCTCGGCTTTTAACTAGTTTACTTTGCTTTACATTTCAACAAAAAAAAACAATTCATTACCTGTTTGTGCACTTTGACCGCATCACCCATTAAAGCATTCAATTCCGCTCGTTTCTCTTCTCTTTAAATTAACTTTTAAACTCTAATAAGCTTTTTCCCTGACCTAGCTGTAGCATTACAGAAAAGCTCAAATCTTTGACACCATTCCGCTGTCCTTGTACCGGTTCTAGAAAATTCAACTTCAACCTCAAAATTCTATTATATTTACCGGTACTTAGGGTTTATAAATCCCGCAGTTCTCATTATATTCATATATCCTTATACACATAAAACTTCAATAATTACATCAGTGATGTTTATGTCGAATACCTTACAATAAAGCCTATCCAATAAATTTGTATTGTTGAAGTGGATAAAAGTAGGCGCAAAAGGACTGCGGGGCTTATAACCCCTAAGTACCTACCGTAAATACTGTAATAGTACCCCACCCCCATAATGACGGTGCGGAGCGTTGCGTAGTCTAGCTTTGAACGAGTGTTTCTCGACACTGGTTTATGCTACAATGCGCGTTTTGGTATCAAAAAATAGCCTTGAATTTCAGGGCTATTTTTTGATACCTAAGCGCGCATTGTAGCATAAACCAGTGTCGAGAAAAACGCGTCCAAAGCTAGACTACGCGACGCTCCGCACCGTCATTATGGCGGTGGGGTACTATTACAGTATTTACGGTATTTACCTTGCAAGAAGACAAGCGTACGGCTCACAAACACAATCGAGATCATAATAACAACTTTTGCATTCAATTCGATCGGCTCTTGTACAATGTCTAGAAATTTTCGCCTACTTTTCGCGCACACCTCTCACCTCTCATAGTGATCGAATTCTTTCTCACACCAATCTTCTGTTGGATAAGTGAGACGAGAGCATTGATATCTATAAGTGAAGCGATATTTCTGACAACTTTCGAAATGAAACTTGTATCCAAAACAAAAAGGAATCAATTGCAATGGTGGACTTTCGTTAGCGCACGCGATTGCGAATGCGTCAATGGCTTTGTAGCAGAAACGATCCCTCATGAGGCCGGTTCGAAAATGGAAAACTTATAGTTAATATATTAAACTATTCAGCTCGATTTTTAAAGACATCAAATCTTTCTTTAACAATTTAACAAGCCGCCTTCACTACCTCGGTTGACAAAAGAAATTCAAATAATCGGGGAAATGATTGGCTAACACCAGAATCTGAAAAATATCTGATTTCTCAAGAAAACGATTTTCATATTTTTCATATTTCTTTCATTATTTCCATTATCTAAACCTGTTTCTCAATTTTCGGTTCTCGATCGATCACACTTTCTTCACTTGACTCTCCCACAGCCACCGTTAAAATCCCCTCATCATCAATATCTTTAAATTTTCACGAAATCCTATTTATTTTCATTTCGAAATCCTATTTACTTTTCAATTTCGAATTTTAAACACAAACCGATAATTTCTCCTTGTTCTTTTGTGATGATAAAGAGAAAATAGAATAAGATGAGAAAATGAGTGAGAGTTGACATTTGATTTGATATTGGATTGCTTTTTGATTGCTATTTGATTCCTATTTGATTGCTATTCGATTCCTATTCGATTGCTATTTGATTCCTATTTGATTGTCATTTGATTCTCATTTGATTCTCATTTGATTTGAAATCTCCCCAAATCATTTGATTCCTATTCGATTCCTATTTGATTGTCATTTGATTGTCTTGAAATCTCCCCAAATCAATCTCTCATATCATATCACCAAATGAAATCGAAAACTGAAAGCCTGAAAGCTTTTTTTTCTGATTTTTCTGATTTAGCGTTTTCCTTTTAACAATTTTCTTTTGCAATTCATGAAAAATTGATGTGAGAGTCTCGGGATGGGATTCTATAGCAACGGGGAATGTTTGAAGAGAAATTCCCTCAAAAAAACAAAAAAAACTTTCCCTTCACGAGGCTCATGACTCCTTAAGGTCTTAGAAAGTTGATGACTTTGTAAACTAAAAAGTCATGCGCTTTTCTCTACTATTTTTATTTCAAATCGTTATTTCGAAACAAACAAATGCCGGTCAGTTTCTAGCTTTCTAGCCTTTTCTACTAATCTTTAGATACAATCGATGTCAAACAAAGTGAACTCACAGGCTCAATTTTGGAGTCAACGATGAAATCGTGTGAGCAGAACTCGTCGAAATGTCTTCCACCACTTATACCGAGAAGACCACTATGGCTTGTAAGGAATAAACTGAAAAACTAAACTTACTAGGGAATCGTTAAATTTCATCATTGCCAATCCGAACCAAACAAATATGGATTTCGTCAGTCGAACACGGGCAACACGATACTGCTTTTAGTTTTTGTCTAAACGCTTTAGATTTTTGCTAAAAAGGCAAGAGAAATTTGATTATTTTCTTTTACGAAAATAACATTGATTACCATTTTTTTTTTCTCTTCTCATGCCGCTTCCTTAACTTTGTTACTGCGAACCTTTGGCCTAAAATAGCAATAACAACAACAACGTCTAGAGCAAGACCCATTTCTGAAAAGCAGCTTGGAAATCAATGTTATTTTAGTAAAAGAAAATGGAAACATGAAAAGAACTTACTAGGGAATCGTTTGATTTCATCATTGCCAATCCGAACCAAACAAATATGGATTTCGTCAATCGAACTCGGGCAACACGAACGTGTTTTTAGTTTTTGCCTAAACGCTCTAGATTTTTGTAAAAACATAAAAGAAATTTGACGGTCTCAGAATATATAACAACCGCCATCATCAGTGAAATCAGGTAAGTCTGTGTTCAGTGGCAGTGCCTTTTTTACCCTCTGAACCTTTGAAACCCGACTCAGGTTACCCGAGTTCGACCTTCGTGCGAACAATTAGTTTTTGGCTTTTTTTCTTTTCATGTTTCCATTTTCTTTTACTAAAATAACATTGATTTCCAAGCTGCTTTTCAGAAATGGGTCTCGCTCTAGATGTTGTTGTTGTTATTGCTATTTTAAGTCAAAGGTTCACAGTAACAACGTTAAGAAAGCGGCATGAGAAGAGAAAAAATGGCAAATGACAATCAATTTTATTTTCGTAAAAGAAAATAGAAAAATGAAAAGAAACAGTAAAAGAAAATAGAAACATCATCAAATTTCTCTTGAGTTTGTTCTCAAAAATCTAAAGCGCTTAGACAAAAACTAAAAGCAGTATCGTGTTGTCCGTGTTCGTCTGGCGGAACCCATATTGATTTGATTCGGATTGACAATGATGAGATTCGATCTTTCCCTAGTTAAAACTCGATTCTTACAGATATCCGAGCTCCATAAAGTGGCCATGTGCCAACTTCCATCTATTCTTTCACCGCTTCTTGATCGCACTTTTTGCCTTCTCAATCTCCCTTTTGTTGGCGGTCAACCGGACACTTCGTCTCTTGCAAGACAGTTTGAATTCAATCATCTTTTTTACTTTCAAAGCAACTCCTAGAATCTGTGCCCTTTCGCCAACGTATTCCTTTACAATCAAAAACGCTAGTCATTTCTTTGCTGAAGATTGGGAAATTGAGACAACCATAAAGCCAATTGAAGAAAATACTCAAGAAATCACTAAACCATTCGTCAGTCAAGATGATAATGGAAATCCAAGAATCTCGAGGCCAGCCTCTTCTGCTTTATACTCAAAACCATCAACTCTTGCTACTCAATCAAAGGTTTAACAATCAAATTTATTAGGCTTTTCAGTGATTTTAAAGCCTGAACAGCCTATTAGCCTTTCAGCTATCTTTTAAACTATTTTATGACTTTGAAAAGTTTAGCCAACCCAAGCTGCCCTCAAGAGCTCACCAAGTGATTCAGCTAGACGATCTCGTCCCAGCAATTCCTCGACATTTTCTAAACCATCCCCCCTGGCCACCAATGAAAAACCCTCTCTTTCTGGTACTTTGACTGGTACTGAGCAAAACTCTATCGAATCTTTTTCAGCAACTCGATCTGAAGTCTCGTCTGATGCTCGTTTCTCTAAACCATCTCAACAAGGAATGCTCTCATTACCCGAATTCGCAGCCTATCGCTCGAATCCTTCACCAGAATCCACTCGTTCTCTTCCACTTACTCCATCTTCTTTTTCTCTACCATCAAAAGAATCAAGTATTGCTTGAATTAGGGTGTGTTCCTTGCAGACAACGCGTTTTCTAAAAAGCGCGCGCCAGGGATAAACTACCGTAACCCTATGCTTTGCATCAGCAAATTTTTCAAAATGCAAATTTACATTAAAATCTTGCGCTCTTTTTTTTGTATTACTCTTTCCTTAACTCTATTACTCCTTCCTTAACTCTATTACTCTTTCCTTAACTCTATTACTCCTTCCTTAACTCTATTACTCTTTCCTTAACTCTATTACTCCTTCCTTAACTCTATTACTCTTTCCTTAACTCTATTACTCTTTCCTTAACTCTATTACTCCTTCCTTAACTCTATTACTCTTTCCTTAACTCTATTACTCCTTCCTTAACTCTATTACTCTTCCTTAACTCTATTACTCCTTCCAACTCTATACCCTCCAACTCTATTACTCTTTCCTTAACTCTATACTCTTTCGTTAACTCTATTACTCCTTCCTAACTCTATTACTCTTTCCTTAACTCTATTACTCCTTCCTTAACTCTATTACTCTTTCCTTAACTCTATTACTCTTTCCTTAACTCTATTACTCCTTCCTTAACTCTATTACTCTTTCCTTAACTCTATTACTCTTTCGTTAACTCTATTACTCCTTCCTTAACTCTATTACTCTTTCGTTAACTCTATTACTCCTTCCTTAACTCTATTACTCTTTCCTTAACTCTATTACTCCTTCCTTAACTCTATTACTCTTTCCTTAACTCTATTACTCTTTCCTTAACTCTATTACTCCTTCCTTAACTCTATTACTCTTTCCTTAACTCTATTACTCTTTCGTTAAAACTTAAAATTTTTTAAATGCTATTTAAAATTAAAGAAAACATTTAAAACGGGAAAAGCTAAGAAACACTATTAAAAAATGATATTATTTACGAATTTACCAGGCCTATTGTCTACATTTGCACTAGAACCATTCCAAAAAAAAAATTCCACGCCCTAAAAAACCTAAATCCTTAAATAAAACTATCCATTACTACATTTTAAGAAAAGTTCGCAAATTTTTTTCGCGCCACCTTTATAGCTTTGCTTAAAAAGCGCACCTTTTAGAAAACGCGTTTTCGGAAGTTTGTCGGATCAATTGTCTGACAAAAAAGTTGTCAAGGCAAATTTGTCTGACAAATTGTCTGTCAACAAGGAGCACACTCTAGTTTGAATCACTTCTACATAAAACTTTTCAGCTTTTTCAATGCCTCATGGAAATGTTTCTTTTTCACTTCCTTCACCTATCATTTTTTATTCAAAACCAACAATTTCGGTAAGATTTCAAAAGTTTTTTTCAGTTTTAAAATCAATCTAAATGATCAACTTATCAAAATCTCACCAAAATCTCACCAAAATCTCATCAAAATCTCATCAAAATCTCATCAAAATCAATTAGATCAAATTCAGATTTTATTCTCATCACCATCTGGAAGTGCTTACTTTGCTAAAACCAATGAGAAAGAGATTCCATCAAAAGAAATTCTTTATTCAAAAGCGATCAATTCAATGCGTGATTCACCAAAATTTGAATCACTAAAATCAACGCCGGAAAAAGAAGCACTAAATGGAAAACCGATGAATGAAAATGTGTTTTCTCAGCCAAAATCATCTTCAATTTCTTCAAAACCAAATGTTTTTAACTCAGAAACGACTCAAGAAGGAGTAGAAAAGTTTAGAAAAAAAAAATATGCTAAATTTTATACCCATTTTTAGAAAGATCAATTTCCCTGCAAAAGCACAAACGGAATGGACATTTCTCGCGGCTGTACAAGAGCCATTCTCGAGATTCATTCTTAATTGGTGGAGTCAATGTGTAAAGTTTGAGAAATTTGAAATCTTTTTCAATATTTTCAAATATATTCAATAGACCAGCGACACTTGGAGAGAAATCGTGCTATGGTTGTCGGGAAAATATTAGCTGTCTTTTGGAAACAATTCATCAAAAAGCTTTACTCATCTTGACCGAAGATATCAGCAATTTCGAGAAAGATTCAGTGATCGGATACTTTTTGCCGCAAAACTGGTATCAAGAAAACAACAATGCTGGAATGGCTGGAATGGCAACTTTAGGCAATGCGATTTCGCTCGTTTTCCCTATCACATCATTGAGTATTCGACGGTGGGAGAAGTTGTGTCATATGTGGAGAAAGCGATTCAATCGATTATCGAACTGACCACGCAAAGACAGAGGTGAATATGAGAAGAAAAAGATACCAAGAGATCTAATAGCAATCTAATAGCAATCTAATAGCGATCTAATAGCGATCTAATATCGTTCACCTTTCAGTTCATCAGCTCTTCTCATCTCTGATCCATTGAGAGACACGACTTTCTCTGATTTCAACGAAAAACTCTCCTTTCTTCTTTCTTCTCCTAATCTTCTTGAATCAATTATTCGAATTTATTACCACGATTTTGTTCTTTTCGGTTTTCATGGGTATTTCACGAATGGTAAAGGTGGATAAAGTTTATTAATCAATGATGATTATGATTCGTTTTCTATGATTCGTTGCTCGGCTCTAGACCTGGCAACGGGATACCAAAAAAGATAAAATCGTAATAGAAAATGTGAAGGAATTTCTTGAAAAGTTCCGGCGTTGCAAGCAATTTCTTCAAATACACATTTTTTAAGTCGTTCTTTTTCGTCGCATGCGGTGACTTGTAGTTCAGCTCTTTTTCAATGTACTCGAGTTGTCTAAAAGGAATTTGATCTATAATTCGATTTACAGCTAAATGGTTTTTAGTTCTAGATCTAGTTCAAGCTCTAGCTCTAGTTCTAGCTCTAGCTCTAGCTCTAGTCCTAGTCCTAGTTCTAGTTCTAGCTCTAGCTCTAGCTCTAGCTCTAGCTCTAGTTCTAGCTCTAGTTCTAGCTCTAGCTCTAGTTCTAGCTCTAGTTCTAGTTCTAGCTCTAGCTTTAGCTCTAGCTCTAGTTCAAGCTCTAGCTCTAGTTCTAGTTCTAGTTCTAGTTCTAGTTCTAGTCCTAGTCCTAGTTTTAGTTCTAGCTCTAGCTCTAGCTCTAGCTCTGGCTCTAGCTCTAGCTCTAGTTCTAGCTCTAACTCTAGCCCTAGTTTTGAATCCCACTCATCAGTCTCATGAATCCCACTCAAAACCCACTCATCAGTCCCATTAGCGGCTCGTATTACATCAAGAAATTTCTCCTTCATCACGACTTTTCCAAAAGCATCATCACCATAAGGAACAATGAAATATTGTTGTGCCCGGAATGGACAATACCTGAAAACATTTAAATAAATTTTATTGCCAAATAACTTCAACCAGTTTTGCGGTAAAAAGTGTTTTTGCTCATAGTCTGGTCCAAATGGATTATTCGAAAAACGACGCCCTTTCTTGTAGAAATTGTCCAAGAAACAGCTGAAATTATATGAGATTTTTGAAATATTTCTTTATTCATTTATTTCGTTCAACCTGAGACTCCGATTGCAATGATAGCAGCGGCTCTCGTCGAGGTCGAGCTCGCTGAAATTTTCCACTCACCTTAGATTCCGTTGGCAATTGTAACACAATTTCGGAGACTGTTTTTGCTCGCTACAAAAAAATTAGCTTTAAAGTTTAGAAAAATTAAGAAAGAAAGAAATAAAGGAAGAAAGAAAGGAAGGAAGGAAGGAAGAAAGAAAGAAAGAAAGGAAGAAAGAAATATTATGCTTCAAGACTCACTAGACACATTTATCCATGAATCCTGAGAGAAATCGTGTGATCGGATGACGAATGACGGCAGCTAAATGAGAAAAAAAAAGATTTATCTTCTGTTAAACTACTACAGTTGGGAATATGACAAACTATTTATTGGTTGAATTAAGTGTTTTAAAGATCTGAGATTAAAGATTAAAGATTTAAAGAGCGTTTTTTTTTAAAAGATCCATTGCCTACCTAACGAATAATTAACTGGTAACACATTGTATCGTCCCTCGATCTCGATCTCTCCACCACAAAATCTGGAACGAAAAAAAACTCACAAAGCAGATCAAAACTCGTGCCCCGCCGGGACTCGAACCCGCGACCTTTCGCTCATCGGCCAACTGTGCCATTATACCAAAATGGTTCCGGTTTCTTTTACTCCAGAGGGAGTAAAGCAAACCCGATCCATTGTGGTCCATTCAACTATCACTAATTTCTCTCACAAACCTAATAAACCACGTATCCGTGTGTATATTTCGACCTTTAGCCAGAAATTCTTTCGATCGATTCAAATAACAGAGAGTGGCCGTCATAAATGTTGACATCACTTTCTCGATTTTGCAAAAAGCCAGTTTATTCCCGTGTGAAACCTAAAGAATTTGAGATAATCAGAGGGAAAGTTCTAGCTTCGAAATAATCCTTTTTAAAAGCCTCTTTTTAAAAGCCCCTTTGTAAAACCAACCACCCATGTGGAAGTTTTGTTAACGAGTGGCGGTAGACAGGGACTGTCTCGATCCAGTGAGCATTCAGCGGACACTTCTAATGAAAGTCTCCCCAGTTCGCTTATTCCACTTCTTGCTTTCATCTCGATCATTGCTAAACTTTAATTTCTACCGATTTACAATCCAGAGATTTACTCTAACTATCTATGTTATTCGGCTTTCCAAAAAAACGACAGCTGGACAACTATCTTCTGGACAGCTATCTCTGGACAACTATCTTCTGGACAGCTATCTCTGGACAACTATCTTCTGGACAGCTATCTCTGGACAACTATCTTCTGGACAGCTATCTCTGGACAACTATCTTCTGGACAGCTATCTCTGGACAACTATCTTCTGGACAGCTATCTCTGGACAACTATCTTCTGGACAACTATCTTCTGGACAGCTATCTCTGGACAACTATCTCTGGACAGCTATCTTCTGGACAGCTTATCTTGATATCTTATCTTGATCTCTTGAAGCTAAAGGTTTGATGCTTAAATATTTTTCATTCCAGAATGGTAGTTTCCAGAGCAGATTCTTATTACTTACCGGATCTTTTTACTTACCAGGCATATAATTCTCTGGAGTATTCACGATCACAAAAATTACCAAAGCAACAGATGCAATACCCTGAAAACTGCTATGACATTAATCTTTTCTCTAAACTAACCAGGAATGCTCTTGAGCTAAAAAAGGTAAGCATTTGAGCAGAAAAAAAATCAGATTACCAACTGAAGCAAAAATGAGATCAAAGAGGATCTAGATTCAGTGAAATTGTTCTGTTTTAGAATTAACAGAAAGAGAGAATGTACAGAATGTACAGAATGTGAATGCGCGGCGTGGATTTTCACCTCCGATCCCCCAGCAGATGTACAAATAAGTCTTGTCGAAAAAATTTCCGAATTTTCTGGACGATCACCACCGGAAAAGGATCCTTTTAAAATGCACATGTGAAATTGAACGCTTCTCCAAAGCAATTTTTTTGGTGAACTAGATTTGAAAGCTAGGACTTGAAAGCTAGCTTTTGAATAGTATTTGTGCTTTGAATAGTATTTGAATAGTATTTGTGCTTTGAATAGTATTTGAATAGTATTTGTGCTTTGAATAGTATTTGAATAGTATTTGTGCTAATCATGATTAATCCAGCTTACTGTTTTGAAAAGAAATCAAATTGAAATATAATTGAAATAGAATTGAAATTGCATTGAAATAGAATTAAAATAGAATTGAAATCGAATTGAAATCGAAATGAAATCGAATTGAAATTGAATTGAAATAGAATTGAAATCTAATTGAAATCAAATTTTATTAGCTGAATCCTTGCTATTTATGAGAATGATATGGCACAGGGAAACCGAGAAGAACGAAATCAAAGTAAAATATTTCGATAAGTTTCCTCACGACGTATTGATTTGACCATAATTCTCGCTCAACTGATTGCTGAAACTAATTTAGAAAAGATTTTTTAAATATTACATTTTTTCTCACCTTTAAACTTTCATTTTTCAATCCATGTGGTGATTTAAAGTTGAGCTCTTTTTCAATGTATTCAAGATCGCTAAAATTATAAACAATATAATTTCTGGTGAAATGGTGAACAAAATCTAGATTCAAATCTAGTTTACGATTTCTTAAAGATACAGTAAAGTCTTAAAGTCGGATCAAACAGTTTTGTGATCGACAAAAAAGAGCTAAAGATCTCGTATCTTTAGCTCAGGTTCAGGCTTTACTCTACCATGTTTGTGGGAAGAAATGTTTCCCCTCATACAGTAGGGTCCAAAAGTTTGGAACAATCACCTTCCGGCAACTTTAACTCGATGTAACTTGCGTTAAATACATTCAATTTTGTTACTTTAAAAACTATTTTTGTTGCATTTTTTGTGAACTTTCTGAATGTCTATTTGATTTTATTTGATATTTGATCTTTTTTTTTGCCTTGCTCTATTTCTTGGAACGCCCATTTTTTAGGGGTCCAAAAGTTTGGAACAATTTCAAAAATAACAATTCATTTAACGATTAACCGGCAAAATTCAGTATTTTGTGGCGTATCCCTTTGCTTTAATAACAGCTGCGCAACGATTTGGCATCGAATCAATCAAATTGTCAATTATTTGCCTTGGGATCTTAGTCCATTCCTCCTCAAGCGCTTTCATGAGTTCTGATGTTTTTGTGAAGTTTCTGGTTCGGATTTGTCGGTCCAAATGCTCCCAAAGATGCTCTATTGGATTCAGATCAGGGCTTTGAGCCGGCCATTGAAGCACATCGACGTTTTTTTGTTGAAGCCATTGCTTAACACGCTGGGCCGTATGCTTCGGATCATTATCGTGCATGCAAATGAAGTCGTTGGCCAAGTTGTTTCTGCCGTGTGGAAGCATATGGGTCTTCAAGATGTTTTCATAAACAGCTGCATCCATAATACCATTGATTCGGACAATTGGACCGACACCGTATCGTGAAAAACAACCTAAATTCAAATAAGCTCCGTTGATAATGGAGGTAACCAACCCCAAACGATAACTGATCCACCGCCGTGTTTGACTGTTGGAATTTGATACTTTGGATTGTTTCTTTGATTAATTGGACGTCTAATGTATCGAATTCCATTGGTGGAAAAGAGCTCATATTTGCTTTCGTCACTCCACAATACATCACTCCAATCATCAGCCGACCAGTCTTTGTACTTCTTGGCAAACTCGAGCCGAGCCTTCACGTTCTTGCCGGAAATCAACGGCTTTCGAGACGGACGACTTCCTTTGAGTCCTTGTCTCCTAAACAGCAATATTTTATTGCTTTTTAAATCATAAAATGACTTTAAGATGCGCTTAGCCGTCGTTTTGGTGAGCGAAACTCCATAGCTTGACTCGGCGTCTCGACGTAGATCAGCTGAATTGAGGCGTGGATTCTTCTTAAATGGAAGCACAAGTGTCCTCTCATCACGCTCATCCAGTTTAGCTGGCCTTCCCTTTGTTGCTGCTCGTTTCACATTTCCGGAAACCTTCCATTTGTTATAAATCTTGGTTACTGCTGAATGGGTGACACCGAATGTTGTGGCGACTTCTTGACGGCTCTTTCCTCGATTTACTTCAGCCACAATAAGTTCTTTATCATACTCCGTCAAATTCGAACGATTTGGCATCTTAAAATTAAAAATGTATTGATATTTTTGAAATTGTTCCAAACTTTTGGACCCCTAAAAAATGGGTGTTCCAAGAAAAAGAGCAAGACAAAAAAAAAAGATCAAATATCAAATAAAATCAAATAGACATTCAGAAAGTTCACAAAAAATGCAACAAAAATAGTTTTTAAAGTAACAAAATTGAATGTATTTAACGCAAGTTACATCGAGTTAAAGTTGCCGGAAGGTGATTGTTCCAAACTTTTGGACCCTACTGTAGGTGAGATACTTTGTTCCCTTAGCTACAAATCTATAATCAAGATCAAGACCTAATTTTATAGCAGTTGTAAAGCTTTATAACTGCTATAGAATTACAAGCTCTACAAGCTCTACAAGCTCTACAAGCTCTACAAGCTCTACAAGCTCTACAAGCTCTACAAGCTCTACAAGCTCTACAAGCTCTACAAGCTCTACAAGCTCTACAAGCTCTACAAGCTCTACAAGCTCTACAAGCTCTACAAGCTCTACAAGCTCTACAAGCTCTACAAGCTCCACAAGCTCCACAAGCCCCACAAGCTCTACAAGCTCCACAAGCTCTACAAGCCCCACAAGCTCCCACAAGCTCTACAAGCTCTACAAGCCCTACAAGCTCTCCAAGCTCTACAAGCCCCCACAAGCCCACAAGCTCCATAAGCCCCCAAGCTCTACAAGCTCTACAAGCTCTACAAGCTCTACAAGCTCTACAAGCTCTACAAGCTCTACAAGCTCTACAAGCTCTACAAGCTTTATAACTGCTATAGAATTACAAGCTCTACAAGCTTTCCCTTTCAGAAAAACTTACATCTGTTGAACTCTAGCCTTTTTAAGGAATGCAATGATTTGTTGTGTCATATTAATTCTTGCAAGAGCCGAATCTCCGTAATGAACAATCGAATAGGGAAATTGATTGAAAGCACAGTACCTAGAAATGTATTCCTGAAATGTTTTTGGAATGTTTTTTGTTTTTTGAACAAACCATGTTTGCGGGAAGAAATGTTTCCCCTCATAGCTGAGATATTTTTTTCCTTTAGCTTGCACAAACATTTTCGCGTTTTTATACAATTTCCCCACAAAACATGTCATATTCCCAGCACAGGAGTAGCAATTTTTCGCGTATTTTGTCCGACTTTGCCTTTCACTAAATGATTTTGAATTGAACATTCATTTGAATTGAAAAGCTATGACTAGTCGTGCGTTTCTTTTAAGTTTTCTTTTAACTTACATTTCACGGGGGTGGGACAAATGCGACCTTTTTTTGCGCACCTGGACATTTGCGCACCTTTTTTTTTGCTGGAAAACGCCTTAGGCAAGGCCGTAGAGCTTTGAAAATATTTCCATATAAGGGAATCGTATGCGTAGATTCCGAATTTCGACAAATCAGACCTCGATGACACGTCAAATTTGGGCTAAAAGGCAAAAACTGCGGAAAAGCGTTAAGTTGCGTAGTTTTTGCCTTTTAGCCCAAATTTGACGTGTCAGCGAGGTCTGATTTGTCGAAATTCGGAATCTACGCATACGATTCCCTTCTATGAAAACATTTTTGAAGCTCTACGGCCTTGCCTAAGGCCTTTGCCAGCAAAAAAAGGTGCGCAAATGTCCAGGTGCGCAAAAAAAAGGTCGCATTTGTCCCACTCCCCATTTCACTTACATTTCACTTACATTATACATTTGTTGATGTAACCAGAAATGAAACGAGAGATCGGCTCTCGAACGACGGCGAGAAAGTTCCAATCTTTTGGTAGGGTCGTTTGATCTCGTCGCTGATCGGAGTCGTTTTTCAATGGAAATCCATTATATTCAATCGATTTCCCGCAAAGTCTGTAAACTTGTAGCAATTGCTAGATTTATTAGGTTGACAAGAAAGTCTATAGAATTTTTTTGTCTCTAATTTCTCTAAATCTTTGAGGATCAGAGACAATCGCTGATAAAAGGGTTTGTTTACTTTCCTCTTAATCGCTTTTTTGAATATTAATCGTGAATTTTCTATTCCTATTCTCTCCTATTAATCGCTGAAAAGTCCAAATAAAATTCATAAAACAGCTCTTGTCAATCTTTTACAAATCGATAACAAACAATCAACTAGAGATCTGGGAAAACAACTTCAGACCTCGCATACAACAATTGAAAATCACAATTCTAGGCCTCGAAATTTGGGGCGTGGATTTGATTGATGTGATGAGATTGCCATCTGATTACGCCATCAAGAAGCCGAGATTGCGTCTCTCAATCTCGGCTTATTCTTTCAAGATATTCTCTTATTCCACATGTTCTTACTGGTAATGAAAATTGGTTATTATATTTCAACTATCGAGGCACAAGTTGGATCCAAGAAAAAACAAAACCTGAGCCGAAGCCAGAATTCCAGAAAAAGAGAATGTTATGCATTTGGTGGGATATATCCCACCAAATGCTGGGAATTGCTTATTTTACTGGAATTTACTGGAATTTACTGAGAATTGCTGCCTGAAAGTACGACAGTTACAGCATCACTATACAGTTGGATAAAGTGGCTGATGAAATCACAAAAGAAAGGGCTAAACAAGGGAAAAGTTCGCAAACTGAGCCCGCTAGCCAAAGAAGTTGGAGTCCAAAGACCAAAGTTCAAAGTTTTTGGAGAAAGGAGCCCGCACTTTGCCCAATAAATGGCAGAATGTAATTCTTAAAAGTGGCGATGATCTTGAATAAATGTTTTAATTTTTGAGAAATCACTGTGTAAACTTTTTCTACGAACTTTCTTAATATAAACTGTTGAATTTGCTTCAACGAACCTTTTCGACCAAAGCTCGGTGTGAATGGAGCGATTCGCGCGAAGAAAGCGTTCCTTTTTCACCAAATAACACGTGGTTGCCGTGAGAAAAGTCGACATTACTTTCTCGATTTTACAAACAGAAAAATGATTTTGTTTTGAGGTCTAAAATCTAGTAATGAAATATTAAATAATAATTTTTTTAAAAAAAACGACCAAAAAGGTGGGAGTCCGTGGCACGTAAGGGGGGAGACAAGAAGTGTGTGGCCCGATTCGACATAGCTTCACCACCGATGCAACCACCTACAATAAAGCTATAACAATAACAATTCGTAGAAAACAAAACTTTTTCTATAGTATCCTGTGGATTTGTTGGCTGGAGTATTTCTCCAGAAAATCGAGATGAAATCGCTGAAAAATGATTAAATGAATTGAGCATTTTCTTCAATCAAACTTCCTCGAATTTGTCGAAAATCCTCAAATTTCCCAGCAAAGAGAAAAGTGACCAAAAGAATTGAAAATATTCCAAATAAACACTAAAAAACCTTGTGATTTTATTGATTCAACAAACCCCAATTTGTCGGCTAAAACAATTGGATCTGGTCATAACATCGTGTGTAAGAATTCTGAATTTAAAAATTTAGAATTACGTTGTGGCTCAAAAATTTTCAAACCGATTTAAATATACCACTCAAGTAAGTAATACTTTACTAACTATAGCAGTTAGACAAGAGATTTTGTAGTATCTCTAACAATAAAGAAAGTGAAGTGGAACAGAATGGTACATTTCCAGAAGTGGAGCAAATGGTATCGCTTTCTGGATGGAATGGAAGCTCAATGATAAAACTTGGTTTAGCACCGGTTTGCGTAAAAGGTAAATAAACTTATCATAAAAAAAATAGTGTAAGATTGGGAAAGAAATAGGCACCATAATGACTTTTTAAGCTCTCATCAAGATCTCTGACTCTAAATCAGCTTATTCTCAGAGTTTCGATGAATTAGTTTTGAAAATGAAATGAAATGATGAAAAAGTTCTAGTTTTTTTTTTTTAGGAAATCTAATTCTAAGCTGAAAAATTGATTGAATAAAGTCTTTCAAAAGTTTCAAAAGTTTCAAAGCAGTAGAAAGGTGAAAAAGAAACGAAAATGAGAAGCTGATGTGGTTGATCCCTTGTTGATTGCCTCCCACCCATATTTTATGGCGAAAAGTTTAGCGGAAAGCAACACTAACGAGAAATAAATCAAAAAAAAAAGGCTAAAGTATACTTTACTCCCCAATTTTTCCTCAAAAAATTTTCTAGATCCATTTTTTCCATTTTCTAGGTCCATTTCTAGATTCTAGATTGATAGAGTGACTTGGGTGAAGGCACATCCGCGTGAAACTGCGTTTTCTATTCAATCTACATGTTTCAGTATTCATTTAACGCAGAAAAATGTTCTGAATTGAAAGAAAATTATCAAAATCCGTCTTGTGGATTTTTTTAAAGTCGCATTTTATCAAAAATCGATCATTTTACACAGAGACGGCCAGACTCACCTGTATTTGGCCCTCCACTACTCGATGATAACAGAAAATTAGGGAAAGTCAGAGAGTAGACTTTGTAAAACTGTTGTCTGCGATGATTTTGAGACCAAAATCGTATTAATTGATCAACTCACAAAAAAGTTATAAAAGTTTGAAGAGAAAAATGAAACTTTACGACTTTCTACGCCCTAAAACGTGGATAATACCGTAACCCTTCCTATGGCGAAGAAAAAAAAGCTACATAAACAGCGCTTGCAAAGGATTTTTTCATTTCTTTTTTCTTCTTTTTTCGAGCTTCTTTTTTTCGATACTTTCTCATTCTTATTGTTCTAATTGTTTCTTTTTTCAGATACCCCATTAATGATCGGATCAATCAGCATAAGCACAAATATGGATTTAACGAGGTTATGTTTTTTTTCTGTGGTTGTGGTTTAAGCGTGAAAGTTTAGTTTTTCTTCGATAGCAGCAACAGAATGTGAAGAACTATGGTTTAAATCAAAAGTGTGTAAAGGTCTGTTTATTTAAAAATCATGAAAATAAATGCATCAAAAATATAAGTAGCAGTTAACAAAATTCGATTAAGGGAGCAGTAAATCTTTGTCAAAAAGTAGAACGCCCTGTGTGTATGTTCTTGCTGCATGTAGATAAATTTCGAGATCATCCGCGCGTTTAATCCTCTTACATAGCTGATTGGAGACAAAATGAAGACATTCAAGACCTTCTTCTGACATAGATCCTAGCGCTTTATGTGTTGACAGAAAAACGGGAACGTGTGCAATTGTTACGTGGGCTTTCACAGTTTTTAGTCCAATACTGTTTAGTTCCATAGCGTTAACTCAGTTGGCTGCAGCTGAAAATATTACTTGGATTTCTTTTTTGGACTAAACGCTCTTTGTAGATCTGAGCTTTCGCGAGAACTAATTAAAAACCTCCAGACAATCGCATAACTTTTTGTAGCCAAGTTGAACTAACAATCGGACGAAATGCGGTGATGTTTGCACATATTTTTTTCAACTCTGGTCCGTTCAAATCATCGAATTTGTAAGAATTACCCTTTTCTCCGTTAAGATCCAGTTTTTCAGTCCATTGCAAAAAACCTCTGCTTTTTTGAATGGCTTGCACGAGCCTCTGTTTCCATAGCTTTAAAAATGCAATTACCCAAACCAAGTTTAAGGTGTAGCACTGGAGGAATACATCACGGTGGATCTATCGGCCAAATGTATCGACGAAAGACGCCCAACTTCTCTTCAGGTTTGGCAGATTTTCTTTGCAGAATTTCATCAAAGTGTTTGATTGTTCGAGCAGAATCTTTCTGTCTATCGAAATTCGTGATTACTTTTGCTGGATTTAGGGATTTGTCCACTTTGTATATACACCAAATGCATGGGTAAGTTGACGCATTGGAAATACCAAATGAAGATGCAAGAAAGCTGAGATCGCCCCCCCAAAAACATCTGTCTGTTGAGGTGATTTTGTGGTGCGAGCTTGTCGGCAATACTGATGTATTTTAGCAGATTTTGATGGTCGTCTCCTCCTTTCCAAACGGCAAGATTCAAGTGTTTGTAACACGATTGAGGATTATTTTTCTTGTCTCGTAGCATAAGCGTTAACTTTGTACTTATCGCCCATTTTAATCAATCATTTCGTTTCAGAATCGGTCAGCTGGCTCAATCGATATTTTACTGCTGCAAGTAGATCTTTCAATACAATGGCGTTGTCTGATATCTCATAATCGACGTGTTTTGCTGAAGCTTTTCGAATCCTGTCCATTTGATACTCGCTGGCAAAAAGAGATGTGGCACGGCTATACATTCTGTGAGCATCACGAGTAATTTTAGATTTTGACAAAGCCAATGTTTCAAGAGGGGAAAGAAGAGATGCGCAACCAATTCAACGCTTACGTTGTTTTTCGGGCTAGACGAAGCTTCTGCAACAGTTCAACACGTTTGCGCTTTTTGATTCCACTAATCTCCTTTTTTCTTGCTCTCATCCTTTCCAACTGTATTTGGCTTAAACCCTTCATCCGTTGCTTCTCTTTTTTGTCTTCAATAAATTGCTTTCCTATTTTGCTATGTTTCTTGACCGATAAACTATACACTTACCAAAAAAAGAATACTTGTTGACAATATTTTTGAGTTTTCAAGCCATGCCAGAAATCAGCTTTCGAGTTTTGGAAACCAAACATCTTTCTGAGTTATGAAATCAAAAATTATAGCTCAATTTATACTGATTTATACTTTATGATTTGTTTAGGATACGATTTCTTTTTAAATTGTTTAATGGGTTTTGTGGATGTACTTTGATTGCATTTAGACATTTATCGATTAGAAGGATCATTATGAAACAAGAATTTTTTCCCTTAATCCATCAGTGAGTGATTCGGCAAATCCTAAAATAGATAATTTAGCTGCGTATTTTTTTATACGTGTAAATAGGAATCCGAATATGGAGTGTTTTGCGGAGTGTCACATTGGCTCACTGGAATCGAGAGTCCTTCGAAAACACCAGCGTTGATCTCGCGTATTAGCTGGAAAAGATTGAGATTTTGCAAGAAAGTGTTGGTAATTGCAACTATTGGGTTGGGGAGAATGAGTCGGCGCCGAAAATCAAAAAAATGTCTAAAACTTCTATTCGACTTCGTCAAATAATATGCGTTTGATATGAGTAGAATGGTTAACTAATTCTCTACAAAATGACATTTAAAAGAAAATTCAAACAGCGCCTCCGCTCAAGAAAAAGCCATTTTTTCACAAAAACTACAAACTGTGATCTAGAAAAAACCTTTGGTGGGATCTTCCTGCAAATTTGGCAACTTAAGTAATTGAATGTGCTCTATCTTTTTTATATAAACACCAAAGAAGGTTTATGTGAAAGAAACTGTTCAAATGATGAGTCGGACTCTTTGCCATTTTAACCAGCTGCGTTTGGAAGTTCATAAACTCCACGAAAGAAAAGCTTTGTGGAATCTCTCAAAAGTGATTTTGTAGAGAAATAGTGGATCCTTTTGATGAAACCAAACGTATGTTTAAAGAAGGCTTTATGTGTGCAAAAAGTCCCTTTAAAGTTTGGCGCCGACTCATTCTCCCCAACCCAATAGAATGTGTCGCTCGCGAACACGTTTTCTAAAATGCGCCCCGTATCGTAATCCTGTCGATTTTAATCGTCTAACTTTAATCGATTCATTAATTGATCGCAGGACTCTAATTGTGACTGATTACCAAATTTGATGGCTCATACGGGGTATTCATTGGTGTATCACATTGAACAAGCTCTATCTCGACCGGGATCCCATCTGTTTCCTCCATGTCTTCACGCCGACGCCCTTTTGAGTCACGCGCTGAAAACCATTGTTCAACAGTTCAACTCTTTGACTTTAACGCAAGATTTCTTCAAGATATGTTTCAAAATATGACAAACATAAAAGAACTTTGATAAAAATGACCACTTCTTTTTTGGAATAGATTACTTAAGCAAAATCTACACTCAATGATCTACAATCTACATTCAATACTTGTTGAAGCGGATCCATTTTTATACAAAATTTCATCTTAGCTTTCTTTACCTTCAGCCTCCCCCTCGGAAACGCGTTTCTCTCGTGCTCGATGCAATGTGGGCGCATCGAAAAGTCCCCTTCGTCGGAAACTGCTTATCATATCTGGCGATCGACCAATCACCGGTAATTCCAAGCCTTGTGATTCCTTAGAATAAATAATATTTTTAAACATCAACATCACCAACTCTTCTATGCTGTTCCAATACACGCAATGGATCAAATGGTTTCAATGCGGATGTCTCAGCTTCATCGTCACTCTCATCTTTGTGTGGAGGCTCAATTCTGACTCCATCCATAATACTCAATCTTCTCATCAGTTCCGTATTTGAGAGGAAATTTGTTGATGATTGTCGCTAAAGAAAAGCTTATAGAGTTTATGGATAGTTTATAGACCTTTAGCTTATGGACCTTTAGCTTATTTTAATGTAAAATGAAATCATTATGGTAAAAACAAGGCTTAGTTTGATTCCTACATGATTTCTGCTTTTGCATAAGCAATTCAATTACCCTAGCTGGTTGGTAAACTGGGCTCGCTGTAGTGCCGAATGGTGAGAGTTTTTGAGCAGCTAAGTAAATCTAAAATTCGTGGGTTATTCTAAAAAAAATGTTTATCAAACCGCATCAGCGATCCACTCCAGAGTGATGTTTGACGTCCAATAGTCGGTTTCTTCCGAAATCAAAGCTGTGTACTGAAAAGATTGCCTAGATTTTGTTATATTTTATTATTTTGTTACATTTTATCTATATATTTTCCTATATTTTATTACATTTTACCTGTTGATTTGCCAAAATCTCGACCTCCATCTCGTACTCGCCATCACCCATTTCAATGTCCATCATTTCTCCATAATACTCATCATTTATGATCTCGTTTCCCGTTGGTTCATCATAATATTGCTCACTCATTGTCGTTTCTTCGATTTCTCCCACTTTTCCCGGAACTTCCTCCTAGTTTCAGATTGTTTTAACGGAAATTTTTGACAGACTATGAAAATGGGCAAAATGAGACCAAGATAAGAGGGAAAAATAAGTGCAAAGAGAAGACTTTATATGGCAATCGATTGATTTTCTTCCCGAAAAAACGGTGTTAAAATTTGCAGCCAACACGGTGATTGATATGGCTTTCATAATGGTTTTCATAATTCCTTTTCACCTCTCCAACTTCCACATCTTGTGGCGGATCGACGATCACAATGGGCGCCTCGATTTTCACCGATTTTCTCGTTTTTCCCTAGATATTGTTTGCAATACTGCAATACAGAGGTGAACCGTATCCAAAGGCTCAGATCCAACTACGAGCTTTTTAACCAGCAGCAATAATGACATACACTTTGAGAGCTGGAATTACCGCGGCTGCCGGCACCAGACTTGCCCTCTCATTGATCCTCGTTAAAGGGTTTAAATTGTACCCATTTCGATGACTATGATAAAATTTCTGCTAAACTTACATACGGTAACTCATTTCTCAGCACATACGCACACTCAATCGCATCCACATAATCTTTCAAATCTTGCTGTAAACTGTAACTTTAGATCTAAAAATTCTAAAGAATTAAAACCTTCTCCTTTTCTGTTGCATTTTCCGGTAAAGCGTGCAAGGCTTCGAGAGCGATTTGTTGACATCGAATCATTAAATCCTAGATTTTGTAAGAGAATTTGCTGTACAATTGATTCTAACATGTTCAGCGTATTCTTTAAAATACGAAAATATCGTGCAAAAATCGAGAACAATAGCAAGCCGTTGAAGGGACGAACGATCATCCCAAACATTGTCCATTTCCTAAAATAAACCATAGCTTAAAATTTCCCAAACTAAACCTCAAAGATTTTTTCATAAAGTTTTCTCGCTTCTTCCCAATATTCTTCACGACAAGAGTGGCGGCTAAAGTTTGGCTAAAGTCTGGCTAAAGTTTAGCTAAAGTTTAGCTAAAGTCTGGCTAAAGTTTAGCTAAAGTCTGGCTAAAGTCTGGCTAAAGTTTAGCTAAAGTTTAGCTAAAGTCTGGCTAAAGTCTGGCTAAAGTCTGGCTAAAGTTTAGCTAAAGTTTGTCTAAAGTCTGGCTAAAGTCTGGCTAAAGTTTAGCTAAAGTTTGTCTAAAGTTTAGCTAAAGTCTGGCTAAAGTTTAGCTAAAGTTTGGCTAAAGTTTGACAATTTTAACGGTGAATTCTCTAATGAAACTACCATTCTGGAACAAGTAAATTCAATCATCCAGCTTTTAGCTTCAAGATTTTGTATATAAAGTTATCCAGAAAGTGACAGTACCATCAAGAATACTAAAATCAAGGTTCTATCACTTGCACAGCCTCAAGGTATTTAAACAGTGCTAGAAATTGTTGAGACTTTAAAGATTCAGAACTAACATTTCTTCGTCGATCAAATGTAGCTCCTGTAGATTGCAATGAGCATGTGTAAGCACTTCGCGTGCCATTGTCGACAATGGGAGAAGCGCGGTTGAGAGATCTCTCACCTCCACACACCACAGCATTTTCATTGCCTCTTCGCAAACTAATAACTAATACTAATAATAAAATAGAGGACACTATTTAAGAAAGTACATAACTTTGATTCTAATTGCCTTTGCATTCTAATTCTAATTCCCTGAGCACATTCAAATTTTCAAATTTCACAAAATTCTCGTACCTCGTTGATTCGTAAAGTGATCAAAATATGAGTTCTGCAATTTTTGATGTACTTCTTTAAATTTTAAGTGAATCTGAAAAGAAGCAAAGGTTTTTAGTATATTTTTGCCTCAACCTCAAACGAATCACAGCTTGTTTCCATTTTTTGCTAACGAGATTTGTTTGAAAATTGATTTCTGCATGAAATTGACAAGGATTGACATCAAATTAACACATGCATTATAATAAAATTTTATTATATGGTTTTAAAGTTTTAAATTAACTGAATATTTAAACGAAAATCGACTCTTGCGTGGTTTCCGGGTTTTTTTCGAATCATCCCGCTTTGAAGGCCTATAACTTTGTCCAGAGATAATATTTTTGTTAACAATTTATATCATTGTACAAAGAACATTTCAGGCTTTCAAATGATACCAAATAGAGCTTTATTGGATAATTCAGTCCAAGAAAATCAGAGCCAACTCTGAGCCAATGAGTCCTATCAAACTCAGGTGTCGTTTCGCCTTGTTTGCATGGGAATGAAAAATCCAGTCAGGCTCTATTTGGTATCATTTGGAAGCCTGGAATCTCCTCTATACAATGATATTAAAAAGTTAAGAAAAATATTGTCTCTGGAAGAAAGTTATAGGCCTTCAAAGCGGGACGATCCGTTTAAAATACCCGCAAACTTAGGCAAGAGTGAAATAATTTCAAGTTTTGATTGAAATGAAATGAAAATGGTTTTCCCATGGAGCAGGATATTTAGTTGGTACCATTTGAAAGTCTGAAATGTTCTCTGTACAATGATATAAAAAGTTAAGAAAAATATTGTCTTTGGAGAAAGTTATAGGCCTTCAAAGTGTGACGACCATGTTCAAAATACAAAATTCGATTTTTCCAAAATATCCGGATTCTTTCAAAATACAAAATTCGTTTAAAATAACTACGCAAGAGCCCAAAAAAATCTTTAGCGTTCTTATCAGAAAACGCTTTTTTTTCGCGACAGAGTCGTTTTATTGACGAATTCTTTTTGCTGATTTCTTGTTGAACTGGAATTTTGTCTTTAAAGCTTTGAAAATTGAATTATTGTAAGAAGCTCCTTTATAAATCTATTATAAACTTTATTATGCACATATATTACAAGAAAATTCAATTATATATCTACAATTTCTTTGAGCATAACAAGAAAATATCCTCGGCTTCGATATATTTAAAGTCGTCTGTTTTCTCGACATTTCCGAAACCGTTTTTCTAAAAAAATTTTTCTGAAAACTACGCTGATATTTTGTTTTCTGATAGAATTAAATAAAAGCTTTTATCTTTCTCTCAATTTCTCAATCATTCAAGACAATTTTTTTCGAACAAAGCAAAAAGATCTCCTCGGCCTCAATGTATTTGAAATCATCGGTCTTTTCCACGTGTCCAAAGCCGTTTACCTTAGAAAAATACTTATTTATAAAAATTTTGAGTATAAAAATAACTTTTAGCATAGAATTTTATCGAAAAAACTCACTCGCAAAGCCTCAATAATGTGCTGTTTTCGCAGACGATGCGATCGAAATTGTTTCCCGTCGAAATTGTAAGAAGTGGCATCAAGAACACCGCCTTGTATCTAAAAAAACAAGTCTTTTATTGTTTCTACCAGCCGGGAAATCCGCCTAACGGGCCGACCCACGCATCCGACTCCAATTTTACTTTTTAAAAAATCCAAAAGCACGTTGCACAACTACATTGAATCCCTATTCAACGGCGCAGAGTTCTGAAAACGGTCCTCTGGGAGCTGAGGAGTAGCGCGCAGAGACAGACGGACAGACAGACAGACGGATGGACAGACAGACAGACGGACAGACAGAGGTACAGACAGACAGACGGACAGACGGACAGACAGGCGGACAGACAAACGGACAGACAGACAGACAGACGGACGGACAGACAGATGGATGGACAGACGGACAGACAGACAGATGGATGGACAGACAGACAGACGGACAGACAGACGGGCGCACAGCCAGACGGACAGACAGACGTCTTAGTTCCTTTATATATAGTAGATTCGATTAAATTTTAATTTACTACTGTATAAGGTTCTATTCTAACTAGATTTAAGTATTAGATTGGCAACTTGAAAGTTGATACACTTTTTCGTATTTTCCATAAAATATTTTTAACATTGAATTAGACTTCTCTAAATAAAAGTTATTTATTATAGAAACCTACAAAATCGAAGTTTTTCTAAATCTGTCAAAAGACTGTCTTAGAGCATAAATAGACCTTTTTATTCGTGGAAAATATAGATTAATTGGTCCAATAGTTATTTCTAAAAAGTGCAATCAATAAGTGTACCAACTTTCAAGTTGCCAATCTAATCTTTAAATTTCTTTTAACAAACCAAATATCCGCCATCTTCGACGAGTGAACAGGCACTGCTCACCGCTTCGATGTACCCATCATACGTCTGAATTTATTGAATATTCAGATATTTTATTTAAAATATAATATACTTACTATGGAAATCGATTTTTTTTTTTTTGATTAATATTTTCATTTCAAAACCCGAACATACCTCACACGAGTACTCCAAACAGAAAACCGAGGAAACAACCTGAAAATTGCTGAGAATTTATAGCTGACAATTGCAAAAACCATTCCAAAACAATATTTAATATCTATCCGTTTTTCCGAACTCACTTGAAACTTTTCCGGCACTTTCACTTGCGCATTTTTCGTCCATTGAATATTTTTGACCACCGGCTTATGATGGACATCCACCTAATGTACCGTATTTTTTCGAATAGAAGACCGGGTAAAGAGTATCATCGCGTACTCTTAGCGTACTCCTGCGTAGCAGCCCTTTTTAAAATTTCTTTTCTGCATAATAGCTTTCAATGAAGTGCTATAGGGCTGGAAAATGACTCAAAAATACCACATGAGCTAACAGATTTTTGAGCCATTTTCCAGCCTTATAGCACTTCATTGAAAGCTTTTATGCAGAAAAGAAATTTTAAAAAGGGCTGCTACGCAGGAGTACGCGATCATACTCTTTACCCAGTCTTCTATTCGAAGAAATACGGTAATATCAACTAAACTTGGTTTCCAAAACGAATCGAATCGCTCTAATTCTATTTGATTCGAAAGATTTTGACTTTCGAACCAGACCGATTCGATTCGATTCGAAAAATTCATTTGAAAGTCACCGAAAACCCGGTAATATCAACTATAAGCAAGTGTTTCAAAAAAAAATACTTCTAAAACAGCCTCGAGCTTGTCCCTGGCTGCTTGTTGCATCTGATCGGCTGTCTGAAAACAGTTGTTATCCCGATTTTTTTTTTCGTTTAACCTGATTTGACGCTTCGATCGAAGCAATCCATTTGCACACCTCTCCCCAATCAAAGGTGGATCGCTAAATGTTTTAATGAAATAAAATAATACTTTTTCTCCGCAAAATTAAATGAAAATCTCTCTAAATTACGGGGAAAAAACGAAAAATGACTAATAAAGTTTAGGGCCTAAAACCTTTTCAGCCCATTCGATGAGTGCCGCTCGATTGGCAGGTGCGTAATCGGATGAAAAAATTCGCGTCGCTCGATCTCGGATTGCGATCGGGAAATAAACAGTTGGCCCAGCGCCCAAATCGAGAAAAGTCGTGATCTTTGTCGGTACTCGATACAGAATACCCGGCAAAAAGAAGAGCACAACCTAAAAAGAAATTTCAATCGAAATCCTTGTTGATTTATTGCTGAAATTCTAACCTGCATTGCCGTGTCCTCGGTGGCCGATTTGTAAAAAGCGTTTAAATAGGCGTGTGGATTGAATTTGTCATGATGTTCTTCTGGAGCACACACCTCATCTTTTTCATCGGGTTTTTCACCTTTTCCTTCTTCACTACCATCTTTCTTAGCATCTTCACTACCATCGTTTGAGCTCTCGGCTTTGATATTCAAATCGGCGAGCTCTGTCTCAAGAGTCATACTAAAATCAATTATCATGAAAAATAACAATTAAAGATTAATTGCAGGAAACGTTTAAATAAAAAAAAAATATACGATCAAGAGGGCTTTTCTTTGTGTAGAAATGACTTTGAGTGATGTGGGTCTCTTGCGCGTTGTACAGCGATCTTTGAGAGGAAAGGAGAAATTGAGAGATTTGTGAAGGGGAAGATTTGAGATGAAAAAAGACGAAGACAAAGAAAAGACAAAAGAAAAGAAAGTCCAAAGGGGTTCTTTTCGTTTGCTTTACAATGACTACTCAAATATTTAAAGTGTATTTAATTTCAGACTATGATTTGACTTGATTTCTGTGTTTTACTGTCATTTCTAAGTTTGGCTTTGGGAGGCGGTTATTTGTCAAAGATTTGTATTAGGCTTTATTCAATTTCATACTTTTGTTTCATACTTTTCATACTTTCCTAAGTCTTGAGCCTTGAAAAATAAAAAATACACCAAATTCACTTATTTATATTTATTTATTATATATATATATATATACTTTATCCGACAAGGAAAAGTGACAATGCAAACAGATTGAACAGCGTAGACGAAGAAAGATAATTGATATACAAACACAACTACAATTAGACACGTGTATATATGATATTAAAAATTAATTTAAAATTGACAGAGCTACAAGATCGAGCTTATATATTGAGGATTTAAAATAGTTATTTGTCAAAGATTTGTATTAGGCTTTATTCAATTTCATACTTTTGTTTCATACTTTTCATACTTTCCTAAGTCTTGAGCCTTGAAAAATAAAAAATACACCAAATTCACTTATTTATATTTATTTATTGAATATCTTAACACTATATCTTGTAAAGTTTCAATTTAAATTTATCTACTTTTACTTATTGCTGAATTCTAACCTGCATTGCTGTGTCCTCGGTGGCCGATTTGTAAAAAGCGTTTAAATAGGCGTGTGGATTGAATTTGTCATGATGTTCTTCGTTGGTTCTAAACTCATCGCATAAATAGTTTACTTTCGTTTAACTTGTGTAAAATACCACTTGTGTAAAATGCCACTTGTGTAAAATGGTCACCCCTTGAAAACAAGTTCGCTGTCGGGAGCGGAAGCAAGCTTGTAGCCATTTGCTATTATGAGAAAGAAAACAACTGGTGGATTGCCAAACACATCAAGAAGCCCATCAAATAAAAAATACACCAAATTCACTTATTTATTGAATATCTTAACACTAGATCTTGTAAAGTTTCAACTTAAATTTATCTACTTTTACTTGGTTCTAAACTCATAGCATAAATAGTTTACTTTCGTTTAAATTTTATTTTAAAATAATACAAGTACAGTCGAACTTTGATATAACAAATAAACAAACAAATTTGAATTTGAAATTGAAACCGTGACACTTTACGGAAACAACGTCGCTATCTTCGGCTGAACCGTTTCCAGCGAGTCCGTTCCTTAACCAGAGAAGAGAACTCTGGCTCGAGCCTAGCTAGGTGTCACCGAGTTCATTTGCGTTACCGCCCGATGCACTCAGAAGAGTACAAATCTCCGTATCCGGGTACGGGAATATTAACCCGTTTCCCTTTCGATTGCCGAGAGAGAAGAGACTTCCCGCTCTCAGTGATACAAGACTTTCGTCAGTATCTTAGGATCGACTGACCCACATTCAACTGCTGTTCACGTGGAACCCTTCCCCACTTCAGTCTTCAAGATCTCGCTTGAATATTTGCTACTACCACCAAGATCTGCACCGATGGAAGCTCCAGCTGGACCCACGCCCAAAGCCTTCAACGCAAACCACCGCGACCCTCTTACTCGTTGCGACCAGGCGGGCATTGCGCTCAAGTCGCTCAAGTCTACGGGAATATTAACCGTTTCCCGAAAACGTGTCTCAAATTTTCTGCGTAGCTGCCTTGATTGTATTTGGCTGGGGCAGCTAGGCAGAAATTTTAGGCATTTTTTAGAATTTCAAATTCGTTGTATCGAAGTTCGACTTTATTATATTGTCAGATATATCTACTGGATATAAACAAATAGGACTGAAAAGATATTTTCTTGCTTTAGAGGCTAAAGCAAGAAAATCAATAGTGAGAACTTTATGCCAAGAAGATCCCAATCATTTCCTTCTAGTTCAAAAAAATATTTCTCTTCTTTTGCTTTTAAAAGTCCCCTAGTCATCTGTATGTTTCTTTCCATTTTTTCACTCGTTTGTAATAATCACGTTTTCGTTTTTGTTTTCATTTCGATCTAGTCGAAACAAAAAGTCGGCTACAACGCAATTTATAGTACATTTCCGTTTTTTTTTTTCATTTCTCATATCAATAAAAATTTATTTTCTTTCTTAGATAGAATACAGAGTATATTGATAGCAAAAAAAATAGTCTTTTTTAGGGAAATAGATTTGTTGCGGTTGATCACAACAAAACAAATGGTACAGTCGACCCTCGATTTAACGATTTGCTCGGGACCAAAAATTTCGCTTTAACGATTCTAAAACGTGCCACAAATTTATTGCATAGTTGTGTCCTGAACGGTCAATGATTGCATTTGACTGGGCAACTACACCAAGAGCAACTACACCATTCTAAGACACCAAGATCGTGTTTTTAGAATTTCAAAATCGTTGTATCGCGAGTCGACTGTACTTGGGAGGCACTAAATCTTCTTTTAAAATAAAACATACTTCTTCAAAGCTAATCACTCACTAAAACAAAGGTATTCTATAGATATTTTATATTCAACTTAAAACAGCAAAAAAAAATCAGTAAATGGAATTGATCAAATTTGTACGAGAACAAAGGCCTTGTTTCTTTGAGTTAAGGGTAAAATCTTTCACAAACGCACAAAAAAAAAAAAAAAAAATGACATCACAATGAAGACCTATAAATATTCCTTTTGGTTCTTTTAGAATAAGAAAATCATTTCTATTCCGGGGTTTTAAGTGACACTTGAAAACAAAAAAAGTCCATTTGAGAAAACACCGAGTAAAAAGATGAACGAAAAAAAAAAGTTTTGAAAGTAAGACAGTTTTCTTTAAATTTAAATTTAAATTTAGCACTTCCGGTAGTCAATATAATAGAAGGCGACTAGAAAAAGCATTTTAAAAAAATCATAAATTTTCTCAACTTTGTTGAGAGTAATCTGAATGGAGCAAATGGTCGAGTCGTGCTTAAGCTGAATTTTGCTTATAAATATTTGAAAACTCTAAAAACTATGGCCTATGGCCGGGGTGATCAATCTCTTGAAGAAACGTTCAACTGCTTTGCGAAAGTTGACTCGATTGAGCTGGAGTGCTTTGTGATTGAGGAGAGTCGACATGGTAGCTGAAAAATGAAAAATTGATGGTTATTCTTCTTAGCATTAGTGAAATGTATTTCGCAAAAGTGAAAAGTAATCTAAATTTTGCATTGCAGCTAAGGTTTGTCTAGAAGCTTTTCTATTCGGTTTTCTTATCCAACACAAAGAATAGAGGCAATTACGATCTGGATCTCAGTCATCTCTAGCTAATATTGTTAGCAAAACGGGGCTACTTTCAATAGAAAATTCTTAAGAATATATGTAAGTATATGTAATCCTTAAGAACATCTGTAATCAATGTCAGCTTTATGTAACACTAGTGTCGATTTGTCTTTTTGAAAACTTACCCTTCAGCGAGAAGAAAATCGGCAATATCCCCCCAAGCCTCATCATCCATTTGTGGACGTCTTTTGTCGTTCCCTCGCTGAGCTGAACTCATTATTGGAGCGCTACGTTGTGGGAGCGCATCATCTCCGGGTATCGGTTGGGTTCCTGCAAAAATATATGTTTAAAACTTTCAATACTCGACTTGAGCTTTGGTCTTAACTCTAGGCAAACTTTACACTTTCTATTTTTTAAAGTTGATGGCTTTTGGACTTACAAGGGAAAAGCATCGAGCCAAGCTTGGTTCAGCTGCTTCGGTGGTCTAGTGGGTAATCTGCTAGACTGCCGAACTATTCAATTTATTACCCTCAAGTTCAAGTCTCACTCTCGTCAAACTTTTTTTGCTTTTTAGAAAACTGTTACATATTTGCATTGAATTATTGACTCGAGTTTTACACAACTTTCTGTAACTTCAACAAATAATTGACGAAAGCTGGAACCCTCCAAAGTATTAGACTCAGTAGATAAGTATTGAAAAGTTTAAAATTTGTTACCAAAGCTAAGCTACAGATGCATAAAATTCAACTCTATTATTCACGCAAATACGTAAGAAAACAGTTTTCTAAAAAGCAAAAAAAAAAAGTTTGGTGAGAGTGGGACAAGAAATGTAATAGGTTTGGCAGTCTAACAGACTATCCACTAGATCACCGAAACAGTTGCTGGGGAGCGTGTGACGATTATATAAGGAGTCCGAAATTTAGATATCTCGCATTTGTGAAGCGTTCTGTGAAAACTAAAAACGGATTCGAAATCCCCATGATCGACTCTATAAGATAGACTTGGTCTCAGTCAAAAGGCAAGCTTGACTATTAGTTTATTAAGCTTCAAAACAACCCATTTCTGGTAACTTTTTCATTACCCTTTCTGTGCATTCGACACATTCCTTCCCACAATTGCGAATCAATATTCATCACCGCTCGTCCACAACCATTTTCCCGGCAATATGAGAAAAGACGCTGGTCCACGTTGTAAAGAACGTGTTGAGCACAATGATTGGACATCGGAATACAAGGCAAACGACATCGTCCATTTGATTGATCGTGGTGTGAGCAGACTCTTTGTTTGCGAGGAGCTGAGTCACACGGAGGTTCACCCATTAAACGATGTCTAAAGAATAGCTCATAAAGAAATTGAAGAAATTGCAAGTCACCAACCTCAAAGCGGCTCCGGCTGCAGTCGGGAATCTTCTTGCGACATGCAAGAGTGGGACATTGAGGTGAGCATGTCGAATGAGATTGTGCCTCTCGAGTCTCAATTGTTTCTTTGTCAGGTAGAGCTGTGTGGACACATCAGCATCATCTCCTACTGCAAGACAAGAAGACAACGATGTATCACATCCTGACGGCCCTGGCTCCCATTCATCATCTGAGGGTTCCAAGCCTGAAATGAGAAAAATATATCTATGCACACAGTACAATTATAATAAATTTTTGTGCTATACAAACCAAGTGGGAAAAGATCAGTGCTGTCAAAGTCGGCATCCTCCATTTGGCGACACATGTGATCAACGTGGGGAACCTTCCGATACTCGCCAATCATTTTCGGCTTCTGTCGCTTTTGTTTCAAGTGAATCATTTTCTGACGACCGTCCGTCTAAAGTTATTGAAATTACAATCATTTTTTTAATTTATTAAAAATATTGCTTTCAACAGAAAGTCTTGTTCGCCTTTTTAAAATTTTTCTTTATAAATGAATAATTGGCCGATAAACGTGTGGTGTGCTTTAAATAAAAAAGATTTCATTTCAAAAAAGATTAACGATTTCATTTAGCTCATCTTTAGGCAAATTTGAGTTCACTTTGAAGCAAATCTAAACGGGAACTCTTATTTTAGCTAAAATCCTTACAATGGACATAGCGGTGAAATGCTTGGTGAAATGTTATGAAAATTTGTCTATCTGCCTAACTTTTCATTCTCTATCTTTTATCTTTTGACATCAAAATAGGTTTCTGTGACAAAAACTGCTCAAATCAGAACTTTGAATTTCATCGTTTTTAATTGCTCGACTTCGTATCTTTCAAAAAATTAACTAATGCGAGCTTTTCCTTTCAGCTTTTCTTAAAGGGCAATTTGTAAATAAACAATAGAATTTTCTAATAAAACAAACTATAGATCGATTGATTCCTTATTAATTTCAAAAAGCAACCTTTAAAAAAGCGGACAAGACTTTCCGGCCAACCTGATAACACTGGTTATATGTTAGTTTTCGACTACCTGAGGAGCTGGCTCAACGTCCGGTGATGGAGGTCTCATTGGTGGAGCGTGAACAGGCAAAGGCATACCTCTAGCCTGATCATTTCGCATTTCTTGAATGACAGCCTGAAATTTAAGCTTTAATGAATCATTAGAATGAATTTACCGGATGAATTGTTTGTGGTGGTTGCGGTGGCGGTGGTTGTCCCTTTCCGCTTTCTTCTGAATTTCCCAACAATCTGGCAGCCAATTGAGGATGCTGACGAGATATTGAGCCTTGTTGAGGCTAAAATGGGCAATTATAAAAGAAATACTTGATTAAATGCTTACTTGGGCTTGTTGTTGTTGAGGAGGCTGTGCTTGGGGTTGTTGCCTGACACGAACAGGAAGTCCCGATGGCGGTGGAGAGGGACGAGCGGCTGTTGCTAAAGCTTTAGCTATGCATTATATTTAACAACATTTCTTATTCAAAAACTTTCCATACCTTGTGGCTGCTGTTGAGTTTGCTGATGGATTTGCTGTTGTTGAGCCGTTTGTTGCATTTGTGGCTGCTGTTGATGTTGAACTGGCAGTTGTTGAGATGGTTGATTCATTTGTTGTGGAGATTGAAGAGGCATATGATGAACAGAAGGAGGCACAGATGGCAAAGCTCTCGTCTCAATAACCGCTGTTGGCAATACACGGGTTTCAATCGTGTGCGTAGGTGGTGGCTAAAAAAGGTTATTTAAGAAAAGATTACAATAAAGAGTTTTTATAAAAAGTATTTCAAAGTTACCGCTTTGGCTGGAGATGGATGTTGAGCGGGTGGTGGAGGCGCCATTTGTGGGACATTCTGCGGTGGAAAAGTGGTAATATTTCCTAAAAGAGAACGATTATGTAAATTTTAGCAGCTTTTTCAAGTATTTAGTGTTAAATAAGATTTTTATCAATGCAAACCTTGAGCCAATGGAGAGGGTGGTGGTGGTCTGTGCACAGGAGGGCCAGATTGAATTTGCTGTTGTTGTGGCTGAAAATTACTACGATTACTTTAATAAAGAAAAGTTGATTCTAGAGAGGGGATTGAACCCTCGACCTTTTGCTTACCACTAAGCTATCTGGGCTCTTACTTTGCCGAGAGAAAGAAGGGAATACAAGGAAGAAAGAAAGAAAAGAAAAAAGATAAGGAAATGCATTGGCTCATCGCAATCTATTCGTAAAATCCGTAAAATTAGTTCTTGAATACCTCTCTCATCGTTTGAGTGGGAATTGGATGTTGATTTGATTGCTGATTTTCAATGGGCACATGTTGCATCTGCATGGGTCCATGTGGTGGTGGATGCATGATTGGTGGTGGCTGAAAAATAGTGATTATATGGCAAGTAAAAAAAATTACAATTGTTAAATAAGAATAGAAATAACAAAAGAGCTTATGGAACAATTGATGAGCAGATTATCTTGACGTCTGACTTCAATTAATTGCAAGTCTGGAGCAATTACATTAGCTTTTAAGTTAATAAGGAAATTAATTTAACACGCAGAAGATAGATCTAAATCTAGCAAATGTTTAAATATTATAAAAGTTACCAAGTGAGGATTGCGAGAAGGTGGAAGCTGCATTTGCGGTGGTGCATGCATTGGAGATCTAGGTAGAGAACCTGGTGGAGGATAGCCGTGAAGATGCTGCAATTCTTTTGTAATACTAATTCTAAGCTATCAATCTTTACTAATTGATCAATTCCTTTATAATATCAATAGTCGCACCAATAGTAACTCCAATTTACCTGTTGCATGTGTCCGGAGTGTTGACCAGGATGACCGGGATGCTGTTGTTGATGTGAGTGTCCATGTGGGCCATGGGAATGTCCATAAACTCCAGGCGGTGGCAGCATTTGAGCCAAACTTGTTGATGGGTGTTGCTAAAAGCAATTTTTATCGTTTATTGTGTTAAGACTCACTTGATGCATATGTGACTGCGCTCCATAGGGGCCAATCATTTGTGGATGATGATGGGGATGAATGTGTGGAGATGGGGGTGCGGTGTTTGGTTGTGATGGGAGTGGAGAGGTGAGCGGAAGGGATGGTGGAGGAGCCGAGCCTGGCCCCATCATACCAACCGGTGGCGATGAGAGTTGAGGCGAGAATGGGGCTTGTCCCTCCATTGAAACATCAGCTAAAATATTAGGCTTTTGAGAAAGTCATTTCGTTTTATGGGTTTCGTATTTCGTATAATAATTATCCATTAAGACGCCATTTTAGTTGTTGTTTTTGTTTAAAGCAAACAATTTGAATGTCAAGAATAATCCAATGTCAAATGCTGACTGGTTATGATTCGTCGTTATCTCACTTTTGATCAGCGACGCGCGAAAATATGGAAAAATTGAGAACGATGAGTAAAAGCATTGATTTTATGCACTATACTCAGTATGTACGTATTTTAAAATGTATTTTTGCTTTTTAAAAATTACCTGAATCATGTGTTAATGATGGAGTTCCACCGGAGCTATTAGTCTTTCCACTGCCTCCTGGTTTCTTTTTCGGTTCCTAAAATTGAGTGCATTATTTTTTTAGTTCATGTTTATTTATTTTTCAACGCACCTTAAGTCCTTTCATAATCATATGTGTACTGCAAAATACATCATCACCATTTTTCACCGCATTTGTGCACTGAAGATTTGTGTCTCTCTTGCCTGAACAAATTTTCAGTTTGATTGCCAACTTTACGATTACTTTTTGGCTTTCTTTGATGTAAACATTGCTTATATGGAGCACTTGGATCAAGTAGAATATGTCGAATGCAATATTGATAACTGATTATGGCTCGCTGTTTGCACTAAAAAAAAAGTTTTGTGATCGAATTTTTGAATATCTTTCAACCTGTACTCGACTCGTTTCATCTATGTTTTGACATTGAATCGATGAGGATTGATTCTTTTCTCTTTTTCGTTTCGGAGCTAAAATTTCTTAGTAGAATTCTTATTTAGAAATTTACCTTTCCGCTCTTCTTCCTCATCTAAACCCTCAGCACCGTCTTTGCTATCTAAATTTTTGTACTGAAGCTTGTTTTTTTTTCTATAAGCTTTGCAATATTTTTTTATAAGCTTTTCAAGTTTCAATTTTTTTTTTATTAAATTGTAAGCCTAACCATCATTTTCTTCCCCATCCATCGTCATCCTAGAATGATTCATCGGCGACATATGATACTAAAACAAGGAAAATAATTGAGGTTTTTATATTTCATAACTTACATTGGAATCTGTTGACATGAGTGCCATTGCAAATCTAGGCTGTGAAGAGAGATCCCTAAAAGTTTCTGTCACCTCCTTGATCTTGATGTCTCTTACCTATCCGCCATTTCATCATCCATTTGCCAGTCATGACTGAAATCATGAAAGTCGTTCATTACCGCATCTAAACGTCTTTTTGAAAGAACAGCACCGACAACGAGAAGTTACACCTAAATATTTTAAATTTAGAATTCTCGAACTAATTTTGAATCCTTTAGCAAAGAAGACAAAAAGTTATGAGCCTTTACGTTTGCGTGTTTTTGCAACAAATGATAGCATTTACCAGATTTTTTTATGTTTGGAAAGTTTTGATAGAGATAAAAACATTAAATGATAAAGATAAAAACACGAAGAAATAAAGGTCGATTATATAGTAGGATGTGGATTAAAATACAAATTTTAGAATCGTAATATTTAAAGTTTGTCACAAACATATATGCAATTTTCATAAAAATTTATTTTGCATGTAAGGCTTTTTTAAAAAGTTTCTGTCTAACGGCGAGGTTTATAAAAGTTTAGAAATGTTGCAATTTGTGTCTGATTAGATTAGAAATTAGATTGCCGCCAAGAAACCAATTAGTCTAGGGAGATTGGCTACCAACGCATTAATTCCGTTTAGAGCACTATTCTTTGGTTTGAAAGAAATCATAGCGTGATGTTATGTCATACGATAGTGCTTTTCGAATTTGAAAAACCTCCTGCCTAGACAGTATACGTAGTTTTAAGCAATATTAAAGTTGTTTAGTAAACGAATCTTATTGGCTGTCGGCGCCTAATGTGGTTGAACATTCAATCATTGTGCTCTTTCGAACAAAAAAATCCAAATTCCGTTTTTTAGGAAACCTTTCCAAAACCAAGCACTTTTTATAACATTCGATAAACAAACAACAAAATACATCGATTCAGCGTTTTTTTTTCGACTCGGCGCTTAGCAACTTTAGGAGCTACGGTAAATAAGAACTCGGCTCCTCAAACATAGTGCACGTTGTGCACAAAGCACCGTATCGATTGGCGCGAATAATCCGTGAGTAATACAGCAGGAAGGCCGCAAAAAGGCTTATGATTTTGGATTAGAGCGGAGCCGGATGTTTATTAAATTTTTTTGTTGCTTGTTTAAAATTCCACAAGCGCCTTTTTTCGATTTGTAGTCATAAAGTTAGATTAGCCTTGACGAAAATCCGGCTTTGATGATTAGAATTTAGCTATTTTTTTCTTGCTGATTTAATCTTTACTTGGGTTTTCTATTTTTAGCACGTTATGCGCCATTTTTAAGATTAAACGCTTATTTTTTTTAGAGATGTCTGGGTGTCCGGTGCAGCATTGGGACCTTGGCGTTGGGCCTATCAATTGTCACGCTTGGAACAAAGATCGCTCTCGTAAACATTTTTTTATTTTTCTTGTTTAGTTGTTATTTTAGAAATTGCGGTATCAACATCGGATTGTGAGATCTACATCTTTGAGTGGACTAAAGGCTCTTGGGTTAACATTCATGTTTTAAAAGTAAGTTTTAAAATAAATTTTTTGATAATCTACTTTCTTTTTAGGAACATGATTTCCCTGTGACCGGGATTGATTGGGCCCCAAATTCGAATCGAATCGTATCTTGCTCGCAGGATAAAAACGCATATGTCTGGACTTTTGAGGGAAATCAATGGAAGCCTGAGCTCGTTTTTGTAAGTTTTCGTGTGTTTCTTTGCATTAACGACATATTTTAGATTCGATTGAGTCGCGCAGCCACTTGTGTAAAATGGTCACCCCTTGAAAACAAGTTCGCTGTCGGGAGCGGAAGCAAGCTTGTAGCCATTTGCTACTATGAGAAAGAAAACAACTGGTGGATTGCCAAACACATCAAGAAGCCCATCAAATCGACGGTGAAGTGCATTGATTGGCATCCGGATAACGTGCTTATTGCGATTGGTTCTTGTGATCTCAAGGCTCGCGTTTTTTCAGCATACATCAAAGAGGTAATGCTGTTAGCTAAAACTCAGTGGGCAGTATTGTTTTTAGGTTGACGAAAAACCCTCGCCTAATCCATGGGGCTCTAAAATGCCATTAGGTACCTTATTGTGCGAACAAGCAGTCAAAGGATGGGTAGAGCTATTTTTATCTACATAAAATAGAATTTTTAGGTTAATCATATTTCGTTTTCTCCATCTGGTTGTCGCTTAGCTTGGGTGGCTCATGATGCAAGCATTGGTTTTATTGATGCTAACGTAAGGTTTATTCGTTGCTATTTTCAATAAATATTTTTAGGTTGATAATAACACAGCTCAAATTGTTCGAACGCCCAATCTTCCTTTCACCTCAATTAAATGGATAACGGAAAACAGTGCCATTGCAGGAGTAAGCATTTAATGTTTTTTTCCAAGTATTTCTTGAGTTTTTAGGGACATGATTGCTATCCAACTCTTGTTACGGTAAAAGATGGCAAATTGGTGATAGTTTGCAAGCTTGATATTCCAGCTGCAGAAAAGGTAAAAATTAGTTTGAACTATTTGAAAAGTATTTTCTTTAATTTTAGTCAAAAGTCTCAAACACTGCCCTCGAGCTTTTCAAATCGATTGACAAGCGATCTGCTTTGGAACACGCTAATATCAAGCTTAACACAATGCATCAAAACTTTATTACGTAAGCCGTATTATTTTTTTACGTCTAAGCTCCTGTTTAGGGAAATTCAACCACACTCCGGCTCATCACAAAATATTTTGAAGTTTTCCACTTGCAGTGTTGACGGACAAGTGGCTTTATGGGACTTAAAGGTTTGGTAATTTAAAAATCTTTTCCTGAAGCAAAGTTGCTATGGTTGACTGGTCCGCGCCACATTTTAGGAAACGATAGAATTTTGCCGAGCGCGGTGAGAAATAGCGAGATTATTGCATGAATGATTTTGATGTTTTACAATCTAGCATGTTTACAATAACATGTGTGAATCCAGATTGAAAACTACTAAAAATCGACTTGAGCAACTTATCAATATATGATTTCATTTAGAACAACACAGCCGTGATACATTGAAGTTGCTTGCAAAGCTGAAACCTCTGGCTCAATGTGATGCTGCCTTTTCATTTGAACTCTGTGCGTATCAAATTTGTTTGTAAGTAAGTTTTGTTGCGCTTATAAGATGGCTTATTTTTTGTTTTTTCCTTCTTTGTAATGGAGCTTTAATCTTTTTGCATTGTCTTGACACTTTATCATGTCGCAGCTATTCCATTTATTGTGATTGCCAATTCTATCCTCAAAATTGCATTGTCTTCAATAAATATACCAATGCAAAAAAAATCACAGCAGTTAGTAATGCAAAAATCATGAATGTAAAAAGTTATAGAAATTATTGCAAGACTTTTCTGCAAAATCATAACCAAGAATCTGGAAAAAATAATTTTTTGGAATATCTAATGGTTTTCAATAAAAACGGAATGTTTTTTTACGAGTTCTTCCACAATTCGTGTTTCAATTTCCACCCCAGCATTTACTTCATTGTCACTAAGTTCGATAGGCTCAGCGGCGGCGAGTTCCACGAAAACTACCTAGAACTTTATTTTCGACGCATGTAGTCGTACATGCGTATATCTTTTCATTACTCACCTTTCTTTTTCTCATCTGCAAAACATTTCCGATCACTAGCTCATGTCCATATTTCTCCAAAGCTCCGCGAGCCTTTTTGATGAGAATCGATTCATCAGTTTCCAGCTAAATATGTGTGGCGTGTTGCCTCTTTTCTTTGTTTGACCTACTTTAAAAGAAATGGTAAAAGCCTCGGGGACCAAGCTGCTGATCACGCTGCCCAACTTTTTGGGAACCACCGAAAGGGAAAGATTGAGATCACCGTCAGAAGATTGGATTTTATGAGTTGGCTGAAGATTGGTTCATTGGTGCCTATTTTTTAAAAATCATATTACCATTTTGTCCTGTGAAATATAGAAATCGGACACTGCGGCTGCCAAATAGAGCAACGCCAAGCGACCATGATTCGCTAAAAGAGCGCACAACTTTTCAAGCAAATGGAGATAGTCATCAATGGTTACAAAAGGCACCTAAATTGGGTATTAGAAAACTGATTTTGTGCACAGCTACCATGCAAAGATCATCTTTGTATTTGTGTTGCTCGGTGACAGCCTCCGTAATTCCGGGCGCTGTGCAAATGGCCTATTTTCGATAAAATTTGTGAGTAACTTTTAGGTACCTTTCCATCAATGACCTCGATGTCTGCAAAAAGATTGACAAATTTTCGAGAAAATGGCTTAAGAGACTCTTCGCGGTGGAAAAAAATCACCGCATAACCGGCACGAAGGAAATGCCTGAACGATTGAAGAGTTTATGCAACTTCTTATCACATACTCGGCACTCGATGCTCCTCGGGTCCCCATCGAAAAATTATCAATATAGCGGACGGTGTTTTTCTCTAAAGGCACCGTAGTTCCGCCACTCTATAATTAAGTTCTTTTTTCTTGGAATTGATTTATGAAGTCCTACTGTAATAAACGCAATCCTTCTTGATGAATGGGCGCGCAAAAACGCTCCAACTTGTTTTTCCGATTGCTCCCAGTTTACCGTATGCATCTAGGTCATCAATAACTTGAGAAAAACATGCACATTGCCCAAATAAAATTTGTCCTGTTCAAATGGTCACAAATTGCGGAGTTAAAATATTTTTATCAGCAAACACCACCAGTAAAAATGTAACCGTTTACATTTTTGAGATTAAGATACACATTCCATTACCACAGAAATACAATAAATATATCAAGGAAACAGGCTTGCACACTTTAATGACACAAAATTGGATAAAGATTCCTTAGAAACTTAGATCTTACAATAATGATTCAAGCTTAAGATTCCATTGTGGTTGCCACATTTTGTGCCTCAACGTTTTCTTCTGCTTCCGCTTTATCCTTATGGCAGATACGAGGCCCGTAAAGCAGTACATAGGCGGTATGCCAGTCACCACCACCGGATAGTTTCAAAACCTAAACCCAAAACATATAACAACTTAAACAAGAGTTGACCAACCTCCTGAGAAGTGATTTCATGAACTTCATCATCATCGCACATAGCCCATCTAAAATAAGACTTTAAATCAGATCAAATAAGTAGGCTTACTTATCGCCTTTGATTCGAACCCATGCAACATAATGCCCGCTGTCGGATGAGCGTCCCTTGTGCGTAATCACAGCTTGCAATTCGTAGAATGCACTATTGTTGCTTCCGGGATCATCTTCAAATGAGAAAGGCAAAGGTTCGCCATCATCTTCCTAAAAATAAAATTAAAGAGGAAAGGATAAACCTAATAGTAAAGTACAAGGTCAAAGTAGAAGAAAAATTATGCAACGAACTTTACGGTATTATGTATGGAGTTCAGATTCAAAAATTAAAACATTGCTTTTAAATGATTTCGAACTAGATCTGAAAAGATGCATACCTCTTGAACTTCTCCCACCCTGGTAGCGGGATCTTCTAGCTTCTTACGACGAAGTCTTTCGAGCTTGGCATCTTCATCCGCCTAAATTAATAAAAAACTATGCCAAATAGCTAGTTACAAACCTTGAATGCGTCACGGTGCGGGCGGCAACGCTCCTGAAGCTTTGGTGTACACAAATCGTGTAGATCAAGGACCAATGGGAACTTGACATCTTTAAGGATTTTTGCGTTAGTCTAAAACTCAAAAAAATATGCGATGTTTCAATTTTACAACCAACCCCAACATTTTCCTTGTAGAAGAAGCGAACCATTTGCACCGACACATAAGCTGGAAGTCTATCAATTGTGATCTAAAAGTTTGGTAAATGCCTTTTCTCCAAACAGGTAAACAAACCTTTTTCTGGTACTTTGCATTTCTGTCGAGAGATGGACTATGCTTCTCTATTTCTTCGGTTAGCTTCTCTTTCAGGCCGGTTTGCACGTATTTCACCTCTTGCGAAAGAAAACACGAGAGCTAAAACTCAAACGTAAAGAAACAAAAAAGACAATTACTTGGTAAAAGTCTTCGTGAGAATTTTGTGCTGGCTCATCAGGATTTTCCATATTTTTCAATTCAACACTGTATTTTCCACGGAAAAAGCTTTCGATCGATGCGTCCCATCCAGCTAAAATAATCACAGTTAAGTTACTGTCCAACATAGCAAATATAAAATTTATTTGTAACGTACTTGGTTTGATTCCCTTGATTCCACTAAGCACAACTCGCAAAAGCTCGGTGAAACATTCGTTTGCGTCTTGTTGCTGTGGCTCTCCTCTTTCACCAACTGTAGCAAATTGAGGAAATTGAGCATGCAAATTCTAAAAAGGGAGTTTTTGGAAATAAAAGTAAACATACGAATAAAATCGACATGGGAATCAGAGATGATGGATTCTTATTTTGCATGAAGCGGAAAGTTTCTCGAAGGGATTTGAGGAGTCGTGTAGATTGATTATCATCGGCACCCGAATACTTCTCCAGACATTCCGATAATTCGGGAATAGTCTAAAGCTTAAATTGTTTACGCTCTAAAAGATACCTAACCTGCAGTGATTGAAGGACCGAGTTCATGTAGCACGTGTTTCCCAAGTTTTTAAGCCCCAGTGGCATCGGCAATTCCTTTGCCTTTTGACCTAAACATAAAATAACCTAACAACTGCTTTCATTCTTTCAACCTTGACCGCTTTGATCTTCACTTGTCAAAACGGGTGCCTGCGGAATGGCATCAGCACTGCCCATCATCATGATCGTCAGTCCTTCGGCGATGGCAATTCCCTCCCACGATTCATCAGGAAGAATTTTACCCTAAATTATAGTACCACTAACAGCGATGGTCAACAAATTACCTTAATGACAAGTTTTTGGCGATCGGGCTGCACACCAGTAAGAGCGAAAAGTTGCGATTTGAAGACAAATGGAGGATCCTCCGTGTTTGCATCGACAGTGTACTTTTCGCGTCCCCATTTCACATTGAGCGTTGGCATTTTCACTAAAAATGACAGATTGTAAACATTTTAAACAACTGATAACATCAGAGACCAGAAATCTTGAACTTTTGAAAGAACGTTAATGCATTGAGGCAAGATACTAAGACGTTAAAACTAAAACAGAAACAGAAGTGAGAAAAATCATCATTTTCTAACACGATGACACTACGTTTTGCTCATCTTTTCCTTGCAAATAGTGTGAGATTTCAAAAAAAATATTTATCATTGTCTTTTCTTTGAGTGCCACAAAAAACAATCGTTCATAGTACCGGTGCGTTTATTTTCGTCTAATTTTTGCGCGCACGTGCATGCCCTAATGGGTTTATGAAAGTATTATTAATGTCCAACGATCAGACACCCAAATGAGGCATGAGTGGAGTCAGCGTTAGCCTGCATGAACCCCTTCTCCCATCAAATGAACGCTCGTTGAGTAAGTTTGAAAATTTTCTAGTAAAAGTTGTCGCGTCAGTTAGCATATAAAAATTAGCATACACAAATTTCACAAAGTCAAAATAGCGCCGTTCAAAATACCGTATTTTGAACGGCGCTATTTTTGTATGGGTACTGTTATGGGGATCCTATTTTGACTAGGCTCCAAATTTCCCCGTCGAGAGCTCGTCTCAAAAATTTTTCAAACTCCATTTTAATAGTTGCGCTTTTCTTGGAAGTTGAATTTCTAAGAATACCTATTTTAAACGAATGTTCTCACTGTGGCAACATAATTCGGAAGAATCAAGTATTTTTATTGTTAACTTTAACAATAGTTTTTTTTAGGCAAGGATCGCCGTCGATTTGTTGTGATATCGGTTTTCGATTGTACCCTAACCGTTCTATTATGGCTAATTTGGACGGTAGGTTCTCGAGAATTTTTCGTTGCTTGAATTCAAAAATATGTTTTAGGTTTCGAAAACTGATGACTGGAGAACCGCTTTTTACCAAGAAATTAACCTATTCAATCCTGATTTTTTAAAGAAGTCGTTGTTTGATATTGTCATGGTATCTTTTTTTATTTATATGTATCATTAAATTTTTTTAGGTGGCTATCCTGAGGCTATTCCTGCTCATTATTGTTTACGGATTTATGCGTGTCAATAGTTGGGTACCAGTGGCTCTTTCCACAACAATAACCAGTATTTATTTGATCATCAAGGTAACTTTGGTTGATTAGACGCTTAAATTTGTTGATTAGGTGCTATTTTTCTTCTCAAAAGAACAAGGCGGCCTACCCCAATATCTTCTGATATTGTCATCGTTTTCAATTTCATGGTAAGCCATTGTTTTTTGTTTACATTCTGCTTGGTTTTAGGTTTGAATTATGGTTGATGCCTTTTCGAGTCCTTGCAAGAGAACGAGCTCACGACCGTCCCAATGAAATCACTGCTGAAGCACCGCCATATTATCAACAGGATGCAGTGAATTTCGCGGCACGACACGTTGGGGTTTGTGTTTAAAAGTAGATTTGACGGCTAATGTTTTGTTCAAGGTAAACACTTTTACCTATATTAATCCAAATCATCTTAGAGTCGAGGGCATTCTCGAAACCCCGCTGGTGCCATTAATTCAGCTGACGAATTTCATAGCGCCATAGATTTTTCTTCTGGTGAGAAGAATTATTTCATATTTCAAGATTGAGTACTGTTTTTAGATGATGATCGTTATTTACGTGGACGCCTCACAACTTCGGTACAACGCTTGTCGGTAACGTCGGTTGCTCCGGATAGAACAGCGGCTTACGAAGCTGTAAGATTAACACTTTATTCTGAAAAGATTTGTTTATTTTAGTGTATCATCAGGTGTATTACAAATGTTGATCGCTTGCTTGGGGAAGCTCGCAGTGGCCAATGGAAAACTTTGCGAAAATCCGATCCTTTGGTTAGAGTATTTTTACTGGGATCATTGCTGCTATTTTTAGGTTTGCCAATCATCACATGGGGTATTTTACGTGTCCGCCCTTTTTTCTGTAAGCACCCGGATGAATATTTTTGATTCGTCTTGGAAAAACACGACAAGTTGGAATGATCAAGTATTGGAAACAAAGGTACAACAGTCATGGCATTCATAAAATTAAAAATTTTAGACGATTCTTAATATTGATCCGAATACGGAAATATTTTACTCAGTCAGCGCCCCAGCGATGAGGGGATATATTGCATCAAGGTTATTCTTATCAGCAAAGTAATAAAGTTGCAAATTTTTTAGAGACTTCATTGATATTCGTCGAGTCGTTGTTGATGAAGATAATAAAATCATTTCCGGCTACTTCACCAGTTTTGAAGATCCTCAAATTCAATTCAATCATCCGGATCGCAGCGTTGTTAGGTAAATTATCCAAATGTGATGTGCAACAACTAGACCTTATTCAGAGGGGCAAACGGACCATCCATGATTCGCGTGAGTTCCCAGGATGATGGCTTTAATTTTGAGTGGATGATGCAATGTGACTTGCGCGGTGGGTTGCCGAAGCGGATCGTCCAGTCAAATATGGTTTCCTTCTTCGTCCGCTACATAGAAAAACTTCGCAAACACGTCATCTCTTTGGATCCAACAATTGCGACCTAAAGTATTTTTTTTTTGTTTTCAATGCGCGATCGACTCATCACTTTTGGTGCAATTTTTCCTTTTTGTGATACATAGTCAGTGATTGTTTTAGCACTTTACTTAATAATTTCAATGCTCAACTAATAGTAAGGAAAAGTGATGTCTTGAAAACTCTCAGATCAGCGCTTGATTTTTGTAGTTGATCTCAGACTGTGATTGGAGCCTCTGTATAAAATATGAACTTGATCTAAAAGGTATTTACCTGATATGACGGTTCAATAATTCCAGCTGTGCCATTTTGTTGTTTTTTGTAACTTATCAATTTTCGTTGACGAAAACCGCTGACAAGTCATGTCTTTAGTTTTATGAGCTTTAATGATTGTGAAACGTCCAACTTTGTAGGTTCTAGTCAGTTAAAATTTTTATCATCATATGTTCACTTCAGCTTTGTAAATTAACATATCGTTTGAGAAGAAGAATAAATAATTCAAGTCAAATATTGCACAGGCTATGCATTCAAATCTAGTGAGCTTCGGGAACTACTGAGCAAAAGGTATATCACATCACCATAGATAAAAAAATTCAAGACCCTGCGGTAGAATTTGATGAGATGGGTTAAATTTTGTAAATTGAAAGCTAAAGAATAAACTATTTTGAGACTCTAAACATATCCTTGAAATGCCCGCTGATTGTACGCCGTTTGTGAAGATCTTCGTCTCTGAAACGAATGGCTTTGACGTAAAAATGTTTACTAACCTGATTTGTCGGTCGCCACTGATTAACTCTAACTTGCGGTCTTGACATTCTGCAATTTATGATAATGCTAATTGTCACTTTTGGTTCCAACCTATGGGACAAATGAGTTCGATAACAGATCCCGATCACAGCTGCGATCAACACCAACCATACACCCGCTAGAATGCAAGGAGCTACTACGAAAATCCCTGAAATTCGTTTTAATAATGTTTCTTTTATCAACAAACAAATGCTTGAATCGGATTCAGGCTCTTCAATCTTTTCATGCACTTCTACGAGATTTGGATTCACTTCAATCTCCGACGACGGTAATGGTCGTATCTTTCCTATAACGAGGCTCGCAATGCTTTTTTTTGTGCTTTTTTTTGCTTTTTTTTACCTGCAAAGATCAAATTGGGTCTTTTCGCTGCTGGTAATGGTGAAGCGGGTTTTTTTGTTGTTTTTGTCGTTGTGGTGGTGGTGGGAATAGGAATGGGTGTAGTTGAGTCAATCTCCCATTCTTTCATCAAGAACGGTTTCTCATCATCAACTTGCACTTCGCTCGACGAAGAACCACCTAATGCTAATAAATTGAATGTCATGCTTATAGGTCAACCTTGTGCCTGCAATGCTTTCAATTGTTTTGTTGGTTTTGGTTCGACAAGTTGGCTACAGGTGAAACCATCTCCATGAAATCCGGGTCGACATTGACACATCTAAATGGCAATTATTTAAGAGAATCTATTTGCTAACCGGTGAGGAGTCGATGTCCACACAATCGGCATTTGGTGAACATGCTTGATTAAACGATGAACAACGTCCTTTTTCTGAAATTGAATATCTTCGTTTTGTGGAAATTGATTTTATACCTTCACAAGTTGTTCCATTTCCAATGAACCCTGCAGCACACACGCATTCGGCGCTACCAATTTGATTTCGACAAACGGCGTTCGCGTGACAACGTAAAATGCCGGTGGCACACTCGTCTACGTCTAAATCAAAGTGTTGTTTTATGTGATGTATAGGTTGTTGACCTTGACTGCATGTTTGCCCTTCAAATCCAGGCGTGCATGCCCCGTTAGCGCACATTCCGCTGATGACATCACAAGCCGCCCCGTTTGCACAATGGCATTTCTGGGAACAAGCTTCACCCCATCGACCGTTTACACACTCTGGATTAGTTGAACTAGAGTTTTTCAACTACATGCCATTTACCACTCTCGCATAGTGGAGGCTTTCTTCGACCGGCTGGACATTGAATCGGCAATTCGCCATCAATTCTCATCATCCACTTCCCCGGGTGATCCACATTCGATCGAGTGGTCAGAGAGTCTGCAAAGTGCAATTGAAAAATGCAATGAAATGCCAGTGTTTTTCTTTGACTTACCAATTGGTATCTCAAATTTATCTCCATTCACTAGCAACATCGCCTTTCCACCGTGAAGATTCACTTTTTCGTAGAGTAACGTCAACAAAGTCATTTGATCAGAAGTAGCTATTACAGCCTAAGAACATTTTTTGTTTGCAAAACTTTCTTTGTAGTACCTGAAAAGAATTCAAAGCTTCTGGGCCACCGTCTTGTTGATGCATACGACTGAAACTGAAAATGTGAAGTTGAGAAGGAGAAAAGTCATCGATGGCCCATTGAGATGAAGCAGATAAAGTGGCTCGGTGAAGAAGAGCTCGAGATGAGTCATCCGAAGCTGAAAAGGACAATGGCACGGATCAGATTTTGCTCAATTCGATGAGGAATCACAAGGCTCAGTCAATGGTGGAAAAATTGGCTGATTTGATGAAAACTAACGGTTTATCGACGATGTTTTTCTAGGTGCATTTTAGAAAGCGTGTTTACTTGAGAGGAACACAATCTATTGGGTTGTCCAGTTATGAATGCGCGTTTTTTACTATTTTGTTAATTTCTCAAGATACCGAAATCAAGAAAAAGATATATATGAGTATTATTCGAAAGCTGAAGATCTCCTCTACATTTTGATATAAAAAGTTTTTGAATTTGTCCAGCTTTTGGGCAAATCGACTGCACAGAAGAAGAGGTGGCCAAAAAATGGAAGGGTGCCTTTGGATCAAGTTTTGGCTCCGCTCAAATTGAGTTAACCGTTTGATGTTTGGCCAATAGATATATCAATATAACTTTTTTAAAAATACAACAATTTCAGAGCATCTTTACTTTTCTGTTCTTTTCTGGGCGGTTATTTTACACCATAAAACTTGAGGAATAGCTAAGCTGAAATGGGTTTTTTTCGAAAACGACCGACCTCTCCCTTTGTGCAGTCAATTTCCCAAAAAGTTGAATGAATTCAAAAACTTTTTTATTCCAAAATGTAGAGGAGATCTTCAGCTTTCGAATGATATATAACACTCATATACATCTGTTCGATACCTTGAGAAATTTACAAAATAGTAAAAACGCGCATTCATAACTGGACAACCCAATAGGCTTGCTTTCAATCAGCATACCATTTACTCGTGTGTAAGTGACAAGTCCCTCTGTCGCATAATCAAAATTCGAACTCAATATGAAAATCGAAGGATCATCGAACTAAAATTTTAGAATTTGTTATTGATTTAGGATTTAGGATTATTGTAGTGTTCACCTCAGTTGATCTTGACTCAGATCTTGACTCAGATCTTGACTCAGATCTTGACGTCATTCTCTGTGAGAAAGTGATCAATCCGTTCGGAGAAACCTGTAATCAAAGAAGTCTAACAATAAGTTTTCCCTTTCACCTTGACAATAGAATATTCTTTTCCACCAATCTTGATTGAAAGCGAAAGAGCAAAAGTGGCTGATGAGTTTCCCCTTGGCACTACAAATGAATCATTTGCGATCGGGTAGAGAATCGTTTCTAGAAATGTTTAAGCATTAGCTTTGAATTCTCTTTAAACCGTGACATTCCACTCCATTCCCAATGAAGCCATCAATACAATCGCATGTGAATGAGCCGACGAGATTTGTGCAACGAGCCGCTGCATGGCAAGGGGACAGAGCGCATTCATCTGTAAAAAAAAGTAGAAACAAGAATAGTGGAACGATTTAAATGTTTATAAAGGATATGAGGGTCTGTTAGAAGCATTGCGCTTACCAATATCCGTGCAAAAAGCCTCATCATTAAGCCTCTCAAAGCCTTCGTGGCATTCACACTCAAAGCCACCCTCCGTATTCGTACATTCCGCGTGATCTCCACATCCATCCTCTTCGCACTCGTTTTTGTCTAGATTTCCTGTTTCTAGTTAATCCCCATTCATTTACCTGAACATCCTTGAGAACTAAGCGGATTTCCCTGATATCCATCCACACAACGACACTGGAAGCTACCCTCTGCGTTCACGCATTTCCCTCCTTCACCACACACCGCTCCTTCTGCACACTCGTCTTTGTCTAAAAGAGTGTTTCTTCTAAATATTCATTTTTCGTTTTACCTATGCATTTTTCTCCATCATATCGATATCCTTGACCACATGTGCACTCATAGGAACCAATTGTGTTTATGCAATTTCCCTGATCACCGCATGGTGATGATTCTAAACTTGTATTTTAAAAAAAATGACTAGTTTTTAGTAGTTGAACTTACGTGCACATTCATCAATATCTTCACAACTTGTTTCTCCATCGCCTGCGTATCTGTAATAACGTGTTTGTTATAATAGTTACAATAACAAACCCGGATTCACATTCGCATTGACCAGCGTTACAGCCAGCTCTTGGATGACAAAGCGGGCAATTTGAGGAGGAGGAGGAGGACGAGGACGAGGAGGAGGAGGACGAGGACGAGGAGGAGGAGGACTTAAATTTTACTTTAAAAAGTTGTCAATAAAAAACACCTGTGCAAGTGGAGAATTTAAAACAGTTGGGGTGAACGATAGTGGTTTCCGTGTGGCTTTGGTTTGAAGAGAAATCGATGGCTGAACCGGCTCCACACTCACTGATCCCAATTTTGTTTCTTTTTCTAGCGCTTCACTTCCTAATACAAATTATTTTGACTACTATGAGACACAAAACCTTTGCATTTCCCCTTCGCTTCATCATATTCGAAACAAAGACACATGAAAGCGCCAGGCGTATTGACACAATCCGGTTGAGCGGCAGGGCAGACTCGCGGCTGGAGACACTCATCAATGTCCCGGTCACAGATTGGAGCATGTGCCCAACCGGGACTGCATCGATCTGCAACAATACTTGATAAAGAACAATTCAGATTTTTGATACTTGATGGACATCGTCCGTTCTCCGGATCGCATTGATCCCCGTTCTCACAATGACATCCCCGAGAACAATCGTTGAACCATTGATTGGGAGAACAACTCTCCACACACTCTAGTCCCTAAAAGTTTGAAGCTAGTCCCCCTTTTCTTGACTAATTTTTACTTTAAAACCAGCTCCACATAAATAGATTTCGTTTGGATCGACTCTGAAAAGCCATTCGCCCGGGATTCCAATGTCACTCTTCTCCTAGATTTTCATATGAAAAGTTGATCTTGATCTATACCCGTAGGAGAATCGAGTCAGCCGTTCCCGAGTCAGGAAGTGAGAAAGTGATATTGCCACCATTTGAAAAGCCCGCCTAAACTTTACAAGCTTTAATCTTTGTACAATTTTCATCTTTGTACAAATTTCAATTTAGCAAAAAGAATCAGATAAGAGTGGCCTTTTGCGGATGATTCAGGGATGTTGGTTGATGAAAAAAGAAACGAGGAGAAAAGGAAAATATAGTGGCACAGAAACTTTTCATTTCACATTTCTTGATTTCTATTTCTATTTCTTTCAAAAAGAAAATCCATTCACATACAGTACTGGACAATGAAATGTTATATTTGAAAAAAAAATATTACCATTGTATTGTATTACCAATGAAATATCAATCAATGAAATATGATATTTGAAAAAACGATCGTCACTTTCGCGCGTCTGTAACTCACTTGTCTTTCAGTTTAAACTATTAGTGTTATACATTAAATTTGTACATTCATTACAGTAGTTCTCTAGTTTTAAATCCACTTTTTACTTCGTTAGTGTCAATTTTGAGATCAATAAAGTATAAAGAAGGATTGAATCCAGTTTGGCGAATTCTGCTTCATGCAATTCCTAGGTTCTCCTAGCCGCTCCTCAACGTCGTGTGGCAACTCTACGAAAATTCATCAAAATTGCTATTTAGTAAGCAAGATACTCTAGCTACAGTACTGGACAATGAAATATTATATTTGAAAAAAAGATCGTCACTTTCGCGCGTCTGTAACTCCCTTGTCTTTGAGTTTAAACTATTAGTGTTATACATTTTCTGAAAGCTCTTTTTAAGGGCTACACAATGGTAATATTAATATTTAGAAATACGGTAAAGACAATGGAGTTACAGAAGCGCGAAAGTGGCGATCTTTTTTCAAATATGATATTTCATTGTCCAGTGTATCATGTATATCCGAATGTCTAAATCTTTTTTTTTAAAGTTCTTACGATCAGAAGTAATGCCAAGGTGTGGGACTGATCAAGAGAAAGTCCAGACCTGAGCATCACTACTAATCGATGAATGGTGCTGATTTTAAAACAGTTTCTTTAGTTTAACTTGATTTCTTTTCTTTTCTTTTCTTTTCTAACTTGATTTCTTTTCTTTCTTTTTAGTTTAACTTGATCATTTCCGTATTTACACGAATGACAAACCACAGCATCTCGATTCGAAACAAGACGACTGTAAATGAAATGTGCGAAAGTCATATCATCGCCAATCAAAAGACCAAGTTGAAAAACATTTCCATCAAGACTCTAAAGCTCACAAACTCATCAAGACTTTATTTTTCTTTGCATACCGCTCGATTTGGATCTCGCCCACCCTCCCACGTAATCACCACAACACTTCGAATATTGAACACCTAAACACTTTGCTCATTTCCTCAATTTCTTTCTCTCACTTGTCCATATCGGTACTGAATGTTGACCTCATTGTGAGCCAAATTGAGAATGCTTGCATCTGAAAAACATTTTTTCTGATCTGAAAATCCTTTCACTTTGCTTCAGGGAGGGATTAGGATTGATTCTCACTAAAACCAAATTATCTTGGTTTCACACGGTGTAGAAAATTTGTAGAGAAATAGAGCCAATTTGGGGCAAAAATTGTGCCCAAGGATTTGGCCATAGTGGCAATAAAAACGGTGAAACCCGGTCAGCATTCCCTATGCCGGTCAGCATTCCCTATGCCGGTCAGCATTCCCTATGCCGGTCAGCATTCCCTATGCCGGTCAGCATTCCCTATGCCGGTCAGCATTCCCTATGCCGGTCAGCATTCCCTATGCCGGTCAGCATTCCCTATGCCGGTCAGCATTCCCTATGCCGGTCAGCATTCCCTATGCCGGTCAGCATTCCCTATGCCGGTCAGCATTCCCTATGCCGGTCAGCATTCCCTATGCCGGTCAGCATTCCCTATGCCGCCCAGCGCTCCTTTTCACCCTAAAAGGGGAGCACTCTATGCTCGGACGGTTTGCCAGATGAAGAGCGATTACGCGGTCACACAAAGAACACTGTGTCAGTCATTTACCGGGGATTCCTCCTTTGCTTTGTAGATGATACAAAAAGATTTATACTGTTTGTAATTTGTACCCGAGGGTTTTCGGGGACGGGGAATCGATTGGAGCTATTCATTTTATTGATATTACTAAATCTATCTGTTAATTTGGCTTTATAGTTAGTGAGAAGCAATCGAAATTCGGACTACGTCTTTGAGCGATCGTAAATTTGCCCCTAGCCTGTATTTTTGTCAAAGATATCACTCAGGAAAAGAAAGGGAAATTTTGAGGAGAGGGATTTTCATGAACCTGGATGATAGTGATAGTGATCGGGAAGAAAGGAAAAGATGCTCATGTGGATTTTCGGATTGGATCGCTTTGAATCGATCACTCCCGATTGAGCGGTGATCAAGAAAAAGGGCAAAGAGATCACTCATCTCAATCATCGCTCTTCCCGGTTCCTTGCTTGCTCAGCTTTAGCAATTCGTTTACAAGGGAAATGGTCAAGAATCGAAGCCAGCCAAAAGAAAGTGTTTCGAGTTTTAAAGTCAAATAGATAAAGGGATTTGAAATGGTTTTGCTTTTTTTTTTTTTTTTTTTTTTTTTTTTTTTTTTTTTTTTTTTTTTTTTTTTTTTTTTTTTTTTTTTTTTTTTTTTTTTTTTTTTTTTTTTTTTTTTTTTTTTTTTTTTTTTTTTTTTTTTTTTTTTTTGCTTTGTCATAGCTTTGCTTTGTCATAGCTTTGCCTTCACCTTCCGTTTGCCGATAGTAGACTTTCCCGCCACGAGTGGGCATCCAAAACAATGCGATCACTGGGTGTTGTGAGGGTAACACTGAAATCGTTTCTTGGTAACAAATCTTGAAAGATCTTGTTCTTTAAGACCTGAAGGTTGTTGAGGATCAGCAGTTAAAGTCACAGCTCCATCGTTTCTGATCTAAAATGTTATTAAAACTTCATTTTTCTCTGGATTCTCAATCTTCTAGCTGGGCTACCGGTTTTCGGCATCAAAGTTTTAGACAAAAAGAGAAGCGCACACAAAGCTGGAAACTATTTGAGGAGGGGACAAAAAAGGACAAAAAACGGAAGCGAATGGTGACCCCATAACGCCAATGATCCTCTATGATTCATTTCAAAAGTTTAAAAAAAACTTATGAAAGAAAATACTCCCATACTCATTGATATCATTTCTGGTGTTCAGAAATGAATTTATTCAAATAAAATCAATAAATCTAGAGTGTTACAATCTGAGAAAGCTTGATTTTCTTGCTTGGAATATACCGTAAATACTGTAATAGTACCCCACCTCCTCGTACAGTCACGTAGTCGCTAAAAGTTTTTTAGTTTTTCATTTTTTTCAAAGCGCCCGTACTTTCAAAAAATGCGTCTTTGGTATCAAAAAATAGCTGAAATTCAGGGCTATTTTTTGATACCTAAACGCGGATTGTAGCATAAACCAGTGTCGAGAAAAACTCGTTCAAAGCTAGACTACGCAACACTCCGCACCGTCAGTATCTTTGATATCAAAAAAATAGCCCTGAATTTCAGCTATTTTTTGATGCCTAAACGCGCATTGTAGCATAAACCAGTGTCGAGAAAAACTCATTCAAAGCTAGACTACGCAACACTCCCCACCGTCATTATGGGGGTGGGGTACTATTCCAGTATTTACGGTAGCTACTTAAACACTTACATAAATAGTATCGTAGATAGCTCCAAGATACGAAAAAGGCTCAATGAGAGAAATCGCTTGCACAGCGTTTGAAAGAATTCTAAAAGAAAAAAACAAAATATTATAATGCTAGAGTTGTCAACTTGTCGCCTTTGTCAGGTCCATAAGGGTAAAGACGAGCCGAGAAGATGTAAGGCACCGTTGTGTTTAGATCGATCGGAGTTCCACCCTCAGCTTCTCCTAATTGTCTCCGATATCGAGCATGTTCTGAATTTGTTTTGAAAGAAGAACCATTTAAAGTACCTTTAAAGTAAAAAAAGTACCTTTTAACGAGTTTTCAGTCGCCAACGAAACCGATAGTAGAGTGAAAAAGAAAAGTTTGAATAAAAGTTCAAAAATTATTCGATCGTGACCCGTCCAAGGCATTCTAAAGGATAGAGTTTGATCTAGAAAAAAAAAGGATACAAGTGATAAGAAGGAGATCTTTTAAGTTTTGCGAAGTGAAGCCTTTTGTGGCGATCAGTGGGATGCTGAGAAGAGGCGAGAGTTGTGATCGTCACTCCTCGTAAATTGGGAAAGAGAAAGGAGAAGGAAAGGAGATGAGAAGGAGATGACGAGAAAGCGAGCTCCCGATATGGAGAAGGGAATAGATCTAAAGAAAAGAATGGATAAAAAGGAGTTGTGGATTGTGGATGTTGATCCTTACAACCACCTCTCTCCAATTTCCCCCATCTCATTCCCACACTCATCGCTCAAAAGCAATTACAAAACAATTCTCTTATAGATCTTTTCGTTTCTCTGAAGATTTAACTGTTTAGCTCAATGTATCAAGAATCCTTACAATTACAATTTAACTAGAAGCTTTGTATGTAAACCTTGACGATATCAAACGAGATTTTGGAAAATTTAATTCCCTATTGGCAATCCAACTTTAAGCTCAAATATCTTCGTATCGAGCTATCCAATTTCAATAGTTTTTATACCAATCAATAGAGAAAGACTTGGCGTATCCAATGATACCAAGAATGTTTGGATTGAACAGTCCAACACCAAGATATTTGAGCTCAAAGTTGGATTGCTAATCGCAAAGAGAAGTATAAAAGAGAAGCAAAGTATGAAATTTCCGATAGCCATATCAAACTGTTTTAGAGATTGAATCTTTGGTAAGCTCACAAATCTTGGTAAGCTCACAATCTTGGTAAGCTCACAGGTAAGCTCACAAATCTTGGTAAGCTCACAAATCTTGGTAAGCTCACAATCTTGGTAAGCTCACAATCTTGGTAAGCTCACAATCTTGGTAAGCTCACAATCTTGGTAAGCTCACAATCTTGGTAAGCTCACAGGTAAGCCCAAATCTTGGTAAGCTCACAAATCTTGGTAAGCTCACAGGTAAGCTCACAATCTTGGTAAGCTCACATTATTATGATATCATAACAATTCAAATATTATGAATCAAATCGAACATCAAGTCAGAGTCGAGCACAAAGTTCACAATTTTATTGACAAATTTCATCGACTTTCAAGAGCAAAAATTCAGGGTAAAATGGAAAACTTTCAAGCTGAGGTAACGATCGACTGTCGACAGAGAATGCAGATGAAAGTGGTCATAAAAATTGGGGTGGAAGGAGCGGGCGTTGCCATTTGTGGGGGATGGAAGAAGAGAATGTGCCTCTCCTTCTCATGAGCGACAAACAGCTTGCCCCAAATCTCTCTCCCCCTTTTCCTCCTTCAACTTTCCTCATGGCACGATTTGCTCTCTTTCAGCTTCTTCCAGTTTCTTTCAGCTTCTTCCAGCCGCATATCCAAAGACTCTCCCCAAAAAATTTCTTTTTTTATCCCCTTTCAGACAAAACCCAATGAGATAATTTGACGAGCCGCTTACGCCTGATTGAGTCGCCGCTGGCCGGTATGCAAATTTCTTCGCGAGTGAAAAGGAAAGGTTTAAAAGAGATAAGGAAAGGCTTTTCAAATGGCTTGATATTATCTGAAGAGACAAAACTTTTTTTTTTTTTGTGATTTCTCTAGATTTTCAGCCATGTCATTTGCTCATCTCATCACGTCTGTCCACAAATTCCACCTCAAATTCCATAAATAAGTGAAATAATAAAAACCAAAAATAATGAAAATCATCTAAGCGATGTCTCTAATTAATTAATAGAAGAAAAATAGATATTGAGACAATTTGACGAGCCGCTTACGCCTGATTGAGTCGCCGGAAATGTTTTTTGAAAAGTGTTTAGCACCAGATGTTTGTCTGTGAATGGGATTTGTCCATTGCGATTTGTTGAATGAATTTGTTCATTTGAATTTGTGCTATTATCGAGTTTTTCACAGTTCCAACAACAACTTAAACTTCACTAGAACTATCCTAAATCTTTTGAGAATTTTCAGCAATCGAATTTCGACAATCAAGAGATCCAACATCTCTTGATAGCCGAAATTCGATTGCTGAAAATTCTCAAAAGATTTCGAATAGTTCTAGTGAAGTCTAGTCTTTTGTCTAACATACTTTAACAAGAGACAATCTTTACAACAATCTATTCAAACAAAACTAATATAAACAAAGGCAAAGAGTGACTTGCGGCCTTGTCAACGTCATTAACACGCTTGATTGCGTTTTTAAAAGATTTTGAAGAAAAAAAAAAGGAAGAAAAGAAAGGGGAGAAGAGATTGAGGAAAAGAAAAAACAGAGAATGCAAGCTCTCATGCCCTTCAAATTTGCGAAACGCGCGTGTTGTTAAAAAAAGAGAATGCGAAAAGAACGGTAGATAGGTTGTGAGTCGACTGTCACTCTTTTTTACTTCGATTTCTCTGTATTTCCTCTGTATTTCCTCTCTTTCTAGACATATGTGCACTCTTTGGTGCCCAATGAGATCACACAAAAAAATCACCTTTCACTTGATTTCCTTGTCTCTTTTCCATCTTTTGATTGATCATCATCTTTTTGAAACATTTTTCTTATTGGACTTTAGCTTTTTATGTTTAGCTTTAGCTTTTGAAAACACGAGAAATCGGACTGTAATCATAACAAATCTTTGATGTTTTCCCTTGATTTCTTTTTCCTTTTTTTCATTTTTCTTCAAAACTATTTCTTGTTTTAACTTCAAACTACAGTACTGTTCAATTATTTGCATTTTTCTTCAATTTATATATATATATATGTTGTGTCCGATTTAGATTGAACTTATCGCGGACGTCCGATTTAGATTACAGTCTATATAGGACGTCCGATTTAGATTCAATCTAAATCTTATATAGATTGAACAATAATATAAACATGCTTAATATATGTTCTTAAGCGTTTTCTGTAGTTTTCTGCATTTTTCAAAGGTCTTTTATTGTCTTTTTCTGAAAAGAAAACCCAACTATGAAACAATAAGCATGTTTATATTATTGTTCAATCTATATAAGATTTAGATTGAATCTAAATAGGACGTCCTATATAGGCTGTAATCTAAATCGGACGTCCTATATAGGCTGTAATCTAAATAGGACGTCCTATATAGACTGTAATCTAAATCGGACGTCCTATATATAGACTGTAATCTAAATCGGACGTCCGCGATAAGTTCAATCTATTGGGTTGGGGATTATGACTCGGCGCCGAAAATCAAAAAAATGTCTAAAACTTCTATTCGACTTTGTCAAATAATATGCGTTTGATATGAGTAGAATGGTTAACTAATTCTCTACAAAATGACATTTAAAAGAAAATTCAAACAGCGCCTCCGCTCAAGAAAAAGCCATTTTTTCACAAAAACTACAAACTGTGATCTAGAAAAAACCATTGGTGGGATCTTCCTGCAAATTTGGCAACTTAAGTAATTGAATGTGCTCTATCTTTTTTATATAAACACCAAAGAAGGTTTATGTGAAAGAAACTGTTCAAATGATGAGTCGGGCTCTTTGCCATTTTGACTAGCTGTGTTTGGGAGTCCATAAACTCCACGAAAGAAAAGCTTTGTGGAATCTCTCAAAAGTGATTTTGTAGAGAAATAGTGGATCCTTTTGATGAAACCAAACGTATATTTAAAGAAGGCTTTATGTGTGCAAAAAGTCCCTTTAAAGTTTGGCGCCGAGTCATAGTCCCCAACCCAATAAATCGGACACAACATATATATATATATATGCTTTATTCAGTTGAATAGCGACAAAACAAAATCACAATAATTACCCTGGACACCACTCAAAACACACCCAAAAGATAAATAGATACCTCAAGAAAGAATATGTAAAAGTATCTACGATTCAGCACTGTAAATCAGACTAAATTCTTAAAAAACACACACACACACATTTCAAATATCGGATTGAGACCCAGTTAAGAGAAAAAAGTGATGAAGCGAACAGTTAGAGTTTTCAGTCTTCTTATCGGAAACTCGTGGACATTGAGAGAATTCACGTGAACCTTTTCTCCACATTTTTCTTTTCTCATTTCACCATTACCTCATTTACCCCAATCAATTCTCTTTTTGATAAAACCTCTTCATTTTCGCAACATTAATCTTTTCGAAATACTCATTCAACTTCTTTCTTTAATCTTTCTTGAGACCAAAAGCAAACGAGAAATTCACCAGATATGACCAAGCATGACTTAGAAGAAATATTCTGCTCTAAGGGGAAAACCGTTTTCATTTCATTTCAATCAAAAATTGAAACTATTTCACTCTTGCCTAGTTTGTGGGTATTTTAAACGAGTCGTCACGCTTTGAAGACCTATAACTTTGTCCAGAGATAATATTTTCGTTAACTTTTTAATATCATTGTATAGAGGAGATTTCAGGCTTTCAAATGATACCAAATAGAACCTGACTGGATTTTTCATTCCCATGCAAATAAGGCGAAACGACACTTGAGTTGGATAGGCCTCATTTGCTCAGAGTTGGCTCTGATTTTCTTGGACTGAATTATCCAATAAAGCTCTATTTGGTATCATTTGAAAGCCTGAAATGTTCTCTGTACAATGATATAAAAAGTTAACAAAAATATTATCTCTGGACAAAGTTATAGGCCTGCAAAGTGTGATGATTCGGAAAAAAAATTCAGGAACTAGGCAAGGGTCAAATAATTTCAAGTTTTGATTGAGATGAAATGAAAACGGTTTTTGGGATATTTAGTTGGTATTATTTGAAAGCCTGAAATGTCCTTTGTACAATGATATAAAATGTTAAGAAAAATATTATCTCTGGACAAAATTATAGACCTTTAAAGCGGGATGATTCGGAAAAAGTCAAATAATTTCGGGAACCACGCAAGAGCCAATGATTTCTATAGAAATTTGTAAAAAAAAACTTTGCTGATGAATCTTTTCTTTCTCGATTCTTTCTCATTACTTTCACTTTCTTTTATTTACTTTAACCATCGTGAGCTTTTTTTTTTGCTCTGATTGCGAAGAGAGAGGTAAACCCCGGAGATCGAGGATGATCACTTTGAACAGAACAGAAAAGTTTCCTTCATTCAATCCATTTCAAAACCTTATGCCAGCCAGCCTTAATAAAATTAAATTTCTTTAAATTAAATTAAATCTTTAAAATCTTTACTTTACTTCTTCAAAAATGTTACATTACTTTATTTTAAAAAAATAATTTTTTTTTGTTTCGAATTCCTTGAGAATTCAGCAAATAAATCTTATTTCACTTTCGATTTGTTGTTTGCAATTGATCACTTTGCTCTCTCCTCTCTCTCTCTCTCTCTCTCTCTCTCACTCATTCACATCACTTCAATCCCTTTCAATCAATCCAATCAATCCAAATCTTTTTCTATCTAAAAAAGGATACTTATGTATCCATTTTTCCCTTTTTTCACTACCCTTTTTGACGCATTGATATGTCAAATTTTTGTGACATCCTGCGGCCCAACGGCGCCACTCTTTCAGCCTCAATCTGGCGGGAAAAGATTAAAAAAAAACTCGAAAACAAGATCATTCAAGAAATGAGTTGTCTATGGTGATCATGTAGTGACAAACTCGTGCTCATCAAAAACATTTTGGTGATTGAATTGTTGAAGCAAAGGATTGTTGTTAAATTGAATTGTTGAAGCATTCAATTGTCTTAATGCAAGCAATTGTTGAAGCATTCAATTGTTGAAGCAAAGAATTGTTGAAGCAAACAATTGTTGAAGCAAAGAATTGTTGAAGCAAAGAATTGTTGAAGCATTCAATTGTCTTAATGTAAGCAATTGATTGCCAACTAATCTTGCCAACTAATCACCATTTTATTTCTTCATTTTACAAAAGAATAAGAGGAAATTACAAGTTTTATTCAAGATCAAGAGATCAAGAAAAAGAAGAAGAAGAAATAAAAAAAATCCCAAAAAACAGCGAAGACCTTTCTTATCGAGTCGCCAATCGCTTTAATCTCCTGTCAGCTTTCGAGCTGCCGTTCTTCTTTTATTAAATAGCTTAACAAAAAAAAACACTTCTTGATTTCTCTTGGTGAGAAATTTCGAAAAACGATTGCCTGGCGAAACAAGAGCACGGATTCACAATGGGTTTTTTTTCCACAAGTTTTGTGATTGATGAAATGTTTGAGTGGTGTTTTTCGAGATGGACTGTGAAACTCTTTAATCAAATACTCATCTATCATTTGTGCTTTTCCTCTTCTCAAATCTTCTCCATTTCATTCTCCTTCTCGAAATTTACCCCCTATTTTCATCAATTCCATTTTTGGTGCTCATATTTTCTCATCCCATTTTATTGGATCGTCAGCAGAATTGCTGATTCTCAGTACACAGCTTTGAGCGATAGACTTTTAGCTATATTATTAAATACTTGTTTTATTTGAAAGTTTAGAAAGCAGCAGCTTATAAGCTTAGGCTTAGGCTTGGACTTAGTGCGAAGGTTAGCGGCTAGCGCCTCGCACTAAGTCTATTTGGGTTTGGGCTAAACCCCCATTTTCTGGATCTCAGCCAGTTCTCGGAGCTAAGGGACACCCGCTTGACGATGCTCATCCGCTTAGGCTTAGGCTTAGGCTTAGGCTTAGGCTTAGGCTTAGGCTTAGGCTTAGGCTTAGGCTTAGGCTTAGGGTTACGCTTAGGGTTAGGGTTACGCTTAGGGTTACGCTTAGGGTTAGGGTTAGGCTTAGGGTTAGGCTTAGGGTTAGGCTTAGGCTTAAGGTTAGGCTTAGGCTTAGGCTTCAATGCTTTGCGCTTTGAAAGCTCTCATTATCAAATACAGTTGAACCTCGTTGGTGAACTATGGAAGGAAAAAAATCATTCACTATCGAGATTTGATTAGTACTAAGCGAACTCAGAGGGATCCTAAAAAGAATGCGATTACTATCGAGGTTAGTTCTCTATCGAAGTGTTCCTTACCAAGGTTCGACTGTAAATTTCTTCAGCACAGCTCTCCTTTGATAGCTCATTCCTTTTTACTTATTCAATTGAAGCAAAATTCACTTTTCACAAGCATTGTTACTTCTAAAGCTTTTGCCATAATAATCTCAATCTCAAATAAAATAGTGGAGATGAAAGTTGAGAAAAGAGAAAAATCTTTGGGAAAAGATAGGTCATCAATCATTTTGTGGGTGCCGGTGCCCATTTCTCAGCTAATACAATGACTGATTGCTTCTCTCATTGTGTGTTTATCACCGTGTCGATTGAATGAATGCCTTTTTTTTTGGTGAAAGGAAGGAGAAGAACTGCTCCTCCCGTCCTCCTCCCGTCCTCCCGCAATCTCTTTCATCATCCATTTACTATCACTGCATTAAAATATGTTCAATTGTGCTTGTTGCGATTTTTATTGAATAAGTGAATTGAATTACTTTAATGTCCATTACACATAATGTATTTGAATTACTTTAATGTTCCTTTAATGTCCATTACATTACACTGAATCCATTACACAACAACAATTTAGATCTAAGAACAAATTCAAAACAAATTCAAAACAAATTCATAATAACTTTAAACTTTAAAACTTAAACCTCTCACTTTTTGTTTAGATTAGATCAAAATCTGATATTGTTAATGAAAATAAATCCCAAATGAATCCCGAATGAATTTCTTCTTGTCCCTTAAATCTTTCGATACAATCAGTAAGTGCGTCTTCTTGCCCCTTAAATCTTTCGATGCAATCAGTAAGTGCGTCTTCTTGTCCCTTAAATCTTTCGATACAATCAGTAAGTGCGTCTTCTTGCCCCTTAAATCTTTCGATGCAATCAGTAAGTGAGTTCAATGCGTCTTAAGTGCTTGTTGCCATTTTTACTGAATTAGTGAATTGAATTACTTTACTGAATCCATTACAAAACAACAATTTAGATCTAATAACAAATTCACAACAAATTCACAACAAATTCACACCAACTTTAAACCCTAAAACTTAAACCTCTCACTTTTTGTTTAGATTAGATCAAAATCAGATATTGTTAATGAAAATGAATCCCAAATGAATCCCAAATGAATCCCAAATGAATTTCCTCCTTCCCCTTAAATCTTTCGATGCAATCAGTAAAATTTTCGAAAATTTTTGCATTTTTTTCTGCATTTTCCTCCGATTCGTGCTTTATGATCGATTTTTTAAAAAAAGATTTTTTGTTTTGTTTCGGGCCGTGGGCAGATTATTGGAGTTGAGTCACTGACAACAAGAAAAAAAAGGGGGGAAAAGGGGGAGGAAAGAGGCGGCCTGACATCGTTACAACATTTTCAAATTCACCACCACAACTTTCAATAATAGATATTCTATAAGAAGTTTCTTTTTGGTCTTAAAAAAAAGTAGCGATGATCCCAGTGCTCGTGAAAAGTGAAGATATTGTGAAAAACGAGGAGGTTGATATTGGTGAGTTGTTCAAAAAGATTTTTTTCGAAAAAGCTTCCGCTTCGCAACTCTTCTTATCTCCAAATTTCCATTCCACCCACTCTTTCTCTCGAATAATTGACTCAATTTGGTGTACACGATGACTCAAAAGGCGATCTTTATAAAAGACTCTATTTCCCTCTCATTATAATCAATCTTGAAATTATGAGCACATCAAAAGATCAGAAAAATGGTGGGTATTGTTACTTTCTTAAGAGTACCTTACTTTCTTAAGAATATCTTACTTTCTTAAGAATACCTTACTTTCTTAAGAATATCTTACTTTCTTAAGAATATCTTACTTTCTTAATAATATCTTACTTTCTTAATAATATCTTACTGTTTGGATTACTTTCTGTTTGGATTGATGGGTGTTTTCCGTTTTGAGATAAGGCGTCACTTCCGTTCTTTTATCGCGTAAAACTTCGTCTTGATTTTCCATTTGTGCATACAATTTGCCCGGCTCTGACAATCCTTTGATGCAAGGAAATCGAGTTTTCATTTTGAAGCTCTTGAATAGGAAATATGATCAAGTATAGAATGTAAATGGTCAAGTATTGCCTCTTTTATCTTCACCACTAACAACCAATTAGCCTCGAGGGCAAAGGAAGAAAATCCGGAAATTGAGACTCATCTCTTTTACCTTCTCTACCCCCCGTGCTTATTATTACTTTTCACTTCAACAAAGCAATGCAATCAAGAGATGGGTAAAGTGTAATGCTTTACATTTTTCGTGTTGTTATCTTGTGATTAATGTTAACAAATCTTTGGTTGATGGCTCTTCCCTGTAAATAGTGTTTTATCGTACTATAAGCCTTAGAATTATCCTCTTTTTCAGCTCACCATTGGTCAACTTGAGTTTATTATTGAAAAAATAGTGTTTTATCGTACTGTAAGCCTTAGTAACCTTCTTTTCCAGCTCATCATTGGTCAGCTTTAGTTTATTATTGGAAAAATAGTGCTTTATCGTACTATAAGCCTTAGAATTTCCTTGTTTTTCAGCTCATCATTGATCAACTTTAGTTTATTATTGGAAAAATAGTGTTTTATCGTACTGTAAGCCTTAGAATTATCTTCTTTTTCAGCTCACCATTGGTCAGCTTTAGTTTATTATTGGAAAAATAGGGTTTTATCGTACTGTAAGCCTTTCCAAGTGGCTGATTTGAGGGGAGAGATTTCTTTTTTTGACAAAAAAAAATTTCTGAACATCTAAAATGAAAGGTGTGACAAATGTCGACATGTGCGGTATGCTTTGAGCGCTTTCGCGCGGCAATTTGTCAAGCTCCTTTTCTCTTTTTCATATCTTCAAATCTCATTCTCAATTCGCTTGTTTCTTGGCTCGCTTTCTTTTTTTCCCCTGTCCACCCATTTTAAAACATTTTCATCATTCCATAGAAAATTTTTGAATAGCTCGTGAGAATTAACGAGTCCCGGAAGCGCGACCGCCTTTAAAAAAAAAAGAGATCTACATAAAAGAGAACTGCACGAAATGCAGAGAATATAAAAGGACGAAAGTCTGCATTCTGGTCTTGAGTTTTTGCAAACGAAGGGAAAGCCTTTTCAAAGGGAAAGCAAAAATTCATTTCATTTCATTTCGAACTTCCTTCACCGAAGTCTCTTGTCTTATTGCCTTCACCGAAGTCTCTTGCAAATCCTGATCGTTTCACTCTATACCTTCGAGTGATTCTTTAACCAAAAAACTCTATCCCAATCATTACTGAACTTATTTACAAACTGAAGTTACAAAACTTATTTAAACTTACAACTTACAAAACTTATTTACACAGTGGATAGGCTGAAAATTCGATTTGAATTCCTTTACTCCTTTCCAATAGAAATAAGCTTTCAGAAACACCAATCATCTGGACGGCTACACCAGCCACAGATTCACGGACGCCTACTTATTTCATTGGTGAGCGATAGCAATTTTTTGTTGAGCTTTTTGAGCTTCTTTGAGCTTTTTAAGCTTTAATGAAATTATATTCCTCTAATTTATTAAGTTCTTCCTTTTCGTTTTAGCTATCTGAAATGCATAAATGTTTTTGATGATGAATTGAAGTAAATGAATCATCGCCACAAAAAAGAGGCAGGCATTGGAAAATGCGAGTGTTTTCTGACAAAAAAAAAAACGTTTAAAGCAATATAAAGATGCTGAGAATTGAAGATTGGGAAATTTTAGAATTTAAAATTCTACAATTAATCTACAATGAACTCGTTTTCAGAAATGCTGGGCGATGGCGGAGTGGTGACCTCGTCTCAAGGGGTTCCGATGAGCTCGGGATATGTGTCCGCGCCATCATTTCAATATATTCCATCCACTCGGGTCCACACCCATGCCACTGATCTCCATAGAATACAAGTAGTCCTTTTTTTTTTTCAATAACTCTTTTTGATCATTTTCTAGAATTTAACCCAATTCCCGTTGGGCTACTATGGTCACCAAATGGGGTACACGGGCGAGCACGCGATGCCAATCAGTAGCCATCATTTTGTAAGTTGATCAATGGGGAAAACCGCACAATTACTCTCCCATCGAACAATCCCTCCCACCGAACAATCCCTCCCACTAGGGGATAATTAAAACCGAACACTCATCAACTTCCCCATTTGGTTTGAAAACATTATGGGAGTGGAACAAATGGAACCTTTTTTTTGCGCGCCCGGCCCACTCTCATACTTTTGTGAAAATTTCAGTTATCAGGACCAAAAGTTATGATGTTTCGCTTTTTTTTCTTTGCTTTTCATGGGGTGGCTACTTTGCGCCAAATGTTTTACGCAACTTTCGTAAGACGTTAACAGCCATAAAAAAGCAGTGAAACAAAATGGGTGAAAGCAGTGAAACAAAATAAATTACTTGATTATCAAAACGATTCTTCATTTGATAAATATTAACAGAAATTTGATTAAAAACTTTAACAATAAAGAAAATAGTGTTTTATCGTACTGTAAGCCTTAGAATTACCTTCTTTTTCAGCTCACCATTGGTCAACTTTAGTTTATTATTGGAAAAATAGTGTTTTATCGATTAGGCGTAATCTCCATTAACCCATTAACGATTTTTAACCCATCAAAGATAGTTGCTGAGAATTGTTCTCCTTCGTTTTCTGGCACTACCATTTCACCTACCGTAAATACTGTAATAGTACCCCACCCCCCTCGTACAGTCGCGTAGTCGCTAGTCGCTAAAAGTTTTTTAGTATTTCATTTTTTTCAAAGCACCCGTACTTTCAAAAAATGCGTCTTTGGTATCAAAAAATAGCCCTGAATTTCAGCTATTTTTTGATACCTAAGCGCGCATTGTAGCATAAACCAGTGTCGAGAAAAACGCGTTCAAAGCTAGACTACGCAACACTCCGCACCGTCATTATGGGGGTGGGGGTCTAGCTAGTCTAGCTTTGAACGAGTGTTTCTCGACACTAGTTTATGCTACAATGCGCGCTTAGGTATCAAAAAATAGCTGAAATTCAGGGCTATTTTTTGATACCTAAACGAGAATTGTAGCATAAACCAGCGTCGAGAAAAACTCGTTCAAAGCTAGACTACGCAACACTCCGCACCGTCATTATGGGGGTGATGTACTATTACAGTATTTACGGTATGTATGAAAGAAGAAGGCCTTCGGATGTTCCATTTCGTGCTTTTATTGGCTTCTTCAGACGTTGCCAAAAAGATTCGATGGTGTTTGTGTGTATCACGGTCCCATCTTCTTCAACCCTAAAACTTTTGATGTGTTTCTTACATTTCTAAATTAACCGACTTTAAAATTGCTCGGAGTGATTTAACGAGCGATATTTCGGCAAATATCTTCTTGACACCTGCAGATGATCGCCACATATCAGTGTAGACAGCACTTCTCGCGTCGATTTTCTCCTCCAAGATTGGAATCATTGTTTTGGCGGTCCTGTTCGTGCAAAGGCCCGTCGAGTATCACGTATCACGTTCACAACCTAAATTTAATTAACATCCATACAATTTTAATCACTAACCGGCCAGTATCCATGTGGTTTCCCGCTCCTTTTCTCCTCATCCATATTTGTGAGCATGGAAGGCCGTTTCATCTACTTCACAAATCTTGTCAAGTCCGCCAATCGGTCTGTATTCGTCTTCAATTTTAAAAATTGAGATTATAGGTTGAAGAAAACTTACTACTTACTACTTACTTTCCACAAATTTATCGTAAGTAGTTACGATGAGTAATGAGATGAGTAATGAGATGAGACTCATCGTAAGTAGAGTCATTACTCATCGTAAGTAGAGTCATTACTCATCGTAAGTAGAGTCATTACTCATCGTAAGTAGAGTCATTACTCATCTCAACTCTTCTTCAATCTGCTTAGTCTGCATATTTAAAGTTTAGAGCTTTATGTTTTACACAATCTAATAAAATCAACTTTCCACATCAACCTATTTATCCACGTGACAATTAACTTTAAGCATTGCTTGCACTTCATATTGGCGTTTCAAAAGTACGATCCCTTCTTAACCGAAATCACCGAGAAATCTTGCGTTTTTTTCCGGCAGCGCCACTGTATTAAACCAACAATTTAAGGCGTTATTTTAAAATCATACCTCCATTGCTCGTATCTTCATTTCTATTTGGCATTTCTCACACATTGCTTTGTCAACCAGTAGATCTTCTTACATCAACATGTTGATGCACCCGAGTTCGATTTGGAGCGCCTCTTCAACATCAGTCATTGAGTTTTGAGCGCCTCTTCAACATCAGTCATTCATTGAGCGTAGAGTTGACGCCAACGCTATAAAATTTTTTAAAGATGATTCACATTTAAAAACAAATAAAATTGTGCAAAAAAAATGTAGATGGGGGCAATTTTGAGTAACTTTTATGTAGTCGCGTAGATGGGGGTAATTTTGAGGTTTGGGGAGGGTAATCGGTAATCGTAACCGGTAATCGTAATCGGTAAACGTAATCGGTAATCGTAATCGGTAATCGTAATCGGTAATCGTAATCGGTAATCGTAATCGGTAATCATAATCGATAATCGTAATCGGTAATCGGTAATCGGTAATCGTTCGGTTATCCCGATCAATGAACTATTAGGCTTTCCAGAAAGTCTTTTCGTTCCTTTTCGTACTTCCGTTGAAAAATGAAAAATAACAAATTCACCAATTAACCAAGTTCATTTCGTGCATTTGTTGGTTTTAAACGGAAGTACGAAAAGGAAAAGGAACGAAAAAGACTTTCTGAACAGCCTAATATTATAATAAAGCCGAAATTATTCTTTTTAAGGATCCGGTGGCAAGTACATCTGAAGAAGTGAACTGCCCATCGATGAGTGTGATGAGAACGTCAGGAATGGGTGTCCCTCATAGCGTCCCTCCAACCGATCATGCCACTGCCACCGATTCAGCTGGGCACATCACCCATGTGTTAATGCTATACGAAATAGTACTATTTTCACACAAAAAAAAATCTCGAAAATCCATTTTAGGGGAGTGAAGATAAAGACTACACAAAGAAAGCGATCGAGAGTCTCGTGAAGAAACTCAAGGACAAACGGCCTGAGCTCGACAATCTCATCATGGCGGTTCGGATTTTTGGCGATGATAACAATAACGTTAACGATAGACAGTATAAATGATTGCTTTTAGATAACATCCGCTGGAAAAACGCCGACCTCATGCGTGACAATTCAACGATCTCTGGATGGACGTCTGCAAGTGGCTGGCAGAAAGGTTTCAATTTGAAAACTAAAGATTCTGAAGTAAAAATTTAGGGAGTACCTCATGTTGTCTACGCAAGGATTTGGCGTTGGCCGAGTGTGAGTAAAGCTGAACTGCAAAAATTGCCCTGTTGTGCAGTGACGCCGGACAATCAGGTATCGCTTGATCTCTGACTCCTTTAGCCTAACCTTTCTTAATGTAGGGGGAGAATTTTGTGGGAGATCTTTCATAGAAAGTTCCCGTCTCGATCAGTCATCATTGACTGATCGGTCCAATCTTTTATCGAGAAAAAAAAAAGAAAGAAAGAAAGTGGCGGCCACCGTTATCTTTATCAAAGCATAACACGTTTCGCTGATTTGTAGGCTATCAGCTTCTCGCGCTTGTCGCCATTTTTTCGGTGTGTGGCGGGGAAATGGGGGGTGTGAAACTTATGGATAATGGCCTCGATCAGTCTCTCCCACTCAGCAATACCCCAAAAAGCAATAGCCCTTTCTTTTATAGCCCCAAAAAAGAATTTCTCTCGATCACAAACCGACTTTATTTGATTTCAGGACTTTATTTGCATCAATCCCTATCACTACGAGCGTGTCGTCGCCCATACATTTGGTGGGTTTTCATTTAAATAAATATTTCTAATCAACAAATCTACTATAGCCTTTAAATACTAAAAGTGTTAATAATAAAAAAACGTATCAAACTAATGACGAAAAGAAAAAGCATGCTAGCGCTAATCTGAGCTTAGGATAGCCTAAGAATGGGGTAGGCTAATTTCCGCCATTTTATTTGCGCAACAGAGTCATTTGTCATTTGCCAACTGGGTCATTTACACAACTCACCATAACTTTCTTCTGTGTAAGCCAATCTTTATGATTTTTGTGTCATTTTTTTGCACTTGTTGAGATCTACAAAATGACACAAAAATCATAAAGATTGGCCGACTTCGAAGAAAGTTATGGCGAGTTGCGCAAAAAAAAATTGTCGCAAAGTAGCCTATCCCCTAAGAATTCTAAGCTTGTCAGAAATTCGCACACAAATGCTTAGTACTACTCAATTAATTGCTTTCAAACTAATCTTTGTTACTCAATTAGTTGCTTTCAAACTAACCTTTGTTGCTTTCAAAAAAAAAGGTTTCCAATAAGCGGCCGAGCATGGAGTCTAGATCAACTGGAGGTGAAAATTCCGATCGATTCTCATCCCATCTTCCCGAATGAGCTTCATGATCTACAAGATCTTCACGATCTTCAAGCTTACATGCAAATCCCATATTTCTCGTGCTCCGAGTGGGAATGTTCGTTTTTTTTTGTGTCTCTCAGCTCACCGCATGCTTTTTTTTTTTGCTTTTGTTTGTATTTCTGTCTCACTTATCATAGAGCTTGGATTTTTCAAAACAAGCACTATTGTTGTAAGAAGTTCACTTAAGGCAATTAAGTTTTAGATATGACATCGGCTCGAGTCGATCACAGCCTTGGCGCATCTTTTGGCACAGCTACTCCCTCCTCTCAAAACTCAACTCCAATGTTCGCCACGAGTATGGGCACTGCTCAACTATTAGGTAAAAAGCTAACTAATAAAAGTTTAGAATTCAAGTTCAATTTAGCAAATCAGTCTGTTGACCCGGTTCCAATGGATCACGGAATTCCCTATCAGGATTGGTCAAGTTAGTTGTTATCTTTTAATTAACTGGATAGATTCTTGTAGTGTCCACATCGTTTGCTCAAATCAACTATCAAAGTCATGTCTCGATCAATCCAGCTCACTCACAACAACAACAACAACAACAACAACTCGTTCAAGCGATTCCTGGTAAATATAAAATATCAAATATCAAATATCAAATTTGCAAAAATCAAAGATTCTTTCAGTGGCCGACCTCTCAATGATTCAAATTCCACAAATGCTTCTTGGACCATTCCCAAAATATTGGGCAACAATTACCTATTATGAGTTGGACACGCAAGTTGGAGAACCGTTCAAGGTTTGAGATTCGAATTTTGAAAAAGAAGTAAGGCATAAGGCTCTATCCTGTCCGTAATGGGTAGCTCGTAGCTACATGTCGGTGTAGCTCATTGGTAGAGCGTTCGCTCGGTAAGCCAGAGCCAGCCAGAGCCAGCCAGAGCCAGCCAGAGCCAGCCAGAGCCAGCCAGAGGTCGCGGGTTCGAATCGCGGCGCGGACCATCTTTTGTATTCCCAGTCCCAGTCCCAACCCGTAAAAGGACCGACACGTCCAACTGAGATTTTATGGGAAAGGTTTAGGCCCTTGCGTCGGTGGAAGGACGTGAAGTGGTGATCGATGGAGGAATGGATCCACTCGGCGATCGACAGGGACGCTTTTGTCTTGGAGCAATCTCAAATGTGCATCGAACTGAAGCCAGTGAAAAGGCCAGGTTGAGTAAAGGCGCAAAAAGACAGCAAGATCAATGGCTGTGCGGTCTACAGATAGTCATTCATTGCACAATAATCATCTAATCTCATACAATAGTCAAACACAATCTACATTCTTACCCTCCTACGTGCCCATTGAGCCGTTTTAAATTACTTATAGTTAGTTCGCTTTAAAATCCCATGTAGTTGTACAACATATTTTTAAATTTTAAAAAAATGAAAAGTGCTGACACAGGCGGGAGTCGAACCCGGGTCGTATGGGCTAGAGAAAAGTCCGCTCGCACTGCGCCATCTACTAGAGGATGGTCGAGTGGTTAACGTCTGTTGAACGAACGGAAGAGAGGTCCCGGGTTCGACTTCTCTTGCCGCCAATTCTTTTGCTGGTTAAACTGTAAACCCACTGAACCAACTGTACAATTACATCGTACAGTCAGGCTTTTTCAGAATACATATTGGACAGGGGATCCGTCTCTGGTGGCACGATGAGCAACTCTGGATCGTGATTCGCTCCGAGAACTCGGTACTGAATTTCTACATCACAATTTGAACTTTATTTCATTTAAACAACAAAAATGTACCGTAAACGCTGTGAAGGACACTCTCTAATAGAATGACACCGCGCTGATCCCTCGAAATCTTGATTTTCCCATCGAAATCTTGATTTTCGATGTGAGGGTTCTATGTATAGACCTAAAACCCTTGTGAGGGTCCTATGGATAGACCTAAAACCCTTGTGAGGGTTCTATGGATAGACCTAAAACCCTTGTGAGGGTTCTATGGATAGACCTAAAACCCTTGTGAGGGTTCTATGGATAGACCTAAAACCCTTGTGAGGGTTCTATGGATAGACCTAAAACCCTTGTGAGGGTTCTATGGATAGAACTAAAACCCTTGTGAGGGTTCTATGGATAGACCTAAAACGTACTAAAATTTTAATTCTTTTTAAATAAATATAAAAATTTTTTGAAAAAAATCATAAGGGTCCGCCTCACATCCATTTTATTTTGGAGGTGGGTCCCAAATAACAAAATAATCACTTTTAAACATGTTTTTCTTTGTACTTTTTGGACTATCTCAATTTAAAGGATAGCCATCCTTTAAAATAGTTTTTAACGAATTCGAAATTTTTGATTCATCTGCTCCCCGTTTACCTATTTTTTTGGAATCGGTCGATTTTGAGGGGTTGAAAAATAGAATGTCATTCTAAGACAGCATTTACGGTATCTTTATTTATGTAATTTAAACCTTAAACAACAAAAATTGATGTTTATTTATGTAATTTTTGCAGATCTTTGTCCGAAGTCCTTATCTTGATTATTGTGAAGGGAAACCGCTGGGCTCAAGTGTTCATCGTTTCACAAACTATTCAGCTCCAGAAAACAGTGCTATTAAAGTAAAAAAAAGCAAGTAAAATCAACTATTAAAGCCTTTTTCAGCTTTTTGATCTCCGTTGGGCTTATCATCAGATGAGAGAGCAAACGGCATGCGAAAGACAAGCTGTTGTGCAACAAGCTGCTGCTGTTGCCGGTTTTGCGCCACCGCCATCTGGGGTAATTAGATAAAAGTCTAGTGTACAAAAACATAAGAATCAAAATGTTTTTTTCCTGTTTTTAACTGCTTACCGTAAATACTGTAATAGTACCCCACCCCCATAATGACGGTGGGTAGTGTTGCGCAGTCTAGCTTTGTACGAGTGTTTCTCGACACTGGTTTATGCTACAATGTTCGCTTAGGTATCAAAAAATAGCCCTGAATTTCAGCTATTTTTTGATACCAAAGACGCATTTCTTGAAAGTACGGGTGCTTTGAAAAACACGGAAATACTAAAAAACTTTTGCGACTACGCGACTGTACGAGGGGGGATGGGGTACTATTACAGTACGTTAGGTATAATCGTATAGGTATAGGCAGGTATAAGTATTTACGGTAGGTATAATCGTATAGTACTCTTTTATTTTAGCTAAGTTCGGTGCCACTTTCCGAGTTATCGCTGGTCTCTGGAGCTGACGAGATGCAGCGCGCTTTCTGCTCGATTGGGATTTCTTTTGTGAAAGGCTGGGGAAATGGATACAATCGCCCTACCATTAAAGTATCAAAATGATTACAAAAAAAAAAGTAAACTTTATTTTCAGGACACTCCTTGTTGGGTGGAAGTTCAATTAAGTCGTCCTCTTCAAATCCTCAATGCGCTCCTTAAAGAAGGATTTAAATGAGCAAAAAGAACAAAAAATGTTTTACCTGCTTTTCTCGATTTCACTTCTTCATCGCATAATCTTTTCTTATTAATGTTTCCTTTTTTTTTCACAGATCTTTTAGCCTCGAAGAGGTGATTTGGCACAATAAATATCAGCTTTGATTGTGATTGAATGTTCTTGGTGACTATTTCAGCTTTCTCTTTGTGGTTGTCTGGCTTTTCTGCGTGCAAAGTAAATTTTGATGCATTAGCATTGTTCAATTGATGAACAGATTTCACATTTCTATTTACATAGCTGGATTCGGTTATCCAGAAAGGTTTTACATTTCTTTTCGTATTTTCGTTTAAAACAAACAAATTTATCAATATGTAAACCTATGGTTTTAAACTTAAAGACGCATTGAAAATTGAATTGAACATTGAATTGAAAATTGAATTGAAAATTGAATTGAAAATTGAAATTGAACATTGTCGTGACGATCTCGTGATCGAGATCGCCACGTCTGGAAATGGCCAGATAGACACCTATGTGGACGAACGCCTATTGTGCGAGATTTAATATGCGTCGCTATCCGTTCAACTCCATTGTGTGCAAGACGAGACCAACACCTGAGTTCCGTATAAAAGCAATGTGAACGAGCTGCCGATGTGTGCCGTGGAGGGCCTCTACTCTCCCAATCTCAAACCACTGAACTAACTATTATCGCTGTAATAAAGATTATATCTAAAACAACAATAATCACTACAAACATTGAATTGAACATTGAACTAAACAAGGAAATCTAGAACATTGTTAAGTTGAAAAGGTTCTGTTTGACGTGAACTTATACAAACAATATAAAACATAAAACTTTAATTACCGTATTTTCTCTAATAGTAGTGCTCTAATAGTAGTGCTCTAATAGTAGTGCTCTAATAGTAGTGCTCTAATAGTAGTGCTCTAATAGTAGTGCTCTAATAGTAGTGCTCTAATAGTAGTGCTCTAATAGTAGTGCTCTAATAGTAGTGCTCTAATAGTAGTGCTCTAATAGTAGTGCTCTAATAGTAGTGCTCTAATAGTAGTGCTCTAATAGTAGTGCTCTAATAGTAGTGCTCTAATAGTAGTGCTCTAATAGTAGTGCTCTAATAGTAGTGCTCTAATAGTAGTGCTCTAATAGTAGTGCTCTAATAGTAGTGCTCTAATAGTAGTGCTCTAATAGTAGTGCTCTAATAGTAGTGCTCTAATAGTAGTGCTCTAATAGTAGTGATCTAATAGTAGTGCTCTAATAGTAGTGCTCTAATAGTAGTGCTCTAATAGTAGTGCTCTAATAGTAGTGATCTAATAGTAGTGCTCTAATAGTAGTGCTCTAATAGTAGTGCTCTAATAACAGTGACTTTCAATATTTTACCGGAAAGGAATCCAAAAAATCGGTAAGATTTCTTCTTTTTTAATAAGAAATCATTCGTAAAGAGAGAAAAATGAACGACGGTTTGGGAAGCGATTTGGGCTTTGGGAAAGGAGTGGTCGCAAGTCATGGTGGTGGGAGTATGTCTACGGATAGTGGAAAGGGCAGGTTAGTTTCTAGAATACCGTATTTTCTCTAATAGTAGTGCACCGCGGCGAGCCGAGTTAATGACTATTTTATGGTTTCAAAGTTCTCACAGAAGCGCAACTCTCTAATCCCCACAAGATCTCATCGTCAGCTACATTCTCCGACTCCACATCGATAGGTTCTGATAAGCGGTTCTCGAGATTTCGAGGAATTTAGGCGAAGCTTTTGGTGCACTACTATTAGAGAAAATACGGTATTCATAAGCCAAGAAAAGAAATTTTTTATTGACCAATTAATAAAGGGGTTGACAGAGAAGAGTTTTTTTAAAGTATAAACTGAATTTTCTTTAACAAGTGAGAGTGTTGAACTAAAGAACTTTATTAGGCTATCCTATTTATTTGGCTTTTCATTTCTTTTCCTACTTTTATTTAAAATCAACATTTGAAATAGTTTTTTTCATTAGAAAGGCAAATGATTTCTTTGTAAAATAATATTAAAAAAGATTTACAATGTTTGGGTTTTTCTTGAAAAAACCCGTTTTTCACGTTCGAATTTGCCCATAAGTGAACCAAATTTGACTTTAAAAGATGGAAATTGAGCAAAAAAACAAAAAAAAAACAAAAAAAACACTTTTATTTAGAGAAAAACGATAGGTTTATTAGTAAATTTGTTATTTTTCAAACGGAATTACGAAAAGAAACGAAAATTTTAATGGGTTTTACGTTGAATTAATCAATGATGACTTTCTTTATTTTAAAAATTGTTTCAAAGTATGATTGAAAATAAAAAAAAAAGAAAAACGATAAAGGCCTCAAAAAAGAGAAATATGTTTCATAGAGAAAATGGAGCACTTTGATCACACAAATACACGTTTGTTTTTCTTTGACTCGAGCATCTACCGTACACCATCTATAAACAAAAAGTGAAAGGTAAAAATAAAACGAAATGACAATAATTAAAAGAGGAAGACTGGAAGACTTTAAATGAAAAGAAAAATGGAAATGAAAGAAAACATACCGTAAATACTGTAATAGTACCCCCACCCCCATAATGACGGTGCGGAGCGTTGCGTAGTCTAGCTTTGGACGCGTTTTTCTCGACACTGGTTTATGATACAATGCGCGCTTAGGTATCAAAAAATAGCTGAAATTTAGGGCTATTTTTGAAAGTACGGGCGCTTTGAAAAACACGGAAATACTAAAAAACTTTTGCGACTACGCGACTGTACGAGGGGGGATGGGGTACTATTACAGTATTTACGGTATGTGGATATTTTTATCATGATTTATGGGGATGAGAAATTAGGATAAGAAAAAAGGTTTTCTCGTTTACCGTATTACTTATCCTTTTGATTGTTCTTATAAAAACTTCGAAACTAACATCATAGAGAAAAATATCGCAACAAGAAACACGAAAGCCTGAGCCATTTGAGATAAAGCTTTATGGGATTGATCTGTTAGAGTGTGCTCCTCTCAGTTACTGTGTTTGTAAAAACTATCGATAATCTGCTTTAGCTTTTATTTAATCAATCTATTTTTTGATTTCTTTTGATATTAAAGAGCTCACTGGGGAAGTTTACGATAGCTTTTATGTTTTAGAAAACGCTTTGGTCGAGAGGAACATATTCTACCGTTTTTTTAAGCCATCAAATGAATAAATGAGAGAAAAATTAATCTCTTAAATTTGGTTTACTATGAAAAAGAGTTTGCACTGACCCAAAAAGCACATTGTTCATCAAAAAAATGGAAGGTTGATCCCGTATAAAATACTATTGAGAAGAGGAAATGCACTGATAAAGTTGAAAAAGGAGAATTTAGTGAAAGCCCGTAAATTTAGGGATTTAGTTTGAGGATTAAACGATTAAACGATCAGTTCTTGACAACTCTGACAACTGTCCATTGTTTTGTCGAGGAGTTCCGTTTGAAGAGTGATCGAATGGAAAGCGTATTTCTTGGTCAACATCCGTCGCGCGTCTGCCGACGTATACACAGCTCGATCAGCAGATTCTAAAAAAAGTAATTTCATTGCTTAAATAGCTTTGAAAAATCTTATGAAAATCAATACTATGCTTTATAGAAAGTAAAAAATTTGCTTTTCTTTACGGTATTATATCCTATCGTAAAGCAAGTGGTGTTTTATTTATTCAGCTTCATCTCCAGCTGTAGATGAAAAACGATTCAAAAACAAACTTTTTGAAGCTGTAACTCTTGTTCTACTTAAAACAGCTAACAGCTATTCAATCCTCTTCTTCACTCTTCACTCACCGACAGCCAAGTGAGCTGAGAGAGCCACTTTGTCCATATTTAACGCCCACACATGTAAATCGTGAACTCCTTTCACACCGCCGACTCCAAGCAAATCTTTGTGCACATCTCCAACATCAATGTTTTCTGGGGTAGCTGAAAGAATTTGATTTTTAGATTCCAAATTTTTCTTCTCTACCTTCCATCAATAGCATTCCGACATCTCGCAGAACGGGCACTGAGGTGAAAAGGACAATCACTGAGAAGAAAAACGTACACATCGGATCCGCGATTTTGTACTCGGTGTACTGAATTTTGTTTTGTACTGATTTTCAAAACGTTTCCCTTTTTACCTTGACGATAAAAGCCGAAATGAGAACTCCAAATGATTGAATGAGATCACCGACAACGTGAATGAATGCGGCTCGAACATTCATATTTTGCGCATGCGAGGTCACCGATGATGTCTCGGCATTGTGCGAGTGTGAGTGTGAGTGCGAGTGCGAATGGGAATGCCCGTTGCTCGCCATTCCATGGTGGGCATGTCTGTAAAAGTTTTTTTTTTGTAAATCTAAACGAATCTTTATATCAAATTCCTTACCCATGTCCTCCACAGTGTAAAATGGTGGCCATAATGATGTTGAAAATGACACCAGCACCAGCTGAAATCATTTTCGTTTTCCCAAAATAATCTTTCTCTGAAAGCTTACATGTATAAAGCATCGTCCTTCCTTCAATATCGTATTTTCCAGATATAACACGTTGTACGGCAAAGATCACCAAAACAACCGTGATTATCTGAAAAGAAAGAGATGAAAAGGGGGGAAAAAGATCACTCACCCAAAGGATAATCAACGACATGCAAGCACCAAGAATCTCAGCTCGAGCATATCCAAATGAGAGTCGTCGTGTAGCTGAAAAAGAATACGTTTTAAATAAATATGTTAATTATTCAATGCTTACGAGCTGCTCGTGCCCATCGAATCGCACAAATGGAGATCAAAAACGAGATCAAATCGGACACCATATGACCCGCGTCAGACATAATCGCCAAACTATGCGCCAAATAGCTAAAAATAGAGTTGTTGATGATGTTTGGCGTCATTTAAAAGATATTTTCTAATCCTTACCCTCCAACGAACTCGAGGCAAATGAAAAATGTGGAGAGAAAGGCGACAATCCATAGCACTCGTTCGGCTCGTCGATCCTGAATTTAGCTTATTGAATGCTTTACAAATAGATCTTTACAAATAGATCCTTAAACAAGCTTTTTTTTCACACCTGACAACTCTTTTCTAATGTTTCTTCACTGGGGAATTGCTTTTTTCTCAAGTCTTCAATGTCTGAGTCTTGACGACAAAAGAGGAAACCCATAACGGCAGAAGTGTTTCCTACAGAAACGCATGATTAACACTAATAAAAATACAAATAGAGAAAGGAAAATTTATGGGAAAACAAGTAAAACGTTTATGAAAAAAGATTTTGGAGAAATGAGCATGAAAAGTGAAAGGAAGCACTGAGTCAAATCGCATCTTTTCTATGAAGTGCAAAAAGCTGATCAATGGCTGGAAAGGGTTTTTTTTGTGTGTGAGACTCGAAAAATTGGGAAAAAATTTGACAAATTCGAAAGAAACACTCGCGATAATCATTGGTGTATCCTTTTCCCGGCAATGATAGAGATTTCAAGATATGATGAGCTTTTCTGATAAAAATCAGACAAAAAGGATAACATTGTAGATTTACGATAAAGGGGAAATAAAAGTAATGTAATGTGTAAGCAGTTCAAAATACTTGCTTGTGGTGTTGGCGGGGGATTAAGCTGGATGATGGTGGAAAGAAGTTAGACGATTTGATCTAACAATAGTAAGGAAATTTGTCTAGAAACTGAAAGTACTGAAGCATATAAAGAGAAGCGACATTTTTTCTGTGCAAAGTCACTGACTATGAGGTTTGAGAAAGTGCTTTTGCAGAGAAGGGGGTGTCTCGTGGGAAGAGCAAGACTAAGGGGCGGGTTTATAAAAGCGCGGGCGAAGAATTCACTCTTTTTGATCACCGTTGATCCTTCAACGTAACAATGTCTTTTTTTTTTCCAAGTAGTTGTAAAGATTTCAATTTAGGATGATGGCTCTGACATGTAAATAAGATTTGTTATTTAATGAGTGAAAAGATGATGCTTTCGAAAATGCCCTTTTGAAATTTAAAAAATTATTGCCCTTCTGAAATCCGAGGAAACATAACAAATCTTGTTTTTACATATCATTTTTAAACTTTCTTAGAGCTAAAATCTTAGCAGAAAGCTAAAGGAAAAGTCGAAATGATTATTAGAAACACTAGCAGAAGTCACATGAAATAGTAAGTGAAACTGGTGAATTCTGTCATCTCTTCCGATCTTTAAAAAGCTTTTAATCTATAAAAAACCATTCGCTTGATCCGATCGACCACCAATTTTTATAAAAACTGACCATCTTCTTTGATGGTTGGTAATAAACACGTGTTTCTCGCTAAATAGCAATGAGGGAAGGGGATTGGTCAATCGGGTTCAGAATCAGTGTAATCCCGAAAATAGCCTACCACAAGGTTTCCGAAACAAATAAAACCGCCTCTCCTTAAACTCAAATTGAGCATACACCAGAAAACCAGGTGCAAAGTACAGAGAAAAACGGGAGAGATTGGGGAGCAAAATTTGGCAGTGTTTAGATGGAGGGATGATGTCTCGAGTACATCGACTTCTTGGCCGAAAAGGAGCACGTGCTCAGCATGCCCGTTCGAGCTTCCTAACGTCTTTTCTTCTCTCAGACATCCTCTAGAGTCTATCATTTAAGTGAATGGGTGATCGGGGGCGCTCAAAATGTCCTGTTGATCGAAATGTGAGACACATCTTGATCGGCACTGCTCCCCTGCTATTTTTCTCTCTAAACTCTTCAAGTCATTCCCCCATCCCCTGATCACTACCCTTTCGAAATCTTTCTCTTTGTGGGACCGAAATTGCAGAGAACAGTGCGTCACTGTGCTGTGAAGATCGCTGTGTGCACTGTTAGATTGGTGTCTTCGAATTCAAAGTTTTGAGCTCTAGCTACAGTATCTTTTCTCATTTTCTCTCAAAAACATTTCCTTGACAACAACGATTATAGATCACCGGATTTTTGCTCAAAAAGTTGAGGGAAAACTACTTTCAAGCTGACAGAGAAGAAATGGCAAAGATCAGTGGTGGCACCAAAAGTGAACAACACTTTTTCTCAAGTGTTTACCACAAAAGTCCTTGTTTTTTGAGAGTAAAGAAAAATCGTGAGTGAAGTTTGAAGGGGAAATAACATTGAATATGGCTATTTTCGGGGAAGATGAGCGAATTCCATAAACAGCAAAACATTGGCATTGACAACTGGTATCACAACTACACTCTACCACCACCAGAGAATCAAAATTGACAAACCTCCTTGGGTTTTTTCAATCCATAAAGACTGATCCGAGTTCCTCGTCGACCCAGCGGGTAGTCCATTATCGAAAGCTTTCGGCTTAAAGGGGCCACATTTCCATCGGCGCCTATGGTCACTTTTCGATGCGTGATCTCCGGCTCGTCGTTGCTCATCATGCCAATATTGAGCGATGATCGGAGGTGCTTGTTTCAAATAAAACACGGGGGATATTTTCGTCTCGAGTAGCCAATCGCTCGATATGGATCAAATCGAAAATGTTTTCAGCAGAGAAAGTATCAAAGTATTCGCCGTCACAACCCGTGCCGCCGTTGAGAGAAATCGGTCCACTCTTTTTGATGCGGCGAAAAAAAAATGAAAATATCAAGATGACCCCAGCGCAGGCGTTAATGATCACAAATTCAAAAGAGTTCACTGAACGTCTGAGAAATTTTTGAGGTGATACTTGTTACTTTTGTGATTCGATGGCGGAAAGCAATATGGGGGTTTTGTCTAACTTTGGAAGTTAGACTTTTAGTACAGACTACTTCTTACATAATGACACGAGTTCCATTGAAACAATGATATTCCAGTAATTTTTAAATGTTTTTCACCATTGGGCAATAGAAAATACCTGGCATAGATCAGGCCATCCACGAATTAAATGGCAATGCGTTCGAATTCCGTCATCATTGTTATTCCCATTCATATTCACCACCAAATGTTGTTGCGAAGTTTCGGTATCTGCAACAAAAAAAAAGTTTCTTTTTGCAATTTAGCTGATTGCAGTTTTTTTTCATCAACTCACCATCATGATCTTCATCATCTTGCGAGCCATCGATCAAAATCCTCGCCGTGTCATGTGTGTCTAGTTCATTTGGATACAGTCTGTGATGCGTCTCCATTAAGTGGTATTCGACTCCTGGAAAAAAATTTTCATTATAGAGAAATACATAGACAGTCTAGGCTTTTATTGTCTGGAAAAATTGTTATCTAAAAGTTATCTAAAAGTTCATAGCTTGAAAAGTAGTTTTCTTTTCAACGACAGTAAAAAAAAGGGCTAGTGAATGGCATTCCGCGATAAGAGATACACACTCTATCAACTTTTGCCAGTTTCCGCAATCAGTTTCCCGGAAAAAAATGAAATTGAAAAAGATGAACTAAATATGTTCACTTTTTCAGAAATTACAATCGATTAAAGTATTTTTAAAAAGAGAATCGCTTGATAAATAAAGGTAAAATTAGTTCGTAATTGATTTATGTCCACGGAATAAACTAGCGAGTGTGAAAAAGCAAGTGCAGCGAAAAGAGAACTCAATTGGCGCGCCACTGCGCATCGATTTTTAGTTGTTATCTTTTGCTAAAGGTTCATTTAGATCATTTCCCACCTCGATTTGCACTGGAGAAAAGTCGCATGAAAAATTCGAAGAAAAGGCACAAAGAAATCCAGTGAAATGATTGGAGTCTTTATCAATATCTAAAAAGTATCCACATCTACATTGATCGACACCAGTGATAACAATATTGACACATTTCTTTTGATTACACCGAAAAATGTACGGTGTGTTATAGTGGAGAAAATGAAAACGTGCTTTGGTTGGTGATTGGTGGAACAACCCCAATCAAATTTTGATGTATACGCGGATCCACAATTTTAATCTTCTCCACGAATTGCCTCGGCATAATTGCACAATTGCGACCAAAAAACAAAAATATTCCAATTTATTATAAATATTTTGCAAAACTGAGAAAATCGTAAATCTTTATTAAAATCTTCACTATAACTTGACAAAATCTTCAATTCACAGGTGCTCAAAGTAAGCTCACGAAAAAGAATGTTCGAATTTTTTAGAAGAAACCAATTCACCGTGAAACCGATTTTAAATAAATGCGAGTAGTGCCTTCTTCACCAAGGCTGTACGAGCAAGAAATCGAGAACTACAAAAACACCTTAACTGGATAGAAAAAGGCTAAATGATATGTCCCCCATCTTATGAACTTAACAAATGTCATAGGAAACAAAATGGCAATCATTACTAACACAATCACAAGCTAATATGCCTTTACATAAATAACAATTATGTAGAAAAACAAAATAGCTAGGGCTAAACAAAACTTCCAAATCATTTGCGGAGACACCGATCAAGAGGATAGTGTTCCTGAAGATAATAAATGCAACTAGCTATCTAAAGAAACAAACCCCATATTCCTTTAAATGATTATCCAATTCATCTCTTTGTCTTTTCAGCAGTTCAGGAACCTTAATTTTTTACTAATAAAATCTTCAAAAAATTACATACTTGGTCGTATACTCCTTCGAAAAGTTCATGGAAATGAGCAAGCTTAGTCTTCTCCGCATCTCCGAAGGCTTTCAATACTCTTTTCCTCACCTAAAACAAACAAATAAATACTACCATGCTATGATCCAATTTAAGTAAAAACTAAAATGTCCTAACCTCTTTTTGCCAAGCCTTCTCCTTTTCATCATCCCACCAATTTTTTTCGACCAAGTAAGTTTTGAATCTCTCGATTGGGTGATCTTTATCGCCCCAAGTTTGAACCTCTTCGGCAGATCAAAAAGATAAGAAATTCTCGGCATTCTTTACTTTTAAAATCTAACCTATATGCAGTAGAGTCATCAGATGTTGAATGATGGCCAAGTCGGTAGGTCATTGCTTCAATCAAGACTGGCTTATTGGTCAAGGCAACTCGGCGGGCTTCTTGTGTGGCATTGTACACCGCAAAAAGATCATTTCCATCAACCCTAAAATAAAAATATTGATTTTCATAAACAAAATAAAGAACTGACCTAATGGTGTGTAGTCCATAGCCAGGGCCCTTGCCAGCAATACCATCACCTGCATATTGTTCGGAGGTCGGAGTTGAAATCGCGTAACCATTATTTCGGCAGAAAAAGATAATTGGACAATCCTATATGGTGGTGCTATAAAAATAGGATTTAAAAAGTACCAATGTAGCTGCAAAGTTAAAAGCGGCATGAGCATCGCCTTCCGATGCAGCTCCGTCACCAAAGTAGACACAAACAACTCTGTCGTTATTCGGTTGGCTTAACAATGATTTTTCTCAAAAGAAGTGAGTTAAACTAACCGCTTAAAAGCATAAGCACTGCCGACAGCCTGTGGCAACTGTGTCGTCAGTGGACTAGAAATTGTGACGAAATTGTGTTCTTTGGATCCATAATGAACGGGCATTTGTTTTCCTTTTCCTAAATACTCGGCAGGTAAGCATTGTTGCTCAAACAACAAACCAATATCCATGCTATTGCCATAACATTGGTGCATAAATTGTTCTAGCGGGAACCCTCTCCACATCAGCACGCCAACCTAAACAGACGTAGAGAGAAAGCAAAAAAAGTTGTACCTCTCGATATTGACCATAAACAAGATCAGAATTTTTCAAAGCTGCTGCCGATCCAACGTGATTCCCCTAAATACGATAAAAAAAATTTTATTTTTAAGATCAACCTCTTCTCCAAAGTTTGTCATGTAAAATGAAATTCTCCCTTGTCTTTGTGAATCGTACAAAATCCTGTCCATAATGTTGAGCTGAGTCATTGTTTCGTAGATTTTAACGGACATTTCCTAGAAAAAAAGATTTACGAATCGTTTTTTAAAAACCTTTCCAAATTTAGGATCTTGAGAAGAATCGATGAAATTTCCCAAACCATCTGTGACACGGTAGATCGGAACAGCTTCCGCTTTGGAAGAGTCGATTATCTCGAGTTTCTCGGTAAAGACAGCCTACAAATTACATTCTCAAAATAATCGACAAAAACAAACTTTTCTGTAGCCAAGGTATTTTTGAGAATACTCTTGAAGTCGGAACTCGTCTCTTTCTCGTGCAGTCGCAAACGATCGAAAAATTGAAGTATTAAACGGCGATCTTCTGGATAGTCGAGACAACATGGCCTAAGGAAGATAATTTGCTTAATATCACTTTTGGTCAAAGCAATGATGCTTTTAATAGTAAGTAACATATAGAGAAGACTTTTAAAAGAATCCAATTTAATGTAAAACAATTTATCAGTAAACAAATAACAACTTGACAAAACAACAATTACTATGAAATAAAACTTTACTAAACAAACAACATGAAATCTAGATCATAAATCTTTAGCAACTAAACAACATAAAACCTATACAAACACTAAACAAAACAAATCTATGCATTAATCCAAAATTTTAAATAGTTGGCGCTTCAACTGGCTTAGTATTGTCAACAATTTCCACTTTCTTTGGAGACGAATCAAAATAGTGGAAGCAATCAAAAAACACTTCAATGATGATTAAGACAATGATCATCCATTCAAGGTGTGAAGCCTAAATATAAACCACTAAGATGATTTTGTAAAACACACTTACGTGTCTATGAGCCAAATTGTTGTCGACCATTTTCACTAATTCTTCACAATAATCAAGACGCTTATTTAAAGACCTAAAAAACTAAAGTCAAGTATTTAAATTTTTACGCACGTGATCCTCCGATCAAGAGCTAGATGTTGATATGTCATTTTGTAAAACTTCTGAAGATCGTCCCTCTCCCAATACAGGTCTTCGTTTAGTAAATTGCATTCGATATTGATTACATTCCTAAAGAAATACAATAAACACAATATCAGCTAAAAAGAATATTTTTGACCTCAAATCAGCAAATTGTCCAGCTCGTTTGAGTGCTTCTTGACGTCCCCAAGTAATTTTTCCTCTTTTCAATTCCTAAAAAATTAGGCTTTCAAAAGTCTTAGACGGAAAATTTTTTAAAAGTACCTTGATAACATCAGCTTGAGTCTCTGCTAACAAATTGAGCAATTCCTCCCAGACACCAACTTTCACTAAAAATTTAAAGATGATATCATCAAAAAGTTCATTTTGTGGCATCTATTTACAGTCAACTTTACTACGCCACTAGTACAATAAATTTGAAAATAAATGGTGGCAAAATATACTTACCGCTGGCAGCTAGTGCATGCGAAAAGGCTAAGCGTTGTAAAACGGCTTCATTGCCTTTGTCTAGAGCTTTATGTAAATCCTCGGAGAGAACAAAACAATCAAATTTGATTTTGGACATCGGTCTAAAATGAAAAACAGTACAATGGATATATAAATGTCGACTTACTCTTCTGTGAAACCATAAGGCATTGAATCCTGTTCTTGACCAGCAATTGAACTTTCATAAGGATCGACCATAAATTCTTCAAGTCCACGCAACAATTGCACACGCTAAACATTATGATAAATAAAGCTAGTTTTTTTGATACTTTCTTACGTCTTCAATTGAAACATTCCAAAATACGATAACGCCTTCTTCAAAGATGTAGAACTCGCTCTCACGATCGTTTTTGTGCACACTATATTCCTCTTTCTTCATAAGATGCAGAACATCATCGAACTCTAAACTTTTATAAAAAAATTCCAATTTTTGCAGCAAAAATTTACCTTTATAGACGTACGACGCTTTGTACAAAGATAGGAAACCTCTGCTACGCAACAGTGCCTTCAAATCAATCGTCTCTGCCAACGGGATAGCGACAACTTTAGGAAGCCTGTCCTAAAAATGAATTTAAAAATGGTCTTTGAAAATGCCTACTCTGTCTGCCTGGGCAACTGAAGTCGCTCGTCGTTTTCTTTGCTTGGGCCTCAGTTTCGAAGCGGCCACTTCTTTCAATTTTTCCTCATGTGCTAGGCTCAACGGTTGATAACGCGTAACACTCGTCGTTGCTCTGGTATGACTAAAGTTTAATAAAAATAAGAACCCTGCATTCAAATAACCAACAGTATGTGATCACCGAAGCTTCTTGCACGAAAGAACCTCGATGTCGTTGGAAAAAGGGATGAAAGCCGGGATAAACTCCTTAAGCTCATTCTTTACCCTGAAAAAATATATTGTAATTCGGCATCTATAAAACAGGAAAATAAAAATGTTGCAAAGATTTTACGGTTTTCTTAAACGGGCAGACATTTTTTCGTTCACTAAGCAGCTCGAATACTTTTCCGGCCTATGAACGTTGAGAAAAGAGGCAGCTAATCTTGTTCTTTCTCTTTTTAAGAAATTTTTTAGGTAAGTTCTTATATCGAGTTAAAAATTATTGTAATTCGTTTAAAACAGGACGGAGAGGAATGATTTAATTTTTCTATTTTTTTTGATTTTTTAAAAACTGATCACTTGTGCAACATTTTGCAAATTGTGACACAAAAATGGCAGTTTTTTATAAGCAAATATCTCAACAAGTACCTCAAATTTGTGTGTTCTTGTTGTCCAAAGAATCTCCCGCCTGACTAGTTTTTGTCTTTTGACTTACAAGTAAAGAATTTGTTTTCGCTGTGCTTCTTTAGCAACACAATTTATGCGGTAAAACAAACAAATGAATTGCTCAAAAAAAAAATACACAATTAGATGCAGCTAGCCCGTTTGGAATTCAAGAATGTCGTCAAGCGCACACATTTCGAATAGAAGCTCTAACTATATCTGAATGAACACCCACGGATATTTTTACTTATAAGATATCAGCTATCGTTATCGAGAATCTCCATTCAAATATAGCCTCAATAATTTGGTTAAAAGCAAAAAAAAGTAGAGATAATGGCATAAAGTCTAGCAATAACGTAGAAGTTGAGCGTTTACGAAAACCGTTATCACAGAGGGTTGTTGCTTTGCAACGAAATAAAAAAAGTGTTCAAAAATCAGATCAAAATCGATGAAGTAAATGAAAAGTCCAGGAATTTAATGCCGTAGAAGTGGAAGCAAGACGAGCAATGCAAATGAAGCAAACATTGATGAAGAGCCTGAAATTAGCTTGTTTTTCATTTTCTTTTTATCTTTACTTCTTGTTCGAACATCTCTTGGATGTGAATCAGAGGCTTGTGTCGGTTCAGGCTTTGGCTGGGGTGTCGGTGTTGGCTCAGGCTCGGGCTGCGGCTCTGGCGCCTTACTTGTCGTTGGCTAAATTTTCATTTTTGTTAATCTTGTCATGATTTCCTTGCTCTCACCAATGGCTCGGGACTGGCAAGGACACAATTGTTATCAAAAGTGATTGCGTAATCCATGTGCAGGGCAAAGACATGAAGCAGAGCTTCAAAGCCACATTCCGTCTCGATCATCCGCGACGAGCAACCCATCACTGAGTTCATTCTAAACATTCTTTTTCCATTTCTTTTTTTTATTTATTTCACTTACACTTTGCACACGTTTGCTGCCGCATTTTTCGCTGTCCAATCAAGAGCTTTGAATGGAGCGACGCATTTTTGTCCTTCTGCTGATCCTACCACTTTTGATAGGCAAGCACCATGAGCTTTTTGGTCTCTAAATTTGGAGGGCTTTATTGAGATCTTTTATTGTTAAACCTCAAATTGATTTCTTTGTTGCAAATTGAATCAAAGAGACGCCGATTGGCACTGGATACTGGCTCAAATTTGCATTTCAGACCATCAATGCATGGTGTATAGTTCTTTTCGACAACTCCACAGAACTCATCCCACTTTGTGGCATCTCTAAAAGATAAGTACTAAACAACAAGCATTTTTTAGCTCACCCGATGATCGAGATTGGAGAGAAGTGGAATTTATCGATAATCATGTCACAGTTTAAGTATTCAACAAAGTCTTGCTCAGAGCATCCGGTTAGCTCGATCGTGGGAGCAACGATCTAAAGCCATTTGTCTACGTTTGCCTAGTCGTTTTTCAAAGATTACGTTGCACTTTGAATCCACATATCGTGCGTAATCAGCCATGGCTGGGAAAGTGTAATCCATCGCCGGGCGACCACACTCAGAAGTCACCTGTAAATGGATTATTACGGAGGCCGTTTCCTGTCGCCTTGGCGCAGTCGGAAGCGCGCTTGTCTACGGCCCACACGACCCGAGTTCGACCCCCCGTAGTGCCACTCACTTTTTAATTTCTTATTTAATTTGATTTATTTCATTTCTGAAAACAAACTTGTGAGGCCATACAGTTGGCGGCCGCTTGAATCGCAGCACAAGCCTCTTCCGGTGGTGATGAAAGATATTGAGACATGCACGAAGAATTCTTAAAAATCTTTGATTTCATCTTTTTTTCCGACTCACCTTTGAAATCACATTCTTCAAACAGATCTTGTGTTGATCAAACGCCGCTCGGCTAGCGCAAACTTGCATTGTCATTGCCTAAAGTTCCCCAATTTCTCTCAATAGCAAAGCTCAAACTTTGAGTCCTCTTTGTTCCGGTGTCGCACAAATTCTCACCGCTTGTGAACATGAATCCATTATCGCAACATCGGCACAAACCTAATGAAGAAAAAAGTAAAGTTTTTGGTTTTCCACAACCTTGTCCATATTGTCAACATCATTGAGAAGTGCGATTGGCAGCATTCGATATTTTGAGTAGAAAGGCATCACGCATTGGTCATAAGCTGTCTTTTTCTCAGCATCACAAACAGTCGGCTCAACGCGAGCTGGTACAATTCCTGTAATTTTTGATTGTTGGCAATATTGAGAAGACTTACCAGCAGCCATTGGTTGTACAGGTTGAACACCTTCATTGCTGATAGGCTTAGGCGGACCGGTGAAGACTGGTTGCATGCGAATTGGAGCTCCACTCAATGGGCACAATTCAGGAGAAGAAATTGAACGAAGGATCTAGATAAGTTTAAGAATTTCCAACTGAATTCTCATTTGATTTCACTTTTATAGGGACAAGTCCACATTTTCCTTTCACAACGTCTTCAACACAGTCGGTGAATTTTGGTAGAACAGATCGGAAAGAAGACAAAGAGAACTGCTTGACAGTGGCCAATGTTGAACGGACACATTTCGCGAAAGTTGGTTCTTGAACCTGAAAGTAATTTGAGAAGTTTTTTTTTGAATGGTTAAGATCAACCTGTCCAAACAAGCAAGAAAGATGGTCATCGATTGCTTTGACTGGATCGGCTTGGGCACAAATCTCTTCTCCGGCTTTTACCTACAACAGGTATAAATAATAAGTATTTGTAATGATCTCTTTACCATGCAATTGCTCACAATACATGGGCTTTGCCCGGAGAGTGGTCCCGCAGCACACATTCTAAAGTTTACACATCAACTTTGAACTCTCTAGCTTTCCCCTACCTAAACTCATCGGTCAAGTTGCAAGCACCCGCGAAAATAGGCGCCAGCATATTTGCATTTTTCACCAATTGATTCAAACCACCCTGAAATTTCACATTCTTGTAGAATTTTGTTGTTTACTAACATGGAACATCTCCTCCATTCGTTGCCCAATGTCATTGAGTGGAGCGGCACAGTTGTCAACGAGAGCTTCCTCTTCCACTGAGCAAGACACACCAACGACACGACCAACTAAATGTAATTTGAAGTAAGAAAGCTAACAAGCTGACCTTTTGACTAGTCTCGACTCGATTTCCCTAAGTATTTGCAATGAATTTTATGTTTTCAAAGCTTTTAGAAATGTGGCAAAAAATGTTAAATTTCTCAATACTTATCTACTAATTCTGATCTTTCTGTTTCTAATTTGTAAATTATTTGTTGAAGCTACAGAAAGCTGTCTATAAACTCAAGCTATAATCTATAATTCTATAAATAGAATTATAGATTATAGCTGTCTATAATCCATAATTCAATGCAAATATGTAAGGAAACGCTTTTAGAAAAGCAAAAAAGAAATTTTGGCGAGAGTGGGACTCGAACTTGAGGACAAAAAGTGTCACAGACCGGTAGCCTAACAGACTACCCACTAGACCATCGAGACATCTGGCAGGGGAGCGTTTGGCAACCCCATAACGAGCGGAAATATGATTCAAGAAGATTCAAAACTCAAGATTCAAGATGATTTTCTATACCAAATATCTCGCATTTGCGAAGCGTTCTGCAAAAACTAAAAACGAATTCGGAATCCCCATAGCCGACTCTATAAGGTTGATTTGGTCTCGAGTTAAAAGGTTGACTCAAGCTTGACTTTTCCCTTGTAAGCTAAAAACAACATGAACCCATACTTGGAATTTGACTGGCCAGTTTGCATCTGGGATCAATGGCAGTAGCGAACTTTGTCACATAGTCAATGATGAATTTGGTTCCATTCTGTAAATTTCACGGTCCAGATCATGATAGTTTTTACTTACCACTCCACACTCTTGTTCTACTGGCACCATGGCACAACTCAAGAGTTTATTCGCTGAGAAGCACGCTTGTTGTGGGGCTCCACGTGAGAAAATGGCTAAAATGATGATTTTAAAGCAATAAATTGTTTTCTTCAAGACTCACCAACGCATTCTTTGACATTCTGAGCTTGAGAAACTTTGCGAACACATTGTTTCACCTGAATACTTCTTGTAATTTATCAGATTACATTTTAAACGTGATCATAGGCTTGCATGCCTTCTCCACAAGCGAACTCAAACATGGCGCTCATACCCTTCGCCCACAATGGATGACATTCAATGCCAGTAGTGCATGTTTTGAACTCATCAAACTTAGCGCAAGCCTAAAAGGTTTAATAGCTGGTTTAATAGCTTTAATAGTTGTTTAATAGCTTTAATAGCTGTTTAATAGCTTTAATAGCTGGTTTAATAGCTTTAATAGTTGTTTAATAGCTTTAATAGTTGTTTAATAGCTTTAATAGCTGGTTTAATAGCTTTAATAGCTGTTTAATAGCTTTAATAGCTGTTTAATATGCTATTCAATCTTACCTCATCGATCTGTTTTGGCACTTTGATGACGGAAAGTGGATGAGGTTGGAAAACGGTCATTGGTTGGACGCAATCTTGGAATCTGAATCAAATAGAAATAAACAAGAATGGAGATAAACTTTTGTACTTTTTCTGTTGTTCGGGAGTGCATGTAGGCACAGGTGTGACAGGTCTTGGAGAAGAAGGAGCGAGAGGACGAGCCTTTGGAGCACCCTGAAACATTGGAATGAAATTTGTTTCATTGGTGAATTTGTTATTTTTCAACGAAAGTACGAAAAGAGACGAAAAGAAACGAAAAGACTTTCTAGACAGCCTAAAAAATCCACTAACATCGATATCCGATGCTCTTTGTGGTGGTGGAGGGATGGGGAATGGCGTCGGCCTTTGCACGGGTCTAGCGATGATTTCATCAAGATTTGCTGGTGCCACTTTTGGACAACCCTCTTCTTCGCCGATCTCCGACATCTGTACTTTTTAAAGTTTAATTTTAAAAGTTTGATTTTGAAACACGCACCTGTTGCTTCACTTTTCCCAAATCGACTTTAGCTGCTGCATCGCAAAATTCGGCCACCTGAAACCTCGACTAAAATTTTTTGCTCAATCCTCTAACCTTTCTCTCGCCACACTCGAAAGTGTCACGGATAACGTAGAACGATTTGCAGAGAAGAGCTTCTGAGTGAACTCCCTAGAAAGTTTGGATTATGTTTTTCATTTGAAAACTAACCTGCATCATTTTCTGAACAGCTCCACCGAGTCCGCCCAAACCCGATTGACACATAGCCGCGGGATTTTGAGCCAAAGATAAAAGACAATCTCGATGTCTGGCCAACAATGGCTTTGTGCGAGTATCACAAAGAGGTTGCAAACCAATTCTGCAAATCAATTCAATTTGATTGGAGAAATAAAGCTCAAGAAAATAGCAATTGTTGAGCTTTTAAGCTTTCTTTATATAATAAATATTATATTATATAAAGAACTTCTAATATTTCCATATTTATTGTATAATATTTACCTTGCTAGCGTGTTAAGAGGTGAAGCGAATGAGCATCGGTTTCCATTTGTCTCACTGAAGACCGAGGCTTGCAAGCATTTCTCATATTTTTCGAAAAATCCACAAATTGAGGCCACAATTGTCGAGTTTTCGGTAGCAATCTAGAATTTAAATTTGTTTTGTATGTTTTAAACTACCCTAAAGTCTCGAGTATAAGTTCTGCCTTAATTTACATTCGCTTTAACTTGCTTTGAATTTCTTTTTGTTAGGTTTTTATACATTTTTATTGTTATATAAACTTTTATTATTGTTCTTGGAGCGCGGGATACTACAGGGTGACAGCCTATCACCATTGCTATTTGTTATGTGCATGGATACATCCAGACGATAGTGTTGAAGAAGACGCTGGAAAGCATCTCTTTCGACCGTCGACGTGGACTTTGGCCGGATGAAGAGGCCAGGGAGGGATCCATAAGACTGAGCACCGGAGAGGAGCAGGGCGGACGCGCCGAGCCACGCCCGGAGCAACAAATAACAGCACAAAATTGCTATAACCCTCAATAAATTTACTTCTATTATTGTTCTTAAAAAGCAAAAAAGTTATGCTGCAGCGGGGTTCGAACCCTCGACACACCGCACCGGAGACAGCCGTCAATTTGCATGCGAAAACCAAACAGAACTTATACTCGCGACTTTAGGGTAACTCAGGTGTTTTAAATTAAAGTCGAAAAGCCAGATAGCTTGTTTTTTTTACCTCTAACAAGAAGTTTTGACCTTGGAATTGTGCCATTTGTTGATTGATTTCTGACAATTCGACAAGGCAAGCCAATGCGTTATTTTCCTAAAAACGATTTAAAACTTAAAATTTGTTTACAGTTCTCACTTGTGAATCAGTGCATTTAGGAAGAGTAGGATTGAGCGGGAATTCGACTTCTCCTTTTGGCGTTTCGTTCTCCCCTTGCTTCTCCTCTTCCTAGAATTGAAAGTTTGATCTTTTCAACGTCATTATCACCTCTAACACATACCTTGAAACATTTCATTTCAATTGTAACATCATTGATTTGCTCTTGAATCTCAACGACAAGATCTTGAGCCTCAACCGGGCACTCATCGTTCATCGTGATGATAGCACAGTCAAGATTGACATTAAATGCCTCGAGAGCTTCACATGCATTAGTTGGTTCCTAAAAAGTGAATAGATTATTTAAATCTACAAAAGAAAAGCTTTTTTACTGTTTTTTTGACTGTAATAGTACAGTTGCAAAAGTTTTTTAGTATTTCATTTTTTCAAAGCGCTTGTACTTTCAAAAAATAGCCCTAAATTTCAGCTATTTTTTGATACCTAAGCGCGCATTGTAGCATAAACCAGTGTCGAGAAAAACTCGTTCAAAGCTAGAGCTACGCAACACTCCGCACCGTCATTATGGCGGTGGGGGTACTATTACAGTATTTACGGTAGATTTTCTCACCCGAACTGCACATTTGGCTTTTTCGATTGTGGCCTGGAAGCATTGCTGATGTTCTTGAATGTCCTCTTTTCGTTTGCACAGCTCTTTTTGCAATCGGTCGAATGCCTCAAATAATAAATTAATAAATAACATATGATTTTTAATAATATTTACCTTATTCGAAACCGGATTTCCACAAATTTCTTCAATTGAAAGCATTGCTTTTGCAGCATCAACCATTGAAACCTAAAAATTTCGAATAAAAATTTAAAGCCTAAAATTTTACCATTGCAGCCGCTGCTTCGCCAGTTGCGACTTTTTTCATCTAAAGTTATTCGTTAAAATGTTTCAAACAAAAAAACTTGGACTCTGGTGCAACTTGGAGATACCTTAGTTGTTGTTGGTAAAACAGTTGTAGTGACAGGAGTGGTGTGCACAATTGGGACGACAGTTTGGCGATTATTTTGAATCTGTGATTGTTCTCGTCGTAAAGTGGCTTCAAGTTCAGCTAAATCATTCAAATCCTCTGGCTCTTCAACAGCTTCAGTCGTCGTCATTGTTGTTGTTGAAACAGTCGTCATTGTTGTTGTCGTAGGGTTTTCCGTCGTTACAATCTCTTCAGCAACTTCTTCAGACTCATCTCCATTTTCAAAAGCCGTACTTTCAAACGGAGTCTCACTTTCACCACTTCTTTCACCTTCTTTCTCAGTGGTCAATGGTTGTTTTGTTGTGGTTGTTGTGACTGGTGTGGTTTCTTTTATTTCAATTCTCGTTGTGGATGCTCTCGTGGGTGACTAAACAAAAATACATGCAAACGGAAGGAACAAAAGCTCAACTCAACCATTTGAACTCAACCATGCAAATTGAAAGCTTTTTGAAGGGAAAGAGGATACCTGCTTGGTGAGTTGTTCGGTCATTGGGGCAATTGTGGTGACTGGTTCTTCTTCTTGCTCTTTTTCCTCTTTCTCTTCCTCTTTCTCTTCCTCTTCAGGCATCTCAGTCTCATGCAAAGATGGAATGGGCGGGCATCTTTAAATCACAAATAAAAATAATCTCTAATCTTAAAATTCATTTGCTTACCGAATCTCTTTTGCAATGTGCTCGCTTTCCATTTGAATTGGAACCAGCATTTCCCTTGCATCAGCTTCACAGACTTCAGCTTTTTCTAAGCATCCCATATCTTGAATCATTGATGAAACAACTCGACACAATGTGCTTGATCCATCCGGAATGCTGGAAAATTAGTTTTAATAGTAATATTTTAGTAAGAAAAGGAACGAAAAAGCTTTCTGAATAGCCTAAATATCTTTTCTACCTGACTGTGCATTTTGGGTCTCTTTTCTTTTGGAAACATGCGGTGTGCTCTTTGACTGAAGGGACAAGCAACTGGCAGACATACATTTCGATCTAAAAATTTCCTGAAAATTAAAAATAACAGTTTTACTTACATCTTTCCAAGCAGTGACAGCTGGAATGTGATGACAGGTGGGTGCTGCTCCTTCAACGCAAATCTCGTACTCGCGCAAGAGCTCACAAGAAGCCTCAAACTTTTCGAGACTAAACAATTTTGTTATTGGTATCTTAGTGGGTAATTACTTTTCATGATCTTCCATGAGAGACATATTAGAGAGATTGAGACGAGCAAGATCATCAATGAAGTTTGCGATTGGATGGCCGCACTCTTCATATCGACGAGCATGCTCTGCCGGACACTCAATGCCAGTGATTTGAGCTGTTGGAGCTTTTGTTGACTATAATAATTGTTTTGCAATATATTATATTTCTTCTCACCGGTGTCGCCTCATCAAATGCCTCTTCCTCGATTTCCTCTTCTTCATCACTTCCTTCATCAGCTGGAACCGGCTCTACGGGCACACTTTCCATTTGTGGCTTCTGTTTTGGTGGTTTTGCCTAGAAAGACAGTTGTTTAAACATTTATTAGAAAAACTACCTCAGGAACAATCGAACTTGGTGGTGGAACATCGACCGGTTCAAGTCCTTCTTCATCCGAATGATCATCACAATCAGCTTCACCGTCTCCTACCTAAAATTATCATCCTTTTTTCAATACGGTTCCAATACGGTTCCTATTTTGATCTAATATGATCTAATTCTATCATACTCAATTTTTCAATACTCGTTTATTTTTTATTTAACTTTAAAGCAAATGTAGAAAGGGTTTAATGGTGAAGTGATTGATTTTGATTGATGGTTTTGATCGGTGAGGGGATTCATCCTCTTCTCCCTGTTCCCTGTTCCCTGTTCCCTCACTTTTCCATTCATTCTGGGGAGAACTGGTTCATCTTCCTCTTTTCTTTTCACAAATCTGGATTGCCTCTCTCACTCGTGGATACCCAAATCTAGCATTCAAAAAGTCATCTTATAAACGAAGGATTAAAACATGAGAAGCCAAAGTTTGAGAAATTTTCCAGAACCCATGATTTGCTCGAGGATTTTGAGGAGAAAACCCTATTGGGTTTCACCCCTTGAAGCCTCTTTCTTCAAATTCAGAAGACTTCAGTCTCGAGTCTTGAAAAAGAAACAAGAATCGAAACTCCTTGAGTTTTCCCCTCAAACCCCATATCGGTTTGAGACGCAGCTCTTTCTCTTTCTCTCTTTTTCATTCTCTTCTCGCTCCTACCCTCAAATTATGCGAGAACCGGCCTCTCTTTTTTTTCCTCCCTTCCTGTACTTTTTTTAGTCACCCCTTTCTACACCGTTACGTTCGCGAATGTTTTTAGGCTCAGTTTTTCATTTTCAGGCTACGTTCGGATTGTTGAAGTGTCAAGATTTAAATCTTCTCGAGTGGTCAGTCAACAAACCAAATTAGGATTGTTGAATTCTTGAAAAACCAATTCTATACAAAAGGGGGCTGTTTGTTTCTCATAATAGGATTGCAATGACTAGTTGTAATTGAAATGAATGGGGTCGATAAGAAAAAAGAGAAAGAGGGTGGTAGTAGATGAGGCGACCTTGTGAGAACGGGGGGAGAAAAATGCTCGATCACCGCTCTGATAGCGCATTTAGAAGGACCGATTTGACCCAGTTTTTCACGCCATCTCTCCTTATTGGATTTCGACACGGGCGACGGCTCTTTTTCAACAAGTCTCTCGATCCTTGATTTGCAACGATTGCACAATGAGCTCAATGGAAACCTTGAGCGCAATGAGCTCAATGGAAATCACAATGAGCTTTTGACCGTTAGAAGTCGAAATAACGTTGAAACTTTAAAACCTAGCATTTCACATCTTTGTAAAATGAGTCTTTCTTATTCATGAAGCTATCCCACGTGTGGGATCTAATTGAATCTAATTGAAGTTTAGCAATAAAAGTGTTTTCTTAGCCACAATCTACAAAGATCTCTGACAAAGATCGTTGCTAGGGATCACAAAAAAGATAAATCAAAAACAGGGAAGAGATCAACTTATAACAGCTGATCAATCAGCTGTTATAAGAAACATTCACAACCACTCACCCAATCCTCTGGGATACACGATCCATCTTTGCAGGTAAATGTATTAGCTGGACATGGCGCCTGAACAGTGGCAGTGGGTTGAGAGGCAGCTCTTTTTTGCCCGAGAGTAACTCCTATTAGGAGTAGCAGTAAGAGGACAAAAATCCTCATTTAAATAAATTCTGGTAAAAGTACAAGGGAAAGGAAATGAATCGATCCTAAATGAACAAATCAGTAGCGGGGAGAAGGGGAGTATCACTCTGGTAGAATGGGGGCGGTTATCGGTGGGTGGTTAGGTATAGAGAGGAGAACGGGGGATGGGATGGGGGACAGGAGACTGGAGATGGAGATCGGCGGGGAGCCCCAGGCTCTTCCTCACACCCAGAAGGAAGAGAGCTATTCTCTCCACTTTTCTCCACCCCTCTCCCCTTTCCATTGACCCCGCCCCATAGACAGAAGACAAAGAGTTTTTTTTTACTTTTGCCAGTGACTCAACAGCGACTGGCTTTGGTGCTCTTCTCCGTTACTCTTGGCAAGCTAGATTTTTTCCTGAACGAGTTGTGACCGAAAGTCTTTCCCCTCGTTTATGAGTCTCTTTACTGCACGATAAAAGAAAACTTTACTTTTCTCAACAATTGAAAGCATAGTAAGTAAGCAATTGAAAGTATTAACCATTGCTCATTTTCAATTAAGCTTGGGCTTTCTCTCTGTTTCATTTTCGAGGTCAAGGTTTCGAATAAAAAAAACGGGATACGAAATGATCAACTCAAACTGGCTAGGTCATTGGATTTTTCTCTTTGAGTTTCCTAGCAAAAATTTGTAGCTGGAAGAAATGAGAAATGTTTAGATCAAGAATTCGAAAAAGAATCCCAATCAGAAAGACAAGTCCAGTCCGGTGTTGAAGATTCGGCACATTGTCCTAATCGAATCACGTGTTTAGCCACTAGCCATTCCAAATAGCCAGCTTTCGGCCAAAGGAAAATGTTTTGAGAACACTGAATTTGAAAGGCACAAAAGCTATCAGGAAATGCCATCGTATAACTGTTTCCATAACTAAAGTGAGGCTCAATAATGGTGTTGTCAGCCTTTGTTTCCTTTTTGTCGACTTAATTTTAAACCTTTTCATGACGCATAAAAGTTTCTCAATTTCTTTGTTGAAAACAATTTGATGAATAAGCTGTTGAGAGAGAAGAAGCGTTCGGATGAGCAATTTCGAGCGAGTTGCCGGTGTGAGGCTTTCGGGTTTTTTTTCGGTGAGGATTGCGGTCTGTGAAAGGGTGACACTCAACGATGACCGTTTCATGATTTACTCCATTGTTTTTTCTTTTAAAACCGTTTCCTTTAAATGCCAAGGGTTTTTTTGGACAATCCTTGTTCTTCTTTGCCATAAAATTGGTTACCATTGTATGGGAAACCCATTTCCGGATGCAAAATTTTATCTTAAAGAAGAGTGGTTGAAATGAAATGGCGACTGGAGTAAACATCAAAGCAAATCCAAATCGATTTCAATCAAAGAATTCTCTCATAAAGAGCGACACGATAATGATTATCACCGTGTTCTATTTATGAGATTCGAAATTTGCTTTCGAGCTCATTTCCACGTACCAATCTCCTTTATCACTTGAAAAGGATTTCCAGGAAAGAGATGTGCGAGCAACTTGAAGTTTTTATGCAAAGTACGATGTCTAACTCTGACCGATTTTCTGAATTTGTTATTCAAAGCTTCTTCAAATATTCCCGGTTTCTAAAGGATCAGCTCAAAAAACAGTCGGGATTTCTCAAAAAAAAAAAGAGTCAACAGGTTTTTTGAAGTGTTCCGATTGATTGTGGATGTTGAGGGGGCTTTTTGAGACTCAGCGGGATGTCGACATATCCGGTGGAATGGACAAACGGTCCTTGAAGAGGAGGCTGAAGAAAGGGCTTCAAAACAAGAAGAGACAACCCGCAGGAGAGGCATCCAGGCACAAAATTTGCATATCACCGTTTTGTCGGCTGTCACCGAAAACGGGAAAAGAAAAGTTGGGGCGGTGAGAAAGGAGAGAAATCTTCATTCTCCATCAGTAGAATCGGGTCAAGGCGTGGTTGGTAAAAAGGGGAAAATGGTGGAGAGAGTCGGCAAAAAGAACAAGAAACCCCCTCTCTTTGGTTAAACATTTTCAACTCGACCATCCATGAGATTCTCTCGATGCAAAAAACCATCTGAGTACTTTCTGCGTCGAGAAACACACGCCACTTTCACTCAAATCTTTTTTGACCGTTAAATGAATGTTGGAAACAAAGGCAAGAGTTGCTGATTTGGAGCGAGAGTCAAATTGGAAAAGAGCAGAAATTTGTTGCCTGTTACTGTTTAAGATATCGAAATTTTTGATTTTCAGCAATAAAGGTTTAATTACTCAAGTTTGAGGTTACGAAGCGACTACTCGTGACGGAGAAGAATGCTGATGAGGGGAAATCTGCGTCACCCCTATAGCCTCTACCACCGCCAATCGAGCCAATCAAAACTCGCCCCCATCTTTGAGGACATCAACCTAGCGAAGAAGCTTGGACCGGAATACCACATTGTCGTAGAAGGTTTGCCGGAAGCCGACGTGTACCCAACAATCTCGCCTACCGTGAGAAGGAATGCCGATCGTCATTTGGTTGATTCAATCCTTGCGTGCTACAGTCTGGGTGGCGTCAATCGTATCTAATGGGGATCTTTTTATCATCTCATCTCATCTCTTTTTTAAACAATGAACAAATAGATGAGAAACAATTTTGTATCAGCTCACCACGGCCAAAGAAATATTATTTACTGCAAAAAAATTCAGCCCAAGCTTCACCTATTGTTCTCATTCCTTTGATTTTTTGCACAAAGTTAAGAAGATGATTGTTTGAAGTACTCTCTATTGCATTCTAAAACAAATATGCAGGATTAAAATTGTAAAACAATAATTATTTTTTCAAAAATGCAGAAAAGCACCAACCTTTTCTAACTTATCTTTGTGATGCTTACTCAAATGTTTGGCCAAATTAGTTGTTGATGAAGAATTCCCGATCGTGTATTTTGTTTCACAATAGTTGCAGAATTTTCAGCCATCCTTTTTTGTAAAGTGTTGCCATACAGAGAAAATACCCTAAAACCTAAAAAGACTGTTAGAAAACAAAGTTTGAATTTTTAAAAATGGCAAAAAAATGAAAAAAAAACTGGTTTATATATTCTATCTGGTGACATACGGTAGCTTGAGCACGCTTTAGAATTCACCGTGGTCGCGTAAAATCTAGTTGAGTCGGTTCGAGTCGAATTTTCCGATTTCTACTCGGCTCGATTCGAGGCACATGTCTACACCCCACCCCTACCTCCCAAGTTTGATGCTTGCTTTTTCCCTAGTTTTTCTTTTTTCTTACTAATGCCCATAGCACCTCTACTATATAGATAAAAAAAATAATCTTTGTCTGTCTGTGCGCGCACTACGCGCGTCCCCCTCCCCCCCTTTGAGTATTTTAAAAAACTCTGAAACACGTGTCTAACGAAATTTCATGTAGTTGTGCCTTTTAAAAATCAGTCGTTTATCAGCCGTTTATCATGTCGTTTATCAGCCCCCTAGCGTGAATCATACTGATACTTCTTGTCTGTTTGTTCATTTATCACTATTCTTGCATGATTCGGAGGTCAACATTTTACTAGGCCATTTAAATTTTCATTTAACCTATTCTGGTGACAAATTTTTGTTTGATAAGTATCGCCATCCCACCATTTTGCTAGAAAATTTCCTTATTACATGCTCTCTCTCTATTTTAAATACATTTGCTACGTTCTGCCGCTATTTTTATATTTTAGATCTGGTCTTGTCCGATCCCCCTGATGCCATCATGGAGCTGAAGCGTTTGGAGCCTCTTCCTAGATCTGACCATTATGGGATCGCGTTCAAAATTGGAGGACTGCAATTTTTGACTCCACCAGGAAAAGGTTTCGTGTATTTTGAATTTAATCCCGACCAAGCGGCTCCTCCCCTCCCTTAGAGTGATAACTCCCTTAGAGTGATAATTCCCTTAGAGGGGACTCTTTCTGCTTTAGGATAAATTCTATAAATGATGAGAATTTTCTCTAATCTAAAATCCTCGGTACGTTGGTGGTTGGGAGGGGTCACTTTTATCCTGGTGGAGTTGGATCTAATGTTTTGAGTGGTTGTATTGATACTTTTTATCTACCTATTCTAAGGTAATCAAATATGCTTATACTTTTAGAGCATTTACAACATGTTTCAACTTTCATATTGTCGCTTTATTTGATTTTCAAGTGTAAGCAGCTTTGAGGTAGCGTTTGGTGGTTAAAGTACATGAGATTAGGCTAGAATTGTCAAAAACTTGCTAAAATAGTCACCAATCTATTAAGCATATTTGATTACTCTAGCATAGATAAAAGGTATCAATACAATCACTCAAAATATTAGATACAACTAAGCCAGGATAAAAATGGCTCCTCCCAACCACTAAAATACCAAATCCTCTTTGCCATAGAAAACTTCTGCTCTCACCCTGTAAAATAGTCCCAAATCATATTACGAGAGCTAAAGCAAGACCTCTGCGTTTTTTAAAGATCTAGCTCACAAATCCTTTGGTTTGCCCACTAGTAATCAAAGAGCCGTGCAAACTCTCGAAATTTTGTCAAAAGTTTGAGTCAAACATTGAAATGAAACCTGTTTATTCGAAAAATTTCAAAAAATCAATTCTACAGCATTAAACAGCGTTGGCAAAGAGGATTATATCAGAGATCTTGAAGCCCATATTTCCACACCTTTCAATTTCTCAAATCACATTGAAATTATATGTCGTAAAGCTTCTTTTGTGTCTAGTCGTATCCTAAAAGCAATTTGTTTTCTGAAAATTGATACTTACAGAAAATATTTTATCTCTTACGTTAGACCCATTTTAGAATATGCATCTATAGTTTGGTCTCCACATACACAAGTTAGTATCTCTCGTCTAGAAAAAATCGAGCAGAGGTATACTAAGATAGCTCTATGGAAAATAGATTTTTCCAAATTTGCAAACTCTAGTTACACTGATAGACTTAAAATTTTTGATTTTAAATCCCTTAGGCACCACCGCTTGGTCACGGATTTAATAGAATGTTTCAAAGTTGTAAAGGGCAAGCAACCTATCCCTCTTTTTCGAGATTTATTCAAAGTTAATCCCATAGTTAATTCAAGGAGAGGAGAGGTAGAAATTCCAATCATCTCCAATAATCTTGGTATAACTCTTTTCCAAGGAAAAATGCCAGAATTTGGAATCTACTCCCTAGAGTTTTGAGAGAGTCCAATAGTCTTGAAATCTTTAAATTATTTGCAGATGATCTTGATCTTGCAGTTCTGGCTGATTCTTGACTTTATCTGTTCTACCCAATTATTACATACATTACATCGTGTTGCTTTCTATAGGTTCTTTTTGTGTGTATGTGTATGAATTCATGTGTATTAATCTTTGCACACTTTATTTCATGTCCTGAATCTGTCTCTTTCACCCAAGATCTGTCTTTAGCAATTATCTAAACATTGTTATTTCTAAAGCACGGGAAAGTGGGCAGATGTACGGTGTAAGAGAGCCAAAGGCAGAAAGAAAAGTGTTGTAGTTTGTCCACAAAGAGTTGCCGATATAAGAAGTCACAAGGATTTTCCTGCCAGATCTCATTACTTGATTTTCTATTTCTTCGAAATACTTTCAGCAACATTGCAAACTTGCGGAATGGAGTCGGAAGTCGTCAGCGATGAAGGAGCTGTGGTAAGGAATTTGAAGTTTCTAAGATTTTTTTATTGTAAAGTGAAAGTCATTTTTAATAGTTTTTAAAAGAAATCAATTTAGGAAGAGCCCGTTCAAGATGCTTTGAATCCCGAAGAAATTGAGGAAACTGAAGAAGCAGAAGATGTCGCTGCAGGGACATCATCGGGAAAACCGATCAGGAAAAGGAAAAGGAACAGAAAGAATGACTTTGTCGAGTTTAGCGAGTAAGTTTATCAAAAATATTAATAACTTTTCTTTTAAAAGTACCCTGGTCATACTTTGTAGTAGTTATTTATCCAATCGGCTATAACGGATGTATCTTACAGAATCAAAGATGAGCTCAATCCATGGGCGAAGCTCGGCGAGCGAAAGAACACATTGGTGTTGTCTTATGTTCAAAAGATTCAGTGCGTACATTTCAATTTTCTAAGCTTATTGATATTTGGAAAGTTTAGGAAAGAAACCCAAGAGCAACGAGAGAAACGCCTGGAGCACATCCGACGACTGAACCGGCAACGGTAAGTGGTAAAGAACTTTTTATGCACACAATTGCAGATATTTTTTTTGCCATAGCAAGTAGCCATTTTATTAAACAAAATATTAAAGCATATATGCTTTAATATTTTTTGCTCTCATTAATATATTTAGTTTTGCTCATTTTTGATACAAAAGATCATCATTTAGACTGCAAACCGAGACGCCGGAGCAGAGAGAGCGACGCTTGAAAGTTCTTCGCGAAAACTCGAGAAAACGTCGAAATAGGCTGTGAGTAGAAACATCTCGTAAACGGGCTTAATATGTTTATTGTAATTTAGACTTTGAAAAAGTAAAGTTACATTTACCTAAGCCAATATCTCTGTAGGATTGCTGAACGCGGTCTTGAGGATGTTCGACGGAAACGAAAGGAGTTCCGCGTGTATGACGAGTGAGTTTTATTTTAAAAAACTATTTAATTGATACAGTAATAAATAAACAAGTGATGTGTACATTTTCAGGTCAGACTCTCTCAATGGCCCGGTGGACATTGAGAAACTTCAGCTCGCGGAAAACAAGGAACGGTGTGGTGTTTAGAAATGATTTCCTATACGCCAAGTTATTCAGCTATGCTCCGCTTCAAGTAACAGCCCTGAAGGCCAACGAGTTCTTGACCGGATTGGAACAACAAAGGTTGGTTTTGCAAACAATGTTGTTCGTTTCAACTCACCGATTTCAGAATAATCAATCGTGGCGTTCAATTTCCCGACAAACAAATCTATGTTCTGCACAGTTTTTGGGCTGAAGTAAGCGACAGTTCAGTTTTTGAAAAATCTTCTTTTCAGGGAATCATCATCAAAACCTTGGACGCTATACCGAAGAGCCCATTGCCGCTCATTCAGTTACCGCAAGGACTCATCGTAAGTCTGACTTATCTTGTTTTAGCTTACTGATCTAATATGATAACGTTTCATAAGTAAAAATTCTTAGAAACCCTACTTTGCCGCGTATCAAGGAACATCTCGGTACCTGCAAACGTTCGATTATTTCCAAGAATTGGGCGATAATGCTAAAACAAAAGGAGCCGATTTGAATGGTTTTCCAATGACGTACAAGGAATGGGTTGAGGTTTGAAATATACCAAAGCTAAATTTAAATATGGATCCAAAATCTGAACATGTATTCAATTCAGTTTGGAATGCCGGATACTGACATGACACCAGACATCGAGGGCGGCTATTTCGAGAAAGAATTCTTAGAGGTAATTGATTTGTTTTATTAGAATAAATGGAAATGATACATACTATAGATAAACGGCTAAAACTATAAATTGTTAAATCTATGAAATTATTCAGGTGGACATGAAACAAACGCTGAAGCCGGGCCAGAGCCAGGCGTCGACTCTCCTTTTCGCCCAGGTCAAAGAGGAGATCGAAGAGAATCCTAGTAAGTGTAAAAAGCTTTCGTTTTATATAAAATTAAATAGTTTTTGATACTTTGTTTTAGTAATCAATTTAGGACTGTACCAAGACATTTTAGTGCCAATTATTGACAGTGAATTGTCCGATCAGATCACAGATGTTTCCACGATGAGCGATGAGAAGAAAGATGTTGTCAAAATGTGCTGATATGTATTTTTTTTTAGTCCTTTTTCATATTGTGCCCTTTAATTGTATACCCGTTTACTTTGTTTTCCTATTGTACGGGTTTCGATATTTCGATAAATTGTCCGAAGGTTTTTGGAAAAAAAGCAAAGTTGCACATCTTACAGAGCTTATGTTCGTTTTCCAAAACATGTCAACTTTAATGTACCGTGATTTATTCAGTATAGCTAGTTTGGCAAGCCTTTATCTAATTAAACCAAAAGTAGATAGGTTAGACAAAACTGCTGACAGGTGACGGTAGCTGTTTTAAAAAAGCAGGCAAACTTTATACATAATTTGAGGCTGACCATGTTTGCTTGACATTGTACGATCTTTGAGCATGAATCTTTGCATAGACTACCGTAATAAACAGGGGATTCTTTTCATGTGCAACTATTTATTTCCCCAAACAATCGTCTGGCATATTTTGCCGTTGATCGGATGATTCATTTGAATTTCAAAAACGAAGGGGTGTTTTCGAGGGCGGTGAAAAGACCGATCGATACTTTATGAGAAATAGCAGGGTGTGGAGAGAGAGAGGCGAAAAGTTCCATACGCCTTTTCCCACTTTTTAGTCACAAAATAGACTAAAACTTTTCGAAGGGTTTTTGACTACAAAACACGCAATTTTTTGAGAACTTTCGTTTCCTTTTTCTGTTTCTTTAGCCGAATTGAAATCTTTTTTTTTTGTATTAAAACCGTTTCAAGCTCTACAGTTATTCATTCAGATGAATTCTCAAATCAAAACCGAACTTCTCGATGAAGAGCTTGCAGTATTTGGTGAGTAAAAAGTCAGGTTCAAAAAAAATGATTACAAGAACTTTTTTTTTCAGAAGCTTCAACTAGTGGGATTTCGTTGAAAGTCGAAGATTTCTATGAAAGCTCAAACGAACAAGGAGAAGAAGCCAATGAAGGTAATACATTTAAAATAATCTTTAAAAAGCGCCGTTTTTGTTGAGGCTCGATGTTTCTTCAAATCAAAAGCGAGCAATCGGAGTGCTCTGAACAAAGCGGAGAGATGGATTTCAATATGGGACTTTGGTACTAAAGCAGTTGAGAGGGAGCACTTTTTTTTTTCTTCAAAACCACTTTTTCTCGGGTAGTTTTATGCGTAGATTCCGAAAAACACAACGAGAGCTTGGGAAAAGGCGTTTGGGGAAAAAGCTTGGGGAAAAAACAGAACAGAAACAGAAAAACAGAAAAACAAGGCCTTTTCCCAAGCTCTCATTGTGTTTTTTCGGAATCTACGCATAAAACTACTCCAGAAAAAGTGATTTTGAAGAAAAAAAAAGTGTAAATAAGTAAATTGTTAACTGAATCTAGAAATTAGAAAACTTTCAGCAAAACAGAGGATGAAGAAGCGGGAAACGGCGGTCGACGAAGCCAAATCCCATCCGGAATGTCTAAACACGTGTACTACTATCAACGAATGTAAGGAAATTAAAAAAAAATCTGGATCTACTTAATGTTTAGGAAAGAAAAGCTCACTCCAGAGCAATGGGAACAACGAATTCAAAGGCAAAGAGAAAAGTGAAGTCTGACTGTTTAATTGATCAGTTTCAAATTTTAGACGTCACATGTTGACCCCAGAAGCCAGAGAGGAACGTCGTTCGAAAGCAAGAGAACAAAGAAAAGAGAAGTTTGTTTTAAAAGTTTCAAAAAAACAAACTATTTGCTTTATAGATTGGCCAGTGAAACGGAAGATGAAAGAGCTTTACGATTGGCAAAGTTGGCTGCAAGGTAAAAGAAAATATCAGAAAATTGGTTTTAACAATTTCAGAACGGCTCGCCGAATGTCGGATCCAGAGCAAAAAGCCCAACGACAAGAATACGCTAGGAAAAATTATTTGAAACGGTGAGTTTAAGGAAAAAATAGAAAAATATTGCTTACTTTTTCTGCTTTAGTGTTGAGACCGAGACTGAGGAACAAAAAAAGATTCGCGTTCAACGAGTGATTGAATTCAAGAAAAAGAGGTACGTTAATATGTTATTTCTGTAGAAAAACCCCCAATTTTATTTATAAATTTAGAAATATTGTTAAAAAGAATAACGTCTTGACAGCAGAAAAAATATATATACCGTAAATACTGTAATAGTACCCCCCCCCCCCTCGTACAGTCGCGTAGTCGCAAAAGTTTTTTAGTATTTCATTTTTTTCAAAGCGCCCGTACTTTCAAAAATTGCGCCTTTGGTATCAAAAAATAGCTGAAATTCAGGGCTATTTTTTGATACCTAAGCGCGCATTGTAGCATAAACCAGTGTCGAGAAAAACGCGTACAAAGCTAGACTACGCAACGCTCCGTACCTTCATTATGAGGTGGGATACTATTACAGTATTTACGGTATCTGTATCATATTCTTTCACTATCAAGAACTATCTTTCACTATTAGGTTGTTGGGTTTTGAATTCGAATTTTTCGCAAAAATATTTTTTTTCCAAGAGAACGATGCTATTAAAACTAGTCCAGTTTGTACCATTAGAAAGGTAAATCTGTGTTCTACATTGAGCTTTTCAGGGATTTCAGGGAAAACCTTCTGTTTTGGGGATTTTTCGGAGGCGCAAAGACAAGTAGTCAGCATTGTCAAAAATCGTTCAGTTGGCAACTTTTTTTGATGGAAAGTTAGCATTAATTTTTTTTTGCTTAAATGAAAGACCAAAAATTTATACATTTTCAATCAAATTTTCAACCAAATCCGTTCAACCGTTTTTTTCGAAATGTTAAAAAAATTTTCGAAAAGTTTCTCAAATGACAAAATACCCTTATTTTAATGCATTCTTCAAACCAAAAATTCTGAAAAAACGGCTAAACGAATTTGGCTGAAAATTTGCTGCCATATACAAAAAGCGTTGTTCAAAAGTTTGAGTAAAGAACATTCAAAATCGATTCCACAAATAAGATCGTTGTTGGCGAGTTTCGATGATTCTGACTACTTGTCTTTGCGCCTCCGAAAAATCCCCAAAACAGAAGCTTTTCAAAATCATTGAAAAGCTCAATGTAGAACACACATTTTCAATCAAATTTTCTGTGTTCTATAAATGTTTGGTCTTTCATTTAAGCAAAAAAAAATTAATGCTAACTTTCCATCAAAAAAAGTTGCCAACTGAACGATTTTTGACAATGCTGACTACTTGTCTTTGCGCCTCCGAAAAATCCCCAAAACAGGAGCTTTTCAAAGTCGCTGAAAAGCCCAGTGTAGAACACAAATTTACCTTTCTAATGGTATAAACCGGACTAATTTTAATAGCTTTTTTCTTTTGGAAAAAATATTTTTTTTTGCGAAAAATTCACATTCAAAACCCAACAACCTAATATAACTTTTTCAGGATCTCTAACGAAAGTCCAGCCGAACGAGAACTCCGATTGTTCAAGAAAAGAGAAGAAAATCGGCGAAGAGCTGAAAAATTAAAGTAACTGAAGAAATTGAGTCTAATAAGAAGATTTTTTCAGAAGGGAAAAAGAAAAGGTCTGAATGCGATCAATCAAATCAAAGTTGAGGCTAAGGAGTGACTCTGTTACTCTGTGTCATTACTCTGTGTTAGTATTTTGAATAAAATAAACATTTAACGAGAACAGAGTACTAGACAAAGAAATCACATTTGTTTCCTAAAAGTGGCTTGTGGCGGGCGAAGGGCCAAGTGAAGAAGGGGCGTCGATTGGTTTAGGGCGCTTGAGTTGAGAAAGCTTTGGTTGCCGCCTCAATATGTCAGACTGAAAGATTACATTGCAATAATAGCAATAACTTGATACTGCAGTCATCTTACTTATTATAAGTTTTTTTGGGACAATATTTAATCGACTATAGCGGTTTAAATCAGAATTGAAAAATCTTGAACCCTTTTTGAGTAAATCAACTTCCAAATTTAGGTGTTGCAGTAGATCAATATTATAACAGTTTTAATAATAACAATTTTAATAATAACAATTTTAACCTAAACAATTTTAACAATAACAATTTTAATCATAAAACTTTCAAATTCTCAAACCTGTTCAAAGAGCGCAACCGAGCTCACACTTCGATGACGCTCTTTATCGAGTGGAGTGATGCTCAATGATGATGGAGCTGCTGATGGAGCTGAAACCTCATTAAGGGCAACTACATTGAAATATACCTATCGAAATTGAGTCTGAAGAGGTGTATTTGCGGATGACGGTTGGTCGATTTGGCCGTCCCTCATCATCACTAGAAGTATTCGATGAAGAAGATGTTTCTAAAGTGATTGTTCCACTTTTGTTTAAAGCATTCCCCTACCCGGCCCTCCACGTTTCCAATCAGGCCGACATGGCTCCGACGCTCTATTAATCATATCCGCTCTTGCTCCATAGTCTTCCTAAAGATTTAGATGCAAGATTCAAAAACCATTATCAATCTACTGATATAGTTCGATTCCGTGGGATCATCGTTTCGTTGAAAGCACACGTTACCGCTAACTCTAATTCTCTGATTGAATGGATTGTTGGAGGATTAGAATGCGGTGGGGATGGTGGAGAGACTCCTGGATTTCAAATAGAAGAAAGATTTCTGAATTTGATTACTTCTTAAATCATCGTCATCCAATGTTTCTACATCTAGTGGTGATTCTCGTATCATGTTCCTCCACTAAATGTTTATATGTCGTAACTGGTTTGCTATTTCAGCCGAGCATATCGGCTAGCTGATTTGCTTTGGAAAATTTTTGCTAGTCGATTTTCTATGAAAGTAATACGACGGCTACGAATTTAGATTACGAATTAGATTTTCTCGGAATTTGTTTCAATTTTTAGAATCTTTCTTCCAATTTCTTTGTGCCCAATTTTCTTTTCTTTGTGAGTTGAAGAAAGGGAAGAAAAGTGTCGTCATCAAACCAATTGTCACTCGCGAACAGAATTAGCGATGTCAAGTTGATCTCATTGATCTCATTGATCACATTGTCAAGTTGATCTCATTAATCTAAAATACTTTCCCAATGATGATTACGAGCTCCTTCTAGTATATCAGGATCACTTAATGAATTCTTCTGAGAGTCTGAAATCCAAGACTAAAGCAAATCAGCTAGCGAAATAGAAAATCAGCTGAAATAGCAAATCAGCTATTTATAATCGATTCTCCATTTTCAAATCACTTGTCTGGTATCTCGGCCTTGTCGCAAGTCTACAGAGTTTGAGGCACTAAAAACTATATATATATTGCTATATATTGCTCTATATATTGCACTTATATTGCTGTTGTTAATCAAACCTCAGAGGTGGTGAACCAAAAAGTGGTAGAGAAGATTGAGAAGTGAAGTGGAGATTTGTTTCAGCATCCTTTGTCGAGTGAGAGCCTTGTTTTGATGGGCTTTTGATGACACGTAGTTGAACAGCTAAAAGTCTCATGTAGTAAAGCTAGTTTAGTTTTTTTTTTGAAAGCCTATATTTAAATCAAATAGCAAACATTCAGAAATTGCAGAGGGAGTTCGGTTAGAGAAGGTTCGCGGGCCATAAGTGCCTCCATCTCCATAGGTGGTCGTGTCCTCTTCGGTTACTGTAGGGATTCGATTCTCGTGCTCTGCTAGAGCTTGTTGCTAAAAGCTTGTTGTTAATATGCGTCTTTTTACAAGATACTGTAATAATACTGCAGTAGTTGATAGTTACTTTCATTCAAATCACAAACTCTGAGGAAATCAGCGATTCTTCCTGTTCTCCTTCCATAATCCTCTTCAATCACCAATCGGGATTTTGTGCTTTGCCCACGGGAAACAGGATCAATATACTACAATATTTTAATAATAAAGTAACTATTTAAGACTCTATATCCATTTACTGTATATCCATTTGCTGGTAAAGATCCCATAGGCTTCACAGATTTCATTGGTGGTTGAGCGGTCGACTCTGGACGTTTCACTCTCCAATTCGCAGTAGAAATTAGAGCACTCCAAGGCTAAGAATTCACAATTTAAGGATTTAAGAACATTTTAAACGTTTTGATAATAAGCCTTTTCAAAAATGAAACCTTTTTTCTCTTTCTATTGTCAATGATAGCGTTCGTGATAGCAAATGGAATGACAAGCAAAGGAGAAACCATAACAATCCAGGCGATTGCTTCATAGACTAAAACAAAAGTATATATTTTAAGAGGAATCTAAAAACGGATTATTTATTATATTATTTGAAGCTTTAATTCAAGAAGGGATCCAAATCAAGGAGCAAATCAAGGACAAGGACAAGGAAAAGGACAAGGACAAGGACAAGTACAAGGACAAGGACAAGGAAAAGGACAAGGAAAAGGACAAGGGCAAGGACAAGTACAAGGAAAAGGACAAGGAAAAGGACAAGGGCAAGGACAAGTACAAGGACAAGGACAAGGAAAAGGACAAGGAAAAGGACAAGGACAAGGACAAGGACAAGGACAAGGACAAGGACAAGGACAAGGACAAGGACAAGGACAAGTACAAGTACAAGTACAAGGACAAGGACAAGTACAAGTACAAGTACAAGGACAAGGACAAGGACAAGGACAAGGAAAAGGAAAAGGAAAAGGACAAGGACAAGGACAAGGAGAATCTCCTTCAGATCGTTCAAGAAAAACTATCCCACTCCATGGCATATTTTGACCCTCAAACGTCACTCTTTGATACGAAAAAGCCGAAGCGAAAAGCAGAGCCTAAAGTTTTCTTTTTTTGGCTTAAACTTTTTTTTGAATAAAATTACCGTAAGAATTGCTGGACAGAAAAGACTCCATGCCCATTTGATATATGGACCAACTGGTCCAAAAACGAACTGAAAACAAACAGCATAAGCTTTTAAAGTCTCAAAAAACAACTTTGAGTCGATCTCTAAGCGGTAACATCATCAAATCATTTGGTGTTGTGGCACGAACCATTTCGCCAATATCCTCAAGAAAACGATCGACTCCTAAATGCTGAAAGTCTATTTCATCCCTTTGTGCTTACCGTAAATAAAACAAATCAAAAACATTTGCAAAAGACCAAGACTGAACGAATTCCAGTTGGCGTTCAGGTTCTCGATTGAATGAAAAATGTAGATTCCACCCTGGATTTAAAAAAAATATATTAGGGTGATGAGAACGAAACCAGTGCTCAGATATCTTTTCAAAAATCAAAAGGGTTGCAAGCCTCAACCAATAAGTCTTGTAGACTATTAGAAAGCCCTGAATCTCTTCTACAAAATAGTGGAAAAGGATTTTGAATTAGATTGATTATTGGGGACTTGGGTATTAAAAAGTAACCGCAGATCGAGGCTTAACCTCGGTACCTGCGCCTGCTGGCAACTATCGTTTCCATTTTTTCTCGGTTGAGATTTTTCCAGTCAAGAATATACATTACTCAATATTTATAGTCACTCAAATCCCCAAGAATTAATTTAATTCAAAATCTTTTTATTCCATTATTTCCTAGAAAAGATTGAGGGCTTTCGAACAGAAAACTCAATCTTTTTATTTTTCAAAAGATATTGTGAGCGCTGGTTTCATTCCCATCATCCAAATATTAAAAAATGATTGTTTAGCAGTGTCTTTTTAGCTTAATATATAAATGAGACATCATTTTTCAAATGTTTAAATCAAAAATTGTTTAAAACCGAACTCGTGTACAAAAAGGTAATCCCAGCACAAAGAAGAGGAAACACAACGAGGCGAGCATGCGATTCTCGACTCGTTTATTTTTCCATCCAAATTGATACATCACCGAACTCGCAATCATCTCCATCCTATATAGTTTTTTTTAAAAATTCGTTTCCTTTTCGAACATTCTAACCATGCAAATTCAGCGTCAAGAGCTGACATAACTAAAGCTGTGAAAAAGAGCGCTCCCCATAAAGGACCCAAATGCATAAATGATGTCACTCCAGGGTAAACGGTAAACGCCAAATACAATGGATCGTGCTCTAGAAAGGATTTCTGTTTTGTTTTGTTTTGTTTTGTTTTCTTTTGTTTTCTTTTGCTTTCTTTTGTTTTCTTTTGTTTTCTTTTGTTTTCTTTTTTTGTTTTGTTTCGTTTTGTTTTGTTTTCTTTCTTTTCTTTTGTTTTGTTTTCTTTTGCTTTGCTTTTTTTTGTTTTGTTTTGTTTTGTTTCGTTTTGTTTTGTTTTCTTTAAAAACATACGCAACACAGTGTTCACTGGACTGTCCGACATATGCGCGAGAAAACCAATGAAAGAAAAGATCACCATTCCGCAGAGCACAGACGTTATAGCGTCACTGGAAGAGGCTCTTTTAGCTAATCAAAGTTTTAATGCTAAATACTTTAGATTTTAAATTATTACAAGATCACCAGTAACACCGCGTCTCGATAGATATTGTTTCGGTATCGACTAAACGAAGCCATTACGATAAGTGGACCTGCATCAATACCCAGCTCATAGAAAACTTGCTCCGCTGCTGATTTCCACATCTTTAAAAAAAATATAAATCTAACTACAGTCGACTCTTGATATAACGACTCTAGATATAATTACTCTAGATATAATGACTTTTTCGATACAACGACTCATTCTTACGGTCCCGATCTTACTTACTTCTATATAACGATGTTCGATAGAATTGAATCGAGAATCGAGTTCGAAAGAACTCAACTGCAGCTCCGACAAAGTCGTTATATCGAGAGTCGACTGTATATTTTTCAACTCAACCAACCGGCAATGACCACAGCTTTTCTAATTTTGGGGTAAAGAAAAAATAGAGTCCGTCATCGGCTCCAGGTAACGAAACACCGCGCAATAGGAGAATCAACAACTAAAATTGACTATAATTTTTGAAAAATTACTAATGAGCACTAAGAGATACGGCACGGTAGCTGTCACAGAGCCCATCCATCCAATGCTGCCAATACCCTAGATCGATTGAAATTTAGCGATCAACCACAGCGCTCACTTTGAATACACCGAAAAAGACGAGAATCCAGGCAACAGCCAACGCAAGGACGAGATGAGGCTAAACACGACTAAGGAATACATTTATTCACACAAATAATGTGATACAAACAATCCTCAAGCAGCCCTAAATGTAGGAAAGAAAAGAAAATGGGAAAAAGAGTAAACTAGCGGCGGGCTTGAACCTTTGACCTCTCGACTATGATACAAGGCTCTTAACCACTCGGCTATGACCAAAATCTTTGGCTTGACCAGCCAGCAGCCTCACCTCAATTGGCCCGAGCTCGAAATCTCCGGTGACTGGTCTGTGAAGCACTTCAAAGCTGAAGAACTTGAACAATTTGATGTCTATTTCTTTTGTGTGAAACTTACTGAAAATAGGCTTCTGGAGCCGTGACTGCTGATCCATTTGTCTCTTTGAAACACTGTTGCAGTCGATGAAGATCACAGCAATTGTATTGGGTCACCCAAGCTAGAACTTTTGCCTTTTTCTGTTTTCGATGCTTTCAAACTGTCAAGACATCGATCCCACGGTAGTCCGATTCCTTTGACAAAACCGCGAAAAGAGAACCAAAAATAGTAAACAGCCCAGGCGACGATCACGTTGTAATAGATGCACACTGGGATTGCCAGCAGAACTAGAGCCCAGCCAACTCCTAAATCATTCAGATTTTAGGATATTTGATATTATCATTGACAATCCAACTTTGAGCTCAAATTTCTTGGTGTTGGGCTTTGCAATTTAAATAGTTTTTTTTACCAATCGATAGAGAAAGACTTGACGCATCTAATGATACTAATAATTTAGAAATTGGACAGCCCAACACCAAGAAATTTGAGTGAGCTCAAAGTTAGATTGTCAATGGGCAAAGGAGCGGAGCCGTTAACCGATTCATGCTTTGGAGATAAAGAAATTGATAAGAATTTTTGTTTTTAAACATTTTAGCTGAAAAGTCCTCTTTCCTTTCAATATTTAGATTCGATATTCTTTCAATATTCTTTCAATATTTGAATATGTTACCACTTGCGATCGGCATCAACTTCCCGAAGGCTCCATTCGGTGAGAGACCCGAGTATTGACCGATACACAAATGCATATAAACAATCGGTAAACCAAATAGGCAAAGAAAGGTGAAATACGGGATAAAGAAAACACCTACAAAATTGTCATTTCACTCTTTCAATTTAGCCCTTCACCTCCTCCATATTCGTAGACTTTAGCCGGAAATCGCAGTGTGTTCCCCACACCAACGATGAAGCCGAGACACGCCAAGAAGAATTCGGTCTGAACCTTGCGCAATTATCTGAATGAAATGCAAAAGCTCGCCTGTGTTTTCCACAGATTTCTCACTCCATTATCAGTCACATACTCGTCCTCTCGGGGTAGACAAAGGAACTAAAATAAATGAGTTTTCATATATTTTTTTGATGAACTCTATTAAATCCAAGTTTTTCCGCAAAATTGCTAGGGCCAGGGTCATTGATTTCACTAGGAGCTGGCTGAAAAAAATCGTTTTTGTAAAATAAATCCTTTTCCGAACCGTTGTACTCGGTGAGTCAAGATCGACAACATTTGACGAGTCAGCAACTCGATTTCTGAAAGAATTTCTAGCAGAAATTTGGCTATTGTTTAAGTAACAAAATCGTTTAAAAAGATGTAAATAATTTATAACTAAAACACAGCCAATTTAAGGCAAAAATTGTCTCCAAAAAATTGGGCCTAGTAAGCGGGGGAAAACGGATCAATCGATCTTGGCGAAAAGGGAAGCATCTTCTACCCGGACCGTTTGCCAGATGAAGTGCGATTACGTGGCCGCACAAAGAACACCTTGCTAGTCATTTACACAGCTATGTAGATGGACAAAAAGATATTCAGCTGTAAATTTGTACCCGATGGTTTTCGGGGCCGGTCAATCGATTCGAGATATTCATTTTATTGAGTCTAGCAATTAAAACTTCTACAATCCTATAATTATTAAGTTTAAACGCCCCCACCTTGCCCTTTTTGTCGCTCTTCTCGTCGTTCTTCTCACTATTCGATCCAAAGCATCCATCTCTCTTGAGCATTCAATGTAAAACCTTAAAAGAAACTGTCGACTCTTCTTTTCCATTGACGTTTTTACGTAGCCGCTTCGGCAGGATTCGTGGCAATCAATTCTCGTAGACGAACAATTCTCGACGCCATGTCCTATGAAAATAAAAGATAGTGATTTCTTTTAAAAGAAAAAGCAACCTTTGTTCGATTGTGAATGAAAGTACACCGGGAAGCCACCTCATTTCTCCTCGCTAAATTCTCGACCTGAATCATTTTTCTCATAAATTTTAGATCAAATAAACTTGTTGCCGAAGGGCGATGATCCAGTCATAGGAATTCATTTTTAGTTTATTGAATTAGTGTGCAATAAGTCTGCAATAGTCTGCAGTCTGCAATAGTTTAATAGTCGTTTTTAGTAGTCTGCAATAGTTTAATGCAATAGTTTAATAGTCTAATATTTTTGGTGTATCGATCAGATCAGTCAAAAGGCGAGCAAGCGTTTTCTTCTCTTTTTCCTCTAAGTTCTCGAGAAAGATAGTTGAGAAAAAAGAACGAGTTCTCGTGACCTTCACCATTTTGTCGACTCTTAAAAAACTAAAAATAATACTTAACAATATATAACAATATATAATAATATATAACAATATATAATAATATATAATAATATATAACAATATATAACAATATATAACAATATATAACAATATATAATAATATATAACAATATATAATAATATATAACAATATATAACAATATATAACAATATATAACAATATATAACAATATATAATAATATATAACAATATCTAACAATATATAACAATATATAACAATATAATACTTTTTAAACTTTAAATCATTTTTTTCTTAAATCAACAACCGTTTTGTTTGTTTGTTTTGTTTTGTTTTGTTTTAATTTTACGTTTTCTTCAAGTACAACTTCAATCACCAATACAGCATCCTCACCCCCGCCAACCACTAGGTTAAACTATTGTAATCACAATCTTTCATAAGCCCAGTTTTTAGTCAATCAACTCTTACTCCAACAACAAGTTGTACTGTAGAGAGAGCGATTGGATTACTTTATGATATGGATCCGTATAATGGAGTGAACTATCGAGAGAACTATCGAGAACTATTTGTTTTAATTTTGTTTTGTTTTGTTTTAATTTTGTTTTAAAACTCCTCGAATTCGTTTTATCATCTGTAAAAGTATAGATTTATCAAAATACGAACAACTTTATAATCGAAAAAACACAAGTAAGAAAAACTAGTAAATTGAAAAGAAAAAAAAAATCTGCACTCTATACACGTAATACTGTCGGTAAATGAATGAAAGAGTTTTCGAATTAGAATGTATCAAGAAAAACTTTAAAGATTCAGATTCAGAAAAGATTCAGATTCAGAAAAGATTCAGATTCAGAAAAGATTCAGATTCAGAAAAGATTCAGATTCAGAAAAGATTCAGATTCAGAAAAGATTCAGATTCAGAAAAGATTCAGATTCAGAAAAGATTCAGATTCAGAAACGATTCGAATTCAGAAACGGCTCAGATTCAGAAAAGATTCAGATTCAGAAAAGATTCAGATTCAGAAACGATTCAGATTCAGAAACGGCTCAGATTCAGAAAATATTATGAAAAAATACCCTGAAAGTGACTAAAGTACGGAAATGACAAATTTTAACAAAATTTCATTTAAAAGACTAGCAAAGAAAAGTTTTTGTCATGGTTTTATTACAGCTTTAAACCGGGAATTTGAAATCTTCTTTTAAATCGAAGCTTGGATATTTTGGATATTGGATAACATGGATATTGGATGTCATGGATAGTGGATGTCATGGATAGTGGATATCATGGATAAGTGGATATCATGACAGTAAATTAAGATAAAATGAGCAGAATGTTGAGTTGAAAATAAAAGAAAAAGGACTAATAGATGAAAAGGAAAAGAAAAAGTGAGAAAAAGATTGGGGAAAAGATTGGAAGAAGATTGGTGTGGTTGAGTCGTTCTTGCGCTCCATACGATGGCTCTTTTCTTGATGGTTTTCTTTCTTCAACTTCCACTTTCATCGATCCTTCCGATTTCGAGGAAGTTGTCTAAATTATTGTTTTGATTCGAATCAGATTTTGCAATTTTTATAGCGCCAGAGACAAAACATTTCTCTCTTCTAATATAATTTCTAAATCGTTGAAAGCTACCATAATCTTGTACAAGAACAATAGTCAATATTTCTTGAAAAAAGCAAAAGAAAAATCCAAAGCCAGGATCGAACTTTTTTTATATACTTGTGAGGTTTCGCTCTGAAAACGAACGCTGTCCCATTCTGCTATGGCTGCACCGAATTTGGGCCGCAAGGAGGCCGCTAAGACCCAAACGATCACATTTTCTCAGTCTTAACAAAACCTTAGACGCTTATAAATCCTCATTTAGCAACAACCGAATACATATTTGGAATCAGCATAAAATTCTGCGTCAAATGGTATAGATTGCAATGGTCAAATGGTATAGATCAAATGATATAGATTGCAAAGCATTTGACCGGCTCAGCCAGTTGATCTTCCCTTGTTAGTTGTGCATCTAATATTTCGTTTTTTTAAAAAGCAAAGATCATGACACAGTCAGGAGTCGAATCAGAAACGTGTTGGCTATAGACAAGAGCGCTCCCGACTGCACCATGGTGACTAAAGTTAGCCAGCGCCATCTAGCCAGAAAAACCCGTCATTCAGCTCTTCGGCTGATTTTTTGGCTGGTTTGTATATACTTCTTTAGTTTTTATTTATAGTTTTATATGATTTTCCTAGCTTGCGTAACGCCTAGAATCAGCTAGAATGTAGTTTTTTTTTACATAAACAAACCTCAGCTTGAATCACCGAACTTGACGGCGCTTCGGTGCCCTTGCGTCTGTGATGAGAGCCGGTGAATTGACATCCAGGCATCAATGTGTTTGTGGTGTCTTTCAGCACTCGATAAATCACCTAAAGTACATTGGAGCCTTGTTAGAGAGTTTTTAGCTTTAAAGACCAACCGCCCACGCCGAACTGCCACAATCTTGCTTGATCGGCGATTTGACACAATCCGAGAAGAAATTCAAAGCACTAAAAAGCTTTTATTTTTAACAATAACAGCTCTTTCCTTTTGTTTTAAGGCTTTTATTGGGAGTGGGACAAATGTGACCTTTTTTTGCGCGCCCGGACATTTGCGCACCTTTTTTCCGCACCTTGCCCATTAGCGCACCTTTTTTCGCGTTTTAAAAAAGCTCTAAAAAGCTAATATTAACCAATTTCTATTCCAAATGTTGTTTTTCTAGGTTCTAGGTAATTTTAGAGCGTAGAATCGAAATTTTGACATATCAGAGCTTGTGGAACCAATTTGAAAGACAAAACGGCTAGATCAAATTACAGAAAATAGTCGATCTTTCTCTTTGTATAACTCCGTCCGTTCGCTTCCACAAGCTCTGATATGTCAAAATTTCGATTCTACGCCCTAAAATTATCTAGAAAAACAACTTTTGGAATAGAAATTGGTTAATATTAGCTTTTAGAGCTTTTTTAAAACGCGAAAAAAGGTGCGCTAATGGGCTAAGTGCGGAAAAAGGGTGCGCAAAAAAAGGTCGCATTTGTCCCACTCCCCTTTTATTACTTTTTTTCTTTTTGATAATTAAATTCTGATTGTATTGATGATCGTTTTGTTTAGTGCAATTCATTGTAGATGTCATTTTTCTTGTATTGATTGATAGTATCTGTTTTTTTATGGTATCTAGTAATAAGAAAGAGCCCAAGGAACTTTTTTAGACTCTTTATTATTCTATTTTTAGAGATTTCTGTACCTGCACATCTTTTCGAGCTTTGTATTCATCGCGAGTCCGGTTTCCGTGTTGGCGAGTTCGATTTCCTATACTTATCCTTGTAATAAGTTAAAGTAAGTAATAAAGTATGTAATTGAATTAAAGAAAATCTCTATATTACAGTCCTCAATGCAACTTCAATTCAAAAAAACTAAATCTAAAACTAATCCAATCTAAAAGAAACCCTCAGCGTCTCATCGTGACAAGCTTTCACCGACGGTTGTCGATCTAACTCCATCAAACATTCAGCTGATTCAAGAAATGCTGAAATAAAGTTATTTTTGACTCTAGTTGAAATCTTTACAATATATATTTTTTTTAATAGTTAGTTTTGAGATCTACAGGGTGCGTCATAATTATTGCAACAAGAGTTCAAAGACCGTTTTCCAAACAGCTTTCTTATTTTTTTTGGCCCCTTTTTTTGTTGTGTTGAGTTCTATCTTCTTTATTCTTGCCTAATTGCCTCCCGCTCAAACGAAGAAGACGGTTCAGGACTGGTGTGTGACCAACTTTCCCTCAGTGATCACCAAGGATGAATGGCCTCCAAACTCACCGGATCTCAATGTGATGGACTTTTCCATTTGGGCAATCTTAGAGACTAATGTCTGCTCTTTGAAGTCTTTGACCAAAGGATGGAAGGCGACTCCTCAAGATGACATTCGGGCTGCAGTGGAGGCATATCCAAACCGATTAAGGGCTGTTATCAAGGCAAAAGGCAGTCATATCGAATGATCTCTTGTTTCCTTATTTGTTACTTTTAAATAAAGCTATTTCTGTTTAAAAATCTTCTTCCAGTGAAACTTCTTGGTGTGCAATGTCTTGAGTATCTTGTTGCAATAATTATGACGCACCCTGTAGTGGTCTTTTTCGAGAATCGAGTTCGAGTTTTTCTCGACTACCAATTCTCTTTTATTCCTTTTCCCTTTTCCCTTTTCCCTTCCCCTTTCCCTTTCCCTTCCCCTTTCCAAAAATGACTCCCAAAGGAGAAATAACAACCATTTCTCATTCAAAGCTTTTGTCGTCTACTCTCTTAATGCGAAAATATTACTACTATTTAAAAAAAAAAGCTTTTATATCTCAATTCATGCTTTTATGTCTCAATCTCATATCAACTTGTACACTTAAACTTACTGCCGATTAACTCCAGATTAACTACTTACTGCTATTTACTTACTGCTACTTACTTACTGCCACAATACTTTTCAAATGATAAACTTATGATAAATCAAATTTTATCATAAGTTTCATGCAAAAACAATAGAAAAAAAAATTTGTTAAACTGACTGTTATAGCCTTCATTGCATAAATATCCATAACTAGAGTCGATCAGCGAAATAGTGACATGTCGGGGACAATCAGCTCGCAATGGTTGCACGCAGCGATTGAATTTGTGAATTAATCTGGAAAAGTTTGAAATTTCTAAAAAATCAACTATAACTTATATAAATTGAACTAAAAAAACTCAATCTTTTTACTGGGGAGATCTTGAAAAATTTTGGTAAAAAAAGAGAAGAGAAGCTCTGTGGGTTTGAGATAAAGAAATCGTTACTAACTCTGGGAAATCTTTACCTATGTTATCTAGAAAATCTTGTTTTTGGAATAGAGTTTTGGAATAGAGAAAAACGATATTTAAAACCAAATCACATGCCATTGATGACATTTTTCTGGCAACGAAAAAACCCAAAAATGCAGAATAGAGTGAAAATATATGAAAACAGAAAAAAAATATAAAGAATTCCCGTTTCGGGGGTAGGCTACTTTGCGTCAAATTTTTTGCGCAACTGGATCATTTGCGCAACTCACCATAACTTTCTTCTAAGTGGGCGAATCTTTATGATTTTTGGTTTCATTTTGTTGCACTTATTGAGATCTACAGAATGACTATTTTATTTATTTACAACAGTTATTCCACTGAATAGCATAAGAAGTTAACAACATAATATAATAAAATTCAAACTTTGGGATTTTCCTTTTCCTCATTTTCTAATTTCCGCCATTTTATTTGCGCAACTCACCATAACTTTCTTCTAAGTCGGTCAATCTTTATGATTTTTGGTTTCATTTTGTTGCACTTATTGAGATCTACAGAATGACTATTTTATTTATATACAACAATTATTGTAGATCTCAATAAGTGCAACAAAATGAAACCAAAAATCATAAAGATCGGCTCACTTAGAAAAAAATTATGGTGAGTTGCGCAAATGATCCAGTTGCGCAAAGTAAAATTGCGGAAATTAGCCTATCCCCCGTTTCGTTTTCATTTCGACTTACTCGCAACCTTTGGCAACATCGTATTGATAACAACTGAATAGTATTTAATCTTTTAAAAAAAGATATTTAAGAGGTAAAGAGACAAGGAATAGTCGGTGGTGGCTAATTTGCGTCGAATTTTTTCCTCAACTCGCCATAACTTTCTTCTAATTGAGTCAATCTATGATTTTTGTGTCATAGATCTCAACAAGTGCAAGAAAATGACACCAAAAATCATAAAGATTGGCTCACTGAGAAGAAAGGGTACTTTTCCATTATACATCCGCAAAAATAACCCCTGATCATTTAATAATCAAAAATAAAGATTAAAATAAGATGAATGGGAAAGGGCAGAAAATCCATTTCGTAGCAATTTGTTGCAACACCGATTCGTAGAAATCGTCCTTTCTCATTTCTTGTCGGACCATCAATTCAGCGAGGTACAGTACTGGACAATGAAATATGATATTTGAAAAAAGATCGTCACTTTCGCGCGTCTGTAACTCCCTTGTCTTTAAGTTTAAACTATTCGTGTTATACATTTTCTGAAAGCTCTTTTCAAGGGCTACACAATGGTAATATTCATATTTAGAAATACGGTAAAGACAAGGGAATTACAGACGCGCGAAAGTGACGATCTTTTTTCAAATATCATATTTCATTGTCCAGTAGTGTAGCTCGATAGGAAATGACGCGCGTGCTGCGATCCTTTTTGTTTCTTCATTTGGCAGATCCCCATAGACGCTCGATCGTCTACGTGTGAATGGCAGGGGTCATCCGGATTCAGGAAGTTGTACTTGTGGTTGACTTGAGCGATTGACTTCAATTTTTTGGTGGAATGTATAACGCTTGTATAACGGAAATGATTGGGGGTTTATTTTTGCGGATATATAACGGAAAAAAAACCAAAGAAAGTTATGCCGAGTTTGGCGATTTTGGCAAAAAAAAAATTTTGACGCAAAGTAGGAATAGTCTTGAGCGATTGACTAATAGACTAATAGACAAATAGTCTAAATTAGAACCACGAATTGTAACCACTTGACTGTAAAAGTAGTAAGTTCATTATGCATTTCTTTTGAATCACTTGTCTAGCTCTAATGTTTATATATAAATATGAATAGATAAATTTAGATAAATCTAAATTCTATAGAAAACTGACTTGCACAACTCGTTGAACACTCGTCCGCCCATGTTGGGCAATGAGAATTGAGCGAACTCTGAGGTGCCACGATTCGAATTCTAAAAAAAGAATTCTTTTCAATAAGAAAATTTTTGTTACTTGTCGGTCTGAATTTTCTTTGATTCAGTTAAAAAGATATTTAAATTTCATCATGCAAAAAGGAAATTAAGACCAACAAGTGATTGTTGAAAGAATTACCGTATTTCTTCGAATAGAAGACCGGGTAAAGAGTATCATCGCGTACTCCTGCGTAGCAGCTCTTTTTAAAATTTCTTTTCTGCATAAAAGCTTTCTTTCAAGTGCTATAGAGCTGGAAAATGGCTCAAAAACACCACATGAGCTAACAGATTTTTGAGTCATTTTCCAGCTCTATAGCACTTGATTGAAAGCTTTTATGCAGAAAAGAAATTTTAAAAAGGCCTGCTACGCAGGAGTACGCGATGATACTCTTCTATTCGGAGAGTATCGATCCGGTCTTCTATTCGAAGAAATAAGGTAGGCTAAAATGCAGGCAGTGATATTTTCTATTGGATAATAAACATTTTCAGCAATATTAGCCAAGTTTCTCGAAAGAAAACGGACATTTTTTTTTCTGCTCAATTCTGCGACAGGTTGAAGAAAAGAAAAAAAAAGAATTTTCCACGAAATTGTCAAATAGTCTAAATTTTATGGAAAAATGGCACAAAATGGGAAAAAGAGAAAAAAATTGAGAAAACTTTTCAATTTATGCCATTTTTCCCGAAAAAGCTATCGAATCTTTGGAGATTTAGGCATTCCGGCAGCTAATTTTTTGTTTACTTACACGAAGAGCCGCTTTCTAAAAAAACAGATTTAAAAAGGAAGATTTTAAAATGAATATCAAGATCTAAAAGGTTTTTTATTTGAAACCTGATTGTCGTTGAGAACTTTCGCGTACTCGGCCACTGGATGCACACATTCTTGAATCTTTGAGCTCACCGCCGCTGGGCAATAGTCAGCTCGACTCAGCCAGAGAGCTGAAAAATTGCTAGATATTTTCAAGAATTCAATCTTCAAGTATAGTTGAATCTTCAAGTACAGCTTCAAGTAGTTCAATCTTCAAGTACAGCTCTTGAATAGAAAAGCTTCGGAGAAAAAAATGTTTTTCGACTTTTTGTCGCAAATATTAAATATTAATTTTCGCACGACGTCGCGTTCCAATTGACGTCGCCGCCATTTAGAAGTAGTCGATGGGAGCATCGCGTCGTCGTTTCTTTTTTCATCGCCGCCATTTAGAGGTAGTCGATGGGAGCATCGCGTCGTCGTTTCTTTTTCGTTTTCAAAGCATTTTTTTTGTCAGATTGATTAAAAGCATTGTTTTACGCGATAGATTTTTTTGTTTCTCCTTGAAATGAAAAATAAATCTATTTTCATTTGAGAGCTGAGTGGAGAATACGGAAAATCTATCGCGTAAAACAATGCTTTTAATCAATCTGACAAAAAGAAATGCTTTGAAAACGAAAAAAAACGACGACGCGATGCTCCCATCGACTTTTAGCCGGACCAAAATGAAGGTCAAAACCAACTATACAGATGATTTGGGGAGTTGAATGGAAAAAACGAAAGCAAGGCTTGTCTTCTCAATCGTTATAAAGCTTACCTGCAAAAACGGCAAGCAAAGTTCGTATCACAGTCATCTCTCAGCTCGCATTGCTAGAAAAAAAAGCATTGGTTTAAATCAAAGTATAAACACAAAAAGACAAAAAAAAACTAGAAGAACAGCTGGGTATGAGGAATGGAGATGGATGTAGAGAAGGGGTGGAGCAATATAGGCAAGGACTGGGAGTCGCCGACTCATGAGCTCGAATAAACAAAGAGAAGTGGGTGCCCGGGATTCCTTTTCCCCTTGAAAGGGACCCTTTGATGTGAGAATTTGGGACAAGAGAGATGTTGGGGGGATCTTCACACAGTTCTACTCCAATCCTTTCTCAGTTTCTCAGTTTCCCAGTGCTTTCCCCTATCATTCCACCGAAGTGAAGAACCCTAGATTTGGGAACGATCTAGTTTTCTTTACACCAATCGGTACGCGGAGATCGGATGAAGTTTGGGCAAAGATTCTTGAGGAAAGATGGTTTAAAGCTTACAATTAGAATCATCTATGGTTAGAATCATCAAATGCAGCTAAGGTTAGAATCATCAAATGATTTAATCTTTTCAAAAACTGTCCAATTACGTGTTAGTGACTCAAAAACAGCGACGAAATGCCCACTATGATTCTGATTGTGAAATACTATAAACTTTTTTTAGGCGTAAACTTTTCTAAACATCTTTAGTTAGAACAAAAGTGTACAAAGATGAGAAAGAAGAAATACGCACCAGCTCGTTCTGCTTGTGCTCGATAATGGCTTAGGGAAAACTGTGTTTGCCAATGGATTGGGACATGGCTTTGGATGAAAAAGGTGTAAAAGGGGAACGAGGAGGGCAGATATGGAATCGTGGAAGCATGAAACGGGATACATTCACCCATTTCACCTTTTTCTCTCCACGTAACCCTTTCCCCTTTCCCCTTTCCCCATTCGGTAACCCCAAGCCCAATATGAAATCCACCTTGAATTCATTTAGAACATGGATAGTTTAAAACGTTCAAATGGTTACGAAAACCTGAAATTTCTAATCAAAAGCAAAGAAGTGACGTTAAGAAAATGTTTGGAGAGTGAAAGGTTGAATCAAATGAAAGAAAAGAGAAAAGAGAAAAGATATGGGTTGGTGAAATTAATTTAGTCAAGTCAAAGAAGGACATGGGTAAAGATGAAAGAAAAAGCATTCCTCTTCCTAAAATGAGAGAATTCTAGTCGAAATTGAACAGTTGACAAGTGTTGGAGTGGTTTGGATGGATCGAAAGTTTGTGGATTACTATAAGATGAAGTTTATTTTCAATTTGTTTTAAGTTTTTTTTCCTAATACGTTATTCTGAGAAATTTAGACAGAAGATGGTTATTTTTGAGTTAAAAACATTAATAGCAATAACATTTATGAATATCAAAAAGACAATGAATATCAAAAAGACAAAAAGACAAAGAGAACAAGATAAAGAAAAAGAATGTAATACTTTGAGAATCATGAAACGATTTCTTTTTTTGGTGTGAGATTACTTGTGTAAGTGCTTGTGGGTTGTGGGTTATTATATGGCTCTCGAATATGGAGAAGAATAGGAAAATGGCTGAGCCGAGCCTCTCCTTTTCCCTTTCCTTTCTCATCTTGGGTATCCCTATAACCCTTATTCTCCTCCCTAAAAATCTTTAAGTTGTGTCCTCTCTTTTCCTCTTTTGCCAGAATATTGTGCACCGGAAGAGAGCGATCACCCATTCTCACTCGTCTGGAAAAATTCTCCGCACCTCCTCTTCTCCATTATCAACTCCCGAAAAAAATATATATATCAAAAGATGCAAAAAATTTTCCAACTTTGAAGACTTTGGAGTCTTTGAATTTGGAGGACTTTGGAGTCTTTGGAGTCTTTCAATAGAAACAGAAAACTGTCTAGTTTTAATGTTAATAAAGTTAGACAATAAAGAAATCTCTTTGATCTATCTTTAATCGATAGTTAATCGATCTTAAACGATCTTTAACCTATCTTTAATCGATCTATCTTTAGTCAATAGTTAGTCGATAGTTAATTTATCTTTAATCGATCTTTAATCGATCTTTAATCGATCTTTAATCTATCTTTAATCTATCTTTAATCTATCTTTAATCTATTGATTAACAGAAAGAAAAATAGACTTAAGTTATGAGTAAAATCTGAAAGGCAAGACAAAAGCGCCTAGTTAGAGGACATTTTGACAGATGCCCGAGTCTTAGCAAGTCCTTTCCTTCTCGATAATTAGCATATGTTGCACCAAACATCGAACAGAAATTGAGTTCTTTCATCGACATAAGCACTTACTATCGAAATATGTACAGAGCTAAAGGGAAATCACAAGAAGTCTTTCAGAAGTCTTTCAGAAGTCTTTCTGAAGTCACAAGAAATCTTTCTGAACAGTTTAAGTTCTAAAAAACACTGTTGTCAAGACAAAAGTACTCCAAAAAAACCTTTGACCTGAAGAAAAATCTATTATTAGATGGATCTCGAAGTGATAATGAGTGTGGTGGGATGATCCTCCTCTTTCTTCTCTTCATATTCTTCATTCTTCTCCCAATCTTTCTCTTTTCTCTCCATCAGCTGTCAATCCGTCACTTTTTGAGAGCTTAGGTTTGTGGAGAGGAAAAAAAGCGAGAAATAAATTTACTCGAATGAAAATGACTCGTCTTCCTTCTCACGATTCGACCTTTTTTTGGGAAAAGAATTCCAAAGATTTCCAGAAAATTCTAATTGATTAGAGCAAAGTGTTAGATGAAATTTTTCTGGTTAGAGGCAAATATAGGATTGGTATCAATGGGGCTCTTCTCAGGTCAATTGGATATCGGATTAGAGGCCGGGGATCTACTTTTGACCCACTCAACTATCAATTTCCCCCCAACAAACACCTCTAATCTGCCTGAAATCGGTTTTTATTCAAAAAAAATCAAAAAAATCAACGAAATTACTATATACGACTATATACGATTGTTGAATAGCAATTTTTAAGTAATTTTAGAAGAAAATGAAAGTTATTAGTTAAGTTAAAAGTTATTTTAAGGCAAAAAGTGATACCTTTGAAGAACTCAGGAAATGATTAAGAAAATTTAAAGAAAATTCGAATCATTTAGAAACATTTAACTGTAGAAGAGTCGTTTTTGACAAAAAGAGTAGCGAGCTTTAACAAGACAAGATTTAGCTTTAACAAGACAAGATTTCGCTTGGGGATTTGAAGAAGGAGAAGCAGTTGGTGCTTGTGGAAACCCCCTTGTGAGATTGGACTAATAGGAAAATTGCACGGTAGGCTTGGCCCCCTCTCTTCACCAATCTTCACTCTAAAGAGTCTAAAGACAGATTGAATAAATTCACTTCCCATTTCTTTAACCAACATTTGTTTCTTTGATTTATTTTGAAAAGTCTAAAGGTTTCTTTTTTTAAAAAAACTAACATTCATTAATTTACCAAAAAAGCAAAAGAAGAATAAAAATTGTGTCCCATCTGTGCTTGAAATTAATCGCTTTAGGCGTCTGAATGCGATTTGTTTATATGTTTTTGAAGCTTTTTCCTTTTCCTATATTATTTTCCCTTTCAATAACGACTCAAAGCAATTGAAATTCAGTGGAAAAGCTGGAAAAATGGAAGAAAAAAAGTAAAGGTTATCCTAAAAGCTCTGATACTTTTTGTCAATGGACAGTTTGACTCGGAAAAGACGCTAACTTTTGAAAAACTAATGCCGGATTATGAAAATTCAGCTATTTTTACCTTTAATATACTTTTTTTTGCATAAAAGTTACAAGTTTAAACAACTTTTTGATGAGGATGAGGTCAGAGCGCTTTTTTTTGCTTTTAAGATTTGGATTAGAGTGTGCTCCTTGTTGACAGACAATTTGTCAGACAAATTTTCATTGACAACTTTTTTGTCAGACAATTGATCCGACAAACTTCCGACAACGCGTCTTCTAAAAGGTTTCAAGCAAAGCAAAGCAAAGCAAAGCTTTAAGCAAAGCAAAGCTTTAAGCAAAGCAAAGCAAAGCTTTAAGCAAAGCAAAGCAAAGCTTTAAGCAAAGCAAAGCAAAGCTTTAAGCAAAGCAAAGCTTTAAGCAAAGCAAAGCTTTAAGCAAAGCAAAGCTTTAAGCAAAGCAAAGCAAAGTTTTAAGCAAAGCAAAGCTTTAAGCAAAGCAAAGCTTTAAGCAAAGCAAAGCAAAGCTTTAAACAAAGCAAAGCTTTAAACAAAGCAAAGCTTTAAACAAAGCAAAGCTTTAAACAAAGCAAAGCTTTAAACAAAGCAAAGCTTTAAACAAAGCAAAGCTTTAAACAAAGCAAAGCTTTAAACAAAGCAAAGCTTTAAACAAAGCAAAGCAAAGCAAAGCAAAGCTTTAAGCAAAGCAAAGCAAAGCAAAGCAAAGCAAAGCAAAGTAAAGCAAAGCAAAGTAAAGCAAAGCAAAGCGTTTTCTAAAAGGTGCGCTTTTTAAGCAAAGCTATAAAGGTGGCGCGAAAAAAATTTGTAAACTTTTCTTCAAATATAGTAATGGATAGTTTTATTTAAGGATTTAGGTTTTTTAGAGCATAGAATTTTTTTTTGGAATGGTTCTAGTGCAAATGTAGACAATAGGCCTGGTAAATTCGTAAATAATATCATTTTTTAATAGTGTTTCTTAGCTTTTCCCGTTTTAAATGTTTTCTTTAATTTTAAATAGCATTTAAAAAATTTTAAGTTTTAGCGAAAGAGGAATAGAGTTAAGGAAAGAGTAATAGAGTTAAGTGTGTAAAAAGAAATGTGTAAGGACTTCTTTACTAGCTTACCATCAATACTGTAATAGTACCCCACCCCCATAATGACGGTGCGGAGTGTTGTGTAGTCTAGCTTTGGACCAGTTTTTCTCGACACTAGTTTATGCTACAATGCGCGCTTAGGTATCAAAAAATAGCTGAAATTCAGGGCTATTTTTTGATACCAAAAACGCATTTTTTGAAAGTACGGGTGCTTTGAAAAACACGGAAATACTAAAAACTTTTGCGACTACGCGACTGTACGACGGGGGTGGGGTACTATTACAGTATTTACGGGATGTTTTTCATGACAAAACAATGACTGTTTACAGAAAAAGTATACATTGTGATCACTTGTAAATGGAAAAGTTGCGTGATGTGAGCTGGGCTAGGATCGAGAGAAAAGAACAAAGAGAGAAGTGAACAAGGCGAGAAGTCATTGAGAGTTTGTCGGATTGACGGGGGGTATAATTATGTGGGTTTTATAGGAGACCCTGTTCAACCCCTTTGGTTGCATATAATCGTGAGTTCCCTCACTTTTCTCTTTTCCTTTTTTCGAAGTCAGCCGTTGTCCCCCAATTTGCCCGGCTATTCAGCTGCCTTTACTCTTTCAGAAAGTCCCAAGGTCGCGTTTTGTTGTGGTCAATGCTTATAGATGAATGGCTAGTTAGAAAATTAGTTCACTATTTTGGTGTATGATCAAATTAGATTGAATTGGATTGAATTGGATTGGATTGGATAGCTTTGTAATTAGCTGAACGATCGGGGATCGGCGATCCGTTTTATTCATGCATAAAATCGATAAAATTATCAAAAATATCTTAAAGATGCGAAATAATACTGAAATTTAGGTAAAACTCGAGATTTTAGTCCAGAAGAAAGTGACCTGCGGAGGGAAGCAATCAAGAAATCGAGAGTCAAGGATCCCTGAGACGGCCACTCATCCAATCCCACCACTACTTCTCAATAACCACTACTTCTTCTCAAATTTCTTCCAGTTATACCAGAAAATATAAAAACCAGCTGAAAATAGAACCTACAAATGAAATCAAAACTAAAAAAATCAATAATCCAGATATCAAGAAATCCAGAGTCAAGGATCCCTGAGACGGCCACTCATCCAATCCCACTACTATTGGGTTGATGCATAATTATCCGGACTTCCTTTTGCGTGCTTGTATCTTTTTGTTTTGAAAGCTTTGTCTATTTCTTTTTTAAATATTCGTCATTCTTTAGTGAACAAAATGCGTGTCGACAACATACCATCTTCGCCATACATGCTCTACCACTTCGAAGGGATGGTCTGCCGCAGAGTCGTTTCGCGATCTCAAAGAACTGGAGAAGCCCCAACGGACTACCACGTCAATCGATCGCTCAAAAATTGGCAAACAAATAAGATCTACAACGATTTGGATGACTTGATAGACGATGTTAAAGCGTGGATTGCCTCCAAAGATCGTTTATTCTTCGCTCGTGGAATCGATCGTCTTCCAAGCAAATGGCAATCAGTTATTGATGTAGGCGGTGAATATGCTCCAGAATAATCAATTAAACATATTTTTCTAACTATTTATGTTATTTTTTGTTAAATAAAATCATTTATAAAAGAAGTCCGGATAATTATGCATCAACCCAATACTTCTCAATAACCTCCTCAAATTTCTTCCAGTTATACCAGAAAATATAAAAACAAGATAAACATAGAACCTACACATAAAATGAAAACTAAAAAATCAAAAATCAATAAAATCAAAACTAAAAATGTAACGTTTCCTCTTTCGTATCAAAAAAAACGTAGCCAATTATATTCTAATTATTTGTTCATTTTTTCTCTAAAGTTACTCAAAGCCTTAAAATTTCAGAAAATAAGATATGAAAAAAATATTTTGCGACACTTTTTTATGTGGGTCTTATTTCCGCAAGGAGTTGGGCTTTTTAAGTAAAAGAGATTAAAGAAAGGAGATGCTGGGAGATGGGAGATGCGATTGAAATTAGATTCACACTGAACACACATTTCTCTTTTTTCTCGGCGATCCACTTGCGTCCTTTAAACTTCTTTTGCAAATTTTAATACCTGTGGCGAATTGCCATTGCTCTGCAGTTAGTCAAAAATCCAATACACAAGTTAAAATTCAAAGTTGATGGATAAACTACCGTAATCAGTCACTAGACGATATTCAGCTGTCCGTTTGTTGTAGCTTGTATACTTAAAAAAACCGGTTATTTAAGTTTTGCGTGAGTTTGCGTTTGAGTGAGTTTTTGTTCTCCTTTTTTTGCTTTTTATCATCCTTTTTTCACATGCAAGTGTTGAATGAATTGTGATAGTGCCAGTGTTGCTCCAGTTTGAGCGAAGTTTGCCCTAATAAGGGAAAGTTGGATAAATTGTGCGTTTTCAAGAAGACCACCATTGAGCCACACCGAGACACGGTCTCACAAGAAATTATATAGATCGAAACATCTACATATATTTCTTACAATACCTATTCAATCATTTTGTAAGAGTTAGAGAAACTTTTTGAGAATTGACTCTTAGAAAATTGACTTTAGAAAACTGAGAGAGTCACAAACAACCATTCAGAGATTGCCATAAAAAAACTGATCAAAAGCATCCAGATTCTTTCTCTCATCTTATCAAGTGTTGAGAAGTGGACTGGTCACAGAAGAAAGTGGAAAAACAAGAGGAGAGATGGATGGAGAGTGTTTGGACCGACATAAGCCTCGTCCCGTGTTTCTCGCCTTCTCACCACCGCCTTCTCTATCCTGTTCTTCAGTTCTTTAGTTCTTCAGCTCTTCCCCCCTCACCCAACCACCAAACGAACGCCTTCCACACAACAGCTTTACCCCTCGTCACCATCCCATCAATAACTCTTTTCTAGTAAACTCTTTTCTATAAAAATCAACAATTGTTCTTGATTTCTTCGCTTTATTTTCAATTAAAAAGAAATTTTTCAGTAAACAAATTTAACTTCGACAACTGAACAAGTATTAGATGAAGATATCGCTCTTGGTGAGGAAAATCTTGTTGTTGTTTATCATGCAAATTATTTGCTTAAACTTTATCTACATCAATTATCAAATGAAAACTTTTACTTTCCAGGTGTTAAGCATTTTGGTGAGCTTTATTTGTGCGGCGCCGGC